TTCGTCGAACGAGAAGGGGGACGTAAGAGCGGACAGACATGCGTGTGCGTACACGCATAGGCGCGCGAGCGCGCGCACCCACGTAGCACCACCATGGCAAGACTACGGGACAAGTCGGGTTAGGCTATGCTGGAGCATCGCCGCCGCCGCTCGCTGCTGATGCCAGTGCCGTGCTGTGCTGCCTCTGCTGCTGGTATTCAGAAGGGGGGGGGGGAGTGGTGCGCAAGGGGCGCAGCGCGGTACGGTTGCGCTAGAGACGCGGTCTCTTATAAGGTGTTCTAAGAATGGATATGATCGTCGGGACCATCCACCAGACAAACGGCCGGGATCTGAGTGGTATTGCTAATGCGACATTTGGGGAATGCTAGTCGAATATCTACTTGAAACGCACCCTGGTCCCTTGGCCGTCCACTGTCCCCTTGCGAATGGACCGTTAGATGTCCCCGGGGCTCCCCAAAGTGGGCGTCAATATCTCCTGCGCAATTTGGAGATAAATAATCATTGGCAATTTGCTGAGATTCGACATCATCGAACTTCTAGAAGGGGAAGACCATGCTGTTTGAGCGTGTTCTATGGGTCGGAGGAGAAGGGGAATGACAAAAAGAGAGAGGAGGGGGGGGAAGGGGTTGACGGATGGAAGAAAGGGGCATGGTGGAATCGGTGGGCTGGGTGGATTTGGCGAGTGGGGAGGTAGTGGATAGGTAGGTTAAGTGAGGGATGATGATGGTGGTGATGGATGCTGTGGAGGATGGGGAGGAGGCGAGGAGAGAGGGCAGCTTTTGCCTGGTGGCCCAGGGCATATTCATACGACAACAACATCCCCCGATACGTGCAGCTGGTCCTAGGTTAGGTGCCTATCGGCTGTTAGGTAGGTACCTTAGGTAGTTATCCGTACGTATATACATAGAGGGAGATAGATACCAAAAGTACCTACCTAGGAGGTAGGCACTATCAGGTAGGTAATCTACATAGGAGGTAGGTACCTCGTATGCATTGAAGGCAGGATCTATGCACACACGCATGCGGACACGCGCACGACAGCGCATACCTTGTGTTAGTAGCATACCCAAATATGCGTGGCATGCGACAAATGATGCTATCCTCGCAACTCGTGGGTAGGTACCGTTTAGGTGCCCCCTAGGCAGGGCAAGCAGGACACTTCCAGTGAGGTACCCTAGGCGACTATACGTCTAGAGGTGCCTATTGTTTCTAGTACACGTAGAATGTCGGTAGATAGGTATGGGCCGAGGGTACGCACTACCGCAAGCACCAGGGATCTGGCCTTAGGAGGTAGATAGGTACCTAAGTACCTACCTACGTACCTACGGTATCTAGGAGGTACCTAGGTATCTGGATACCTCCTATACCTACCTACATTCCTCATATAGGATATTCCGACGGGCGGCAGGTACGTACGTGGGTACGGCACGGGTGCGGTACGTGGCCTTGGGTAACGTCGACTGGTACCCAGGCAGCGGGAAGGTGGGCTTGGTGGCTCTGGGAAGTGCCGTTGACACATCGCTGATCATCCAACGTCCCTCGGGAATCTGGGTGAAGCTGCCCAGGGTCACCAATTCGGACATACACGTACATACGTGCCCACATCCATCCATCCCATCCCATCCCATCCCATCCCATCCCATCCCATCCGTTGCAACCTCTACGACAACAACAACTCTCTCACCCTCTACTACGTACCGAGAATATAACCAACCTACCTCCTACGCCGGACATACATGAGGTACTACAACATGCGCGAATGCTACCTCGACCATATACGTGCGCGTGTGCCTACAGGTTACCTACCTATCTCCATATAGGTATGTGCCGTCCTCGACTTGCCTATATGCCATGTGCCCCTTCGCCCGAGTGCGCCCGATTCGCCCGGGCTGCTTCGCGCACGCCGGTCCGAGACCACCATATGAATGTTCACGTCGCTATAGCCTGCCGACCCCTTTGCAGAGCGGGATCGAGATATGTACATGCCCGCCTGGCTACCCGGGTAGAGGAGGTACCTAAGCAGGAGGTAGGTGTAGGTAGCCCCTAGGCCATGGAACTTGAACACGTACCGCCTCTTCTGGACGTACACCCAGGTTAGGTGTAGGAGGTGGTAGTGGCGGAGGCACATATGAGCCCTACCACCACGGCATGGATGCATTAGGTAGGTAGAGGTGCCTCATGGTGTGTGCGTGTGCGTGTGCGTGTCTACCTACCTACATAAAGCACCCAGATTAGGTGCCTACGTGTTTGTGTATGTACGTGCGCGCGTATGTTTGTGTAGGTGTGCGAGCTGGCGTCGCGCGGTGCATTACATTAGGAGGTCGGAGTGCGGTATCGCCTGTGCCGCATCGTGGTATGTGTAGCCCAGGTGTGCATGCGTGCAATGTGTATATACCTACATATATTTAACACCCGCACATGCAAGCCTGCATATATATCTGCTGACAATTTGCAATAGTTTGCCGCGACGAGTCAATAAAGGATCGTTCGGCATCCCAAATGGAACCGCCGCTTTGAGAGGAGATGGATGCCAAGCACCCTGCGAGAGAGCGAGAGAGAGAGAGAGAAAAAAATTTTGGGCGCGCGGCGGTATTCGCAGTGTCAGACTGGCCAGTGCAACCTGGTCTGCGGATATGTGCGATGGTGACGATGCAGGGTCTGCGGATGAACCGAACGTCTGCTGTACTATAGTCTGAGGCGGCTGCTACGGTGTTCGCCGGTCCCTCGCCAACCACAGCGCGCTATGCGAGCTCCGAATCGACGATAGGTCAGAGAGGCCCGTCGCCTCCCTGTAGTCGTATGTACCTCCCCATGCCTTCACATGATGCAGATGAGATGTGATGGAAGATGACCTCCGCTTGGGACCTAGGTCGCAATATCTCGAGGACATTTACCCAGGTCCCACGTGCAGGTAATAATGAGTCCCCCCCCCCCCCGTCGCCTGGCGTATCCGTTCGCGGTAAAGCCCTGAGGATTCCATATCCTCAAACACAAGCGGATCTGGTTTAATATTCAGATGCTACCCTCGCTCGTAACTCCCAGGTCTCCCTCCTCCTCTCCTCTCGCCCTCCCTGTCGCGATCAAGATGACGAGCGAGCTAGCCCCAATCTCTCTGGCCATGCGTCGACTAATAACTCGGTACCTAGATCTCGACGGCGAGGTTGCCGTCCGTGCTGCTCGGCCAAACCGCGACGGCATAATGATAACAACAACAACATAATACCATTTTACGACGTAGCAGGAACTGAAGGTGATACACGTTATAGGCTAGGGTTCTGGCACTATTATATGGAGTCACGGCCGTCCACGTGTTTAGGCAGTACAGTAGCACGTTTTGATGGGGGGGATGAAATTGTCTTACCCCTGATGCCTGCCTACGGCATCTAAGATATCTGATATCCGCATCTGCCGTCTCGTGCTAGCTCCCGCGATACCGTTTCGAAAGCCCACCGGCGAAGAGGGCGCAGGGCGGGGTTTTGCGCAACAGGTGCCAGGTGGGAGAAGAAGGAGAGTAGCGAAAAAAGACAGACAGAGACAGAGAGAGAGAGAGAGTTCATCTAAGCTACGTAGGTAGGTAGGTAGGTAGGTAGGTAGGTAGGTAGGTAGGTAGGTATACGGCCACGTTGTAGAGTAGGCATGGATGGCACTCGACATTTGGCTGGCCGGCGTCCCCAGCGCAGGGCAGAGCAGAGCAGACCCGTTCTGGCGATGGGATGGCGCCCTCGTCCGCATCGCTCGCATGGAACCGCCAGGCTGGATCGCGGAAAGGGATGGACGGGCTCTTGGGGTGGCTTGTCAATGGTTTGATTCAATGTTCCAGCTCATTTCAGGTATAAGGCCGAAGGTTTGCCCGGGGACGCGAGACGAGTTCCCACTTAAAATTCAAGCTTAAAGTGTTTGGAACGCGGTTTGACTAAGCCTTGTTTTAGCCTTGAAGAACCCTATCTGGGCTATTATGCGGATGACGTTGTTGGCACCGTCCAACTGCCGTTCTGATTTGTTTTTATTCATTTGGCCAGCAATTTAAACATGGCGTTAATCTCTATACCTTCCCTTCGTAGATTGCACCACACCCCCTTTTTACCCTTTCCCATCGCCAGCCAGCCAACCTACCTACCTACCTACCTACCTACCTACCTACCTACCTACCTACCTACCTACCTGTAGAGGCGGGTAGGTAGGCAAGGTACCTAACCTTGCCCAACTACCCCTTTTAGCAACCCGAGGTACCGCGTACCGAGACAGCGTTCGCTACCGTGGTGCCCTTCTCGGTGCCTTCGGCGGGCTGTGCCTCCCTCCACATCTGCGACACCCGCACTCCCATCTGTCGTCTCGACCGAGGCGGTAGGTTCTGCATGCCTGGTGTCTATCTAACCTAAGTAGGTGGGCAGGTATGTTAGGTACCTAAGATAGGTAGTAGGTAGGTAGGTAGGTACCCGAGGTAGTTCGTCTAAAAGGCAGGCATTGGCATCCGTTGGGGGGGGGGTTGTGTTATCCAGCCACGCCGCACGCAGACTTACCTCAGGATCAGATGTAGAGCTAATAACACATGTACATCGGCGATGTATGCCCGGCCTACTATAAACACGACAACATCTTGAGCACCTCGGGAGTTCCTACGTACCTATATATCTCTGTATCTCGTGACCTGGGAAATGTGGCTGCATGCATGCCGCGCTCTCCCACCTTCCACCGTCTCCTCCGTGTAGATACCTGACCTATCTGTACCTACAGCCGAAGTCGTGCATCCCTGCCTACGACGTACAATACGTGTGCACACGGGTTTTACGGCGTAGAGAGGCTATGTACCTGAGGTAGGTAGGTAGGAGGTACCTACCTCCTATCTCCCCAAACCTTTCCCCCTTTTCTCTCCCTCTGTCGATGTTCAGCCCGTTCGACTCGTATCGGAGACACGTCTGGGAGTCGGACGGACAAGGGAAATCTCATACAGTAGCGTCGATTATCTGAGGGTCGTCCGCATCCTTCCCTCCCTTGGCCCCCCCCTGTTCCCTCCTCCCCTCCCCGGTATCCCAAATTGGCCACATGGATAGATTTTCGTATTATCACCACGCCGTTATCTTAAGGGTGCTGCTATTGATTGGCCCCAGCTTCGTCGGCCTCACACCCATTGGAAACGGCTGGATTGTGTCATGCTCGACTTGCGGAGGGCGGGCAGGCCTGCGAGGCACTACGTAGTATATCCCGCTGGGCACCGGCCAGCCAATCATCCGCCACTCGCGTTCGACATCTCCAATCTCCTCGCCATGCGGAGGGGCGACTATGACGACACCCCTTGCCGTAGCCAAGAGATTTCCCGTCGAAACGGGTTACTTCAGTCTTCGGACTCGGAACAAGGTCTATGAGTAGGTATGTATCGCAAGACGAGAGCGCAACGGAAGAGGGGGAAAGAAAGAGAAAAAGACGAGAGAGGGGAAGGGCAAGAAACAAGGCGCTCTCCATCCGGTCGTCGATGCAATGATGTATATCTATCTACCTAAGCTAGGACTTTTGCGTACGCAGGCAGGCCAGGTAGGTACATAATTATATCCAGCACATGTCTAGAGGTGGCTTGTGTGTTTGTTTATCACCTTGTATCATGATCACGATTCTGATGATGAGCAAGATTTTTCTTTCCAATTGCCGCAGCTAAATTCTTTGTCAGATTCCGTCTCATGCAATTGCTATGACTACGTAGTGGGAAGGCGACGACCCGCCCCTAGACCCGGAGCGGATGACGAGGATACGTAAGTGTGTGTCTGGATGCTGTACAACTGTCAACATCTCACTTGTTACGTACCGCAAGATTTTGTCAAACGAATGGCATCGCTCTCAAACCCACACATGCGCTCGCTGGACTCGCCGCACGCTCGCCATACAACGGCGTCGGCTTCGTAAACGGAGCCCCAATGCCCCCTCCGTTCCCCCCTCTCTCCACCGTCCCATCGACGCCAGGCCGGAGAAGGCGCCGCTCGAGACAGGCTCTCGTCGGGGCGCTATCGTCATACGCGAACTGGCCTTCCCGCGCCGGCTCAACCCTGACAGGCGACGTCAGTCCTGCGAGCGCTGAGCAATATTCGTCAAAACAGCGACGGCGCCCGAGGCCGGCCGGCGCCGCTTAGTTAGCTTCTAGGACTTGAAGAGGGGGGCGGGCGCTGGCCCGACTGGTTCGAAGCCGTCGTCATACATGCAACGTTCGGTTTCATCCCCATGGCATTGCTCTGAAAATTCTCCTCTGCGCGTGGCGGTTGTGGCCCATTTCATCGTCATTCCTCTGGCTCGACTCATTCCGTGCTTGATCAGTAGTGCCGTAGCTGGCAGCGTCCGAGAATGCCAAGACGTTGTCGGCTGAACACGAAGATCACACTGCCGCCACATCTGCTGCAGTGCCGGGCCGAACATCAACCGCGCATAAACGCCGTGGGTGTCAGATACACGTCGTAGCCAAGCGAAGAGCAAGTATAGGTGAGAGAACCGGGTAGCAAGCCAAGGTACCTCCATATCCCATCAATGCTGCGGCAAGAATGGATGCGCCACGCGTTCCCCCTCTCATGCAAAGCCGGCGTGAATGTGAATGTTATTCATCATCCCTTGATACCGGGTCAGAGGAACTCCGTCTGCTGTTAGTAATAGAGACCCTGGGTTCGATGATGTCGTGTCTTGGATGATGGGGAGAGCGGGCTGCAGGACGGTCGATTGTACGTTCTCCCTCCCTCTCTCGCCCGCCCTTCTCTTCTCTTCGCTCTCGTTGGCGGAGACCCGCTCGTATGGAGGGCACTACATGCCTCCAATCACTATGCACACACCACATGACGTAGGTATTCGCCAAGCGTACTAAGCTAACTTGTTCTTAGCCCCATCCTTCCCACTAAAGGGGAAAGAAGGGTTTGGGGGGAGGGGGGTGTGGGACAGAAGGAAAGCCCGAATGCAAGTACCGTGGTCTCGTACGCAGAATGGAGAACCTACCTAACCTAGGTAGGTCTGTACCTGGTGGGTAGGTACCTCCTAGGTTAGGTACCTCATACCCTCTGTGGAACGGAGGTCCTGAGGCACCTGGCGTATAAGAGGCACATACATCTAGGTAGGTACCTGCCTGCATAGGTACCTGGTGGGGTAGGCCGCATACATAAGGCAGGCAGGTAGGTATGGATCGATACATGTACGGACGAATGTACATGCCCAGGTGCCTAGCCTAACCTCACGGTCCCTCTGAAAATTGCAACTCAAAGTATTCCCCGAGTGGCAGGAGACGACAACCTACCACACACACACCACACACACACACACACACACACACACACACACACACACAATACACACACACAATACACATGTACCCGCCACACGGGCAGAAATATCCCAGGCAAGAAGTTAGGAGGGGTTCAGCAACTCTGAGACCGGGAAAAGGGGACGAAAACTTTTAAGAGAGGACGAAACGAAACGAAACAAGATGGCAAGAGGGGAGGGAGAGGCGCGAGCGAAGGCAACCCTAGAAGAATGAAATCAAATACAGAGGCCGGCCTTGGGAGAGAAGCGCTGAGGCCGGCGTTGTGCTCCCCTTCAGTCCCTGCATATGGACAACCCTCCCACCCCCGGCATCGGTGGCGTATGCTGAGAACAAGTCTGATAGGTATATTATCACTTCTCTTGTGAAAATACATATAGGGTGGTCTGCGCTCCGCCGCGGATTTATCATTTTTGGTTCCTCTCTGGCGGCATTATAGGTTGTGCGTGGCGACATGGGTGTCCCGGAGGGGGGTCCAACGTAGGCATAGGATGTATTATGAGGTAAGTCTAGAGAGAGAGTGTGTGTGTATGAGTATGGATTCGTGGATGGGGGTGGACGGGTGTGTGTGGTGAGAGGAGGCATCATGCCTACACAGTAAGTAAGGTCAGGTATGTGGCAGTATAGCGCATCGACCCATCGAACCAATCCAGCGATCCATCCCACACATGCCATCACCTACCTACATATACAGACCAAGTTGTGGATATATCGATTAAATACTCGGCCTAATACAGGAACGGCCTTGACTTACCTGGGCAGAACAAATGGCAGCATGGGCGCTCCCTGATAGCGCCCGTCCGTACCGGTACATGCTAGCATCCAGTGCCGCACCCCCGTAGATGTAGCCTTAGCCTTTAGACCCTTGCAGTTACCTTCAGCCATACCCTGCCATGTTCTTCTCATCTCTCTCCTCTGCATGCCCAAGTCGGCGCCTCAGTAAGTGCGGTAGTGGACGGCAGGGGACGACGGTAGGAGACGGTAAGGGACTGTAGGGTACGGTACATACCTAGACGGAATACATTAGGTACCTAGACGGAATACACACCTACCTAGACGGGGCGCAAGTTGCTGCTCACTGCTCATTCATCCATTCACTTGCACTCGCATTGGCACCTGCCTCTGTACTTACAACTCGCACGTATTATTAGCAGTGGGAGTATTATTATTACATGCCTTCGTTGAATGGCGTTTTCCTACACCCCCCCCTCTCTTTATCTCCTCTCTTGCTCCCTCTCAAAGTATTACCCTACTTACATACCTACCTACCTCCTAACCTACTTACGTGCTGCCACCTAATCTACCCTCTCGTCGCCTCGCCGTCTCTCTCGCCTGCTCCTCCCCCTTCTCCGTATACGATACCCGTCCGTGTATGTACTCTCGCCTCCATTATAGGCCTTCAATCCCTGTGCTTCCTGGTTAGGTGTGGTGGTGGTGTGTGGTGTGTGCGTGCGTGCGTGCGTATATGTATATGTATATGTATGTACGTGTGAGCGAGAGAGAGAGAGTGTGTGTGTGTCCCACTCGCCCCAATTTATCGTTGTCTATTGTGGGTTAAGAGACCCTGACATCCTGGACCGGCGCCGGAATCCCCTGCTACCTCTGGGCTTTCTGCCCTCTCCGCTGCTAGTTGACGTACCGGCTAGCCACTGAGGGGAGAGGGAGGATAATCTATGTAAATGCCATCCGTCCTGCTCTCTGCGAGACCTCTCCTCTCTGTTTGTCACTTCTCTCAACCTCCTCGGTGGCGGATCATTCCCACACATACATACACACGCACGCACACGCGCACATCTCGACAGCCGGCCACGACAGCCAACCTGGCGCAGCACTATAGGCTCTCTCGAAACATACCTCTCTCTGATATCCAGCCAGGAAGACGGAGCGGAAGCAGAGCCGTGTGCGTGTGAAGCGGAACAATACCCAGATATTAAAGCCCATATACGGGATCGGCACGGTACTGCGAATTCTCGCCTGGTCCAGCAGCAACGACAAGTACATAAACCTCGACTTCGAACTTATATGTACATCTGACCTCCCGGATATCTGGCCGCTGCTGATCCTTTACTCTTCGGTCTTGAAACGAGCCACCGAACTCCACATTCCCATATCATCAGGACCTAAAACGGCTGCTATCAAATTGGACACCACCTTTCCATATTTCAGCCCTGGTCCGATCTTATTCAGTATCCTACCCTACCGTACCTACCTCTGTGTAGCACCCTACAGTGTGGCCAACCCTGTCCTCGACCTTGGCCTAGGACGGGATATTGGGCTGTCGATCAATCTGTTCACCGTCGTCACTGGACTCGCTGCAGGCCAGGGGAACATCGAGTCCCACCTCGTCCCAATTGCTGGAGAGCGTTACTTAAGCTTCGGGCGATTAGGCTAGCCTGAAAAGTACCGGCTGGCCCCCGTCCTGTACCTTTCCTTCAAAGTATCGGGGGTTCCTGGTCGACATACTTCTCGAGTGTGTGCTGCCAAACACACTTAAGGCTCGCTGATCCCCCTCCCGCAGCTCGTGACGGATCTTCTTCACTGGATCTTGAGAGACAAGTCACCGCCTCGGTAAGGTGACACGAATCTGTCTCCCTTCGGGATCCCGCATCTGATCAGCGAACTATTCCAGACTTCCCTTGACTTCTTTATTCCCCAGAGGGAGATAGGAGATATAGCGAAGATAGGAGTTCCGGCCTGAGTCTCAGGAGAAAGCCTCCACTCTACCCGCCCCTTTGCTCGCTCTTTGTGTTATTATCTCGTCGAAGATGACGATGACTCTTGAGAATCAATCACGACTCGGGTCCCTCAACTTCGACCACATGTCTTCCTACTCGAACCCTCCGCACTTCACCAACCCCTGGGGCGCCGGCTCCTCGGGTCAGCACGGCAACCACGGGATGTACTCGCAAGGGCTCAACGCCAACCTGGGCGGTCTCGACTCTATGACCAAGCAGCACGCGGCCAGGGCGGCCGGAGGCAACGGCGCCTCGATGGCATCCTATGGGGGCATCCCGGCGACGGCATCTTCAGCAGGTAGCACTCTCATGGCGGACTTCTATGGACAGCAGGACTTACGCAATATGCCGCAAGATCTCTTAAGCTTGAACCGAATGCAGCCCACGGCGACGTCGTACGCAGAGCCCACGTATGCGACGGCGACGGCGGCCTCGCCGGTGAACGCGACGTACTCGGCGTCGCCAAACTCGTATGATAGTGTATCCGGGTACGCGCCGGCGCCTATGCGCTCCACGTTCGCCCTTGCACCAGACGCCGACAACCGAAGGTATTCCCAATCGTCAGTTTCCTCTATGCCGATCATCGATCCCAGCTCGGGCGGCGCCTCTCGCTCTCACCGGAACTCGTTAGTTGACATACATCATAGAGGACTTCAGAGCGACGATCGCAGGAGCTTCGCCGACGCCCTCGACGCTGGCCAGGGCATGCTAGCTATGAGCCAGGAGACCCCTCGCGCCATATATCCCCCTAACAGCCGTGGCAGAGGCTCTGCCGACTCGTACGGTTTCCCTTCGACACACTCGACGAGCTCGTCTATATCCTCGGCGAGCAACTATGGCGGCGCCTACTATGCGGGATCGGCCGACTCGTCGGTCAGCGACTACTCGACTGCGGGTTCTGACATCGAGTCCGTCACCTCTCGAACGTTACCCCGGCCGAATTTGATGACCCAACCTCCTCCGGCCCCCCAATCCATGATGGGCCAGTTCAGCTCAAAAGTATCATCGAGCACCCAGAAGAAGCATAAGTGCAAAGTCTGCGATAAGCGCTTCACTCGGCCGAGCTCGTTACAAACGCATATGTATAGCCACACGGGCGAGAAGCGTAAGTATAGAGAAGCGCTCACTTCGTTCCAGTAGTTCCATGCTTACCTTCTCTTTTCCCCTTAGCCTTCTGTTGCGAAGTCGAAGGATGTGGGCGACACTTCTCTGTCGTATCGAATCTCCGGCGGCACCGGAAAGTACACAAGAACGACAGCAAATCCGATGCCGGATCCGAGGATCACCATGATGATCATTCCGACTAGGACGTCTACGCTTCACGACAGCAATACGCGTTCCACTATGCACAAGGTTACGATTTAGAATTGTTGACGATTATCCTTGCTATGCGGATACCTCATGTTGAGCCACGTTCCAAATCGGTCTCATGGTATTAGAGGAGACAGTCAGTTGCCAGCATCCTTTCCGGACCGGATGCTACCAAAAACGGGTTGCAAGTTTTATGTCTCTGTACGAAGGGCATCATTATCGTTATTGAGATTTGTTTGCGCTTCTGGTTGGAGTGATATCCAAGAGTCGTTCGAAAGCGCGCGCGCCGGGTGCATGGATGAGCTTATAGAATCTGGAAGGCTCATTTGATTGCTTGTTTTCCCCTCCTTTTTTTTTTTCCTCTTCGCGTCTATCGCTCGTGGCCTCCGATCGGGGTTGGATAACAGCCGCACACACACACATCAACATATCTGGGGAGGGGGTTTTATTTGGACATGTTCCCCGAGGCGATACCCTCACAGACGGCGTTTTAAGGGATATCTGGGTAACCGGGCCAGGTGTGGAGAAATCGCATGCATTCGTTTATATCAAGAGGGGCGATAGCTATACAGCTTCGCGCGGTGAGACCTGGCGGTAGCAGGTTCAGGAGCGAGAAAAAAAATAATAAGAGCAAAAAGACCCAAGGTGGCCCGGAAGAGCGAGCGCGAAGAGAAGACAAACTGTATTATTATTAGCTACGCTTCGCATATACCCCTGGAAGGCAGAGCACGCATCCTCAGAGGGGACGCTTACTCTCGCTACTGCCTCTGTAATCTAATTGTCGATATACGATACTTGACCGAAATAACAATATTTATCCTTCATGGCCGCCTTGTGGCTCTCGGACACGTGGGTGTGTGGATGCGCATATATGTGTCTCGGTTCGAGTATGCTTAGGTGGGCGGGCGTCTGGTATAGGGTATGTTTCTGTTTCCTAGCCGGCATTCCGCTGGGATGGAATCGATCTTGTCCAATTAACCTACTTCTTCGCCCTCCCACCGAGATGAGATCAGATCTAGCGATTTAATCTCAGGAACGCCTTCCCGCCTGACCGGGCTTGCCTCCGATGATGGTCGCCGTCAGACAGATCGGCGCGGAACCCAAGCGCGATATCATCCGGTCCCCTTCCCCTGGAAGAGGCGGAGTCAGCTTCTAACTGAATGCTGTCAGATGAGACTCCCCATCGAGATATGCCGCACGACTAGCCCACACAGGTGCGCGCGCACATTTTCCCTCCCCCTACCCCCCCTTCTCTCTCTTACCCTGTGTGGATATATGTGGCCTTCTTCCCTTGCAGCAGCGGCAGTATTACGGTAAGGACAGATACCGACAGGTAAGGCATGTCTGAGGTGCCCGATGTACCACTGCCCGGTATGGAGGCGAGAGGCGTGAGGAAGAAAAAGAAGAAGCCCTGAGCGTGCGCACATGAATACATGGACAGATCCTTCCTACACCGACGCAACGTATATACCTATGCATGGCCCTACACACATGGACACACACACACACATGGATATTACATGCTTACCTACACGGGCACCTAGTGCGAGACAGGACGTTACGTGGTACGCAGCTAAGTCAGACAGATAGGGAAGCACGTCCTGCCCGTTGCGAGGGAGAGGCGCTCGGGATACCCGAACGGAACAATACACAGATGTACGTAGGAGGCAGGTGTGCATGAATGTAGGCACGGCGGAACCAACTCGAGACTTAGCCTGGTAGGCAGCATGCGAGTATAGGCGGAGGAAGAAGAAGCAGAAGAATAAGGGAGGAAGATGACGTGGAAGAGTAGGAAGAGCAAGAGGAGGGAGGTCCTGGCGTGGCAGCCAGCCTGCCTTACCTATGCTATATCTATGCAATCTGTCCTACCGTGTTCGCCGTCATGATTAGGCGTGATGTATGTGCAATCCCGATTCCTACGCCTCGGCATACGTCTGTCTCTATGCGTCGGTTACCCCATCTACCGGCTTTGTAGAGGAGGCGACAGGAGGAGGAGGAAGAAGAAGATAGGGGGCGAAGAGGAGGAGAGAGGGAGGGAGTGAGAAGGGGGGGGGGGGGGAGATTAGACGTACATACATATGTATAGACACACACGTAGGTATGTAGCATGCAGGCGTGCTGCGTACATACACACAGACAGACATAACGTTACTGCATAGGCCTCGTACCGCACCGCACCCAGACCCCGTCCACATTCACGTAGGCATTTACCGCGATACCTAGGCAGGCATGTAAGCGCGCATACTCGGGCAAGGCGAGGTCGGACAGAGATACATGGGAAGACAGGGAGAGGCAGAGAGAGAGAGAGAGAGAGAGAGGAAATACCCCTTTCCCGCTCACTCTATTGCCCTTCGCACCAGCTGCTCTCGTGCTCCCACCCCCCCTTCTCTTTCTCACGCGTGCGCATATCTGTGAGTTGGGTGCACACCTGCGTGAGCGAGCGAGTGAGTGAGTGAGTGTGTGTGTGCGTGTATATATATAAAGGGGTAGCATCGTGACATACCTATATATGTTCTATATTGGGCCGGCCGCACGGCTCGCCAATATGCGCTCGTCGACGGGGTGGTTGGTGCCTCAGCAACTTAGACGCCGGGCACGCACGCCACGCGTGTACGTAGGCAGGCAAAGGTCGCGTAACGGCAGAGAGACGCTCCCATTACATCAGGCGGCCGGCGTATACGACGGTATCTCTATAACCTCACATGCGATCTGCCATGTACCCCAACCGTCCCGTTGCGACGGTATAGCGTACGCTCCTAACCTCCCGCCTCGTCCACATCACCTGCGTACTTGCTTCCATTCCATCCAGCAGACGACCTGCGTAACCCAACACCCCCTATAGCCCCTAATACAAGACATCATTGTGATCCGAGGCATGTAGGTAGGTTAGGTAGGTACCTAAGATAGCACTCAACCCCCTTAAAGATAGGCCCTTACCGACCTACCTACCTAGATATAAGTGGTATAGGTACAGGCACCTGCCTAGGCAGGGAGGTAGGTACCTACTACACTTGCCTGCCGTAACCTCGCAAGGTGCCCGTCGGCAGAAACGTAGGATGAATGTATGTCAGCGTACCTCGGTGAGCCGGCTCCTTTTTCTCTCCGCCTTCCCGCCTTCCCCCCCCCCCCCCCCCCCTTTTTTTTTCTCCCTCTTCCCTTTAGAGGATTCGGCAGGCACGCACCGGCACTGATCAAACAGGCAACTTCCACGAAACACGAAACAACCGGCAGGTACCATAGGGAAACCGGGGCGATCCCGCTCTTTCGCGCTCTCTCTCTCTCTCTCTTTCCTCTCTTCCTTCCTTCCGTAGCACCATCGTATAAGCGCCATCGCCATCGCCACCATGTAAGTAAGCAGGTACCTAGCCTACCTACCCTTCACTACCTACCTACCTACTTACCTACCTACGTAATCTCACTACTACTACCACTAACTCGTGCCCTATGTCCTCCCTCCTCCGTCGCCCTCCCGCCCAATCCTCATCCCTCCGCGCCGCTTCGTCTCTATTTATACCGGCCATACGCACACGCCTACCAAACGTTGCACAACTGCATTGCCTATCTACCTACCTACCTCTACCTAACCTCGGTACCTAATCAGCTTGCCTGCCGCGTGTCTGCGCCCTGGGCGCATAGGCAGGTTAGGTAGGTACCTAATAATCTATGGCCGGCGGGCTCGCGGTAAGCTGGTTACGTATGTAACCTACCTACCTACCTACCTACCTACCTAAGACGCCTAGCCTAATGTGCTCGCTCCGCCTTCTCTCTCTTCTTAGCCTTGCACTACTATACCTACCTACCTTGCCTATAGGCAACCTACCTATAGACGTGCCATCGCCTTGGCCGATCCCCATCCCCATCCCATTCCATCCCATCCCATCCCATCCCGTGGCCGCCGATATTACACACATAACGCATGCCTACGTACACGCGCGCACGCGCACGCGCACATATTACCCTATCCTGCCCTTCTCCCCCCCCCTCCCCTGTCGTTCTTCGTCCGTCAGACGTAATCTACGTGCGTACGTGCCGGTTGTATCTACGTATATGTGTTATTTGCGATGCTACGTCCCTGAGGCTACCCAGCCTACCTAGCAATACCTACCTAAGGTAGTAGGCCAGCCCACCCCTGCCCCCCCCCATCCCGTCGCCATCCCTCCCCTCGCAAACATGAAACACGCTTAACGCTGCAACGCAACGCTAGCCTGCTCTTCCCCTGCCCGTGGCCGATGGTACCGTACCTAAGCTGGTCTATCTATCTTCCACCCTAATACCCACCTACCCCCGCCTGCCCGCCCAGCCGCCCGCCGCCGCTTAGCGCATCTGCTCGCCCCCGACGGATTGTGGGATTGATGACGATGGTCCCCTGCTCTATAGGTACCTAGTAGACACCACGTCCAGCAGATGAGATGAGAGAGAAAAGGTACCTCAGGTGCGGTAACGCAGGTATGTAGGTAAAGGTAGGCGGGGGGGGGGTTACGTATGTGCGCACGCGTATAAATCGAATATACCACCTAACGTAGTATACTGAGCTAACGTGGTATTTCAATAAATATCTACGCAGTACGTATACGTAGCGAGAAACCAAAAAAAAAAAAGGTTAAGACTACCTACCACTACCAACCCACACACCCCCCCCCCTTTTCCCCCACCCGCTCCCCCGGAATTTTATCCGAGGGACGTAGGGAAAAAAAAAAAAAAACCTCCCCCCCCAAAAACGGAATGCTTCCAAATAAATCGTACCCTGACGGGGCGCCATTGTACCTGTAAAACTCACGCCCGCCTACGAAGTCGGTAGTAGTAGCTACGCCTACGCCTACCGCCCGCTTCTGTAGGCACCTTCTACTGAGTTACCGTACTCATGAGCGCCCTAAACCCCCTACCAAACGTACCTGGGACCAGTACTAGAGGTAGGTAATGCCGACCCGATTAGCACACACCGGATTAGCACGTCTGTCTGATCCGTGTACATGTCATAATAAAAGATCCATCGCATCCACTAATTAATTGCAAGACGGAGCCGGGCCACACCAACGCCAACTAAACCCTACCTAACCTAACCTAACCTACGTGTACCTACGGACCAATGTTTCGGTCCCCCCTCCCTCTCTCCCTCCTCTTCTTCCCTCTCCCTCTCTTTCTCTCTCTCGCCCATTCCTATCACGTCGCATCGTGATAATTAAAAAAAAAAAAGGCCCGGCCGACCCAAATCCTCGAGCCCAGCCCCAACCATTAAGATAACCACCTCCGGCATGGCCATTCCCTCCCCAATCTTACACGGCCTCATCTCGGGCACCGGCCTACCGTTCCCACAGACGGCGAGACCGGGTTGTGGGGATGTGTGTGTGTGTGCGCCTGTGTGAGAGCGTGTGTGTTGTTGTGTGTGTGTGTGTTTTATTTGTTTGTTTCGCCTGTTTCCTGCTTCGCTTCACTTGATTAGGGAAGGAGGTCTCTCTTTCTGGTCTAGAGAGCATCCGCTGGCTCCCCTCCCCCACCCCGGTGACGCTTATCGTCGTGGTCCTACCCTACAGAGACAAAAAGAGGCGGAGAGGGAAGAAGAGGAGAAAAAAAAAAAGTTGGCACAGAAGGGCTGTGGCTCCCTTTCCCCAAGGCCGCTCGGCGAACCCTCGCCGCCCCAATCCGGAGAGCCAATGCTTACCTACCTATTCGGGGTGGCGCGGCGACCTCGAGGCACGACGACGTCAGCAGCCTCTCCGCCTGCGTGTCTCTTCCTGTTTTCCGCCGCCGCCGCCGCTGTTTTTAGCGGCCTATTCAGAGAGCCGCCCCGTAACGGGACGTCGTGTTGGGGTGCGGACAGGTGTTTGCTGATGTGGCCGGTTCCGAGGGCGCCGGGACGTCCAAGGAACCAATGGCTGTGCGAACTACTCGAATCCACCCTCCAGCGTGAACGTCGTTGCCTACTACTCTGCGTGGGGCGGGGAGACCCCGATGGCACCCTTCCACGTGAACCATGTTTAAATACGACATATACGACCGATGGCCGTTGGGAGGTGGCAGCATCCGCGCCTCGGGTATAGGAATTTCTCCCTCTTCCACGCGTCGGCTACGCACTGGGGACCGCGAGCACTACGACAGTGGTTTCTCACACGTATTACGCAAAGAGGTTATAATCTGCGCACGCGGCTGGCCCCAGGTCTGTCTGTTATCACGTTGCACAAGGATCCCACTAAATGGCAGGAGGGCAGAGGCAGTGCTGGACCAAGGCTACTGGACGGCCGATGGACACGCTCCTCACATGGCGGATGCGAGGAGAGGGGGTAACGTGTCGCTGACGACAGCTATTAGCACCTTAGACGCACCAATGGGGCAGACTTGCTTTTCCCGCTCCCTTCTCCCTCCGGTGCCGCTCTAGCCCCGGGAGCTACGGCGCTAGACGAGATGCGCTGGGGCAGTGAGGGAAAAAAAAAAAAAAGGAGAGGGGCAGGAGACACGAGCGAGCGAGCGAGCAGGGAGGGGAGGGGTGAGAGAAGGCCATATGGCACTTGCGATTGGCATATCTATGGGTTAGAATGCTTGCAAAGCAAGAAAGGCTGGCTCTGGGACTGCGAGGAACCGGTCCAATGGGCGGAAGTTATCACTAAGCGATGCATCTCGCCCCAGCGATGGCACGGCTGATGGTGGGTTCTTATGACGTCGGTCCAATACAAGGGTCGACTGAGAGCTCAACCGCGAGAGCCCGGTGGAGAGGGTCCGTGGAAACCGGATCAGCCGCGGACAGCTGGCCAGACCAAGGACTGAGAGGATTGGCCAAGCCGCCGTGGAATCGATAGCCAAGACGGCCCATCGTACAGACACATGTACATACATACAGGACGCCGTGATCTTCAGGGTCCTCCTTGTACGACAGTATACGCGGGGAGGCGGGTGTTGTCTGGGAGGGAAGAGAAGGGAGAAGAGGAAAAGGCTCATCCGCGGCCTGATTGGTAGCAAAGACTGGGCCGGTATCCTTTACGGGCTGGTGTGGTTTGGATTTCTCCAGATCGCCCCGACCGGCTTTGGAGATGTGATGACACCCTACCCTAGGCTTATCGATGGTGATGCAATATGGGATTCCCGAGATCCTTCATTTTGCCATCCCTTTTGCCACTGGGGGTCGATGCGAATTTCCGGTACTCATGTTACCGTTAATATACCTCACCGGGTATAGGGATATGAGATGACAACGGCAGTGGATAGCAATGGGAAACACTGCGGCCAGAACAGAACCCGAAGAGCACCACCAGGCAAGGAAGAAGGGAGGGTAGGGGTACCATCATCTCACTTGAGACTCGACTCGACAGGGTGGATTAGATGAGCACGGTAGGTCCTAAAACAGCGAGGCGGGCCCCCTCTGAGATATGTTTGAAACGGCCACGGATGCTGGACGAGCCCGGTAGCTGGTTAGCCGGAAAGCGCGTCGAAATAAGACTGGGTTTTCGGGCAGATTCATGCCCAACACGCTAGCCGAGGGAGCCCGTGATGGGACGAGAAAAGAAGGAAAAGGGACCTGGCTGGGCAGGGCGCTACTGTCGGTCCACGACAGAGTAGAGGGAGAGGGGGAATAGGGGGAGCGAGAGAGAGAGCGCGTGCTGGCGTAGAGCTACCTAGGCATGTGGCGGCTTGCCACGGGAAGCGGTCGATACCTCTGTGCCTAGCACATGTTCGTATCTCGCTGGTGTAGGGCGATGATGACCTCTCTCCGCCCTCCCTCCCCACGGCTGGCCTGTGATCCCGCACTGGCCGCCACCACCTTTCCCCGTGGAGCGCTGGTTTCGAGACCTTCCACTACCGGGGCGCGACTGTACTGGGCCGTCCCATGTCGGCGCCCACACGCACGCAGACGCACGCACACGACGCACACCCACGGAAGACACACCCACGGACGGAGTAGACTGGACCCGGAGAGGACGTATGCGTGGAGTAGATGTAATAGGTAGGTGGGTTGGTAGCGGGCGGTAGATGATGTCTTGGGCGTGTGATGTAGGTGGCATGCAGTCGTACTCACGACGAACCGACAGCAGCCTCTTTCCGACAAGCGTCTGTAGGCAGGCAGGCAGGCCGACCCTCGGCAAGTCGGTTCTCCAGGCGTCTGCGAGGGAAGAAGCAGGAGGAATATTGCAGATTGGATGCCGTGGGAGGTGGAGGGGCACGAGGAGGGAGAGAAGGGAATTGCGAGTTTTGGCGCGATTTTGAGGGCGGTCGTTGGGAATTGGCTTCGGGGGCGGTCAAGCGAGCTGGACGGATGACATCATGGTGCCAGCGGGCTCTCTTAGCTAGATTCGGCGCCGGGTCTGCGATTCGCCTGCGCCCCCCGGCAGCGGTCCACCGAGAGGCATGTTGCAGGGGGGAAGCCTACTTCAATATTAGCAGGGGGGAGGAGCTAAGATGACTCGGCACACGCCCCCCTCCCCTTCTCGCCTCTCTCTCCACCCCACTCCACCCCTCCCTCCCTCTTTCTGGGTAGGTACATACCCAACCTGCCTTAGGTACGCACCACCAGCAGGTATGTACAGATACATCTAGTGCAAGCCACCCGCACACCTAGCAAAGTACCTACTTCCTACGTGGGCGCTATAGTACCTCGCCCAAGGTACCTGACGGTTACGTCTGTTGCACGCGGGGACTAACTAGTCTCGTCGTCTCCACAGCGGAATGTGCAACTGCACGGTACCGATGCGGCAGGTTTCGGACAGGCAGAGGGCGTGGCGACTACCCTTTCCAGCCGGGCATCGTCCTAAACGGCGGCCTCTGCAGGTGCGTCGGCGCTGCTGCGAAGGGGGTGGGAGAGGAGAGAGAGAGCGAGAGAGAGAGAGAGAGGAGGGTTGCATCAGCCAGCCGCCCAGGCCGCTTCGTGCTCCCGAGCTATGTACATTCGTATTTCGTGTCTCTCTCTCTCTCTCTCTCTTCTGGAGAGGTAGCATCAGGCCGTGCTAACACCTCCTCTCGACCAAGAGAGGATTATACCGCCATACCTACTTGAACCATACCTGCATGCATGTTGAGCATATATCCATACACATATATACATTATATAATATATACATATATGTGATTATTATATACATACTACCTTAGGTATAGATAGGTATACCCCGTATATATATGCCTAGGAATTTATATACCTACCTACCTACACGTAGACACACCTATATATGTCAGCGTATATATGTTAAATATATCTACGCACATGTAGGTTCATACCTTCGTACCAATCCCTCTCCTCCCCTCCCTCTGTGCATCGTCCCGTCGACGCCTGAGACCAATACTCGACACTCACGATGCCACCCCGTACGGCCGGCCGGCGCGGACCTATATCAAAAATGGTCGGCCATGTGCGCTGCCTCTCATAATGGGCATTGGCCAAAATGCCATGTTCGGGTTTCATGAGAAAGGCATCGCTGCCTGCGGGGAGGGAGAGAGGGAGGGAGACCCTTCTCGTCGACAGGCTCGCCTATCCAGGGGGGCCCCCTCTCCTACCCTCCCCTCTCCTCTTTTCTCTCTGTCTCTCTCTCGTTGTCTTGCTCTCACTTCAACTCCCCCTCTACACCCCTCTTCTCTCGTCCCTACCTACACGCCACAACTCGCTCTCTCTCTCTCGCCGCGCGTGCATCCCAAACGACGGAAATGTATTCCCTCTTTTTTTTTTTGTCTTTTTTTTCCGTCTTCGTTGGTTGTGTGTGTGTGTATATGTGTGTGCGTTGCACGATACCGATCACATGTATCCGTGCATCCATATCCGCATGTAGCAGGCGAGTATTCCAAATCTACGCCCCCATCTATAATCCATCTGTATTATACACATACATCTCTATCGATATAGGTACGTTGCATAGACGTCCAGCCTCCTGCCGACACTGGGCAGGTACCCGAGAATAAATCTGATAGCTTCGACGCGCCTGTCCATGTAGGTACCTCCCTACAGGTGCGTGGCTGCGCCTCGGATATCTACACGTATGTAGGTAGGCAAGAAGGGACCGAATAGGTCCCTGTGCCTAACGCAGCAGGTAGGTAGGTACCTACAGATACGGCAGCAGGCGCCCCGGCAACTGTTGTCCTGTGTCTCGGAGAATACCTGACGTAAGGAAGGTTGCCATATGGCTCGGTATACGCATACGTGCGTACATGCATACGGTTCTCTCTCTTTGAGGTTGCCTCCGTGCAGGGCACATACATGGTGTCGGAGCAGGTACCTAACCTACTTTGATGTTGCATGTATGTGTGTTGTGTGTATGTGTAGTGTACCTAGGTATGTGTAGTGTACCTAGGTATGTGTAGTGTACCTAGGTATGTGTGCGCGCGTAACGGTCATGTTACCTGACATCCTTATATGTACGCAATTCTACGTTTTGTTTACCTGGTAAATATAGGAGGTACTCATACTACAGGTACTCGGGTACGCGATACCCTCCGTCACGTCCGCAAGTCAATTACAAATTCTGCCCGGTCCCCCCCCGCGTCTCCGGTATGGCGGTAACGGCGCCCGCTATTTGCATAGCGAGAGAAGCTCTTATAGGTAAAGATGGCAGGCAACCTTGCCCAAGTATGTCTCTGCCAGCGACAAACCACATCGTCGTCGGCCTCATAACATCGACGCTTACAACCACCTGCCGTCTCTCCGCCGCAGCCGGCTCCGCGTAGACCTGCATAGTACCTATCACACGTACGTATATTATAGGTATGCCCTGCCCTATGTACTCTACGTCGCCTACTCTATGCGCGCATATGGTAGTAGGAGCCGGAAGGGGACATTCTGCCTCCTGTCGTCTGCTTTCTTTTCTTTTTTGTTGTTGTTGACGTAGGTATTTACTTATTTCGCACAGACATACGCCCACGGCCTCACTCTGTTCTTGGCCCGGCCCAGTCCGAGCCGGAGCGCAGTCCTGGTCTGTCTTGTCCGTCGACGCCTACTGGCTCTCCCCTCCCTTTTCTTTCTTTCTTCTTCTTGTTCTTCGTCGTCAGTACCGCAGCAGCAGCGCTACGTACGCACGTACACACGCCCGCACGCACGCATCGTCTGTATCTCACCGCCTCTTGGTCGAACGCATGCCTATGCATACCTACGCACACACACGCACGCGCAGGACACGAAGCGTACATGCGCAGGGTGGGTTGCGTAGGGTCGGCGGGACAGAAAAAGTAGGGTTAGACAGGTAGGAGTAGGTAGGGACAGAGGGGGAGGTTGGTGTATGTGTGTATGATGTATCCGTCTGTGTATGGGTGGATGGATGGACGGATGTGGATGGGGAGAGAGGCGGATATCTAGATGGGCAGGCAGGTCGGTAAGGCGAGTCTCACTTCGCATACATAGATATAGCCTCCATCTATCTGCTGGTGCTGCTGCTTCTACTTCCAATGTCTCTGCTGCCGGCACTGTCACCCTGGATGCGCGAGCGGACGGGGGGAAGGGTACGGGGTTGTCCGCCGCCCTCTATCCTCCTCCTCCTCCCCCCCTTTTTTTTTTCTCAAGGAAAACCCGGGGTTCCTTGTCCGTGTGAGCTGACCTGGCTTCATGCACGGGTTGCCGATCCCTACCGGCCTGTGGCTCTGGCTGGTCAGAATCGCATACATATACAGAGGAACACACACACACAGAGAGAGATATACACATGTATAACCATACCACGCACTCCGCATACATACCGACATACATACATACCTACATACATATTACCTACGCGCATACGCATACATACACATACAGACAGATAGAAATCAAGAGATGTATCTCAAAAAGGCGATACACACACCATACCTGCATGGCCTGCCCTCTATCGGCTGTCCCCGACTCGTGATGTGATGTGATGTTATGCTGTCTACGCTACACAGCGAACGCACGTGAAGAGGGCATCTCCGTCCCTACTGGACCCCGTGGCTAGGAACGGACGGAACGGACGTACAGTTGTCCCCCTCTGTCTCTGGCCCGGTTGTCCTGTCTGTCTCATTTCGTGGCTTGCATACGTACGTACGTACGCGTGCAGATATCTTGTCAGCGACCGCAATCCGTCGAAGGGCCTCGAATACTGTGTTCGCTCACTCGCCTCCTCTCCTCTCCTCTCCTCTCCTCCTCCCCACCTGCTCGCCGATGTTCTCCTCAAAAACAAGCTAGCGACGGCAGCCATGTATGTAGGCCGGTTCGCCTCTGACCCCCCCTTCTACGCAGCCGTGGTGGCGGCAAGTCAAAGTACGGTTACCTCATCCAGCGGCAATGCCAGAGAGGCACACACCCTTATTTTCACCTCTCGGAGCAGAGCCAATCCCGACTTCGCTTACTAGCCGCGTCTCGCCTAAGCAAAGGAAGAAAGCGACGGTCGAGGGAAAGGGAAAGAAAGGACGACTGCCACACAGTCGCGAATGCGCCTCTAAAAAAAAAGGGGGGGGGAGAGATCAGATCGCAAAGCAGAATGCGACGACACCGGAAAAGGGCAGGTAGGCAGGTCAATATAGACACATAGATCGAGGGAGTATCGGGCTCGTAAGATGGCCTCGGTGGATAGAAACAGCTAGTAACTCGTTAAGAGATCGAGACAAGCCGCCCGACTTACCTGCTCATCCTCCCGCTCGGGGGGAACGTGCTTGGATCCGCTGCAGATAGATACGTTCGTAGAAAGATGAACATCTGGTACCCATACAGACACGTGTCGACCCGTAGCCAGCCTCTCAACTGCCTTTCTTCGTCTACCCGCCGTCCCAGCCTGCTGGATTCGGGACTCGGGAGTTGAAGGGGGAAAAAAGGGGGGCGGGGGAACACTGCCGTAGGCCAATACACATGTCAATACACATGTCAATAACCCGTAACCATTCCACCGAGGCCGTGGTGTTTACTTCGGGGGGAAACCAGTAGTCTTTTCCTTGCGAAGCATATGACAGACAAGACACTTGGTATTGATATTTGGGCGCTACCGCCGTCCGTGATCAGCGGAGGCTGGGGGGGGGGTGTGGCACCGTACCACCACCTCATCCCCACGCCGCCGTTAACTACCGTATTTCGTCGCGTGGACGGGGGAGAGGGTTTTTCGTTCCCAATCTACATACATGTGGACATGCGCAGTAGCACGCAAGAGAGGGACAGAGAGGAGGCGAGAGAGAGAGGGGGGGGACGAGAGAGCGCCGTGAGAACCTGGCGGGGAGGGGGCAGGGAAGACCGGGGAGAAAGGAAATATCGACCGGAGGGAAATGAGCGAAGGGGCAAGAGGCGCCGGAGCAGACACAGGATCGACTGACTGCTCTCTCTTTGATTTCCCGGATAGATCGAGCCGCTTGCTCCATGCATCTGTCTGTCCAACCGGCCCTACTGATCTTGTAAACAAGCCTCTCTACATACGATATCTAGACTTCCTGGTAGGCAATCCAGGGACTTGGCGAGAAAAGGAGGAGGAGGAGGAGGAGGAGGAAGAGTCGGCGACCTCGCTCGCAGCCCTCGTACGTTCCGGCCTAACAACGACATGTCTGTTTCACCTATGAGTGACGGCATCTCCATAACCCTCCCCCCCCCCCTCTCTCTCTCGCCATCTTCACCACCCACCCCTGCCCACCCATTTCACCCATCTCCTCCCACCTTTTCTTAATTAGAGTCACATCCGGAGCTTATATCTATATATCTCATACACGTAAGCTACATACGACCAACCAAGTCTCCCTCCACTTCGAAGGAGGAGGGGAGAGGGGTGGGTGGCAGAGACGCGGAGAGCGAGCAGGAGAGACTGCCACAAAAAAGAGAATAAGCAGGGGAAGGGGGAGAGGGGGGGAGGGGAGAGAAAGGCCACTGTCGTGTCGCGCTATGTTGTATCACACGTGCCCCTATTACGCTAACCCGCCTGCCTACTGGCCAGCATGGCAACAGCACCCTAATGGGGAGAAGACAGGAGGAAGAGAAGGGGGAACGGGAGTGGAAGAATCCTCGAGCAAGCAACTCGGCGTATACAGGAGAAGCACGAGTAGATGACAGCAAAGAGCTATAGAACCGCACGCCTCGATAGGGGGTAATCAATGTGTCCGTCTGTACGAGTGTAGCTACCTCTATCTACGCTCTGCTACGCGCCGGATATACAACCGCCACCGCCGTCCGTCCCTCTCTCCTCCTGTCCTGTTTTGCCCCTTACCTCCCTGCTGCCCTCTCCCTGCTGCCCTCTCCCTCTCACCTCCCTAGACAACAACGCCCACATACCTACCTGCCTGCCTGCCTGCCTATCTGCCGCCGGCCCAATCTGCTCGTTTACCCACGCACCCACTCGCCCGCACTCGTCCAGCCCGGTCCTCCTGGCTCGGCCACCCGGTCCATCCCCCAGATCCCCGTAACATCATATATCATACCATGCCATGCCATGCCGCGCCACGCCAACCTGCCTATTCGAATCCGGCCTCCGCCTTCCCCGTCGCCTCCTCCCCTTCGGTCGCCCCCCTCTCAAGGAGGAGGAGGGAGGGGGGGGGCTTGGGCTCCCCGGCGTTCCGCGACACACACACACACACACACATGCACGCGCGGAGACAGAGAGGAGGGGGGGGAGGAACCAGCAGACGCGGGAGCGAAACCGGCCAGACGCAGCGAGAGAGAGAGAGAGCGCAGGCGGGAGTGGACTGAGGGCCGCACGCCGCGAGGGGCGTGCCAACCAGCCAGCCAGCCAGCCAGCCAGCCAGGCCAGCGCAAACCAGCCAGCATCGCTCGCTCGCGGGCGCCAGTCGCCTTCTCCCCTTCCCCTTCCCCTCCCCTCCCAGCCCTAGGGCCAGAACCCCGACGAATCCCGCGCCGCACCTCTGCTGCACCTGTAGCCACGTCCCCCCCCCTTTCCCCCCCTCTCTACCCTATGGGGAACACGCTGCCGCGGCACGCGGGCAGCACGCGCGCGCGCGCGCAAGAGCCAAACCCGGCTCGCGGCAAGTGCGTGCGTGCGTGCGTGCGTGCGTACATGTTCTCGCCGGGGGCCCAGGCTCCCTGCGTCGGGGAGATGTTGGCCCTCGCCCCCCCCCCCGGCGGCGGCGGCAGCATCTGCTAACCACTAGGTACACCACCAGTAGTCCCTCCTCTCGCACCTGACCAGCGCCGGCAACGTGACACCGCGCCGGCAGCAGAAGCAGCAGCGCCAGGGGGGGAGCGAGCAAGAGGCGCCAGGGGAAAAAGCGTAGTAGAAGAGTTGGCCCCCCCCCCCGGGCGCAGGCAGGCTCGCCCGCGGTTGGGGCACCGGCCCAGGCACGGCTGTCCCGTCATTCGCCCGTCTGGCCGTCCGTCCGTCCACCGCTAGTCCAGCGCGCAACGGGCGCGCAGGTCTGTCTGTCTGTCTGCTCGCTGCCTCCCTCTCTCCCTCTTCCCGCTCAGCTCCCGCCTTTCCGGTTCGTCCTTACCACCCTGCCTCGGGTCTACGAGTAGGTCGAGTCGAGTCGAGTCCAGCCGAGTCGAGCCCGGTCCCCTTTAACCATCGTGCCAGTCGAGACTGACGACTACGCCTACTTCACTTGAGTTGACTTCCGTGGGCTTGTCAAACGGAAACACACACACCACACACAGAAGCGTATCGCGAACAGTAAGTTAGGGATAGAAAAGCTTTATTCTCCTTTTCGTCTTCATACTACAAGTAAAAAGAGGTAAGATAAAAAAAAACTGCTTTTGTATCCCTATTCTTCCCCTCTTTTCTCTCTCTCTGCCCCCTCTCTCTACTGTACACCAATCACTACCAGACTCCCGAGCTTGATATTCTTAACCGTGACAGAATGGCGCCCCCCCTCTCTCCCTCCCCCACACTGCTCCCTCCCCTTAACCCCCCCTCCATACCGTTAGGGGGAGGAGGAGGAGGAAAGATGAATGATGAGATAGAATAGTAGATTAATAAATAAAAAGTCCTGCCGTATCCTCTGTTGTGTCCCTCTCTATAGCACGATCGCCAGCTCTGGCCTGTCGATGCCTTCCTCGTTGAGGTTCGGGTAGTACGGGACCATGGCGTCGGCTCCTTGCACGTAGGCGTCGTTGTAGAGCCGCCAGTAGGGCTGGCGCACCTTGCGAGCCGGGTGGAACAGGCCGGCCCAGACGTAGTTCATCACGAGGCCCGGCCCGACCGCCATCCGGATGGCCTCGACGGCTTCGACGATGCGGTCGATGACGTGCGGGCTCGTCTCGAACAGGTTCGGCCACAGCAGGTTGAGCAGGTGCACCATCGCGTCCTCGCACCCGAGGCCGACGACGCCCAGCGCGATGTGCTTCACCACCGAGGCCGCCGTCTGCCGGTGCACCTGGTCGCGGTCGATCAGCGCGTCTTCCAGGAGCGGCGTCACCGCGTAGACGTAGTCCTTGGCCATCTCCCCGATGTACTCGAAGAGGAAGGAGAGGGACTTGAGCACGCCGTTCTGCACGTTGAGTTCCGGCACCCGGTACTCGTTCATCAGGGCGGGGAGGACGGTGAACGGCGCGCACGTCTCGGCGACGATGCCGATGGCGACGGCTGTGCAGACCCGCGACTGCCGTTCTTGAACTCGGAGATTGTTCAGCAAGGTAGCTAGCACGTCCTGCGGCCCGATAGCCTTGGCGATGAAACCGAACGTGTTGTTGGCTGCTCTTCGGATGCCCTTCTTGTGCGCTTTCAGCATGTCTAGTAGTTCGAAGCAGATGCGCATCCACTCTCTCGCGTTGACGCTCTCCGGCCCGCGGTCGGCGATGCGACCAACGAGGTCGATCGTGTTTTCTTGGACCTTCTCGTGCCGGTTTCGTAGGATGGGGGTAAGACGTGGCAGTAGATCCTTGATAGGCGGTTGCATTTGGCTGATACCGACGACGGTGACGATGCTACGCAGCGCCGAGAGGATGGAACCCAGCACTTCGGGGTACTCTTCTCCGAGGTATTCGTAGAGAACGACGCCTAGCTTGCCCATAAGCGCGTCCTCGCCACATTGCTTCATCACTATCGCGATCCGGCTGATGAGATCTGCGGCTTGCTGGCGGATCGTCGCAGATTTGTTGTTGAGACGCCATAGGATGGTCGACACTATCTGGGGCAGATACGGTTTGCAGCGTGTGCCGAGGGCGTTCACAACCGTTCCGAAGCCGTTTAGCATAATAATGTCCTCGACGCTTTGCTCCTGGAAGGAATGGAGGATGCCGTCGATCAGCCGCTCTTCTAATCTCTCGCCAATGTCGGCAGCTCCCAGGCTCGCGACCACCTTCTCGACAGTCTCGACGGTCATCTTACGATACGCCTCGCTCTCATCTTTGAGGTTACCAACGATCCGCTCTAGGATCTCGCTGGCGCCGACCTTCTGACCGATGTCGACGGTTGTCTCGACCTGCGATTATGAATTAGCACCTCACGAACAAGTCACATTGACTACTAGTTGGGGAGCGGGGGTGACTACGCACCACTTGTCGATAGTTTCGCTTATCCAAAGCCATCCGTCGAACCCAGAAGCTCTTGAAAAACTCGTCCAGGACGTGCTCTTTGAGGTACCCGGCCGTCACACCTTCGGTGCCCGCACACTGTGATACGACTTTCAGCACGACCTTCTTCATCTCTTCGTCCGGCGACGAAAACTCGCGGAGCAAAATATCCATCACTTGGGAGGTGTAGTAGTTCGCGTACTCCTCGTCCATGAGCGGAATTATATAACCGACAGCTTTCAGGAAGCCGGCGAGGCCCTTGCCCCTCTGCTTCCGGGCACCAGTCCACAGCGGGTTAAGTATGTCGTCGAAGCTCTCGATACCATAGGGGTTAGATGCCTCGGCGAGAGCAGCGATAGCCAAACTAGTCACAGTCCGTACTTTGGTTTGCTCGTCGTTGAGATTAGGACCGATGCAGTCCACGAGCCCCTTCAGATGGGGGAGGACGGCGCATCCCATGAGGATGGGAATCTGCTGTACGATCTTCACGCCGGTATGACGGGCTTGCCATGACTTCTTGCTTCGGCATACGGCGCGTAGGAAGGGTAAGAGGGCCGGGATCCCTAGTGCCGAGGCCACGACGGCGAAGGCTCTTGCCGTAGTATTGCGTACGTACTCGTCAACGTGGTCGATATCCGGCCTCATCGTGCTGATCATGGTAGCGAGTCCAGCCGCTTTGCTGAGGTTGGATATGATCTCTCGGCCTTCGACCCTGGCATAGTAATCTTGATCGATGAGAAGCGGCTCGATGACGACGAGGATCTTATGGACGTATGGGCGAACCAGGTCGTCGAGCTTCCACAAAATGCGATCGATTACCTTGACAAGCAAGTGGCGTTCCTGGTCTTCTAACGTCTTCTCCATCAGGAGGGGAAGAATCTGGTTGAAGAGGGGGCCGGCGCCGAACTGTCTTGCATTGTCGGTGAGTTGCCTAAGAGCAGTCTTTCGCATCGGAGGAGTACCGTTTTTGATCTTGAGGAGAAGCCTCATAATCTTGCGCTCTTTCAGCTCGTCCACGCTCAAACTGTTCTCGTCAGAACCGTCCGCTAGCTTGCCGAAGTAGGCCATATCCTCTTGCTTAAAAAACTGCAGCTCCCCAACACCGGGGATTTCTTTCGGCATCTGGCTGCCGCCGAGCCTCGTGCTGTCAGGGTCCTGCATCATGAACCCGCTGTAGCTCGGCGGTAGCGGCGTAGCAGTGGCTCGGTGGAGGGGGGCCCGGCTGGTGTATCCGGGGGGCGGGTCGAGAATCTTGTAGCCTTGTTCTTCGCCGGGAAGCAGCGCGTTCAGCTCTTCATCGCCGAGGCCGCCGGGGGTGGGCGTGTCGGGGGCGTAGGCGGGAGTAGCGCCGGCTCCGATTGAGGACGGGTGCATCGGCGTGACTAGACCGCTGTTACCGATCGGGGTCGCGGACGGTGCCTGGTCCCACCTGGATCGCTTCTTGGCTCCATCGGCAGAACCGGGAGCAGGCAGCGACGGCGCCTGGTCCCATCTGGATCGCTTGGGCTTCCCCTCGGCGGGTTCTGCTTGGGGTTCCTCCACGGCTGTCGAGGCCACATCCCACCGCTTCTTCCGCTTCCGGCCGGCCGCTGCCGTCTCGGTAGATCCGGCGTCCGCGTTCTCTTTATCCCTGTCTTTGAGTGTTGCCGGGTGGTCGCCGTCGGTGTCTTTACCTTCTCGCCTCGCCTGGATGGCGCGTTTGACGCGCTCTTCCTCGCGTTCTAGCTCCCGACGCTCCATGATATCTCGGTATGTATCCCCTTCCTCGGCGGCACCGGCTTGGCGATTAGCTGCGAAGGCATCGGCTCTCGTCGGGGTAAGGACGCGATCGAAGCGACGTTTCTGGTAGTCAGTTTCGCGGTCGATGATCCTCGTGCTGTTCTCGCCGCGGCCAGCAAACGGGTCGTCCTCCTCGACGCCGTGGCCGTGTGCGAACTCGTCGATCTGCGCGCGTGTCGCCGTGTATTGACCGACTAGACGACGCGAGCTGTCGACATCCTCCATCTCTTCATCGTCCGCTTCGCCGGCGGGTAACGACGTGAGATATCCCGCATACTTGTCTTCCCCATCGCGGCCGTACAGCTCGGTATCGAAGGACTCGGTCAGCTTCGCCTTGGTCGAGCTCTCCGATCGCTGGTTCTTAGCATCTCGACCGCGAGATCCATTCTTGGCGGCCGCAGCGGCATTCCGCTCGGCCTGAAGCCTTCTAACAGTGTCGAAGTCAGCGTCTGACATGGTGAATCATCGAGCCGGACGCTGTCTTGACCTTTTCTGAGATGGCAGCGGTAAAGAGGAAGAAGAGAAAGAGAAGGAGAGAAGAGGTGTCTGATGAAAACGAGATTTGATGCGCCGCGGAGGTTCTATTGAGGTTTAGTGAGCAAAGCGATTGCAACAGTAGTGACCTCCGGGGCAGATCCACCACTAACGTGCTTACCTAAGATCCTTATCCCTTAGGTAATGGAGACGCCTTATGGGTCAACCCGTGACTTGCTTGTGGCTGCTGCGGTGACCGGCTGTGGCTGTTGTGCGCCGTGCCAAGTCGAGCCAGCTCCACAACTCCACAACTTTACCTGACGCATTACTCATCTGTCGGGGCACGTGACCAGATGACTTGACCACCCTACACGCACTACGTAGACCTCAATTTTCGCCAAGGTCTCAGACAATGAAGTCTAGCAGAAACAAAAACACGTAAACAAAAGTCACCAGGAGACCGAGGGCCACGAGTGATTCTTAGAGGTCATGTCTATTGGAGAGTTACCGAGTAACTATCGCCAGATCGGTAAAAGCGGCTGCTTCGGCCACCCCTCTCTCTACCTGATACCAAATTCCACGATCAACTCGTCTCGGAAAGGGTACCTGCACTCCCCTCTTCATCAAAATCCCCCACACTGGATCTCTTGACTCGTTCCAGAGCACAACTTCCTAGCTATCCTTCTTGGCTGTCCCGGCAGGGCCAACCCCTTAAGCAGCCGGGGGACGAGGCTGCTGGGCAATGCTGAAATGTACACGCGATGGCAGGTAGGGGGCGAGGCCCTAGGGGTGTAGGGCCCGGTGAAAAAAAACTAGACATGTAGACATTAAGTTGGTTTGCGCCGTCATAATTCGTGACAACGCCGTAGATAATAAAAATCTCTCGGCGGAAACCCCACCACCGCCCTCCTCTCCTCCCCTAACTTCTAGCAACGACAGCTTCTGCTGTCGGTTGGGTATCTTGCGGTGTAATCTCAATCTCCCGACTCTGTGGAGGTCAGGTCTATTCATCTTCTTTCTGAGAGTGGTATCGTTGGATTTGCGAGGGACGCAACTGGAGACGGATGGCGTAAGGATGCCCCCCTTAAACTCGATTCGATCGCCGTCGACACCCTCTCAGACCGTAGGTGCCCCGGATCTACTACTCTGGTTCAACGAGTTAAATAGCTCCTGCGGGGGTATCCGCTGCATGCTGCTACCGGTATCAAACATGGAGGTAGGGGCAGGGATGTAGCCATCGCGCTTCTTGCGGTATCGGTCTAATGCAAGGCCCGCGACTACAAGGAGTAGCATGAGACCTAACGAGATAGCCAGCGAAATAAGAACGACAAATCCGATCGGCATGCCACCTCCTACAAATATGGTTAGTAACCCGGAACGTGTGGGTTAAGAGGGAGAGGGGGAGGGGGGGAGCTTACCTGAGGAGGTGAAAAAGTTCTGCCTCTGTACAAAAATACGGGAGATTGACCCAGTCGAGCTGCCGCTGCTTGAAGTGAGTGCGTAAGGCCGAAGGGTTGTGCCGTTAAAAATCGCACTCGACGCCGTGCCGAATCCGGGGATGTCGATGGACCCCGTTAGCATGAGGACCTGGCTGGCGTCCAAGGTCGAGGACGATTCGTGAGATTCGGTCACCGTGAAAATTTGGAGGCTGTTAATAACCGTGCGCTGGCCTAGCGAGACGTCGGCTGATACCCAGTCTGAGCCATCGTATTTGACCAAGTACGTGGTGCCGTCGGACTGAGTACCGGCGACCCAAACTTGGCTTGCATCGCTGTTCGCGGCGGTCAGGGCATCCACGGGGCCTGGGAGATCCGAGGCACCGGGGTAGGGGCTCCATGTAGAACTCGAGGCGTCGTAGGACACTAAGTGAGCAGTCGTGTCGTTCACCGTCAAGTTGCCGCCGGCAAGCAGAACCGAGTCGCTCGACCACATCATAACGTAAACATCGCCGTCCAGCTCGAACCCTGGCCGAATCCACTGATTGCTGCCGGTACTGAAGAGACAAACGCTCGGGCAGGGAAGGGAACCGGCCCTGTCGAAAGATCCGCCCACAAAGACATCCCCACTGTTCGGCCGAACGTTTACGGAGGAAACGATGACGTTGTCGCCTGCCAAGGCAGGAGGTTGAGCATTGAACGACCTTGAGGCGAGATTGTACGAAATAAGGCCGTTCACGGTGGAGCCTTGAGCAGTGCCCCTGACCCTCCCGCCGGCATATAAGTTGTCGCCCTGGATTGCGAGTGCTAGGAACACGGAAGTCTCGGATACTTCGGCACTTAGACCCGTCACGGAGTCGGAGTCCGCGCCATCGATGAAGGCGAGATTGTAGATGGTCGAGCCGTTAGATGCGTCCGCGGTGAAGTGACCACCAAGGATGGTAATATTTCTTCCGTCGTTCTCGTAGAAGGCCCCAGCCACCACACCAGCGATCGTAGTAGCATTGTCTGCCAACGCGGCAAGCTTAGAAACGCCAGTTGCGACGCTGGTGGAGCTACTAGCGGGAGGGTGGATGCTAACGGGGAAGCTGCCGGGTGCGTTTGACAAGGTTACGGTGCCATATGCTCTGAGGAGCTGCGAAGATATCGAACCGGCGTATAAGGTTTCGTTGCTCGACACTTCGGAGTACGTTGAAAGCATCCCGCCCAGAAAAGGCACCGGTATATTCAAATTCTGCAGCCAGTTGCTTCGGGATGTTACCCAGACGGCGAATCCTTGAGTATCGGCGGCCTCGTTGCTGCCGAATGCTAGCAACTGAGTGAAGTCACCAGTCACGGTAATGACATCCTCTACCGTGTTATCGCTAAGGTTCAATGTCGTCGGCACGATGCCGTTCACAATCCCGTTTACGCCTGCCCCGAGAGGCTCCCAGCTGTTAGAACCGCTATCGTAAAAAGCGACATTGCTCAGTCCTGGAGTGGAGCCCTCTTGTGTGTTGTTGAATACACCGCCGACGAATAATCGGTTCCCGCTCAGGTGCATGGTCAGGACCTCGCCGTTGAGACCGCCATCAAGAGCCACGGTATTTCCGCTACTGTCGATGGCGACAATGTTGCGAACGCTGTCGGAGGTGAAATTTCCACCTACGTAAGTTCTGTCGGCGGTGGAGATAAGTGATCCTACCGCGGAATACGGTGAGAAGGAGGAACCAAGTCTGACGAAAGCGGAGGTTGAGAAATCCGACGTGTCAATGGTGGATCGGCTGGGATCATAGTCGAACAAGCCATTCAACCCGCCGGTGGAATTGATCAATTCAAACCCGACCCTCTGGGCAACCATGACAAAGTCGTCGGCGGGTATCGACTGTTCTTGGCCGGCCACAGGCGTCATTGTGATACTGGGCCTGAAGGAGCTCGAACTAGCATCAACTGACCCGATATGAAGTTGATCGTACTTATCGAATTCGTTCGTCTGGTACAGGATTCTAGTGTCCATTGTCCGATTGGCGCCGCGGGCGGTCAACGTTCCCGATACGCTGATCTGGCCGCGCCTCGCGCAAGTGCCGTCTTGAAGACAGCCCGGCGTGTACAGCTTGATGATATACTCCCCAGATTCTCTGATATTGGGGTAGAACACGACGGAAGCGGCATCCGAAGCCACTGGCTTCGGCAACTGGGCCGATAGATACTGGGAGTTGCTCTGCCCCGACTGGGCAACGGTCCAGGGCCCCGTAGTTGTCGCATTCGACGGTGAAGTCGTATTAGCACAGGCGGGTTCGTTGAAATCGTTGACCGCGAACGAGAATATGTCGTCCTGGAACAGCTGGACGCCGTCGAAACCACCGCCATTGCCATACCAACCAGAGACGTCGATACGAAATTCGTTCATCCCGATCAGGTTCACAAAATGGAAATCTTGAAACCTGACGTCGGGGTCGCTGCTCAAGGGGCACTGGTTAGTGCACGAGGCATTCTGATTCGTCACCGGGTCGACGTAGGTGAAATTCATAATTCCATTCAACGGAAGCGCAGTGAACCGCCAGACCTGGGTCCCGCGGCCATCCTGGTGCGTGTTCCAGAGCCGTAGTTTCGTAGGCCGGAAGCCGAAGTTAAATTTAGCTCTCCACGCGCCCGGAGTATTGTCTTGCAGTAGCCACGTGCTCCCGGGGCCTCCCGCCGCGTCGGCCTTGCAGATGATGTTCTTGGGGTCGCTGAATCCCTCCGCCGACGTGCTTTGATCGGCCTCGATGGTGGCGGTTGAGAGGTTGATGACCTGGCTGTCGGGCGTGCTTGGTGCGCTGGTATTGCCGAGGCCAGTAAAACTGCCTCCGAAAACGATGTGACCGTCGGGCGCCTTCGTAATAGAAGTGACAGGTCCGTTGAACCCGGCAAACGGAAGGCTGGCCCAGGTGTTCGACGCGAGCCATGTAATCGCATTCGTCGAATTTTCTGCTCTAAAGCTGCCCCCCACGTAAACCTTACCTGCCGAATCGTCACACAGCAAGCTATTGACTTGACCTGAGAGACCGGCTACCGGGACGACCTCGGAGGTATCAGGGTTATACGAGGCGATCCCCGGCGATTGTATTCCGCCCAGACTCGTGAAGTTACCACCAAGGATGACCCGTCCTTGAAATACGCACATGGTCTGGATATGCGCGTCCGCTTCTAGCAGACTATAGAACAAGCCATTCGGTAGGCGTGTAAGGAGTTGTTGCGATCCGTTCGAATTGAACGGCTGCTCGGTTTGGCCCTCATACTGGTACAACGAAAGGCCGGCGAAATCGCCGGCAATGCCAATTCTTCCCAACTGGCTCGTATCGAGATTCGCATCCGGTATCGGGTTAAAGATAATCGCCCCGGCGAGGGAGGCGAGCGAGCCGAGCGCGAGCAGCCACGACGACGACGCACCCGCGCCGGTGCGGCTGCGCGTAGCACAGCTCGGCCGAGAAGGCACCCTCATGACTCCTCCGACCAGTGACGATGCCCGGGCCGGAACTGGACAATCAGGAGAGAGGAAGGGCGGGGGCTGCCCTCAGACACGGTACAGAAATGTGCTATTTTCCAGAACCGTCCATAGCCTCGAAGGAATTAGGATATCGGGACGTAGGCACGGCGGCAGAATTGGATATCGACAGGTGGGTGCGAGCGCAGTGGTGTCGCGACCGGTTGCGAGATGTTCGGAGGGAGGGATAGGTCGAGCGGTGCGAAACCAGGGTCGAAAACAATAACAAAACGAATGGACTCGTCGACGAGACCTCGGGGTGACGCGAGGGGAAAGAGGGGAAGTCAGCGATCTCGAGACCCAGATGGATTGAATGCTGGTCGGGTATGGGTCCAAGAGTATACTATTGGTATGATACTGCACAGGTGGTCGCGAGGTTTTGTCGATTGGGTTTGTCGGCAGGCCCCCTTGGGTTTTTGCTGAACCTGGGAGATTGAAGGTGACTGGCAACGTCGTGGCTGGAATTTGGGCCCGTACCACGTCGAGTACCTGGGTACCGTGCGTTGTCACCTGGAAAAGTGTGCGCGGGTGGGGAGACGGTTACGGGGGGTACCTGCACTGGTGCCTCATTAGCGTATTAGGTCGCTGGACGGGTGCTGGCAGCAGCAGCAGCAGCAGCAGGGCCGAGGTATCGCGTGGTGCTGCGCAGTACTTGTGCAGTGCGGCGTAGTGCCGCGTGGTACCGCGCGTTCCCCTGCGGGTACGTCGAGGGGGGGCACAGGCAGCGCAGTGCCTAACCCGGACGGCACCAGGCACGCAGAGGCACGGTAGGGCGGGGCGGGCGAATGGCGCAAACCACCGCCACGAATCCCACTACCCAAAAGTAGCTCAGGAGCCACCACACGAATCCCGCTAGTGCGCAGTAGTAATCTCTCCCCAAACCAGGGTATCGAAGATCAAGAGATGGGATATGAGACGGCCGCATCCAACGGGGAGCATGGGACGGGGGCAGAATGAGAGATAATATGACACCCGAAAAGCGCCAGGTACGGACTGCCGCCACCCCTGAGGCGCACAGGATGGAGGGAAAAGAACGGTGACGGACTGCCGATGTAGAACAGAAAGGAAATGGGGGGAGGGCTTGGTTACTCACCAGCGTCCAATGGGCACTGACGCACGATGTAACGGTTGGCAAACCGTGTCACCTGAGAGAAGTCCCGTCTAACGATGCCAGCTGTAGCACCCGTGGGCGAAGGGGATCAACGTCTTTCACCGCTGGCACGCCAGATCCCAATCTCCTAAGCCGGTTTTTTTCGCCCTCGAGCCTGTTCGATTAGGCGCCTAGGCTTATCAGGTGTGTATGTACGCAGGTAGCACTTGGCGGATGTCCGGGTTCTGGCCCAATTGCAGCTTGGCAAGACAGCTACGACTGTGCGGGTGGTCTGTCTGTCGGTCTGGTGGGTTTTTCGGCAACGAGTGGAATAGGCAGCCTTGGGTTGCCCCTTTCGGGATAGAAAATGAGCGACGGTTGAAGGTGGTGGTGACGACACCGTTGTATTTGATGTTCCCTAACTGTCCCAGGACCTGAGGGTTGTTGTCAGAAACGTGGCCAGCCGGACAATGCTTCCTCAGATCAGGGGTCGGAGGGACGACGAATGATTGGATCGCGGGGGCAAGATCGAATGAGCGACTACCGCGTAGAAACTAGGGAAGGAAAAGGAATTGCTTCAAGGGGAAGAAACGAAAAAGAAAGCCGTACAGGCGGAGGGTAGTGGCGCAAGAAGAGAGAGAGTGCGCACTCCTTGTGCTATCCCGGGTATGTTGTTGATGGGAGGAAACAAAAAAGGAGCGACAATGGTGAATATTTGGGGGGGGGGGGGGTTATTTTCCACTGCTTCGTAAGGAACAACTAGCGGATGGCGCATTCAAAGTAATGAACGAAAGGAGGGATAACGAAAAGAGAGGAGGAGAAGGGGGAGGAAGGATTGGATCTCGCAGTAGGGAGCAATTCCTACATGTTTTTTTTTTTGTTTCTCAGCAAACACTCGCTCCATGTAGTCGTACTCAGCAAGGGGTAAAAAAGGAGCAAGACCAGCCAGGGGACCTCGACGAGGATCCTGGAGGGAGACACCTTGCAACCTCCTACTATGCGGACGAATGTACCTACTGAGATCAGCTAGGTGAGAAGGTACATCGATCCCAGCTTTCTCACGACAGGCCCGGTACATCCGGCAGGCAGGTCGGTAGTACTACCTGCCTCGTACTAGGTACCTAGTAGGCTACCTTCACGCAATTTACGCGGCACCTAAGATAATAGGAGGTATACACCTACCTACTCGTACACTGCCATATAAGTAGAGGTTGGTAGGCACTTAACAATGGATAGTAGGAGGCACCTATCAGATCAAGTAGGTTACTTAACGAAGGATAGGTACCTACCTAGATAGGGAGGTAGGTGCCTGAGGTTATGTACGAGCAGGGGTTTGATGGTCGATTAAAACAGTGCAAGTTGCAAGCTACCCTCTTTGCTGTCTTCGACTCGTTCCCTTCTGTGACCGACCCCGGTCTCATGTCACCCACCTGTGTTGTGCACGCATAGATACCTACCTACCTACCTACCTAGGTACCTACCTTGCCTTGCCTTGCCTTGCCTTATCTACCTAATTGTACACACGTAACAGCCAACTACATATACCTCAACCTTGTCCCTACTGACATCGGTCCATACATACGCGGCCGGCCGGGATACCACCCAGCGGCTCTCAGGGGTCTACACCTACGTATTCTCGAGGCCTACAAAGGGGGCCCCTTCGTGTTTCTCGAAATCCTCGTCTCCCGTCAGCCAATCCTCTCTCTCGACAACTTCTTCATCAGCATAGCCCGGGCTTCTTCTCCCCAGTTTGTTTCGACCTCTCCCGGTCGCCGTGGCCAATGGGGGGCTGCACGAGCACGCAATACGTACATGATATCGGTTCACGAATCTATGGAGGTACGGACGGACGCAGTGGGTATATATAACTTGATGTTCCATACTCCGTACCGGTCTCTGTTTAACTCGGCGCACTTCCACTTTCCTACCGCTAGCTTCACTATCCGAACCCCGAATCGAGCAAAAGCAGGAAGGCATGTGTATCTCTTGCACTCGACATTGGCACTAGATATATCGGAATGCCACGCATGGCTGAGACCAGCAAGAATGCGAAAAATGCGCACGATCCGTAGCCAATTCGACCCGCGGCGCAGTTGACGACACCTACCCGAACATACGTGGTATTTATAGAATGTTGCGCCCCCTCCCAACGCTAACGTCGTCTCAGGTCTAGGCCAGAAGAAAAGAAGCTTACTTTTTCGCTTACTGGGAGAGAGGGCCAGGTGTTAAACTTTGAACAATGTGGAAACGCCCATCTCGACGGTTGCTAGCCACGGCCGGGAGCTTCGTGGCTCTGCGGGGAACCTCAATACGTCGCCCGCCCGCACAGATGGGTACGTTAGGTTAGGGAGCCGGAGTTCGATCCACAGATACCCGTACGTCCATATACTCACTACCCAAGGTACAGGGACGCCTAGAGAATATAAGCTCGGCATTAAGCCCTCTACCTACCTACGTAGCATACGTGCCCCGTAAGGCACCCTGGTAGTCGCCCGTAGCTCCCCATCCCACCTACACAAAAGACGTTCGTAAATTTATGCGGTGCTAATAGACATAGACATCGACGAGGTGAATGCTTTCCCTCGGACGACCCCCTGTTAATGCTGGTGGAACGTCTTGGTTGTTGTCTACGGCGCCAGACACGCCCCCATTCCTCATAGTAGGTAAAGCTAGACAGCACGCAATGCTAGGCACACGTAGCTGGTAAATCCCATTCGGGCTGGGTGTTGCCACGGCCCCGAATGCGCCCACCTTGACATACGCCTCCCTTGCTCAAAAAGAGACATCATATATACCCCCGATATCGTAGACGGCGCCGTCTGCCATCTCTCATGCTTTGGTTTTGCCGTTACCATTCTGTGGCTCTCCCACATTCATGCGGGTCTTGTAGTCGCGAGGACTCTCGAAGGCCTTCTTCTTGCCGCCCCATATCCCCAGCTTCCTCGTCTTCGCTATGCTTTCGGCAGCTTTATATTCCTCCTCGAGGCCGCCGAATTCGGCACCGGTCTTCGCCTCATACGTCGTAGCCAGGCCCCTCTTCAACATCTCGAGGCCGACGTCTTGGCGCGTGAGGAACCGCCTCACGTATACGGTGCCGACGATGCGGTCGTAATGATCACGCCTGTAGATCAAGACTCGTACCCGTCGGCCGAGAAGGTAATCCGATAGCCAGGTCAGAGCTTCCGAAGAGAAGGGTTGGGCAGGATGTCCAAAGTGGGCGCCCTCCGGTGCATCTACGCCCGCGATGCGTATGGGGATCTGGAGCAGCTCAGGTTAGCGCTATCGGAGCACAAGGGATCAGCGGCGAGGTTGGCCGAGACCAGGGCTAGCCTACGGTTTTGTTCTTCAACTCGGTTTTCTTAACCGGGACCTTCCGAAGCCAGTCCCAACCAGCCAGGCGGCCGCCGGGGGTGTGGTATAGGTGGAAATTATCGCCATCCCCGACACTTGTGACCCGGCCAAAGAGGCTCCTCTTTCTGAAAAAGCTCGGCTGGATGTGGGTAGTGCCGGGGATGCGGCGTAGGTAGGAACGATATACCTGCAGAGACACGAGAGTGGTGGTCGTGACAAGAAGGGTCAGCACCCAATTTCGCGGATCCTTGTAGTGCTCCCAGTCAGTGCCGTTCAGACTGTCAGGCCAGGAGACCGGTCGTCTCGAAGAATCATCGTTTTTACTATTCTTCCCAGAATCGGAGGTGGACGGCCATCCCATTCTTGCTATAGCCTAGAGATGCGTATAGATTGAGAGAAGGGGGGGGGAGGCTTCGGGGTTGGGAGAGGGTGGCCTGAGGCGAGGCCGGTGACGGACAGACAACAAGCCAACGGTGGCTACCGATGGACCCTTGTGGCTTTGCCTGCATTGCCTATCTTATCGCTCCTATGCACTCCCAATGCTAGCAGTGTACCTAGGTACGTACCTCATATAGTACCTCCTCTAGGTACCTAGGTACCTACGTAGCGGTCCAGACTTTACGCTTATGTAAGTGTGGTTAGTAAGGGGGCAATTGCTGAGGAGGGTCAGATGACTAGGTAGGTACACTCTACCTGACCCCGGTTAGATGCCCAACCAGACAGCGCAGTGCCTCGGTACGTCTCCCGTTTGAGGGATACCGCGCTGGCCCGGGCCCCCACGCGTCCCCGTCGACGTCAATGCCCGCGCAGCAGTCCCACGTTATGTATGGGGGTTATGGGGGTAACCTTCGTACAGCTTCCCTTATCCTCTAGTGCTCTCCCTCTCCTATACCCTACAATCTGATGCTGCTGCATGTGCCTGTGCCGGCCAGGCTAGGTAAACCACGGACGAGATCGAAAAGGTGAAACTCGGAAAACCAAGGCATATCCAGGCGTATCGACATAAACAAACCTCGATAACCCTCTTGTTTTCGCCCTTCGCCCTTTGCACAGGTTACATGCCGCCGTGTGCTGACCTGGGCGGACAATAAACCACCTTCTTTCCCCGACCCGCCCAACCGTGTACAGGTACACGTAAAACCGCTCCATTCTAATATCTCGTATCTCGAGAAATCGAAGGCCCTCCCATATCAGCCGAATCATTAATCTTCGGCTGCGGTGGCAGCATCAACGCCAGCTCCAACGCCAACTCCATCTCCGGCATTCTCTCTAGGCTACTATCGACATCGAACCCCCCAAATCGCCATGGGATATTTCATCGAAACCAACTAGACACCCTTATCGCGTGGGCCGAGTGTCTGTGATAGCTCGAAATCCGAAGTTCACGTTGAGGACGCCCGTCGGTCCTAGCCACCACGGTTTTCCTACATACGCTGCTGCCCAGTGGGTTGGGACCCCGCCCAAGGTCTTGTCGAGGAGAGCGTCGACTCTGGAAGTGTCGCCATGTCAGCCAATCGTCGGCGGAGGATTCGAGTAGAGGAGCCAGAAGGGCAGCCCCTTTTACGCCGCCCCCTCTGCGAGATTCCTGCGGAGCCGGAGCCACGCTTTGGGAACAGCCAGGCCCCCCATGCACACCTAAAAGTGTACACAAATATTCACAGGATACGCAGAGATGTCGTCAGCATCGTCGAGGATTATCTCACGCTTGAGCAGTTGACGGATCTGCGACTGAACATCTCCGTCGTCCGGCCGTTGGTGGACAAACTTTACGAACAGAATGACATCTCTCTCGGCATGTATACTCGATTACCGTGACCCGGTCCCCTACGTCTCGGGCTTGTCGTAGAGATGCAGCTAATCCCTATCTAGTGTATTGCTTGCTCGTCAATCGGTCTCAGTTCTTATACGAGCAGGAGCATATGTCGAATAGACAGAACGTCAACTTCACGCGCGCAACCCTCTGCGAACTGGTGGCAACACGCATTCTCCGGCGCTCTGGCGACGATAATCCGGGGTCCGATGGGCTGCTTCTCCTCGCAAACATCTTGGTTGCGGGGTTTAACCCCTTCCAGAATGCCCCCGAGGAGGTTCGGCAAGAGGCCTCTCTTGGTTCTTCGTGGATCCATAACAGAACGCTGCCAGCACTGGAGGTAGCCATCTTGAGCGGAAGCAGACACTTCCTCAGCTCGACGCATTGTCAAAAGGTGTAAGTAAACGCTCCGTGTCCAAGAGAGAGAGATGGTGGAGCTCACATCCTCCAGAGTTAACGCAATATATATTGGGCAAGTAATTTATACGCCATCGACATATGGTACGTACGATTGCTTGTCCTCGGCAATTGCTATGCCCTCATCCCTCGTCGAACGAAACTAACAAGCTGATAGTATGTAACCCCATTCCTCGAGTACAACCGTTTAGGTGTCGGGCGGCCTATGAAAGTTCTAGACGGCCAGTTCCAGGTCTCCAGACTAACTCAGGCAGCTGGATATGATACCCGATCGGTATAAGCAGCGGCCTATCTCGTTATACGAGCCGCGTGAGGCGCCTCTGCTCAACCAGTACCGTTTGACAGTACCACGCACTAGAAATGTCCTGGAGATCATGCAGTTCCTCATCCTCTTGTCTTTATATATCCTGTTCATGGTGGAGCGGAACCCGGACCATCTAAGCATAGTGGAGATTGCGTTTTCGGTCTACGCGTTCGGTTGGGCTCTGGATCAGTTTGCCACAATTCTAGCACACGGATGGTGAGTCGACCTCAGCCCACCCGGGTTTACCCTCTGGCTGACCTCGGGCGGATGATAGGAACGTGTACACGCAAAATCTCTGGTCATTCCTGGACGTCATGTTTGTCATCATCTACTGGGCCTACCTAGTGTTGAGGATCGCCGGCTGGAAAACCGGCCAGTTCGTCTTAGCTCAACAGGCACTCGACGTCCTTGCAATGGGGGCACCCGTACTCATCCCCCGGCTGGCGTTCAACTTGCTATCGGACAACCTAGTATTCTTATCTATACGGTCGATGATGGCAGATTTCACCCTCCTCACGGCTTTGGCGGTCTGGTGAGAGGCCCCGAGGATGCCAATACGAGTTGTGATGAGGTTCCGTGACACTAATGGCAACTAGGTGTTTTCTCGGGTTTCTTCTCTCCATGCTGTGGCTCGCCGAAGGCCGTCACAATGCCTCGTATGTGCCTCGGCTTGAGGTCAACGTCCTATACTAACAATATATAGGAACATCAGCAAATGGATGCTCTGGATCTGGTTTGGCTTGGACGGAACAGGGGTTTCACGCTCGGTAAGTGCGGTATATCCTGTGCATCAGGTCTTTCCGTCCTAACCATTATGCGTCGCAGACGGAATTCCACTGGCTTCTGGGACCTGTTCTGATGATCACCTTCGCCTTTCTGGGCAACACGCTATTCCTGACAATTTTGGTCTCGATGCTCTCTAATACCTTTGCCACCATCGTCACGAATGCACCTGCCGAGATTCAGTTCCGAAAGGCTGTCTTGACGCTCGAGGGCGTGAAGAGCGATGCGATATTCGCGTACCAACCACCGTTTAACATCATCGCCCTATTCGTTCTAGTTCCGATGAGATTTCTAGTGAGCCCTCGCTGGTTTCACAAAATCCACGTAGCCACGGTTAGAGCGATTAACTTGCCGGTACTACTGTTTATCGCGGCGGTGGAGAGGCGACTGCTGTGGTCGGATACGGAATTGGCGCAGTATCCGACGGAGCAGCTGCCGAAGAAACGCGGCCGGAGCTGGTTCTGGGAGAAATGGCGACTAACGAGCCACGGGGATATTCAGGCCGTCTTCGACATTCCCCCGCCGGATTCAGTCGAAGAAGATATCGCCGTCGACGACGACATGACTCACCACTTAATCCGTAGGCAATTTGCCCGGCAGCAAAGCTCGGGAGTGCTAGAGTCGAACAAGAAACAAGGAGACGACGGAGCGGACCAGCAACAACAGCGGCAACACAAGCCAGCGAGCCGCAGGGACTCGATGGCTCCCTATGGCACGTTATCGGAGCAGATACGTGCCATCATGAATGATTCATCCGAGGAGGATAGTGTAGCAGCCCGCCTGGAGAAGTTGGAGCATGCTACCTTGAGAATCGAGGAGATGCTCACGAGAGTGTGCGACAGTGCCGCCGCCGCCAGCGGTAACACCCCAGCAAGAGCGGACGACTAATAACGGTGGTTCGGGAGGTGGGAAAAAAAAAGTTGTTTGGCTTGGGCATGCGTACACGGGGACACACAGACCACACTCGTGTGTGTATGTGTGTGTGTGTGTGTGTGTGTGTGAAGCGCATGAATTAGATGGGGATACACTCAGATTTGGTAGACACGGTGTCTTACAGGACACGTATATTTACACAGAGACACTGCACAACAAGAGGGAGGGGGATCAGACAGCGGGCAGGTTGAATACACGGCGGCTCGTGAGCCCGAAGCTCTTGTTGATGTTTACCTGGGGGCAATGCCGTTAACCATCAATTGCGGCCATTTGTTATCATGCCATTTATTCTTATTCTGCCTTTACGGACCGTATCAGTTCACCTGGGTGTGGCCGGGTGAGGTAAGCGCGTGCAAACAGCCAGAATGACTCGGCAAACAAATACGAAGGGGATTTCCCTCTATCAAACTGAGTTAAACATGAGTTTAATTAATCCGAGGTGGTGAGAACAAAAAGGTGACGTTGTGCAAGTCTTCGCGGATTCTCTTCTCTCTTGCTTGCCCTGTTGCTTCTTCTTCCCCTTCTCCTTCTGCTTCCACTCCACCACCATCACCGCTACCGCCGCCACAACCTCTTACTCCGTCCATCCATATCGGCGAAGCCACAATTGCCAGCAGACCCTACCGCCCAACTATACGTTCGAGGCACCTCCAAGAGGAACAGGGAGAAAATAAAATCGACAAGACAATGTGCACGACGATCCGTACGTCCATCTCCCCACCCCCCTTTCCCCCAACAGCTGCCCCTATGTCATCACCGGGGCCATAATGCCCTCATCTGCCCTCTATATTCCTGCTCTAAAGCTTTCCCCCATTTGCCGCAAAGGCAGAGAAGGAGGGAGAGGAGAGAACGCAACGAGTCGAGAGCAGAGAGCTAACCGCCGCCGGCGGGCCAGACTTCCGCAGCCGCATCTGTGGCCACCACTGGCTGCAGATCCGGCAGCCGTGCTGGCCGGGCGAGGGCTTCAGCACCTGCCTCTCGTTCGGGGCGGGGGCGGTGACGCCGCCGCCGCCGCCGACGGCGAACGAGGAGGTCACGGCGCCGGTGCCGTGCCCCGCGTGCCTCGAGGGTACCGCGTGCCCCGCACCGTCGCCCACCTGCGCGCGCTGCCGCGCTCAGTCCTGGCCGCGCTCGTGCCCGCAGCCGCAGACCCAGCCCCAGATCCTGGGCGGCGGCTGCTTTTGCGGCGGCGCGCACGGATACGGATTCGGATACGCCTACGACCGCAACCAGATCCGCATGATCGTCGACATCAAGGACCGCTGGCGCTGGGGGCTCGGCCCCGCGAAGGGCGACCCGGGCCTCGAGTGCTGCGTCATGTGAGGGCGAGGGAGGACGAGAGGTGAAAAGGGGGGGGGGGGGGGATTGCAAGCTACGCCGCTGCGAAAAAGGACAGCGCTGCGAAGGACCGGAGAAACGGAATAGGGGAGGGGAAGGTGTAGAGGATTGGGGGACGAGTATGCGACGACGGTGGAAAAGTAGGTAGGTGGTCATGCGGTGCGCATGTCGTCCGGGTCAAGGAACATTGTCCACGGAGAAGGGAGTGCGTCGTCTTTGAGAACGGGCAGACAACGGCGGCGGTGTCCTGTCTGTCTGATAGCTCGTCTCCTAATTTCCCACGATCAACTCGGTTCGGTGGCTAATGCCTATCTCCCGAGGATATCTCCCCAGATCTACTACCTACATAGGTATACTCGCGACCGATACCCAAAGCAATTGCCCCCTAAAACATAGCATCCGAAATTCGTCGTGGATTATAATGGCTAGTAGTCTCGTGGTGCTCGCTCTGCCTCCCTAACCTCCATCCGCCCCTCCGCGATTCCTATCACGTCGTTGCGTAAGAGGGTCGGGGATATCACGTGCCGGACCTTTACTATTTTTTCCCTCCCCTTCCCGTCCTCCGTCCCCTGTGAGATATTTCCTCCTTACACAACATAACCCCCTCGTCTCCGTCTTTTCCAACGCCCCTTTAAACCAGAACCCGGCAACGCGAGGCAGGGCCGGACTCGGGCTACGCAGAGAGCGGGCGGCCCAGCCAAGACTATTACATCTAGGTATATACTGGTATCAACTCCGCAGACGCACAACTAGCACACCCCTCACCACCCCCGGCAGCGAACATCTAGTCCAGACATACCCGCGGGCCGGGTCGGGCCAGCCATGCTCCCGACGCCCGACACCTCGCACGTGCCGTACGAGCGGGTGTACGAGCCGGCGGAGGACTCGTTCCTGCTGCTCGACACGCTGTCGTCGGCGGGGGAGACAGCCTTCCTGCGGTCGCGGTTCGGGGGTTCCGCGCCGGCGTCCTCCCCCGCGCGCGTGCCGCTCGTGCTCGAGGTCGGGTGCGGGTCGGGCGTGGTCGTGGCCTTCGTCAACGCGCACGCGGGCGCGCTGTTCGGCACGCCGGACGTGCTCGCCGCCGCCGTGGACCTGAACCCGCACGCGTGCCGGGCCACGCGGGAGACGGTGCGCCGCGCCGCGGCCGCCGCCGCCGCCGACGCTTCTTCTGCTCCCTGCTCCTCCTCCTCGTCCCCCGGCGGCAGCGGCACCTTCCTGGGCGCCGCGCGCGCCGACCTCGCGTCGCCGTTCCGCGACCGCTGCGTCGACGTGCTGGTCTTCAACCCGCCGTACGTGCCGACGCCGAGCCTCCCGTCGCCCCCCGCTCCCGGAGCGCCGGGCCCGTCGTCCTTCGACGACGACGCCTACCTCCTGGCGCTGTCGTACGCCGGCGGCCGCGACGGCATGGAGACGACCGAGCGCCTGCTCGCGGCGCTGCCGCGCGCGCTCGCCCCCCGCGGCTGCGCCTACGTCCTGCTGTGCGCGCAGAACCGCCCCGACGCCGTCAAGGCCCGCGCCCGCGCCCTCGGCCCCCGCTGGCGCGCCGACACCGTCGCCACCAGCGGCAAGCGCGCCGGCTGGGAGAGGTTGCAGGTCGTCAGGATATGGACCGACGAGGAGCGAGGCCCGGACGGAGGAGGAGAAGCAGAAGCAGAAGCAGAAGCGGTGCCGGCGGGATGACGACGTGGCTGGAGTTTGCATCAGCGATGGAAGGCTTCTCAGGCCTAGCTAGTGGGGGTTTATTGCTTTCTCAGGAACTTAGGTTGACGGCCATGGTACTAAAATTGGTGGTGAAGGTGAAGGTGTAGGGAGAGTTATGCCAGCAGTGCGCCATCGATGGTGTTATATCTCTTTTCGTTTGCCTCCCCAAACGCCCGCGCCAGTTTGACCAGCAGTAGTAGTAGTAGTAATAGTAGATGCAAGCCCTCCTGTACATTAACGTGTAATACTGCCCATGTCATGCTATACCGCAAACAAGCCTTCTCGCCCCTCGTTCCTCCGCTTCTTCCCCCCCCGGGAGGATATGTAGGACGTGCCGACGCGGCATCATCGTCTAATTTCCGTTATCCTGTATCCCGCTTCGATCCAAAGGGCGTTCCCCCGATTTCGTCCCTTCACGGCCTGCCTCGTCCCCGGCCACGGCCACGACCACGGCCCCGGCCCCGTCCTCCGCCGCGGCCGGCCCGGTCCGCCACCTCCTTGCGCGCCTTGTTCTTTGGCTTGACCGAGTCGTCGATCAGGAGGGTGTCGAGGGGGAGCGAGTCGGGCAGGATGATGTACCGGATCGTCGAGCCGCGGATGTTCATCGTGTCGAGCGAGATCGGGTCCTGGCCCCGCGGTGTCATCTTCACCGCCCGCAGCGACGTGTTCATCAGCGGCGAGACCGACGTGATCGTGCCGTGGACGATCGTGCCTAGATGGGACCCCCCTAGATATTAGCGCCAGCACGGAGAAGGGGGGGAGGGGGGAAACATTGAAAAAAAAAAGAAAAAAAGAAGGGAACTAGGGGCTACGCGTACCATTCTTGAGCTCGATGGTCACCGTCTCATTCGCACATTTCATCAGGAATCTGCGGGTAATTACAATTAGCACGAGGGCGGCCGAAGACTGAGCTTGAGAGGCGTCGGGTTGTTTTAGCATGGTCGTGCCAACCGGGGACAGATAGGCTTGTGCTTACCTGACGAGCTTCATTTTGACTGTGATTGACTTATCAGCAACCAGTCGCGCTCCGGGGACAGGATGGTGGTATTGCGGTGGTTTATGGGAAGCTATAGAGTCGTGGGCGGCGCGCGTCGAGGAGGCAGAGAGCTGGTGTTCGTGGGAGGTTTTTTGAAAGTCGAGAACGAGACCAACCTATCAATTTCAGCCCATCTAGCTCTACAAACTTGGCGGTCCGTCCGGCAGAGGCCGGTTAGTCTTGGTCACGTGCCAGTTCCCTAATTTACGTAAGCTGCCTCGTGGGTCCCACTCTATGAGTACAAGATTTTACTCGTATTACCGAATCTGGGTTATATACTTAGGTACCCATGAACCTAGGTGCATATCCATGTATCGGGATTGTACCTTGGGTTAGGTACCTCCTACCGCACTACGTACAAGAGGACTCGCGTACCTACATGGATCGTGTCAACCCTTCGACTTCCCGATCCATGGTAGCTTCGGGAATAGTGGAAACTTCGATAGCCCAACCGTAAACTTGGGCGTCCGCTCTTGGACAAGCCCGGTATACTCTAGGTGCTAGGGATTGATTTAGGTAGATATTTTTATTTAGTTATATTTCTGTCGTATGGCCGGTCCCTGTTTCTAGTCTTCCCGGTGGCGGCGGCAATATGGTTCGACCAGGTACGACGGCGACGGCGGAGCGGTTGGCATGGGGGGTCTGGGACACGCGAGAGCAGATACATCAGTGCGGATCGGCGCCAGAAATGCTCCAAACGCTGGTGAAAACGCTCCCCTGGATGCCGTGACGAATAAGCAGCGACGAGCAGGTACGTCCTTCAATCACTTGTCCTTTTCGTTCTCGTTCTCCGAAACCTTCTCCCATTCGTCCTCCGTGCTGGCGCTCGATTTCGTCCCTGTCGAGGGTACCGGTCGGAGCTTCAAGTCTCCTGCTTGTTCGACAGCTTCCAACCCTTTACCGACTGGCGCAGGGGTTTCCTGGGTGGCGATGGTCTCCACCTCGGTCTCGCTATCGCCGCTGGTTTGAGCTGCTGGCCGCTGTTCGGCGCGCGCCTTCTCTCGTGCTTCCTTGGCCTGGGCAACCTGCAACTCGGCCGCGAACCAGTTGATAGCCCACCATAGCCCCCCACACAAGAAGGACAATATTATGAAGTGAATGCTATAGGTGGCAACCAGCAGGAGGAAGAGAACCAGTTGCAGAGAGGCGAAAGTGACGTTGGTGGCGACCAAGAGGGTTGGCGTTGTCCCCGGAACGAAGATGGACTCCCATATTTCCTGCACAAAGCTGGCCATGTTCAACGGTGTAAGGCGGGACTCGGTGGTGGTATGCGACGAGTGCTATGCACGCAGAATCGGGATGCGACAGCGGAGGAGGGTTGAGGTGCTATCGGAAGTTAGTCGCGGAGGAGAGTCAATGAGAGAAGGAGGCGACCCTCGGCCGGGTAGAAATCGAAGCAATAAATACCTAATATTTTTGGACCAACCTAGGTTAAGGCCAGGGTGTCGTGAAGCGCTGAGTCACCGAAGAACTTTCCTATCTGTTCTTTTGCAAGTAGGTAAAGCAGGCAGAGCGGTATGGGCACGTTGCGAAGGTGAGGACACAAGGCAACGAGAGAGGTGATTTAGCCACGACGCAAACGCGCGACGTGAGGAGGCAGAGAGGGACAGCCGAGCGGGGCCTAGGAGGGGGGCAACTGGCTTGAACTCCGAAAAAGGGTTACCTAGCGGTGGCGGGTCGTCGACTAGACGCGTGCCGAGGGAGGCCAGATAAACAAAGGCGCAGGCAGAAGTAGGCGGGACGGACCAGGAGGTAGGGAGGGAGAGGGGCGTAGGTAGGTATGTTGATATATATATATTGACCTAACAAAAAGTTGTGAGCGTTGGTGGGAGAGAGAGAGTTGGAGGTAAAGAGGGACATTTAGGTACCTTTGTTGTTTCGAACCAGAGCGAGGTATACACGTACGTATACCTACACTACACAACAGGCAGAAAAGATGGAGGAGGGGAAAAACGTGGGCGTGGACAGGAGAAGAAGAGAGAGAGAGAGAGAGAAGGGTGAGAAAAGGACTGGTTCAAGTAACAAATGCCACGGCAGATAATCAAGGCCTAATATGCGCAATAGATGTTCTCAATGAGGTAGGTATTATACGCATCTAGAGGTAATTCAGCCGTGGATCACCTGCGCAAGTTTGGTTAGGCATCTGTGTCTGGGTAACGCCCTGCTACCTCCTGACACCACCTGACCTAAGGAGATACAGCTAGATGCGACCGGACCGACAGCCTTATCCGTCTAGAGCAGAGCAGAAAGGAGAAGACTTACGAGGGAGGTGGGAGGGGGCAGAGGCGGGGTAGATACCTAACCTAATATAAGTTTTAGAGCCCGCTTGGAGGGGCTTTGCTGGGCAAACCTCTTAATGTAACCTGCCTCCTGCTAGATCAGTAGGTTACTTAACGAAGGATAGGTTCGATTCCTAACAGCGCTACTTGGTAGTCTTCGCTACTTAGCTCATCTCTGCTGTACACGACCACCTTGTATACGACGTAGGAGATTAAGAGGAGGTACATTAGGTACAGCTGCTAGACCTACCGACCTATATCCCCCTACTGCAATGTTGCCTCAGGTAGGTACCTGGGTACTTTGACAGAGTGGCAACAACTTGCGAGTTGCCTGCGCAGCAACATAATCACCCCTTACCTTGGGTAGGTACCTATCTGGTGTTAGGTAGCCTGTGTGGGCATGAGGCATCTTAGGGGCCTGCCCCCTACCCTATCCTTAGGTATAGGCAGGTAGGTACGTACTCTGGATTGCAACTTGGAATTTATCGATAAGGATGCTGGATCCCAGCCTGCCGCAGGTACCTGGTAGGTACTTACCTCCTGCTGTACTGTCGACGCGAGCGACGGTAGTCCTAGGTGCTTCAAACATGTACTTCGATACATGGATGTGGTTTATGAGCCATGTGCCCGTGCGACTTGCGACGGATCAGTTGGTCCAGCCAACCACAGGCTACCCGGAAGGCTTTGCCCAGACTTGCCCGTCTATCACGTTGCTCGACTCACCAAAATTCACAATCTTCCATCATCCCAATCCAACCATCGCTTTGCGACTTGTATGAGCCAATCTCTCAATCTCTATCTACGCCTCTACCAAATTGAGCCTCCCCCTTCGACGGGTCCCTCTTGCCGGGTTGCCCCGCCCCTTTGCTATATACCTACTCTACCGAATAATCTAGATGTCCTCCCAACCGATTCTACATACTCAGTAGAGGAGGACCCAGCCCACCAAGCCCACGGCGCCTAGCACAGCCGGCTGCTGTCTATGCTGCGTTGTTTACCCATAACGTCCCCAGCCTGGCAGCCTAGAGCCATCGCCGTCCCCGATCCCTCCCACGCGCAACAGCAAGACAGTCATCACAGCTCCCGTCGTGTCCCGTACGACACCGTCCAATCCGCCCGCCTTGTCACCTGCGCCCCACCTCTCTAGTGCTGGTGACGGCATGCGATTCGGCGCTCCCAGGCGTCTCTAATACCCGGGCCGACATCACAATCTACTGCGACCGGCATCCAGAACGAGCCTACATCGAGAAAGCACTATGGCCAACAGCACAGATTTGAGCCACACCAGTTTCAAAGATCTACTTCTGCCACACTCCCAAACAAGGCAGGAAACCGGCCAGGCTCAGCCGGAGTCTTCGTCTTCTGAATCTCTCATACGCGAGCCGCCGATACCGAATCTGTCCAAACTCCTTAGGAGCAAAGGTCGCGAATGGGAGGCCATGAAAGCAAGGCCTAGGCCGCTTCAGCTTCTTGACCTCCCAGTTGACATATTGAGGCTCATAGTGAAGGAGGCGAGTCTAAGGAACTGATATATAGGCCCTACAAGCTCTACTAACCGGTTTCTCTCTCAGGTCACCCACACCAATGATCTTACTTCCTTGGCCCTGACAAATTCCACGCTCTATTACCTTGCCGTGCCCCACATCTACGCTCGCTTCGACATAGTCTGGCCCGACGACACGGTTACCCAATCCGACAGCAAAAATGTCGACGCGCTGACCTATGGACTGGCTACCTTATGCTTGGGAAGTAAATTTGCCCAGAGGACGAGATGGTTGCGCGGGAGCTCTCTGGGGAATTCGCGGCCTTCCGGTCGGCTCATCGACAACCAATACGCAAAGTACACCCGTAAATTCTCGCTGGGGAACGGCCCCAAGGACTGGACATCGGAGTACATGGTCACGAAGGAGAGCGGGAAGATGCTAGGTACATTGGTAGCGATAGCTGTTGGTAAGATGGTCAACCTGGAAACGTTTGTGTGGGACATGCCGACCGGGGTTCTGTCCGAGGTCTTCATGGCACTCGCCTCTCTCCAGGATCCTTACCCGGAAGGCGAGGCCAAGCTTGAGAAGGTCTGGGTTCGTTGGCACGACAACTCGGAAATATCAGACGCGTCGTCGTCCATCTCGAGTCCGATACAGCCGCCTCCACCCCCACCACTAGCCGTCCCGCCCCCCGGGAGCACCGTAACCCCCATCGGCAACTCGCTCCCGCACGATTTTCATCCGGTAACGACGCAGCCGATCAGGTACTCCGAGAGCCGCGTCGAGTATCCGACCTTCAGCGTCCTACCACCATTGAAGAGCTTGACTGTGCTAGATATCGACGAGCTGGCCTACCTCGACGAGATGGCAGTGCTCATCGAGCGGTCGAGAGCTAGCCTCCGGGAACTTCGAATCGGGATTTCACAGAAGGCGCGCACAGCTGATTTCGCGCAAACTTGGGATAGCCATACGTTGCAGCAGGTTGACCATGCTGCCCGCTGGCCGGGCGAAAGCCTTATAGGCGAGAGGAGACTGGGAGGGGTGCTAGGAGTGCTGGTCGGCAGAATATACGACATACGGAGGAAATCCGCTGTGAAGACACCGGAAAAGGAGCCAGGGTCGAATTCTACTTCGCAGTTTCATGGAGTTGAGGAATTCGGCTCGGCAAGTTCTAACGCCGTAGCTCCGTCGTCATCACCGCTGGAGCCCGCGGATGTCGGGATACCGGGCCAAGCATACGTGCAAAATCGGCGTCAGACTAATTCCGTAGCGATCTCCTATCAGGCCAGCAACGGATCCCGCGTCGAGAGGACACGGCTCGATGGGAAATTGCAGCTCGAGACGCTCGAGCTGGAAAGGGTGCCGCTTTCGCTACAAGTTTGTACGAGGGCCGTGGACTGGAGCCTCCTGACAAATCTCACGATCCTGGATTGCATGTACCTTGAAAACCTGTGGAAGGCCCTTAAAAGACAGTTCCACCCTACGGCTCCGGCCCACGGCGCGCCTCCTGGAACGGCAACCCAGTACCATCTAGCATTGAAATACATCCATACTGATACCACATCCAATACGCTCATTAGCTTTATTAAGGAGACCCTGGCGCCGAATAGTCTACAGGTGCTCTTTCTGCAAGACAGGCGGCGCGCAGGTGTCCCCCCGGTCAAAATCGACCAGATATTCAAAGGTGCGATAAAACGACACCGGTCGAGCCTGAGGAAGCTCCTCCTGGACAGCTCGGATGAGACGGGAGATACCCGTCGTTGGATGAACTGGGTACTAAGTCCCGACATGATCACCTACTTGACTAGCGGAAGAATGTCGAATCTGCGGGAACTCTCTGCTGCGTTTGACTATAAGGATTGGGTAAGCTTCTTTTCTTCATTACGTTAGCTGTAGTTGTGTCCCTCTCGATTGCGCATGCCACTAACCCGGCCCCCCTCCCCCCCCATAGCATCCGTTCCTCCAGCGGCTTCCGGGCATATCGCAACTTCGATCCCTGCACATCTCGTACATGCTGGATCATATCGCGGGCAACTTCGAACCGAAAGAGCTTGCGCTGCAGCTTGTCGACATCATCACGCTGCGGACGGATATACAGCTCTGCTATGTGGGCATAGGAACCAAATGCTTCGAGATATTAGAGACGCGACCGAGCGATGCCGGCCACGGCGCGTCTGATGTCGGGCTGAGCGGGCACCAAGACGGAAACGGGGCGATCCACGAGATCGATACGGACGACGGCAACGAGGAGGGCAGCAGTGAGACTGACGAGGAGACGGAAGATGATGACGATGACGATGACGATGCGAACGATGACAACACTAACGCGAGTCCCACCGAGGCTGATGACGATTTCACCGACGCATCGGATGACGCTGAGTCTGAGACGGACTCGTTCCAAGGTGACCCGGCTGGGTCAGCCGCACGGCTCCGGTTACGTGAGATCTTGTTTTACGATGACAAAGTTGCGATATTCAAGGCGAGGCACGGCAGGCTATGAGGGGTGGGGATGGGAGGGGAGGATGTATCACCGGAGGCATCCGAGCTGTCTAGGCTCTATTTATGTCTTCTCACGATTTGGCCTTTTTTTCGTTGTTTTTTTTTTCTCAACCGTGTGTCCCCTCCAGGTCTGTCTGTCTCCCGTATTTTCTCTTCCGGGGCTGGCCTCCCTCCCTCAACGCATCCCCCCCACCTTTCTCTCTCTCTCTCTCTCTCCTTATCCAAAGACAGAACAAGCCGGGTGGGGGTTGGAAAGGGGTGTATGTACAATGAAGCCATGTTGATCAAGACTTGTACTTGTTGTAAAACCGGTGAGACTTGAGAATGATAACGTGCCCGGTTTTCTTTTTTGGTTTCTTCTTGGTCCGCGCGTTTCGCCCGTGTCCGTCCGGACATATGCAAGGGGGACGGCGCGGTGAGGAAGGGAGGGAGAGAGGAGGGAGATGACCGCTGAAGAAAAACGCCACCGCTGAGCTGTATGCTGCCGCGAGAAGCCAAGGCAGGGTTGGCGGGCAGACGAATCAGAGAGCTGGGACCGGCAAGATGCAGCACAGTTCTGCCAAGATGTGCTGGACAGTGTTTATCCGCCCATCCAATAGGGCCTAATGCAGGAACTGGACAGCGTGGGAGCCGGGTCCGTCTTCTTCTTCGTCAGGTCGTGTTTCTTTTTATCCCTTCACCGTATCGTCGGGCCAGCATAGTAGACTTGTCGGGCCAGGGGTGCCCTTTACCGCCATCTCACCTCGCGAAATCCTTTCAGCCCCTTGGGAGCTAGCCGGCTCGGTGGTGTGTGTAGGTATGTAAGTGCGCATGGTATGTACGGTGGCATGTATGTATGCAGGCATGGGAGGATGGGACGAGACCCATCGACGACCAAACCAATTGGGGCGACGAGAGTTGTTCTCTCTCGTTTTCCTTTCCTTTCCTTTCTTCTTTTGCGCTTTCTTTTTTTCTTCTAGACTCGCCCCGATTCTCCCGTGTCCGCTCCCTGCTGCTGTTATCCGTCAAGAGGCCTCGTCCGCCGTAAGGTACCTACCAGGCTACCTAGGAGGTATCTGACCTGGGGAGGCATTGTACATGCGATGTACCTACCTACTATCTGCCTTCCATGTCACGATACACATCCTCGGGCACTTGCGCGGGCACCTAAGGCCGGCAGGTACCTACAGGTAACCTAACCCAACCTGCCCGACCTCCGGTATGGCCTGGATTATGGTGTGTGTGTATACCTCTTACATGCAGAGGAGGTAGGTAGGTATATCGGCGCATGTATACCGACACATGTATATCGACATGCGCATATCGACAATACGTGTATCGGCACATGTATACATGTCATATACGGATGTATATAGTGTGTGCAGGCGTGTGTATATGTGTGTGTATATGTGTGCGTGTGTGCGCGCGCGTGTGTCTTATCCTCACCGATAGTTGGTGCGGTTTTTTCCCTTTGTCCTGGAATCGGAAAAGGCTTGTTGCAGCCAGACGCACCAAACACACACCTCTCCGCCATTTCGTTGCGTACGGCCTCCGGCCATTCTTGCTACCCTATTTACTGTCGACCCTGCCCGGGTAGAAAAAAAGGTCCAGAGTGTGTGCGAGACCTTGGACTTTCTTCCTCTCGACATTTCGACCGAATATCTGCTCTGTTGCGCCGTCTTGTCCCCTCGTGCCGACTTGCTGAACTGGCGGAGCGAAGCTTCTGTCCGACAGCTTACCCTTCCCGCATCGTGCGGCGTACCCGTTTCTCGATTTATTTATTCGCGATTCCTCTATTTACACAGCGTATATCCTCCCCCCCCCCCCCTTCATCTTGTTCCTACTTATACACCACATACCATACCTCATATATCCATACATATATCCGTGCCTACAGTACATTGCATTACATTACGCCTGCATTGCCCTATCTCGTATAGGCAGAGAAAGACGGACGGACGGACAGACAGAAAGGAAACCCACCCGGCACTTCTCTGATGGATTCCCTCCCGGTCGAGCTTCTGAGACTCGTCTTTTCGCACTGCGACCCGCAGTCCGTTCGGAGTCTGCGCACCCTCACCCGGATCCTGGCCGACGTGGGCTACGACTATCTCTTGTCTCCTCAGTTCACGGCCGTCAGCTGGAGAAACGACATCGACCGGCTGCATTCCATCGCCCTCCACGACCGCCTGAGGGGCAGCATCACGTCCATCTGCATATTTCTCGGAGAGCTGTCTTATTACGATGCACGGAGCACCTCGTGGTAAGTGTGTCGTATATCTCTTTTGTCTTGTTTCTCTTCCTTCTTTTTTTTTTCCACGAAGGAAGAGTAGAACGCCATCGCATCGGTTTAAGCCGAAACGGTTGCAGCGGCCCCCATTCGTTCTTCCATTCGCTCCTCTATTCGTCCCATCCTTCGTCTGTTGGGGGTATGTGGTACGGTCGTGGCATGGTTCCGTTACATCGAGTACGATGTCAACTACACCGCCCAGTCTTGGGGGGACACCACCTTGCTCACTTCGCTTCCGCAGGTTCCAGCATTTCGTCACGCCTCCGGAACAGCTCAGTGAGATTATGGGCACCGCCATGCACGAGTTCGACAGGATCGAACGCGGCCGCAAGGCCGTCGGCCCCTTACACCTGAGGGCGGACGATCTGCGCGAGGCCTGCTCCGCGCTGCCGAATCTCAAGGACCTCGAGGTCACATTCACCCAGTTCCCGCTCAAGAACGAATTCTTGCGCGAGGTATTCGACTACCCGAGCTGCAGGAAGCTCGATCGGCCCCAGACGTACAACAATCTCGATGCCATCATCCAAGCGCTCCACGGCGTCCCCTTGTCCACCTTCAAGGTCGATCGGCTCCCCCTCGAGGTGTTCCGTCTCCCCAGTCACCGCTCGCAATGGTTCACCCATGCGCAGTCGTTCAACAGCCTCTCCGTCCTCGACTTAACCCTCGACCCGTCGGGGCTGCAGGGTCCCGGGTCGTCTTTCCGCGCCATGATAGGGCTCGGCCGCATCCTGCAGCTGGCCACGGGACTGAGCTACCTCAAGCTCGCCTTCCATCCCTACTCTAACCAGAGTTCTAAATTCGCCGTCTCCTTCCGCGAGCTGTTCTGGAACTTCGCCTATCCCCACCTCACCGACTTGGTCCTCGAGGGGATCTCGTGCGAGGAGGAAGACCTCAAGGAATTCCTCGCCCGGCACGGCGCGACGCTAGAGCGGTTGAGGCTTGGCGGACGCGGGTTAGCGAAGCCGTTCGAGGTGTCGCTCGGCGGCATCTGCCTGTTTGAAGGGACGTTCCGGTCGCTATTCACCGGCCTCCGGACGAAGCTACCGAAGCTGGAGAAGATGCATCTCGAGGGCATCTTCGAGTGCGAGCACCACGACCTGCCGTCGCACGAGGCGTACAACTTCTACCCCCTGACGAACGAGCGCTGGGAGCCGGTACCGCGGCCGAAGTGGGTGCGCAGCTCGCGTAAGACCATCAGCTGTCTCCCCTTCGAGCGCTACGTCCTCTGCGGAGGGCCCTACCCTGGCAATGCGCTGTCCCAACAGCACTATTGAGCGACGGCTGAGCGAGGGGGAGAGTCGACCAGTCACGACTTATCCGCCGTCGCGAGAGACGAGAGAACGAAACGAATCGAAGACGAACGTCGCTCCTACCTTTCCTGTTGTACCAACATGAGTCATCTTGCATTATTCCCACCAGGCGGGACGGTGGGCCAGTCGGGGGCCCGCAAGACGGGCGGCGTCGGTGTCGACGGAGCGCATGAAGAGGCTTTTTTTTTATTGATCATCTTGGCTTTGACGGCGGTGCTACATCCAACATCATCAAACTTTGCTCATCTTACAACGGAAATCGGCGCGTGAGAGGGGCGGTCGGCGGCCGGCGCACTCTTTCTCATTTCATCTCGTCTCACTTTCCCCTCTCTCTTCGCCGCGCGTGCGGAGGAATGCGGCCCACCGCGTTTTTAATTCTCACCTCAGCCCTATATTTTCCCTTTCGGTCAGTAACCTCATAGACGGGACGTATCGTTTCAATTTCCTAACTCCACATCCTCTTTGTCTCTCTCCCTCTCATGTCCTATGGGTTCCCCCCTTTTTTTTCCCCTTCGCCTTTTCTCTTCCTCTTGCTTGCCTTTTCGCGAGGACAGCAGGCGGCAGCACCAACAGGAGTACGGAAAGCAAAGGGGCCTCGGATATGTAATTGCTTTTTTCATAGAGGGGATACGGACGTTCTGGAGCGGCTTGGCTGGCTGGTTTCTTGTTCGCGCAGAGTGCTGCCTTCTTGTCCCCCCGGCTCAATTCCTCGCTTGTTCGGATCCGTCACGGTTAATTCGTCAAGTGGATTTTCTTTTCTCTTGTTCAGCCTCACTGTGTTTTCCTTTTCCTGGTCGCACGATCAGGCGTCTCGTTGCCCGCTTCTCGACATCCCCTTCCCCTCGTGGGCAGGACACAGGAGAGGAATTCGACGGTGCATATGCGTACAGACTGACATGAGCCATTTCCTTCTTTACGACGCGGGTTTTATTATATTACTACTACTACTGATACGACGGGTACGCGGGCTGCCGAGACGATATGATAATGACGACGGTATAGCATGTTTTCATTTGGACGGGATGGATAGGGGTAGCTCTGCCTCGCCAGGATTCCTTGGGTATGTCTTTTTCGTCGTCTTCATCGGGAGATCGGGCATAAAAAGTTAGACGCGCGCGCACACATACACAGATTGCATCGTACTTAGGTGAGACTGACTAAATTGGATTGGCCCCCTCCCCCGGCTGTTGATACCATCTCTTTGGGGGAGGGAGGGGCGGTTTATGCTCTACCTCGACGTGCATCCCACGAACGGATGACTAGCTACCTGTGTGTGTCGTATCCCTCGTGCGTGTCTCCACGGGTCCGTCTTCGCCGACTCAAAGCCTAAACGGGGTAAAGCCAAGGAGAGCTGTTGCCACCACCGCCGTTGATCCCGTAGAGGGTAGGAGGACGCCCTAGCTAAGAGGCGTCTTCTGTACGTAGGTCATCTAGCACGATCTCTAGGAACTAGTCGACTCTCCGCGCCTTTCTCTCGGGTGGGTCGCTGTGCTATCCCCTCCGTCATCTCGGTCATCATGTGTCTCGGTACGAGTCCCGAGGATGCCGACAAGGTTTGCCATCTCCAATATACGCTATACGTAAAGAGAGAGAAACGAGGGGAGGATGGAGGAAGAAAGGCAAGGGGGGGCAAGTGCACGCGGGTTGTCCCAACGGTTTCACCGAGGTACCCTTAAAGCACCGGGGATGAAGGCGACAATGTGTGCACATTGCCAAGGTCGAGGTATATACCACTTGAAACTCGGTAAGATACCGGCATGCAGAATGCGTCGGGGAAAAGAAGCATACATAAGGTGTGTATATATATATATATATATATATATACATATATACATACATACATGCCTACACCGATAAGAGGGTGTATGTATATGTAGAATAACCGACCTGTGGGCATAGTACCTACATGCCTAGGCAGGCATGCATATAGGTAGAGATATGTACGTGCCTGGTCTGACCAGGGGGGGTGCCGCCGCCACACATGAGATGCCTCCCGCTCGCATATATACCTACATCTATCCATGTCTATACGCATTGCCTGTCTGCCTGTCTGCCGCCTGCATACGTGAAGGCCAGGCATGTGTCATATAAAGTAGATAGATAGATACCTAGGGTCTATGCATAGGTAGGTATACGCATATTCCCGTCGGACTCCACCCGCCCACTTCCCTTCTTTCTTCACCTCCCCTCCGCCCTCCCCTCTCTCCCCCTTTTCTCGCCGCTTAGGCGAGGCAACACACACACACACACACACACACCACGTACATATAACATCACGGATACACTTGTAGCAGGCGCGGTTCTAGATCCTCCCGCGGCTGCGGGACTGACTCGCTGGCGTGCCCCATTCCCCACCCCCCTTTGTTAGGGCTCCCGTTAGTAGAGAGTAGTGAAGTCGACGTCTGCTCTTGCTACCTACCTTCGGTACCTACCCACCCGTCGGCTTTCCCTTTCTTTTTCGCTGCCCTCGAGCCCGAGCTATGCGGGTCGGCGAGGCGAGGCTGGGTCCGGGTCGTCCAGGTTATTATATCCGGATTTTCTCCCCACTCATCCGTTGCTGCACAGGTATGTATGTGTTCTGTGAGGTAGGTATGTGCGTGTGTGCATATGAGTAGACAGGTGGGCAGGCGGGCGGGTGGGTAGCACCAGGCGCTCCCTACGTGCGACTGTTGCTGCTACCCATCAGCCCTAAAGTTGTCGTTTAACTTACCTACATACCGCAGGTATGTACTAGTAGCACTTCCCTACCCGGATTCCCTTCCTACTTGTCTATCTATATACGTGCCGTGGTTGGCGACGCGGCGCGCGCAGATCGGGGGCCGGCGACCGCAATACCTACCTACTTGTCTGCCTACTTATAGGTACGTCCGGGCCAGGCTTGGCAAACGTGAGAAGTGAAGCCGAAGGCTGAAAAGTCCTCCCTCCCCTCCCCTCCCCTCCCCTCCCCGCTCCGGAAATAATCGTAGGAGAAGAAGAAGAAGGAGAAGAAGAAAGGAAGGAAAGAAGAAAAGAATTAAGCCGGGAACGCCGGGTCGACGGAGACGTGCCGCGTCGTGGCCGCCGCCCCGCCCCAGGGCCCGGAACCGTGGGCAGCCTAGCTTAGCTACCCTGCCTCCTAGCTAGCCCCCGCCCTCTTCCGCCTTCTCGTCTTGCTCGGCTCCCCCCCCCCCCTCTTCTCCCATCGACGGTTGCGAATCCACCGGCGCCAGTCCCAGCGCCAGCTTCGGGCGGGAATCGGTTGCCATCTTTCTTCCTTTCCTTCTTTCTTTCTTGCTTCTCGGTGTAACCTGCGGGTGCGGGTGTGGGTATGTATGTACCTGTATGTGCATATGCGTACTTAGCTACCTACCTAGATATGCATACACCTCCTAGGTAGCTAGGTACCTTATAGCATGTGCGAGGATGCTGCGTAGTGCTGGCGGTGGTAGGAAGAGCCTCTGCCGACGTCGAGTTCGAGATAGGTCGCATACAGACCCAGATACCGCATGTAGCGAATACAATACTACCTAGGTAGGTTCTGCGCGTCAGCTTACCTTATACCTAGTCCCGGACTTGGCAGGTTCTGCTTCTTCCCCTTTACGGCGTGACGGGCGCTGCTGTGTCCCGAGACGAGGAACACGGATGCTAATGAGGCATGCAGGCGTTTCCCAGGTAGGGTGTTGAACTGCCCAGCTGGGTTGGCGCTTACTTCTGAACCAGACTGACTGTCCGGCTGCCCGCGTATTATCCATGTAGGTAGGTATTCCTACTCGAATATGCTACGCCTTCGTCGTCGTCTTCTTCTTCTTCTCCTTATTCTCCCCCCCCTTCTCCTGTTGCGTCGCTACAACCTACCACCGCACGCGCGCATAGGCGTGCATTCATCCCTATAATACGCCTACATCGTACATATCTGCTACGCAAACCACATACCCAAGGCGGTATGTAGTACCTATGCGAACGTCCTCCCTTTTCCCGCCATCCAATCAACCCCCCCCCTCCCTCCCTCTCTACGTGCGTGCGGCACATACCCGCCTACCGTGTAAGCCACACACGCACCCCCCTCCCCCAGCCAGAGCCAATAGTCTGCGCATCGCCGCATCGCGAGGCTGGCTGGGCGGGCTTCTGGGCGGGAGGGGAGAGGGCTGCGGCTTACTACGGTGCTGATTACGTTGGGGGCCGTGGCGCACCCGAGGAGAGAAAGAGGGGGTTGCTGTGGAGATTGGCAGAGAGGGAGAGATACTCGCAGAGGTGCAGCTTATGTCGTCTATCGTCTATCGAGATTGATATATAGGTCGGCGGATATAGGTGCCTGCTTACATGCATACATCAGGTTGTGTCGATGTGCGGTGTGTGCTACCGACTATCCTGTCTACACGAAGGAGTGTGCGTGGTAATTGATAGACAAGCCGACTCTCGTGCCATCATCATCATCATTATCCTCCTTCTCGTCACCACCATCCTCGCCCGGTTCGTATTGTCGTTCCCCGTCCATCCATACCTATATCCGTTTCGTCATACGTACGTACCTACCTATGTGCCTACATACATGTGCGCTTTAAACAGGATGGAGTGTGGAACCGGCGCCAGGGGGGAGCGTGCTGCCCATCAAGTTTTTTGCCTTCTTTCATTCCTGTTGTTCCTATTGCCACGACCAACTTCTTCGTGTTCCATTGTTTTTTCTGGCATGATTTTCTCTCTCTCTCTCTCTAATGCATACCTCGTGCATACGTATATCCATGCATTCTCCTTTTTCTTGCCTCGCCTTGCCTCGCCTAGGGAGGGGAGGCCGCGGGCCTCGTCTTCTCGTTTATGAGTAGCTTGGGGCTGAGCTGGCCGCGATCGGTTTCGCCAGCGCGCGCTAGAGCACCGGGTTCCCGGCCCCACCTCCCCCCTAGTAGCTAGCCGTACCTACCTACCTAGGTATATCGCGGGGGGGAGGGTTTCTCTCATTCTTTTCTTTTCTTTTCCTTCTCGCTCTTCGCCTCGCCCTCGCCCTCGCGCCGGCTGGCTAGGCGACGTCGCCGACTCGCGTCGACGACGGCGAGACCGGGCCAGGCTAGGAACTAGCGTAGGGCGCCTAGGATGGAGCCTAGCTCGCGCCAGGGGAGGGCCAGGGGCGGGCGAGATTCGTGTCCCGGTGGCGCGGGCGGACTACCGCTACCACCTGGTACTTGACACGGCGGTAGTGGTGGTCGGTGCATCGTGTGGTGAAAGTACGGAAAGTAGGACTCAGTCGTATGGGAGAATGTGGGCTGGCGGCGGAGCAGCAAATATTGAGTACTGTCTTGGGTCGGGGTAGGTAAGGAGCACCGGCGAGAGTGAGTATATACGTAACATAGGTACCTATGCGTCTACGAGGCGCGTATATAGGAGATGGCCATATATAACATCTCACAGGTACGCATGGGGGCTGGAGATACACATACCTTAGGCATCGAGGTAGGCATTTTTCCCTAAACGCACCGAATACGACCAACCCGAGGTGTCTACAGGACTACATCAGGTTACATGTGCGATTGTAAACTTCCAACATGCCTACGTCTTCCACCCTGCCTAGGGAGAGAATGTTGAGCCTGTGCCTCGTATCACACACATGCTATACAGCACCCTACGAATATCACATTACAATATTACCCGTGTGCCAATGAGCATGGAATCGAAGGGTGGCCAATCTCGTTGTGAAGAGGGTTCGGTTGCCCGTCCCCGTCCCCGGTGCGAGATGACGATGACGATGGGGGGGGGCCACATGATTTGTTGCGACGAGACGAGAACTCCGCAAATAGATATATTGCCTGCTTTGTAGGGTGCTGCGAGCATTGCCGGCGACGGTGAGAAGTTTCCAGACTTTCCACCGTCTCCCCTTTTTTATGATTAGTATTCCTGTTATAATTGCTATATTAGGTATATGTGTCTACTGCTGGTGCCAGCACTTATCCGTCTCATCCGTGTGTGCGTCGCTGACCGGGGCGGAAACCGACGAAGGGCAAAAAAGAAAAGATTCCCCCCCCCCTCTCCCCAATCAACCCCAGGCCAACGCTACCCGCCGCCTGCCGCCTCGTCGACATCATCATCATCCGATCGCCTGCGTATGGCCTGCCGGCCGGGACGCGTGCGACGGCTCGTCCGCTAGCTAGCGCGCGTGCGTGAGGGTTAGGTCACTCCATGTCGTGCCCATGATCAGGGCGTGCCCACGCACGCCTACGAACGGCGACATACTACTAGCATCTCGCGCGGCAGCACCTGAGTGTGCGATGTGTATACGTGTAGGTACGTAGGTATGAGGTGCCATCGATCCCAATGCTGTGTCCCATGCGCCCGCACGCTTGGCCTAGCTTGGCAGGGTCTCCCTTCTTGGGGACCGGTCGGAGAAGAGGCGTCAGACGGGCGAATCTGCGTCGAGGGATCGTCGTAGCCAACAGTCCGTTTTCCGTCCGCCGTCGGCATCTGTGCTCAGATGGCGCAGGGCTGTATTGGCAATATACGTGGAGGACGGCGCAGGCTCGCCGCGTACCTGATACCTACCTACCTTGCCTACCTACTACTGGAGGTAGGTATCGAGATGGTGTAAGCGTGTGAGCTGCAAGCCGCAGGCTTGCACCAACAGCGACAAGATCGGTGGCGTCGGCAATTGGCCAGGCATTGTTCCGATTGTCGGCCGGACGGACAGTGGTGAGGTACCCATATGTAGATGGTAGGAATCTAGGATGCGATCTCGACAGGACGACGCTAGAGAAATGAGGAAAAAGTCAACAGGAGGAAACCAAAATAGACAGACCCTCGGCGGCGCCCGGTTTTTGGATGGGGGGGGGGAGGTAGATGTGTGTGTCCAACGCATGCGACACACTCTACGTAGACATGCAACGCGGATGATCTATGTACCTGCGACGGCGTTTTCTATGAGTATTTGTAAGGCGTTCCCTCTGGTGCGCAAGCCTCAATATCCGATAGTGTGGTGGGATGGAGACACCGACGGCGACAGGGTTCGCACGGTGATCGAGTCGATCCCCGAGTCCCGTCGATGAGATGGATCCATCATTTCAAATCTGTTACAGGCTCCCCGGTTTTTTCTTTCCCAGCGCTGAGGTCTCCGCCCGGCGGGTTCGGTGCAGGCATATGAGTAGGCTACGTCGGGTACCTGAGGTGGGCTTCGAGGGCTGCACGCACCCAACTCTCTCCCTTCCACTCTTCCGCTCTGCGCATCTATGAGCAGTTCCCGCATGCCGTTTCCCCGGCTTGATTCACGTCTTAGTTCGAGAGGTGTTGTGTGTGCGTGTGTCGGATGGGAATGTCATGTGGCATTCCCGTACCGTTTCACTCTTGTCTCTGCCCTGGGCCTCGTGCTCGCCTCTCCAGGTCGGGTGGGTGTATACTATACCAGGCGTGCTACTATGTTTTACTCCCATACCGTCTCTGGCTTGACTCTCAACTTAACACCTCTCCACCCGCGGCCCCCACAGGCCTGACCACGTTCTGCCTAGCATCCGACAAAGTTTCGTACGAGTAGTGGTGTTAGCTCTGCGTAGTCCGCCCCCCTCTTCTTAGAATCTCATTTTGGGAAAATTAAATTGACTCACCTACATCGTCGACCTGGCCGTACCTCGGGCCTCAGGCACATCCATCGAGGGCCTGGTACAGCAAGGGCAGGGCCAGACGGCGTGGTGGCCTCGTTCTACCTTGAGCAGGGCAATATAAAGCCACTATATCGAGGCGTAGCAAGTACATGGCGATATGTTGGTACCTGGGTACGTTTGAACACAGAGGGACGCATCCGTACATGTGTATAGTAGGTACCAGGTATGTAGGCACATTCTCTCGGTTCCTGTGCCTGAATTCATTACGCGGTCGGTATTGCGGCTGGCCCACCTGGGCCACACTGGACACTCACTGGACAGCACTGGAACCCCCGCCATTGCCAGCTGGCCCCAAAGCGGAAAGGCACCCCAAGCTCTTCGCTCCCTGACCCCTGATTCCTGGTCCCGGCCTGCCGAAGCGTGCTAACCCGGGTACATGCTAGGCGGTGCCTCTGTACCTGCGGCACATGTACACGCCCCGAGTGCGGCGCCCGGCTGCGACGCCGACAAGTACTCGCCAACGGCGTACCAGGGTCCGTACTGCGTACCTCATACACAGCAGCAGCAGCAGCGGTGGGCACCCCCTGTCTTTTCCCGCTTGGCTTGGCCCGCTAGACATGCATCTACGCATGCCACCACCCAGGTCTCGTACCGGCTACTTGCACGCATCCATGGCAACGCACCCAACGCCCCCAGCGCAAACGAAGGCTGGCCTGGCCGGGCCCATGTCCGGGAGAGTAGCCTGTACTTGCCACGCCCGCTTGTTAAAACGTCACCTCTTTACCTGCAGCCACTTTGTCCGACTCGCTAGCAACCGCCCCAGCACCTTCTGGCCAACTAAAATTGCGCTGATAGCAAGCGGCACCAGCAGGCGGCCAGCACCACCCACCACCACCACCTTACCGGTTATCAGGGACCTCCCTCCAGACAGGTACATACATAGGCACACACACACACACATACATACATGTAGGTACATAACACGCCTCCTACTGCAGCAGCAAGCAGCTGCATGCACCTGTTTAATTCCCAGCCGATTGCCTTAGGTAAACCCACCGAGCCCCCAACTGCGTTGCGTCCAACCGCCAGCCGACTCGCTCCTCTCTCTTTCTCCCTCTCCCTCCCTTCTTGTCCCCGATCTCCCACTCCTTGGCTCGAGTCGCCGCTTTATTTGCTTTCTTTCTTTCTTTCGTCCTTCCTCTCCTACGCCGCCTTCTCCCCTCCCCTCCCCTCCTCCCTACCTCCTCTATCACTCGTGCTGTCGACCTTTTCTCTAGAGCATTTTCGTCCGACTCGACATCTCGACATCCCGCTGCTCGGTTGACCTCCCGCCCTCCCTTTTCTTGTTGCCCCAGCGCCTGCTCGATGGCCGGGCAATCTAGTCTGCACTGAACCTGGCCATCCCTGAATCGACGGATCCGACCAGCCAGCCAGTCGTTGCCTGCGCCGGCTTGTTCCCTCTACGCCGCGAGCCCTTCCCTCCGCCACACCGCGCCACGCCGCAGGGACAATAGGAATTATATATATACACTACCGCCTCTCGGAAGGCGTGGACCCGCGCTTCCTTACTTGCAGTCAGCCATGCAGCGGGTTTCCGCCCTCCTCCCGTGGGATCGCAGCCGGGCAAGCACCGGCACTGTCAGCACCGGCAGCCTCCACGCCAGCAAGAACAGCACCGAGCTGGTGCGTGGGTGGGCCGACAAGATCCCCTCGCCCGTCAACCGCTTAAGTACCCACAAGCTCGGGAAAGATCCCCTCTGTCCTGCGACTTTGGACAAGGAATGCGACAAGGCTGCTCGCATCCTCAAGTCCTTCTGTGGTACGTCCCTTGCCCCTGTGCGCTGTCTGCGTCCGCGAGGGCGCGTGGCCGGGACGGCGGGAAGCTAACGCTCTACCCCCCCCCCCCCCCCCCCCCTCCCAGTCGATGGCTTTTCCACCCCGGACGACCGGCCTAGCAGCCCGTCCACGTACTCGAGCAACAATTCCTCGCATAGGCTGCTGAAGAAGATACCGCCGCGGATAATACAGAACGCCGTCGGCCTGGCTGTCTTTACCTCGATGCGATCCGGAATTTGGACAACCGGGTCGGGCGGCAGCGGCATTCTGGTTGCGCGCAAAACCGACGGGACCTGGTCCCCGCCGTCTGGACTCCTCCTCCAGACGACGGGGTTACGCTTCGTTTTCGGTGTTGATATCTACGATTGCGTCCTCGTCATCAACAACTTCGCCGTGCTCGAAGCCTTCGCTCGGCCACGAGTGACCGTCGGTACCGATGTGACCCTGACCGCCGGTCCCCTGGTGGCCTTGGGCTTGCTTGAAAACGACGTCACCTGGACCGACCTGAGTGATAGGGCAATCACATACATAAAGGCCAAGGGACAGTCTGCCGAAGTCAAACTGGACGGTACCATCATCAGCGAGCGGGCCGAGGAGAACGAGAGGTTCTATGGGATGAAAATAGGTGTCGCTAAGATCCTCGCGGGCGACATCAACCAAAGCTTGCCCCAGATGCGACCCCTGACCGAAGTGCTCAAGGCCGCAGAGGGTAGGACGGACTACGACGCGGCCCTTGTCGAACAGATTTGCTCTCAGCCGGCGCCCGGGGACGCGACGATCGATTCGCCCAGTACGGGTGGCTCGTCGCCCGCCTTCGGCCTCCCCGATGCGGAAGACCCGGACCCCTTTGGCGTTTTGGCGCTGGAGATGGCCGGAATGGGTATTCGTGAAGCTGGCACCCGCCTCCGGCCCGACAGCAGCCAATTCGAATACAACCCCAGCCCGACGAGCCCCTTTTTCCCTCGAGCCGGCCGCCAAAGCGTCGACACTTTCTTATCCCGAAGCAACCGAGGAAGCTACATGTCTAACAAGACGGTAGCCACGGAACGAAGTCTGATGACCGACGCCGGTACTCAGACGTATTTTGTGACGCCTCAGACAACCCCGAGCCCGAGCCAGAGCCAGAGCGAAGATGGGAGTCAATTCCATACGATGGAGGATCTCCCCGAGGTCAAGGAGCCGATCGAGTTTGATTATACCAAGATCGACATTAAGGCATTGAGGAGTCTTTCAAAATTCCCCGACCTCGACGACGAACCCGTTACCACCGTTTCAATCAAAGAGGAGGATGAGGAGCAAGAAGAAGAAGGAAAAGAAGCCGATTCGAAGAAGAGATCAGAAACTTTACCCACTCGCGACGCGGAGTCTAAATCTCGTGTGCAGGTCGAGAGCGACGATAGCAGTGACACCGACGAGGAGGAGCGGGGCCAGAGCAACACCGATAAGGGTGATGTCGAAGAGGAGGAGGACGACGACGCGGGAGACGAATCGGACGCCGAAGAAGAGGCTGTCGTTTTGGAGGTAGCCGTGGCCCCGGCGCCCGCTCGCGTGGCTATGGGAGCGTCCCGGGTCACCATTCCCGCGCGAGTTCCGCCTCCTCTCCCGGCTCGCAGTCCCGCGCGCGCATCCTGCAGGCGCAGCCAAATGGGCGACGTCAGCGGCCTGGTGGGCAGCCCGCTTCGGCAACAGTTCGAGCTCGACGCCAAGGCCGAGGGCGAGGTCGACGAAGCCGCGACACCGAGAGCTAAACGTAGCACGGACGGGCACTCGGAAACGATCGAGGTTGTGCCGGCAAGAGACGTGCCGCGGACGTCTCACGAAACCGCGGTGGGGGCTAAGAAGGCAGACGATGCCCAAGAGGAAGACGACGCCGAGAAGGCTAGGAATACCGAGGAGGCTGAGGACGCCCAGGCTGCGGAGGATGCCGAAAAGACTGGCGATGCCGAGAAATCAGCATATCCCGTAACCCCGATTCGAGAGTTTGAGGGGCCGAACGGCTACGCTTCTAGGCGTGATGACGACCAAACTCCCCGTGGAGGGAAGGGGGTAACCCAAACACCACCGCCAGCGGAGGAAGGGAATAGCTTGAAAGCGAGGCCCAACGTAACCGTGTCCGTTGCCTAGGGGTACCCGCGATGTTCTAATCCCCACCCCACCCCCCTTTTTTTTCACCCTTCATTCACGACTTACGGGATGCTTTTTGGAGTTTTGGCGAGATCATACAGGCAAGGTCTCAGGAAGAGCAAGATACCACGATGGTTAGGAACGATCGATCGGACTGCAGTTACGGAAGCTGGCCCGGGCCACCCTCGGGTAACGTGCAACGCATATAAAATCGAGGCTATAAAGACGACGTGTCCCAGGGATGGGATGGGTCAAGTATAACAAATACCCCCTGATTATGTATTTCTATTGTTTAATATTGTGTAGCGATCCAAGTTGAGGCGGCCGACGACGACGAGGGGAGTGGAAAAGATGCCAGCAGATGGGAGGAGCCGCCCTGCTCCGTTCTTCTTGGGCCTAGAGCTAGGCGAGACGGGCCTAGATAGGCATGTCCAGATAAGAGGGTCAGCGAGAACAAGAAAGATACTGCCACTAGGGTCAACCACAATAGCTCATTATAATTTCAAAAAAGGGACTCCTAAGGCAGCGGGATTGCTTGCTTGCTGGCTGGCTTTTGCTGGCACACACACGTCCATATAGACAGGCGTAAAGGGAGGATGAGGTTGAGTTGTGTTGTGTTGTAGTTGCCCAGCAGCGTCGTCTCCAGAGCAGCAAGCATCTACTGTGTTGAATCACTCGAGTGTTTTCTGTGCCTAGATCAACTTCTCGACGTTATAAAGGAAATCTCTTCAATTCCATTTCTCTCTCTCGCCATCTGCCATTCACCTCATTGTCGGCGTCGTCAGCATTGGTGCCATCGTCAACCTCAACACCAAGGAGCGATCAATCGATAGCAGATACAGACTGCACATATCGTCTAATTGATTAACGTGCATAGGTGTATCCACCTATACAACAGCTGCAAGGATGGGCCGCGGGGGCAAAGGAAAAAAGAAGGGTGGCAGCAAAGGCGGAAAGCCACAAGAGGGACGTGGCCCAGCCAGTCCTCCGGTTGTTGCTGAGAACCAAAGCGGGTGAGTTGATTATGGCAGCTATCTATTGTGCAAGTTCCTATCTCAGGCCGGAGAGACGGAGGTTAACCAGCCGATTGCGAGACACAGGACGCCACAAGAGACTCCCCCAGCCACAGCGGGCCGGGGCCGGGGACTGCAGGTGGGTGGCACAGGTGGCGGTGGCAGCACCAGCAGCAGCTGGGGAAGGATTTCCAAACGCGAGCTGGGTTCAATTCGCGATCCCTGGTTTGGCACCCTCTCTCCCTCCTGCAACGGAACGGCCGCCGACGACGACGACGATTCCGACGACCAGAAGCACCACAACCCCAGCCAAGACGTCGCAACCGCCCCGGAGCAGGCCCATAGCATCCAGAACCCTCCCACAACTCCCCGGCCCAACCATCCTCCCGAAGACACCAGCCACTCCAAAACACGAACACCGCGAACACCGCGAACCGAGAGAGCGCTGCGAAGGGAGCTCAGTCGCCAACGCCCGGAGCCGGCCAGCAAGACCGACCAGAAGACCAAAACCCCCGTCGATCGTGCCGGCCCCGCAGATTACCGCGCCGATCACACCTTCGACCCCTTCCAGGACGCCAACATGGCCAGCCAGCAGGCCAAGTGGCGCGAGGAGCAGGTCCTCGTCATCTGCCCTGGCAGCCTCACCACTACTGCACAGCTGGGATGCCACGACCTGACCCCTCCCGCCCACCGCATCCCCACGCGCATGTTCTGGGACGACGAGACTGGCCAGTACACCCCTTACCACACCTACAAGCGCAAGAAGGCCTCCGCCTCCGCCGGCGACAAGGACGAGTGGGAGTTTGTCGAGGACCGCGACAGCGTCAAGGGCGCCATCTACCCCATCGTCGGCGGACGCATTGTGCATATGACCGCCTTCCTCGCCTTCCTCGACCACGTCCACGGACTGCTCACCAACACCTACCACAATACCCCCATCGTCCTCGTCATATCTCCGCGCTGGACCCGACCAGACTGCGAGATTATCACCCAGTACATCTTTGAGAAGACCAAGACGCCCGCCCTGTGTCTGCTCCATAACGCTGTCGCAGCCCAGTACGGCGTGAAATGGCCCTCTCTGACCGTGATCGACATTGGCTACGAGAAGGTTGACGTCACTTGCATCTACGACTACAACATCGTGAACCGCGGCATGCTAGGCTTTCCTTGCCCCGAGAGGCACATCTCTGGCGGCGATGTCTTTACCCGAAAGCTGCAATCCCTTCTCAAGGATAAGAGATTCACCTACGACATGGCCGAGACCCTGAAGAAGAGCCCCCTCTGCGAGGTTCTCCCCTATGCCGGCGACCTGCCCGAGCTCATGGAGCTCCCCACCGACGAGCCCACCACGGCCCTGGGCCAGCCTGCAGGCGGCGCCCTCCCTATCGCCGAGAGTTCGCGAGCCGCAGAGCTCCCCAAGCCCGTAATCGCCCTCGGCGGCGACATCGAAAACGGCTTCGCCGAAGGTAAAGAGAGCGAGGAAGGCGTTCTCGATGTGGCCAACATCGTTACGAGCGGAAACACTCGAGAGTTCCTTGCCAAGCGAGAGAAGGAGAAGGCTGAGAAGGCAAAATCGAGGAAGCAGGGTAAGGGTCAGGAAGCCGAACCTGCAGCTGCGAAACCTGTCCGACTGCCGAACTCTAGGCGAAAGGTTGTGACCTTCCATTACGAAGAGCTGGTCCACGAAGACGTCGAGGTCCCTATCTCGGCCGGCGCTCCCAAAGCGGACCCCGCCGCAGCCACTACTGGTACCGCGGCCGGCAACACGTCCGTGCCAGTAGAGGGCGCGCCCACAAACCAGGAGGCGACAGCCGCAGCAAAGTCGGATCCCGAGGGTACTGCTACCGGCGAGACGAACGGCGGTAGCGACGCGGCGGAGCCTGCCACCGCCGGCGCCTCGGCCACGGAGCGACGAACGAAGCGCGTGCGACACGACATCGAGGTGGGACTCGAGCGATTCCTCTTCGCCGACCGTTGGGAGATCAACCGGATCACGGACACCATCTACCGCACCATCCAGACCGTCGACGACCTGTACAAGCGCCCGGCCTGCTGGGACAACCTCCTGTTCGTGGGCAACGGCAGCCGCCTGCGCGGCCTGAAGGAGAACATCATGCAGACGCTGCTCGCGCGCCACCTGGTGTCGCCGTCGACGGCGACCATCTTTACGTCGGAGCTCCCGTCGAACATGGCGACGCCGAGCGGGACCGGATCGCAGACGCCGACGGGCTCGTTCACGGGCCCGCTGCCGACGACGAGCTCGGTGAACCCGCTGCTGCAGGCGGCGACGGCGGCGGCGACGCTCGGCGTGCCCGGCTCCTCCTCGGGCGGCGACGGCGGCGCCGGCAGCAGCAGCGGCCAGCAGGCCCAGGGCCAGCTGACGCAGCAGCAGCAGCAGCACCACTCGCACTCGCACGGCCAGACGCCGATGAGCATCAAGCTGGCCGCGCTGCCGACCTACCTCGCCGAGTGGACCAAGCACGGCTACGAGGAGGCCCCGTTCCTCGGCGCGCTCATCGCCGGCCGCCTCATCTACTGCATCCACCACCAGGACCCGCAGGCGGGCGAGGCGCTCCGCAGCATGAGCATGACGCGGGTCGAGTACAAGTGAGTTCCCCTTCTCCCCTTCCCCCCTTTTTTTTTTCAATTTTCACCAGCATCCAACTCTACACTCTCCACTCTAGGGAGAAGAAGAGAAGAGCATCCAGGCTAATATCTTTTTTTCCCTTCCTTCCGCTACAGCGAGCATGGCCCGAAGCTAGTCCGCTCCCGCTCCGTCATCGGGTAGCCCCGTCGCGGGCAACCAACCACCCTTTCGAAGAAGAGAGGAGGGGGGGGGACGCAAGAGACGTAGAAGAACACATGGACGGTTTAACCCCCCACCCCCCCCCCCCATTCTTCTCGTTCTCGGCCTTGCCCCCCCCCTCTCGATTCTCTCTCTCTCTCGTTCCGTCTCGTCGTCAGCTTTCGGAGTTCCGCGTATACCAAAAATACAAGAAAGGCAGGGAGGGAAACGGAATGAAAGGTGCGGGGAGTGGACTCTTTTTGTTCTTCTCTTGTTCTTTTTTTTTTTTTGTGGCCCCGGAACGACTTTTGCTTCGCTCGTTCCGCCGGGCCCTCCCCGCAGGGCTGTCTGTTAGAGAAAAGGGGGGAAAGAAGCTTTTATTGTCGGGTCGTCTCGTCGTCGCCTGCCAGTCCTGTCCCGTCGGCGCGTGGTGTTGGTCTATTTCTCTCTCCTCTTGTTCTTACTCTTGTTTTTCCTCTTCCCTCTTGTTCATCTGTATAGTCTCTCCCCCTTTCTCGTTCGTCCTCCCCGTCCCATCTCTCCTCCCCTCTCTGCTCACGACGGAAGGGGTTGGGGTGGGCGGCGGTAGGAGAAGGGGCGGTAGGGACTGGCGGAGTGCAGGAGAGACGAGACGAGACGAGACGGGCTCGCAGACGGCGGCCGTTTCTCGAGAGAAAGTGTGAGAGACGATAACTGGCCGGCTTCCGCCGCCACCGGCAGGGTGGGCGTATTAATTCTGCGCGCACACGTGCGGCCATCTGTGTACGAGTAACCTGACGTCAGTCTGTGACGTTTTTTTTCTTTGGCTTCTCATTCCGCATCACGACGGCTAGATCAATCCACGATACCCAATTCACCATCGTCGTTTCTTATTTATTTGAAAAACAAACCTCGTCTTTTCTTCCTCCTCCTCCTCCTCCTCCTCCTCTCCTTTTCCCCCTTCTCCCCCCACCTCTCCCCTACTCTTCCTACCCAGGTCTTTATTCAGGCGGACTCGTGCCCTCTACTCCATCCCCGGGGACGGGGAGGAGAGGGCAAGGGGGGGTTGGGGGGTGGGGGTGGGGTGGGATACTCGGAGGAAGGACAAGAGAGGGAGAAACCAAAAGGGAGAGACCAAAAGGGAGAAAGGAGGGAGAGAGGGAGAGAGAAAAAAAAGGAAGAAGAGCCTTTGGAGTGAACTAAAACTTCCACCTAGACGCTCTACCTTACCGACGTCACCTACCTAACCTACCTACCTACCGAGACACCGTAACGGCTACAGAGGAAGAATCGCGGCGGGCGCAGGCCCGCTTGGGGCAGAGCCCGCGTGGCGCAGAGAGAGAGAGAGAGAGAGAGAGAGAGAGAGAGAGAGAGAGAGAGAGAGAGGCGGGTGGTGAGGGGGGCAGCGCGTAACCATATATGTATGTATATATACCTATTATATATACATATATACAGGAGAGTAGAGTAGAGCAGAGCAAGCCACACGCTAGGACGGACTGCCCCGGGGAGGGTAAGAGCGGAAGTATGCATGCAGACAGATAAAGAGGTAAAGATAAGACATCCCTAAGGGGGCCAGACATCGTGTCGTGCGTGCGCCCCGCCTGGGCTTCGCCGAGTCGAAAAAAGGGGGCGCCGGGGAAAAGGGGCGAATGGAGTCTTTGTATTTTAGTATTCGCGTCCCCCCCTTGGTCGTTAAAAAAATGAGGGCACATCGCGGAGATATAGCCTTGAGAACCAATTGCTATAATGGCCGTGTGTACGAACTCTCTTCCGTAAGGGGGACAAAAGGCGAAAAGGTTGTAAGCGACGAGAGGGAGTACGAGTTTAACGGGATTGGATTGCTTCGCGACTCTGCTTATATCAACGCGCAACTAGACAAGCCGGTCACCACCTTTCACAACTCAAGAATACATAACATATGCAAACACATACATAGGAGGAACGCAGACGTGGCCCAATCTCTCTGTCTGTAACCCAAGACTTCCCATCCTGGTTTTCTCTTCCTCATTCTCTGTTACCTGACTATGTAGCAAGCGCGCATCGCGCTCGTACATCTCATCTGTCCCCCCCCCATCCCTTCTTTTCCGGCCTACTTTTAAAAAAATACCCCGAACCGAAATCAGCACTTATTTCGTCGGGTCCAGCAGCAGCTTCCCCGCCGTCCGGCGGCCTTCGAGGTCGGCGTGCGCACGCGCGATCTCACTGAGCGGGTACGTGTCGTGAATGCGGAAGTCAAGCTCACCACGCGCCGCGAAGCCGAACAGGTCGGCGGCGTAGGCCTCGAACTCGGCGCGCGTCGCGATGTAGTTGAACAGGGTCGGTCGCAAGAGGCGTGTGTTGCGCGCCGACAGCCGCGCGATCGCGAAAGGGGGGACGGCACCCGACGCGTTGCCGAACGACACGAGCGTACCTTTGCGCGCGACAGACTCGAGACTCAGGTCGAAGGTCGCCTTGCCGACGCCGTCGAGCACTGCGGCCACTCCGGCGCCGCCCGTCAACTCGAGCACCTTGGCCTTGACGTCCTCGACGCTGTAGTTGATCACGTGGGTTGCCCCCGCGCGCCGGGCGAGCTCCACCTTCTCCGGCGTCGACGCCGTGCCGATCGTATTGGCCCCGATCGCCTTAAGCAGCTGCACGAGGAGCAGCCCAGTGCCACCGGCGGCAGCGTGCACAAGCACCCAGTCGCCCTTCTCGACGTGGTACGCCTCGCGCACGAGGGACAGCGCCGTGAGGCCCTGGAGAAGAGCGGCAGCGGCAACCTTAGGAGGGATGCCGTCCGGGATTTTGTACACCTTGTCGGCAGGGACGGCAGTGTACTCGGCATAAGCGGCCTCGCCCAACCTTCCCGCTTTTGTTAGTATATTTTGCTCTGGTGTCCCACGACTAACAATTGTGGAATCGGGGCAACCCGTCCGGGCCCGGTAGGCAGAAGGGCTTCAAAAGCGAGGACGTGCCAAAATGCAATTTCTGCTAGTGATAAGCATCACTTACCAGACCACCCTATCGCCCTCCTTCAGCCCATAAAGCTCTCCGCCGCCCGCCTTAACAATGGTCCCTTCGGCCTCGCGACCGAGAACGTACGGGAACTGCGCCGGCTTGTATAGACCGGTGCGGAAGTACCTACACTATGGTCAACGGCCAAGGTACAATGGCTACGGAGATGACGGCGAGGCGAGAGACACTAGCTGGCGGGTTCCCCGGAGAAGTGGGACAAAGGGGAGCTTACGTATCGATGTAGTTAATGCCGAGGTAGTCGTTCTTAACCAGGACCTGGCCGGCGGCGGGGGCGGGGACGGGCAAGTCAGTCTTGTACTCGAGGACGTCGGTACCGCCCGTCTTGTTGATCACGACGCCCTTCTGGGTGCTCGGTAGGGAAGCCATGGCGCGGGCCGCTATACAGCTGGGCAAGCTGCTCTTCCGGAAGCGCGAGAGACAAACGGCTAGTTCTCGGCGGCTGGAATGGGATGCTAGTTCTCGTAGTATCGCGCGGGACGGCGAGGCTCGGACCAGGGACATGGACTGGTATGCTGGGTCGGAGGAAGAGGAGGAGGAGGAGGAGAAGCGGAATTGGGGGTTGCGAGGGAGGGGGGGAAGCGAAATATGAGTAGACGGCACCGTCTTATTAACACGGCGCTCTCGATAACGGCACGACCATGACTAATGTCGTGCTTTCCCTCTTAGCCGTATGGCAGGAGCCGTGTGTTAGCGACTTCCGACGGCATCGCGAAAAGTGACGCCATTGAGGCCCCTCTTCCCGCCCGTCTAGGCAAGTAGCCACTGCCGTACAATGCTGTATCACGTCCATCACACTTACCCCACCAATGCCTTCCCTCGCTCGCCCGCGCAATATCCGATCCCGGCCAGCGTCGGCCTACAGCCAATGAATCGCCCATACCACCTTAGTAGCTACGCCCTTTCGTCCTCGGCCTCCCGTCGAGCTACGAAACCCGCTTCCGGTCCGGGCTTGGTTTGGGCGTGCCATCCCGGTCCGCGCATCGCTTCCCAGGCTGTCGCTTTTACTCTTTTCTCTATTGTACCTAGCTAATGTTGCCTATGGGGTCTGACCTGTATCGTAAATAGCTGACATGACCGTGGGATATAGTCAAACATCCTCGTCCATCCTGCTCGTATCGTATCGTCCCCGATGCGGCTCTAGCCGAGGGCACCACCAACTAAGTCATCCTAAGCCGACTACCTCGTCAGGGCGATGTCGTCTATCCTCAGGATCATCTTGACCGTCTCCGCCGCTAACTCGATCGCGCTCGTGCTCACCAGCAGCGGTTGCAGCACGTTTTCCTTGCCAATGTTCGGGTTAACTCCTCCGCTCTTGATGCTCACCCCCGCGTTCTTCTCTCCCATCTCGTGCCGATGCCGTAGATCGGTCACCACCTTGATACTGTTTAGGCCCGCGTTTTCCGCCAGCGTTGTGGGTATGACTTCCAAAGCGTCCGCGAAGGCCTTCCAACAGATGGCCTCTGTGCCAGTCAGCGAGCGTGCCTGTTTCGACAGTTGAGCCGCGATCTCAATCTCCGGCGCACCTCCGCCCGCGATCAGCGCCTTCTTCTTGACTAGGCAGCGGATGACACAGAGCGCATCGTGGAGCGAGCGCTCCGCCTCATCTAGGATGAGGCTGTTGGCGCCGCGGCACACTATCGAAACCGTCTTGCCCGCCGACTTCGTCCCCGTGATTTTAACCATCCGCGCGCCGTTCGACTGAGATTCCTCGACCAGATCCGCGGTTCCGAGCTTGTCCTCCGTAAAGGAATCGATATCGGCGATTGGCTTGCAACCGGTGGATTTGCAAATGAATTCCACCTCGTCTCGTTCAATGTCCTTCACGGCCAGGATATTGAGCTTGGCGAGGAAGTGTAGAGACAGGTCGTTGACCGCGTCACGTAGGATGGATTTTTGGATCAGAAGCACGTTACACTTGGCCTTCTTGATCTTCTTGACCAAGTTCAGGAGATAGAGCCGCTCCTCCTTGACGATCTTGTCCATTTGGCGGTAGTCGTTAACCTGGATAGTATTTTCCATCTATAGATGCCAATAGTTAGAATCGTGTAGGCAGGGCGTAACATATCAGGTGGACCTACGTCTGGCTTCGGAGGGCTCAGCTGGAACTGGATTAACCCGATCTTGGCTTTCTCCATTCTCGCGGGACCACCGGCAGCCTTGATGACAGATTGGTTGAGAACCAAGCCGTCGACCAACTCACTATCTTCTATCGTGCCCCCCACCTTCTTGATGATCCTAATGTTCTTCAGATCAACGTTGTCTGCCGTTTTGATATCGATGGTCTTAGTGACCGCGTTGACGGCCATAGGCCCTAGAAGACCTGAGTACTGCGAGACGATCTTGGAGGATAACGAGGTGTTCGCTGCCTGGAGGAGAGTGGCGGTGTCGGTCAGGGAGACGGGCTGCGACATGTCGTGGAGGACCTGGACTGCTGCCGCCGCCGCTCTCTGGAAGGACTCGGAGATGACTGCGGGATGGACACCCTTGGATAGAAGCCTATCGGCGGCGCCAAGCAGAGCACCGCATATGACCACCACCGAGGTGGTGCCGTCTCCGGCTTCGACGTCTTGTGCCGCCGAGAGGTTGACGAGCATCCTCGCGGTCGGGTGCATGACGGACATGCTCTTCAGCATGGTGTTTCCGTCGTTTGTGATTATGGTCTCGCCCTTCCCGCTCCTGATCATCTTGTCCATGCCTCGGGGTCCCAGCGAAGTTCTGATGGCATCGGCAACGGCTGTTCAGCTTTAGTAGGTGCACCGCAGGGACCATAATAGGCATCTGTACCTCTGGCGGCAACGATATTCGAAGACCGTACGGCGACCGGCTTCTCCTTGTCCTAATAGTTGCAAGTCAGCTCGAAGGCTCCGCGGCGGCGTGATTGAGACGGGGTGTAGAAGGGAAGCCGTCATACTCTGAAGGTGGTATTGAAACCGGAGCCACCAGACTGCGATGCGGTAGCCATGGTGAGTGGGATCGGGCTTGGGGAGTCCTTGTATGCTTTATCAATATCTCCTTAAAAGTGGTTTGGACCGGGGGGAGTAAAGATGGTAAATTTGTCTTGGATATGAAATGGACGAAGCGTTGTAAGGGTGGTTAAAAGGTGGATGATGAAAGCTCCCAAGGCGGCCCCGCGCAGGCTCGTTGTAAGGTACCCACGTAATTATATAAGTAAGGAGGTAGGTAGGTGGAATTTTTGAGGACGGAAGGTGGGATGGATGAAAAGTCTAAACCCCGGGCAAGGAGCTAACCCGGGCTGCCGGGGTAGCTGCGAGGCTGCTACCGGGCTAACCCGTCTGGGAGAAGCAAGTACCTTACCTGTTACCTGCCTACAGGAGCTCATAGATTAGGTACCTACCTTAAGGTAACTGGGCGTATATGTACCTTTAGGTAAGCCTGCGACCGTCCAGGCAATGAAGGAGCTTATGCAACCCATTCCATCGCTTTCCTACTCTACCTGCGCATACCATACCTACCTAATCTCCTGTCCTGAGCTGCTCCAAACCACTACAACTACACGTACTCAACTTCGCCAACGACCCGTTACTTACTCGGGCACGCCTTCGCCTCTCTTTTGTTGTCGCCTACTTGTACTGCCTCCTCTCGCCTCCATAATCCTCCTCGTTCAGAATAGTGGCCAACCTTCGGGTTCCCCCCAGCCAAGATGGTATTTGCCGTTCTTGCGTGTTTTCGGTGTGCGTTCGGGACGCTGACCGTAGCTAGCCTTCCGCCACCGGGTCAAATTGGGAGAAATACAAGAAGAACTTCGCCGACGACGAGATAGAAGAGAAGAAGATCACACCCCTATCAGACGAGTAAGCCGCCTACGCCTATATGTTGCATGCCGTCTACCACCGTCTCCAGTGACTGACTCGGTGAAAAAGAGATATCCAAGTCCTCAAGACCTACGGGGCAGCACCCTATGGCAACGCCATCAAGAACCTAGAGAAGCAGATCAAGGAGAAACAGCAGAGTGTCGACGAGAAGATCGGCGTTAAAGAATCCGACACTGGCCTCGCACCACCCCACCTGTGGGATGTCGCCGCCGACCGGCAACGCATGTCCGAAGAGCAACCGCTTCAGGTAGCGCGGTGCACGAAGATCATTGCGGATGAGGAAGACGAGACAAAGAGCAAATACGTCATCAACGTGAAGCAAATCGCGAAGTTCGTCGTCCAGCTCGGCGAGCGGGTGTCCCCGACCGATATCGAGGAGGGTATGCGTGTCGGCGTCGAGAGGAACAAGTACCAAATCCTCTTGCCCCTCCCGCCTAAGATCGATGCGAGCGTTACGATGATGACCGTCGAGGAGAAGCCCGACGTTACGTACGGCGACGTTGGTGGTTGCAAGGAACAGGTCGAGAAGTTGCGGGAAGTCGTCGAGATGCCGTTGTTGTCACCCGAGCGGTTCGTCAACCTGGGCATCGAACCTCCGAAGGGCGCCCTGTTGTACGGGCCCCCGGGTACCGGAAAGACGCTTTGCGCCCGAGCCGTCGCGAACCGGACAGACGCTACCTTTATCCGAGTGATCGGCAGCGAGCTGGTTCAGAAATACGTGGGCGAGGGAGCGAGGATGGTGCGGGAGCTGTTCGAAATGGCCCGGACGAAGAAAGCGTGCATCATCTTCTTCGACGAGATCGACGCTGTCGGCGGCGCACGGTTCGACGACGGTGCTGGCGGCGACAACGAGGTGCAGCGAACGATGCTGGAGCTTATCACGCAGCTCGATGGCTTCGAGGCGCGTGGGAACATCAAAGTCATGTTCGCGACGAACCGGCCATCGACGCTGGACCCGGCGCTGATGCGGCCGGGCCGGATCGACCGCAAGATCGAGTTCTCGCTGCCCGACCTCGAGGGCCGCGCGAACATCCTGCGCATCCACGCCAAGAGCATGTCAGTGGAGCGCGACATCCGCTGGGAGCTCATCTCGCGGCTCTGCCCCAACGCCACGGGCGCCGAGCTGCGCAGCGTCTGCACCGAGGCCGGCATGTTCGCGATCCGCGCCCGCCGCAAGGTGGCCTCGGAGAAGGACTTCCTCTCCGCCGTTGACAAGGTTATTAAGGGTAATCTCAAGTTCAACTCTACCGCCACCTATATGCAGTACAACTAAAAGCCCAGCTGGTTCGGGCTCGGTTCGAGAACTGACCTTGACCTCGGACTACGCTTGTGGGCACGACGCGCACGAATATACTACACAAACAACACACCTACACAGCGCACGGGCGCGAGCGAGCGCAGCCGTGTTTTGCAAGATTACGCTTTTTACCTAGCCGGTAGATAGATAGGCCCTTTCTCCACCTGTGCCCTCCTAACACCCCTTTCCCCCCAACCACACCTACTCCGGCGACCCCTTTTCCTAGGTTACGGAAAGGGGGGAAGAAAGGGCTAGAATATCTAAAGGGAAAAGGAGGGAGAAGGGGAGACGGGGCATTCGACTGTACGAATACAATAGACGAAAAGCCGCGTGGGGCCGACGATGATTGATGGCTTTCCAACGCCGGCCGGCTCCTGCATTTTGTTCTGTGCTCTCTTCCCCTAGTGTATGATGAATTCTCGCACGTGCATAATAGTGACTATGTAGCGAACTCTCTCCCTTTTTGAACGTGGGATAGTGGAGAGTAATAAACAGGCTACATAGGTATCTCCCGCCCCTCACCGGTCGTGTATCTACATGTGCCGGCGTGTGCCGTGCTCTTCTCCTCTATGCTATACATGCCCGTACATGTCCTGCGCGGTCCCTGTCCGCTGTTTTCCGCGTCGTGGCACACGGATAACCCCCCTCTGTTATCTATCTATCGATCTACACTCCCGCCTACACTCTACCTCCCGTTCATAGGTAGATGATAGCATGCCAGTCCATTGCCCTCGCCGCCACTGCAAGCAATCGCCACCGCCACCAACATGCCGCCGTCAGAGACAGGTGTCTGCCCGTGTCGTATGTAAATGGGGTGAAAGGTGTATGTATGGTATCTCTCACTTCCTCCCGGACCTGTACCCCTTATCTCGTGGAACTCATTACCACCGCCCCCTTTAATTACAAAATCGCACGAATATGTACGGGTTTGTGTGTGTGTGTGTATGTGTGTATGTGCGTGTGCAACGGACGCACTTACGCATGTATGTCGTTTGCCCTTCTCCCTTTTCCCTCGTCCCCCTTTTTTCCTGCCTCGTGATAAATTACCCCTACGTAGGCGAGATGAAAATTCGCCAGAGAGAGAGAGAGAGAGAGAGAGAGAGATCGCAATGAAGAATACAATACACCACGTGATATCCGTAAAACCGCCAAAAATACAGCATGTAATCGTGGGCTACAGTAACAGTAATAGCAGAGGTATAGGCATGGGTATAGGTAGAAATGATACATTGCGGGCAAAAACAACCCCTGCCCCCCCCCAACACCTTACAAGAAAATAAGAGCCGACGCTATGAGATGCACCGTACAATGCAAATTCCTGGATTATTTGGCGCCATGGCAATGAGCAATGATGAGCAATGATTTCAGTTGAACGAAGCGGCCTCGACTCTTCGTGGCTGGGCTCTTTCTGATGCTGATCCGGACTAGAGTGGTCGTACACGTTGGCTGTTCGGAGTCGGGAATGCCACGTATCATCATGGACGCCAGGGGAGGCTGCGATTATTGACCCGGCGTCACATGTTTCCCTATGGTGGTGTGGTCGCGGTAGAACACATCTCTCTCGAAGCCTTCTTTATCTTTAACTTCTTTAGGACGACAGGTGGTCGGGTTTCTCCATATATGGTGCCCTACGCCTCTGACATACCAATTAAGCAGCCTAGGCAGACAACGTCGCCCTCCAGCCCTCTCTCCACGCAGCAGCGGCTGCAGATCACCTCTCGATGGCCACGCCCCACCCATCCATCCCCTCTGCCCTGCTTCTGGCTTGGTTCGTGGTTCTGTGAGTATCCATGGTTGTCTCCGTCGTCGTCAACGTCTCGCATCGTGAAGGATGCGGACGGGTTCTCGGCTTCCTCGTCCGAGGAGGCTGAGTGTTCTACCACGGTGACAGGTGGCAGCCAGCCCTGGCATGCTCGGATGCAGATGAAGCAGGCCCGCCGCCCGCAACCCATGCAGTCGGCAAACGAGTCGAGCTCCGATTTCTTAGTCGGCTTCCGGTGGCAGATGTGGCATGGACTCAGAAGCAGTGGTTGGTTCGCCCTGGTAGTTGTCTCGCATCGCGTACGGTCTGGCGATGCTGGTGGCGTCGAGTACTCGGGATGCGCATGAGGGAATGGCGACTGTTGATGTTGGTGCAGATGATGGCCGGCATGGGATGAAAGCGGGTGTGAGTAAGCGTGCTGCTCTTCGTTCTCGTCGAGTAGCCGGGACCTCTTGCTCGCGGGTAGAACGGCCTTCCGTGGTATGTTGAGGGACGAAAAATAGGCACGGGCCGAAGAAGGTAGTTTTAGTCGCTCGTTGTTGTTTATAGTGGAGAGCAGGTTTGGTGACTCGTTGTGGTAGCACTGCGTTGTTTTGGCACTATACTCGCCATTAGGTTTGGATGATAAATAGGTTATCTGATGAGGCAAACATACAATTGAACTTGCACCTCGCCGTCGTCATCTCGTCTCCTCTTCCTGCCAGGTGGGAGCATCGACGGCTCGAAGGGCGTTGCCGACGGCATCTACGGACTACCTCGTCTCGGCGTGGGCGGGCTTTTACGAGTGTCAACGGTGGCCAGTCTCTGCTCCTGATACCCAGCCACAACGAAAGCAGCCGAGCAAAGTACGCGGACGGAGGGTGAACAACGACGACGGTGGAAATATGAGGAGGAATTCGAGCGGGAACCCGTCTGGGGGCCTATGGGTAGGGGGAAGAGAAGAAGAGTGGGAAAGGTGTATGGATGTATTTAATGTTGACGAGGTACAGGCGCCTTAGGTAATACAGGACATAGGAAGGTCGTAGACTAGCCTAATCAGTCCCCTAGGTATACTTTGTCCCAACTTCTAAGCAGATTAAGCAAAAAACTTTGGTACTATATACCAAGTTTAATTTCTCTTTTACATATGGATTTTTATTTTTTGTTAAAATGTATTCTTAAATAATTCCTTTTATTAATATATTTTTTAAAGTAACCTAAAATATTAACAGAAATTTTTTATTTTTTTCTTAATTTAATTAAAGGTTAAGGTAAGGTACTAAGAGGCTAATTAAGACAATTTAAAATCTTTCTTAAAGAGAAGAAATACCGTATAAAAGTATATAGTATATAAGGTAGAGTATATTAAGTATAAGTTATCCCTTGAGTTAATCCCTTCCTTAGCACAGGTTCATTAACTTGCTAAAGGTTAGGGTACTATTGACTTATTCTCCTAGGGACCTCCTAACCTGCTAGATACCTGTGCATACTTCTACTGGTAGGAGATCAGTAGGTTATATAACGAAGGATAGGTTCGATTCCTAACAGTGCTACTTGGTAGTCTTCGTCATTTAGCTCGTCTGTAGGTACCTGTAATGCTCCCTACGTCTCGATACATACCTCCTACGCCGCAGATGAGGGTACTGTAGGTAGGTACCTACAGGTACACATTCGTGGATGCCTCAGCTAGAGGTTAAGTACTTCAGGTAATTTAGGTGCTTCATAAACACCCGACGACAACAACAACAACAGACTGACTACAGGCAGGTAGGTAGATGTAGAGGGTAGGGTTGCTCACACATGCAGGATCCAGGGTTGTGTGCGTACTCGGCAGCACCCGGGGGGCGGCAGGGAAAAGCCCAGGCAAAACCAGGTATACCGCTCTTTCGTCTTACCTATAGGCGTCCTGAATAAGGTAGATACCGCGTTTCGGACGTGTACACGCACATTCCATCCGCGCCGTACCGTGATTACCACGTGGATGCTGACTTGTCACCAGCCTGCTTGGATGATACGTCTACTTGATAAGAACACACCCTATTTAGCCCTCTGACCCTGCGAGCGAGAAGCCATCTGCATCGCCTAGAACGCCATATGAAGGGAAGAAGAAACCATGCGCAGGGGAGAAAGGAGCCTGCCTCGTTCCCCCGCTCAGTCGGACGGACCCCTTCTTGTTGTCCCGCTTGCCCCGGGTGGACTGAATCCTGTCATTCCTATGGCTCCTTTTTGAATATCTCATCCCAAACCCCCTTTATAGCGCTCAGCAATATCTCTTGTAGGAGGGCTAGGCCCTGGCGGAGACCCGAGATGTGCGAGTTGTGGTTGATGCCCTTGCCCTGTTTTAATGCCTCGTGATACATCGTATGGGAATCAAACATGCCTGTCTCCTGAAAATATGTCTCATAATGGTGAAGCATCTCCTGCAGCTTCTCCGGATGGCTTTCTGCCAGGTCGTGGACCTCACCGAGGTCTTTTGAGAGGTCGTACAATTCCCACTTGCCCGAGCCCTTGGGCGGAGGGATGAACAAGGCTTTGAAGTCCCCTACTCGTACCGCGGCGATTCCGAGCTGTTCCCATCCGACAACATCGGTGTCGCCGTATATCCGTATACTCTGGTTGTTCGGCTGCTCAAGGATCGGCCGCCAGGACTTCCCTCGAACCGGCACGACCTCGCGTCCGCGGAAGCTGGGGGCCGGGTGCTCTAAGCCCGCGAGGTCCAGGATGGTTGGGACGATATCCATAACCGTTGTAAGGGTGTTGGTGACCAGGCCGCCTTGTCTCAGCAAGGGAGGGAAGCGCACGATGCAGGGGCAGTGGATTCCGCCTTCGGTGGTGTGCGACTTCGTCCCGCGTGAGGGGGCGGTTGCGGCGCCAGCCCACTGCGGTCCGTACCATACAAAGGAGTTGTGGTTACCGATGTTGTCTAGCGAGTTGTCGTAGTATTTCTTTACAATATCCTCCACCGTGAAACCGGCAAGGACTGGCAGCGCTTCTAGCAATTGTCCTTCTGCGCCGTTATCAGACATGAAGACGATGAATGTGTTGTCAAGCTCGCCAGTCTTCTCCAAATACGTCCGCACGCGCCCGATATTCACGTCGATAAGTTCGACCATCGCGGCATAGACCTCCATGGCTCGGGAGGATTTCAGCTTCTCCTCCTCCGAGAGCTCCCCCCAGGGCTTGGTCTTGGGCATCTGCAACGGCGCCGGATCCACGTCGGCGGGCACGAGTCCTTTCTCGACCAGGCTCTTAAGTCTGCGGTCACGCAGGGCGACAGGACCGTCGTCGTACTTTCCACGATACTTCTGGACTACCTCTTGGGGAGCTTGCAGCGGCCAGTGAGGCGCCGTAAACGGGAGATAGCCGAAGAAAGGCTGGGCCCTCTCTTCCGTCGTCCTCGCCTCCAGGAAATCCAAGAAGTAGTCTGTAAACGTGTTGGTCGAGTAGAAGTTCTTGGGTAGGTCTGTGCTCCCGTTGATGAATTCCCCGTGTCTCATCCAGAGCCCGTCGCCCTTGAAAATCGCCGAGGGCTGCTCCTTGAGGCCATATAGCTGCGGCTCGTGATTAAAGTGGTTTCCACCACCCGGAAGAAAAGACAACACCTTGGTGAACCCTCTCGCGTAGGGACCGAGTTCTTTCTCCAAGCCCAGGTGCCATTTCCCGCTCATAAGCGTGAAGTATCCAGCATCTTGAAGGATCTCGCCTACAGCGGCAACTCGATAGTTCAAGTAGCCTTCGTACCCAGGTTTGTTCTCGAAAATCTCCGGGGCTTTCCTCTACACGCGGGCGGTTAGCGAAGCCGGTCGGCGGCACGTTTCAGGATGTAAACACTTGCTATCTTCTCCGCCATGCATCCCAAGCCTGCGATGTGAGAGTCAGTGCCGGACAGCAACATAGCTCTCGTGGGGGAACATGATGCCGCGGTGTGGAAATCAGTCATGCGGATTCCCTCGTCGGCTAGCCTCTGCAAATTGGGCGTGTTTATCTCGCCTCCGTACGGGGAAGTGTCGCTAAACCCTAGATCGTCGGCGACGATAATCAGGAAATTGGGCTGCTTCTGCGCGAGCATCGTCGACCGCAAACCACGATCAAACAGAAAGGCAGAGAAGACCGAAATGAGAAAAACCCCAAGCAACGCGCACCGGAGGGTGCTTCCCGCAAGAAAGGGCCACATTTTATTTATGTATTAACGGGCTCGTTGACGACGCCGTGTCCTGATGATTCCGGCAAAAGTGAAGGGGGCTAGGTCTGGAATATCCGAAGAATCCCTCGAGGCGGTTATATGCCCATCAACATCCACGGAGGCCATCATAAATGCATAATGTGGAATGCTTATCCGTATCCATTCTTCACAAACCTGCCGGACAATATAACTCCAACCCTACCGATATACTGGAACCTTGGGGTGGGTTTATTCGCGAGCACGAGGTGGAATCGTCACGCGGGAGAAGTTCAATTTATCCAGTTCGCATTGCCCCAGGTGGACGCCACAACATACTGGTTTCTCGTAGACACATTTCCCGGCTACACCAATTGCTTGCTGCCGGCCTGCAATGCTTTCGACGGCCTTCGCATAGTAGGAGTACATGAGCACCAGATCTTGCACCTTACTAGGTGGTACCAACCTGGTACCTGTAGTAGAGGTAAGGGGGGTTACCCACCTTAGGTACCCGCGGTATCCAGAATGGAGGCCTGTGATTGGTGGAATGGAAGAAAAACACGCAACAGCTAACTATTCGTAAAACGCTGTATTTAAGCCTTTTTAGCAGTTTAGTTTTTACACCTTCAATTGATCAACTATTAGGTTCAGCTTTCAACACGTCTTGTATGCCTTACAATTAAGGCAGCAAGGCCACGAAAGGAACCGCCAAAACGCACACCTGTACTGTGCCTATGAGAACCCCGTATACCTACAACATGCACTATACGGGGTAATTTACTCATCTACACGTATACCCTTGTTAGACACAGGCCGTCTACATACCTAGGTATAGTTTCCCCTTTCCCCGTTCCCCCGAGAACAATTACCGTGATGACGGCTAAGCAGCGTTTGGGGTGCAAGATAAGGCGTCATCGGAGCTGCGGTCGTGGCTGGCCAAGCAATTATCTCCTGACAACCTCCACCTCGGAGCACACGATAGCGATTCGGAGCACGGCTCGGACAATGGGAAGGGAGATTCGCATGCCAATGGGCACTAAGTAACCTCCTGACTCGGTGACCGCCTGCAAGGCGTAACGGGTTAACGTACATAGGTAGGTATATAGCATCTGTAGAACGGCGGAACCTGGTAGGTGGCCTTTCAACGCGGGTGGCCAAACGTGACAAAGACGACCTAAATCACGATGAGGCCGTAGACACCTAATCTTATCCATCTAATACCCTTTGAATACCTCTACATATCTGCCCCGGGTCCCTAGGTGCCTGGACCAGCATACAGGTATTATACATGGGATCGCTAGCTAGGCTATCGAGCCGACGCACTACGTATAGCTCCCTATTTACCTCCTACGTATAGTGCCCGCTTCCGGCCCGCTCGAAGAAAGATGACGGGTATGTATATATGAGTACATGCGCCTATGTGTTCATGACTATTACATGCATATAGGTACACACGTAGGGCAGGAGAGCACGCAGGTACCGGGGTACCTATGAAGGAATATATGTGCATGGCGCTAAGACGGCCCCTCGGATGCTGGTTGGTCGAAGGCCAACCTTGCCAAGTCCTGCCTCCAGGGAATGACCCACAAATCTGATAAAAGCGCCAGCCACAAATTACATCACGTGGCACTATATCTCGGTCTTTGCTGTGGCCAAATCCGATTTGCTCCGTCCACCTTTCTTATCCATCAGCCAGAACCTCTCGCCCATCTGCTGTTCCTAGAAACAGATCGATTCCTTCTAAAGTAGCACACGCCTCTTCGCCAAGTTTGACCACCTCCCCCCCCCCCCCCCCCTCTCCAATCGGCCACCCGTCACCATAATCATACCGGATCGATAGATATCCAACAATCCATCACGTCCATCTCGAGAACGCGCTGATATCTGCCTTCATCAAGATATGAGTCGTACCGGCAAGATTGCCCCCGAGCAGCTCCCGTAAGTCGGCCCTCACTCGATTCATCTCCTAGGTCTCATCCTTGCCTGGGCCCAACATGGATGGATTGGCTAACGTTTCTGCCCTGTATAGAATCTTGTTCGTGAAGAATCTGAAGTCAGTCTTCTCGTTGCCCTCGGCCTCGACCCCCGATCAAACCATACTGACGGCCTTCTAGCTACGAAGTATCGTCTGACGCGCTCTGGAAGCTATTTGACCCCGGCGAGGACGGGTTGATTCGGTAGGTGCTCGGCCGCGATGGACACCGCCATTCTCGGACGCGATCACGCTAACAGGGCCGCACAGCCAAATTCGACAGGGAATTTCCGTTGAGGCAAAGGGGACCGCCTATGTGGTCTTCTGGAACGTCATGGACGCGAAGAATGCGCTGGAGAAGCTGAACGGCTACAACTTCCAGAACCGATATCTCGTCGGTGCGTCATCGCCCTCGTGCATCCCCGTCATCACGCGACCCTCCCCGCTCCCCTCTCGATGACTGTCCCCAATCTAACATACCGCGTAGTACTATGGCATCAGCCAGAGAAGACTCTCAAGTCAAGAGATGACCTGCAGGCCCGCAAGGACAATTTAGCGCAGCTCAAGATGAAGCATGGCATCGATTGACAATTAGACGGGCCTGCGGACAGGCTCCAGACTCGTGCCCGCGCCACGTCTGCAGTCCCGTCTTCTCTAGCTTCTATCGCCTCTAGCCGAAGCGCATCCACTACCACCACCAACACCACCGCGTCGTCGATCAAGAAGGATGCGATGTCGGTGGCAAAGAACAAGAAGGGCAAGTCAGACGACGTCGCCGGGCACGCACGAAAGGTGGCATTGAACTTCGTGCGCGGTCTCCTCCCACAGAAATCCAACAAGCTGTGCATGACGTGAAACCCCGTATCCACCACGGACCCGCAGGCACGCTATTTTGGCCGTTGGCAGAGGTGCAGGATCGACCTGGCTCGGCGTCGTCGGTTACCCTTTTCTCAGAATGCAAGTCGCTCTTTAGGTGCGCCTACAGAACGTAGGGGACGTTGTTCAGAATGGTTTTAAATTTGATTCTTCTATGGGTACTATGAGACGGCGTGAAGCCTCGTACATAGTTTCCTAGCATTACCAAGGCGTAGGCGAGGGTATTACGAAGTATTCTATGGTGCTGAGACTTGTTGACCCTTTATTTTGAGAATGTCAACAGACCTTGAGGGTCCCTTCTTCTCACCTCATCAAGACGACCTGATTGTGTCCGATTCGACGTGCTGTGCCACCGTAAATACGTGCGAGGATGCATTTCAACCCCTTCCCCGTACCGTGTTCTGCCCGTCTATCTCTCCAAGGCTCGATAAGAAGTAGGCTGGTCGGGCAATTCCTATTGATTGTCGTATCATACCTATGACACGACAACCGGGCCAATGCTGATGCCCAATTCCCTGAAGTCACCCTCCCGCTGCAGGGCACGGCATAAGGTAGGCCATGTGGGACATGTATGGAGGCGGAAACCCGTAAATTGTCACAGCCTTATCGACGCGAACAGATGGATTTCCTGGAGGTATGCGACCATTTACAGGTACCTCTTACCTTGCCTACCAGGTACCTAGACCTGATCATGTAGAGGGGACCATCATTATATTAATTTAGGTACACATCCACGACGAGATGTAGAGCGCCCCAGGCATCTCCTGAGTGCGTTAACCTAAACAGCCCTACTGAGCTCACACGTACAGCACCGTAGGCACTTCATATAGGGGTTGGTAGGGGGTGTAGGTACCTACCTAGGTAGGCAGTTTAGGTAATGGGATGGCCAGGTTATGCAAATGGAGACGGGATTGGCCTGTAACCGGCTGGCAGGTAGGCAGTCTCATGACAGGCGGGGGGGCAGGGCGACAACATTCGCCTCGGGTAAGAGTACATACGCAGGTACCTAATATACATGCCACACTGTGCCCACTACTAAGGGGACACCTACCTGCCTCCTACTGCCTAATGTACTGGCATAGGTACCTAGATAGGCAGGTATGTACCGTCCTCCTACAGGTAGGTAGAGGTCAGTGCCTGGGCTGCCCCTTGCCTCCTTGTAAGGCTCGTTAGCGCTGCCTCTAGGTGCGCATTTAGCAGCAATCGGCACAACTTTATCTGGCGATGAGCTGAGCGGCTGATCTTGTTGTGGCTTATCCCTCATCCTCCTTCCACTTCGTCTTCATCTTCGTCTTCGTCCACCTCCACCTCTTTCTTCTCCCTTCGTCGCCGTTTCATTTAATCGCACATCGCAACACTCCCCGCTTCTACCAGGGGGCTTTTTGTCCTCGCCGTTTTCCTCTTCTTCTCCTCCGCTTTTCTCTATACAGTAATAAGACCCAATTCAACACACCGTACACGACCGTCGCCGCGGCTTACAGTACAGAACATCGTCGACTCATTGTGCAGAATCTCTGATCGAGGCAACCTGGACGTCGATCCCTCGCCCCTTTTGCGTTGCCCGACCGCCTAGACCCCCCGACCTGTCGTGTGTATGTAGTGTAGCTGCGTCTCGAGCACAGAGCCTATGTCACTTCCCTCTTCCGCCGTTGCCCTCCTCGCGCAAAGTATCTCCTCGGTCATAGCACGCGCAACTACCCCTGATGCAGCGATAGGAGTCGACTTGCCTCCTCCTCCGAACAGCGCGTCCACGGTACTCGCCACCACGGCGACAGCGATAGCGGCGGCCGCAACCACGGCGATGGCTTCGCCCCCGAATAGCCATGGCGGAGAGGGCGAGTGCCGGCTGCTAGGCTCCTTCGCCATTCTGGTGCAGTTGGCCCTGGGCGGGTTGGCCCTACTCTCCCTAGTATACAAGCGGTGGCGGGAGCGGCCTCAGCGGCCCGTCAAGATCTGGTTTTTTGACGCGTCGAAGCAGGTGTTCGGGTCGGTGCTGGTTCACATGGCCAACGTCTTCATGTCGATGCTTACGAGCGGCCGGTTTTCCATTAAGCTGGACCCGGCCGTTGTGCAGACGGCCGAGCGGATGCTACGGAGGAATGGTGACGACTACGTCCCGAATCCCTGTTCGTTTTACCTCCTAAATCTAGGTATCGACGTAAGTTCCCCCCGATCGTGGCCACGTCCGGCCGCCGGCTAGTTGCAATCGTATTGACGCCACAGCAGACCACCCTGGGTATCCCGATCCTCATCCTCCTCCTCCGTCTCACTACCCGCCTCGTAGCCTACACGCCGTGGGGGAAGCCCGCGGAGTCGATCCAGTCCGGCAACTACGGCAGTCCACCCAACGCCTGGTGGTGGTTGAAACAGTCGGTCATCTACTTCTGCGGCCTGTTCGGCATGAAGATCTGCGTCCTCATCATATTCCTCGTCTTTCCATGGATATCCCGGGTCGGAGATTGGGCACTGGCATGGACCGAGGGGAACGAGCGCGTTCAGATCGTATTCGTCATGATGCTATTCCCCCTGATCATGAATGCGCTGCAATACTACATAATCGACAGTTTCATCAAGTTGAAGGAAGACGGTCATGAGAGACTACCAACAGAGGACAGGGGCGAGGATAGGAGCGAGCGGGATCCTTTCGACGACGCGCTCGTGGACAGCTCCGACGACGACAGCTCCATTAGCGGCGAGAGCAACGGGAGTGTGGGGCTCACGAGCTCCCTGACTCTCAAGAAAGTCGGCAGGGCGGTTCCAAACAAGGCCCGCGAGGAGTACGACCCGGATTTAGACGGCCAGACGGTGATAGGGAGCAGCAGGAGCCATGAAGAGAGAGGGAGACTGCTGCCTAAGGAGTCGGACTCTCAGAAGTAACACGGAATGCGTCGGTTTTGCGCCTGGAGAGGAGGAAGTCCAATACATGTAACATTTTTGTCGGGATATACCGCACCCATCACCATTGAACAGGATTCGGCACGCATTGGAGCATTAGGCCCGGAGAGGTAGAGATATGCCGTACGGATATATATACATATATATACACGGTCGACCTAGTACGGCATAGGTAGTAGTGATATCGGCAAAGGCCCGTAGGATTAGTCGGGCAACAAGTAAGTACTAGTCTTGCTCGGGAAGCCGCACGCCTACATGGTCAGACTTATGTCCGAGAGTGCGGCAGTATGTGATGATTGCTGTCCGTGTGCGCTGTCCAGGTGCCCGGGTCTAGGTGGCCATGTAGGTACGCCTATAAGACGTCCGTCCACACCGCCCGTGTTGGATTGCCCGACTTGTTTCTTCCCCCGTTTCTGTCGGCCGCGAGGCTGCGGCTTCGCAGGGGTCAGCTGGGCATTATAGGTCGCGGCAGTAAATGTGTAGTTACGTATAAAGACAGGCAACTCCGCCTCCCCTCCCTCCCTAGGTATAGCTGTGATGCCCTCCCTCCCCCTCCCCCTCCCTACGTCCATTCAGTCACGGACCCGTCCGCGCTGATGCCAACCCACATCCCGTCCCATCGGACGCACCGCAGCGGCCGTTTGACTTGTTGCACCCTTTTACGTAAGTCGACAAATCTGACAGCGTACATATGTACAGCAGCACATGCTTCTCCAACACACACACACACACACATATATATATATATACCCCTTCAATGGAACCGGGTTACCGGCATGCTGTAGCTTACCCCCATGCGGCTTTTGCTCCACCACCCGGGCGACCAGACAACCGGTGTCTACGATCTCGTTGTCAGGGTGCTTAGCAGGCACCAACTTGCCTTGTTCGGTCAATGGCCTCACTCCATTTATGCAATGCAGCGACGCTTTCACTTCCCAACAGGCTCTCCATCTGTGTCTCTATCTCCGCGTCCATGCGTATCTGTCTCTAGGGAGGTCTCTTCCGCTACCTCTTCTCTGCTGCCACAACCACGTTCCGTCCGTTGCCCCACTCGCCCCCGTCCCCGTGTTCCTCTTGCTTATCCCGTCTTAACCACCCCATAATAGACAATGAACTAACCAACTGGGTCTCTCACAGGACTCGCGGATTCCGCGCTCCCAACAGCCCATTGAGACCCCAGACCGCGAGCCCACCGATGGAGGTTCCCTAGTAGCCTCGCAGTGCCGTTGAACCATGGAACTCGCATTGAGAACTCCACACCTTCGGACCGCTTATAGCTGAGACAAGGGATCTTGTTTGCCGAAGACAGAGACGCCTTTCACCTCCTGTTTGCTTCTTTCTCTCGACTTCGCCCGCCATCGATATCTCCATCACTTTATAACGGAGTGCCTCTTGTTCTCGTTCCCGCTCTCGCTCTCGCTCTCCCGCGATCCCGGGACCTTCGCTCCTTGACGAGCGGCGTTGGACGTGGACGGCGGCGTAATGGTGATCTCGCACTTGGGTATCTAAGGACAACAGACGGGCCTAAATAGCGGGGAGAGAGGCGACTTGACCTACCGGCCTACTAAGAAGGACTGCCTCGTCGAGGCGGCGGTTGCCTGTCCATCTGTAAGGCAAGATCGGTCCTGCGTGGCGCGGCAGGTAACAGCAACTCCGAGGTAACCCGGGTTACCTCACTGCGTTCCTTCTCCCGCGACATCGCGGCTCCGCGCAACCGGCACCTGCCTGCTGCCGTCCTTCCTCTGCGCAGGTCGGCGGAAACGACGACGGCAGACGCCGGCGGACGACACAAGTTGACTAACCCGGTAATCGGGCCTTGTTACTCACCGTCACCTGACTGCACCTCTCCGTCTGCCTGTAAGTACCTCCTGCCTACCTGTAAAAGTAACCTCCTCCTAACCACCCTCTCTCTACTCGAGGTGCCTGAGGTAACCCGTGTTCGTGTGCTGCCGCCTCTTCGATTTCCTACTCCCGCCGGCCCTTCGTGCCCTTCTTGGCAGAAGCCCGGTCCCTTTTCCCCTTTCCCTTTTCTCTTTTCCCTTTTGCCGCTTTCCTCTCTATAAAACAACCACAGGGAAATCCACCCTCTTCCGCCCATCTGTCCAAAACCTTTCCTCCTCTACCGTCCGTCGCTATCCTCGTTCTCGGGGCCGCCCCGCAATAGTCACTCGGGAGGGACCCTCAAATTCTTCCACCGTCTATCGCCACACCTAATTCGACCGCCCACCACCCAAGATGTGGCACCAGACGATGCCGCCGTACCAGCGGTATCCACACCACGGAACCCAGGCTCCCGATGTCTGCCCATCTCACGGACGGTGCGCTCCGCACGACTTGGCCTCATACTACTACGCCCACGGCCTCTGTCCCGGCTGCCTCGGCTACGTACACTCGCCGCCGCTATCTTACACGCCCCCGAGCCGCCATAATACTCAATATCCATACCGCCACTACAACTACTCGCCCTATCCGCCGCCTGCTTCGACATCGCACGACCCGCATTACCACGCCTGGCAGCAGGGGTACCGAGACGGATACTACGCCCGCTACGGATACTCGACCTCTCGGCCCGGACCACACGAGCACCAGCATCAGCCGGAGCCGCCGTCACACGGCAACTACCCTTACCCCCTCATGGAAGTGTACGCCCCGCAGAGCACGGCGGGGGTGAGCCAGGCCTACCCGCCGCATGCCCACTACCCCCAGGATCCCCCTGCTGTCTCATCCGAAGCCGATTCGGCCTATAGGCGATTCGTCACTAGAGACTCGCCTCCTCCCGAGCCGGCCCCGCCCCCGTCCCCGCCCCCGGCCCTACCTAACTCCCCTCCTTTGCTGACTCCGTTACCATCTCGCGGAAACACACCACCTGGTAACGATTGGCACTCGGAGGGATCTACTACTGCACTTACCCCCGTCGAAGACAGGGAGTGGGATTATCCTTCGGCCGCTAGCAACTACGATTATCCCCTTTATCAACCAGACACGGGCGCCGCCGCCGCCGCCGCCGCCACCCTTTCTCGGCCTACCTCCGGACCCACGAGCGAGGGGAGGAGCGTGAGGAACTCCGGATCGCTAGAGAGCATTCTGCGCCGAACAAGGCTCGACGACAACGATAACAACGCTTACAATGACATCTATAATGGCAACTACGACGATGCCGAGGTGGGTGACTACTACTTCCTGAGCGACGACGAGGACGACGACGACCCGATGGTCGTGTTCACGAACGCGGGAGAGCTCCTCCTGGTCGGCGACAAATGGCAGGTGCCCAGCCAGGAGGCCGCGTTCCGGGAGGCGGCCGAGTCATCGTCGACGAACAGGAGCGAGGTCCGGTCCGTCCACGAGTCGATCGACGAGCGCGGGGAACCTACCCTCATCGACGTCATCGAGAAAGACTGCGAGGGGGAAGTCTCCATGTCCGGCGGTCTGTCCGGCGGTCTGCTGTAACGGGGAGGGCGTAGCTGGCAGGCATCCGAGGTGAACAAGAGAGAGAAAACAAGGGGCGGGGAAGACGGGCTGCCAGTTGCTCGCTTGTTCAGCTACCCACTACCCCCATCCATTTACAGCACCAGCAAGCGAGATGCCGGAACTACGAGATACGATTTTATTTTATTTTATTTTTAAACGAGACAACCTCACCTCGTCCATCTACGAATTACGACATAGACGCGACGAAGAGCAATGTGGGAAGACGGGCTGCTTTACAATGTATGAATGCACTACTTGTCGGCGGAGGAGGAGAGGGAGAGGGAGGGGGGGGGGGGGGGGGGGGGAAGGCGTCGCGGCGTGTCGTCTCCCAAGGTGGTCCAATCAACCAACAACTATTAACCGGCGCCTAAGGCGCGAGCTTGGGGCTACCCGAATAATGTCTTCTCGTTCGTTGTCTGCGCAGGGCGTACCTGGCTAGCTGAGATCGGCGCGTAGGCGCCCTTACTTTCTGCGCAGGTGCGCATGTGTAGAACAGCGCAGTGTTGTAGTGCGATGCAAGGGTACCGTTACCGTAAGCTAACTTGTGTACCTAAGGTAGCAGAGCTACGACGTCCGGGAAGTAGGTAGTACGAATAAAAACCTGCGGGATGGAAGCTGTATCTTGAGAGCGACTCGCGTGAGACTGGTGACGCCGGGCGGCCGATTGCTGGTGTATATATATACGGAGTATGAGCGAAAGTAGACGAGATCGATTATACGAGAGGGGAGAGAGAGCGCGCATCGGGGCGTCGATCCGCCGATCCCTTCCACCCTTCTATCTCCCCGGGACTCGCTCCTCCGGCCCGGCCCGGGGCGCGTGAAGAACGAACCCCGAAAAGGGAAAAAAAAAAGGGCGCATGGATTCTTTAGGGAGTCTGTTTTGAATACACCGCGTGCTCCGGGCTTCTCGCTTCCCTGTATATCCTACAGCCCCAGCTTCCGACGTGACCGCACGCACCTAACATACATACATACATACATATACATACATACATATGTGTGTGTGTATAGGCACTAGGCGGAAAAAAAGAACACCCGGGATTCAACAACACCAGCTAGTAAACCAATCGAATCAAACCAAACCGACAATCAGATCCAGGGGTATTTTTTGCAACTGTACACAGACCTGGCTGCGATCGGGAAGACGCTGTCTTTACTCGCCCTCCCCACATCGACCTCGTGCCAACTACCGCCCGTCACCACCATCATACACGACGAACAAATCACTACTCAGTAGATCTTTTTCTTTTCCCGTCATAGCCATGTAGATATTCAACTCTTCTCTCCCCCCCCCCAACCCACTCCCCTTTGCCGTACCGACCGACCGATCGCAAACGCCATCGTTTTAACTTTCCCTGCGTTCCTAGTCGGGTTCGAGGAACGATAAATCTCGTAAGATGAAATGCCGATGCCAACTTCGCAGTATTCAGACAGAATAAAATGTGAAAAAAAAAATGCCAATCATCTCTCCTCCATTTTCATGCTTCTCTCGTTCTTCTGGGTATCGCCTAGTATTCGAGAACGGACTAGAATGGCGTGGTATGGTCGGGGTGGGGTTACTCGCTCTAAGTACCACCCTGTGGCCTATACGTGCGGTAGCCCGGGTAGGCCGTCCCACCGTTTGCGGTCTGCGCCTCGGGGGCCGGCGTCGTTGTCGTCGGCCGGCTGTAACCCGAGTTGAAGTCGAACCCAGCGTTGTTCTGGATCGGCGACAGCGGGCGCTCTGACGAGTACTGGTAGTCTTGCGCCGCCGGCTGGACCAATGGCCGGCTCGAGTCGTTCGAGTACTGCCGTTGGGGGGGCGCCGAGGGGTACTGGCGGGCGTAGCTGGCGGGCGTTTGCGTCTGGGATCTCGGCGGATATTCGGCACCGATCTGCGGGATGGGGGATCGCATACGAGAGGGATTGTCGTAGCCGTAGCCGGCTTGCGGGCCCGGTGACCCCATACGGGTAGGGTTGTCATAACCATAACCGGCCTGCGGGCCGGGTGATGCCATCCTGCCAGGGTTGCCGTACGGGCTGCCGCCCTGCGGCGCCCGGTAGCCAGGTCCGGCGCCGTACGCTCCGGGGGCGCCGCCACCGCGTCCGTATTCGTCATTGTACGGTCTCGGCGTTCGCGACTGAGGGTATACCTGATCCACCCCGCCTCTGCCGTAACCATTATCATAGCCGTTATTGTAGTCCTGATGAGGTGTTCGACGCCCCACGCTTGCCGCTGCTGCCACACCATACGCCTGATCCATGTTACCTGGTGCGGGCTGCCCATATCCATTATAATTATTATAGTTGCCATAGCCTTGCCCATTAGCAGCATACGGGTCGGCGGTAGCCTGTGCTGCTGCCATATATCCGTTGGGGCCTCCCTGCGCCGGAGGGGGTCCGTAGGGGCTTCCGTTCCCAGAGATAGGGCTCGGTGTCGTAGAATGGGAGATGTTGCCAGCAGTCGGTACAGCGTTCGGGCCCGGGGAAACATTCTGGGCGTTCTCTGGCTTCTGTAGAGGCTTCATCTCGACGGCATCCTCCTCAACCAGCACCTTGTGGACTTGCGCGTCCTCCCAGCTCGGCATTGCGGGTAGTGCGTCTGCATCTTTCTTACTGCTCACATCGAATTCGGCGTACTGTGGCGCGGTAGGTATCGTGGGATTCATGGGGGCCTGGGAGTGATAACCTTGGTTCGCTTGGGTGCGATAGCCCTGGTTTGCTTCGTGGTTTGGCGGAATGAATGGATCGTCGAGGTACTTGTGCCTCTTGTCTCGAGGAGGAGTGCAGCATCCACAGCATTCGCCACAGCACTTTAGACAGTAGCAGCATTGGCAGCAGCACGAAAGACCACAGCAGGCGCATCGGATGATACACCAGACGATCGAGGCGATGATTAGACCGCCAACAACAATTACGGCAATGACCGGCCACCTATTAAATGTTAGGCCGTCGGGGGATCTCGAGACAGGTGGGAACGGAGCGCTAGGGAAGGGAAGTGAGGACGCGATCATACTTGCAGAAGTCGGCAGCCATGCAATTGTCCCAACTCGAGAAGGCAGTCTGGACGGAACTGAGAGTCTGCCGCTTGCTCAACGCAGCAATGGCACTCCGCGAGAGGAGATCCCTAAAGGCATCTTTGAGGCTGCGTTCTTGGAGGCTGCGCTCCATAAGGACGCCGATGTGCGGCATCGCTTTACCCCTCGGCCGTTGGCGACACGACTGCTTGCCCTGCCGAACGGAACGAGAAAAGAGGGTATCGTAGGTATGAAGGTAGAGGGCGAAGTGACGAGCCACCACTAAAAATCCATGGCACGAACGCCCGCGGTGGTGATGAGATGTGTAATTTCGAGCCTGTGGGAACCACGCCCCCTGGATGTCCTGCAGAGGTAAGACAACGAAAATCCCCCAGGTCAGACCTCCCGGCGCCTAGCTGTCCGGGCGAGATCAATTGACGTGGACGGTTGCTTGTTGCTCGATTGGCCGCCTCGCGTTTCGTGGGTATGCAGAGCTTGAGCCCGAGCCTGGCCCAGTTAGACAGTGATCTGCTGCTCGGAGAAATGAATGAGAGGGACGATGGTCAGGGCGGTCGACGGGTGGGAGAGGTGGCGTGGGCAAGGAAACAATGCGGAGGGTACCAAATGAGGGAAACAAAGGAAGCGACTGAATGAGCGGGATGCGGCCTCGGTCACGAGAAAAGAGAGGTTTGCATGGCCGCGGCAGAGAAAAAAGGATCGTGATTAAAAATAAAAATCGAAAGGACGGCGACGGAGGCGGGTGGACGGGAGAGGGTGGGAAGACGGGCGTGTGAAGGTCGCAGCGAAGGTCGAAGCGTCGCAGTGGAAGGGGGGCCACGGGCGAGGATAGGGCGAGGATGAGGCGAGGATAGGAGGAGGAGGTACCGTGGGTACGATGGCAAAGCGAACCGGTGTAAATCTGGTCCCTGAAAAGAGTGGGCCGAGATCGAAAGAAAATGAGAAAGGGCAATCTAGAGGGCAAGTCGCAATTAACCCACCAAGACGGGGGGGAGAGGGTGAGGGAATTGGCTAATCAAGTCACGTCCATTCCTACGATAAAATGTAGTTAGAATAAATACATCCTCCATGCGCGCCCCTGTACATGCGTGCTGCCAGGTCAGGTACTTGCACGCAGACGTACTTTGGGTAGGGAGGTTGGGTACTTGCCTAGGTACCTAATTACCTAGCCTGAGGTCTAGATTACCTTGGGTGTTACAGGCAGGTAGGTACCTACGAGTAGAGGAGGCAGGCAGGCAGGCGCCTACTCATGTGTATACATATATGTGAATTACCTATATGTTTATGTGTAGGTATAGAGGGTAGGTATACGTGTATATGCGTGGAGGTTGCGCGAGCTATCCTCGCTATTTTTATCCCTTACCGCGTAGTCGTCGCCAAACCACAGAGACGTTTTACCTACTGATCACGATGCCCTCACGCGCGCGTCAAGTGGAATGTTGTGTGAATACCTTGCCTGTCAGCGAGACGGATGCCTAGGTAGGTACCTACGTGTAGATCGATACGGGGCATGTGAGGTATATATATCTACCTCTACCTGATGTACTGTACCTACGTAGGCAGGTACCGCTTACGCCTGCTTACCGAGGGCGTAGGCAGAAGAGTACCGACGCAGGTACTCCATCCGACATAGGGGGCATCCTATAGAAATACCTACCCTGCCGTACCTACCTAGGTACCTAATCGATAATGCTGCTTTCGACCCTTGCCCCCCCATCCCATCCATTCGTTGTCGTTCTTCGTCCTCCTCTCGCCCTCTCGTCTCTCGCTTAATCTCGTACTACACGCGGCCATTCTTTAGGTAGCACACTGCCGGCACTCCAGGGAGGGTCCCCGCCGCGGAGTCCGCCTCCACGTTTGAGGTAAGGTTAGGAGCCGCGAGGCAGCGAAGCATGTCGGGATGCCGGCCGAGATACGTCGTATACGTCGTAACGACTCTCCCATCAGCATGAGGTATGCTGCTGTGTATGCCTGTACGTCCCTCCGCGTACCTACATCTAGGTAGGTACCTAGGTAGGCAAAGGCAGGCAGCTTACTGGCTGGTGGAGGGAGGCGAAGACAGAGACAGAGAAAGGAATGCTTCCTTTCTCCCCAGCCCTATTTTTAAGGATCGCGAGGATTTTTTATTTAAAAAAAATAAGTCCACCCAAGCCGTCAGCTCCGCATTGGAGCGGGCGGTATACCGCAAACATCCCAGCTGACCCAGTCAGCCCAGTCTACATAGGTTAGGAGGGAGTGCATCTATAGGCATGTGTGTACCATATAAGCGATGAAGCGTGATGTACATCTACCTACCTACGTAAGTTGGCAGTGGGCGGGCTGGTCCACGATGAGCCCAAAATACCTCATCTCATAATTCATACCGTCCACCCGGCCGGCGGCGTGCCGGCGGCGCATTTTCCTTCTCTTCTCTCCTCCTCCCCCGCGACAACCGCTCAAAATAGCGTAAAATGCGGATCCCATCACCGTTCTTCGCAGCCTCCACACGCCCACGTGGGCCGCTGCCTATCTCGCATGCACAGGCCGCCCTGCGTCGGCATCGCGCGCAGGTAGTAGATAGCCCGTAGATCTGGAGCTGACAGTGACGAGATGTCCATGAGGGGGCTGGTGGGGCCAGCAGCATTATCTAATCTGATGAATGCCATCACTACTCTCCTCTAATGCTAGGTCGGCTCATCTAGACTCGGTTACTTCATTGCTTGTGCCGAAATGCCGGGAAACGCTGCCAGAACAAGCCCGGATGGCAAGGGCAACGACGGGGAAATATTCGGGTGGTTGCGCTACCATTTCGTCTATTGATAACTCGAGATTAGGCTATCCCTCCTCGTGGCCCACAGATGTAGGTGGGGAGTGGCGCATCTCGAAGAACTCTGATGAACTAGGTATTATGTCGTAGAACGAAGCACAGCCGTCTATCTGTTCCTGTCCCATTCACCCCAACACAGTAAACGCGGGAGCACTCCTCTATCAACGGGATCAGAGCCTACCCTTCCCATCCCGCATTCATAACCTCCATTATGGCCATACCCTTCCGTGCGCGGTAAAGGACCCCTTGATCCTTTACTTCACAGGGTGCTGAAAAAGGGAAAGAGAAAAAAACCGGCCCATTCCCGTTGGGGGGGTGGGGGGTGGGTATCATCAGTGAAGCCCGCCTTCCTGTCCTCGCATCGCCCCTCGTCCGACTTGTGCTGCATGCGGCCGTTGTCGGCATGCTGCCGCTAATTCACCACCGTCGTCGTCTACCGGTTCGGCGGCGGGCCCGCGGGAGGCGCGTAGTCCTCGCCGTTGTTCTTATAAACGTTCTGCGGTGCTTGCACGCCTTCCTGGTGAGCGTAATACCCGTCGTTGGCCCGGAACGTCGTCCCTGTATACTGGTTCTGCATCGGGTACGAGTCTCCAGGCGGCGCGCCGTATGCCGGAGGCGGGTGGCTGTAGCCCTGAGGGGGGTTGTAACCCTGGGGGTTGTTGTAGGCGTTGCCACCAGGGGGGCCACTGCCAGCCATCCAGCCGGTGCCGTACATTGGCTGGAGGCCTTGTCGTCGACGGCGGCGGGAGTTGACACATCTGGAGCGATTTTCTGTTAGCGACTCGTCCACGGTCCCGGCAGGATTCCGGGGAATCGTCCGGTGGCGGATGTACTTACGCCCATAATACGAAGACGGCGATGATGAGGAAGATGACTATACCGGCGAAGATCCAGCGGCCATACCAGCTCCAGGCGGTATAGCACCGGCCTTGTCGGAGGTATTCGCCGTCCCGACAGGGATATCGCTTCGTCAAGTCTGCGGTGGTGCCCGGGTCGAGGATGGGCGCCATCTTGCCTACAGGTGTTGATGCGCAGAAAAAAAGGTGAGCGTTGTTATCGAGAACTGCGATGCGCGACTGTGTGCGATTGTTGGTAAGAAAATAATATGGAAGGGGGAGAGAACAGAAAAGTGCTGTCTGCTTCAGCCGGCCTGCGTCTCAGGGCGTAGAGATGGGTGTTCCGGATTTGGCCGAAATGGGAATGGTGCGGTAGCCGCCAAGGATCCGCTGGCTTGGTGACGTCGACTGTGTTCGGGTGAGTAAGTAACGCCTCTCGCGAAATACCGATATAACGGGCGAGTCTGGGTTGGTTATACGCAGGGTCGTAACGAGGTGTTTTGGCTCGGAATATGTAGAGAATGGGAGAAGAGAGATGAACGAACAGGAAAGCTGCCAGCGCTGCCGTTTTTAAGACTGTCGCTGGCTTTCTCTCCCCTGCAAACATTGAGCGATGTGGCTTAGAGGGTTGCCGCTGGTTGCCGAGTCGGGGTACTGCCCGCCACCTGCCTCGCCAAATACAGGCTCTAAGGCCTAAAAAAAATGGGTGGTGCTGGCGTGGTGCGCCCGGCCACCTGCCCAGCTCAGCTAGCCCGATGGGTACCTCTACGTGTGGTCGCTGCGGACGTTCTCCAGCCGCGTATCCGCGTATCCGGGGTCCGAGGGCGGTACCGAGCGGTACCTCGACGCTCGAAGTGGCTGTGCCTACAGGTACCTAGGCACCCACACCTAGTAGTGGCCCTTTGGGTTTCGGTCTCTTCCACCATCGCCCGCCCTGTTACGTGCTACATAGGTATTACACCCAGCCACCTCGTACTCAGCGCCGACTAGCGCGGGAGTCAAAATGTGAAATGGAGCATTCCAAATCAACCGGGACAAGGAAACATACTTTAGGTACGTATGGACCTTGTAACAACCTGTTTTGTATCGCGTATAAGTCTACGTGGGCACCCCCAGCGATTCCCGGCTAGAGGAGGAATGATGAATTGCTCCTCTTCCTCGTGGCTCGGACGTGGGAGGTGACGAATGCTCGGGACTTCACCATGTTAGGGAATAATAACCAACGCCTGGCGCGCACCGAATCCGTTCACCACGACGGACCATCTGAGCTCCGCAATCAAGGCTGAGCCCGCTCGGATTAACCAGTTTGGTGCGGGACAGCAAGGAGAAGGCGGGAAGATGAAGTCCGAGTCCAGCGCAAAACACGGTAAGAAGCGCGGAAGAGGCAGCTGGCAAGGCACAGCCGGATCATTATTTTCTTGGCGACGGCGCTCGTGTCTGGTTGTCGTGAAGACCGCAACTCGCGATTCGGGATCGGCTGTGGCATCTACGTGCTTCCATATACCTAGAAAAGGCGGAGGTCTGGACGGTTCCACTAAGCTGCCGGGAGATGGTCGCTGACGAATCCCGCAACTTATCCAGCTCGGCGCGCGATACGCGTGTATGTGTATGTATGATGTCTCACGTCGTTGACGCCCATCGCCATCCGACGCCCACTTTACGGGTACCCATTCCGGTAGAATAGATTGCCTGCAGAATTGCTGCATGCTTTAGATAGGTAATTATCTGATAACTTGTTTACCTTCCACCTATCTCTATATTTGCGTGTCTGCACCCGCAACGCAGTAGTACCCAGGCACGAATGCTTTTTAGATGAAGGGGGGGGAAATGATGCGTCTAGTTTTGTTTATTTTGTTGATTATTATGGAAGGCGGTCTACATGCGTCTACCTACCTACCTACCTACCTACCTAAGTACGATGATAGGTATTGGATTAGTATCTCAATATGCTTACAAGCCTAGGTCATATATCCATCCTCAGAACCATCAGTCCTGGGTTAGGTCACATCATCAGCATTGGAATCGCTGCGTGAAAATTGCTCAGGCGCTCGACGGCTCGCGAGCGAGAGACGGGTACCTCCACTACGTTAGGAAGAGGCAGGTATATGCACTACTTTACTGATGCGTGTGCACATGTGTAGGCACCTAACCTCCGAGTGGTCTCTGATATTGGATCGACACGCGCGCGATAGCAGCGCGTACCGACTAGGAAAAGGTGCCCAGGTTCTGCCCAGACGTCGGGGCGTCCCTCGAATCTTAACCAGAGGGTCTTGTTAACATAATCCTATCATCACCGCATCACACATCAACTGCCCGCCGTGTGTCTAATTGTTGATCGTTGCAATTGGAGCGGGAGAAAAAAAAACCCCCTTCTCCCCTCTCCTCCTCCTCCTCCGACTCAGCCAGCCAGCCAGCCCCTCTCTCTCTCTCTCTCTGTTCCAAAAGGGTAGGGAATCGCCCAGGTTGGAATCACCCGGATCGACATTGAAATCTAATTTCCCAAAACGAAGAAGAGAGAGGGAGAAAAGGCGCATATGCATCTAGCTCCCTCCATCCCTCCCTTTCTTGTTTCTCCCGCTCCTAGTCTAGATCGCAGAGATTGGCGACCAGTCACTAGAGTGGAAGAGGGCGGAGGGAGGGGGGAGTAGAGGGCAGCATGTCCGGCGAGCTAATGATATGCGGCCACGTCAAATAATCTCCGTTAGATTTCACATCATGGGCCCATGGCACGCAGCGCAACGCAACGCAACGCACCGCACCGCAACACGCCAGCCGCCCACGCCCAGCTTCTCCCGTACTTTGAGGTGCAGGGGATGCGTTGCGATCCGTCTTTGAGTACGCCCACGTCCACATCCACCCGTGCTTTACGCACATAACATGCCTCCCATGTAGGTACATGATGCTTGCACGGCTTCCACCGCTGCTACCATAACAACACATACCTACATACATGCCTTACACACGCATCCATACAGATATATAGGTATATATCTATATATATCTATATATATGTGTGTGTGTACGTGTATCTACACCTATATACATGCACGCCCCGTCTCTCTCTTCGCCCGGCGAACGGGCGGAATCTGGAACCGTGAGGAGAGGAGAAGGAAGAGAGAGAGAGAGAGAGAGAGAGAGATACGACATCACAGAAAGAGAGAGCAACAAGAGGTCAAAAAGAGACCGGGAGGCCAAAGTACACGCCGATCCGCGCTTTGCTTTCTCTCTCTTTCTCTCTCCCTCTCCTCCCCTTCCTCTCGATCCGAGGAAACCGGGGATATAAGCCATATAAGTCATCGCCAACCTCACCTCACCTCTGCCCCTCCTTCCCGCCAACTCACCCAACCAACCTTCAGACCGCAGCATCGGCGTCTTCTTATATATATGTGTATGTGTGTTTTGTGTGCCGGTAGGCCTCAATATAGGTATCCATTTCATTGATACATCTCTCTGTGTGCCCATTGCCGACAACACGCACCCGCGGCCAAAATCTAATACACACCTACTTACTACCCTGTCTTCCTTCCCTTCATCGCCGTCTTCTTCTTCTTCTCCCTCTCCCTCACATATACGCGCTATGTCGCGCCCTTTCCCCCATCCGCAACCCCCTCGCCCCTCGCGCGTGCTGCCCGCTCGCAGCCTACTCCTTGCCAGACGACACGCCCGGCGCCCGACCTAGGCCGGCGTCCCTAAGCCCGCAACGGAATGGCATCGGCGACAGCGACGCCGCCACCGGCCATGCTACCAGCGACGGTGTAAGTCCCCAACCCGAGCCCCCTTCCCCGCCCCGCCCCTTCCTCTCCTCTCCTCTCCCCCTTCAGAAAGGAAAGAAAACAAAAAGTGCCAGTGCCAGCTTGTCTGCCCGCCTGTGGATTCTCTCAATATAGGTAGGTATTCCTCGCCTTCCTCTCTCTCTTCTTCTCCTTGCTCCTCGCCCAACCCTCTCGTCCGTAACCTTACTATACCTATACCTCCTCCTCTTTAACTAACCCGGCCCTCATCCTTCCGTTCTCTCTCTTTCTCTTCTAACCACCCACTTACCTAAAACCTACCTATCTATCCTGCTTTTTTTTTTTTTTCCCTCTCTTCCCCTTTCTCTCCCTTTAACTCGACACCCCTCCCCTCTCCCCCTTTACCCCCCCCCTTCCTCCCTAGGGGTCAACTAGTGCCACGCCCCCTCCCACCACCAGCTCCCTCCGCCGCCAATCATTCGTCCCCCTCTCCCATCAGCCCTCGACGCTGGAGGGTTTGCCAACTCATCATCGCATCAAAATGTGGTCTGTGTGTAGCCCTCGAAAAGTAATAAAATGTACATGCCATACCATACCATATGCCTATACCGTTCATCCATACCATCCATAACCTATCCAGCACGCTCTTCCTGCATCGCCTTCCTCCCTTCCCTCTCTCCTCTCCTCACTGCTTGGCCTTCTCCCTCTCCCTCGTGCTCGACCGTTCTTTTCTTCGCAATTTCTACTTCTTGCTGTCCCTAATCTAGTACTACTGTTTACCCGCCCTATCAGACCCGGAACCCTTACGCTTCACCTAGCTCAATATGTGCTCGCCGTTCTAGGGCCAGACCAAGCCAGAGAGCCAAGTCAGAGAGACCAGTCCAGACATATGCCTCTCTCATGCCCCGGTACTTGGAATTGCCCTATCAACTGCCTAGGGCCTCTTCTCTCTGGCAATCTCTTTTTGTATTCCTCTGCCCCCCTCCTCTTTGCTAATTCGCCTCTGCTAGGCGTCGCGACCTAGTTCCACGCATATGTAACTGCTATACGTGGTGCGTGGGATCGTAAAAAATCGTCAGTCATAATCGATTAGGTCATAAGATGCGCCTAGCTACACCGATGCTCCCTTGCCCGCTGTGCTCGCGTATCTGAACACCCGACAGTGTTCGTCGCCAAAGTCCCGGGGCTCCTTGAAAAAAGTCGTGAGAATACAGCCAAGGAAAGAGAAAAAGCACGTGCCGGATATTATCCCGACCCTTCTAGCGATTCGAATTCCCCCACCCGTCGAGACTCGGTCCCCATGAACTATGCAGAGCCTAGGTCGAGTAGACGAGGCACGTCAAAAGAAAATATATGGGAAGATGAAATCCGACATGTCGAAGGCACGCTGTCGATACAGCCCACCTCCAAAGGAAAGCTCGCGAGAGATGATTTATATATTAGGTCGTCGCCGGCCAGAGATCGAACCGTTCTTTTACGTCTCGTGTTGTCATTAACGTCGTGAAAATGCTGTCGGAATTGTCGCGGGGGCCACGATCATATTCCCCGGTAGCATACTTTTGCTGCCTGGGGTGGGCAGGGAGACATCCAAAGGAAAAGGGTAAAGGCGGACTGGAAAAAACCGAAGGACCGAGAAGCAGAAGAACAAACGACGAGGCAGAAGGTGTGACGTTTGGCGGAGCGAGGAGTAATACGTTCACCTGTTGGCCCACTTCAGGAGCCATTGAATCACCGCATCCAGGTTGGTCTCCTCCTTCGCGCTGATCCCATAGCACGAAACCTCACGATGCCCTATTCTCTTGAGATCTAGGGCATCTATGAGTTCGTCCACGCTGAGCTTGTTGTGGAGATCGGATTTGTTACCGAGTACGAGCAAGGGGATGCCTTCGAGGCTAGGCTGCGACATCAGAGAATGCAGCTCCTCCTTAGCCATGGGCAGCAACTCTAGGTCCGCGATGTCGACGATGAACATTATCGCATTCACCCCGCGGCAGTACCTCTCCCACATCGGCCGAAAACGGGGTTGACCGCCCAAATCCCAACATTTGAGTGTCACATGGCCCCGTTGTACTCGCTTCATATTGAAACCGACGGTGGGAATGGAGCTAGACGACGTGTTAGCCGACTCCACGATTACGATCCTCCATGTCTGACGACGCGGTGAGGTCACAGATGTGATTTGGGAGGGTCTCGTGCTTACTCGATCGTGAATTCTCCGCCCTGGAAATGACACCGAATCGTTAGCGGCGGTCGAAACATGCAGTAGTTCGTCTCCTTGCGCTTGTGGGTGCTTACCGCGAGGACTCGAAGTAGAGAGGTCTTCCCTGCATTCTGCAGGCCTATCATCGTAACATCCATTTCGGTCGCCCTGGTCAGGGCCGTCAGTACGATGAACTAGAGCGAAGGACTACGGCGTCGTGATGCAGAAGTGCGCATGCAGGTACGGCGGTGAGCGGCACCGCCCTGCGACCCCGCGCTGAGCGTAGTTTCGTCGACTCACCAGAAGGTTCTGAGCAACCAGTCGTACACCTTGCGGAATAACCCTGCCATCATACCCGGGTCGAGATGGATTCTATCCTGATTAGCAGCAGAGGTGTATGGGCTCCGTGATTATCGGGGCCGCAGCGTAAAGGGGGGGGGGGGGGGATAGGCGAGGGTATTCGCAGGTATCCTTATAGGTGCGAACGAGGCTGGGGCAGTAGGGAAAACGCGGTGGATGGAAATGACGGGAGTTTTGTTTCAAACAGGACGTTAAATAGCTTGCGCTCCGGCGGGATGGCTGAAAGTAGGAATAAAATGTCTCGTATGACGATGGACGGTGATGTCTTTGCTGCTCGTAGCGCTCGCGACGGCGGAGTCGACCTTGGGCGCAAATGCGTTCGGTGAATGCGAAGTATTGAGCTTCTGGCGGTGGTGAAGGTACATGCAAGTAGCACCTGACGGGAAAGATATTGTAGAAGCGGGATGAACAACACGCCTGGACGGAGGGTCACAATTCCCCACCACGGAAGATCGCACAAGATGTTATGAACCTAAGGTGCCCCGTGCCTTCGACTGGGACGTGACCAAGTGGGCGGGATACAAGGCCGACCTTGCATCTGAACGGGCAGCGGCTAGAGAGACTGGGGTTTCATTCGTCTATTTCGACCGGGCCCGTCAATTTCGAACCACAATAGTCCAAACGGGGCTAAAGTGGCGGCGGCAGTAGGATGTAGCAGCAGCAGCAGCAGCAGCGGCACTGCAGACGAGACTACCTAGGTATGCTGCAGCCAGGGGAAGAAAGGAAAAAGAGAGAGACAAGATGGGCACGGTGATGTGAGGTAAGGTAAGGTGTGTGTGTGTGTGTGTGTGTGTGTGTGTGTGTGTGCGCGCGTGTGTGTGTGTGCGGAATAGGAACTCAAGTGGGAACGGACTGGAGCCGCGAAGATGGGGAATGAAGACGGGTCACTGTTGACCGGCCCAACTGCGAAGTGTCCTGTTGGCGCACGATGGGCGTAGGTATGTATCGCCCAGGTCCCAGACTACCTTGACTTGTTCGCGTAGGTAGCTTGATGTGGAAGCGGGATGTAAGATCTGTCTAACCTAGCAGCTCTGCAGGTGGTGGGAGGAAGACAGGTTAGCTATGTAGGTAGCCGCACAGAGAGACCAGGGACAAGATCGGAAGTACCAAGGCGTCTGCCCCCTCCTCTCTCTCTCTTCTCTCTCTCTCCGTGCGCGTGCGCGTGCAGGACACTGTATAATGACGATCGGAGCTGTTTTGCTCCCGTGGAGCTTCGAGATGTTGCGCTCCCAGGTTGTCCCCGACCTGGATCTTTCAGGGAGGGATGCCTCGGAGATCTGTCACCTGTCCGAGCCGGTAAGATAAGTCAAGTCACTCCCCACGCCCGATCGGGGAGCCAGACTTATCGGATTTAGCAGTACTTTGCTGCGAACTAATTTACGTCCTCTATCTGATAGAGGCTAACTTGGGGATGTGGGCGAGTTCGCGGTTGAAGGGACAAAGGTAGGAAGTCTCCCGGATTGAGCCAACGAGACCTCAAGTACTTGGCGAGGCAAGGCAGCGTAGCAGATCTAGCTTGAGTCTCCGACAGCACGGCGTAATGGTGGCTCACAGCCGAGGGAGAGGGGGGAAGGGAACGGGGGGGTGGTCGGTAGTATGGCGGCCGAAAGGGTGCTTGACCGGGCGCCCGCTCGTTTATAGCGCACGATTCAAGTTGAGGGTGGCAGGCTACAAACTCGAGACGGCGGAGGATGGCGAGATCTTTGAGATGCAGGTGACGGGAGAGCTCAGCGCATTGAAGATTAGATGCGGTGGCCCAGAGGTAGGGTAGGGGAGGTAGGATGTGGGTTGGAGGCCTGGGTTAGCAAGAAGTCAGGACTGGATTCCCAAGTCGCCCCGACCTTTACCAATCGTCGGATTCGAACTGGGGTCCAGGCAGGCAGCATGCGGGTGGCCGGTATGCACGGCAGACAGTTTGGAGCCGAGTTGGGCTGCGAGACTGGCGTAGTATAACCACCATGTACGTCGCACCTCGTGCTTACGGAGGGGATGAGTGGTCGAGAGCCGTCGAGGGCAAGATGCTGAAGGTCTGCTCTGTAGGCCGTGGGGTGGCTGTGAGGACGAGCGAGGGTGGTAATGTACCGTATAATAGGACGGGGTAGGTGGCTAGGGTGTAGCAGCTAGGCTGGCACAGGCGACGTTCCCCGGCGATGAAGAGAGGGTGTATAAGATCGAGGTGGGAAGTGGATTTTTTTAGAAAGGGGGGGGGGGAGACGATGCGGAGGAGGTGATGAAAGTGGCTTCGGCCCTGGATAGGAGGTACCTAGTCGGCGGCAGCCAGTCGGCACTCAGATGTAGGCAGGAGGCAGTAGACAGGTGCAGTGCAGGTTGAGATGACGAGAGGAAGGCCCAGGAGGTACCTACCTACCTAGGTAGGTACCTATCTTCGGCGGGCAAGCAGATAGGAGGTACACACAAGAGTATCTACCTAGGTACTTACGTTAGGGTACCTAGATGTGGTAACTCGGGGCGATGCAGCAGGTAGTACCCTTCCCGTTGTTAGTGCCGCGACTACCTATGCTCTCTAGCCCAGCATGGAGCACCCCTATGTGGCTAGCGAATTCGTCATATGGAGCTTCCGGTCCGCCCACACACTTACTACTCATAGGTACATGCGCAGCCGCCAAGCCCGGCACAGGCGATAAAGACTTATCGATAGGGCGGTCAGGTGACGCCACTTGACACCTAGATACCGGGTACCTACATATATTAGGAGCAGGTAGGTACCTCTAACATCGTAGCCACCGTAAAAGGTACCCAAGGTACCTGCCTAGCGGTAGGTTCCCATTTTATCTCTAACGCGTGGTCCAGCGGGGCAAGCGAAGCACCGCGTAAAGAGAACAGGTACCTTAACCTAACCTACCTCCTACCTGCCCGGGTAGGTATCTTCTTGCCCTACTGTCTACCTAGGTAGGTTGCCGTGGTCATCGTCTCTTGCGTCAAGACGGCTACCCGGCCGCGTGCGCTTCCCGCTCTGCCACCGCATTGGGTTTCTACAGGCCTTGTCCGGGGTCTAGGCGCACATCGTTCCGAAGATGTCGGCGGCTGGTTGGCGTCGTGGCATGAAGCTCCCGGCCTGGGGGTAGATCTGGTTGATTAGATGGTAGGTATGTCGATCGACTTAGCCGGAGCTGCACGCCATTATACTAATTCAGGTGGCGTTGACTGAATAGGAAGCTATTAGAATGCTGTAAGCTAGCATCCTGGCACGTCGCCACCCCGTTTCCACAGTGGCTGTTATTTAAGGCACACCCCCAATGGTGACCTGCCGGCCGTTCAACGCCCCTCACACAACGGTTGAAGTTCGATGCAGTTCTTGTAAGGGAGCTCCTCGGACGCCCTTGTCGGGCGCATGGCATCCATCCCCCGTCGTTTGGCGTTAGGAAAGGTACCGTTGCTCGACCGGATTAGTATCTGTATATCTACGCATGGTGAGAATAGCTTACGGCGCACCAGGAGCAACGGCAGACATATTGTAAATCCGGCGACCCTCGTGTTCCCAGTCTCCGTCTGACACCTAGCCCGTTCATATTAATGAAGATGCGACTGCTCGGCCTCTGTCAGACTTGCCCCGGCTCGCCCGCCATGGCCCCTAGTATGTCTTCGCACTTAGTGTTATCGCCGACCCCGTCCCAGACAGGCTACAGAGGGGACCCTTCAGCTTTCTCCACGAGAAGAGAGCTGTTCTTAGTACTATGCTCAGAGAATCTAGAGAGCGGCCTGTTGGGTTGATCCCTGACAAGCACCGGCGGTGTTGCTAGTTCATTTTCGGAACTCGCTGCCCTCTCTTAGAAACTAGGTAGGTACTTACTCCAAGGCGGATTTCTACGGCTACCTACCTAGAGGTGCGTGATCCTGTCCGAAGCATAGCTATAACAACACCTAGCGATGAAGAGCCAGAAGTGGTGATAGTCGACAGGTCTCGGTTACGGCGGAGTCTGGCACAGACGGGATAGGTAGGAAATTCCCTATTTGGGCGGGTGAGGGCCAATGGGAGCGGCTCGCCCAAAGGCATAGCAGTGTAGTGTGACTACCAGTGAGTGGACTCTAGGTATACCTTAGGTACCTGTACCTACCCGAAGTACCTAGGTACCTGTAACTTTAGCCACGGGAGGATTCTGTCAGCTGTCAGTCCAGCCACGAAACCCAGCCACGAGCCACGACGAGAACCAAACTCAATGATTGCCAGAAACAGTGGGCCGGCGCCAAGACGGCAAACGATAAGGGTTTTTTTCCCCTTCGGTGCTCTCTCTCTCTGTAAGTCGTTCCGTGGGGTGATCTCCATCGCAGACATACGCGTTGGTGTTCCAAGCTCCCAAGCCAGATTTATCCCGTACCACGCGCCCTGTATAGTCTAGCCTACATCTCAATGGGACTGGCAGGATTCGACCAAAAGCGCGAGAAAACCCTCTGCCGCCGTCATGGCTGCGCAGCAAACCAGCACGAGCTGGGACCACGAGTACAACACGCTGCGCCGAGAGAATCTCTTCAAGAACCCGCCTACCGACCACTCCGCGTATCCTCTATTGCAGGAGGCCGTGAATCCTCATATCGAGTCCTTCGACGCGCTGTTCAGGAGCGACGGCTTGATCGCGCACGGGCTCGCTGACATTGGCACCAGGCTCTTTCTAGACGGCAGCGATCGCGCCCCGCCCGCCGGGAAAAACAAGTTGAGGATCAAGTGCAAGAGCGTACACCTCCAGAAGTCACAATTGCCTCCCACAAATAAATTCGTCGTCAGGAATCGTGATATTCTTCCGTCGGAATGCAGAGAGCGGCATGTGTCGTACCGGGGGAAGCTGTCGGCTACCTTTGAGTACAGTATCAACGGCGGCGAAGTAAAGGAATTCACGCGGGAGATCGGCCAACTCCCGATCATGGTGAAGGTGAGGCTCGCCAGCATGTTTCGCCAGACTTGTATCGCTAAACCGAGGTCTAGTCAAGCCGCTGCCATCTTCGAGGCAATAGTCCGGCGCAGCTGGTCGCGCGCAAGGAGGAGTCCGAAGAAATGGGCGGATACTTTATCGTAAATGGCATCGAGAAGATCATACGGCTTCTCCTCGTAAATAGGAGAAATTTCCCCCTGGCTATCAACCGCCCGAGCTTCACCAATCGCGGCCCTTCCTACACGCCCTACGGCATCATACTCAGATCGGTGCGGCCGGACGAGACCTCGCAGACCAACGTCCTCCACTACCTAAACGACGGCAATGTGACGTTCCGCTTCTCGTGGCGGAAGAATGAGTATCTTGTCCCGGTTATGATGGTCCTGAAGGCCCTGGTAGAAACGAACGACAGAGAAATTTTCGAGGGCCTGATTGGGTCTGCCAACTCAAAGGGCATCAAGAACACCTTTCTCACCGACCGTGTCGAGCTCTTGTTACGGACCTACAAGACTTATGGGATCTATACAATGGCTCAGACCCGGGCGTACCTTGGAGAGAAATTCCGACCGGTGCTGGGCGTGCCGGATACGTTGTCGCACTACGAAGTGGGCACCGAATTCTTGCGCAGGATCGTGCTGGTCCACCTCGGAAACATCGACGTCACCGAGGAGCAAGATTCGGACAAATTCCGCATGCTGTTGTTTATGATTAGAAAGCTTTACGCTTTGGTCGCGGGCGACTGCGCCGTGGACAACCCCGATGCAGTCCAGAACCAAGAGATCCTCCTAGGCGGGTTCTTGTACGGCATGATCATCAAGGAGAGATTGGAGGAATTGCTCGCCGTAGGCCTTCGAGGTGCGCTGCGGGAATACTTACGAAAGTTCCCGACGCGGTCATTTACTTCGGACGAGTTTGCTCGGGACTTTCCCATCAAGATTTTCCAAAAGGTCAACGAGAACGTTGGCAATGCCCTGGAATACTTCTTGTCAACTGGCAACTTGTCGAGTCCGTCTGGCCTGGACTTGCAACAAACGTCGGGGTTCACGATTGTCGCCGAGAAGCTCAACTTCCTCCGTTTCATAAGCCATTTTCGAATGATCCATCGAGGAAGCTTCTTTGCTCAGCTAAAGACCACGACCGTTCGAAAACTGTTGCCCGAATCTTGGGGCTTCCTCTGCCCCGTGCACACCCCGGACGGTGCTCCCTGTGGCCTCTTAAACCACCTGGCTCATAAATGCAAGATAATGACCCAAACGGTTGACGCATCGGCAATCCCGGCGCTGGCCGCTGAGCTCGGGGTGGTTGACACATCCTCAGCCGCCACGGACGAAAGCGTCGTGGTGATGTTGAATGGAAAGATCATTGGTTGGTGCCACCCATCTGAGTCGCGCCGAATAGCAGATACGTTTCGATACTGGAAAGTTGAGGGCACCCATGGCGTCCCTCTACACCTCGAAATAGGCCTCGTGACACCATCAAACGGAGGGTCTTACCCGGGTATATATATGTCTTCCGAGCCCGCCAGGATGGTTAGACCTACAAGATACCTCCCACTAGAGAAGGAAGACTTCGTCGGCCCCCTTGAACAGCCGTACATGTCTATTGCCTGTACCGAGCAAGAAATCGTCCCAGGAGAGTCTACACACGTAGAACTTGACCCTACGAACATTCTTTCGATATTGGCCAACATGACCCCTTTCTCGGACTTCAACCAGTCGCCAAGAAATATGTACCAGTGTCAGATGGGTAAACAGACGATGGGGACCCCGGGAACGTCGTTAGCCTACCGGACGGATAATAAAATGTACCGCATTCAGACCGGGCAGACGCCTATCGTTAGGTCACCGCTACATAACGCATACGGCTTCGACAACTTCCCCAATGGTATGAACGCCGTCGTTGCTGTGATCTCTTATACGGGCTACGATATGGATGACGCCATGATCTTGAATAAATCAGCTCACGAGCGAGGGTTTGGACACGGCACCATCTACAAAACAAAAAAGTATACCCTGAAGGAGGAAAGCCGCACCAGGACGGCCAGGAACGTGACTAAAATGTTCGGCTTCGCGCCCGGCAGCATCGTGAAGGCAACAACGCAGACCATGCTTGACAGCGACGGCCTACCGCACGTCGGACGGACAGTCCAAGAGGGTGACGTTCTCTTCGCCTATCACACGGTCTCTGCGGACTATAGCGGCAACTTGGTGAATCGAGACGGCGTCACAAAGTTCGAGAGATACAAGGACTCGGAGCAAGGGTTCATCGAGGAGGTCCGGCTCATTGGCAGCGAGCAAGGCAACGAGCTTGCCCAGACTATCTCGATCAAGTTCCGCATCCCTCGATCGCCGCTAATCGGAGACAAGTTTTCTTCGCGTCACGGCCAAAAGGGTGTCTGCTCACAGAAATGGCCCTCTGTCGATATGCCGTTCTCGGAGTCTGGCATACAACCGGACATCATCATCAACCCTCACGCCTTCCCCTCTCGAATGACGATCGGCATGTTTGTCGAGTCGCTAGCTGGGAAAGCGGGCGCGCTTCACGGGCTAGCGCAGGATTCGACGCCCTTCCGCTTCGACGAAGAGAACACGGCTGCCGACTACTTCGGGCATCAACTGATGAAGGCCGGGTACAACTTCTACGGAAACGAACCCATGTACTCCGGCATCACCGGCGAAGAGCTGGCCGCCGATATCTACATCGGCGTCGTGTACTACCAGCGATTACGACATATGGTAAACGACAAGTACCAGGTCCGGACGACGGGGCCGGTAGTCCAGACGACAGGACAGCCGATCAAGGGCAGAAAGCGAGGCGGCGGTATCCGCGTGGGCGAGATGGAGCGAGACGCGCTGCTGGCCCACGGCACGGCATTCCTCCTCCAAGACCGGCTCCTCAACTGCTCGGACTATACGCCCTCGTGGATCTGCCGCCGGTGCGGCTCGTTCTTGTCTATGCAGCCGACGGTGTCTCCTTTTGCCGGCAAGAAGAGGACGGCGACCACGGTCCGATGCCGCAACTGCGCCACCCGCGTGGATCAGATCAGCGACGTCGACTTGAGCAAACTTGACGGCGAGATATGGGAAGACGGACACGGGAACCAGTGGGTTGGAGGCGAAGACACGGTCAGGGTAGCAGTTCCCGGGGCGCTGAAGTACCTGGACGTGGAACTGGCGGCTATGGGTGTCAAACTAAAATACAGGGTCGACCCGAAAGACGCCCCACGCAAGGGTCGGCTGATACGAACAAAATGGGACGGTGTGTCGGTAGGGGAGAAGGCAAACGGCCTCCCGCCCGCCGTCGATACTGCGGCATAGAGTACCTGTCAACTGGCGGGAAAAGGAAAAGGGTGAAAGATTTGCCCGGGTTGCATTAGGCGGGGTTAAAGGAGTTGGGGGTTTTCTCTTCTTTTTGGGTTCCCGGCCGCGGACGGGTCTGGCCCTAGGCACGATACAAACAGAGAATCGATGTATGAAACCAGATATCTACCTACGATGCCTTCTTCAAGCAGTTGCCAGCCCGCCGTGATGTCGACCAGCACAGCCAGCCACAGTCACGGTATGTCATGTGGGTAGCCCGGGACACGGCCATGCAACCAGCCGACATGTGGGCTGACTCGTATTCTTCAGAGCGGCTACCCGCCGGCGTAACATGTCGTCGCCTGGCTGGCCCACGGACGAGGTTAGGAGGCAGGCCGGGAGGCAGCTAGGTACCTAAGTGAAGCATTTTGAGGACGTTGAGTTCGCGGCGATGCACGTTTACAGGGTGTGGTGGTGAGGTACCTCTAGGTAGGTATGCTATAGAGGAGGGTATCTGATGTACGTGTATGCTGCCGGTTACATTTGGTACCTCCTCGTCTACCTCGGGAGGTTAGGTAGGTACCTAGATACCTACCTCTTAGGGGGGCAGGTAAGTTAAGGTACCTACGGTGTTAGATGGCAACAGTAACCCGTGCCTTCCACACACCGACGCCTAAGGACGGTTACCGAGTCTCCCGGAGGCAGGGGCATTGTGTACATACACGAGGCAGGTGTAGTGCCTACCTAGGAGGTACCTGCCGAATCATCTATTCACTACATCGCACCCACCTTGCCTATATTGCCTACCTACCTTCCTTGCCCAACTGGCCGGCAAGGAGGCGGGCAGGCGCCTCTTATTTATATACCTCCCGAGGCACTAGAAGCAAACGACGATGCAAGCCCCGGGTTTCCTTCGAACCGAGACCTCAACTCTCTTCTTGGTATGTTCGTCTCTCGTGGCCTCTCTCCGGTCTGTGTGTCCTCCTCCTCCCTGCCGGGGATTTCTGCATTGCCTCCCCCTTTGGACTCGACTTGGGCTCGTTCCTTGAATAAGGACAACAACTCCGACATCATCTTGGAACGGGTTGCGACCCTCCCATCGACCATCACCATGTTGTCGGTTGCTCGTGTGGTGAGCCTCGCCGTCGGTCTCTCGGTCGCCACAGTTCTCGCGAGCTTCACGCGCCCGAGGCAATACGACTATGGTCTCAGCGATGACCACCGCCTCCTAAAACGCCAGGAGCTTCTCCAGTCTCATATTGTTACCGGCCCTCCTCATGGCCCGGGGGTTGTACATCTTAGGCCAGACATACGAGACTTGCAAAAGGATGAGGATAAGTGGAACTTGTACATTCTTGCTCTCAATTGGATGCAGTTCACCAACCAGAGCTCGCCCTTCTCGTGGTACCAGATCGCAGGTGCGCAAGCCGGAAGCGAGAAGCGAGATACCGCTGGGTTCTAACATATGCCAGGTATCCACGGCGCTCCGGCCTTGACATGGGCTGGCGTTGACCCAACACCGGGTAACGAAGACAACGGCTATTGTACCCACGTATCCGTCCTCTTTCCTACTTGGCATAGGCCCTATCTCGCCCTGTATGAGGTATGTGGGGGGGAACAGAGTCAAGTAGCACGGTTCGATGCTAACGAAACCCTGCCGTGTGCCAGCAAGTCCTGTATAACATCGTTCAGAACATAGCTACGCTATATCCACCAAGTCTTCGCGATCGCTTCCAGGCCGCCGCGGCAACTTTTCGAATACCGTACTGGGACTGGGCAGCGGTGCCTCCGGAAGGAGAGAGCCTTCTCCCCTCCGTAATTAGCACCTCGCCGCAGATCAGTGTATCCGGGCCCAACGGGGTCCAGACCATCTCTAACCCGCTATTCAGCTACATATTCAAGCCTTCCAACAAAACCGAATTCACCGTTTTCCCTGTAAGTTGGAATGCCCCTTTTGTGACGTGCGGAAACATATGGTAACAGCAATCTACCCAGTACGACGCGTGGGGCGAGACTAAACGCGCGCCGCGCCCGGCGGATAGCCCCGAAGCAATCTCAAACAATTCCTTTGTCGTGGAATCATTGGATAGTCACCTCCCGAGCCTTCAACAACGCCTACACAACCTCTTCACAAATTACCCAAACTATACCCAATTCAGTAGCGAAGCTTGGATACCCTACGGCGTCGGCAACAATGATTCCTACGATTCCGTGGAATCGCTTCATGACACAATCCACACACTCGGGGGTGGCTTTTACGGTCACCTCGCCATCATTGCGTACTCGAGCTTCGATCCGCTCTTCTGGTTACACCACACCAACGTCGACAGGATCTTCGCACTGTGGCAGATTCTCTACAACGAGTCGTACGTGGTTCCCACCCCCGCCGTCTTATCCTCTCGGACGACGTCTCCGGGGGAGGTCGAGGACTCGCAGAGGGCTCTCACGCCGTTCTTCCTCAATAACACTTCCTTCTGGACGTCGGACGCCGTGCGGGACCACCAGGTTTTCGGCTACAGCTATTCCGATGCCGCCAACAAGAGCCGCGAGCAGGTCATCGCCTCCATAAACAAGCTCTACGGCAATTTTGGTCCGGTTTCGATGTTGAGGAGACTCGGCGAGAACCATCGCCTCGGCGGTCGACGGAGCGGCGAGGATCGAGGCCGGGCAGAGGCCCACAGAGCGTATGGATTATCCTGGAACAGCCAAACATCAGAGCACCTCCCCGTGACTGCGGTCTTCCGGGATGGCAGGTATCGCGAATGGATGGCGAACGTGCGCGTACGCAAGCCGGCGGCGGGCGGCGGGTTCTCGATCCACTTATTCCTCGGCGAGGTGCCGGAGAACCCACTCTCGTGGCCGGTAGCGCCGAACCTAGTCGGTACCGTGGGGGTGTTAGCTCACACCGGAGCTGGAGACCACGGCCGGAGCGTTGGGGGCACTATCCCGTTAACCTCGGCGCTAATGGGTATGGTGGCTGCAGGCCGGATTCCAAGTCTAGACGCAGACGCCGTCGTGCCGCTACTCCAGCCCGGCCTCGAGGTGCGGGTATTGTGTGCTGACGGCACGACGGTCGACGCGCTCGAGGTGAAGGGGCTCAGCATCAGCGTGGCCAGCGCTGTGGTGAGAGTGCCAGAGGCAGAGAACAGGCTCTCGGAGTGGGCTGCGGCGGAGAGCCATTTCGAGATGTTGGCATAGAGGGTGATGGTAGTGTATGCCTGCGGCCTACATGCTGTGGTATGTTGCTTTAGGGGTAGGGAAGAGAAGCAATGGGTGTTGGCCGTAGGTACCTTGCCGATCTTATCTATAGAAGGATTTCCTTTCGATAATTGCGCAATATCCGGTCAAAAACAGGTTGACTCAAGTCATTTTCCAGTTCTATAGAGTGATCTAATGATAGTGAGCAAATAGATTCGTCCCGCGAGATGTCTTGGGGCTGATGCGGATTCGGGAGTGTGTATAAAGTCGTTTACCCTAAGCGACTCCGCAGTCGATCCCCTCTGATTAGACCCATTGGCTGTGTGCCTATCCATGTAAACATGTGTTAGTCTCTCGAGAGACAGATGAGTACGATTCTAAAGCGAGCCAGATGTTGGTTGGAGCATAGCGTCGAAGTCTCTCTCACACACTCTCACACAAGCGGACGGAGACGCAGGCGAACGCGGGACGGCAGCTAGTAAGACCTCTCGCACCCCCCCCACCGCTCCTTGCACGCCCCACTACACGCACGAGAACGAAGCTATAGGCACATAGACCTGCCCGCTAAAGTAGGTAGGTAGGTACATAGCTCCCCGAGAGAGGCCATCGACGGCGTCGGCTAGACGGTTCGATAGAGCGCGCGGGAAGGCTGCATGTCTCTGTCCGGGTGTCTGAGAGGGCGCACGAGGGAGTGCGCATCTGGGGGTGGGAGAAGTGCCGACCGGGGTGGGAGAAGGGTGCACGGCATTGGGAGGTAGGTAGATAGCTATGGAGGTAGGTTATGCCGTCGAGGGAGGGCGGCGGAGTGGGAGGGCGGCGGAGTGGGTGGGCGGGTAGGCTAATTTTAGAGAGCGGTTGACTCTCTCTGTGTCTCACTCACTTCACACACACACACACACACTCACTCACTCACTCACTCTTTCTCTCTCTCTCTCTCTCTCTCGTATGCGTGCTGGTGCGCATGGGTAGAGGAGACGGGCAGTAGAGCAAGTATGTACCCAACTTACCTCCTACGATATCCAAGGCGCCTAGTGGGTTGGACCATGGGGCCGATGCGAGAAAGGAGCAGAAGCAGAGAGAAAGAGAGTTTCGCGATGAGGAAGGGGGACGGGACGGGACGAGGAAAAGGGGAGGGCAAGCCAGGGGGCAGAGAAAATGCAAAGGTGTAACGGTTTCTTTCAACGGGAGGCGATACGTGCATAATGTACGCCAGCCACCGTGTGTTCTAATAGCGCCGGGGGCCATGGGGAGAGCGTGAGAAGGGGGGAGAAGAGGCGAGAGAGGGAGAGAAGAGCGCCACGCGGGGGCCTTAGGCGTTGGCTGAGGCCGCCTTCCTGCTGCTTTCCTTCTTCTTGTCCTCGTTGCTGCTGATGGGATCTGTTGGGTTGGGGCTGGCGACTTGGCGTATGTAGGTATGCACATCACGATGCATATAGGCTAGTATAAGCGAGTGTATGAGTAAGACCTGTTATTTCCTATCAGGCCGTATACCTACCTACCTATACCTACCCCATCCTACGACCTCCAAATGATACCGAGACAGACATCCGATCTAGTTAGATAGTTTGAACTGACTTAGCTGCGGATGGCTAGATGGGACGGAATCGTCGAGCGTGACCTGGACTTGGCTGGCCCCCAAATACCGACCTACCCCAGGTAGATCGATCGGTGCATGAGCGGTCCCTGAGAGCACCCCCCCGGTCTCTGATGAGCATCGGCAGAGGCGGACGCAGCAGAGGACGCGTGGTGTGAGACTGACACATGCGTGGTGCGGCGCTGTCTCAGCGGGCGGGGCAGACGTGCCTCTGCCATGCCGATCTGCCTGCCCGGCTGCTGCGCGCCTCGGCGTGCCGCCAGAACAGCCGGCCGCTGTGGAGAGACACGCAGAGAGAGAAATCTGATTTCCCGTCCAGGCACGCCCGCCCGCCCCTCTGCCCCTCTGCCCCTCTGCCCCTCTGCCCCTCCTCAGACTCGTTTCTGGGCGGCGGAACCGCCCGCTTCTTCATCATCATCTTCTTCTTCTTCTCGCCCGTGTGGTAGCGGCGGCGGCGGCGGCGGCGCTACTAGTAGAGATCTAGTTACGTAGGTACATATAGGTAACCCAAGCTCGCTCTGCTGGGTCTACCTAAAGAGGTAGGTAGGTGTAGGTACCCAAGGTAGGTTACCTGCGTACAGGTAAGCAGGGTGTGTCCGCTGTGTATTCGGTGCTCGTCGCCTTCGCTTGGCGCGTCTTCTGTAGGTCTTTTTTTTTTCCCTCTCGTCACCGTTCTCTGGGTGCGGTCCAGCGGCTGACCTTCCCGATGCGGTAGGAAGAGTAGAGATAGCGAGGGCGCACGACAGCGTAGGAGCGGGCGGACACACGTGAGTATTGCGCGGCCGAGAGAGAGACAAGCAGGACGTCGAGCAGACATAGGTATGTGTAGGTAGATAGGGTGAGGTGGGCGAGTGCGTCGACGACGGTGCGCAGGTCGTCGGCGATAATTCGTTGGCGCACCTAGGCACTTGCCTGCCTACCTACTCAGAAGGTCTATACCTGTTACCTAGGTAGGTAGGTACCTACCTCCTAGGTAAGGTGGCACAGAATTGTACGGCAACCCGTCCGTCTTCTCTCTCCCTTAGGTACCTACCTACCTACCTATAATGTCTCTGCTGGCATCCCTGTTACAGTGTTGTACGTCGGTAATGAATGATGATGTGTTCGCGTAATTTCCCATTGGCAACTCGCATTGCTTATCAACGTCAATTTGCCTACGAAACCGGCCGACGTCTCAGCTACCTCGTATACCTACCTAAGGTACCTACTTAAGGTACCTAGGTAGGTAGGTACCTAATGTAATGTCGTAAGCTAAGAGGTATCTCGGGGATTATCTCTAGGTACATGTAGGCGGGCAGAGATAAACGGGTAACCGGTAGCGTGACGGCCGCTCTACATATATCAGCCTCCAGTCTCCGGTCACTCATACGAGAAGGTATCCAGGGCCGACAGGGCATAGCGCCAAGCCAAGCCGGCATGCCCCCTCCCCTGGTTGACCGATCCCTTGGACCGCCCGGACGACCCGTCTCCCCTCGTCGATTGGAGCTCCCCACGCCTTTCGTGGGAAGTGGATACCTCTGGGCGCGACCGGCCAGGGGAGCTTCGTAACTCAACTGGAAGTCAACTCCGCGATTATTACAGAAGTACTAGAGTACGTAGTACCTACATTTGCTTATCTGCACCTGCTTACCTGTTTTCCTCGTGTAATCTATCTATCTCTTCTCTCCCTCCCCCCTCTCCCTCTCTCAATCTCTCTCCCCCCCCCTCTCCCTCTCTCTCTCTGTCTGGATCCCCCTCTCTGTCTCTCTGTCTCCCTCTACCCTTATATCCCTCTTATCGCCACCGCTCTCTTGCGACTCGTCATCTGCGCAACGCTGCGAGGGGGGAGCCTCGTCGCCGTCCCCGTCCGCCGTGGTAAAATGAGATCTCCCTCGACTCTGTCGCCCGCCTCCGGACATGCTTACCCATGCAGTCTAGTGGCGCGGATCGGAGACTTGCAATAAGATATAATTCTCCCTTGCACGCGCCTCCCGGACGGCCTAACCGAGCCTGGCTCGTCATCAGACGGCCGGCAAAACCAGGCTCTACGGTTAGCGTGATGTGTGTCTGATTTCGAACCCGGCAGTGCGCGATGAGTAATGCCTACACGTACTGGCATCGCGTGCCTGAGGTATCTACATGCCTGCGAGTCGCAGGCTACTTACCAGCTTTCGCTCCGCCTCGGCCCATTCCGGGAATCAGTAACGGCTATCACCAACATGCCTGCCTACCTGCGTCTGAGCGCGGAAAAGGCCAGACGCGCACTTATCCAATATCCGTTACGGATTGTTTGATGTCAAGCGTTGCTATGTAGTTAGGGCATTCAAGCCTCTCCCCCTCTCCCTCCCCTTCGTGAGTACGATGCTGCCTGTGGTGCGTAGCCGGGGGGGGGGGGGGGGGGGGAAGAGGAAAAGGAGGAGGCGAGAGGGGACCAGAGAGACCAGCGATCCTTGCGTTGCGTTGCAGGAGACGCTGTGCTGCACATTCCTGCCCAGCTGAACAGAGGAGGCCAACGTGAGCGGGACAGGACACGGCATAGGGATGGGCGCTGCTTAGCGCACAGCCACGATCTGGCTCCCGGTAAGGTAGCGGGTAACAGGTTGATTGAAGGCGGACGCCATATCGCGACTTTCGAAAGGGGCTTGCTGCTGCTGATGCTGCTGCCGTTCCATGATGCTGCGGCAGCTTGCCGTACTCTCACATACGCGGGCGACCGCCTGTCTCCAATGTGCATGTTAAACCTGTCTGGCCAGCCAGCCCATCTGCCGCTCCCCTCCCCTGCCTACCTATCAGCCTGCGCGTGCGTGAGGCCCTCTGGATGTCCAGCGCGTTACCTAGCTGAGAGAGGGGGCCGAGTGGCACTAAGAGGGCGGAGAGAGAAAAGAGTTCGTATACGACGCTGAGTCCCGGAGCCTACCTACCTCCTATCTGTCTATCTATTATACCTGGACCTACCTAGATAGAAGAGTAGGTAGGTATCTACTAGTCCATCGTTCGATCACCCGACTGTCTATCTCTCTCTCTGGCTGCTTACTTTTCTTCCAACATTTTAACATCTTCATACCTAAGACGAACACTCGCCCTCTTCCTCTCCCCTTCTCGCCTGCTCCCGTCGGACTAGAGGCCGGCCTCGGCTACCTGCTAACCAAACTGACCGACTTGCCGATCATCACGCCCACTACGCCTGCGCGGCTGATAAGTCCTCTCCCACTTGCCCGGCCTGGTCTACCTCCGCTAAGCTACGAATGCGCGCGCGTGTGTGCGCGAGCGTGCCGGGCAGCATACGTCAGACGTAAACTGTCGATACTACTTATTAGACCTGTCTGATAACAGTGTCTTGCCAACTTCTCGCGCCGCTAAAACGTTGGACCGTGATTGATTTCTCTTGTCTCAGATCTTGCTTCTTCCCCTTCTTCTTCCTCTGTTTCACTTCTCACACCCCTTCCCAATAAGAGGTAGTCGACGTGCCTACTGGTCGAGTTCACATTAACAACCTCTTGGCTTCGACCCCTCCCTAACCAACGCGTCGGACCCCTGGGGCCTACTTGACCAGGCCGGTCCCTCCGTCTCGATCGTGTCGCCATCCTTCCCCCGGCGTCTCTTCACAGCAGGGGGCATTAGCTGAATCCAACTTCTCGACACTCCTTTGAACTGATTTGCTGCCGTATTTTTCATCATACTTGTTTTCTCCTTTGCCCAACTCCGTGTGGTTTCTTATGTGAGACCGGCTGCCCTCTTTTTTTTTTCCAGCCGCCTCTCCTTTCCCATCCGTAACGCCGACAAGCTAGCTAGCGACTCGACAATATGTCGGCACCTGAAGCCGTTGATAGCGGCGTCGTGGACTACGTTGTCAAGGTCGCTTACAATGGCACCGGTGCTACCGGCGGGGATTCGTTATATAATAACCTGAACATATGGTACGAGGTTAGTACACGGACCTGCTTCCACGCGATCCTGTTTCGGACGGCCATTTCTTCTGACACGGGCATGCACAGACCGGCGACATTGCCTGGATGATCACGGCAACGGCGCTCGTGCTTCTTATGATACCTGGGGTTGGGTAAGCAAGCATCTACTTATGCGTTACAAACGGTCTAGGGAAGAGTGCCGACTTGCTCACAATTGTTTTTTCCTGTCCAGCTTCTTCTACTCCGGCCTTGCCCGGCGCAAATCAGCGCTATCGTTGATATGGCTCTCCGTCATGGCGACCGGCGTCACGACGTTTCAATGGTTTTTCTGGGGCTACTCCTTAACCTTCTCTCACACGGCTTCTTCCTTCATAGGTGACCTGTCCAACATCGGTTTCAAAGATGTACTGGCTCGGCCATCCGTTGGCTCCCCCAGAATCCCCGACCTGCTCTTCGCCGTGTATCAGGGCATGTTCGCGGCTATCACCGTAGCTCTCGCGACGGGAGCCGTTGCCGAGAGAGGCCGGATCCTACCCTGCGTCGTATTCATGTTTATCTGGTCCACCATTATATACGACCCGATCGCTTGCTGGACGTGGAATCCGGCCGGGTGGTCTAATAAGATGGGAGGTCTCGACTTCGCCGGCGGCACCCCAGTCCATATCGCCTCGGGAACCGCGGCCCTTGCGTGTGAGTACACGCTCTCGACTAAATTTGCCCTTTTTGTCCCAATCGTTCAGAATGAGGAAGATCCGTGCCTAACCCGTGTGTATGTGCTTAGATTCGATGATGCTTGGGAAACGACGAGGCCACGGCACCCACGAACTGAACTACCGACCCCATAACGTCACACACATCGTTATCGGGACCGTCTTCCTATGGGTTGGGTGGTTCGGCTTCAACGCCGGTAGCGCGCTCTCGGCAAACCTGCGCGCCGTGATGGCCGCCGTCGTCACGAATCTGGCGGCTTGCGTCGGAGGGATTACGTGGTGTGTACTTGACTACAGGCTAGAGGGAAAGTGGTCGACGGTTGGTTTCTGCTCAGGCGTCGTGGCAGGTCTCGTAGCCATCACCCCGGGATCAGGTTCGTTGCTAACGGGCTACTACCCCTTGGCGAAGACCGGCTTCTAACTGTTCCCAGGCTATGTTCCGGTTTGGGCCGCGGTGATTTACGGAGTCGTCGGCGCCGCCTGTTCAAACTACGCCACCAAGCTCAAGTTCTTCCTGCGGATCGACGACGCCTTGGACATATTTGCGGTGCACGGCGTCGGTGGCTTCGTCGGCAACATCTGTACCGGATTATTCGCCGCTGACTACATCGCGCGTCTCGACGGCTCTCAGCAGATCCAAGGCGGCTGGGTGAACCAACACTGGATTCAGCTCGCTTATCAACTGGCCGACTCCCTCTGTGGCGGGTGCTATTCTTTCGTAGGGACGTGCATCATCTGCTTCATCCTGAACTTGATCCCCGGCATGCAATTGCGAGCGACGGAAGACGCCGAGATCCTTGGCATCGACGACGCAGAGATCGGCGAATTCGCGTACGACTACGTCGAACTCACAAGAGAGGTCCTGAACGACATCGAGGTAGACGCCACTAGTCGATATTCGGCCGACGCCGGGAATTCCTACGACCCCCGAGAAAAGAACAGCATTCCCCTCGTAGATCCTCGGTTATATCCCGGCCCCTCTTCTCAATCACCCAGCCAGTAGAGACATGGCCGGCGGCTTTTCTATGTAACGGGGCTAGCTTATCATGGACTTTCTGCTTTTTGGGGGGGTCGGGAGGGGGGTGGATATACCTACGTATTGCCCGATATTCTGGCAGGCTTCGTCGAGCGATGTCGATGTTATTTTTTTCTTGCTTGGGCGCCTATCTGCTTCCCACGCACGCTGCAACGAAAGATTGGGACTCTCGAGTCGGACGCATTTAGGCGAAACGCGTGCGTTGAAGAGAAAGGACCTTCCTGGGTGGTATGCCGCAAGGGCATAACCCAGGTGTTTCTGCCAGATGTCGCCTGTGGGCCCATCGGCAGAGCCTCCTTCGTTATTTAATGAATTAATCAATAATACAAATGCGTCCCACGGTAGAGACTCGGGATTGACGCCGTAGCAGACCACCGAAATTAGGTACACGGGAGGTATGGGAGAAGACGAGATCTGCGCAGGTAGGTAGGTCGGGTTCCCGATGACCGGATTATTCGACTATGAGGTACATGCAACTAAACGGGCACCTAAAATGCAACCCGACAGAGGAATCCTGGTCCTCGATAGTTCTTGTCCGTAGATGCCGCTTGTCTGTCCAACTTCTGCTTCCTTACCCAAGGGAGGTTTAAGAAGTAGGTATGGAGCCATCTCGCCAAATCGCATTGTCGTCTCCATAACCGATGCCTAGAGGGCTCTACTGTCTTGCGCGTTACGCCAAATCCCCCGTTACCTCGACGTCTTCATCCTATGGCTGCAAGATGTCTTGTTTGGCGTCCGCGCCTAGAACCTACCTACCTCCAGAGAGTCCTCTCTCTCGCGCTGCCCTACCTGCCTATGGATCCCTATCTGGAGGAGAAGGCCGCTTTCTTCGAGCGCTTTGACGCGTATCATCATAGAGACGCAGACGACACTCTAGGTTTCGAAGAGAGGATTTATCGTCAGAAGTTCAGGGAATTTTCCTCTGCTACCTCGTCTACTCCGGCCAAACCTCCCTGTGTCACGGATGGCGATGCTAGCAGGCTTTTCAGTGCCACCCCCGAGAGAATGATTTCGGATCTGATCCGTAGGGACGATAGTTACGATAGCGACGTAGAGATCATTGTCGTAGCACCGCGGAGCAGCACCTCTAGAGCCGCAGGACTGGACTCGATGGCAGATCATGCACCAGGAACTGCAACGACCGCAGCTAAGCAATCGCTGCGCCGCCCGACGCGCCCCTTACTTCGTGGCAGACACTTGAGCCCCCGGAGTGATTCCCCGCCACCCAAGAAGGGGAAACGCAAGAAAGATGGATCATTGGAGCTGGTGCCCGAAGAGCGACAGATTTTCAAAGGCCTCTCCTTCTATTACGTACCGAACGATGATATTGGTCCGGTACGCAAGTTCCAAATCGGCAAAGCTCGGCAACATGGTGCAACGTAAGTAACCACTCGAACGCGTCTCAGGCGGTTGGTCGACCCTGGTCGACCCTAGGCTCGTGGACGACCGATCCCCCCCCCTTTGGAGATTCCCAGAGCCATACCATCCATCATGATCATACCTATCAAAACACTTAGCTGACCTCGTATACATGGTGCATGTAGCTGGTCGAGAGATCTAGTCGACGCAACGCATATCATTGTCGACAAAAATCTCGCATACGCAGATATAGAACGCCACCTGCGGGACGTTCCAAATCTAGCAGGGAAAGTTCTTGTCAACGCGGACTATCCTATGGACTGTTTAAGCCACCATATAATTGCGAATCCAACCCAGCGGCAATACGCAATTTCTGGCATGCCAACATCTTCTAGCCTGCCGGAAGACGCTGCACCGTCTTTAAGCGATCCCGATACCCCTCCACAACCCAAGCCGAGGCGCAAGAAGGCTGTAAGAAGAACTCGTCTCTCCGTGCCAAACACATCATCCGAACAATGTATGGGTGAGATAAAGGCAGCCAATGACGGCAATGGGTTAGGGGACGAACCATCCGATCCCGATGATGCTACCCGACCGTCAACTGCGGATGAAGCCGACGTCTCATCAGATTCAGGCAAGCCCCGAAGGAGGAGACTACGAATAAGACGAGTCCTGGATATCGGTAAAAGCTCTGGACAAGTGGAGCTCAAGTGGCAGGATAAGTTTCTATGTATGAAAAGCGGCACTCGAAGTGAGATGGACAACAAACCCAACGCCGAAACGATCAAAGTCCTCCAGGAGATGGCAGACAGACACAGTCTCGATGGTGAAGAATTCCGGGTCCGCGCTTATAGATTTGCTATTGCCACTCTCCGGGAGCAGCCAAAGAAGATTTGCACGGCCGAGGAAGCCCGCGCCCTACCTCACATTGGCCGAATAGCAGAAAAGATCGAGGAAATCGTTAATACAAAACAACTAAAGCAGCTAGAGCAGGCGCGGAATGACCCGGATAACAAGGTCCTCGCCACGTTTCTCAAGATTTATGGAGCCGGCCCAACTCAAGCCAAGAAGTGGATGTCTCAGGGGTTTCGCACACTCGATGACCTAGCGAGCAAAGCCAAACTTACTACCAGCCAAAGAATTGGGCTGGAGCATCTCGAGGACTTGAATACTCGGATCCCGCGGCGCGAAGTGGATGCCTTGGCCCGTTGCGTTAAGGAGGCGGCCGCCGGTATCGATCGTGACGTGGAGCTGATCATCGGAGGGAGCTACCGTCGTGGGGCCGAAAGCTCTAGCGACATCGACCTGCTCATGACCAAAGAGGGTACTTCCTCGATAAGACAGCTCTCATCGTTCTTGGACCGACTTGTCGAAAAGCTGACTCGAGACGGATTCTTAACCGCGGCCCTCGCCACTCCCCGAAAAGGGGGCCCTGACGCGGGCAGTGGCAGCCAATGGCACGGGTGCTGCGTGCTACCAAAGGCAGCATTTCCTGGCCCGAAAGAAGACTACCGGCCGATATGGAGGCGTATCGACTTTCTACTGGTGCCCGAGACTGAGATAGGAGCGGCGCTGATTTACTTTACGGGTGACGATCTCTTCAACAGGAGTATACGGTTGTTGGCGAACAAGAAAGGGATGCGGTTAAACCAGAGGGGGCTCTACAAGGATATTCTCATAGACCCAGTGAACCTCAAGATGATCGGGGGCACCCTGGTAGAAGCGCGAGACGAGAAGAAGATCTTCGAGATCCTCGGCGTCCCATGGAGAGAACCCCACGAGAGATGGTGCGATTAGATACTTGGTGAGTCGCTCCGACACGGCCCTTCCCGAACGAGGAGCTCGTAACGGCGCGACGCTCTCTTCCCACCTCTAAGCTCGGCGCGTCTCTTCGCCGCTCCAGTCGGCGGGATGGATGGGTTTAGCAGGGAGGAATCTGCGGCTCTGCCGGGATAGGTGCCCATGACGCCGGATTGCTAATCCCCCTTGGCCTTATTGGCCCAGTAGATACCGAAATATACTCCCCCTCCCCGGTATCTACGGTTGTGTTTGTACTTCAGCTCGTCTCTCCAGCGGTCTACCCGCATGACGGCGACATGTCCCGGCCAATGAGGTAAATCTCATTACACACGTTCTCACGACCGCACTGAGAGGCTCGATGTAGTCCCACCCTACATGTGATGGGTCTAGTTCCCCGATTGGAGCGTCCGGATCGATCATGTATTGACCTTCCCTTCTCCATCTCAAAGTCCCTGGTCCCCCGTGGGCTCCCTTTCCCTGTTTTCGAACCGTTGCTATCGAATACGTCGTAGGCGTGTGCCCCGCGCTGCTTATACGGCTGCATAGGTAGGTGTATACACAGATCTTACGTGGTACGCGGGTATAAAAGCGCATAGTCGCACATTTCCATTCCCCCCCCCCCCTTTTTTTTTCCCAGCATATCGGTGGATACGGTCGCCTTCTACTGCTTAATTCTAGCCATTTGTTTCGTAGGCTAATCACTTGATCATGCCGAGCTTGGTAGCGCTCGGCCTTGCCGCTGAGCTCCTAGCTATTCACGTCGCTGCGACATTCGAAGGGAATCTCAACTATGACAGTCCTTCTCGTCGGCACGCTGGTCTCGGCATTGACGTACCCCATGTCTCTAGGCGCAGCCTTAAGCGCAACGCCGTCCCATACCAGGCAGAGGAGCTAGACTTCACCCATGGCATAGCATCGGGGGATCCATACCCCAACAGCGTTGTCCTTTGGACTCGGGTCGCACCGTCCCTTGCGTCAGATCCCAGCAATATCACAGTCGAAGGTCCTGTGCCAATGTACAGCCACGACACGGAGCAGTACATCAGGGAGGACCCAAGCCCTATCTGTGCCGAGTGGAAAGTCACCGCAAGCAAAAGCCAAGACGTCGTGTCAAGCGGCGAAGCCTACACAACTAGCGACATTGATTATACTCTTAAGGTATCCTGCCGCTATAGCCCTTGTCATGCTACTCCTGACGCGCGAGGTCTGACGGGGCGATAGGTCGAGGCGACGGGTTTGCAGCCTTTCACGACGTACAGCTACCAATTTACCATATGCGGGTCGAATAAGACCAGCCCCGTAGGAAGAACGAAGACCGCGCCTGCGGCGGATGCGGACGTCCCGGAGATAAAACTCGCCGTCTTCTCATGTAGCAACTATCGTGGGTAACCCGTATAGACTACCCTCAAATATCAAATATCCCGCTTACGGTTTGAAGCCAACGGTTACTTTAACGCCTACGGCAATGCCGCACGCAAGGATGAGCAGGACTATATAGTTAGTACTGCATTCAGCCTCGCACAAGTTATTGGTGAAAGGCCATAGGCCTAACGAGGGCAAGGTGCATCTGGGAGACTACATCTACGAAGGAGCTGCCGGGGGCGAACGAGCTCACGCTCCGCCAAGACTTCTGTTCAGTTTACATGACTACAGAACTCGTCACGGACAGGTTCGTAGATATCACGCAGAGCCGTCGAGTTAGGGGGAGGGCATGGGGGACGGGATTAACTAATGGGACAATGCCGACAGTATCGGACGGATCCAGACCTGCAGCTTGCCTCTCGGAACTTCGCCTGGATCGCAACTTGGGACGATCACGGTACGCGGACCCGAGGACCTAGGAGAGGACCTAGGAGAGGTCCTCAGATTATGCCAAGACATTCCGCTCACGTTCCTTTGTAGAGGTTTCTAATAACGGATACCGCGACGGATCAAGTGGCTTGAATAACACCGAGGCGTCCTTCCTGAACAATGGGAGGGTCAGTGTGGACCAGCGCAAGCTGAACGCCGTCAGAGCGTACTTCGAGTGGATGCCCATCCGGTATGTTATCACGAATGGCGATGTGAACATCTCACTGAAATGATGGGATAGCCAAGTGGACCTCGACGACAACCTGCGAATATGGAGGTCATTCCAGATGGGAAAACGTACGTAACGTAACCTCACGGTCTATCCCCCGTTCCCATATCACTTGGGCGTTGTTAGATCGTGTAACCGGGAAAGAGATACGACGGTTCTCGATCGGCTATGAAGCACCAGATTCGCTAACTAACATTGAGATTGTAGTTCTGGATCTGATCATCCTCGACACGCGCAATTACGACCGAAGCATTACTTCGCTAGGTGAGCGATGTCCGATAGCGAGGGGACAGGGGGGAATCTCTCGGCGCGGAATTGCTAACGCGAGCAGGGTGGAACGACGAGTACATCGACCTCATCCGTGATGACGCCTCGCGCTCTCTGATGGGCTCGCACCAGGAGAATTGGTTCTACAACCAGCTGTCCAAGTCATCCGACCGAGGCGCGACTTGGCGCATCGTTGGCAACCAGATCGTGTTCTCGCACATCGTCGAGTCGTACGGTCTGAGCGGCGACAACTGGAATGTGGGTTGGAATAACCCACATCGAAGAGAATAGTGATGGCGCAGTCGCTAATACACGAGTCTTCTTTTTAGGGATACGTTGCGAATAGGAACCGGACGTTGAAGCACCTCTATGACAATTCCATCAGCAACACCGTCTTCCTCGCCGGCGACAGCCACCAGAACTGGGTGTGTTTCTCTCTTCTTTCTGCCATCTTTTCTAGAAATCTATCTTACCTCCCCGTACGGGGCGGACCGAACTGACACGTGAGATGACTTTCAGGTATCGGACCTAGTCTGGCTAGGCGAGAAGCCGTACGACCCGGAGACGGGCGACGGGGCGGTCGGGGTCGAGTTCGCCGGGACGGCGGTCAGCTCGACGGGGTACCGGGCGTCGATCGCGCGGGCGCGGACGGAGGCGCAGTACCGGGTGGGCAACAACAGCGTGCTGCAGTGGCAGGACGGATACTACCGCGGCTACTTCCTGCTGTCGCTGTCGCCCGACAGGCTCGAGGCGCGCTACTACGGCTCGCCGAGCGTGGCGACGCGGAACTCGTGGGATCTGCCCCTCGCGAACTTTACCGTCGTCGCCGGCGAGAGCAAGCTCGCTCGCCCCGTCGCCGGGGGCTCTGTCGAAGCTGGGTTCCGTAAGTTGGTCAAATTTGCACCCTTTTCTTTGCCCCAACTCGCCCCCCCCTCCACGGCGTCACCGGTTGCTGCCGTTGCTTTTATTGGCTTCCCTGTCCCATTTCGCACGGGCTATTTGCGTGAATAGCCGAGCACGTATATCTCGATGGATGGACCCGTACTAACCCCCAACGTGTTCGCAGTAAGGGGGGGCCAGACCGAGCCGACGAACATCACATTGAATACGGACACCCGGGAATGGGGTGTGGTCGGCTTCGAAAAGATGTACCTCGACACGTAGTCGGTAAGGGACCTGGACCATCCAGACAACCTGGGAATCTGTACGGAGGTGAAGTTGGTTTATGTAGAGGTGGCCCTACTACGTGGATAGCCAATGCAGGTATATATACCTACTCATTGCCTCGCGAGATGAAGAGGGATGAAGGCGATCGGGCGTAAATCTTTGCCCGTTTCCTTCCGCCGCTGGATGTACCCAAGATGCTAGGTACCTAGGTACCTAGCCTAGGCCCTATAGGGCACTACTAACAGGTACATTGGGCGCCTCAAAGTGCCTTGCCTTGACCGAGGCGCTACAACGACAACTCCCTGGCACATAGGTATTTTTCGGTACGTCGAACCCCTATCTATAGGTAGCAGAGCCGGACACCACACTAAGTACTAGCCTGATACGCCTCCCTTTTCCTACGTGTAGAGGTAGGTATATCCTGGGTAAGGATCACAGATCGACCGACTTTCTAGCGGAAACACAGGAAATGGGGCTAGGTGGATATTCTGGAAAATCCAGCTCATCTACCTAGGTAGGTAACAGGTACTTGGTATCTATGCCTTTTAGGTATTCAACAACAAGTAACCTGTGAATAACGTCTTGTGTTAGGTTAGGTAGGTGGTTATATACCTAATACTTACATACCTAGGTAGGTACCTCCTATGTAGGTAGGTATATACCTAGGTAGGTACCTCCTATGTAGGTAGGTACCATACCGGGAGGGGGGGGTCTACGGACAGTATGTCAGCAATAGAGTCGGGGTACGGATACGGTAACTAAATCTGGTAAGGGTTACCTATTCTTTCGAAAGAGCTGAAAGAATTACAGCAAGGGTCGCGGTACCGACCTTATTACCTTCCCTTCTTATAATTTCAGGATGGTTTTTATGACTACGTAGGAACCAATGTCCAGACGGATATAATGTCTATATATTCCATAGGTACCTACCTGCCTGCCTACCTACCTACCTACCTACCTACCTACCTACCTACCTACCTACCTACCTACCTACCTACCTATCTATCTACCTAGACCTACCTGTTGTCTTCATCTTTTTTCTACAAACACCATGATCTATTACCCATCTACGAACCTATCTGCGAACCTATCTGCGAACCTATCTTCGAACCTATCTGCGAACCTATCTTCGAACCTATCTGCGAACCTATCTTCGAACCTATCTGCGAACCTATCTGCGAACCTGTGGGAGCTAGTTCGCGCGTAGAATCTATCTATCTTCGAACCTATCTTCGAACCTGTGGGAGCTAGTTCAGGCGTGTGGAATCTATCTATCTTCGAACCTGTAGGAGCTAGTTCGCACATGGAATCTATCTATCTATCTTCGAACCTATCTTCGAACCTGTGAGAGCTAGTTCAGGCGTGTGGAATCTATCTATCTGCGAACCTATCTGCGAACCTGTGGGAGCCAGTTCGCGCGTAGAATCTATCTATCTACGAACCTATCTGCGAACCTGTGGGAGCTAGTTCAGGCGTGTGGAATCTATCTATCTTCGAACCTGTAGGAGCTAGTTCGCACGTGGAATCTATCTATCTATCTTCGAACCTATCTTCGAACCTGTGAGAGCTAGTTCAGGCGTGTGGAATCTATCTATCTGCGAACCTATCTGCGAACCTGTGGGAGCTAGTTCGCGCGCGTGGAATCTATCTACCTATCTTCGAACCTATGGAAGAGGTAGGTAGGTAGGTAAGTAGGAGGTTAGGTAGGTAACAGACGTAAAAGATACAAAGGTACAAAGGTACGTACTTAGTAACCTAGAGGTAACCGGGTAATCCTATGGAATGTACCTTTTTTTAAAATAAAGACATTATGTCCGGATGGTAACTATGTCGGGAAATGGTAATAATGTCAGCCTAGAGTTTAACTCCTTCTTATCACGAGGCAGACACTATGTCCAGTCATAGAAAGGGTTGCTGACATAGTGTCAATAGACCCCCCCCTCCCTGTATGGTATATACCTAGGTAGGTACTTTTGGGCGGGGGTCAGTGGGACGCCGGCGTCTGGACGCAGGGTTTTCTCTCTTTCGCGATATCGTTTTCCCATTTCCGGCGGGGTTATCCTGAGGCGGACCCCATCTGAACGTGGGCTGGCCCGATCCATGTTAGGTTGGCAACCAGGTCGCGCTTAAGAAATTTGTAGGTAGGTACCTTTGGCGTTTTTTCTGCTGCCCCACCATAAGTAGATCAGGTTGTCCCTTTCACAGGCAGGCGCGGCACCGTTACCCCCCAAGCAATTCCATAATAAGTCGGGGAAGAAAAAGCAGGAGAAAAAAAAAAAATAAGTCTTGCGACGAGTTTCAAGCCCAACTTCCTTCTATCTTCAGCATTCATCCGGCTTCGTCTGAACCCAACTCGCCTTCCCTCTCCCCCCCCCCGCCGCCGCAACACCTCGCTGCCATCCCGCACTCATGGCATCCGGCAAGACAGACGTCGAGGCTGCCGAGCAGCAGCTCAAGAGCATGGCTCATTCCGAGCAGCACTACTTCAACAGGTCGGTTTTGCCCGTGCCCATGTCCCACGCCCCTGCGCGCGTGCGCTTGCCGCATGGCGATAGAGAGCCGCGTACCTGCTCTCGGCCACGGGCCTCCCTCGCTGACCCTCGTCGCACGACAGCTATAACCACCATGGTATGACCTGCCGAAGCCCTTCGAGGGGACTGATGTGGACGATGGACTGACAAGCATTGGCGGAGGAATGGAGGGATCCACGAGGAGATGTTGGTACGCGCCCCCCAGAGTGTTATCCCCCCTGTCGTTCACCCCAGCTGGCTGATACCTACATCAATTACCTGTGTCCTGTGATTAGAAAGACGAGGTGCGCACGCGTTCCTACATGAATGCCATCGTCCAGAACAAGCATCTCTTCCATGACAAGGTTGTCCTCGATGTCGGCTGCGGCACCGCCATTCTCTCCATGTAAGTCACGGACATCCCCGTCACCTCACGTAACCTCACATCCCGCCCTGCTCTCTCTCTCTTCTCTCTTCTCTCTTCTCTCTCTCTCTCTCTCTCTCTCTACTTATATATAATATATATATATATGAGTCCCGATTTAGACCCCATCCACTGATGCGTGCGGACCCCCCTCCCCTGCTCTTTCAGGTTTGCCGTACGCGCCGGAGCAAAACACGTGATCGGGGTCGATATGTCAACCATCATCTTCAAGGCCAGGGAGATTGTCCAGGTCAACGGCATGGCAGACAAGATCACCCTAATACAGGGTAAGATGGAGGAGATCGAGATGCCTTTCCCCCAGGTCGACATTATCATCTCGGAGTGGATGGGGTATTTCCTGCTATACGAGAGCATGCTCGACACCGTCTTGTATGCCCGTGACAAATTCCTCGCCAAGGATGGGTTGATCTTCCCGGACAAGGCCACCATCTTTGCTTGTGGCATCGAGGATGGCGAATACAAGGACGAGAAGATCGGATGTAAGTTCCCAACGCCAACCGAGGAACTTCGACGGCGGGGGAGAGAGGCTGACAGACGATAGTTTGGGACAATGTGTACGGATTCGATTACACCCCGCTGAAGGAGACGGCGCTGGCTGAACCCCTTGTCGATACTGTCGAGATCAAGGCGGCCGTCACCGACCCTAAGGCCATCCTGACTCTAGATCTCTACAAGTGTACGAAGGCCGACCTCGCCTTCTCGGTGCCATTCGAGCTGGAATGTCGCCGAGACGACTTCGTGCATGCCCTCGTGGCCTGGTTTGACATCGAATTCACGGCATGCCACAAGGTGATCCGCTTTTCCACCGGCCCACATACGAAGTACACGCACTGGAAGCAGACTGTCTTCTACCTGAACCAAGTTTTGACGGTGCAGCACGGGGAGACGATCAAATGTCTGCTAGACGTGAAGCCCAACGAGAAGAACCGGCGGGACCTCGACATCAAGATCGGCTACAATCTGGATACGCAGGACACTACTCGGTCTGCCGCGGGCTCGTGCGAGTACAAGATGTGCTAACGAGGGAGAGGGCTCTTTCGAACGGTAGACCTTGTATTCCTCCGCCTGGTACCGAGCCTTACCGCCTGACAGGTGGAACTGGCCTGAAGGACTGATATACCTTTAAGGCAGCAGTGAGTCCTGCACGATTACGTGGCGACTGGGGTTGGGATGGCGTTGGGAGGTATGAAAGTCTCTCGGCCTTCGAGTTCTCGGCGGTGGAGGCAGCAAGTCGTCTGCGGACACGCAGACTCTATACCACGCGGGAAAGCGCGAGGAGGACGGCGCCTGTCCGAGCGGCTGGCGAAAATGGTCATGTGCTGGAATTATTTACCCGTTCCCCGTCGCTGCGCTCGAGGGGGGGGGCGATGGTTGAGGCGGTTCACGGATCGGTCGGTCCTGATAATGCTATATAAGCAAAATAGACATGCATGAGCCGACGTTCACTTGTCTCTCTCTCTCTCTCCACCTATACTCATTTTACGAAATCAAATCACTCCTCTGCTTGTCGTTGATAGAGATGTTGCCAGGCCAACTGGCGCTTGTCGGGGTAGCGGAACTGCGTGGGCTAATCTGTACCTAAGGTAGTGGAGGATGCGGAGCGTAGATATGATATTATACGCGACCGTATCACTCGACCATAGCAACCCGGGGCACTACCTCTTCGTGTCCGTGTTAACATTGCTGTCGATATACGCACAGCTTTTATGCCTGCGTGTGTGTGTATATAACTTAGGTTCCTACCTAACCGGGTAAAACCCAAACACGGACGTCCGACTTGCTTCCCTGCAATGACGTAGGCTCCCGGAGCAGGTTGGTACAGGGATCCTCGATAGAACGATGTCTAACAGGACAATGCAGGTAAGTAAGGCGTCTATGTATCTATACAGTATCTGTGCATAGAAAAGGGATCGGAGCGCAGAACTGGCGTCGAGGGAAGGGAGCGGGGAGCGATAAAGAGGGGAAGAGGAGAAGAGGGGCGGGGATATACATATACCTCTAGCATGGCTGCATAACATTATGCATCGGGCAATAAAATATGCAGGCGGGGACACATATGCGCCTGTCGGGTATGATATAAGGCCCCCACATCTTGGCACTAACCTAAAGAGGTAGTAGGCATTTACGTCACATCGTTCCTTGTGGACCTGATTATGCACATCCCTAATCCCTCACTATTCCTCGCCCTGCTGACGTAGCAATGTTACCGTTTTAACCCCTACAATACAAAGAACTCGAGAAGAAAACCGCCCTACTCGACACAACTTACGTCGCCGCAACCGCATCGCGGAGCTCGCTGCCAAACATGTTCACAGGCCTGGTTGAGGAGATAGGAGGTAAGCCGTCTCGACGTCGCCCACGTCTTCTTGCCTCACCAACACACCTAATGAGCAAACGAACGAATAGACGGCTAACCAACCAACCAACCGTTTAAAAAACGTAGTGGTCGCCGAGCTGAACCCCCACGACGAGACGGGCGGCACCTCGTTGACCATCACGCTGCCGGCATCCTCGACGCTGCTGGCCGACGCCCAGCTTGGCGACAGCATCTCGGTCAACGGCGTGTGTCTGACGGCCACGGCCCTTTCGCCGGCCTCCGCTCCGTCGCCGTCTCCGCTGTCCCACGGGTCTGTGCCGGACTCGAGGCTGGACGAAGGGGGGCGGAAGGGCACCTTTGGGGAGAAGTTCTCGGCGAAGACCGCGGCTGCCCCGGCGGTGCCGCCCCCGCTCAGCTTCACGGTCGGCATCGCGCCGGAGACGCTGCGGCTGACGAACCTGGGGGCGCTGGCGCGGGGGGCGCGGGTCAACCTGGAGCGGGCGGTGCGGGCGGACACGCGGATGGGGGGCCACTTCGTGCAGGGGCACGTGGACACGACGGCGCGGCTGGTGTCGGCGACGCCGGACGGGAACGCGCTGACGCTGCGGCTGGCGCCGGAGCGGCGGGCGGGAGCGGCGGACGGCGGCGCGGCGCCGGGGAGCGCGTCCGAGGACCCGCTGCGCTACGTCGTGCACAAGGGCTACGTGGCGCTCGACGGCGCGAGCCTGACGGTGACGCGGGTCGACGACGCCGAGGGCTGGTTCGAGGTGATGCTGATCGCGTACTCGCGCGGCAAGCTCGCGCTCGCCGACAAGCGGCCCGGCGACCCCGTCAACCTCGAGGTCGACGTCCTCGCCAAGTACGCCGAGAAGTCCATGGCCGCCGGCTTCCTAGGCGCCCAGGCCGAGGCGCGCACCCGCGCCGTCATCGAGGAGGTCGTGCAGAACGTCGTCGCCCAGGCGATGGGCGGACATGCCCCCTGAGGAGAGGAGGGGAAGACTGTCGGGGTGATGGGGGGGGGGGGTGCCGGCAAGGTCCCCTACCCCCCACTGGGGCGAATCGGGTCAGACTGGACTATATACACTCGGCTGGGAACTGGCAAAAAAGGGAAAACCCAACTTCTTGTCGTTCGTGAGCATATCTTCTTTTAGGACGAACGGATCAGGTCGATCCAGGGTAGGGGAAGATGTGAGATGCCCCCTCTGTACTGCACTCTCCCTGGCCCGTACGGATATTACCTTGTCTTAGCTTGAGGGATGAGCGCCTCTTCTTATACTACGTAGATAGATTTCTTTCTACCTGGCTACGTCCTATATTTGCCAACAGGTTGCGAGGTATATCTATCTGCAAAGGGTCCCGAGCTGCTCCTCTTGCGTTCCTAGTTCGCGCGTGCGTCGGGGCAATATTCAGCATATCCTAGATGGCTTCCTATAGGACGATACGGGGGACGCCATCGAATGGCATGCGGTCTTAGAGAGCCGCGGAGAGGCATGGCGGACGGAATCAGTTCTCAACGTTTCTATTTATACCGGCCGTCGCTAGCGAGCGAGTCGGCTTCCAACGAGGCTCTACGGACTGTTAGACGAAGGCTAACGGGCCATACACGCGCCAAAGCTATTTACGCCCTGGAAATGCAACGCCGGAATCCGACTACCCCCTTTCCCGCCCCGAAGCGTGCTCAACTCGTATTCGCTCGCCCTCGCTCGTTACCGAGGCTCACTCGGCGCCCCAGACCTCGGCGATGCGCTCGCTGAGCTGCTTCGAGATCTTCCTGCGGCCGACGAGGTTGCCCGTCTGGCTCCAGACCATCTCGCGGCGGCGGCGGTCGCCGTCGGGCCCGGCGCCGCAGGCCTCGAAGGCCTTGACGAACCCGTGGGGTGTGGGCCAGCGCTTCTGGATCTCGAGCGCGCGCTCGCCCGTCACCTGGCGCGTGCACATGAGCATGCGGAGGAAGAGCTCGCGCAGGGTGGTGAGGTCGGACTTTGACGCGAGCGAGGCGAAGGCGGGGTAGGTGACGTGGTGCTCGGGGGCGGGGGGCGCGGCGGCGCGGAGGCGGGCGAGGAGGGGGAGGTAGTTCTGGGCGGTGAGGACGTGGGTGGGGATGACGAGGAGGGGGCGGGCCTCGTAGCGGCGGCGGAGGAGGGCGGTCATGCGGGCGAGGTAGCGGACGGTGTCGTCGACCCTGGCGGTGCGCTTGACGAAGTAGCCGCTGAGGACCTGGGTGGAGGCGACGGCGGAGCGGATCGCGTCGGCGCGGCGGTCGAGCGCCTCGGCGTCCATGGCCACGTCCTCGACCACGTACACGACGCGCCGCACGCCGCACCGCGCCAGCCGGAACTTCTGCTCGTGGAACCGCCCGTCCCGGATGCTGCTCACCAGGTCGTCCAGCCGCTTCCGCTCCACGATGTGGTCCAGCACCACCTCGTCGCCCTCCGCCCCGCCCCGCCCCAGCAGCGCCCCCGCGTCCCGGCACTTGGCCACCCACAGCGCGTCGCCGAGCTCCAGCGCCCGCACGATCGGCGGCGCGCCCTTCTTCGCGAGCTCGTCCTGGACTGGTTGCGAGAGAAGGGGGAGAAAGGTTAGATATAGGGTCTCGGTGATCAGCAAGCCACGCTGTGTTTTTTCTGCTTTTTTCCTTCTCTCGGCTTCGTAGGACTGGCACGGGGGGAAGGCTACTTACTGTAATCTCGGTCCGTCCTGGCGCGCACTTCGCGAACGTCGAGCACCAGGCGCACCTCGAAAGAGCCCGGGGGCAGGCAGATGGGCTCGAAGTTCGGCAGCGCGTCGGCTCCCGAGGACGAGTCGCCGTTGGCGACGACGTCGTAGTAGGCCGACTGCTGCGGCTGCGGCTGCGGCTGGGCCTCGGCGTCGGCCTCTGGCGACGGCACGCGGCCGGCGACGACGCGGCCGGCCTCTTCGACCTCGCGGGGCCGGGGCGCCAGCGGCCTCGCTACGGGAGCAGGTGCCGCCGCTGCTGCTGCGGCCGCGGGCCCGCCGGGATTCGCCATCGTCTGCTGGATGCGGCGGGCGACTTCCCAACCCTCCTCGGTGAGGTGGTACCTGCGGGTGGGGCGGCCGCGCTCGTAGACGAGGTCCTTGTCGAGGAGGGTGCGCATGGCGCTCCAGGCGGTGTAGAACTTGGTCGGGTCGGGCGGCGCGGTGAAGGAGGCGTCGCAGTGGGGCTGGGCGAGCTCGACGAGCTGCGGCTTGGTGAGGCCGGCGCGGTCGCCCTCGGGCAGCGTGGCGAGGCCGAGGACCAGGGCGTAGGCGCCGGAGCGGAGCGTCGGGACGTAGGGCCTAGCGCGGCGCTGGCGCTTGGGCGGGCGGTCGGCCGCGTCGTCGCTATCGTCGTCGTCGTCGTTGGCGAGGTCCCCGAGGCCCGGCAGCCGGGCGTGGCGCGGCCGCTTCGGCATCGGCAGCCCGTTCTCGCGGCAGTGCTGCTCCAGCTGCTCCGTCAGCCGCTCGCACAGCTTCGGCCCGAAGCCCTTGAGCTGCGCCAGCTGCGACGGGTGCGCGAAGGTCACCGGGCACGCCCGCAGCGCCGCGTGCGCCTTGCGGTACGTCGTGAGGCCCTTGGAGTTGTGCTCCCGCGCGCGGACCACCCACTCCTGCACCCACCCGAGCAGGAGCGGGTTGGCGCACGGCGCGTCGGAAGACATTGTTGTTGTTCGCGGCGTCTCGGGTCGGTCGGTCGGTCGGTCGGTCGGTCTGGGTAGTGATGGCGGTTGTCGAGCGTGAGGCGGCTAGGGAGCAAGCACAAACATAGGAATCCGTCGACGCGACCGAGCGCGTCTATGAGTATCCGAGACAACAGCCAGACGCCAAGTCAGGTGATGGGAGAGTGGGACGGTTACCTGGGGCAGGTACACTGTGTACGTACCGAGGCTTGCGCGCGTGGCGGAGCTGGGTCCTGATGAGGTAATTATGGCGGCCCCAAGGACGCCCCACACACACATCCCCACTCCGACATTCCGACCGCCCCATCGATAAGCAGGGATAAGACGGGAATAAGCAGCGCCACGCTCGGTGGCTTAGGCGGATACGGGCAGTGGATCGCGCCATGCGGTACATACTATAAGTAGGGTTAGGTGTCTCGGTACGCCTACTCATACATCGTCGTAGACCCGAGGTACCTGGGGAGGTAGAAGCTCACCTCCTTCGGTACCTCTTAGGAAGGTAGGTAGGTACCTAAGCTCTGAGTGGCACCCGACGAGGTGTGCGAGGCCAAGCTGGAGCTCGTGTCGGACCCGCTGCTGCCAGCTAAGTCGTGCATAGCGTCGGTCGCAGTGGCTCCTCTCCCTGCAAAGCCCGCAGGTCGGGTAACGTCAGATTCAGCGGCAGGCTCACCTGGGCGGTGGGTACGTAGTAGGGGCACCTAAGGTAGGATGTAGGTAGGTACGTTGTAGATCGGTAGGCAGGTACCTGGGTCGGTACGCGGCGGACGGCGCCTACGGTCTGCGATAGCCACGTAGCTGCCCTAGTACCAGACTAGTATCACGCTCCGTACAGGGTACCTCGGGGCGGGGTGGTGCTAGGGAAGCAGACGGGGGCGTGCACGTATCTAGGTCGGCCGATCGGTCGGCAAGGTAAGAGCAGTACCGTGGAAAGCAAAGGAAAGTAGCATGCGAGGCGGGGCTTGGACAACCCTGACCTCTCGCTCTTTCCCCCAGCTGGTGATGCTGCTACGTAGCACATGGCAGGCGCGCATGTACCATGGACTAACCTCTCCCCGTGTTAGGTGGTACCTCCCCCTGCCGTCCATGAGGGGTCGTCTACCTCGTATTAGCCTGCTCGTTCGACGCCTTCACCTTAACATCGCAACTTATACGCCCTTTTTTTCTTCCGCCGTCCACCTCCCTCTCCTCTCCTCTCCCCGTCCGCAATCCACCGCCGTAACTGACTGGTCATTTTGTGCTGTCCCCCCCCCCGTCCCCTGGGTAAGTAACCCTGACGGAAGCGAACGGCCGCCTCGCGCTCGTCTGCATCGGGAATAACCAAGTGCCTCCCGTCTCACACTCAACACGTCCATCCCCTAGACCGCCTTCTAGTCTCGAGCATCGAACGCTGGTTCCGCTGCCGTTGCCTACCATGGACCGAGATCTGATCCTATCTGCTTCCAAGAAGCACGACATCGTCCCCGGTAAGGTCTACAAGTATGGCACCGCCGGCTTCCGCATGAGTGCGGACCTGCTGGACGGCGTCACCTTCCGAGTCGGTCTGCTGTCAGCTCTCCGGAGCCGCAAGCTCAATGGCCAGGCGATCGGCGTCATGATCACCGCCAGCCACAACCCCGCTGTCGACAACGGCGTCAAGATCGTGGATCCCATGGGGGACATGCTGGAGCAGGAGTGGGAGGCGCACGCCACGAACCTCGTCAATGCCCCGAGCCACGACGAGCTCGTCGACTACTTCCACAAGCTGGCCGAGACGCTCAAGATCGATCTGTCGGCCCCCGGTAAGGTCATTGCCGGCCGAGACACCCGTCCCTCGGGCAAGACGCTCGTCACCGCCCTGAGCGACGCATTGGCCGCTACGAATACCACGTATGTCGACTACAAGATCCTCACCACCCCCCAGCTTCACTACTTGACTCGCTGCGTCAACACCGAGGGAACCCCTGGCGCGTACGGGGAGGTCAGCGAGACCGGATACTACAATAAGCTCATCCAGGCTTTCTATCGTGCCTTGCGCGGACGTACCATCTCCGGGAAGCTCTCGGTCGACTGCGCCAACGGCGTCGGTGGTCCCAAGCTCAACGAGCTTCTGAAGCACCACGACCCCTCCAAGACCGGCCTGGAAGTCAAGGTTTACAACGACGATGTCCTGCGTCCCGAAGTCCTGAACTTGGACTGTGGCGCGGATTTCGTCAAGACTAGACAGCGAGCACCCGTTAGCGTAAAGCCTGCTCCCGGCGAGCGGTGGTGCTCTCTGGACGGCGATGCCGACCGCTTGATCTACTACTGGGTCGACCCAGAGACCGGGTTCTTCATGTTGGATGGCGATCGTATCGCCACCCTAGCTGCTTCGTTTATCGCAGACCTCATCCGCACCGCCGACTTGCAGGATAACGTCCGTATCGGCGTTGTCCAGACCGCCTACGCCAACGGATCGAGCACCAAGTACGTTGAGCAGCACCTGCAAATCCCCGTCGTTTTCACGCCCACTGGTGTCAAGCACCTCCACCATGCTGCTTGTTCGTACGATATCGGCGTGTATTTCGAGGCCAACGGTCACGGCACCGTGTTGTTTTCTCAGAACACCTGGGCGGAAGTCAAGAGGAAGGAGCCTCAGTCTCCAGCACAGAAGGACGCCCTCGAGACGCTCAGCGCCCTAGGCGACCTGATCAACCAGACGGTTGGGGACGCCATATCGGACATGCTCATGGTGGAGGTCATCCTCGCCCACAAGGGGTGGTCCCTGAGAGACTGGGCCATGACCTATCAAGACCTACCTAACCGGCTCGTCCGCGTCGAAGTCGGCAACAAGGACCTGTTCCAGACCACCGACGCCGAGCGAAAACTCAGCCAGCCGGAGCACTGCCAGGACGACATCGACAAGGTGGTGAAGAAGTACACCAACGCACGATCGTTTGCCAGGGCTAGCGGGACGGAAAACGCCTGCAGAGTGTACGCGGAGGCGGCCACGAGGTCCGAGGCTGACGAGCTCGCAAACAAGGTAGCCGCCATCGTTAAGGCGTATGGCGGCTGAAGAGACACCTACGCGGATGAATCTCCTTCCCAAAAAAGCATGTCAGTAGGGGGTCCGGACCGCCTTTAGGAGAGGTGATTTTTTGGTTGGATATGTAGTTGCTAGAACACTCGGACGGCTCAAGTAGCTAGGAACCCCGTACCAGACGGGGACATGGAGGTTGCGAGGGAAAGGAGGGAAATCCAAAAATTCGGTGTGCACGTCGACATGGGGCGGGGGGCGAGGAACCTCTGCTGCGTATACTCTGCCTCTCGATGTATCTCTACCTAGACGATGCCGAGACAGAGATATTGGGAGGGGGGGTAAAATACAGCTACTTAGTCGAACTAGTGAGAAACAACTACAACAACAATAACAAAAAAAGACTTGGTCCCGTTCTCGTTCTAGCTACGTCGATGTGGGATGTGCCAACCCAGGAAAATAGCCTCTTGACGTCGGGCCGACGACGGCGAGGTAAGGCAGGGCCGCGTCCGACCGAGGCCGGGATCGGCTGTCACGGAGGTACCTGAATTAAGAGGTAGGTACCTACCTAGTTTATAGAGAGAGAAGTCGGACGGAGGTTAGGATGGTGGAGTGGTGGTGCTCTTCGGTGCTTGCCCGTCTCCAACTCGCGTACCTGCTTGTGTTTATGCATGTATGCGCCATATGAGTAGGCGGGCACCTACCTAGGTACTTACCTACCTAAGGTACAGGCAATCTGTGTCCGATTTAGTAGGTAGCGCTGAGCGCCGTCTGCCGGCCGACTTGTCTTCCAAACGGCCTTATTCACACTCTTCGGGAGCTTTACCTGCCCAGCCCAAGATGCTTAAATACTATAATTGGGCAGGTATATGGAATAGTTTGTAGTTCGAGTTCCTTTAGGCATTTGTCCTTTAGGCATTTGTTAGGTATATATATATATATATTCCGCTTTGTTTCTAGGGGCTAGCCAAACACCCGTCCTCTGACCTCCCTCCGTCCCCCACTCACTTAAGCACCAATAACAGCGGCTAGGCCGTCATCAAACCTAAACCACGCTAGTGGGACACCGAAAGAGGGGGCGACTCAGGGGCCGGGCACGGGACGGCGGGCAGGGGTTCGTCGGGGGCGATCTGGCGGCCCTGGCTCATGGCCACGAGGTGCTTCCGTACGAGCTGGATGCGGCTGTTCTGGTTCGCCGTGTTGCGCGGGTTACCGTACTGGAAGGTGAGTCCGTCGCCGTGGTTCACAAAGGTCTATATTCGCGGTTACTTTTTAAAGACAAGAGAAATAATTAAGAGGTAACGGAGACAGAAGAAGGCAACGGGTGAAAAGGGGATGCGAACTAAGGCAGGGACAAACAAGTGCGAGAACCCGAGTAGCAGGAGTAGGCTCACCTTACAGTCGGGGGCGTTATGCCCAAACATGCTCCAGAACGTGTCCCCGACGGCCACAGGACTCTCCTCCAGGATCTTAAAGAAGGACTGCAGGTTGGCGGTGTTTCCGCCGACCCAGTCGTACTCGCCCGAGAAGAAGGGCTTCCCGACCGCCCCGACGGTTCTCAGGTCGTTCTGCAGCTTTGCTGTGTCGACCGGGTACATGTGGTTGGAGAAGATGTCCACCTCCTCGATGTCCAGATGAGTCTTGTTGATGCCGTACGTCCCGTCCACTACGCATAAGATGTCAATGTCTAATGGCGCAACCCCGAAGGCTTTTATTTGAGTTGTGACCCTTTCTCATGTGAGGGTAAGAGGTGAAGTGGAGTGGACGGATCCACGCACCCACGAGCTTGTTCGGAGCAAGGCTCTTGACGTATTGCGCGATATCCCGAACCCAGTCTGCCGGCGAGTTCATATCGCCCCATACGGGACCCAGAAGCTCGTTGCCAGTCTCGTAAGCGAATATGGTAGGATCTTCGGCATATTTCAGGTTGTTGTACTGATTCCTGTGAGTCAGGAGCGTCTTGATGTAGTCTTTGAAAGTAGCAACAATGGTGGCATTGGTGTAGAACTGCTGGATCAGGGGGTTCTTGTCATCCCTGGTCCCGGTGAGGTCGAAGCCGGCCCAACGGAGGAAGTTATATTTTCCACCGTGGTAGTAGTCCTACCGACGCATGAGCTCACACAGTCCCCCAACGGTCCGTCTTGTGCGGTGCTCGGGCTGACATAGTTATCCACGAGGGGTACCATAAGCCTGACTCCGTACCGGCCGGCTTGGTAGACAGCCCAATCGATCGCGTCGAAGGCCTTCTCATTGACCACTCCTTTCTCCGGCCAGACACTCAAGGGGTTTCCGGTGCTGACACCCAAGGTGTGGCTGCGAATCGTGGTTCCTCCCAAGGCTAGCACGGTCGCCATCACCTCGGTGATGCGTTCCTTGGTAGGATAGCTGGCTTTGGTCGGGGCGTAGTAGGGCTCGCCCACCGGCGGCACCACGTTCTCATCGAGGCCCAGCCAATAGACATTGGGCCCGACAGCTTTCCAGGGCTTCCCATCGACAAGCAGGGTCGTCCCGCTGCGTACGACCGGGGCTAACTTTGCTGCTCTGCCACCAAGAGCAGAGGCGAGGAGGCCAGCCGCGGAGAGCGAAAGCTTCATGACTAGGTACTTGATGTCGAAGTGCGGCGGGAGAAGCTTAGCGTCGACGCACTGCGACGAAAGGCGAAGGGAAAGGGCGCCGGGCAATATACCCGCCTACACAGGAAGGCATATACAAATACGGAGAGGATGCTAGCAGGTGGTGGACGGTGTTTTGATCGCCCGCGGAGGGGAGCATTCCGGCTAAGGTCGGGGCGCCGAAATAGCAGGTGCTGGCGTTGTGCATTGCGGTCCAGGGCCAATGATAGATAGGCTCGATATAGCAGCGGATATGACGAACTACCTACCTGGTAGGCATCATAGCCTGTAGGTATTCTCCCCGTAGCTACGCAGCTAGCATGAATATCCGGGTCGTACGTTGCAGACGAGCTGGTGGTGGCTGGGCGCTGTGGTCCACGGTTCACGAGTTTTCTGTAGGTACGCCGATTGTACCTAGATGACCCATACTATAGGTAGGGCAGGTCGGTGGGTAGGCATTGGGATCTCACGATGCTCACAGAGGTAATTGTTTCAGAGGGGGAGGAGAAGAGAGGGAGAGGGAGGGAGTAGTGCAGTGCAGATATGGAAGAAATCGAGATTCGAAGCGAAGTGAGACGTCGCTTCCGGAGGATTCTTATGATGATGAGAGGCAGGTACGGGACGCGGAGGGCCAAGCATCCGGGGCTCCGTCCTGGCATACCAATACTAGCGATACTGTAATACGGGTGCAGAATTACCTACCTTAAGAGACGTCGGCCCGTCGGCGTCGGCTGGCTGCGAAACGAAACCTTTGAAAAACGTGCGATGGCCCCTCTCCCGTTCGCAGCCAGCAGCACAACACCCAGCAGCGCCCACGGCCGCTAAAACTGCCAGCCCCTGGCCCGCGTCGGTATAGCAGGTCCTCCCCTATAACCCAGCCCGCCATGCGCCCTACAACGCCGGGCCACCCCTTCGAGACAGCCCAATCAGAAATCTCCCCGTCGTCCCCGACCGGGTGCTGGAAAGTGGCCGACCTGCGAATATACCTACCTGCCTACCTACGCAAATGGAGCCGGCCTTATGCAGCGCCTCGCCTTCTTCCCTTTTCCCACCCTAGCTAATCCGTACCTTTCTGTCCTTCTTTTGTATCTATTCTTTTATTTTTTATTTTTTGAGGGAGCCTCGCGTCTCTCTCTCTTCCTTCTTCTCCTCCCCTTTTCCGACTTACCATCCGTCGTCTCGGGGGGAAAAGGAAGGAAAGCTCTCTTACCTATACCAAACCTCCCCCACCGATCCGACCCGATCCACGCGACCCTGACACGACCGATCGCGAGAGAGCATCAGCCGGAGCGGGCGCGCGAGCTGCAGTCGAGATGACGCGCCCGCCGTCGCCGCCCCTCCTGCTGCTGGCCGCCTTCCTGGCCCTCGGCCTGCTCGCGAGCACCGTCGAAGCCTCGTACGGCGACCGTCTCCCCGCGTTCCGAGAATGCGTCCAGGTTCGTGCTGCGCCCGTACACATACCCACACGTGTCTATCCGGAGATGGGAGAGAGGAGAAAGCAAGAGGGATCCGATGCCGCGCCGAGTCAAGCGCGCGCGCTGAAGAGAAGGGGGAGTGGGGGGGAGACGTGCCTCTAGCTGGATCGTCGATAAGCAACCCCCCCCCCCCCCCCCCGGCGCACAAGAGGAGGGACGCAAACGCGGAAACGAGAGACGCGCGCGACAGTTCTGTGTAGAATACGCTGGCTGACTGGGCGGGCGACCGCGAAACAGGTGTGCACCCGCGAGAACTGCGATCCTGACGATCCCACTCCCATCCGTACGTCGTCGCTCGCGACCCTCTTCTTTTTCCCCCAAACCCATTCCCATCGTGCACGCATACCTATATATGTACATAATACATAGGATAGAAGCGGAGATCAGGCCCGGAGCAGAGACGGAAGGAATGGAAATATGGAAAAATCGCCGACCGCTGACTGAACCTTCTGTCGCCCGTCCGCCCGCCGGGCTCTCCCCGACCGAACCACAGCCCTCCTCCACCGCGTCCTGCTCTGGTCGTGTCCGCGAGAGTGCGACTACACGTGCCAGCACATCGTCACGCAGCGCCGCGTCGCCGCCGGCCTGCCCGTGACCCAGTTCCACGGCAAGTGGCCGTTCGTGCGCGTGCTCGGCGTGCAGGAGCCCTGCTCCGTCCTCTTCAGCCTCGGCAACCTGGCGGCGCACCTGTGGGGCCTCGCGCGGCTGCGCCGGCTCCCCCGGGCCTACCCCATGCGCCACTACTACCTGCTCTTCGCCTGCTTCGGCACGGCCGCCTGGGTCGCCAGCACCGTCTTCCACACGCGCGACTTCCGCGTGACCGAGCAGCTCGACTACTTCGCCGCCGGCGCCAGCGTCCTCTACGGCATGTACTACTCGCCCATCCGCGTCTTCCGCCTCGACCGGCCCGGCCGCCGCCGCCGCTCCCTCGTCCGCGCCTGGACCCTCTTCTGCTGCGCCCTCTACGCCGCCCACGTCGCCTACCTCACCCTCTGGCGCTGGAACTACGCCTACAACATGGCCGCCAACGTCGTCGTCGGCCTCGTCCACAACGCCATCTGGAGCTACTACAGCTGGTCCCGCTGGTCCGAGAGCCGCCGCTCCTGGACCACCTGGCCCGGCGTCGCCGTCGCCTGGATCATGATGGTCATGAGCCTCGAGCTCCTCGACTTCCCCCCGCTCTGGGGCGCCCTCGACGCCCACAGCCTCTGGCACCTCGGCACCATCGGCCCCACCATCGTCTGGTACAAGTAAGTCGTCCCCGCCGACCCGTCCCCGCACCCCCCCCCCACCCCCGTCACCCCTTCCGCATCGCGAGAGGGAGAGAGAGCGGGAGAGCGCGCTCTGAGCTAACCGACGAACCCCCCGCGGCGCAGCTTCATGATCAAGGATTGCCAGGAGGAACTGGCCTTGATGGGCAAGTTGAAGGACATCAAGGCCTAGCGGCGGCGGCGAGCACGGCGCGACCATCCTTCCGCCCGTCTGGTTGCGGTGCTGGGGCATCGAGCTCCCTCGTGTATGAGATTCGAGAGTTATGTTGTCGACATCACCCGTCTGTCTGTCCGTCTGCGGGCGTGTGTGTGTGTGTACGTGCCCGTACAGCTCGGGCATTTGTGGCAAGTTCATACTTACGTCTATTGTAATGGGATCCGTCCCGCCGTCGTCGTCGCTCCCTTATCCGTTTCAAGCCACTCGCACATAGAACAGGAGGGGAATGGGCGGTCATTATCAAGGCCGGGAGTTCAAGGTTCATTAAAATAGTTCTATACTAGGTGGTCTTTATTTGGTTTTCATCACTATAGACTATCTCGGGTCGCACTACGTAGATACATAACTAGGTAGTCTGCCCGTCTCACCCTACGAGACCGCGCCCGGCGTGGCTGGCCCGAGCCTAATTTATATTTTGCTGTTCCCGTCGGTCCAATCTGCCTTGATGCCCAGCCAAACACCCTGCGCGGTATCGTCCGTCGTCACCGTATCTCCTCACCTCTCGCACCCGTCACTCGCTTCTTGACGATGACGCGCCTCGAAGAAACTAGAGGAGAAAGCCCGGTCGTACATCCCTAGAAGAAACAGCGCCGCAGCGCAGCGAGTTAGCACTCGGAACTCTCCTTCCGCGGGGGGGGAGAAAGCCAGCGCCCCACCACGCGCCCGCGTGTGCCGTCGCCCATCGCGCAAGATCAGAAACCCAAATTGTTCTAAGCACCACGCGCCGCCGGGTCCCCGCGTGGCCGCCGGACCGCGCCGTCGCGGCCCCCCCCCCTTGCGTGCGAGGCCCCCCCCGCGCCGCGGCAGCACGTGGCGGTGCACGCGCGGGGAAGGGGGGCCACAGCCGCGAGAGAGGGGGGGGGGGGCAGGAGCAGGCGCGGCCGCGGCGGGCCGGCCGGGGAGCGGGCCGGCGACGGTCTCATACGGCTCTTCCTATGTGAGTACGAGGTAGGTTGGACACTTTGCGGTGTCGGAGTCATCACGGAGGCGCGGGCGGGCGACGGCGGCGCGGGGGCGCGAGGGGGCAAGAGGGGAGGAGGTCGACGTACCGTTTGAGATGCGCGGGGAGGCAAACCTCTCCCTGCCGCCGTCCACCTACGTCTTCACCGCCCGCGCCAGAGCCAGACGGAGCTGCTGCAGCCTTGCCTGGCAGAGCTTTGGCTATGCCCCTGGGCGTCCCCCGCAGCTCGCCCGTCGGCCCATCCGCACGCGCGGCGCGTTTGGTGGGCCGAGAGCGCGAGCCGGGGTCGCGAGGGAAGGGGAAAGAAGGGAAAGGAAGAGGTCGTGCGGGCTGGCGGTGGGAGAAGGGGAAGAAAGTAGGAGAAGGTAAGGTGGGAAAAAGAAGGAAAAAGAATTTAAGACAGTGCGGATCTTCCCCCCCCTCCCCCACTGAAATCCCACCCCCCCTACCTACGATTGGTTTGTAGCCAAGACCTTGTCGGACCGTCGGCCGTCGGCCTCGTCAGGTCCACCGACCTGGCTCGCCCTCCTGATGCGAAGCCCAAGCGAAGCCCCCTTCGTCTGTGCACGGCACGCTGTACCATGGAATCAGAAGCTTTCCATCTTCTCTCCCCTTTCCACTCTGGTTTTTTTTTTCCCCTCGGGTTCTTCTCCAGTCCCGATCAGACCAGCAAGATCCCCCCCCCCAGCCGGTTGGCCGTGGTACATATAGTAGTATCGTCAAGACGGACGTCGTAATATGCATACGCGGTTCCGCACAACCAAGCAGCCGGGAACAGGCCGCGTCTCTACAGAGTCTGTACATCGCGAGATTGTGGATTTCTTCTCATTACAGCCGGGAATGCTTTCCTCGCGTGCTCCTATAAACACAACCAAAATCTCCAGGGGTTTGTTTCTCGACTATTGCTCACCAACAAGCCCCTTCTCTCCTGTATTACAAGGATAGAGGGGAAATTCTTGAAACCCTACCAGAATCCGCACACAAGGGCTTGAGCAGAGACGATGCACCTCTATCTAGCCTAACGATTACGATATCGTCAAGTTCATAATCAAAGCATTCTGGGTTCGACCCCTCTCCCCCACAGAAGCCCCCCCCCTCCCCCTCAGCCGCCTTTTCAGAGCTCGTCGTCGTCGTCGTAACATCGTAAAAAGTAACGGTGAGGCCACGCGTGTCTATGGGAGACAACGTGGGCCCACGCCCTCGGATGGCCTCCCTTGGCTGGCGTCCTTGCCGTTATTGGGGGAAACCGTTAAACTGCGAAGGTGCCCAGTCCATTTGAGAGTTGTAGTCGATGTTAAAATCTTGAGATGATGGCTGGCTGTAGCCTCCGGCAAGGCTGGGCGGGACAGTCTCGAACAGAGCGCTGCTCATAATGTTCGACTTGCTGTTCATCGGCGTCGGATCAAACAGAGGAAAATCCTGGCCAAACTCGTTCGAACATGTAGACTGCTGGTGGTAGTCTTCGAATCCCTCGTCGACCCCGTATGGGGGAGTAAAGAGCATCTGGTTGCCTTGACCGGCGGGCGAGATGTGCGGGGTGGGCACTGGGGCACACACGTCCTGCATATAGTTCGAGAACACCGCGCTCACGTTTTTATTATAAATCGAGTGGGAGGGGGTCGGAAGTCGCACGTGCGCGCCATAGATGTCTTCGAACTGGCCAGTGAATTCGGGGCTCAGCTCGTCATAGTTGAATTGATCCGAGTCGGTCGAGGGAGTGCTGTTATCAATCGGGGAGAAATTGAGCTGAATATCCTCGTCGAACGGTTGGGGGTCGTAGCCGCCGCCAAACTCCTCGTTCGTGGGGCACGCCGGAAAGAGAAGGTCGTTGTTGTGGCTGTAGAAAGCATCTTCGGGCGGTGTCATACCGTGGTCGATCTGCTCGATAGGGGTGGGCAGATTCTTGATCACAGGCGTGGGCTGAGCCGAGCTCCCGGCCTTGCTCGACTTCTTCTGGCCGTTGGTCTTGGTTCGAACATAGGTCCAACCGTGTGCCTTCTCCATGTGCTGCTTGCAGTTGGACTCCCGCTTCGACTTGTAAGGGCAGGGTTTAAAATGGCACTCATACATGGGCGGGGCAGCCGAATGCTTGTCGTTGACGTGTCGGTCCATCTCCTTCTCGGTGGGCCAACCGTACTCGTGGTACTTGCACGTGGAAATCGGGCACTTCCAAGGACGAGAGTGGGTTTTCTCGTGCTTTGTGAGATCACACGGTCGCTTGAACTCCTTGTTACAGCCCGGGTGGGTGCACTTCTTGGGGGCAAGTTCCTCCGGAGTAGCGTTCTTCTTTCGGCGTGCCATAGACCGCATAATCTCCTCCTCATCTTCAGCTTGCTCACTCATCGAGCGCTTAAATCGAATGGGTTCCTTAGATTCATCGTCTAGGTCATCAACAGGCTGACCAGTAGCGATAGAGACCGCTTTGCCGTTCTTTTTCACACGGACTAGTTCCGCGGGTCGTCCATTCATAGTGAGGCCGCCCACGAGCTTGATCTCATCGGTTCTGCGCATCAAATTAGTCAACATGCAACCGTACCGACGGTGTGGGGTGGCGTACGGGTGGACATCCATGTCGTCCAGCTCTTCTCCAGACGCTTGCCTGTTGCGGGCCTCTTGCATCTGCTGTGCGTGCTTTCGGATTTGTTCGACGAGATCGATGAAGTAGCCGTTGGTGTACGGCCGATCGCGTGGTCTAGTTTGTTCCCGATCGCTAAGATATTCGACGGTCGCTTGTATGCACCGAATCGAAGTAAGGCAGAAGTCACGGTATAGTTCAACAGATTTTGCCTTATCCTTCAGCCACAAACTTTGATAAGCAACTCCCCAAACGCCAGCGTCTTTCACGAGTTGACTCACCGGTGCCATAAAGATCAAGGTCTTCTCGAGGTCCCTCAGACAAACGATTTGGTTCTCATGGATCCTTCTGGGGCAGTCGAAGACAATGGGACGGAAGTCCTTCAGCGAACAGTCATACAGCAGCGGTTTGATGATATGTTCGTAGATACGATTCACAGCACGCTCGCTGAGTCGCTGGCTACTTCGGGGTCCGGAAACAGCAACAGACCGCGTGATAGCTGAAGCGGAACCCCCGGCAGGTTTGGTCTCGCTCGGCTTCTGTACCGTGGACGCAACAGACGTCCCCAGACCACTGTCCGATTCATGATGACGAGAGGAGCGACGGCTCCGAGGACGCGGCACACGGCGCTCTGGGTCGCCGGTCACCAGGCCCTCCGGCATCGTATCGCCAGCAATTGTGTGCTCGAGGAAACCTCTGGGAATAGGGAGACTATCGTCCCGAAAGGAGGCTGGGGTCGACGAGGACTCCGATCTGGTAGCCGCAAGGGTAACCTCAAACTTGCCAATATTCAGGGCAGCACGACGAACGTGGGCACCAACGACATCGTCAAGATTGGTCTGGGAGCGACGAGGTAGCGAGGGGACCCTAAAGGCTGAAGGCGCCGGTGGACTAGACGGGGGGGTGAGAGGAGAGTGAAAGGTGGCTCCCTTCTGAAGAGGTATGTTTGTCCTAGGGCTCAAGCCATCGCCGGGTTCAGTACCCGGACGAGTCATCGGGGTCCTTCGCGGGTTGGAGAAGGACATGACGACTCGGTAGAGCGTATATGATAGGGTGCCGAGTATGTATACGTTCGCGGCAAGCGGGTTACGCTCGATGATATCGCCGTGGTTGGAAACTGTGTCTCGACACAACGGGGTTAGCACAGTATATGCACAAGGCCACTGGGCAGGTAAGCGTTATGAGTCACAGCACTCTTTCCACTCCAGGTGTGAGGTGGCCTGAGGAACAGGTATCACAACTACCAACTCGACATTGGCCAATGGGCAATATATAGACTTCCGGCGAGATCGACAGACGAGAATCCGATGAGGGGGGAGAGATGGGAGAGAGAAGACCTCGAGGGAGACGAGACAAGACCAGTTGTCCTTACCGGAAGAGAGAACACACCGAGCAGATGACCTGGTGACGAAAGTCCTGGAGAGGAGACGCGGCGAGGAAAGCCGAAAAACGGATGGCGCAGAGGGAAGTGAAGGAAAGATGAGCCAGCAACGCAAGTTCGGCGGCAGCAGCAGGAAGAGGACGCGAGCAGCCGTCCCTACTTTGGAGCTGGAAAGGAGAGGAGCGTAGTCAGCGGTTCAGGACCAGGCGGGATGGGGAGTGGCATAAAGGTAAAAGAGGGCAGACGCGGCAGGACAAGACGGGAGGACGGCGGGCTAGGATATGTAAGGCATATATTTGAATCGACAGGTAGAGTGGTGGGGGGGGGGAGGAGGAGGAAGCAGAGCGTGTGCGTTTCTCGGGGGGGGGGGAGAGAAAAAAAAAGTGAGACAGCACAGGATGAGATGGGACGGGTCCTTGGGGCAAGGGGGCCGCCAGATAGCGAAGCAATGATGATGGGATGGGATGAGAAGAAGTCGAAGAGGATGGAGATTTAGGCAGCAGCCGTTCAACGATGGAGACCAGCGTGGAGACCCCCGGCAGGTACTGCATACCAGGATAATGTACCTCACATCGTGTCGAGAGGTACCCGGCCCTGCGAGCTAGTCGCGGGCTGACGGCTCAAAAGTAGCTTGAAGTTGGCGAGCCGGCCAATTAAGCGGCAGGGCCTGGTGCTAATCCTAGCCTTCTTGACCTTCGGGCTTAGCAGGGGGTACCTGCTCAAGTCCTACTCTATACATCAGCAGGACCGCATTGTCGAGCCATGTACATGTATACATAGGCACGTAAGTACCTAACTGTATGTATGTACAAGGCTTTGGGTACGTATATAGGGCAGATGCGACTCTACTTGCTGCGCCTTGCGATGCCTTACGCTAGCCCTCTTTCGGTGGGACGCGGACCACATTATACTATAAGCATGTTAGGTAGGTACCTAGGTAGGTTAATCGTCTCGTGGGCGCCAGCAGGGGGTGGGGCTCAAAGGTTTAACGGGCTACCTAGGTACCTACCTAGGTACCTACCTACCTACCCGAGTACCTAACGCAACGTGTGTTAGGTAGAGGAGGTAGTGTACTCATACATTAATGGCCTGCCCAGCGCCCGCGGGCCTTGGACACCTATGCAGCAGCTCGCTAGCTCGTATGAGGTCCCTTACTTCCACACCATCATGCCATCCGTCAATAATGCAGCCATATATTAGCCCCTACTGCCACAGCTACGCAGAACAATGGTGTCAACATCGACTTGCTGACAACCGGAAGCTGTTCTCCTACACAGCCCAAGCCTCCAGCCACTGTATCAGGGAGGGGGGCATTTAAATTGCTCGACCACTTAGCAGGAAGGGCAATGCCGGAAAGTCTGGACAATGGCACCGGCCCGGCAACGCAAAGCAAAGCAACATTGCCCACGTAGATTATGTATACCTATGCTAGGTGCACCCACAGATCGGCCAGCCTCGGACTCTTGCTGAACACATAAAGACGCAAGAAGAGACGTGGAAAACGTTGAGCTCGGGGATACGGGGTTGTCGAAATTTCCGCAGGGAGTCGTGCTTGATAATGAAGTCCGATGGCAGCGGAGCGAGCCCTGCAAGACGAAGCTTCAAACTGTGCTAATGTTAGCATTGTCCGGCTTTGTGGGCACGGTCGGCCTCAATATTCAGGCCGGCTCCGGCATCCCTCCACGTTTCAAGAACGCAGCTGGGTGTCAACATTCCCCCGGCCCAAGGGTATCCCATTATCCCCGTAGCCCCCAAATGGGCTCGGAAAAGGACATTAAAAGATATACATATCGACATACGCAGATATATGGTACGTTTAGGTAAGTATATGACATATATAGTACGTACACGGGCCAACATTGACGGGATGTGTACACGTACCTTGGTCGGTCGAGAATTGCGTACCTATGCTCTATATACTCTCTACCTACCTAAACACCTCATAATGAGCATTTGTGTGTGCAGAGTACGCATATCCCATATGTGAGCTGCGGGGAGGTTCCCATTCCAACAGGTCTCGTAGAAGTGCAGATGCGAAGGAACGCAAGTCGCGTATCACCACTCTCTCTCTCTCCGGATCCTACGGGGCATAGGTACCAACCTACCTCCTAGTAGGTTCTGTAGTTGTTTTACAAATACCTACGTATGAGGTTCCCAGCATACCTCAGGTACGTAGCAGGTACCCACCCAACCTCCGTCTATGCACAGATCTAAAAACGACAGAAACAAAGGCGAGAAGCGAGACGCCAAGAAAACGAAACATCAATATACTAAAAAAGAAAAAGGAAAGAAACAGAAAAGAGGAGAGGAGGAGGAGAGGACAGGAGAGGAGAGAGGTGGCTCCACCGCCTATTCTCTGCGAACCCTGCCACTTTCAACACACATCATCTCCGGGCGCGTTCGGCCTCCTGGTTGGCCCGTATAGAGTAGGTACATATCTAACACGCTCGCGTCGTCCTCGCGTACCACCTCCTGTTCACACGGCAAGAGACGGATGGCTGGCCCAGACGGGAGAAATCGGGAAGCTAGCCGATCTGGACGAGCTGGACGAACTGCGAGCAGACGAACAGATCTCCTCTGCCCCGTCGAGCCTATAGTGTCCTCTCTCTCTCCCCATCCCAGCGACGCACTACTTACTGAGTAGGCCACATGAACACTTCGCGATGACGCCGTGTCACTTCTGCTTCTCACCAACTCTCTCGCTCTCCCCCCACAATTAAGGCTAACGTGCGTTGAGTGGACGAGTTGCCGGGTACGAGGATCCCCTGCGAATCAGCACACGCTCATCCGATGCGATCAAATGGCGAGTTGACACCGAAGCCTTTTCTTCCTCTCCTGCCTGACTCATCAGTCTCGGCAGGTCGCAGTCGACGCAAGACGGATCCAATCCTGTCTCCTGCAGCTATCGTCGCCCAGGCGTCAATACCACTAGGATTTCGCTTCGTCGCTCCCCCCTTCCATCCCCCCTGTCCGATGGTCTCTCAATCCATACACATACATATGAGTACAGATTCAGAGCCACCAAGATTCGGTCAACCAGGAACGTCTAGCATACCACGTAGTATCCGAGACCCTGTCCTCCCAAGCGATTGGCCCGCACACGTACTATGCTCGCGACAACGCGGGGACTAGAGGAGACTGAGGGGGGGCTCGTCATCAGCCCTATCCAGCAATAAAGCTTTGTGGCCCGTGACAGCGACAGAACCCGCCAATGACGTTGCCAACAATCTAGGAGCCTCCCCGAATTCCCGACGACGCCATCTCCCTTCCCCATCCCAGGACACCTTACGCGCCTGCGCGCCGGTAGAGAATATCGGTGCCTGAGGCGTGATGCCGATCGGAATCGTCACGGAAAACGTAATGCGGCCGCGCATGTCACTTGGCCCCGTGGTCAATTCGACCTATGAGAGTTGTCGGAGTATATTCAACGAATGTCACCGTATGTACGTGCCTAAGCAGAGTCCTACATCGTTACCCTTTTCGTCATCCCGCGAATCCTCCCCCAGATCGACCCGAGGCCCGCCAACATCTAAGCACGGGAGGCTCGCCTGTCTGGCTAGGCAGACCAACAAGACGCTGACCTGCTTAGCCGAGAATTGACAAGGCAACCACAAACGATCCGTCATAGTCGGCTGTTTTTCTGCCTCCAGCTCTTGCGGGTGAGAGTAAGGCCATTTCCAAGGAAGAAAAAAAAATGGTTTCCCCTTCTCCCCTTTTCGCAGTCCCGACCTTACCTATCTTCATTCTAGATGTGCGCTCAAACCAGGCTCAGAACACCCCGCCACGTCCGTGGTCGCGACCCGTACGAGCATACAGGTTAGGGCTTCTTCGAGATGGTGCGGGCGAGGAGGTGGAAGAGACGCTGTGGTTCTTCCAGAGGCCGGAGTCGTCGTCATCGTCGCTGCCAAATTCGCTCACCCCGTTGCTATCTCTCCTGACGTGCCCGGGCGTGCGTTTTAACGAAGCCGGACCGGGTGACACAGTCTCGATCACAGCCCTCCGCCCCGGCATTCGGCTGCCCGGAGGCTGATGTACGATCTGAGGAACCCTCTCGGCCCCTACGGAGTAGATCGGTATTTGCCTCCTAGTGTCGGCTATCTGGTGTGGCGCCCGCCTGGGTTGAGGCATTTCCACCCTAAGGGGCCGGTCTGAGGTTTGCCTCACGCTGTTGGCTGTCGGGTGCGGCTGTCGAATTTCAGATACTGGCTGGCTGTGATTCCTCCGCGCCGCCTGTCCCGGATCGTTCCTAGGCCCAGCACGCGCGGCCGGAGTTGGGCAGCGGGGGGGTCGCCAACTCGATATGTGAGACTGCGGGTCGCGCACTGCCTCTCTGGGGCCCGCGAACCCGTAGCTACCGGGAAGACTAGACATCGCGTGGGCAAGTTCGTAGTCGGTTTCCCTACGGCCCCCGTTGGGGCCCCGTGCCTGTGAGTATTGATTATTCGGCCACCCATACTGATGTGCCGCCGGATAAGCCGCGGCTCGATACCGGGGATCCTTGGGAGGGGGCGTTGGTGGCATGTCTTCCCAATCTTCGGAATGGTCTAAGGAACTACAACAAGCTCCCATCGTATTTCCCGTAAATAGTATGCCGAGGGTTGGATGTATCGCGACGAGTCGGTGTGCTATGCCAGATAGCAGAGAGAGAAACGAAAGAATATATACACTGGTTTCCTGCCAGGGGAAAGAGGGAGGACGGTGAACGAAGGCGTAATGAATAGAGAAGGAAATAAGAACGTGAATTATTATTGAAGATACGTCAGTTTTCACCAACAACTAAGAGTGTCACGGAGGATACATCTCGGTTTATTTATCGCCTGAGTCAACAATAATGGTTATCTCGAAGTTGCGTGGCATGACGAGTAAAGAGCGACCTGTCTTTGTTCTATTATCACAAACGACACAATTCTTCTTTTTTTGCGGCTCTAAGGTGTAGCACAATGACTCCAAAGATGCGTGGATAGGCCGGTTCTTTGTCGTCGCTCTTGTTGTGTCTGGGCATAATAGGGACAATAGGGGCAGGAGGGAGAGGAAGGGGGCTATGGCGGGCGGATTGGTGAGGTGGACAGAACGTGGCAGGTAGGTAGCGCAGGTCCGTCTCCTCGTCACGAAGTCGGCGCCGTGACGGCGTCACGGTAGGAAAGGGGCACCTCGGGTTTGGACAATGCACTAGGTCGTCGTCAGCGTGGGATAAGTTTGCGGTTCCCATCGCGACTTTTCAGCTCCGAGCGCGCGGGTCAGTGTGTGATATAGAAAAGAGAGAAAGTCTGGTGAGTAGTATATTTGTCATCTAGGTATAAGAGTCCGTATAGAAGGTGGTGTCGTGGTATTGGCCGGCCTCGGAGCATCTTCTCCCCCTATTCTATGTTACGGAGACGGGCAGCTAGAGAACTTTCTCTTCTTTTCCGTCCCCATAGGCGCGGGGGGAGCAGGTGTCTTGACATAGTTTGGTATTATACGCATCTAACCTGGAGACTGTACCGAACAGCGCTGTGGTTGCCCCCCTGACTTGTGTCGGGGACCGTCGACAACACAGAATACCACCTAGAAAGGCAGTATACAGTAGGTGCAGCTCCATAGTGAGGATAGAAGGGATCGGTAGGAGCGCAGCGTAGTTGCGAAAGCTGTTGTTCAACCATCAAGGCGAACAAGACAATGCTTTGTAGCCAGCACTCTCACAACATAGCACCTCTTGGCTGACGGGCCGCGGCTTGTTGGTCTATTGTTCCAGAACCGAATCAAAGAACGCGCCCATACTGTTCAGGATTTAAAAGCGGCTTGCCGCTGCACAGAACCTGCCGGCCCGTCCCTTCTCCTCCCCCTCGTGTCCCCCGTACTGGTGTCTAAGTGCGTATGTGGTAAGTTACCGTACCCCCCCTTTCTCAAGCCTACTGATCTATCGAGCCCATCCTCTCTATCTCCTTCTCTCTCCCTCTACTTGGGAGCTGGCACCACGAAGAAGAAGACGAAGAAGGGCAAGGTAGGTACGCAAGTAGGCAAGGTAAGCAGACGCACGACGGCCATGGACGCCCTCAGGAGAGCGCTCCGGCACCCGGCGGAGGCGAAGCAGAAGCGCGAGGGCGCGCGGCACGACGCCCGGAAGCGGCAGATCAGCCGGCCGCTCGAGAGCCTGCCGGGCGGGCGGCCGGACCACCAGGCGGCCGCCTTCCGCGACCACAGCAACCACAGCAGCAGTAGCAGTAGCAGTAGCGACAGCGGCCGCGGCCGGCTGACGCCGCCGCACCAGCGCCCGGTCGCCACGGCGCGGCGGCCGCCCTTCGCGCCGCAGGCGCAGGCGCGCGACGCGACGCTGGCGACGCTGGACCCGGGGCGGCCGGAGGGCCTGGCGCAGCTGGTGCGGGAGCGGGACCGGGCGGCGCGGCAGGTGGCGCGGGGGCCGCGCACGCGCGCCGCCGGGGAGGTGCAGCGCGTGCTGCGGGAGCCGAGCGCGCGCTCCGTCGAGGCGCTGCACCGCGCGCGGCGGCGCGCCTCGCTCGAGGCCCGGTGGGGCGAGGCGCCCGCCGCGCTCGCCTTCGTCGTCGCCGAGCGCGACGTCGCCGGCACGCGCGTGCCCTCGCTGCAGCTCGTCAGCCTCGACACCGTCGCGCCCCCGCACGTCTCGCTCGTCGCGCCCGCCCCGGTCGACTGCAGCGGCCTCGGGATCGACGAGGCGGACGAGGAAGAGGGGGAGGGGGAGGACGGCGGCGACGACGACGACGACGACGGCCGCCCGCGCTCGCTCGACGTCGCCGCCGAGGAGGAGTGGGAGGTGCGCGAGGCCAAGGTGATGAAGATGACGAAGCTGCCGGCCGCGCACGTGCGCCTCCCGCGGCAAGCGAGCCCGATACAACGCCCGGCAGCCCCGACACCAGCCGGCTCCCGCCGTCCGAGGTAAGTCCCTGGGCCCCCGGCAGGCTGTGCTGAGATTATATGTGCGGTGGGATTTCGGGATAGGTAGCAGATACCTGGGCACTTCACCACAGACATGCCCCACGAGGCATTTTTGAGTTTATCCTCTTTGGCTCTGGAAGAAGAGGCGGGATGATTGAGAAGAAGTACGGATAGGTCAGGCGTTGGAATGGGTCACGGGTCGAGGCCTGGGTTAGCTTCACGAATACAAGTCTTCATCCGTAATACCTAGATCTACACACGCATGCAATAGAGAATACGCCGACGTGAACATAATTGGTAGTCGATCAGTGGATTTTTTAAATGCCGGGACTGGCGTAGTCCGATGCGGCTTATTTACATTGACTCTCGACTGCCCTCCTTTCTTTTGGCCCTTTTTATCTCTTCATTTCCCCATTGGTTGGAAACAGCCGGGGACCGCGCTCACGGGAGGGCGATGCACTCGATCTCGATTTCGACACCCTTGGGGAGCTGCTTGACGGCGACGCAGCTGCGGGCGGGTTTGTGGCTGACGAACCACTTCTCGTACGTTTGGTTCATCTCACCGAAGTACTCCATGTCGGTGAGGAAGATGTTGACTTTGACGACGCGGTCGAGCGAGGAGCCGGCGGCGGCGAGCACCCCCTTCAAGTTGCGGAGGCAGGCGGCCGTCTTGTCGCCGATGCTGCCCTGGACGAGGTTGCCGTCGGCGTCGCTCGGGATCTGTCCCGAGCAGTAGATAGCCGTCGGCGTCTTGATGGCGTGGGACTGCGATTGGTAGTTGGTAAGGGGCTGGTCGGTGCGGATGCGTTGTTGGGAGGAGGAGGAGGGGAGGGATTCATACGTAAGGTCCGGCAGCTGTACCGGTGTTAGTTAGCTCTGCGATACATGTGCGTCATCTCCTGCTCGCTGGGCATTTCGCGCCCCGGCCCAATGGCTAGAGGCAGCGGACTGTAGGTAATACCGGCCACTTACGCGGAGCTGCCTCTTTGGAGAAAACGGGAGTAATATCGGCCATGGCGCGGATGTGGTGGATCGGGGTGACGGGTACGAGAGGTGCGGCTCGCGAAGCGGGTAAGAAACGGCGACGGACCGTAGAAGAGATGAGGGCTCGAACTGGAAGGGCACAGAGAGCTACGGGCATCGCTCGACGGTTAAGAGGGAAATAGAACAGACGAGGGGGCGGTGCGGGCTGGACAGTAGGTAATAAAAACCGGGTAGCATCGGCGCCGGTCTCTGGCGCGGGGGTGGGAAAGGTGGAGTCCCCTCTCGCCCTCCGTACTTCGGCGGTCCGACATGCTGGTGGGGGGAGAGGGGGGCTGCCAACCTTGGAAGCTTCCACATACCTATCCTAGGTACCTATGGCATACAGGTAAGACAGGTACCTACACCTCTTAGCAGCATCATGCGAGAATCCGATGGATGTACCCAACGTAAGGATCCGCATACACATATAGATATCTGTACCCGCCTAACCGACCGTATTAGAAGCATGATAACACATAGGTATAGACACTCGCTCTATACTACCTAACCTGCCTAGGTGTCCAACGCACGTGGGGGGGTAGTGCTAGGCTAGAGTCTGGGAAGGATGGCCGTTAGCTGACATCATGCAATGCACGTACGTAGGTTCCTACACGTATATACCTGCCTATATACAGGTGGGTATAGGTACCTGGGTAGGCGCCTGCTCCTCATGTACCTACCTACCTACCCACGGACACGTCTCTGTCGGTGCAAAGGGGAGATACCCGAAGGCATGGGCTCGGTTCGATGAGGTAGGTACCTTGGAATAGAGGTAGCTTCAAGGGAACTCCGAGGCCAGGTAATCATGCCTACCTATCTCTGTAACGAAGGAATATATATACTTGGGTAAGTACCTACGAGAAGGTTGCCCGATGAGAAGAAGACAGACGCGTTGCCTGAAAGCCAGAATACGTGTACTCATACGCCAGCTCGGCCTGAAAAGGGAAACCATTTTATCGATAAGGATTTCGCTGGCATGGGTTCGCTCCGCCACACGCGCCAGAGTCCAATTGGACCTGTCCGTTTCGAAACCGCCCCCTGCCAACCCCGAGCGAGCAGGCTCAGGGGTTGCGAAGCCACGGGGAGAAAAAAAAAGAAAAGGGGGTCGACGATGGATCGATCCTAGAACGAGACTACGTAAACTGCATATGCATATACATATCGCATGCTACCGAGTCTGTACTTCAGTTTAAAGCCAAGTGGCCAGAAGTCAGCTCCCTGGCTGTATAGATCCCGCAACGGTACGTACCTATGTACATGCGTGGGTATGTGCTTGTCTTGTACACCCGTGGACCACACTCTCTTTGCTGCCCATAAGGGAGGCTGAAGTCGTCCCTCACCTAGGTGCCTAGGTACTTCTCGCCCATATTCAGGATCAGGACGAAGGCGCCTTGAGAGTACCGGGTACGTGTCTTGCTTCGTGGCCGGGCGGTAGGGGCTGCGTGTAGATACCGTAATGTACTACGTAGTAGCACTGCGGAACGCGACGCGTTGTGTTGCATGCCTGTCCGGGGACTAAAGTACCTCCTAGGTGTACTATCGATCGCAGGTATTGTGTGTACCCGACCTAATGTATGTACCTAAGGCTCACAGGGTTCATAGCGTGTAGGAGGTACCTGTTAGGTACCTATACCGATGTATACAGTACCTAAGATCCATACTTGCCTGGGTTAGGTACCTCTAGTGCAAGCTCCGCCGGCCAGGGCTGTCTCGTTTCTTGGGATTGCTTTCGTGGACAGATTCTCTTAATCTGTTTCAATCGCCAACTCGCCTCTTTTTCTCGACAGCCTCGTTGACGAGATACCAACCATTGCCATCTTTGGGGTCTCGTCGTTTAAGACGCATGGTTGGTTGAATCCTCGCCTCGAGTTTTCTTTGTTTCCTGTAAGTCATCTTGACGTCTACCTTGGCCTCGTTTCCCCCCCCCTTCCTGCTTGCTACCTACCTATGCACAACCACCTCCAGCGCCGTGTATAACCATCTTCTCAACCCGTCGCCGTCTAAACCACCACGGCCCACTATGCGTGTTCTTTGTGTCGAGCTCTAGGACGTAAGCTAATCTCTGCGACCCCGAGTACTTAGTCCTCTTCGTTCCAACCTATCGACTTCTGACTTCCGTTCCTTTTCGCCATGTCCACTCCGCAGGGCAGTCTGCGCCAGCGGAATGTCCCTAGCTCTTCCAGCAGAAAGAAGAGTCCTGGCCCCGCTGGCCCGGACCCCGAGCCTGACGCCGTCGTCAAGGCCAGCAAGAAACCTGCCGGCCCCGGCTCCGAGCTGGATTACAAGGTTGCCTTCACCCTCGTTACTATCCTGGCTTTCATTTCGAGGTTCTGGGGGATCAGCCACCCCAATGAGGTAGTCTTCGATGAAGTCCACTTCGGCAAGGTAAGAAGGAGAAGAAAAAAAAGACCTGTCCGCAGGCCGTCGAGCGCTCTGGCGCCAAATCGAAGGCAAGATTAGTTGACTGCTGCTCGTCCTGTTCTAGTTTGCCTCATACTACCTCGAGAGAACCTACTTCTTCGATGTCCACCCGCCTCTCGGAAAGCTCTTGTTTGCCCTGATGGGTTGGCTTGTGGGATACGACGGGCATTTTCACTTTGAGAACATTGGCGATTCCTACATAGCAAACAAGGTCCCATACGTGGCCTTCCGCGCTCTGCCGGCCCTCCTCGGATCCCTCACCGTCTCGGTGACGTTTCTCATCATGTGGGAATCGGGCTACAGTCTACCGGCTTGTATTGTTGCCGCCGGCCTCGTGCTTATGGACAACGCCCACATCGGCCAGACTCGGTTGATTTTGCTGGATGCCACCTTGGTCTTTGCTATGGCATGCAGCCTTCTCTGCTACATCAAGTTTTACAAGTTGAGGCATGAGCCTTTCAGCCGTAAATGGTGGAAATGGTTGATCCTGACCGGCTTCGCGCTCTCGTGCGATATCTCTACCAAGTATGTCGGGCTCTTCGCTTTCGTCGCCATAGGCTCCGCCGTCATCATAGATTTGTGGGATCTTCTGGACGTTAAGCGACCCGGCGGCGCCTTGAGCCTGCAGGAATTCGCATACCACTTCGGCGCCCGCGCTCTCGGCCTCATCATCATTCCTTTCCTGTTTTATTTGTTCTGGTTCCAAGTTCACTTCTCCATCCTCACCCGATCTGGACCCGGTGACGATTTCATGACCCCTGAGTTCCAAGAGACCCTGTCGGACAACGTCATGCTAGCGAACGCCATCAACATCGACTACTACGACACCATTACCATCCGCCATAAGGAAACTAAAGCGTACCTTCATAGCCACGACGCGAAGTACCCCCTTCGCTACGACGATGGCCGCGTCTCGAGCCAGGGCCAACAAGTAACCGGGTATCCGTTTAACGACACCAACAACTACTGGCAGATTCTTCCCGTCGAAGACGACCATCAAATGGGCCACCACGTCAAGAACCATGACCTCGTCAGGCTTCGGCACCTGGTGACTGATACTATCCTGTTGTCCCACGATGTTGCATCTCCTTACTACCCTACCAACCAGGAATTCACGACTGTGTCAGTGGCTGACGCCTACGGAACTCGTTCGGCGGATACGCTTTTCGAGATTCGGATCGAGCATGGAAAAGCCAACCAAGAATTCAAGAGCGTCTCGAGCCACTTCAAGTTCATCCACAACCCTAGCAAGGTTGCGATGTGGACCCACACCAAGCCTCTCCCCGAATGGGGGCACAAGCAACAAGAGATCAACGGAAACAAGCAGCTCGCCCCCAGCTCCAATGTTTGGATCGTCGAAGATGTTCCGTCCGTCCCAGAAGATTCTCCTCGGCGGCAAAGAGAGGAACGCCAAGTCAAGTCCTTGCCCTTCCTGAGAAAATGGTTCGAGTTGCAGCGTTCGATGTTCTGGCACAACAACCAGTTGACTAGCAGCCACCCATACGCCAGCCAACCGTATCAGTGGCCATTCTTGCTCAGGGGTGTGAGCTTCTGGACTCAGAACGACACTCGCCAGCAGATCTATTTCCTCGGCAACCCGGTCGGCTGGTGGGTCGCTAGCAGCTTGATCGCAGTTTACGTTGGTATCGTGGGTGCCGATCAGATTTCCCTGCGCCGTGGCGTGGATGCGCTGGACCACCGTAAGCCAGCCCCCCTCTAGACCTGGTGACTCCCACGTACGGTAATTCTCACGTGCTCGAATAGGTACCCGCTCCCGCCTGTACAGCTCGACAGGCTTCTTCTTCCTCGCGTGGGCGACGCACTACTTTCCCTTCTACCTAATGGGGCGCCAGCTCTTCCTGCACCACTACCTGCCGGCACATTTAGCGTCGTGCCTCATCGTCGGCGCGCTGCTCGAGTTCGTCTTCAATGCCGAGCCGTCGGCCGAGGAGCCAAGTTACCAGGACGTGAAGTCGGGCCGGAAGCCGGCCCCAGGCCCTCGGCACCACGTCACTGCTCGCGAGCGCTTCGCCGGCCAGAGCATGGTCACCGCCTGGATCGCGGCCGCTGTCATCCTCGGCCTCGTCTTCGCCGGCTGGTACTTCTTCCTACCACTTACCTACGGCTATCCCGGCCTCACGGTCGAGCAGGTCCTCCGCCGGAAATGGCTCGGCTACGACCTCCACTTCGCTAAATAGAGCGGCAGGCGGACGGCTGGGATAGCTCTATCTCTGCAAGCCACCCCCTCACCCAATCTTCTCCGCTCTCGCCTCCTTTCCGATGAGGGATGAGAGAGAATAAGGAAGAGGGGGGTGTGAGGAAGCAGAGCGGAACTGGGTGGGACCATACTACCTAACTCATGTAAACCATAATTTTCCTGGGGCGCACAGGTAGAGAAACCACAGCGGTCAAAGGCGTACGACCGCGGGGGAGGCAAAGGTGGGCAGGCAGGGGAGTAAAAGCTGCTACAAACATGTAGGAAGTAATCAGGAAGGATAGCTTTAAAAAGGATAGATGGACGGGCTATGTACTATCTCGGGACTTTGAAGACTAAGGCTCGCAACCCTGAGGAATGGAGAAGATGAAAAGAAAACTGACTTGGGTTTTTTTTGGAAAAAAAAAGAAAAAACGACACAACACTTGTCTTGCGATGAAGACTCAGTTTTTATACTTCTATCTGCCCCATATCCCCAATCTGTCCCTCACATTAGTCTCGTGTCTACCAACCAACCGACCGTGCCGAGGCGATATATATCGGCTAGAAATTGCGGCCTCCCTTCGCGGTGACCGAGTTCAGCGACACCTTCTCCTGCGACCAGGGGGTATCGGGTTCCGCCGTTCTTCTACGTACAGATTCCCCCATTCTTTTCTAAGAGCCAGACAAACCACACCACGCAACACAATAATACTAGGCGGGCAATTTCCCCTCCCCTTCCCAGCCCTCCTCCTGTTCTTCCTCCTCCGTCATCGTCTTCGGGCCCTTCTTCCCGGCCGTCAGGTCTCGGAGAACGTCCTCGGCGACGATCTGACCGGCGAGCCAGCTGAGATCGATGGTGCTCGCGACGGAGTGGATGGCCGAGGTCCACCAGAGACCCCGCGGCGACAGCTGGAAGGGCGGGAACCGGTCGGTAGGGTATACCACCGGATGGCCGTGCTGGAGCTAAGGAGTAATGTTAGCAGGTCTCCAAAACGCCAAACGTATGTCGGTTCGTCTCGTTTCAGAGAGGGGGGGTTACCCTTGTGCGATATTGCCAGGTGATGCCGAGATCGAGTTTCCGCAGCCGCTCCGTGGCGTCGGCATCCGACAGGACGCGGTACAGGTATTCGACTCTGGTGTCTCCGTCATTTCCGACCGAGACGACCTCTCGCAGGAATGCCATCTCACGGATTGCGGGGTACTCATCCTCCCCGTTCTGCTCTTCGAGGAATAGGAGCTGGTTGTAGCTGCCGAATACGTCGGGGTTGATGCGCGTCGGCACCGTGAAGAATGCGACGTCTACCGGGCGATATGCTAGGATCGAGGCGGCCTCCAGGTCCTGACGATGAGCGGCGGCCCGATACAGGTCGAGTCGAGGCGCGGCGAGGATGACCTTATCGAAGGTTTCGGCACGGGGTTGCGGTGAGGTACGGGTGTCATACTCCACAAGCCAGGTTGCATTCTGCTCACCAACCTGCGCGTACCTGATACCGGAAACCTCCACGCCCGTTCGGACGGTTGCGTCGGTCGCGGCGAGGATCTGGTCGAGTCTGCTGATTAGCTCTCCGCCGGTATAGAAGCTAGCTACGTCCTCCTGAGCTGCGGCTAGCATCATGGCTAGGGCACTTATGTCGGAAATTTTCTGCGAGTGGACTCGCTCGACCTGGGGTCCGAGGACGTCGGTTATGTAAGGGTAGCCGATGCCGCGACCGTCGAGAGCTTCCTGAGCAGATTGCTTTATGGATCCCATAAGATCTATCGAGATCATGACCTGCGTGATGTCTATGTTCACGGGCGCGTTTGCAATGCGATCACGTATGTTCGTCTCCTTTATCATGTCACCGGCACGCCAGACTGAGAAGCCATATCTGAATACCAATCCGACGAATGTCCAAAACGGAGTCGTGACGTAAGGGCGAATTGTCTGACTAAATATGCCTCCAGAGAAGCTGAGAGAGAAGTCAACAATCTCTAGAAGCGCTAGATTCAAGGGTCGAACACACTCACTAGCCAATTTCCTGGCTCGAAAGCTCGGAAAAGCGCACCTCGTCTCCCAACGTCTCTTCCGAAGCCCTCGTGAAGAGAGGATTGCCCCACATCAGGGCAGTGCCAGTAACATCTTCGGCGATGATCGGATCCTGAAAAGGGTCGTCGTAAGGGAAGACCTGCCCGCCGTTAGAGGCATTGAGAGCTAGCTGGCCCCCAACCAGAGGGGCGGAGTCGAACAAGGTTATGTCCAGGCGGATGCGCTGAGCTGCTTTTGAGGACTGTAAATGCCGGGCAGCGGATATGCCGGCGGGGCCGGTGCCTAATATCGGAAGCCAGATTCAGCACCACATCTTAAGAGTCGCAGCACTTTCCACGTACCGATGATAGCAATAGAGTAGGTGGGAGGCGAAAAGTTAAAGATGGCAGACACCGCCACAACACACGCGAAGATCGCAAACGCGATCACGGACAGGACAAAAAGCACAAAAATCGGCCGGGATAGCCAAACAATCGACCGAGATAACCAAACAATCGACCGAGATAGCCAAACGATTGTCGACCGAGATAGCCAAACAATCGACCGAGATAACCAAATAATCGACCGAGATAGCCAAACGATTGTCGACCGAGATAGCCAAACAATCGACCGAGATAGCCAAAATGAACTCTGTCCGTCAGACTGGGCCCGACTGCTAGATTGACCGCGAGAACTTCGACTGGACTGAGAACTTCGACTGGACTGAGAACTTCGACTGGACTGAGAACTTCGACTAGACTGGTAACTTGTGGATGCTGGTCGACTTATTTTACCGAACAGTGGTGTTCGCTCGTCTGGACCGGTCTCGTGGTAGGGAGGATATTCCGAATAGGGGGGCGGTGGTGACCCTTGTCGGGTTTCGGTGCTAGCATCCGAGTCGCGCCACGAGTGCTGGGCCATGGTCTGCCAAACACTACGGGGGTTGCGCCGAGGTAAAATATAGGTAAATAAGTACGCCCGACCCGGGATAGACCTTTTCTTTCCTCAAATAAGAGACCTTGGTAAGCGTTGTGTTGATTTAGGTAGGACTCGGGTGGTCGCTGAAGGAACCGGCCAGTTGGCTGGCCTGGTAGCAGGATTATAGCATGAGGCGTGCGGCTCGACCCCTCCCACAGCTATGGCTAAGTAGGCGCCTTTTTCTTTCGTATATGTAAGCCTGATAGCGACTAGCATTGAAGGGACGACATGGCAGCGGATACTAGGTAAATTGACGATGATGGGGATTGCCGCGTGGTGAAATGGAATTGAAAGGCGTGTTGAGAGAGTGAGGGGAGGGTGAGAGGGAGAGGAGAGAGTCGGGACCAGAAGGGGGGGGGGGACGGGGGCTGAGCTGGACGACAACGTCCTTTTTCACCAACACTCGATTGGCGAGAGCGCGAGGCGAGGCCACGGAAGGCACTGCCCAACTGGCAAACAGCTTCAAATCGGCGGCATGCTACTGCACAATCAGACGGCAGGTGCGGCACAACCTGCCTTCTGCACCACGCGCGGTTGCACAGCGTTGACACCTGGTTCCAACAGGCAGCGGCAGGAGTCACCGATCACCCGCCGCGACCGTCCTCAGTCTCGGCATCCCGCCGTAATAGCACGAAGACAGATCCGGGTGGCTCTGGCACCTCCGGTACGCTGGATTCGAAGGCCGTTACTCCCACCTCGTTTCCAACGCAGATGACGCAAACGTCTATAGTGGGCTGGCTGCCTCTTTACTTTGACTGCGTTGCAAGGTTAGGTAGCAGTACATAGAGGCACCTAGCTTTACATAATATGCTAAGCGGGACTGCACGTTGGTGTGGAGACTTGCGGCACCTTATCTATCCGGAGCTAAAATTTCGTCCCTGTTTATCGCCACCCAGGTATTTCCGAGTACTTTCATACGGGGCCAGCCAGCGTCGGTACCTAGGTACACACGGATGACACCGGGCGCTAACGTGCCCCTCTATAGACGTACCTAGGTACCTAAGCTTAGGTTAGCATTTAACTTAGGTACGTACCTAAGGAAAACCTACCCCTAACTGCCTAGAGTAAGGTACATATGGAACCTCCTAGCTCCTTTCATACCTTAGTGACGATACCCGTAGATAGAGGGTAGTATAGAAGATGATGACATCGCAACTCATCTTAAGTGCTAACGAGATCCCGACGAGTTATATACCTGCCGGCAGACGTTGACGACTTGAAGCGGCACGAATCGGATCTCGTGGGTGTCTGGCTCTTCATGCTCGACCGCATTCGTGCTTTGGAGGGATCGTGCATGCGATATACCTACATATATTGGACCACCATGTCTGCGACAGCGCGTCCGAGTCCTTCCGCTACGCAAGGCTATCGTTCTCTCCCATTTCTGGCCGCAGGTAACGTGTGATAGGCAGGTAGGTACCTATTGCTCTGGAGCGCAGGCCTACGCGCACCTAGGTGTCTCGGCCTCGAACCTATAGGCATATCCAACACCTAGAACACGGGCATTCACCGTCATCGTATACGGGGCCCGTCGACGATAGCCACGCCCTATACATAGAAACTCCAGTTCGTTCTCGGCTCAGGACTTCATCATGGCTGGTGACCCCCGCTCATGACAAGCAACGCCAAGGTCGGCTAGATGAATTTCTTTCGGCACGCACAGGGAAGCAGAAAAAGAAAAGGGAACCACTGGGTCTTCTACTCCCACATTCCTGCGCGTCGATGCCACGCCGCCGAGGCCCGTCTCTGCATCAGATCGAGCGTTGCAACCGGCGGGAGCCAACCGCGTCGCCGTCCCTCATTCTCCCGCTTTTACCGACAACCACCAGCCCCCCTGTCGGCTGCTTTTCCCGGGCTATCCTAGCTCAGGCCCCATATTGCCCGTATTCTTTCCTGCGAGGCGTCCAATAGTCATTTTATGCCATTGCGTGTTCTCAGCAGACGCGAGAGGTGTAGGATCGGACAGCTTTGAAGACACCTCCAATCCCCCTTTCCCCCTCGCCGCGGACCGAATATGCTCACCCAGAAACTCAGCCTAAAGGCTTGGGGCATGCTACTCTACCTCCCAGAATAGCCTGCCCGCCTGCCCACGAAGCTAAGAGCATCTCCGTACCCCGTGCGGAGGGGTGGTTGCTTCTGGAGGAGTGACGCGTTCTTTGAAATTGGATGCTACGTCTATATATTTCAACGTAACCGTGGTTGTCCTGTCTGGGCACCCGCGAGAGCTGAATCGGTGAAATATGGCGAGCTAGACCAGGAACACATATAGCTACCCCAGAGCTGTATCAATTTTCAAACTCTTCGTATAAAGGTTTGCGCGTCTGGATTTCAGCGGTTGGCCTAGCTGAATAATCCGGACCACATCCTCGTTTCTGCCCATCACCATGCGAGGGGATACTCTATGGGGGCTCGCGCAATGCCTCCTCTGGGGCTGGGCGTCCGGGCTTGAACAGCGCTCGGATACCGATCTTGCCAGCATTCTATCGACGACGACGGTCTATGTGCCTACTACTATATACGCATGCACGCCCCCTCCGGTGATATCGACATCAACAGGGCCAAAGTATCCCGTCGATACTACGGCCACGGAACTGCCGCCAAGCACTAGGATATCAACAAGTGTTGGCGTGGGCACTACCACCGCGAGCGCTTCCGTCTCGCCAACAAGTGCTTCGTCAACCGAAAGGCAACCACCGAAACCCACCAGCCCCGTCGGTTATCCGTCGCCGTTACCGCCTGCGCCGTTCAGAGGGTTCAGAAATGCTGTGTACTTCACGAACTGGTCTGAAAACACGTACACCTTGGTACAGGGTAGCGCTTTCACTAACAGTCGCCTCAGGGGCATCAATGGCTCGAATTTCCACCCCCAGGAACTTCCGGTCTCGCAGCTCACGCATATCTTCTACGCTTTTGCCGACATAGACGTCAACGGGACGGTGAAGTCGTCGGACCCGGCCGTCGACCTCGAGAGGCGGTACCCGCGGGACTGGCGCCAGACGCAGGGGGTTAGCAACGCGTACGGCGCCGTCAAGCAGCTGTACCTGCACAAGAAGCGGAACCGGAACCTCAAGACGGTGCTCTCGATCGGCGGGTGGAACTTCTCGCCCAAGTTCCCCGCGGTCGCCGCCACCGATACCACGCGACGCGCCTTCGCGGCCTCCGCCGTCCGGCTCGTTACCGACTGGGGCTTCGACGGCATCGACGTCGACTGGGAGTTCCCCGAGACCGACGCCGACAGGGACAACTACGTCAAGCTGCTCGCCGCCTGCCGCGAGGCCTTCGACCTGTATTCCCTCCGCCACCACCTCCGGTACCGGTTCGCCATCTCGGTCGCGAGCTCCGCCATTCCCCACAACTACAATAGGATGGACCTCGTCGGGATGGACAGATACGTTGATACCTGGTAAGGCCGGAAACTCCCTCCCGAAAATCCCCCGTTGCTGGCAATAGAGAGAGAGAGGGGGGGGGGAGGAGGGGGAGGAAGTGAAGTACGCGTAGTACGAGTACTGACGGGCCGCAGGAACTTGATGGCCTACGACTATTCCGGGAGCTGGGACACGGTGAGCGGGCACCAGGCGAACGTGTTCGCGTACGGGCCGCGCAACGGCACGGGGCTGGCGCGGCCGAACACGGACGACGCGGTGCGGCACTACGTGGGGCAGGGGGTGGAGGCGCGGAAGATCGGGATGGGGCTGCCGCTGTACGGGCGCGGGTTCGCGGGCACGGCGGGGCTGGGGCGCAACTACACGGGGCTCAGCACGGGCGGGCCGCAGCCGGGCGTCTTCTACTACCGGCAGCTGCCGCGCGCCGGCGCCGCCGAGCGCTACGACGGCGAGGCCCAGGCCGCCTACAGCTACGACGACGCGCGCCGCGAGCTCGTCTCGTACGACAACGTCCGCAGCGCCGCCTTCAAGGCCGCCTACCTGCGCCGCCGCGGCCTCGGCGGCGCCTTCTTCTGGGAGGCCAGCGGCGACCGCGCCGGCCCCCGCAGCCTCGTCCGCACCGTCGCCCACCACCTCGCCGCCCTCGACGACACCCCCAACAACCTCCACTACCCGACCAGCCGGTACCACAACATCCGCTGGGGGATGCCGGGCGAGTAGGTTAGCTTGCCCGGGCGTAGATCCCTCGGCTCCGATGATCGGTGTTCCTCGGCCCAAGCGCCGTCGCGCGTATTTGTGGTTCCCCCCTTTCCCCTTTTCTCCACCGCGCGGGCGTTTTTCTATCTCCGTAGCCCGGTTCGGTAAGCTGGACGACGGTTCGATTTCTTATTTCCCCTCCCACTTATTATGCAGATACGGATACATAGGTACAGGTACATAAAAGAGATAAATGTGCTACTGGGGTGGGATTTTGCAGGAAAAAAAGTAGATATGACGAATAGGTATACGTTGCGATGGCTTACCTCACGATCTCACTATGGGGTACGGAGGCGATGCTCCCCTCCTTTGCCTTCTGCCGTAACTCCTCGTCCAGGCAAATGACACGAAAAGCATATAGTGAACCACCTATATTTACACACATATATATGGGATTTATGCATGTAGACATGTATGTGATGTGGGAGATCGTAAGCCGTGAAGTTTTCCGTCGCGCTTTTTTTTCTCGTGGAAGAATTGGGGCCGCTCGTATATATATCTACACAGAAGCAGAAAGGAAAAGAAACGGGCCCAGAGGAATTGTTGAAAATTACCTTCTAGGGTAGGGGGTCCGCAGACGTAGTGGTCTCTCCCTTCTCCCCGGCCGTCCCGGTTTCGGGTCGCAGCGACGGCATCAGGTCTCGGCGTAGATGTAGTCGCTGGTGGACTCCTCGACGCGGACCTCGATGCGGGCGTCGTCGAGCTCGCGGCCGGCGACGCGGATGCCGGCGCGCATGACGTCGCCGGGGACGACGGGGCCGACGCCCTTGGGGGTGCCGGTGAGGACGATGTCGCCCTTGCGGAGGGCCATGACGCGCGAGATGTCGCTGAGGATGCGCGGGATGCGGAAGAGCATCAGCTCGGTCGAGTCGGCCTGGCGCGGCTCCCCGTTCACCGTCAGGTACAGCTCGATCGCGTGCGGGTCCGGGATCGCCGCCTTCGCGATCGGCGCCCCGATCGGCAGGAACGTGTCGAACCCCTTCGCGATCGACCACGGCAGGCCCTTCTTCTTCGCCTCGTTCTGGATGTTGCGCGCCGTCATGTCGATGCTGAGGGCGTAGTCTTTACGCATATACATATTCATTAATCATCGCCCCCGTACTAGGCCGGTTGGAAATTGTTTCCCTTTTTTTCTTTTCCTTTTTCTTCTTCTCGGATCATGTATATGAAACGGGGGCAATTTATCGAGGTGGCGGCGATGGGATGTGACAGCGGCGGCAGCCGTGGCGGTGGCAGGGATGAAGGAAGGGGGGGGGTGACGGGGCGGGCTCACTTTCAATGGCGTCGAGGGCACCCTTCTCGTCGTTCGCGTCGAGGTCCTTGACATCCTTGCCCAGGATGAGGGCCAGCTCGACCTCGTAGTGCAGATCAACTCCCCTCGGCCGGATGACGGGGCCGGCGCCGGGCAGCAGGAGCGAGGACGTGGGCTTCAGAAAGAAGAAGGGCTGCTGCGGCCGGGCGCTGTTGAGTTCGGTGATGTGGTCGCTGCGCGTGTAGTAAGAGATAAGCACGCCATCACGGTCGCAACGGGTCCCTCACTCTCTCGGTCTCCCTCCTCTGTCCGCCCCAACCCTGGTTGGGGGGGGGGGGGGGGGGTTCACGATGGGTACACGTACGCATAGTTGCGGCCGATGCAGACGACCTTGCCGGCCTGTTTCAGAGAAGCCACCGACGCCATGCCGCGACGGAACACGTTCATCGTCCGACGAGACTGCGACGGGGTGTGGTTAGCAAGCGCATGTTTGCTGCGATCGGTAATCGATCGTGAGCTGCCGTGCGGAGGCGAAGATCGTCGGGCCTCGTAATCGGTTGAGGTCACACTTACGGGTAAGGAGGAAAAGGTGCGGTGGCGGAGGAAAGACTCCCAGCGTATTACGTTCGCTCTGCAAATGCTACAGCTGGCCGGAGAGGGAGGAGGGGCTGTTTTTTTATCGCTCGTCGGATTGCGGGCAACGGTGGATTTGGCTGGATTCGATCCTTCGGCGCATCGCTTACGCCGTCTTGTAAGCTCCAGTCCCTTACTAGAGCCCTCTACAGGTAGCCTAGGTACCTAGGTACCTACTTAGGTACCGAATGTACTCCTCTGCCTCTACGTGTACTCCTGGCCTTGCGCCGTTAGTCGGACCCGATGTTCCACTGTGAGAAACGAGGGGGTGGAAACGGGGGGGAAGACTCCGGGGCGTGGGCGCGGGGTGAAAAGTGGGCATGAGGTGTACCTACGTACTTCCTCTCCGCCCTTGCGCTGTCCTACGCGCCGCAGGCGGGCGGATGGCGTGTAATATACTTCCGCAACCTAGCACGGCGTCGGGGGGTTCGAGTTCCGCTGATCAGAGATTGCGTTGCCCTGCCTGAGGTCCTCAGTACTCGTAGGAACATACCTGAGGTACCTAGCATCACGTACCTCCTCAGGCAACTTACTTGGAGTAGCGACCTTGCCTTGTATGCTTACGAGGGACCACGTTAGGTACCGTATACCGCATAGGATTATGCACGTACTCTTACCCCCCTCCAACCCGCCCCCCCGCGCCTGGCTACCTCTAGGTAGAAAGCTTGGTACGGATGTTCTGCGGCGCATCAGGTTTCGGCGTGTTTTTATATGTAGGCCCATCTCGACCGTGGATGCGCTGTAGGTAGATGCACGTTATGCATGCGCTCTACACGTACACGCATATGAGCGTGCGTGCCTGTACATCGCGTCAAGCGCCCGCTATGTAGGAGGGTGCCACTGTGGGGGTGGAGGTAGGGAGCAGGCTGGTCATGCGTGCTGCCCGTGTACGTAGTTTTCGTACTTTGGGGGGTTTTCTCTGCCCCCGAGCCCGCATCGGACATCTACAGTGCCTCATACAGGTACCTACCCCATCTTCCATGTACTGTCGCACTGTCGCGTACTGGTAATGTTGTATGCACCTGAGGTTAGGTACCTTAGGTACCTCCTAACCTGCCTAACTTACGTCCCGCTTCTCCCCAGGGCAGGCCTAATCATGTACGCAGGTATACCTATGTATATAGGTACCCCCTGCCCGTCCCCTAAGGCTCCTAAGGTGTTCCCCCGTGGAGTACTTAAAAGGCACCTATACTACCTAAAACTGCCTAACCTCTGCCCCAGTGCCGCCTACTCACAGCGGCGGTTGGGCCGTTGGACGGACCGGGTTCTAGGCCTGGGGAAAGAGCCTAACTCCGCCGCGCTGCTGACCAAAAGTAATGCATATAATTCATTATTTCCCTCCCTCTTTCTCCCTGCCCAAAAGCAAGAGAAAAAAAAGAACCCCATCGTGACCTCTGCTCTCCCCGTCCTCTTCCTTCTGCCAACTCAGCAACTTTTTTGTGTTCCGCCCGCAAAACTACAAGAATCGCCTCTCCCCCCCATACGCCTTGCCTGGCTCCCTTCTTCTCTCCATCATATTTCTTCCCACCAACTCTAGATCGATGCGCCGTCATGGAAGCCCTTCAAATAGCACAGATGTTGGCTGATCTTAACGATCTACAAGCTGCCGTATGTGGTTATCCCCCGGCCCACCTCTTTCTCTCTCCATTTCTCTTCGCTGTGCCCCCCTTGCTCCTCCATTCTCCCGTCACCTCCCCAAGGTAAGGTCTAGTTGTGCTGACTCGCAATCATCATTTGTAGCAAGACCAAACTGCCGCCAAGGATCTGGTGAGCGCCAACCGCACGCTCGATCGCAGAGACAACCTGCACCTGCAGCCACCGCCTAGGAGCGTCCCCGAGGACCGGACGGCTTCTCCTGCCGGGCGTATGACGGACAAGTTTGGCCGTCGCATGCTGACGCCACCATTGACACGGACAAACTCGGGGTCGCCGTCCATCCCCGGGACGCCGAGAGACGACGTACGTCACGTCTTTGTTCGACGCAGAGTCGCCCCGTACCTACCTGACGAGGATGCTGACCCATAATTAAGCAGCGGCAGGATGCCGACATCGACAGGGCCACCACGCTCCTCTCTCTATACGAGATTCGCGCCAAGTTGAAGGAGCAGGATAACAACAGCCTCGCTAAGGCTCGCGAGAAGATCAATGCTCTCGCGGCCAAGCAACATCCTCAGCTCGTCGCGGCCGATCAGAGACAAAAGAAACTCTCCAACCGGCTGAGCTACCCTAAATGAATCCATCCTGTCCGGCTCAACCTGAGGATTTCTGGACTGGGGGACTTTTCTTTTTTTTTCTGTTATTATTGATCAAGCACACCGGCTATCATCACAGGCGTTACGAGGGAGGGATTGAATGCGATCAGACTAGCTAGCGATCATGGCTAAGCGTGCACAGTTTCTGGCACAAAGAGGGTATGATGAACCGGGATAGGTAGAGTTACGCTGCCTTGCTACGTACCACAGGAGGGTTGGCAAGCCTCAGCGGACCATAATGTTAATGACGATCGGAAAGACAAAATGAAAGATAAAGGTGTTGTTTGACACTCAGAGTAGAGCGGATTGGGCGCACGCGATGCGATGTAATGCCATGTGATGCGATGCGATGCGATAGATGCCGTGGCAAACCCCGTGGGTGCTGTTTGCGTAATGCTGGTCCAACGAGTTGTTGGACGCGGGGAAATACAGCAGCATACCAGGTGGGTGGCGAAGAGGTAAGACTACGTGCTGTGCCGTCGAAAAATAGCATTCCTACTGGTCACGATCGCTATTCACTCTTAGCAGGCCGCACCCTCGAGGGGGCGAGACAGTGGCAATGTTTACTGGGTGCGCCCCTCTAGGAGCGCGCCAAGCACGCATACATGCGTCTCGCTCTCCGTCTCCGTCTCCGTCTCTCTCTCTCTCTCTCTCTCTCTGTGTGTGTGTGTGTGTGATGGGAAAATGGCCACCTCGCGCAGAGTGCAGATTTGGCCCCCCCTCCCCAATACTCGCCTTGATTTTATGTAGGATCGCGTGAAAAAGAGAGAGAGAGAGAGAGGTGCATGCCCGTAGACTAGACACCGAGTTGTCTCTTTCAAGCGCGGATTGACCAATCAGCCTTCAGGGGTCCGTCCGTTTCTGGCAGGTTGGTTGCGAATCGAGTCTTTGTGATAAGCAGATATCGAAACAGGAGACAAGAGAGAGGTAAAGGTAGGGTTGTCGGGGCAGATAGCTTGTCCCCGCAGCTTTTTATATGTGTAATCTATTTAGGTATACAATCTATGGAATCTAGGTATACCAGAACCACGCTCCGTAAATCGGCAAACTGAGATAACGGGGGTGGGCATTCATCGTCCAGCGCCCGTGTTATGAGAACATCGCGAAAGAGTATCAATTTGCGAGGGCCACCGAGGCCTGCAGTTTGCTGAGGAATGATTCCCGGTTCGATACAATCTAGCCACCTTGCTTAGGTCTCCGGCCGCAGCTATGCCCTGCCCACGCTTACTGACGATGCGAGACAGCCAGCTGTCTTCTTCTCCTCGTTTCTCTCTCTCTCTCTCTCCCCCTCTCTCTCCATCCGTCTTCTAACAATCTCTCTAGGGGACTTTCTCAGCGTTGAATGGTCTCGGACGTACCGGGAGAGGCGCTCTTTCGTGTTTCAACACGGCCGAATAGTTTAATGCTCGCCTCCGAATTCGTTGCGGGGCGGCGTTGACGCGTCAACCTAGGGGAGGGCCAAAGTTTCTATGGGCGGAGCAAGATCGTGATGCGTGCTAACGACCTCCGGCATTCCAGGTTGCGTGAGGACAGGTTCTTAAGCCCTTGGTCACATTACTGCCTCCTGTACTACTTACCTGCCTATGTAATGGGTTCACATGACAGTATTCATGCATAAAGTGTGCACTGTATGAGTATAGGTATGCATATGTGATAGTAATGCCCCTTTCCAGCTCTGTTGCCTTACCTCCAGGTAGCTGGGATAGGCAATCCTATCCGACTTGTTGAGTTAAGGTAGGACTGCATTATACATACTGCCATAAAACCTATTTATCCTAGGTACCTATTTATATATCTAGGTACCTATTTATATACACACATCCGTATAAATATATTTGGTAGTTACCTATTTAAGTACGCGAATAGTGCATACCTGCCTAGGTTACCCTCTTGCAGCCTGTGGCCTGCCAAAGTATTGTGCCCAAGGTAATCGTCACTTGGTAGTGGCACATGCTGCCAGCTGCCCACAACTGGAGACTTGTCGGATGTCGCAGGCCCAAGCTTCCGATTCCAGCCCGACCTTTTTCGAAACACCTAGATGGGATTTCCCAGACGTCATTTTTTTTTCCCTCGCCGTCGACACTCCTACACCGTCTTCATCCTACCACGTCTGGACTACGAGGGCACGCAGCCACCACGAACGAACGAGCGTCTCAATATGGCGGCCAGCGTCGATGCGAAGCTCTTGCGGGCAACCAAGTTCCCTCTCGAGTTCAATCAGAAGGTTGACATGCAAAAAGTCAACCTTCAGGTCATGAAGAAGTTAGTATCCCATCCCGTTCTCTGTATCGTCAGATTTCAGGCTGACCGATCACTACCCTTTCTAGATGGATCGCGGGCAAGATCTCCGAGATACTAGGATCCGAGGACGATGTCGTCACCGAGCTCTGCTTCAACCTGATTGAGGGATCCCGATTCGTAGGTGTACTACCGCTGCGTCGCCAGACGGACTACGGCTAACTAACGCCCGGCCACGCAGCCCGATATCAAATCTATGCAGATACAGCTCACTGGTTTCCTCGACAAAGACACCGCCTCATTCTGCAAGGATCTCTGGAAGCTCTGCCTAAGTGCCCAGTCTAGTCCGCAGGGCGTCCCCAAGGAGCTGCTAGAGGCTAAAAAGAAGGAACTCATACAAGAGAAGGTATTAATTTCGCCCACATCGGGATTGAATTGCATATGCTAAGAAGAATCTTGCTAGATTGACGCAGACAAGGCCGCTGAAGAATTGCGAATCCGACGAGAAACCCGGGAACGCCGCGACCGCGAGCTGTCGGATATTCGAGATCGGGAGCGTCGCGACCGGGGCTTTCGCGGCGGACGTGGCGACAATTGGCGCGGCGGGAGGCGCGGTGGCGACCGAGCCTTCGGGGCCCGTGGGAGGGGGTTTGGTCGAGGCGGCGACCGATCCTCATCGCCACCGCGACGCGAACGAGACCCATATCACGGCAATCGCGACCGCGACCGCGACCGTGATCGCGACCGTTACGTGCCCCGAGACCGTCGCGGGAGCCGACAAGAGCATCGACGTGGCCGCCCTCCTTCCCGCTCCGCGAGCTCCAATTCGAGGGATTCTGCATCACGTTCCCGATCACGCAGCACGGTTAGTGGCCGTAGCAGACGTGCTAGCCCGCGTGTTAGCCCTCGATCTGCCAGCCCACCGCGCCGCCGATCCAGAGGACGCCGGTCACCACCTCGCTACCGGGGCCTGGCAAAGCGAGACCGGTCTCCGGGTCGAGCGAGAGATTACAGGGCTCGCAGAGACGAGCGCGGAAGGAACACTTCGTCAGTAGGCAGCGTTAGCAGATCTGACGACAGCAGGTCGCGCTCTCCGGCCCCGAAGAGGCGCAGGTACTCCGACTCGCCTAGCCGCTCGCGGTCTCCCGCCCGCCGAGACACGCGGCGGCTCAGCCGCTCGCCATCCTATTCACGATCACGGAGCCGCAGCCCCGGACGACGGCCAGTCCGCGAGCTCATCAGCCGCAGCCCCTCGCCTGGCCGTCGCGGGAGGCTGAGACGGTCTTCGACGCACAGCGCAAGCTCGCGGGGGTCGTCGAAGGGCGAGAGGCAGTCACGACAAAGAAGCCGATCCCAGAGCAGAGAGGATAGCAAGACGAGAAGAGACGTCCCCTCGAGAAAGCGGAGACCTTCTGCCAACTCCCCTCGTACCCGTGATAGATCAGCTGATGTTTCGGAAGATGATGACAGACCCCCATCCCCAAGACCCGGCGCGGCCTCGAAGGCCGATGAGGTTCGTTCCTCTTCCTAGGGCGTCCGTCGTCGCAGGCTAGAGAACTGACTCGCGCATTCTTCATCCAGAACAAGACGCCTCAGCAACGGGCCAATGAGCTACGCGAAAAGCTTCTGAAGGAGCGAATCAAGAAGATGAGAGGCACCTCAAGTAGCGACAACGTCAAGGGGCGAGGCTAATCTTCCTAGACTTGCAGGGCCTGCAAATCCGGTCAGGGTCGTGATAGGTTGCGGAAGCCCAGTTTCTGACTCTGGTCCCCCTGGTATTGGCTCTCGAGGTTAGTCACAAGTTCGCTTTGCGTTTGAGCTCATCGAGATACGGCATCCCAGATAGATGGATAGATGATCGGATAATACTAGCATTTCCACCAAACGTCGGGTCGTTGCAAGGATCTGCAGGACGTACGCGGGTGCAATTAGGGGGTTTTTTTTTTCTCTTATTTATTTTTCTTAAAAGCATCTGCAGTACCAAAATTTTTATTTGCACGACAAGGACGGTAGTCTGTTTGGCAGACGAGAATGTTGGCCCATGCTATAAGCGGTTGCCAACGTATGACATGGACCGCGACGAACCTACACGTAGCATGTGCAGCTTCATGATGGCGTCGTGAACCACCTACGACACCTACCTACCGACCTACCTACCCTATTTTTCTCTACCTCAGTAGTTCTCTTTGGTGCCTGTCTGTCTCAGATGGCAGAGCGCCGGCGTGGGAGAATCGGAATAGAATTACGTAGATGGCCTGTCATCCTTTCCTACTAGGCACCTAAGTATAACCTGGGTTAGGCCGGCACCTACAAGCAAAGTCGTAGGTAACTCGTATGTGTACTGATGATTGATATACCCGCGACCCCCCCCCCCCCCCCCCCGGCCATTACATCGTGTTCTCTTCTTCTGTTTTTCCCGTCATACCACCTCGACAGCCTAAATGACCGGGTCGATATCCAAGATCGCGAATTCCTACCTCCTTCGACTCTGTCTAGCCGCGAGCGGGACATCTAGGTAAGTACTAATAATATCGGCGGTACGTACACCCAGACACTAATGCAGGTCCCGTTAGCGTAACAACGGCGTCGGACGGGGCTAGCTGAATGCGATGGTACATAGGCTATGTACCTAGGTTAGGTACCTAAGGTACCCAAGGCAGGTACCTACCTCTAGCGTACCAGGCATCTGCCGGAATATCCTCAATCGGTGCTTTCTTATCGATAGCATGCACGGGCCAAGACCAGGCTCCCAACTTCCAGGAGGACATTGTCCGAGCAGCCAACCTCGCCATCGAGCTCTGAACATCGTCCATACCGATCACTGCCCCTGACGACTTCCCTAGCGCCAGCCGCCCCGAACTTCAAAGCTCGAGTCACGATGGCGGAGAACATCCAGCCTGGAATCGGCGCCGGCGACCGGCAGGCTGCCCTCACGGAATACAACCGGCAGCGCCAGACCCTGAAGGAGCTCCTTTCTAAGCGGAAGCAGCAAGAACGGCACCTCGTAAGTCCCTTCGTATTCGCGTTCGCCTGCGAGGAGAAGGCTGTCTCTCTCTGCCGCTGAGAGGCGCCTAGGCTGCATATTAACGGTATACACAGCACCAGCTGGAGCAGAACATAGCCGAAATCGAGACTAAATACCTAGCCAACTCTCGTCTCGGGAACATCGTGAAGGGCTTCGAAAACTACATCAAGGGCACTAGCTCTGCTGCCCAGCGCAAGCAGGGCGAGGTGAAGGACGAGGACTACATCTGGTCGCGATCGTCGATTTCCTACAACGCTAATAACGTGCGCATCGACCCTCCGTCTCCCCTCTCGCGCCCGTCTACCTTCCACCCTGCCGAATTCGACCCGCCAACGGCTGCGTGCTAACATTTAGCCCCCCCGGGGTGGGTCTGCTGTGTAGACCGAGTATTCCGACAGCCAGTCAGCGACGTCGACGCCGGCGGCGCCGACGCCGGTGTCGACCACGTTTGCCAACAGCCACAAGGACAAGGACGGCGGCTCCAACCAGCCGACACCGACGTCGGCGACGGCCGAGAAGGGCCCGGGCAAGGCGGGCAAGGCGGGCAAGAAGCGGACGACGGCGCAGGCGCGGAAGGACAAGGACGCCGACGCGGACGACAGCGAGACAGACTCCCGCGAGACGAAGAAGGCCCGCACGCACTTCGGCGCGACGCGGAAGTAGAAAGCCGTCGGCGTGGACGTCTGCCGCGGGGGAATCTGCTTCTCTTTTTTTCGCGTCCTTGCCGTCTACGTCGTCGTCCATCACGCGCATACGCATATACATAGGCACAAGCATACACATATACACGGTTCCGGCGTTAGTTAAGGGTAGGTGCTATAGGGAGGATCCCGTAAGAGTTTTTTTATTGTTGTTATTATTTTTAGGGCACTTTATCCTTAGCAACAAGGAAACGGTCTCCGTGGTTGGCGACGATATTTCCTCGAGATACCCAGCAGCCCCGAGCTCGCAAATGGTCCCATAGACGAATATGAGGAGAGTTACCCAGTAGCCCGCCGGCCCTGGGGCGGCCCAAATCTTTGCTGGACCGCGCTCACCTCGCCGGCGCCTCTGCGTGCTCGAGCCGCTGGTCTTGTTATACGCAGGTGCTCGTGTGTTGTAGGAGGTATTGTGCCTACTAATGATATGCACCACAGACTCGAAATAGGTGAGTCCGGAAGAAGGGGGAGCGAGGCAGAGCGTAGAGGTAGGACCTGTGTTTACCTGCCTGCCTGGGGTGCCTCCTATTAGCGTCGGCTTCTCAGCGCCTTATGCGCCTTTTGGTACCTCCAACCTAGTACCTCCATGCTCAGAGATGTACGGCAAAGAGAAGCATTGGACGTTCTTCTCAACTACATAATCTGTTTAGAGATATAAGCCATGCGTTGCAACAGGGTGTATCTGCCAAGCTTGGTAGAATTTCGGATCGTTACCACTACCTATGCGATGTAGAGCATCCGTCACCTTTTACCCCCTTTCCCCCCTCTAACAACGCCCTCCGGCTCGGTCCCCTCCCACACCTCGGGATTTGAACGGGACAGGGAATGCGTCCACTTGCCTGCTCCTCGTCCGCACGTCGGCACGGCCATAGCTCGGGCATTCTCCCAGCTACCGGGTCGACCCGTGAGCCTCGCTAACCCACCCCGCAGCCCAGGTCCCAGAGAAGAGCCCACTCTGAGAGGGCATCCTGCGCCCCGCCGGTAGTTCGATGTCCATTGCCGCTTTTACTCAGGCTCGGCTCAGTCATAAGATATTATGAATGGATAGGTATGCAAGGAAAGCGGAGAAACAAACGATCTTTTGGGTGGCAGCCCGGACCGATGTGGCTGGCTTGTTCAACATCTTTAATTAACCTGGGCAGCTTTTGGCTTCGTCCAAATCCGTCCATCTTCCAGTATTCACCGCATAGCTACCGGAAATAAATAACCCTAAAACTATTCGCAAGGTAAAGGACTTGATCCGGCATGCAACGACCTGGAGTAACAATACCTACTCCCGCCTACCGGCCGAGATGCCAGCTTAGGAATCCTTCCTTCTAACCCTATTCGCGGGGGCTCCCAACAGACAGTCAGGCAGTTCAACGCGAGATCTCCCCCATCGTAGCCATAGCCGTCCGACCACTTAATAGCGTTGCAGAACGGCCATGTCACTCGTCAGTCATCTCGGGCGCCATCAAGGCGGTACAAACCCTGTTTTCGATGCTGTCCGTATAAAGGAACAGCCGAGCCGCTTTTTGTGGCAATCACGGATTTTATGCCTGTGATGCTGGCGGAGTCTACAGCCCTTGACCGTCGGATTGTCTTGGACCCGTTATACCTACCCCTAAAGACCGAATCTATTTGCAGGGTCCGTGACAGTTAATCCCGTAAATGATGATATAGACGAGTTGATGAGTGCTTTTAGCAAATTAAATAGTGGGTTAACACTGTCAACTCGACTCCCCTTTACTGCAGGTCAATAATAATAGGCTTGTAGTATTATACCTAGGAGCTAATTAAGCAGTTCGCCATACCTTGACCTCACGAACTAACAACACGTACAGACGTAGCAGGCCCTTAATTTAGAATCAGCCGCGCCTTCGGAGCTCCAGGTGGCTCTGAAGCAAGAAGCTCTCGACTTTCCTCATGTACCTAGCAATCGAGCTCACCATATTTCCGCGAGACGCAGAGTCGTGCCTCTGTGCCATTCATGGCGATGCTGGGGGGGACCTAGTTAGAGGTCACCACAAGACGCGGTAGAACAAGCCAGCTGTTTAGACGAGAATGCTTTAACATTCAATCGTTTCTTCAGCAGGTGTGCAGCTAAGCATCCCCGATGCCCATGATTGGACCTCAGGCTTTGGCCCGTATGCAGTTGGTTTAGCTATTCAGCATGCCTCACTCAGCCCTCCTACTTCTCCCTTTATTAACAGGGGATATCTCACCAACAGTCGACTAGAAACCCAACCCAAACACCGAAACCGTTCCCTTCTAGCGATGTCGAGAGTGATGGAAACAATTCAGGCTGAGCCCATTCCGTGCCAATCGTCTGTTAGTGGCGCGTGGTCTGTCCCATAGCGAAATCACTTTGCGGTGATATCTGAGTAGCCACCACGACACCCCATAGAACCCATCCGCCCTGTCCTCTCGAAACCGCACTGATCTATTTACCTTAACCCATCCTCTCAATGCGTTTACGGATATCGCAGGCCGCTTCCCACTTTTTCTACGTCCCGACATTTATGCGTTTCCACGATTGAAGACGTCACCAATTCTGCACCAGCCATGGTGCGATTTTGGAATTGCGCCATCGCGGGATGCCCAAACGCTGCGGCCATCGACATCGGCGATTGCGAGCGATGCGAGTCCATGTATTGCGCAACGCACATTAGGTCTGTGTTGCATATATGTGAGGTAAATATTCCCATCATCTGTGCATGGAGCCGCTGATCTGAAATTAGTTACAAGAAGGAACCCCTCGATGACGAGGCCTGGTTGGCAGCCCAGACGGCAGAGTTGGTCGCCCTCAACCAGAAGACGAACCACGCGGCCATTCTACGGCGCGCAAAAGAGCTTTCTGGCGGCCTAGAATGTCGTCTAGATGACGAAGATCTTCTGGGACGTCGTCAAATGGGCGGCATGCATATCCACCTTCAGCTTATATTTGAAAATGGGACCGTCTGGCTGGTCAGAATCCTCCGAGAGAAGCACACGTCCTTCGATGACGAACTCAGTAATCAGATCTTGCTCAGTGAGTGTGCGACACTCTGGTGGTTGGAGTCTGTTGACGTGCCGACACCACGACTTCACGGGTATGGGCTGCGTGGCGATCCGCGTAACGAAGTAGGTGTCGCCTACATGATCATCGACAAGCTGCCCGGCCGACCTTTCAACTCGTCGGAAGCCTCAGAGAGACAAAGGTCAAAGGTGCTGGGCCAATGGGCTGACGTCCTCTGCATTTTGGGCAAGCATCCTCTCGACAAGATCGGATCGCTGATGTTTGACGCCGACGGGGCAGTCGAAGTAGGCCCTATTGCGAGTGATAGGACGGGAACGTTGCCTTGCATAGGCCCCTTTGAAGATGCGAAAGACTTTCATAGCACCTGGGCCGAAACGTATCTCGAACTCATCGCCGATGGCCAACTCTTTTCCCCGTATTCGATCGATGCGTACCTAATGTTCAAATTCCTGGCGGAGCAGGCCAAGGCAGGTCCTTGGCTCAAAAAATGGCAAGGCCTCAATTTGGGGCCTTTTTTCCTAAAACATGTGGACGACAAGGGAGACCACATTCTTATAGACGATGACTTTCGAATCACCGGCATTATCGACTGGAGTTTCGCGAGGGCAGTCCCAGCATACGAAGCTTTTGGCCCTTCACTTGTGTCTGCGGACACCACCAATCTCTTCACCGGAAGACCGGGGCTGAGTGAAGAGGATGGAGTCTTGGGCCGAGAGTTGCAGCGTCGTGGGGCACCGCACTGCTACTTTGAATCGGATGAGATGCGACGATTCCTCTTCGGTCCAGGGATGGGATTGGACCTCACAAAAGATGAGGCTATTGACGTCTTCCGAGGCCTTGTGGCTACCTTCGACGGCGCCACGCCCGACTGGCAAGAATGGCGGCGAGCCAGCCTAATTAAGTGGGAAAACGATGCTCGACTGGTCGCTCTTTGCCAGGCGTCGCTGGGGGCCATGCCGCTCGGCGCACCGATTCATGCGGTGTCTACACCAGAAGTTCCTCGTTTCGAAACTTGCTCGTGGTCGAACTGTGGCCGCCCAAGCGTCCGCGGCCGAAGCTGCCAAACCTGTATGAGACATCTATGCGCTGTCCATATTCTCCCTCGGCATCACAAATGCCCGTCCACTGCCTTCGTAAGTACTCGAGATTCTTATTCACCATGGCTTAGGTTGCCACATCCGCTAATATAAGAACCTAGGTTGATGATACCACCTGGGAGATGAGTATCAATAGTGAAGTCGAGGCACTTCTTACCCAAGTGGATGTCCCCGAGCTTGTCCGCGTGGCCAGTTCACTCCGCAACGGGAAGCCCTGTAAGTTCTACCCCGGGAAGCACCTGGGAAGCGGCGCCATGATGGGCTGCGCAAATTATCACTGCTGGATTGTCTTCGACGATGGAGTTAAGTGGCTTGCTCGAATCCCTCGGACTACGGCTTTTAGCGACATTCCCCCAGATCTCGTCGACTACCTAGTCGAGAGCGAGTACGCAACCCTCAAGTTCTTAGAGCACCTCGGCGTGCCTGCTCCTAAAGCCCACGGATTTGGGCTTTCTTCTGACCCCGGAAACTTGGTTGGGATAGGCTACATACTCGAGGACGCCATGCCGGGGCGGCCCTTCTACGCTGATCAGGCAACGGCTGAACAGAAGTCGCATGTTTACAACCAATACGCCGAAATCCTCATCGCCATCAGCCGCCTCTCCAGAGAACAAGCTTGCTCCCTTCTTACACATGGCGAGGAGACCAGAGAGGGCGCTATCGCGAGCAATCGGTTCCTGTCACTTGGGAAACACGGGCCCTTCGCCGATCCCCTCGAATACTTTACTTCCATCGCCGACCTTCACCTTGATTTAATCGCCGATGGGCAACTCTATCCGGAATACCCTAAGGAGGCATACCTCTTTTACAGACTGCTCAGAGACCGGGCTGCTCCGACCCTAGCCGCGGCTACTGCGTCCACTGGTGGGTTCTTTCTCAAGCACGTTGACGATAAGGGGGATCATTTACTAGTTGACGAGAACTACAACATCACCGCCGTTATCGACTGGCAATTTGCGCGATTCGTCCCGGCGTGCGAGGCCTTTGGCCCTTCTCTCTTCACTGCCGATCTGAGCAATCTGTATAGTCCTCTTGCGGAACTCAGCGCGGACGATAGACTTTTAGCAGAGAGTCTGAGGCGGAGGGGGAGGGAGGACATTGCGGAGTTTGCCAGCGAAAGCGAACTTGCTAGGCGGTTTCACTTTGGACTTGCTTCCGGACTTTCGAGGAGCGAAGCTCTGGGAATGATCAGGGCCGTGCTCTCTTTGCTTGACGGCGAGGCGTCTGAGGAGGGACTGAGGGAGTGGATAGAGAAGGAGTGGGGTCAAGCGGCCGGTGATCCACGGCGTGAGAAAGTTGAGAAATTGATGGCGGAACTCGAGAAGGAAAGATTGGAAGATAATACAGGGTAGTTTGGCCCGGGTCCATTCAAACACACAACCAGCGACTAAGCGTTACGTAGATATGGAAATATATAATATGGCCAGTGGAGTCTATCACGGCTAACAAACATAGAAGTTGCTTACAGGCATGTGAGCATCGACACTATAATCACCATAAGTCCTTGTTCGCTTTGCGGCTATCGCTCAGCAGACCTGTGAATGTATCTGCACTATTGCGAGGCGATGCCCTGTCGCCTAAACTGTCCCCTAAAAGTAATTGTGACTTTAAAGGCGTCACAAGTACCCGCCTAACTCGTACCCCATTACCTTTCGATAAGAGGTGCAAGATTGAGCGTAAACCGGCGTTGGGTTGAGTCAACTCAGGCAGGTTGCCTTGATTTTAACGTGGAGAACGTCAGGGGAAGAGTTACGCGGGTGATAATAGGACACAAGCACGGAAGGTTGCTTCCAAGCCTTAATAGCAGCAACAATCGGAATACTTCAGTTACACTTCTAACTTCCAGAGAGGAGAGGAGACGAGTATAGATGGAAAAGCCACCTAGATAGGGGGGGGATGGCGATCAGACCTCTCTATATCACGGCGATTTTGGTATTTACAACTTGTTTGATGGGGAACTGGGGGCTGGTTAACTAAGTGTAATATGATGTTCAGGAATGGCTACGGTTTGCCGGCTTCATTGGTACTCGCCTTTGACCTCCTTTTCTGATGACTGCCTAGGAAGTCATCTAGACAGGAGGTCTAGGGAAAGGTTGGCTTGGTGGTAGAGAAGAAAGCCAAGGACTAGGGTTGCACACTCTGTACAGTTTAGCTGCAACCATGACTTTTTAGAAAGTTGTCGTCGTCGCCATTAGCCGAGTAACCCTCTCCTAAATGACACACCTCCCCCAGACTTCATGTCCGGACGACTTCCTAGGAAGTCATCATCGCTATGTGATCTGCTTTGATGAGGCGTTTTGTCTCTGCTGACGGCTCTACAACCTTCCTATATCTAGGCATATTGCGCGGTGAGATCCACCGCAAAATCGCCTCCGTTGCGGACAACTTCTCCAAATCACTCTTTTGTCCATATAGGTAAGTCATGCAAATGTTGATTCGAAACTTTGGTAACTATTAGACGCCTAATTTATCGCGCGAGTCAACTGTAGAGCTATAGACTTCTCCGACGTAAGTAGTCGACGAATCCTTCGCTGACCCGTAGTTGGCAAAACAGATCCTTAAGTCTCCAGAACGTGTAATTCTTCAGTCCGCATATGCAGTATTGTTGAGAAGCCTACAAGACTTCGGTAAGCTAGCATGCTTCGATCAGATCGAACCCCATCTTACTCGATGTGTGAGCTGCTCAGGCTTACCGGTTAAATCTCGGCTCATGTGGGCAGAAGTGCTGTTCCTTGGGGGGCCAAGCTCAGTTCAAACTCCGGCCCAGGGCTCAGGCTTAAAGCGGCCAGGGTCGGGTCCGGATGTGGCACCCAGGCGGGCGTGGACGAATGCTCTACTCTTACGAGGTAGCCGTCGTCGTTTGGCCTATCCGGTGCCGCTCTCGACGATCCACCGAGAGAGAGAGAGAGAGTACGTGCCCCGTCCCTCTGCCCGTCCCTTTGTGCCTAAGCACCAACATCGGATCGGTCACGTTGGGTTCTCTCGGATGAGATAAGTCTCCAATTCGCTCGCCCCCCGCCAGACCCTCGACTGCCTTTGCATTCTCTCTCCTCCAAGATGACGGTGATGGCCACCAAGTTTACGCCCGAGGTGCTCCTATCGGCTCCGCGCCGCAGTGCGGCCGTGCCTAACAGCACCGGCACCCTCGCTCTCTTCGCTGGTCCGTCATTTCCGCTCCCGCCCTCGCTCCCTTCCTATTCCTTCCTCACCCAGCACCTGGCCACCTAGCACTCTAGCACCCGCCAGAATTCGGGTCGCCGGTGGAGGGTGGCAGAGAGCTAACGGTTCCGACGTCCAGTAACGCAATACTCCTTTGACACTCACACCAAGAGCTACGCTATCAAGGTGCTGGACGTCAAGACCGGCCAGTCGTCGGTCTTGTTCGACGACCCGACCTACACCGAGCCCACCTGGATTTCCGACACCGAGTTCGTCTTCGTCAAGAACGGCGACTCTAGCACGAACCTCCTGGTGGGGGACGCCACGAAGCCAGGCTTAGAGTAAGTACCTACCTAACCGACGCTGCCTGACCGCCTATTACCCACCTAACGGATTCGTCTATTCGTCTCTGCCTCAGGAACACCTGCGTGCGCGTAGGGGGACCACGATGATGCTAATGTAAAAAACGCCCTCCCCTTAGCCCATACACGGTTGCTACCTTCGATGGCGCACTATCCAACATCAAGGCTAAGGACATCGGGAATGGCACCGTGGCCTTCGCCGGAGCAGCCCCCACCACGGCGAATGGTGAGATGCTCAGCCCGGAGGACGAGAAACCGCTGTCCAGCGCTAGGGTCTACACCGGTCTCTTCGTCCGGCACTGGGACGCCTACGTCTCGAAGAGCCGAGTCGGCATCTTTTACGGCGCCCTCAAGAGGGACGAGGGAGGACGTTTCAAGCTGGAACCCCCGGGCCTGGTCAACGCGCTCGCCGGCACCCCGCTCGAGAGCCCCGTGCCCCCCTTCGGAGGCGCCGACGACTACGATATTGGGCCGCGGGGCCTCATATTCGTGGCCAAGGATCCAGAGCTCAATCCCGCGTTGTGGACCAAGACGGATATGTACTACGTCCCCCTGCGCTCCTTCACCGAGAAGGCCCCGAAGCCCCAGATCGTGAAGACGGGTATGCTTGAAGGATACACCGGCGCGCCCACCTTCTCCCACTCCGGGACCCGTGTGGCGTTCAAGCGCATGCGCAACCGGCAGTACGAGTCGGACAAGTGGCGGCTGCTCCTGCTGCCAGACATCGACGACCTGAGCAACGTGCAGGAGTTCTACGCTACGGAAGACGGGGAGGGCGGATGGGACGCGCGCCCCGAGGGCGTAGCCTGGAGCAACGACGACAGCGAGCTCTACGTCACCGCCGAGAAGCACGGCCGCCAGCTCCTGTTCAAGCTTCCCTCGGACCCGCTCGCCGCGGCAAAGCAGCTTCCGCAGCCGCTCACCAAGGACGGTGCCGTAGGGCCCTTCTTCACGCTCGCCGCCTCCTCGCCATCGGACACCCGGATCCTCGTGAGCTCGACCTCGCTCGTCGACAACTCCTCGTTCTCGATCGTCGACGCGGCGACGCCCGCCGATGCTCCGCTGCCCGCTCCGACCCTCGTGTCGTCCAGCTCGCGAGAGGGCAAGACCTTCGGGCTCAGCCGGCAGCAGGTGGACGAGTTCTGGTTCAAGGGCGCCGGCGGCCAGTACGAGTGCCACGCGCTGGTGGTCAAGCCGTCGGACTTCGACCCGCGGCGCCGGTACCCCCTCGCGCTGCTGATCCACGGCGGCCCGCAGGGCGCGTGGGGCGATAGCTGGAGCACGCGCTGGAACCCGGCCGTGTTCGCTGAGCAGGGCTACGTCGCTGTCCTGCCCAACCCGACCGGTAGTACAGGTTACGGCCAGGCCCTCACCGACGGCATCGCGTCCGACTGGGGCGGGCGCCCGTACAACGACCGTAAGTACCCCAGGAAACGCCCCGGGCAACTAACTCCCAACCCCGAATACCTCGCCCTGTTAAGCAGCATTAGCGAGGGTTAGGGGTATGCAGAACAGGAAGTGCTGCTAATCTCGGGGCCATGCAGTGGTGAACTGCTTCGAGTACATCGCGGATAACATCCCCTATATCGACACGGACAACGCCGTGGCTCTGGGCGCCTCGTACGGAGGCTATATGATTAGTGAGTTCCGTCTCGTCGTGTCTTCTTCTTCTCCTTCGCCCGACCCCGCCTATCCCCCATCTTGTACAATCTATCCCACCTGTCACGAAGTGAGCATTCATCTATACATCTTAGCCATGTAAATATACTTACCATCACCTCCCCGTGGAAATGAAAAGACTGGATTCAGGGACACCCTCTCGGGCGCAAGTTCAAGGCGCTCGTGTGCCACGACGGCATATACAGCACGATGAGCAACTGGTCGACCGAGGAGCTCTTCTTCCCCGTGCACGACTTCGGCGGCACGCTGTGGGAGAACCGGGCCGTCTACGAGCGCTGGGACCCGGCCGCCTCGTCGGGGAGCTGGGCCACGCCCCAGCTCATCGTCCACAGCGAGCTCGACTACCGGCTGCCCATCTCGGAGGGCCTCGCCGCGTTCAACGGTACGTGTCCGCGCGCGGCACACATACCGGCCTAGCTAGCTAGCTAACGTGCGTGCCCGCTCGCAGCTCTCCAGGTTCGCGGCGTCCCGAGCCGCTTCTTGACGTTCCCCGACGAGAACCACGTAAGTCCCTTGTCCTCTCCCTTTCTCCGGTGCAAACACCCGCCCCCGCCCTCCACATACGTAAACATATCTATATATCCTCAAGGAAATCTTACAGATGACTGACCACGTGTATGCGTGCCGGGCAGTGGGTGCTGAAGCCCGAGAACTCGCTCGTGTGGCACAGGGAGGTGCTCGACTGGATCAACCGGTGGACTGGCCTAGCCGACAAGGCCAAGGACGAAGACGAAGAGGCGTCGGCGGGCGTGGAGAATCTGAACCTCGACGGCTAACAGTCGAAACGGAAAGGCCTCGCGCGGGCGGATAAGGAGGGGGAGAGAAAGAGGAAAAAAGGCCAGGGGCGGTAGGAAGAGGAGGAAGTAAATATTTAGGATAGGGCATATGCTGCTTAGGTTAGACGAAAATACACGACTAAAAAAAATTATAAAATAAGCAGAAGCAACTCCCGGAAAGGGAGCCGAGAACGAGAATAGTGTGCCTTCTCGTGCGTAAACCCATCTCTTACAAACCCAATAAATCTTCAGCTAGAAACGCGCGTAAAGAGAGGGGGGGGGGGATCAAACTTGGTATATATTCATCATCCGCCAAGTAAACGCGAATCACTACCTAGATCTAACTATAAAAGGTGAGGGAGACGAACAAAAAGGAGGCACATACGTATGCCTTTCCGTAGACCCCCCCCCCCCGGCTCTTTCTCGAAAGACGAGGCGGGAAAGTCTGGTATGCAGATAGGTACGGAACCCCGTCCGATCACGCGGACGTCACCGTCGCCGTCGCCATCGCCGCCTCTTCCCTGGCTGCCGCCCTCGTCCTGGGCCGCTTGCGCGGTCGATCTTGCTCGGGCTCTCCCCTCCGCTCCCCCTCTCCCCCCCGCACTTTATCTTTCTCCTTCTCGTCCCTCGGCAGCGGCCCCGGCTCCTCGTCCCCCTCTCCGCTCCTCTCTGTCTCCCCCCGGGCCCCCTCGGCCCCCTCCTGCAGCACCGCGAACAGCTCGCGCCCGTCGAGGCGGTGCATAGCGTTCTTGACGTGGGCCCAGCGTAGCGAATCCGGCGACCCGAGGCGCTCCCGCAACAGCCTCGCGGCGCGGGCGTCGATGCGCCGCAGGAAGGACCCGACGAAGCGGGCCTCGCTCTTGGGCCGCTTCGCCCGGTACGAGCAGCTGAAGTGGTTGTACTGCTCGAGTAGCCGGCGGGCCTCCGGAGGAGGGCCCGGGTCACCGTCTTGGGGGATCCGCTGCGCCTGATCCCGTACTTTGTCTCTCTCCTTCCTCTTTCTCTTGTCGTTTCCTCTTTCTTTCTTCTTCTCTTGTTCCTGCTGCTGCGGTGGTTCTGGTGGGACAATAGAGGGTACCAGGGGGGAGGGGCTTTTTAACTGCGAGGTTCTGCTGTCGCTTCCGTTGTCGCTACGGCCGCCGCCGCCGCCGCCGCCGCCGACCGCGTTCCCGTCAAGCGACTCAGATATCATCGTGGAGGATTCCGACGCTGCTGTATTCCCGAGTTAGCGCCGAGGCGGAGATGGAAAACCACACCATTTTCGGTGTACGACGACGCCATCTCTTACTGGATAGCGTCGCGGACGATCGCGCAGGGAGCTGCTCGAGGAACTGGAGGAATTTCTCCTGCCTAGGGACGAATATGTCGAGGAAGCGGCGAATCTTGGCCTCCTGCTCGCTGACGGTCTCTATCGTCGTCCCCTCTGTCTGCCGGCCCGCCTTGTCGTACACGGACCTTACCATCGGCTCTAGGCGAGCCAGCGCGCCGTTCAGCTTAGTGAGCTCGTCCTGCCAAGGGGGCAGCTTCGCCAAGAAATCGTCGAGGGCGCTCTCGACGGCTTTGATCCGCTCCTGGTGCTGGCTGACCTGCTTGTTCAGAGCCCTCACATCCTTGCCGAACCTGACGTTGTCAGCCGTCAATTTAACGTACTCGTCGCTGACCTGGTCACGGAGGCTCTCTAGGTCGTCCTTGGTATCTCGGGCGGCGGCCCCGGCCTCGGATATCAGCTGGCGGAAGCCCTCTTTGTCCTTTCGGAGCTCGTCAAGGCGCTTGTCGATATCGTCGTTACGGCCCTCGGCGGTGTTAGCCTCCTGGATTTTGCGGAGGCGGGCCTCGACCAGACCCATCTGCTTCTTGGCCGCATATATCTCCTTGACTACGAGCGCCTGGAGGAGCCGCAACGCGCTCAGCTGGTTTTCGGGCTGTCGAAGCTTGCCCTCCAACCTAGCAGCGCGAGCTAGCCTCTCCAACTCGTCGCCAGAACACATGGCAATAGACTACAGGGCGGAATGAGCAGTAACTGGATAGTCGAGCCGATGATGGAAGGACAGCCATCGCACGCTGTGATCAAGGCAGACAGTTGAGCATGGTAGAATTTGGCAAGCTGGTTAAGGGGGCCAACCTCAGGCCAACAAGTTGTGCTAAAGCAGTTGCGCCTACCTAAACACTCCCTGAGGAAGTCGCGGTACCAGACTCGCGTTATTCCCTCCTTCTGCAAGCCGAACCCGAGCCTGGCCCCGGGTGCTGTGCTTTTGCCTCCAGCAGATTTCCCACGTACTCGTATACTCTCGGTACTCGCATGCTCCCGACACCCCCGACATCTCCATATACCTGTAACCTCGTTACCGGGTAACCTCGTACCTCCTCCCGAAAGCTGCCCTCTCTCCTCTTGTACATTGCCTGGGGAGGCACCTATATGGCGTAGGGTAGAATAGAAGCAAATGACAGCAATGCCATACCGACCTTAGTTAGGTAGGCACTCCAGCATCCAGTCATATTTTCGCCCAACCATCTCAGCGAACACGATGGAACATGCGTAGACGTGAGTAGCATTAATTACCATACACACATACTTCCTATGCGCCCCTCGTTGCATCATAGCATAGGTAGAATCCATGCACCCACCAAATAACCCGCGAGGCCAACATGAAGGACGTGTGTACATACATATGAAGAGAGAGAGAAGTCGACCGTCTCCCGGGGAGCTTGTCGATTCCCAGGTCAGTCGGCGTATCGTCGCATTATTCATCAACCAGGGCGAAAAGACCGGACGGAGACAGGTTTTAGGAACCTTAAAGGAAAAAAATTCTGGGCTAAGTACAGAGAAAAACGAGAACAGCAAGCCAATGGCCCACTCCGCAAAATCCTCACCGGTGTTGGGCAATAATGCATCACCAGTGAGAATTAGGTGCTAGATGACTAGCCGCAAATGCCCGAATGCGTCCCTTTTTTCCCCTCTATCAACCACGGCACGACCCTAGACGTGCCGGCAGAAAAGCCTCGCGAGACAAGAGCGTCATCCTCCCGTCTATCTATCCCCATGCCACCAACAAGCGTCGTGAGACCGAGGGTTTGGTTCCTATGCTTATAATAGCATATAGATAGACAAACAATATTCCCCCCCCCCCCCCCCGTCTGCTATGAGAAATGCTAGATACCTTTAGATCAGGTCGGCCACGTTCATCGGCATCTCCTCGATCTGGGTGCTGTAGAACTGCTCGATCTCGCGCATCATACGCACGTCGTCGGCAGTGACGAAGTTGATGGCAACGCCCTTTCGGCCGAACCGACCGCCACGACCGATACGGTGAATGTAGTTCTCGCGGTTAGCCGGGAGGTCGTAGTTGATGACGAGCGAAACCTGCTGCACGTCGATACCACGGGCCAGGAGATCGGTGGCGATCAGGACACGCGAAGAGCCGGAGCGGAACTCTTTCATGATCAGGTCTCGCTGGGCCTGGTCCATGTCGCCGTGCATGGCCGAAACCGTGAAGTCACGAGCGGTCAGCTTGTCAGTAAGCCAGTCGACCTTTCTTTTGGTGTTACAGAAGATAACCGCCTGAGTGATGGTGACCGTCTCGTAAAGATCAGAAAGTGTGTCCAGCTTCCACTCCTCCTTCTCGACGGCAATGTAGAATTGCTTGATACCCTCGAGGGTAAGCTCATCCTTCTTGACGAGAATGCGGACGGGGTCCCGCATGAACTTGGTCGTCACCTCGAGGACATCCTGGGGCATGGTGGCAGACAGCAGAACCACCTGGGTCGACTGGGGAAGAAGTTGGAAGATGTCGTAGATTTGCTCGGTGAAACCACGCTAGGAGAGGGAGAAAACGGTTAGTATGTCCTGGTGGTAGCCGTAGTAGTAGACGTGAACAAGCTCGTCTAGGTAGGATGAATACTTACAGAAAGCATCTCGTCGGCCTCGTCGAGGACGAACATCTTCATGGCATCCGTCTTCAAGAATCGTCGCTGAATCATATCCTGGACACGGCCGGGCGTGCCGACGACGACCTGCGGTCCTTCCTGAAGGGCCTTCGTGTCCTCACGGACGCTGGTTCCACCAATGCAAGCATGGCATTCAATGTTCATGAAATCGCCGATGGCGACGACGACCTTCTGAATTTGCTGAGCCAGCTCTCGGGTAGGGGCCAAGATCAGCGCCTGGCACTGCTTGACGTTGGGGTCGATCTTCTGAAGGACGGAGATTGAGAAGGTGGCAGTCTTGCCAGTGCCAGACTGGGCCTGCGCAATTACGTCGTGACCTATCGGGCGGGATTAACACCTGTTTGCGCATCGACTGTTGTTGGGCAGTGACGGGGTTGGTGGGTTATATGGACATACCCTTGATGACCGGCATGATGGCACGTTGCTGAATCGCGGAGGGGCGTTCAAACCCATAGGCGTACACACCTGGAGGAAGCAAAAGCATCGTTAGCCACTGGTACTCTCCCCTCGTCCCCCTCCCTGCCGGGGCGGGCGCCTCTTACCTCGCAGCAGCTCGGGCCGCAGGTTCATCTCATCGAAGGAGTCGACGGTCTCGTCATAGTTGGACTCGATCTGTGATTGCTCGATGTCCTCGAGCCCTTTATCAGCCATGATTGCGGATCAAGAATCGATGCAGCTTCTCGAATTCCAAGCGCTGCCCAGAATTCAAGAAGACGAGGGCGACAATCCTTGGTGGGGTCGGAAAATAGGTGAGTGTGACCTCTGCACTGTGGCGAGCGGTCTACAAAGAAATGAAGAAGGTGGAAAGTGATGGACGGTAAAGGCTCCCTAGGTAGAGAGCAGTACGGTCTAGAGAGGGATGTTTTCCTTGGTGTTCACTGTTCTGGATCAATCTGTGGATGATTTGAGTAGAATCGTGGAAGAGAAGAGCCCAAGAGACCAAAGTCGAGATTGGGTGAACGAAGTAGTAGAAGAGAGAAAAAAATTTCGAGGAGGAGGGGGGGTAAACTTTGGTGGAACCCTGATGTGCGGGGCCTAACGAGCTCCTGTTCCCGCCTGCCTGCAGCCTGTTACCCGTGGTATGCGGTAGAGGTAAGAGGTAGGTACCTAAGGTGTGTATTGTACATTGTACAGTACAATCTGCATACAATTATGTACATACAGCAGTCTGCAGCCTATTGGGTGCTGCCCAGTTGTTGCCACTGCTTCTTTCCTTACCAGTGACGGTACTCTCTCCACCTTACCTTGCCTTGTTCCCAGCCATTAGCCCTATCTCTTGATCGATTCCCCATCTTATCTACCTCCTATCAGGTAGGTAACTAGGAGGTACCTATGTACTAATGCTACGCAGCACATCTTCCCATATTCATATCCTCGTTCTCTTATCTGCATACCATCTCCCATCGCATATCTTGACTTTTTATATAACTTTTAACCGTGGAGCCTCTTGAAAACCTACCTACGTAATGCAGGCTAACTTGACGCCCGAGACCATATTTCCCACTTCCCGCCTCCCCCCCAAAATTTACATGCCCGCCGCCTGCCTAACTACCTAGCACCGTACGAAGGGCCTGTAAACCCGCGCGTCAGCACGCACAGAGAACCAGCGACTCGCAGCCTAACGGCGAGGGGCAATGGCCTCTCATTCTTTAACTACCTAGTCGATGATACTGCCGCACACTCGCAGAACAAGTATAGCCGAGAGCCCTCGGAAAAGAACAATTGCGCCGAAGGGGGAAGCTGGCGGCTGGTTCTAGTACCTACCATGCTACTCGCCAAAGACATCCCGCCGGCGCCAGGATGCGAACCGGATACCTCGAGCACTCAGATATCACCAGACTCTATTCCCGTCCACCCAATGGGCGTCAAGCCGCTTGGGAACCAATATCTCGCCTCAGTTCCGGCCGCTCGGCGGTCTCTCGGCCCCCTAGGTCTTCTTCCGGACGAGACCATCTTACAGGTTCTCGAATATTTCGATGCGCTCTCATTGAAGAATATCGGGCGTACCTGCCGCTTCCTTTACGCATTTTGCCAGCTAGACGAACTGTGGAAAGCATTGTTTCTCAAGTGAGTCATCAAGAAAAGAGTCACCTAGACCCTGCCGGCCAGCTACGACTCTTGGGTGGAGTGAGGTGTATCTTGTCTGGTGCCCTCTCGCTGATTCGACCAAATCACGAAGGACCAGTTCTCAACCTCCGCCTGCGTGGAGAGGCTCTTGGAGGAGCACGTATCTGAATGCCCCTGGCGGACGGCGGCCTGGGGTTGACTGCACCAATGTCTATTCTGATGTCTTACATCGACCCTTTGCCTGCGCGCATATTGACCTGAGCAAGTATTCCTCTGGGATTCCGGACGTAAATCAGATTCGCCGGTTCGAACGACTCGGCTACGATGACTTTGCACAGAACTGGAGCAGCGTGCCATTCATATTGACGGATTGCATCCAACGGTGGCCGGTATATGGCGACTGGAATATCGACGAGCTGAATAGGAGATACTCCAAGGCTGAATTTCGGGCCGAAGCCGTGGATTGGCCATTCTCGACTTATCATGAGTATATATATAACAACGACGACGAAAGCCCACTGTACCTTTTTGACCGGTGGTTTGCGGAGAAGATGAATATTCGGATTGGACACGATACCGACGCCGTATACTGGCCACCGGAGTGCTTCGGCCCAGACCTGTTTGAGGTGCTTGGTGAAGAGAGACCAGCCCATCGTTGGCTCATCATCGGCCCTCAACGTAGTGGCTCGACCTTCCACAAAGACCCGAATGCGACAAGTGCTTGGAACGCTGTTTTGGAAGGATCTAAATACTGGATCAGTATGTGCATCCTCACCCCTCATCCCCTCCCGGCCAATTATTTCGTCATTGCGTCTGGGATCTCACGTTGTTCCCGCGAGCCTGCGCAGGGGCTTGGGCATGCGAAGTCTCTGGCCACTCGGCACTATACGAACGAGTTGTCGTAAGTGGCAGTCGCTGACAACGTATTGGCTGCAGTGTTTCCCCCGGCGGCGCAGGTTCCCGGCGTCTACGTTTCGGCGGATAGTAGCGAGGTTACAAGCCCGCTGAGCATAGCCGAATGGTTACTCGAATTCCACGCGGAAGCACGTGCGCTACCCGGCTGTGTGGAAGGCGTCTGCAAAGCGGGCGAAATCGTCCATGTGCCTAGTGGCTGGTGGCATCTGGTGGTGAACCTCGAGGCCGGTGTAGCGCTCACTCAGAACTTCGTCCCCCGGTCCCACCTGGCTGACGTCCTCTCGTTCCTGAGGGATAAGCCAGATCAGGTTACCGGGTTCAAGAGGGACATCGAGTGCCCGTACGACCTATTTGTAGAGAGGCTCGGGGTCCAGCACCCCGAGCTTCTGGACGGGGCATTTCACGAGCTGGAGCAGAGAAAGCAAACCAAGAAGCGGAAGTGGGAGGAGGCGGTCGGCGGCAATGCCGACGCCGGTTATGATTCAGGCGGGTTCAGTTTCGGCTTCGGAGCTGACGACGATGATAAGATCCCATAGTGCGCGCGAAGGTCGAGAGCCAGTCAGGTGTGTCTCCGCGTATAAGCCGAGGGCTAAAGAGTGAGATGCTCTCGTACCGATGGGTGCAGATAGGCCAGACACAGGATTGATCAATAAGCGCGGGTCAAGACGAGAGTATGAGTATGTGTAATCTCGACAGTTCCTTGGCCTCCGGTGGCGATGCAATGCCGGATTCGGTCCTGGTCAGCGCCTTGTCTCACTCCCAAGAGGGGCTGAGCGGCGAGGGCCTACATAAGCGGGATGTATGGAGGTGGCTTCCAGCCCGCACTTCCACTCGATACTACGTAGTAGACATACCACGCAAGTCTGGCCTGCTATGGCGCGCTGCCTGTTTCCGGATCGAACGACGTTTCTTTTTTCTTTTCGAAACGAGGCGCCTGTAACGCCTCGAACAAGTTGAGAGATCGGTGAGGTGGTAGCGAGGAATACTCTCCGATCAATACTGGGTTAGATAAGCAACCTAGGGATTTCTGTAAGCTTCTACTTGATCAGCACCTGTCCTAGCGATTGCGCGAGGCATGTAGGTACTCATGCATGAGGTGAGGTACAACGTGCACCTATCGAGCACCCCTGCCTGCCTGCCTGGGTGCCGTAGACCGACCTAAGTACCTAAATATATGAGCAGGGAGCTCATTTAGGAGGATGTACCTAGGTCTCTAGAGGCACCTAACTTAAGGTAAGGCACCTTATCCTATGCAGGTACATACGCAGAGGAGGTACGTGATGTACCGGTCCCTATGTAGGCCGGGTATTTTTGTCGGGCGTGTGCTGAGGTAAGGTACATTGCTATGCATAGACTGTCGGGTACACAGGCAGGCAGGAGGGCAAGCAAGCCGACTTGATGTGCGCAATTCGCCGGCTCGTTCGTATTGATTGTGACACTGCAGGTTCAGGGTGCGCAGCTGCAGGTGGAAGGCGATCCTTGAGACACACCGGGCTGGGCTTTGTCTGAGGCAGGTGTAGGTACCTACCCCCTAACGTACCTGGTATAGAAGCACCTATAAAAGTGCGCCTCAGTGGGCCCACGGGCCTGCCAGCTCCCTAAAGGTACCTAGCGCAGTGGTGAAATCAGGAGGCCTAACGGGGCTGCCTACAGACGTCTTCCGCCACGCCTCCCCCTAGAGATTCCCATCGCAGCACCTTTCGGTGCCAGCTTGCTAGGTACAGCCAGAGCGCTGGCGGCTTGAACGCAGCCAGTGCCAGCGGGCAGTAGGTAGCTGGCCTAACGCTAAGCAGAATAGAACGAGGTACCTACCTACCTACGTTAGTTACCGGTAGGAAGACGAGGCACCCCGTTTCCACCAGCTGTGCCCCCCACACGATTATTGCATCAAATCCACCTCTTGTCTTCCTCTCTACCTCTCTCCGCCTCTCCCTCTCCCTCTCACCCTCACCCTCACCCTCACCCTCTCCCTTTCCCACTCCTCCCTCGCCCTAAACCACGATACGTATTGACGAAGGGGTGTTGTTGAAGGACGAACCCGTAGTGGATCGCCAGCTCTACCCACCCTCACCGCAGAGGTGCGACCACGAGCTGTGGAGGTCGAGAGCCACACCCCCCTAGCAGGGCAATGCCAAACAGGGCCGCACCACGCTGGAGCTGAATCCCGACAAGGCTTCGTGGTTCTTCCACGCTCCGCGACCTGGTAGGGTGGTCCATCTGCATACCACCTCAAGTTGGGTACGTTTCTCCTCTGCGGTCCCTTTTTCTCCTCGTTCCTCGTCTCTTCCTCCGGTACTAGCACGCACACTGCATGCGACCGATAAACAATCACAGCATCCGGGCCACGCAATGCGCACATACGGCTAGCCATATACACACATACACATACAGATACACATCGCATCCACCTTCACTTTCTATATTCCGCTCGCTCTGTACGTACTTTATACGTGCTGCCGGTCCTGTCTCCTACCCTCGCCACCACCCATACGTTTCATCCGTTCCACCTTGCTTGCTTACCCAGGCAGGGAGGCCTTTTTTCCCTTCTCCCTGTCCCTCTGCGTCCGCGTCTCTCCCGTCTCACGGCATCTGCATAATAGTGCGAATAGTCGCTTATCCCCCTGTGGCACCCATCCCTCGGTTGACCCTTCGCCCTTTCTCGTCCGCGCCCGTGCGCCTATCTTTTCCTCATCCACACCCTGCCTTTTGACCTCGATATTTACTTCTCGCTCATAGGGCGGCCCGACTTGCTTACCTGTATCTTTTTCCTTGTCCCCAGCCAGCCTTACCGCACACCCTTCTCACGGGCAACCGTGCTCAATAGATATATATTATACCTTATATTTCCTTAGCCTCCCGAAGATCTCCTTCTGCCCATCCCTGTTGCCTGTCCCCTTGCCCACTTTCCAACGACCTGCTGACGGTACCTGTCCTGTCAAAGTCGCGTAATCATGGTCTCCGACGAGACGTTCGAAATATGCCTCCCCGTCCTCCAGGACCCGAACCTCGACGATGATGACAAGACGGACAAAGTCGAAGAGCTTCTGAAGAAGGAGACCACTCTGAACGGCACGTCCCTGGAGAATGCGGTGCTCGATGTGCTTTGGCGATATCGCGAAGGTGGAGGCAGCGCAACCTCGCCTCCCCCGATACGGCAGACCATCCTTCGCCGACCCTCTCCGGCCTCCTGGCGGGGCTCCCCGACGCCCTTATCCGGCTCTCCTCGCCTCGGAGTAAGCCCTCTTGCCCCGCCGGGGTTCGTCCCTACGAGCCTGAGCCGGACCAAGTCGTCGACAGTATCGCCCTTCTCGTCTCCGCGCCCCTCGCCGCGGCTCGCGTTCGCTGCTCCAGTGATACCACATAGTCCGAGTCTAAATGCCTACGAGTTTGCTAGTGATACGAGCCCTTCGCAAGAGACGTTTGGTGACCCCCAGATTGAGAATGTTGAATGGTTAGTGAGTGACGATGCACTCAGTGTTGCTTCCTCCGTGGGAACATCGAGCGGCCTCAATGCCGCCGCCCCCGAGTACGTGTCTGCTCAACAGACGGACATGACTCCCTATGACATGCTTCGCTCCATCCTCGGGCAGTCCAAGTCTGACGAAGAGATCGAGACGGCGCTCGCCATGCACGGTTACGATCTAAGCGCCACTATTGCGTCCATAATGGAAACTCAGGGCCTGGATTCGACAAACGCGACGGGGCTCACGCCCGAGTCCAAGAGCGTGCTCATCGGCAAATCCATGACGCCCGACGGAAGACCTAGTACGCCGTCGGCCCAGCACAAGGCCGGTATCATCTGCAAATTCTACCTATCTACCGGACAGTGCCTCCGGGCGGACTGTCGATTTAGCCACGATCTCAGCAATCACATTTGCAAGTGGGTACACACATTGCCGTCACTCGGGACGCTGCACATGCTGATCTGTTTTCACCCCTTAGGTACTGGGTCATGGGCAACTGCTTGGCTGGTGATACGTGCATCTTCTCTCACGACCCAGCTCACCTCATGAACAGGCTCAACGTGGAAGGCAGCAGCACTCCGCCTCCGAAGAACCAGAATTTGCAGGTCCAGGATTTCAGCTCGTTTCCATCGCTCCGGCCAGGAACCCCGGAGCTCAACCCCTACGCTGCTAGCTTCAACTACCCGGCCGCCGGGGTCACTCCTCCGCCTGGGCTGAAGCCCGCGCACGGCTACGCCGGCAGCGAAGCCTCTCACCCGCGATCGCGGCCCGGGAGTCGGCACCAGGCCAAAGAGGGCCTGAGTGCCCCGTCGATGGATGATAACGACGCATTTCCTTCCCTCGGGTCCGCTTCCGCCAAGCCTAGTAAGAAGCATCACGGCAAGCGTGGCGGCCACGGCCACGGCCACAAAGAGAATTTCACGCCAAGCTCTCTAGCAGACATCGTAAAGATGTCGCCTTCGCCCGGACCCGCATCCAGCCGACAGGACGCAAAGAAGGTCGGTCGCAACGGCACTACTACCAGCGTGAAGAATGGGGAAAATAGCGTTGCTGCGCAGGCTATCCCTACGCCCAAGCACATTCCATGGCTGGAGACGGGAGACAGAGTCAACAAGGCTTACCTCAAGGCCCGTCAGGAGGCGATCAAACACGGCGGCCTGCGTAACAAGTTCCTCCAGAGGTTCGTTAGCCCTTGGGTACCCTCTCCGGCGAAGATGCTTTCGATGCTAACACGGTGCTAGCGCGGCCCAAGCGTGGAACCGCAACGATGCGCGAGCGGCGAAGGCGCTGAGCCTTAGGGGGCAAAGCGAGAATGATCTTATGCGAAAAGCCCATCGCGAGGCGGCGCGCGAGCTTTACGAAGAGCGCAACAAGACTGGCGCGGCCGGGTGGGAAATTTACGTGGATCTACACGGCTTGCACCCGGAAGAGGCGGTAGAGTATCTAGAGAGGGTCCTCCTGGACAACAGCAAGGAGGTCAAACCGGTATATGCGATTACGGGGACCGGCCACCACAGCAAGTACGGCAAAGATAAAGTGGGCAAGGCGATCAGGAACTTCCTCAACGAGTGGAGATACGCGTATCGCGAGTTCTCAGTGCCGGGGGATCGAAACAACATGGGGGGCATCCTGGGGATCGACGCGCGAAGCTGGGACAAGTCGCTGGCTCGGGACGGCTCGAAGGAGAAGGAGGAGGATGCCAAGGAGGAGGACGATATCCTCAGCCAGGGGGTTGAGATCGGCGACGGCAAGGTTAGGCTCCTCGTCCGAGAGCCTGCGCCTCCCAAGGGACCGAGCGGGAGCAGAGGCCGATGACAGACGGCCAACAGGTCAAGTCTACGAATAAAAAGCCAGTGCCAGTAGTTACTCTCTCCGAACAAAGGCGGCTGCGGTAGGGGGGGGTGTGGCGGTAGCTGTAGGCGGGTGTGATGTGATTCGAGTGGATGATGCTGCTCTCTGCCTTGCTTTCGGGTCTGGCTGCCTTCTTTTGCCTTGTTTTGCCTGTGTTGCCTGTTTTGCCGGTGTAGGGCGAGTACGTACTATCGAACCCACCACGGATAAGCCATGTAGTATATCTAGTAGTAGGTATCTCACTACCTTTGTAGGGGTGTGGTGCAACCAATGCTACGCTTTGGGGGGGGGGGGGTTGAGGCTCACGAGCACACAGCAGAGGCCGTCTCCGATGTCGTCGTGTATGTGGACGGGAGGGGCACTAGATAGGGAGGTACCTTGGGTCGTTAGGCACCATATATTACCTACAATTACCAGAGGTACCTACACATAACCTACCTCTAATAGGCTTGATCCCTGTATGTATATATCTAGGTACACAGTACACTCCTCAGGCGGGTCCCGGTACGCTGGCCGGGTGGCGTAACTTGCCTCCACCTAACGTAGTATGTACCTACGTGGAACCTTTGTGCAGGCAGCCGGGGAGGGACTAGAGTTTCACATCTACCTACGGATATGTGGATGCATATGCGGACGCCTATACAGGACAGACGTAGAGCATACATGCCATACATGGATAAAGGACCTATTCCAGTTGTTGCTTATTCGCACCGGGGGGAGGGAGTGTGTGGCTGTGTAGGTACCTATATAGCGCACATATTAGGTAGTAGGCCAAGGTGTAGTAGTACCTACCTAATCTATGGCAGGTAGGTACTCAGGTACCTAGATATTCTATACTAGGTAGGTACCTCGCAAGCTCTAAAAGGGCTGACTGGCAGGCGGGATGCTACGTAGACTGACATAATAATATCCCGCCTTTCCATTGGTGCCTTTTTTTAAGCTGGTAGGGCGGGGATCGGCTCCCTTCCCCATGCTCACTGCTGTCCTGTCAGCAGGATTCCATGGCAACGAGGAGGCCCATTCCTGCGTCGAATGTATCGAACTGCCCGAAGCACATTTGGAACCGTGTGCTCGCGCCATGGGAGGCATCGTTGCCGTTGCAGGGGATCCCAAGTAAGTACTGCTGTTACGCAGGACACGGTCGGCACGGGCAGGGAGACGATGTAGCGGGTACGGCGTCGGCGCATGGCCTCGGGGCTGCTGGCCTCAGGATTGCCAGGTACCTACGGCAATACAATCGACAGGTACCTGCCTACGTATGCTGTATGCTGATGCAACGCATGAGGGTTACTAATGCTCTCTCCCTCTCCCTCCCGTCCTCCATCGTCCCCGTCGTGTCGTTTCTATCCTTCGCCCAACTCGCTAATTAGCTGAGATCCGTCAGATCCTGCCTACCACCCTCCTACAGCATCCTCGCCCTCGCCCACTTGTTTCGACATGGCTAGGTAAGGTTGGCCAGAATGAGCTCTTACCCGCCGTACCTGTCTATCTGCTTGCCGACTACCTACCCACCTACCTACCTATATCTTGCTTTACTTCTAGAGACCACTTGATCCGGATAGTGTCGTGTCCGGCAGACAGCGGCCCTGTCTCGATCTCTACTGAGGACCCTCAAACCCGCACGCGGGCCTTGCTGTAGCGCTTGCCGTCAACATGCCCGAGGACAGGCCGTCTGAAGCCCGAGCGCCCGCGCTGTCCGCCTCACCTCCCTTATCACCCCCCTCGTTATCCCCCTCTCCGACACCTCCGATTCTCTTCCCATCCGAAGACGACGTTCCCGTGCCCCCGTGGGTGCGTCAAGGCCCGCAGAGATCCTCGTCCGGCGCGAATGCCCGTCGGCTCTCGACGCCCTACTCCCGCTCCGCCGCCAACGATGACCCCGGCCGCGCCCCCCTCGGCCGCCGCATCCTACACGCGGTCACGTCCTACGTGAACAAGGCGACCGAACTATTCTACAGCCTCACCCTGACGAAGCGCGTCCTCCTCATCCTCGCCTACCTCGTCGTCAACGTCCTGCTCGTGCTCTTCCTCGTCTACTCGCACCGCATCTTCGCCGCCCTCGAACCCGTCGCCGCCGGCTGGCGCGCCCTCCCGGCCGGCTGGATCCTCGTCTTCCTCATCACCTGCGCCTCGGCCTTCCCGCCCATGATCGGCTACAGCACCTGCGTCACCGTCGCCGGCTTCGTCTACGGCTTCCCCGGCGGCTGGCCCATCGTCGCGTCCGCCACCGTCGTCGGGTCGGGCGCCGCCTTCCTCGCGAGCCGCACCGTCTTCAGCCGGTACGTGCACTCGCTCGTCGGCGGCGACAAGCGGTTCGTGGCGCTGGGCCAGGTGCTGCGCCGCGACGGCATCCTCGTCCTCGCCGCGATCCGGTTCTGCCCGCTGCCCTTCAGCCTGAGCAACGGCTTCCTGGCCACGATCCCGAGCATCTCGCCGGCGCGGTTCGCGCTCGCGACGGCGCTCGCGACGCCGAAGCTGCTCGTGCACGTCTTCATCGGCAGCCGCCTCGCGCTGCTGGCCGAGAGCGGCGACGCCATGTCGGTCGGCGACCGCGCCGTCAACTACCTCAGCATGCTGCTCGGGTCCGCGCTCGGCATGGCGCTGGGGCTGCTCATCTACCGCCGCACGATGGCGCGGGCCAAGGAGCTCGCGCGCGAGGAGGCGGCCGCCGCGAGCGGCGACGAGTTCGCCGAGCTCGACGGGGACGGCGCCGACGCTGCCGGCGAGTACGGCGATCTCGAGGAGGGCCTGGCGCGGCGGAACGGCGCGAGCGGCGGCGGCGGCAGCGGCGGCGGCGCGAGGACCAGGAGGAGGGGCGAGGCCGACGAGGCCGCGCTCATGGACGACGACGACATCTCCCTCTGGGAGGCCGACGCGTTCTCGTACCGCGACGAGGACGAGGACGAGGACGAGGACCGCGAGGCGGAGGGGAGGCGGACGGCGGACGCTAACGATAGTGGTAGAGGGAGGGGAAGAAGAAATAGCAGAAACGGCCACGGCCCTTAAGGGCGCACGCGCGCAGGGGGAAAAAAAGAAAAAGAAAAAAAGGAAGCCCGTATGGAATAGAAAGAGGGGATGGATGGCAAGGGGCGATGACAGCCATCGAACAGCTCTTTTTTTTTTTTTTCTAATTTTGGAATCGGAAACTAGAAATCCCAGAGAACCGCATACCTACGATAAGAGGTTTTCTTGTTCTTGTTCGTCTCTCTTTCTTTTTCTTTCTTCCGGGTAAAGGTGCAAAAGAGGGACCTAGGGGGGGTATCGAAAGAGAGCAGAGGAGAACGGGAGGGAGGAAGGGGACGGAAAGGCGGGTTGCATTTTTTTTTTTTTGTTTATCTACACGCTGTATAGCAGGTCCGGTATCAAGGCAGGCAGGTCAGGTCAGGTCAATAGGCGTCTGGCGAAATTCCCTTTTCTTTTTTTCTTTCCCTCTGTAGAGAGAAGGGAGGGGAGAGGAGAGAGGCGGATGGACGGCCGCATGGGCGGGAATAAAGCAGTGCTCACTCGAAACGCGTTATTGTCACGTCTGCGCAGCTATGCGTATGGCTGTACGCACTCCGAGGGGGGGGCGTCCGGATGTTGCAGGTGTGCCAATAGATAGAGAGACAGCATGGATGCATTATGGATGCTATAAATTTCAATTCCTAAGTAACTATCAGAACCTGGGTATCTGGCCGGAACTCCCCTCCCCTGTGCCCCCTTGGGCGTAACAAAGATAGTCCGTGACCTGATGCTAAAGAACAAAACCAGCACAGAAACCCCCTTCCCATCCCAAAGTTATAACGTATCGTAGCGTGCCATTGCGTGGCGTCATTATAAATAAGTAGTCGTGCCGGTATCCCCCCCCCCGACTTGTCTCTATCCCCTCCAGCGAGCCCCCGCGTCACTGTTGGCCCCGGAGGCTTTGCATGAGGCGAATGGCGTCCTCGATGGGATACCCGATGAAGACGGGGCCAGTGAAGAGCATCTGCGGCTGGGGCTCCTGTTTGCGGTTACGCTCGCGCTCGCGCTCAAGCTCGGGTACGTTGATGAAGGCGGGCTGGGTGTGGGTTTGCTGAAACGAGGGGGGGTTTACGGCTGTGCGCGCCGGCTCGGGCGGTGCGGGGATGGAGGGCTGGCTGCTCGCCGCGGCCACCGGGACGTCGCCGAGCCTCACCGAGGAGGCGCCCTTGTCTTCGCGCTTGGTCGAGGCCGCGCCACCCACCGCCTTCGGCGTCGGCGTCGTCAATTTCGTGTGGTCGAAGGGGCACTTGCCCATTCTCTTCGCCGGCGTCTCCGCTCGGGACGATGGCAGCAACGAAGGGATAGGGACGGGCGCGGGCGGCGGGGACTCGGGCCGGCCTAGGCCGTTCGCGCCCGGCGGCGTGTCGAAGATGGGCACCGAGATGCCCCAGGGCCGGCTCGGAGACTCGCCCACCCGCACCTCCTTGAGCGGGCGGTCGAAGTGGCTCTGCCGCTCCATGTCATCTCCGTCGTGCTCGGGGGTGGCGCGTTCCGGGTCCTCCGTAGCCGAGGCGCTGACGGTCTGCGCCCAGGTCTCGACCCGCTCGTTGGGGGTTCTCTCGACCTCGCTCTGGGGCCGCGTGTCCTGGTCGGGCAGCATGGGTTGGTGGATTCGGCTGAGTCCCTCGACCATGCTGGCGAGATTGCCGTACTTGGCGTCGAGTTTCTTGATATGCTCTTCGTTCTTCTGATATCTCCTCACGCAGACCTCGTGGCTTCTCGGCAGCTCGTGTTTGTGCGTCTCCAAGTAGTGCGCGATCTCTTCGGGGGAGTGCTGGTCTAGGTAGCGGATGGGACACTTGGTGGCGGCGCCTTGCGAGTGCGTGTCGTCGTACATGGCGGCGCAGATCGGGTCCTGGGCGTCGTGTGTTGCCGTAGGTGGCCCAGTGTGACGAGAACCGGGCTGCTTCCCTTTCGCGTCGGCTTGAGAGAAGGGGCAATCCAGCTTGCCCTTCTTCCCGGCGACGGTGAAGTCCTGCTCGAGAATGGTGGAGAGGGTGGTCATGGTGGTAGGAGGGAAGCTGTCCCGGCTGGACCGGCTGCTCTTGCTGGTGGCTGTGAGGGAGGAAGCGACACGTCTACCCTCCCTGATGATGATGGCGATCTGATGCTTCGAGTCGGAGGCCTTGCGCTTGGGAAGGGGGACGAAACTGGTGTTGGCCAGCGACGGGTTGTGCAATTCCGGGGGGACCTGGAGGTTCAACAAAGTCTCGGATATCTCCGGTGCGGCTGGTGCATACTTGTCGGCGAGATATTGGAACTAGCGGGACGAAGAACAAGGAACGATGAGGTTAGCAGGCCGTTCTATCTCGTAGAGGTTCTGATTTGTAATCAGGGTGTATGGGGGGGTATTTCCCGCAATATCAGAGGTTGTAGGTGTTTTCAATCAGGGTTGCCACGAGGCAGCTCTTGATCTAGAGCTAATAGTATCTCATCATATGAGATGCGCAGGAGGGAGAGGGAAAGGCGGGGGGGATTGGAGGCATACCTGCTCGTGAGCGTATCGGAGCTTGTGCTCTAAGACGGTCTGTCTATCGCTCAGATTCTGGACTTCATCAGCCAGAGCGTTGAAGGACTCTACTAAGGTCTGGGTGAGGTTCTGGCAATTCATCTCCTGGGCCGAGCTCTTCTTCTCCGGAGTGGTGGGCAGGGAAGTGGAAGTCGACATGGGCAGATGGTGGGAGGAGGAAAATTGACGCGTCGAGGCAGAAAAATGGTGCGAAAAGTGGTGTTGGCGAGGGAGGGAAGAAGCTGGCCGGGGTCGGTGCGGACCGACGGGCTGGTAACCGCCGATTCTTTGCCTGGTCAGAGGGAGGCGGGTCCCCCCCTTACTGCGGTAACCAATGTGATAAGGCCTCCTTTCTTTTATTTAACAGGTACCTAGGTACGTAATGCTTATAGATTATCTACAGAGTTATGGACGCTGCCTTCAGTTTTTCCGTAGGCACCTTGCAGTTCACCCAGATACATTTTACTGCACACCTACCCAGGTACCTATACCTACAATACCTCTAGCCAGGTTCCTCTTACTAGAGGTACCTACCTAGGTACCTACCTGTACCCGCCCAACATATCACCCAGTCCCTCTTGCCCATCGCCGCCTTACCTGTCACCTCACCTTACGGCAGCCATGATCCCAATTCACATGCACTAGGTCGGTAGGTACATATACAATTCAAATGATGTCTGTAGGTACATTGCCTTAGATACATCTATCTATTAGGTACCTAGGTACCTAACCCTGCCCGGCCCTGCCCAGCCCTGCCCAACCTCACCTCCTCCCTGTATGAGTACACCTACCTACTCTATATGCCTAACTCCACCCCCTTCATCCATCTTGCACATATCTGCCTATACCAGGGATAGGATAGGATAGGATACGCATCCATGTATGTGTGTGCTCGGCTTCTCCCCCGCTTCAGCCACTATTCTACTCCATTACTTGCCAACAGGTTGTTGCTAAGCAAGCGCACACTTGCTACCTACAAGACAGCCATGGCCCCGGTCATCGCCCGGCCCATCTCCGAGAGCAAGCCGTATCTCGTCCCAGGTGAGTCCGCCGCTATAGCCAGCTCCTTAGCCCCGGGCCTTAGCCCTCACATCAACTAAAGATGTGATGGGCTAGGAAAGCTGCTTGTGAAGGAGCTCTGGTTCGAAGTCCCCTTGGATCACTCCGATCCCAGCTCAAAGCCCGTCAGACTATTTGCAAGAAGTGCCGTCAAGTACAAGAAGCCCATTGTTGAGTCGTCGCCCCCCGAGGCTGCCCAGCGGCCCTACCTCGTCTTCCTCCAGGGCGGTCCTGGCTTTGGCTGCCCTGCGCCCCAAGACTCTACCCTGTCCAAGTACATGCTCGAGAGGGGTTATGAGCTGCTGTTTCTGGACCAGCGGGGTACTGGCCTCAGCACCCCCGTCTCTGCCGACACGCTGGGGCTCGTCGGCGGCCCCGGGGATCAGGCCGACTACCTCAAGTTCTTCCGGGCCGACACGATCGTCAAAGACGCCGAGGCTGTGCGCCTCTGCCTCACCAAGGACTATCCGCCCGAGAAGAAGAAATGGTCCACCTTCGGCCAGTCCTTCGGCGGCATGACGACGCTGACATACCTATCATTCGCGCCCGAGGGCCTACGCGAGTGCTTCATCACCGGCGGGCTTGCCCCTCTGGACAAGGGACCGGCCGAAGTGTACCAGGTCACCTATCAGAGATGCAAGGAGCGGAACGAGGCCTACTACAAGAAGTTCCCCGACGACGTCGCCACGGTAAAATGGATCGCAGGGAAGATCATCGAGCTCGGCGGCGCCAAGGGGATACCGCTTCCCGCCGGTGGCTTCCTGACAGTCCAGAGGCTGATGACCATCGGCCTTAACCTCGGTAAGCACGGCGGCATCGACCAGGTCCACAACTACATCCTCCGCATGAAGGCAGATCTCGACCAGTTCGGCCTCCTCACCCGTTGGACCCTGAATGAGCTGGAGCAGGATGGGTCTTGGGACGTTGCTCCTATATATACGCTTCTCCATGAGCCCTGCTGGTGCTTCGGCCCGGGCGTCGCCGGCAACTGGGCTGCCGAGAGGATCGGCAAGGACATAGACGGGTACCAGTGGCTGCGCCGAGACTGGGCCGGCCCCGCGAGCCTGCGCGACGACGACCCTCTGTACTTCTCCGGCGAGATGATCTACCCCTCGCTCTTCGAGACGTGTCCCGAGCTCGCGCGGCTTCGCGAGACGGCCGACCTGCTCGCCCGTTTCGACGAGTGGCCACCCCTTTACGACGTGGCGCAGCTGGCCAGGAACGAAGTCCCCGTGTACGCGGCGAGCTACAACGACATGTACGTCGACTCCAACCTGGCCCGCGCCACCGCCTCCCGCATCAGAGGCATCAAGGTGTTCGAGACGAATGTCCTCTACCACAACGCCCTCCGCTCCAAGCCCGAGGATGTGATCCCGCAACTGCTCAAGCTGCGCGACGACACGATCGACTAGAGAATAAAAAGCAGTATAGGTAGTACTATCAAGATACTAAATAATATTTGTTTTGCCGAGCACGGAGATGGGGAGCTTCCCGCTGCTCGTAAAGTATGAGAAGAGAGGGCCCAGATTCGAGTCACGTTGTCTTATCTCGTTGACTGAGTGGTTGTTGGATCGCCCACAAATTTATAGCTTTACCTGCTCGTTGTAAACACACCCAAAAATGAGGAATCTAATGATACAATGAAAAACCAAGAGCTAGACCTCGAAAACTAGCGTAAAGAAATGTGTAATCCACCGCATTGCCCTCTTCTCAGATAGACCGCGATGCCGACCGCAGTCGCCCGGCATCCTATCTTCCCCAGCGCGTCCCGGAACCCGAGGACAGGCCCTTGCCGGCTGCTCAAACTATCCCCCTCGCTGCAGGCCCGTCCGCTAGCTCTAGCTCCTCGCTGCAAGCAAGCCGCCTTCTGATACGTAAAATTATGGTCCATTGGCTTACTCGGTTGTTCAGAAGTCGGCTCGCCTCCACTGGTGTCTGCGCAGGGGGTGCGCGGGGCGCAGGTCGTTGTAGTGGAAGCCCGGGGGGGGTATGGGGGCGGAATGGGGCGGGAGGACGGAGCGCTCCATGGCGGGGAGCATGTCTGCGGGGGCGAAGGCGGGGGGGGCGCCGGGGGCGAGGCCGACGCCGGGGGCGGCTCCGGGGGCGAAGGCGGCGGGGGGGCCGGCGGCGGCGATGCCGTGGTAGTCCTCCTCGCGGCGGGCGAGGGTCTCGCGGAACATGAGGGCGGAGACCTCGGGGTGGGCGTGGAAGAAGGCGGCGGTGGCGTCGGGGGCGCGGCGCCACAGCCGCGGGCTGAGGAAGCCGACGCGCGCGAACACCATGCGCAGCAGCGCGTCCGCCTCCGGCAGCCCCTGGTACAGCTTCCGGCACAGCCGCAGCACCTCCACCTCCGCCGCGTCCGCCCCCGCCGCCTCCAGCATGTCGATGCACGCCCGCGCCACCGCCCGCTTGAAGTCGTCCAGCAGGAACTTGTTCGCGCAGATGTACACGTCCAGGTTCAGCTCGTACGCCAGCAGCCACGTCCGCAGGTCCTGCGCGCTCTGGATGCGCTCCCGCGCGCCGCCGCCCTCGGCTCCGGCCCCGCCTCCTCCTCCTCCTGCTCCTGCTCCCCCCTCGTCGTTGCTCTCGTTGTCCACTCTCTCCAGCGCAGGCATCGACGTCTGGCGGTGGCGGTTGTGCGGCGGCTGCTGCTGGGTCCGGTGTCGCCGGGGCCGCGGCCGCGGCGTCGCGTTGACGACGACGACGCCGCCGCCGAGTTGCATGTGATGCACGGACGTCAGGCCCGGCGGCTGCGGCGGGATGCGCGGCGCGGCGCAGTTCCAGCACGGCGGGCCGCCCCGCGTCAGGCACTGCCGGCACGCGCACCCGAGCCGGTGCATGCCCGGGTGCTTCCGCCGCAGGCGCTCCCAGTGGCGGGTCTCGCGGCGGCGCCTCCTGTCGCGGCGCCGCTGGCTCCGCGCCGTGCTGGAGTCGCTCGGCAGGCTCGCGCTCGACTCCGAGTCGGAACCGCCCCCAAACTGCTGCTGCTGCTGGTCATCTTCTGCTGCCGCCGATATTCCCGAGGCCGCCCAGCGGGCGTTTTCCTGCTCGTCGTCCGGCCCTAGCAGATCTCGCTGTCAGATAAAACGCACCCACTCATCTCCACGGCACCTGATTGATCGGTTTACCAGGCGCGGGTATGTTTGAGAAGAAAGGGGGGTGGGGGTGGGGGTGGGGGTAAATCTTTTTCTCGTACTCAGCACTGTTGCGGCCGCCCTGATGGGGACGTATTTGTTCTCGTAAAGGAAGGCGACGATGAAGTGAAATATCGCCGGATCCTCCTCGGGTAGGTCGATCGCTTGGGCGTCCGACTCGCGGAATCCGCCGCAGAGGGCCTTCCTGAAGAACTCGGCTTTGAGGAGGACGCTCTTATGCACCTGGTGCGGAATCATCTCTTTTTAGCGTCTACGAGCATCTTTTTCTTCTTTTACATGTCTATATATGTACATATGGAGTGCTTGAAAGAGGGGAGGAGGCGTAACTAACGTAAAAGGTCTGGCAGTCGGGAGCCGTGCCGACGCGAAGGGGAATGATCGGAGAGTTGTATCGTCTGCGGGCTGCGTCTTAGCTAGGCTCACACTCCCGGGGAGGCACTCCTGGGGGGAGGGTCGACGCGAACGCAGGGGGGGAGACGATAACAAGAGTCGAGAGACGCTAGCTAATTGATGTGGAGAGACTATTAAGTTGATCTTATTCGTGTCAAGAGAGAGAGAGAGAGAGAGAGATAAAGAGAGAGAGTACAAGAGGAACAGGGGCGCTTATGCATTTGTTTAAAGAGTCTGTCATTGCGTGGATGTGCCTTCGTGTCAAGGGTGAGGTGGGTGTATAGGTTGTCTAATAAGAGAGAGAGAGAGAGACCGATTGGAACGTAGCGAGGAGGAGGGGGGATCCCCCGCAGGGCACGGAGTCTGATCCGAAGCCGACCAGACCGGCCGAATTCTGGCCACTTACCCGTCGACCGACGACAGCCACAGGTCCTCCCTCGGGTCGAGGGCCTCACCGACGTCTCCTTCGCAGTCCACCGAGTCGAGCACGACGACGTCTGGGGTCCGCGTCGATGGCGCCCTCATGACGTCGCCAAGCGTCGCCGCCGTCGTCGCCGTCGTTCCCGGCCGAGTGCTAGAGCCCTCGGAGCCGTTATCCGCCCTACTCGCGCTTGTCGAAACCATGGCGGCCGGACGAAGAGGGAGGGGGTGTGTCCTTGCTGGCGCCTCCTCCTCTAGTCAGGCGGGGCCGAAGGGCGTCGGTCGTACCCAGGGGGAGGGGGGATGAGGTAGGTGGGCGTCTCGAAAGCCAATGTGGCTCTTGGACCTTTGGCTAATACTACTGACTAGGCGGATGGATAGACGGGCAGACAGGCAGGGAGACAGATAGACGGGTTTGCGGGCGGGGCGGGGAGGGAAAGGGAGGAAGGATATGTGGGATTATGATGGCAGTGATTACGATGACTGCCGGGAAGAGATGAAAAGAGAGAATTAAAATATAAAAATAAAAAAGGAATTTGAGGCAAAACCACCTGGAAAAGACAAGCCGGACAGCCGACGGCTTTGTGTTTCCCTTCGTGGGCGCACAGGATGGCTGGTCATTATCGACATGGAGGGTGGACAGGCAGACAGGCAGCCTAGATAGCGCCAGTCGTGGCGGGAAAGGAAAAAGGCGGCCGGTGATACCTGGAGGCGTATGTAGCGCCAGAAAGGGGGAGGGGGGGAGCGTTGGATATGGCGTTCGCTCCAGAACAGGGTTGGCCTGCAGCGGAACAGCCGATGATAGGACGGGCGTGGCTGCGTGTGAGACGGGGTCGACCGAGGCGATAGGCTCGCGGGCGAAGGCCACCCATGCAGGACTTCCCAGCATCGAAGATCTCATGACGCCTCTCTCTCCCCTCCTCCGCCCAGCCCAAGAGTCGAAATAGAGAGAGAGAGAGAGAGGGGGAGGGAGGGAGAGGGAGGGAGGGGACGAGAAAAAAAAAACCGACTTGTCTCGGAGGCCACGCCACGGCGGATGACAGCGCTAGCTCTACTGTTCTTCGATATCAGGGTGCCGTCCCGTCGCCCAAAAGGGGAATAACACATACACACGCACGCACGCACGCAAATACCGACATACACACACATGCGCGCGTGCACGCACCTGTCCCCAAGACCAGGCGGCAGCTCTCGATGTCCCCCCCCTCCCTCTCTTTACCTCCTGCCCAGAGGTTGGGACCAGTGCGTGGGAGTAGGGTTGCATGGGCACGCATCGGGATCACACACCACACACCACACACGTTGGCAATCTGTACAAGCCACACGAAAGAGGGGCGGCGGGCGTTGGCGGGAAACGCAAGGACTGTTGGGGTAAAGGCGCAGGCGGTGCCTATTCCTCGTAGAGCTGCTGCTGCATCTCGATTTCTGCCATGGCTTGTTAGCTGCGCGAGTTGCTGCTGCTGCGCTGCCGCGGGCGCGGAGAGAGGGGTCATGCGCCTACGCCACAGCCGGTTCGCTGAATCGGCGATCACCTTCGCCTTGGCCAACAGTTTCTCCTCGTACTTGTCCTCGTCCTCGGCCTTGAGCCGCACCTTGCTCGGTTGCGCCTATTTAACAATGCCACCGTGGTCAGTCCGCTATACTCGCATTCTCGCGCGTGGCCAGGTCGGGGACGGGATGGGATGGGATGGGCCCTGTCGCCGTCTCTCTCCTCTCCCTCCCTCTCTCTCCCTCTCCCCCCCTCTCTCTCGCTCCACGAACCTGCATAAGAACCGGTACGAGCTCTCTGGGATCCGCGTTCGCCACGGCGGCCACCGTCTTGAACCCGTTGTCGTAGAAGACCCGCGCCGTCCGGCTCTTGACGAACGTGATCTTGGCCAGCGCCAGGAGGTCCGACTTGGCCCCTGCGTTCAGCCTGTCCGAGAAGTGGTCGAGGATAGCCGCCATCGCCCTGGTGGTGGTGAGCATCAGTCTCAAGCCGAGACATGGCGCCGCGCCATCGGTTCCGATACGTGTGTGTGTGCACTTACCCCCAATTCATCTTTTCGCAGAATTTCATCACTAAATTATACTATAGTTAGCACGCACAAACGTGCGGCTTACTGGAGGCCGCGAGGACGGCCCAGCCGTGAAACGTCTGTTTAGTCTGGGCATATATGTCCCCCAAGTAAGGCTTCTAGGGGGGGGCCAATTCTAAGGGAATGATATGGAACCACTTACTTCCCGCAGCGAACCCCTGGCACGTCTGTGCGAGGGTCTGCACGGCACCCCGTGGTGTGTCATACTTCCGAGAGACCAGGTGAATGGGCATCTCGTTACAAAGGTCCCTCAGCTGCAGAGCCAGGTAGAATCTGTGATAGATCCGCGCAGTCTCTTTCTCTTCGGGCGTCGTCTCCTTGAGGCTCCCGCCTTGCGCCCTGCCCTATGTTAGTCCACACGCCCCTCTCTCTCTCTTTTTTTTTTTTTTTTTTTGGTCTCGTGGTAAAAATAGAAGTTGTCGCGTACATCGTGTTTACTTGTGTCGGTTTTAGGCCAAGGAAGATCATGACGCGCAGTCCGCTATCGTCTAGGTTCTCCATTTCGGATCTAAATACTCGCCAGTTTATGGTGAGGGATAAGTTGTGTATCGGCGTGAACATGTACAGGACATCTGCGGTAAGATTTTCTTTTTCATAAGTAACAGGGCTACGGGTTGGGCAAGCCGACTGCAAAGGCCGGGTTCTCGCGGGAGGCTGCTTACGCATCTCTCCATCCATCACAAAAGCGCGCAGCGCACGTTGCATCTCGCGATGGACGAACGCGCCGTCCTCGGGCTCTAGTGCCGACGCAACGACCGCCTGGCCCAGCTTCGTTGCGGTATACGAATACCCAGAGTCGTCGGACTGGACAAATCCCATGTCGACGAGGTCCTGCAGACCGCCTTCCACCCGGGCATGCACGGTGTCAGGCGACGCAGATAGGCTGAGCAGCGTCTTCTGGATGTAATCCTGGATGGAATCCCTCGAGTTCGCCAGCCGGATGGCGATTATCTCGAGCAGCGCTCGCTGGATGCGATGCCTCTCCGTCGTCAGGCCGCTCGAGATCTCGGGCAGTTCCGCGCGCATCAGCGCGATTACGTCTTCTAGGTCGGTCCCGCGGCAGCATAGATACGTCTCGCCCACCTCGTCTTTCCCTTTCCTCCCCGCGCGGCCGCGCATCTGGCGAAGCATCGAGGGCCCGACCAGCTCGCGGCCCATGCGCGCATTGTGGAGAATAACGCGCCGCGCAGGGAGGTTGACGCCGGCGGCTAGACTACAGGTCGCGACCAGGACTTTCAGCGCGCCGCTGTCGTACGCGTCGGCTACCATGTCGCGCTCCTCTGTAGTCAGACCGGCGTGGTGAAAGGCAACGCCGGAAGCGACCGTTTCGGCTAGAGTCGGATCCAGCCCCGTGCTAAGGCTGCGCAGACCCGCTAGGAGATCCAGCCTCTTCTCGAGGGCGGCCGGGTCGTCCGATGAAGCATCGCGTAGAACGCGGGCAATAAGCCGCGCGTCGGATTCGCACCCCTCTGATTGCATGTGTTAGTATATGTCACGACGAAACTGGCTCTTCCGCGAGGACAGGCTCATTCGCTCAGGGTGAAAGAGCTACAGTAGAATGATGAAATAAAGGAACATTTGACATACTATAGACTTGTGTTAGCGCATACGTGAAAGATATAGAACCAACGGGGAAAGGGCATTCTCAACTGCCAACTGACCGCCGACTACTACAGAATACGAGAGCGCCGTAGCCTTCTCTGGCCGTCTCCGCCGCCAGCGCAACAACGGCATTTAGCACGGGATCCTGGAATTCCTTGTGCGCGCTAGGCTGCACCGTCCGAACAGCATGGCTCTGGAGCTGGCTCGCACCAGAGTCGGAAGCGAGCTGGCTGGCGGCCCTGAGGAGGCCGCTGGTCGACGACGCTGGGTAGATGCCGCTGTCGTGGACGAGGTACTCGTCGATAGGCACGGGCCGGTAGACGGTGCTATAGATGTGGGCGTCGAGCCAACGCGACAATATATCGATGTTCTGCCGCGAGTCGTCAGCTGACGGAGGCGAGGGGGGTGGGGAGAGGGTGAGAATTCGCAACGCGGGTCGCGCGCGCGTCTGCTTACCGACAAAGTTGCGCTCATGCCGACGATCTGGACGTCGTGCTCGAGGCTCAGCAGCTTCGTGGCGATGAGCTCCATGAGATAGCCGCGGTGGTCGTCGTCCACCATGTGCAGCTCGTCCAGCACGACGGCCCGCAGCTTCGTGACGGTGCAGTCGTCGATGGCGGTGTTAATGAGGGCGTTGGCCTGCGCGCCTGTTAGGACTACAGCGGGAGGGGGCGCGGCCAAGAGCATCCGCGTATATCTATCTATCTATCTGTCTATCTATCTATCTATCTATATATATATACGTACCTTCTCGAAAGTGCAGACTCCGATGTCGAAATCGGACCAAGTCGCCCTGATCTTGCCGCCGCCGAAGAAGCCGACAACCCGGACGCTGTCGGCGTCGGCACGTCGCCGCCAGAGCGACTCGCCACTGGCCGACGCGCCCGCGGCGGGCGGGCGCTTGATGCCCTGGACGACGTTGCGCAGCCAGCGCACCTTCTCCTGGACGAGGGCGACGTAGGGGAGCACGAGCAAGGCCTTGGCGTCGTGGTCGTGTAGGACGCGCTTGAGCATTAAGATGTCGGCGACGAGGGACTTGCCGCCGCCGGTGGGCGCGGTGTAGACGAGATTGCGCGTCCCAGCGAGCAGGCCCGGCCCCAGCAGGCACTGCTTCTGCCACGGGTACATCTCGCGGATGCCGAGCGCCCGCAGGTTGGCCACCAGCGCGTCCGGGAGCCCGTACCGCGGGAACGAGAGTAAGAGCGAGCGGTCGGCCGTCGCGGTAGGGGGGGGCGGCGCCGCCGGCCGCTGCGAGCGCTCTGGGAGCTGCGGCGCGGCCGCGGGGTCGACGACGGCGATAGCGCTAGCGCGGAGCTCCGGTGGGCCGCTCCTCAGGACCGAGGCCCGCTGGAACGGGGTCGCCTTCTTCGACGACGAGGCGTCCGGCTCGGCGTGGGGCCTCTTGCTGCCGGCGATGGTGGTCGTGTGGAATGTCTTCTGCGGTAGCGCGATAGAGTCGACCGTGGTCTGGTGCAAGACACCTCGGCGGGGATCCATGACGGGTGCTCGGTAAGGTGAGCGAGGGCGGCTGTAGCCACACGAGGGGGGTTCGCTCGGAGAGGCGCTAGTCCGCCGCACCTAGAACCAGCTCGCTAGCGGCAGGCAGTCGATATCTGCGAGACGTCTCTTCTCGCTCGCGAGTGCATTCGCAGCTACGGTGGCTCGGGGCGGAGCAAATCGATCAGGCAAACCCCACCGGTCCCATGACGACGCAGAACCTGCCTCCTCGACCGGCAGCGGGCAATGTAGACGTAGGGAGCGAGCACGGTAGAGCAAAGCCAGGGGGGGGTTCGCGGGGAGAGGGGAGGGGAAGGGGGGGGGTTTCGAGATGGCGGTGTCGAGGCACGAAAGCAACACCAACTCACGTGGGCCCGGGACGGCTGTTTTTTTCTTCACAGGCCCTTGCATATGCCAAGTTGCAGATGGAGGATCAATTGACCAAATCGAAGGCGGGCAGCTCCCAGAGCATCGGGAATTTGGCGGCTAGGCTCCGATGCCCCGACGACGCCCCACAGCCGAGTACGCAGGTACCTGCTAGCCCGAGGGGGAGGTACCCAGGTACCGGCGACAAGAGTGCGACGCCGACGGGTGGAAGGCGAACCGCCCGCCGGCCAGTGGTCGATTCTGTACCGCACGCAGGTATCGCGCAATCCGCCATCGCTGCCGTGGTCGTGCAGGGGTGCGCAGGGCCACGAGTACCGTAGGTACCTACCAGGTACCTGCCTACCTGTGAGTAGGTACCTTGGGAGGTAGGTACTTGCAGATCAGTAGGTTACTTAACGAAGGATACCTAGGCTCGACCCCTAACAGCGCTACTTGGTAGTCTTCGTTGTTTAGCTCGTCTCTTACCTCTCACCTCCGGGTATAGGTACCTGTCTGGGTACCTACCTAGGTACCTCTAGGCGTCAAGGACTTGGGCAGGTTGCTCGTAGCCTGCCTCCTGACAATTGGGAGGCGCCACGAGGCCTTGGTCCGGCTGGTGGTGGAGGCCCGTGCCGATTGGCGGGCTGTGACGGGCTGCATGCTTCAACAATCCCAGTGAGGTACCTAAGTACCTGACGCAGGTGTGGAGGCATATTAGGTACCCAGGTACCTGCCTGACCCTTGGTGGGACCGGGATGGCAAATTCATACCCGCTGCGTTGCGTTGCGTTGCGTTGTGTTGCGTTGCCAGCACCTGTAACAACGTGTTACTAGCCTCTTCGCCGTCGGTCACGCCGCCCTGTCGCCTCCGGCCAGTACAGAGAGGGGGCCGGGCAAAGGAGGAGATGCCAACGCGCTAGGTGGCGGACGCTATGCGCATACCTAAAACACAGCGATGACGCGCGACAACTGATGGAGGGAGGTACATACTTGTCTGTCTACGTTTGACTTCGTCCCCGTCCCAACAATGCGTCATCGCCGCCGGCCGGTCATTTGGCGTCGATTAGACTGGCCGCCTCTTCCCTCCCCTCCCCTTCCCTTCCCCTCCTCTAGAACTCTCCCGAACGCCAATCCGTCTTCTGTTCTGTTCGTAGTTGGTCGTTGCCGCACCTGACCCGTCCGACCGACCGACCGCCGGCCCGCCGCGACTTGCGTACAGAGTATCGATGCATACAGACGCAATCCGTACGCGTACACTCGGATGCACGTGCCTGGATGCGAACACACGCTTGAGCGCCACCTTCGCCTCGCCGCTTGTCGTGTGCGCACTGGACTCCTCGGTAGGCCGTCGTACGACGCGCTACTCTCCTTGTGGGAGGGGATGGATGACTCCCGTGATATTCCTGACGACCCGGCGGTGGTGACCAGGGCTCCTCCACTTACACCCGTAAAACGCCAAGTTGTTCCCTACCCAGCCGCCTCCCACTCTCTTCTTCCTTTTTCCCTTATTCTCTCGGCGAGGAGAGTACTCATAAGAGTTAAGAGTTAGAAAGAGTTCGCTGGGGCCAACTTCCGATCAGATGGCTGACGAGAGACGGGATGTCCAGTCTCGCGCCCTCTCTCGCCAAGCTTCTCCGGTACCCGGCTAACCAACAACCGCGTCGGTGTTGATTCAGCATCCTGCTCATCTTACCCCTTTCGGGTAGCAGGTAGCAGGTAGCAGGTAATAGCAGGTTAGCAGACACGATATCGAAACCCGAGCTTTCTTTTTTTTTCTTCTTTCTTCTTCGCACCCCCCTCCCAGCCAAGCTAGACCGTCTTCCGATATAGCGTACGCATGGGCATAATGCCATCCCAGCCTGACGGTTATTACGACTGCCTTCCCCAGGCCGAATTGCCTCGCGGCCGACTGGGACTTCTCGCCATTTCCCGTTGGCGTAACCTACAGGTAGTTGGAGGAGGCTAAATGAACATGGCACCGCACATGAGGGTCAGACCCCTTAAAGGCCCTGAGTAAAAGGGCTAGTCTGGTTCCGGTCCTGTTTTCAGTCTCGACACAGGTGCAACGTCGTCGGCGCAAGTCTGCGCAGAACACACACAATTCGAGAAGCCGGGGGTGGGTGACGGTATCGACAAGCATCGTCTCCCCGTCTCGGCGATGGAAGTTCGTTCTGTCGCCGTGGTTAGGATTTGGGGGCTTGTCGGAGCTGATGAGAGAGGGACGCCAGCGAGCGACCTCGATGGGAGCGAATTCACCTGGCCATACCGATCCGGCCAGATTCCCGGGCTCGGTTGTCTCGTGTGTCTCGTACATACATATACATAGTATTGACACAGCGGTGACGGTTGCGATCCCTGCTGGACATGATCTGGTTGGGCGGTTGGGATCGCGAGGTGGGGGCGTTTTACTCGATGCCTGTGCCGGTACCACTGGGTTTGCCTGCCTACCTGGGTTTGCCTAGGTTTGCCAGGGCGCGCCAGGGCGCCTGGCGTCTGGATCTACGAGTGTGTACATGTCTACGTTGTGTACGTACAGTCGGTACATAGGTACAGGCAGATGTGGCTTCTCGAAGCTCGAGATCGACCCCCCCCCTCTCCTCATCTCCGTCAACCCCCCTCGATCATACACTTTGTGTAGAACGGGGGGTAACTCGCTATTCACCTCCCCGTCCGCCTGCCTCGATCACGCCAGCATGCATCGATGACTACCCACTTACCTAGGTAGGTATGTATGTATCGGTATACGTATCGACGTGCTATAGACCTCTCTGTATGTTTATATGAATGCAGGCGGGGGGGTGCGCCTCCTATCTAACCGCATGCCTGTCACATGCCATGCATGTATGTATATAAACAACATGAGTGGATGGATGTGTGGGCGGATGGATGGAGAGGCGGGTGGGCGAGCGGGCGAGTGGGTGGATAGAGATGGGACGGAGAGAGAGGGTGGGGAGGGAAGATGAAGGACAGGAGACGCCAAAAATGGGAAAGCTAGTGGGAGAGGCGAGAGAAAGAGAGAGAGAGAAGAAGAGAGACAGAGAGGGACAGAGACAGAGTGGAAGGGAGGAGGGAATGCACAGCGAGGCCAACCGGCCCGCGTTGTCAATCGCAGATGGGCGTGGTCTTGACTCGCGGGCAATCTTGGCCAGATCCCCACCCAGCCAGGTGCGACAAGTGACGGGAATGCTGCCTGTCATACGCTGCGCAGTCGCCCCGATGAGGCGAGCTCGAGGTTTCGGGACGCGCGGTAAACGGGTAGCCATCGTGACAAGGCCAGCGAGGAGGACCCCGGTATAAGAGGCGAGCGAGCAGGAGAGGTAATCATGAGAGGAGAGGCATGTGTATACCGACCGACCTACTTTAGGAGATAGGTATCTATGTGTAAACTACCTCACCTACCTACCTGGGTAAGTACCGAAGTGCGGCATGTAGAGTGGCGTAGGTACCTGAGGTAGGGCAGGTAAGGGGTACTACCTACCTGCATATTACCTACAAAAAGGTTAGGTTCATAAGAGGCATAACACACCTTCTCCGGTAGCCACGCTTAGGTTACGAGGTACCTAGGTAGGTAGGTAGGTATGTACCCACGGCCGGCCACCTTCGACCATGACCTCCGGTGCGGGAAAGGCACGAAAGACCGACGGACAGCTACCAGACATTAGTTAATTAAGTAGGTTGGTAGGTACCTAGGTAGGAAGGAAGAGAAAAGGCCATGCATAACGGGTGTGCAGACAGCATATATACCTACTATACTAACACAAACACCTGCGTCGTGAAAATACACGCACGCAGGTACATCCGGCAACGGGAAAGGGAGCTAGTCTGAATCCTACCAGCGTGGGAAGCCCACGAGGTTCCCGGGTACCTCAGGCAGGCAGGCAGGCAGGCAGGCAGGCAGGCAAGGTAGGTAGGTACCTCAGTAGGTAGGGTAGGGTAGAAGGTATCACGTTCAATTCAACGTTGAACAGGCACCGAGAAGGACGACGCGAGCGAGGGCCCTCCCTTTCGCAGATATATATAGGGGTGCTTCAAAATAAAAGGGGGGGGGAGGGGAGGGACATCTATGATGTAAATATATACGCCGATATAATATATACGCATAGGCTTAGGGACCTTAGAGATACATATATCTCTGGGTAGGTAGGTAATTAATACCCACCTCCGTGCGCCTGTCGGGTCGATAATGGAGTTCCCTCGCGGCCGAGGCAGTTACCAGTAATCTAGTAGGTATCACGAATGTAGCATTTCCTTGCCTCTAATCCCGAAGCGCCTGGCAATTCTCGCATAAGGGAAGCCATATCGATGTATCAAGTAGGAGGTACCTAACACAGACTTACGTGTAGGGAGAATGGAGGACCGATCTTGTAATTGTAGGGGGGGAGGGGGGTATTTCCACATGGATAGAGAGACAGACACCCAATATTTCACCCCGGCATTTTCATCGTCGACGCCCGCCAGAGAGATCTACACCAGCGTAGGGGGAGGCTACCGAAAGCAGGACTTCCTCGAGAGCTACCGAAACCATCTCCGATGCCTACTCGTGTCTCCCTCCTCTCCCCAACCCGAACCTGCCTGGAGATGCGACTACGGCAGGTAGGCATACGCTGAACGAGGGACGAGATGAAGTCGAGTAAGAAGATGCAGCCTTTTATAGTAGGGAGCGCACTTTGGTTGGACGCGACAGGGGTGCTGGCCAGCAAAGTAGTATGGATGGACCAGTGGGTTCTCCCCCCCTCCCAAGGCGAGACCTTTTTTAACCTCAGTGCCACTCCACCCCGGGCCCTGGCTGTCTGCCCAGGCCGGGTCAAGTACATGTACATGTCGAGCCGTTGTGCACTGTTGAATCCCGCAGGCTTTTGCCGCCACCCTGCGCCAGCCCCGGGTACCGGTACCGTGGGTACGGCATGGACGTACCCTCTGCCAATTCCAGCTGGTGCACACAATATCAGACCTTGAATGGCTGAAGATCCCCAACTTCCTCCACCACCTGCATCTCTCTCACTCTCTCACTCTTCTCGCTCTTTTTCCCGTTCCCTTTGTATGCATGTATGCATGTGTGTGTGTGTGGTGTGCGTGTGGGAGTGCGCGAGCGCGCGAGTGTGAGCGCGCGCCTCTTGCCAATTGCCCGCCCCTCTGCCAACCTACCAGCCTACCAACTTACCAACCCATCTAAGTAAGCGAATTCCGTGATCTGTGTAGAGGTGAGGTAGGTATACCTCTCGCGCGGTATATCTGGGACATCCGCCTGTGGTATTCTTAGAGGTGCTCTCGCCAGTGCCTGAGGTTAGTAACCTGCTCCCGTTACTCGCCCACCTCCGCCCGGCCTGCCTTGTGTGCATACGTACATACCTTACCTACATACATGTCTGTCTGTCCACCCATCCACCCCGTCCATCTCCATCATCAACCCATTCGCCCTTCTGCCCAATCACCCCTCTGCCCGTGTATACCTCTTCCATATATGGAGATCGATGTGTGTGCGCCGTCGTGTACTGTACATCCTATCTCGAGCAATAAAATTGCCGTTAGCCATACCTCAACCAGAGTAGCATTTCCTCGTTGCCTCTCTCTCTCTCTCTCTCTGTCTCTCTGGACTGCCTCTGGTCTCGTCTCCCCCTCCCTCTACTCTCTCTCTCTCTCTTCCTCTTCCTCTCTTCTCCCCTCTGAGGTGCCAGACGGAGAGAGACGGGCGGACAGACAGACACACATACATACGTCTCCCTGCCTTTCTCTCCTTCTTTCTTTCTCGCCCACACCCGCACACCATAGCTTACACGCAGCTACCGTATCTTGGATAGGTAAGCATCATCTCCTTCTCCGTACCCAGCTTGCCTGCCTCGATCGATACGCATACATATACCTACACTACAACACGCTGCACACACTACACGCTACATTACACCACTTGCACGCACGCACGCACGCACGCACACGCTAGCTAGGCGCACCCACACAGACACACAACACACACGCTTTGCATCCGTCCTCATCCATCTCACCCAGTCAATGTCAGTCAGCCCTTGCCAACCTCGGAGCTTATTAGACGGCTCCCCCAGCTTGCCCCAGGTAAGAGAGAGAGGCCAACCTTCGTCGTCGGGTCTGGTCTTGTCTGTTTCCATTCCTACCCTCCGCCCTCCGTCCGCTTGCCTGCTGCCTTTTGCCGGGCCTATTCTAACCCGCCGAACCTGGCCGAATTCCACCCATCTGCCTTGCCCACACACATACATACCTCCGTCGACATCTTCGACTCTTTTTTTTTTTTACCTTACCCTGCCTTACCCTATGGCCTTCCCCCCCTCCAGGTACTGCACCCTAGGCATGTAGTATCCGGCAGCCTTTTAAATGAACCCCCCGGCATCCCAGACTCGTTCTCCTAACTTGCCAAGCCCAGGTTAGTAACCAAGAGCAATTCGTATCATCAGCTATCCCCCCGATCCCTCCCTCCCGCGACGTCCAAGGACCACCTCGATGGTCTCGGGATCAGTAGATTGGGTCGACCATCGTATGCTTCTCTCCTCCTCGCCGCGCTCACTAAACAGGCCCTAGCCTTTTCACCTGGCCCACTCTGCTGTTATTGCGGCAATATCTCCCTTTCCTTCTCTCTCTCTCTCTCTGTATGTGTGCGTGCGTGTGTGTGCGTGTGTGTTCTCTCTCGCTCCCCTACTACTTAGTCTGGTACTGTCCATACCACATCTCGCCTACTCCGCCATCCCAAAATCCTATGGGCTACCCGGCTAGTCGTGTGGATAGTGGACACCGATTTGAGGGCCTGTCCCGCCGCCTCAGACCTCCCCGGCCCATCTTGGCTTGCTTTACATAAACCTTCACTCCTACATAGTGCTACTTTGTTCTTCCCTGTCCCACATCACCGTCACGTCTCCCACCTTTTCTTCCACTCTTCAACCTCGCCATCCATTCTCGTCACTCGTCGAGGCATCCCGCGTATCCAGCTCTTCTTTTTTTTTTTTCCTTCCCTCTCTCCTTCTCCTTCCCTCTACTCCCATTCCCTCCCCCCCCCCCCTCCTCTATTACTCCCCTTCCTAGGCACTTACATGTCTAACCGTGCTCGTTAGAACTTATCAACACACTCACTTTTAGTCCCTCCCCTGCTCTCTCCCACACACGGCGCCTCTTGTCAGGGCAATCGTGGGACACCATACGCGGCAACTCGGTAAGCTATTCCACGGGCCCCCGTCCCCCAGCTTGGCCTCGGTGCTACGGGCGACACACTTGTATGGAATCGACGGCACCCAGCTCAGTTCTCATCTAAACCCGCATTCTGCCTGCGAGACCAGCACCTGGGGTCGGCCGTCTTATGGATGCAGAATTCCATTATTTGCCTCGATTAGCCTGCGGTAACCTTTTCGGCGTTCCTCGGTGTCACCTTGGATGCGCCGCCTTTTAATCACCCACCATGGCGCAGAAGTCAAGCGACCCCGATGACCAGCCAAATCCTGCCCCCCATAAAGAATTCCCAGACTCGGGATCCGCCCAGAAGTCATCATCTCATATGTCCGCATCCGCACCTGCACCTCATAAATCAACCAACTCTAGAGCCCCCGGGGAAAATGCTGCCGACTCCCAACCTATGGCTAAGTCAACATCTTCGGGCTCCAATCCATCGGCCAAGGAGGCCGCGGCAGGCCCGTCTCCCTATGGCACGCGTTCCCGCAACCGTGGCCAGGCGCGGCCCAACTACGCGGAGGACAAAGATGGGGATGTGGACATGTACGACGCCTTTCTAGACAAGAAAGACGACGAACCGAAAAAATCATCACGACAGGTCGGCACCTCAGCAAATGGCGCAGGGGATGCATCGAGAGCTACGGCCTCGGCGTCGCGCAAAGGTGCAGCGGTGGCAGCATCAGTAGCGTCCGCGCCCGAGGATGGCAAGGGTGGCGGTAGCTCGCACGCAGCGACTAAGGATTCGCACGCAGCGAGCAACGCGACCTCGAACGCCGCGTCTACCTCCACCACCTCCACCACTTCTAAGAAGCGAAAGGCACCCACGCAATCCACCGCCAGCAACGCGCACCACCGCGCCAATACGCCGGTACCGTCCGGCCCTGCTGCGACGGGGACGAGACGAGGTGCCTCGCACACGACAGCAGCGGTCTCGGCGGGAACAACCACGGCGACGACCAGCATGGCCCCGAGCAACGGGGGGTATAAGATGTCGAACATGCTAAGCTTTGAGAAATGCGGTGCGATCCCAAGGGATGGGAAGATGGTAGCAGACGATGGCACCGTGCTACAAGCAAATGGTACGAACGGTTGTTTTTTTCATTTTGGTCTTTTTTTTTATTTTTGTTTTTTATTAGACGGAGAGGGCGAGCGGGAGGGAAAATGGGCACTGGCCAGTCGCCAAAACGCGGACATGCACGATGCATGGGTGCATCGACCCGCGACTCGCTCTGCTCCTGGCTCTCCTTGTCTCTGGTGGCTTGTCGCGACAGGGTCGGCCGACTCGGTTCACTAACGCTCTGGCTAGATCACGTGTACCTGGTGTGCGAGCCGCCAGGAGAGCCGTATTACCTGGGCCGGATCATGGAGTTCCTCCATGTGCAGAACGACGCTGCAAAGGCGGTGGATGCGTTGCGAATCAATTGGTACTATCGGCCCAAGGACATCGGCAAGAAGATGAACGACACGAGACTGGTGTTCGCCACCATGCATTCGGACATTAGCCCGTTGACCTCGCTGCGCGGCAAATGCGAGATCCGCCACAAGGCCGAAATCGAGGACATGGACGCGTACCGAAAAAGCCCCGACTGCTTCTGGTACGAGAAGCTCTACGACCGCTACATCCAGAAGAACTACGATGTCGTCCCGTGCTCCCAGATCGTGAACGTGCCGGAGCGGGTGAAGAGGGTGCTGGACGAGCGATGGAAATACATCCTGGTGGAACAGGGTCGGTCCAAGGAGTTTACGAGCGCCGTCAAATTGTGTAAGAGATGCGGCGGGTACTGCGCCAGGTACGTACCGGCTTTTTGCTGGGGCCCCCCCCCCTGCTCTGCCTCCTCCTGCCACAGCAACAAGCTGCGTCCCCACCACGATTCCCATCTCGGTATATATATATATATATAAAAAAGAAGGAAAGGAAAAAAAAAAAAAAGAGAAAGAGAGAACATGCCGCCTTGCTTATATCATCAGCCGCCGCCCCCATTTCCCCCCGATTCGCTCCCCCCTTTTCCCGCGTATACATGTATGCGTGCATATATACGTGCATATACGCATTTATGCGTATATCGCACACATCTACATCTATACGCATGCATACACTAGCGCACGCACCTGTCATACCCCACGAGACCTGTCGCATCGTACTTACCGACCGCTGACCGAGGGGGGGGGAGAACAGCAACGACTCCGTCGACTGCGCCGTCTGCCAGCACACGTATCACATGAACTGCGTCCGGCCGCCTCTGCTGAAGAAACCGTCACGTGGCTTCGCCTGGGCCTGCGCCGCGTGCAGCCGTGCCCAGGAGAGGAAGCTGGAGGCCCGGCACACCCCGAGCCTGCTGGGTTCGAACGCGGAGGCCGAGGAGGAGGAGTTCTGGGACGACGACGACGACGCTCTCGATACTAACCGCACGAGTCCGGCCGACGGTATCGACGACTCGCATCAGCCCGCGACCGCCGAGCAGATATACCATGCGAGCCTGTGGCCCTACCGGTACCTGGGCCAGCACTGCAAGCCGGAGGACGCATTGGACTACGACGACAGGATCTATCCACGCGCCGGCTCTCGCCTGGGACCCAAGCACCAAGCCACCGTTCTCCCTTGGCCCGGACGTCCGGTCAAGCTAGTAAAGCCGCTGGAGATCAAGAAGTCGGGCAAGAAGGATGGCAAGCAATCGAAGGAGGTTCAGGCCGCCCTCGAAGCCGAGAAAGCCGCCCGGGAAAAGCGCCCGAGGTGGGTGCAGGACGAACCTCCGGGGTATGTGGCGAGGGGCGAGGATTTCGGCAACGACGACCCGAATAATACCGCACAACTACTATGGAAACCGCTCGACCAAGCGAACACCTCCTTGACCGAATCCCAGCTCGACGATTATATGGCGAACGCCAGGCTGAAGCTCGCTCTGGCATTTAACCTGTCCAAGGAATCGACCAATCTCAAGGACGCGGCCATAAACACGCTTTTCAAGACCGACTACGACCCGGTTAAGAGCCTGAAGATCCTTTCCCGGGCCGACAAGTCGATCTTCAAGGAGCCAGAGCTTAGCGCCGCCGAGATCAAGAAATTCGAGGAGGGCGTGACCAAATTTGGCTCCGAGCTACACCCTGTAACCAAGCACGTCAAGACCGTCAAGCATTCCCGCATCGTTCGGTTTTATTACACGTGGAAGAAGACGGACCGGGGCAAGCAGATATGGGGCAATTTCTCCGGCAGAAAGGGGAAAAAGGAAGCGAAGAAGGCGGAGGCGACGGCCAACAAGCTCCAGGACGATGTGGCTGACGATCACGACGACTCGGCGTTCGACGCTGGCAAGGCCCTCGAGCGAAAGAGGGGCTTCATGTGCAAATTCTGCTCTACGAAATCCTCACGGCAGTGGCGACGGGCTCCCAACGTCGCGACGGCTCTGGTGACCGAAGGAGGCGGCAAGCACTCGAACAAGGACAAGGGTATCCAATACATATCCGCATTGTGCCGACGGTGTGCGGAGCTATGGCGGCGATACGCTATCCAATGGGAAGACATCGACGATCTCGCCAAGAAAGTGGCCGCCGCCGGCGGACGTTCGTGGAAGCGAAAGGTCGACGAGGAGCTGCTCAAGGAGCTCATAGCCGCCAACGAAATGATGAACATGACAGTGTACAACACCCTGTCGACGACGACTACCCCGGCGACTCAGAGCGCCGCCGCGACACCCGCAGCACACGCCAACGGTACTGAAGCGCCGCCACCGCGCAAGAAGCTCAAGACGGTCGCGGACAAGGACGTCGAGGTCAACAGCTCGGATGCTGGCAGCGTCTCGAACGTCGCCCCGCCGAAGAAGAAGGAGAAGGCAATAGTGGAGAAGCCCCCGCCGCCGCCCGCTCCGGAGATGCCGAAGCCTCGGACCCTACCGTGCGCTATATGCCATCAGATGGCGCCCCTGGGCGAACAGGCTCACCTCTGCTGCAAAGAGTGCCGGCTCACCGTCCATCGCAAGTGCTACGGCGTCCTCGATGCTCGCCTTCCGGGCAAATGGGCTTGCGACACGTGTCTCAACGACAAGAGCCCCCAAGTTTCCATTGTAAGTATACTACTACTACTACTACTACTACTACTACTACTCCTACTGCTTGATTAGATTCTGCCTGGAGCTTAGCAGTCACCACTCGCCGCAGACCGCTGACAGACCGCAACTAGGAATACAAATGCGCCTTGTGCCCCGTAGAATTCACCGAACACGACTTCGTAGAGCCTCCAAAGAATACGCACAAGAAGAAGACCGAGAAGGAGAAGGAAAAGGAGCGCCTCGACCGTGAGCTCGCCCAGAAGGCCGCGGATTATTACCGCAAGAGACAAGAAGAGATGCACCGCCCGGTGAATCCTAGAGAGCCTCTAAAAAGAACTACGGATAATAACTGGGTCCATGTCACCTGCGCAGTATGGACGCCGGAGGTCAAGTTCGGCAACGCCCAAGCCATGGGCCCTTCGGAAGGCATCCCGTCTATACCGCGCAGCCGATACGAGGAAGTCTGCAAGGCGTGTAGGAAGAAGGGCGGCGCATGTGTGACCTGCCACCACTGCCGTGCCCCTGGTAAGTGCTCTTCCCCCCCTTCCCAAATAGCCAGGTTCCCTTCCGCTAATATCGAGACAGTGCACATAGAATGCGCCAACCAGAATGGGTATCTTCTCGGCTTCGAGATCACTCCCGTCAAGGGATCCCGGCGAGATCAGCACAACATTGTGACCTTCGCCGGAGAGACAGGGACGATGTCGGCGGCTGTCTGGTGCAAGGAACACATCCCAAAGGGTGTGGTTCATCGCATGTACGACTTAGTCGCTCAGCCAGACGGCCAGAGCAAGGATCCTGCTGCGGCTTTGAACGCCTTGCAGTTCTACGTGCAGCAGTACAAGCAAGCCGACCTTGCGCTCACGGGTACCGTTCGTAAGGCCAACCTGTCCCACCTCGCCACCAAGACACCCACGCCGGCCGCCCAGGCCAATTCGAACCGTAGGCAGTCCACGGTGGCGCCCGGCTCGGCGGCGGCGAGACCAAGATCGTCTTCGGTCGATAATAGTGCCGAAGTAGCCTCCATCCTCGCTCAGAGCGGCGATAGGGTTTGCATCACTTGCGGCATCGACGTAAGCCCGAAGTGGTGGCCCGTCGGCAAGGACCAAGAAAACCTCTTGATAAATGGGTACCGTGGCAGCCTCGGGGTAGAGGCGCAGAAGTTCATCGCGCAGCGGAGCGCTCAGTGCCACAGATGTAAGAAAGCTAAACGAAAACCCACAGCCCACGTATCGCCAACGCCGCCACCGCCGCCGGCGGCCCTACCACCGGTACCCGCAGACGTGTCTCCCAAGGAAGCGCCACGAGCACCACCACCTCCTCCGATCCCCAACACCGTAACCAATCATCCACCGCCGCCACCACCACCACCACCACCACCCCATATACCACACCCCGTGGATAGGCTACCTAATCTAGGAGGTTCGTGGGGACAGCGCACTCCCACAGCACCATCAGTCATATCTCCGGTTGTCTCGGCGCCTCCATCGATCGCTCCACCGCCCTTGCACCCGCCAACGGGAGCCCCCCCTCCGCCGCTACCGCTAGCGACAGCTCACGCTGGGCCGAGCCCGATGGCTGCTCCGAGCGGGCCACCGCCGGTACCTGCCCACCACTACGCGCCGCCCAGCGCGCCATACGGGGACTGGCACCGCAGCCCGACACAGCACCCGCCAGTTCTCCACCACATTAACGGCGGTTCTAACGGGCCGAACCCGATACATCATAATCACCTTCGCGACCTTCGACCCCCGCCGATAGCTCCGATATCTCACCACCAGGGGCCGCCGCTCCAGCACGGGCTCGGCCAGCCTATGGTCAACGGCATCCCGCCATCGCCGCCTCGACGGGGCCCTCCTCCTGTGCAGAACGGGACTCAGCCGTTCATGGCACCATTCCACCACCCCGCGCACAGCCCGCTGCACGCGCTCACGAACGGCAGCCCGCCGCCACCGCGACCTTCGGAGCATTCCTTCTCTCAGGGTCTGCTCGGGCCGCGCTCACCGTTCCTGAACCCGCACGGAAGCCCGCCGATCCCGCGCGAGGGTATCTCGATGAGCCGCGAACCCAGTCTCAGCAACGGCAGCAACGGCCCGCCTAGGCCCAGCGACAACCGGCCGGCGAGTGGGGCCAGCGCCAACGCATCACTGCGCAACCTGTTGTCGTGAAGGGGAGGCGTGATAGTAGATCGCCGATGTTGAGGGTTAGAACACGGGATTTATTAACAGCTGTTTTTTTTTTATTTTAAGAAAAGAAAACTCGTTTCGATTTGGGCGTTTCTTCGGGGTTGGTTGTATAACTAGAGAGGCATATACCAAAGGCGCTTGGGCTAATAGAGAGGCACGCTCGGGTCGGGAGCGGAAAGGGGGGGCGAGGAACATTACGCTCATCGGACACTCACAGACATTCGTACCGCATTCGAGATTTGCACGACAGCTCTATAATTCCTTATTACACTAGTGGCGACAACGCGGACCGAGACAGAGCCTTGCGTAACTAAGCAAAGGAACGTGAGGAGACAAGAGAGAGGGGGTACGTGTGTGTGTTTGTGCGTGTGTGTGTGTGTGTATGTGTGTATGCGTATGTGTATGTAGGAGAGCAGAAGACAAGGAAATAGAAGCAGTTTTTTCGTCAACGTTACCGAGTTGCAGAGGAGGCAGGATTGACAGACGCTGAGACTCGTATGCTTATCCGGCCAGTCGAGGAGCCATAGTCAATCTCTGCCTTGTTTTCGTCTCTTCTTGACTGGGGCATGTTTGCCTGGTGACTGACTGACTTGGCTCCTCGAGTTTTCCTTGTATACCCCAGCGTGTACGGATCTGTTGTACGGTGGGACGTGAATGGTGTGCCAAGGTATTGATTGTATTCTCATACCTGTAGCGAACCTAGACTACAATATATACCAGGCGCTTATCCATTGCCTACGTATTGCATATGTGTATAGATAAACGCCGAACGAAGATGGAGGGAGGGTATCTCCCTATCGTTGTAGTTACGAAGTAATAGCGCAAAGGGAGGGGAGGAGAAAGAGAGGGGAAGGGGACCCGCCGCTTATCTCGAGAAATATGGCTAGGAGAGACAAGCTCAAGTGATAGGTTATTGTTATCAATAACGTCTACTATGGAGCCTCAGCTGGCAGAGGGGGACTCGACGAGGAGGAGGAGGAGGAGGAGGAGGAGGAGGAAGAGTAGGTAAAGTAGGAGGGGGGGGGGGGGGGGGGCAACGCGGGACCTATGCTCCCTCCCTCACCTTTTTCATCCTTTTTTTAATCGCCATTAGGTATTCTTCAACCTTCAGTCTCTAACCTCTGCCACTCTTCTCGCCCACCACTCACTTACACTTGCGCTGCACGCGTACACCCGCACGCCTACACTTACACGGACCTAGAACATACACATTATCTATATCGGGTCTATCGGGCAGCATCGTCTCGCGCGGGTAGACACATCACGTCCACCCACCCGCCAACAACGACCTGCACCCACATGCATGCGCGCCGACGGTAGGAGCGGCAACAGGAACAACGGCACCGACAATGGATGATGCAAAGGGACTCGCCCTGGCCATCGAGGAGGCCAGGATCGGGTACGCGGAGGGCGGCATCCCGGTACGTGCTTCTGCCTTGCCCTCAGCGGAAGGGTGATATCAGGTGACTGTGTAGTGGGCGCCGTCCGCATCTATCTATCTGCCCCTCTAACCCCCCCTTGCCTAACTCCCTACATGCACACACAACCGTGTATATATACTGACGAGATGCGCAGATCGGCGCGGCGCTCGTCGCCGCCGACGGGAGCGTCCTCGGCCGCGGACACAACATGAGGGTGCAGAAGGGCGACCCGATCCTCCACGTACGTACTGCACCTTGGCCCCCTCCTTCCTTCCCCACGGATCCCCGTCTCTCTGTCTCCTCCCCCCCCCTCGTTCGCGCACACCGGACCGACGGCGTAGCTAGGGCGAGATGTCGTGCCTCCAGAACGCGGGCCGCCTGCCGGCGTCCGCGTACCGCGGCAGCACCATGTACACGACGCTGTCGCCCTGCGACATGTGTAAGCGGCCTCCTCTCCTTATCCCCGTCCCTGTGCCCGCCTTCTCCCAGGCCTCGCGCTGCCTCGGCTCGCGGCGCCTCCTCCCCGCCCTTACTTGCCGCCGCACTCTGCTTCGGCACCCCCTTGCCTTCCTACGTGCGAGAGGAAGAAAGGAGATAGCAGGCCGCCGGAGGGAAGGGGGAAAAAGAAAGAAGAAAGCAGGGGAGAAAAACAGCGCGCACCGCTAAGACAGAGCCGACTACGATAGGCACCGGCGCCTGCATCCTCTACGGCGTGGCGCGCGTCGTGATCGGCGAGAACCGCACGTTCCGCGGCGGCGAGGCGTACCTGGCGCGCCGCGGCGTCGAGGTGGTGGTCGCCGACGAGCCCGCCTGCCGCGAGCTGATGGCCCGCTTCATCGCCGAGCAGCCCGACCTGTGGTGCGTCTCCCCCTCCCTTCTTTTTCTTCTTCTTCTCTCGCTGCGGCTATAGAACAGAGAGAAGAGGGGAAAAGAAAAGAAAAGAAAAAGAATACTGACGCTCGGTCGGCAAAGGAACGAGGATATCGGCGTCGAGGAGAGGGTGTACTCCCGCGAGAACGAGGAGGGCGCTGAGACGGGCGCGGGGAAGGGGCCTGGACAGGCATGAGAGGGGGAGTTGCGGGCATACTGTGTCTCATGGCCGCCGGTCCAAGCCGCGCAGGTTGAAAAGCGCGAATGGCATATGTACAGGGATACTAGGTAGTCCGCCTACGGCTTCGCAAAATCGTCGCCGACCGGCGTGGGCGAGGGTAGCGCGCGCACGGCCTCTTCCGGTTCTGGCAGGTCGAGAAGCGAGGCGGTGAATGCGTGGGTAGTACTCGCGACGAGACGGGAGCTACGTTGCCATCTCGACAGCCTATCGATAGATTTCTTTCTATATGGCCTCTGAGCCGAAGTCTCACTTCAGACCCCCCTCCTTCCCTGCTGCTAATAGGCAAGGGGCCGCCATGCTCGAATACATACTGCGAGACACGCTTGGCCCGACCGGCCTACGGTCTCGCTTTTCGTCTCCGTAGGCGCGCCGCCTGCATGCGTAGAGCTGATCTTGAAGGGCTCATCCCAGCGCTGTCTCAGACACCGCCACGCTGCCTCGGTAGGTATATGTGTGTCTGTCTCTCGTCGTTCCGGTCACCGCTTGACCCTCCCTCCCTTCCTAGCGCCGATCAGCCTCCCAGCCGCTCAGTCGTGGTCCTCCTCCTCGGCGCCGGGGCACCCATCCATGGCGGCGTCGGGGTAGGCGCACTTGCACCAGAAGCAGTAGGCGTGGCGGTCGCGCAGGTAGGCGACGAGGCGGCGCAGGCGCTCGCCGGCGTCGAGCGCGGCGAACGCGTCGAGCTCCGGGTCGTCCTCGTCGAGGTCGACGTCGGCGACGAACACCGCTGCCGCCGCCGTCCGCTCGTCCGCGTCCCCGTCTGAGTCCCCCTCCGACGCCGCGTACCCCGGTAGCCCGCCCCGCGCCCCCACCCCCGCCGACGCCGCGTGCCGCTGCCGCCGGTCGCGCTCCGCCTCCTCGCGCCCCCGCACCAGCCCCCGCCACACCACCGGGATCGACTTGAGCGGCCGCGCGCCCTTGCTCTTCTCCGGCTTCCTCCTCCTCCGCTCCTCCTCCTCTCGCGTCGCAGCCTCTCCTTCCCCCTCCGCCTCCTCCGCCTCCTCGTCCATCATCTCGCACACCTTCATACCCGCGTAGAACAGCCGCTCCTGGCGCGCGGTCTCGCGCTCGCGGCGCACGCGGGCGCGGAACTCGTCCGGGTCGCCGCGGCGCCTCTTCGCCGCCCCCTCCTCGTCATCCCCCAGCGCCACCCCGGCCGCCGCCGCCGCCTCGTCGAGCCGGCGCTTGCGCAGCGCGTCGAGCCCGATGCCGCCGCGGTCCTCCTTGGGCTCGGGGCGCAGCGGCTCCTCGAGCCGGGTCCACAGGCGCCGCGCGTCGTCCGCCGCCGCCGCCGCCGCACCCCCCTCGGCGTTAGCTCCGGCCCCGGCCCCGGCCCCGGCCCCCAGCGCGCCCCCCGCGAACCCCATCTTCGCCATCATCGCCAGCCCCTTGCTGCGCCGCGCCGCCGCCCCCGACAGCAGCGACCGCGACAGCGCCGCCTCCCGCGCCGCCCGCTCCTCCGCCGCCCGCTCCGCCTTCGACGCCACCCGCCCCCGCCGCTCGCCCTCGCGCCGGAGCCGCTGCCGCCGCTGCAGCGAGGTCTCCGGCCCCCCGCCCCCGCCGAAGCTGCTGTCGTCGTCGAGCCCGAACGTCATGTTCATGTAGTCGTCCTCGTCGTCTTCCGAGCCCGCCGCGGCCCGGCCCGGCTGGGTGGAGGCTGGCGCGGCCATTGGCGGTTGCAGGTCACGGGCGGTGAGCGAGTTGGTGTCCCTGGTTGTTGTTTGCGTGCGTGGGTGTGTATTTTTGTGCGAGGGGATAGGACGGGCGGAGAGGCGTGTGTGGTGTTGGCGAGGGGGGATGGATGGGTGCGATTGTTGCATGAGATGATGGTGTAGTGTTCTCGATTCCGTGCTGGTTCTAGTGATTAGGAGGCGGTCTCGGTAGAGAGTCCGGCTGAGCGTGGATATGATGATTGTGGATGTAGTGGGCAGCTGAAGCTCCCATTAAATCATAGGTAGATGATTGTAGCTGTATGCCGACAAACCCGGTATAATGATATTCTCCATACCGATATGCCCGACACAACGGTGGCATTTGGTTATGCAAGATATGTCTCCGGTATAGGTACCTAATCTACCTAGGTAGGTACCTACGCGCACCTACCATCATAGGTACCTAGGTATCTACTGGCGTAGCCTCCGGCGCTAGTCCTGGTTGGGGAATATGCTTACAGTAGCTCGATAGCCATAGCGGGAGGGGGGGGTCTATCGACAGTATGTCTGCAATACTGACACGGTATGGAAGTAGTCTTCAAATGAGGTCATAATGACGAGCTCTTTCATTCGGTATAAGATACTTACAGCAAAGGTCATGGTACGGATTTTATCATAGTTTAATATGAGCATTACGTTGTAGTCATTCTAATAAGGTAGGTATTCGTTACCTTCTCGATATCCCATCGATTCGGACATGCATTCTAGCTTGACATTATATAGGACAGCCATTCTATCCTTAGAAAGAGCTACTAGATTGATATGGCGTTCGTATTGTACCTATGTCGCATCCTGAGTCTAATTCGCTTTAGTGTCGCGATGGAAATACTTTCAGCTGTAGTGATCCTTTCTAGGGAGGGTGATAGTGCGTGACATAGTGTCGACAGACCCCCATCCCCCCGTATGGAGGTTTTCCTGACTGAACGGGCGATTATACGGCTACCTGTTCCTTCGTGCCGCCGTCGTCGTGGGCCCGTCTCATTATCTGTACATAGGTAGAACAGAGACGTAAAATATACTTCCTTCCTTCCCCCCGTATGGAGGTTATTCGATAGTTATGGCCACTGCCTGTCCGTGCATGGAATAGGTACATGGGGTACACAAGGATATATGAGTACATAATTGGATTAGGTACATAGGTCCGTAGGTATTTTACGAATACATAGGTACCTACCTAGGTACAGGAGGTACCTATGTAGGTTCCCTCGCATCATCATCTCATGCACGGCCGACGGGAAACGGTTCTATTAATGGACGTGCTCAAAAAAGCGGAACGGGTTCCCCAGTCGCTGCATGGGAGGTACTCGATACTCCGGGATCGTGGGTTACTGCAGGTTACCCGCCTACGTCAAGGCAAGCGCCTGATGTACTCACCACCTAGGTACCTACCGAACTGTCTGCTGGGGCGCTATCGACATTAGGTAGTGTAGATACTTACACCAGAATAAAGAAAACAGACACTGCCATATTCGTGAATTATCGTAGGAGCTTTGAAGAAGCCAGCATGTAGGCAAGTCCAACGTAAGGCATTCAGATTCATCAAACCCCCTCTGCCGCGATTGAGCGGGGAACGGGATCTTCTACAATTCCTTCTCCTTTTTGGCTCCCAGAGCTGATCGCGACATTGCTTATACCTAGATAAAAGTAGTATGGCCGCCTTAGGTACTCCTCGCCGGCCCCCGTCCTGCTAGTCTCGCTATTTAAGCAGGAGACCGAAATATAATGGTACAAGTTATCCGCACGCCGTCCGCTCATTAACCGCCTCCTTCTATACGTCGTCGTCAGGGAGCTCGTCGATCACCTCCTCCACCGCCTGTATTAGCTCGTCGATGTCCGGCCGCTCGCTCGGCTCGACCTTGAGGCATTTCCGGACCACCTCCTTGATGGGCTCGCTGATCGCCCCATCGTCGCGGGATGCGCCGCCGCCTGCGCCGCCTGCCGTCGCCTTCCCCTTCTTTTGGCCCCGAGGGCTCTCGTCGGGGAATCGCCAGTCCCCGCCCAGCACGCACATGCTGAGACTTCCGCCCGTCTCGTCGCTGCGCATCTCGAAGGGTGATTTGCCCACGAGGCAGGCGTACAGCGTGCAGCCTAGCGACCAGATGTCCACCTTGGTATCGATCACCGCCCCCGTCTTCACGTCAAAGAGCTCGGGTGCCCGGTAGGGCATCGTGCTGTGTTCCGCCGCGATGTCTTGCGTGGCGATGGCCAGAGACCGCGACGTTATGGGGATGGGCGATTCGGAGATGGAGCCGAGATCCATCAGAATCGGTTGCGATCCGGAATCGTCGATCATGATATTGCCTTACGGAGGGGAACCTGCTGTTAGCAAAAATGGGGCTTCGCGCCGAATGTCGGATGGGGGAAGCTCACCTGGCTTGATATCCCGGTGGGCATAGGATCTCTGCTCGCCGGGCGCCGCCACCTCTTGATTGACTATCAGCGGTTTAGCCTGCTCCGTCTCGTCATCGGCATCGGCAGCAGCGACGGCCTTGTTTCGCTTTCCTCCCCCGCCTCGGCCATCCTTGGCGGCCTTCGCACTCCCCATCTCCATGCGCTCCCCGCCCCGGGGCGCCTGGTATTGATGCATGTATTTGAGGGCCTCGCACACGCCGAGGAAGAGGCGCATAAGCTCCTTTTCGGGGAATTTCGTGTGGTTTACTAGGTTCGCATTGATGATATCTTGCAGGTTTCCCCGTCTATAATATGGCAGCAGCACGTAGACCGTTTTCGACTCGGCGTCGTTCCGCTCGCTGGCGATCGAGTAGTCGATGCTGTGGATGATGGAGGGCGTGTGGGCGAAGGTCTTGTACGCCTCCACTTCTCGCATCGCTTGCTGGACGGATTCGGCGCCGAAGGGACATCGGATCTTCTTGAGGGCGAATAGCTCCGCCGTCGACGTGTCTTGAACGAGGTATACGTAGCTGAAACCCCCCTCTCCCAGCAGGCGCAGAATCTTGAAGGATCGGCTATTGATTTTTAGGGTGGGCGATCCGGGGAAGCAATTCAGACAATTGCCAAACGAGTAGAAGAGGTCAAGCAGGATCTGCGCCATGGTGGGCCTAAAAAAAAAAAGAGGAAATGAATAGCGGGATCCCTTTGCGACAGCGTCTTTGGAGCTGTGAGGGGCGAGATTTTCTGTGCCGACGGGAACTGGTGTCGAGATGGAATCGCAGGATGTGGGTTGGAACGGGCCAGCCGGATGGTTCAGGCGGTTGCGCAGTTCCTAGGCCTCCTACTAAGCTTCAACCTAAGGCGAGGGAGGGAGAAATCAGAAAGGCAGGACAACGAGCGAACGATCACAGTTTAGGTAGGCATTGAGCTGCCAAAACAGCATGGCGGGTGAGACTGTGTTCAAGATGGTGTAACTAATGGTAATGCGGGAGTGTGTGAGTGTGCGTGTGAGAGGACGTCGAGACGAGACGAGCTGGTGTAAATGGGGTGGATAAATGGGGTGGATCGGTGACCGGCCTGGAGCTGTGAGACTCCCAGGTTGTCTGCTCATACCGGAGTGGCGTAGTACGGTGCTGCGCCACAAACCGCGGGTGACTCGGGGACCTGGTGAACACGCACATCCGTTTCTACGCATAGCAATGAGATTGTCACATCATACGGCTGTAGCCAATGCTCGGTTGCGTACTAAGCTGGATAACTGAACTTGGACATCAGACTCGGCGTTACCGGGCCACAGTGGACGTTACTCGAACGAACAAAACCGGTATAAAACAATTTGCCCAACTTTACTATATATTAGCTCCAGGGCAGCAGACCCGTATTACGTAAACGTGGTCTAGAACAGCTTTGATGGATTTTGTACCTAGCGAGCAGAAGCTCTCTCTCTGCCACTCACTCACACTACCTCCTCTAACCAGGCTTTTTGTCTAGTTATTTTATTTTATTTTATTTTAGTTATTCACAATAGAGACTCCCTAGTATTTATCATCTAATTAGCCGGACCTGTTCTTCGAAGCAGGCATTTGCCGTCTCACAAGTCCTCTCGCTCTCTCTCTCCGCTTCGCGACACGCCATGAAGCTCCCCTATCAGTGTCTAAGCCGGCTCGGGCCGGGCTCCATCTTCTGCGCCGCCCGGGGGGCCAGCATCTGCACCTTCGACCTCGGTGCAGAGCCTCCGTTCGTCGCATCGTGGACACATCCCCTGGCGAGGGCTCCCCCGAAGGCTGCGGCTGCTCGCGAAGAGCAAGAGCCCGCCGAGCAGGGTGGCGACCAGCCCCCGCCCAAGAAGCGGAGGCTCGACCCGAGCGAGGACAGGAACCCCCCCGATGCCGAGGGGGCGGATGGCAAAGCCGCGGCCGAAGCGGCACCGCCTGCACCGGACGGCGGCGCGCAGGAGGTGAAGCCGAAGCCGAAGCCGAAGCCAAAGCACAACCCCCGAGGCCAGGGGTCGGAACTGCCGTTCGTCACCATCCTGGCAGCCACCGAAGACGGGAGCCATGTCGTCGCGGTCACCGGCCAGGACAAAACGCTGTGGACGTTCGAGCACGACGGCGGGGGCGTGCTCAAGGAGCTCAGTCAAAGGTATCCTACCTCTCTTCCCCCCTTCTCTTTCCCCTGAAGCGTCCCCGCTAGAAGACCTGGTCTCAACTCAAGACACGCACCGCGCGCAGAGCCATGCCCAAGCGCCCCAGCTCCGTCGCCATCACCAGCACCGCGAGCGGGCTTACCATCCTGTGCGCGGACAAGTTCGGCGACGTCTACGCCCTCCCGCTCGTCCCCTCCGCCTCCCCCGCTCCCCCCCCTAGCGCGGACCCGGCCACCCCCACCCCTATCTCCGCCGGCGCGCCCCCCGCCGGGCCCGCGAAGCCCGCCGCGAACCGGTTTACGGTGCACTCGAAGCGCAACCTGCGCGCGCTGGAGGAGCAGCAGCGGCTGCTCGCGAACCGGCCGCGCGAGCCGGCCGCCGCGGCGTCGCGGGACGGCCCCGCCTTCGCGCACGAGCTGGTGCTCGGGCACGTGTCGATGCTCACGGCGCTGGTAGTCGCCTCGTTCCCGCCTCCTACGCCCTCCTCTTCTTCTTCTTCCGCCCCCGCCAGCCCCTCCTCCGCCCCCGCCCCGTCCGGCGCCGGCGCCACCCGGCCCTACATCATCACGGGCGACCGCGACGAGCACATCCGGGTGTCGCGCGGGCTGCCGCAGGCGCACGTCGTCGAGGGCTACTGCCTGGGCCACGCCGCCTTCGTCGCCGCGCTGTGCGCCCCGCCGTCGCGCCCCGGCCGCCTCGTCTCCGCCGGCGGCGACGACCACCTCCTCCTCTGGGACTGGCCCGCCCGCCGCCTGCTCCGCCGCGTCGACCTGCTCGCCCGCGCCCGCGCCCTCGTCCCCGACGCCCCCCGCGTCGCCGCCTCGCGCCTCTACTCGTACGTCGACGGCGGCGGCAGCGATCCCTCCTCCCCGTGCTACGTCCTGGCCATCTGCGAGCTGTAAGTCGAGCCCGTTCCCCCCCCCCCCCCCTTTCCCGCTCTCCCCCATTTCTTCGTCGCCTCACCTCACCTCACCTCAACACGACGAACCAACTCAACTCACCGTCCGCGACAGCGTCCCCGCGCTCTTCATCTTCGAGCTGCCGCCCGACGGCTCCACTCTCGCACATGTCCAGACCCTGGCCCTGCCCGGCGTGCCGCTCGACGCCGTCGTCGTCCCGCAGCCTCCGCCCGCCACGGAGGCCCCGCCCCTCTCCGTGCTCGTCGTCGCTGTCGACCCGCGGGCGGACCAGGAGGAAGCGGGGGCGGGGGCGGGGATGCAGGCGGAGCTCGATTCCCCGTCGCACCTGCTCCTGTACGAGCGCGAGGGCCCGCACGCGGCGACCTGGGTCCGCCGCGGGGCCGTCGCCGCCGCGGGAGGCGGCAGAGATCATCTGGACATCTCCCGTGCCGAGCTCGACGCGATCTTATACCCGGTCGGGAACCTGCGCAAGACCGAGTTCGAGCTCGAGGACGACGCCGAGGGCCCCCCTGCCCCCGGCCTGGGCGAGGAGGGGGCCGAAATGCCTGCCTAGGTTAGGTCCAGGCCTCCTCCGTCCCGGTCGAGTCAATACGAAAGTTAGGCGCTTCTGAAACCCTCCCCGTGTGATCGCGTATTGTGTACGCTGGCTGTTACTGCCATTCTATCGTGCATGACAGACTCCGCCGGTCGCGAAGAGGAGGAATTGCCCCTCGTCTAGGGGAGCGGAGGAAGTCACCGACGCGCAAGGTGCTCAGAGCCTACTTTGTCTAGGAGTGCGCTGCTATCCTGGAAAGGCAAGCACCAATTCACACACAAATCAACGTGGCTGCAGCGGTAACGGCAATGTCGGAGACGACGATAATGCAAATAAGTATCGGATTAAAGCACATCTGTCCGTTATTCCTCTATGATCCGTCTTAACGCCAGCTCGTAAAAAAGCGTCACGAGGGGATGACGCCCGGTGTGGTCAATGGTGGATGGGTAGATAGAGAAATAGCCGCAAACAGAGTCACCTACCCTCTCCACTAAGCGAGACGCGGGCTGTCCCTTCGTCGAGCGCGTATCAACCTACCTCGGCATCCCTCTTCTTAACCATGCCAATCCATTCCCCGACTCTGGTTCCGCAAAAACATTACGCCGGGAATGTAGTTTTTTTTTCTACTGGCTCGATAACCACGAGAACCCTCGCAGGGTTAGTAGACGTCGAGTCCTGAAGGAGTTTGGTATCCCTAAAACAGTCGTTCCGTGTTTATTGCGGGGCGCACTGCACCCGTTCTCCGTGAGGGTGGCCGTCCTCATCGTCCTCCTCCATACCGTTCTGACCGCCAAACGCCCGAGCCTGTCCCTGGTTGTCCAAGTCCTCGAGTTCGACGCTGTCTGTCATGGCGTCCGTGGGAGGGATGTTCTGCAGCGACGGGGCTGGGAGTATCTTTCGCAGGGCCTCGAAAGCTGCGGGATCTGCCGTCCAATTACGGTCGGGGAACTTGACGGAGAATTGTATGTACATGTTGCCGAAGTCGTGGTGCCGGTGAGATGGCATACCTTGCCCGCGCAGCATCTTCACGGCATCTGTAAAATTGCCATGGTTAGCATCGACATCGGGTTTGAGAGGGTGAAATGCGGGGATAAAGCACCTTGCGCGATGGCTTCGCCAGGCTGGATCTCTACATTTAGCCACCTATCATCGAGATGCTCGATGTAAACGGTGCCGCCAGCTAGCGCGGTGACGAGTTCGATCTCAGCTCGGTAGAGGATATCGTCTTCTTTTCGGGTGAACCGAGGGTGGGGCTTCTGCTCAATCTCGAAGACCACGTCCCCGGCCTGGACACCAGGAGCCTGGTCACCCTCGCCCCGGAATTCCACCTTGGTGCCGCTTCTCACTCCGCGATCAACGTGCACGTGGAGTACTTTCCGGTCGACGACGGTCTTCTTGCCGTTGCAAGCCTTACAGCGATCCTTCTCCTTGATGATCTCACCCTCACCATTGCAGTCGGGGCAGACGGTTTGGAACCGTTGGATCATGGGACCCATCTGTCGCATCATGGTCTTCATACCGTGGCCATCGCAGCCGGGGCAGCGTCGGACAGCGCCCTCCTTGCCACCTCGGCCTTCGCACTTGGCACAGATGACGGAGCGTTGTAGTGCGAGCTTCGAGATTTTACCTCGATAAATGTCCTCGAGGGATACCTTGTGGGTGTGGTGGATGGTCCGCGCCTTGGGCGGGCCGCGGGAAGCGCCTCCCATGCCACCAAACATGCCACCCAGGCCGCCGCCGAAGGAGCCGGAGCTGAAGAACTGGGCGAAGAGATCCTCGGCGGCCATGCCCCCACCTCCGGCGGCGCCCTCCAGACCAGCTTCGCCATATTGATCGTAGACGCTGCGCTTCTGGGGATCGGAGAGGATCTCGTAGGCATGTGATATCTCCTTGAACTTCTCCTCGGCAGTTGGGTTGTGTGCATTCTTATCTGCGGGCCTCAGATCAGTACGGCAGAATTGCGTAGACGCGCGGCGCTTTTTGGCTGTGTAACTTACCGGGATGCCACTTCAGGGCACCAGTCTTGTACGCCTTTCGGAGCTCTTGGTCTGTCGCAGTTGGCGTGACCTGGACGGGTAGGATTAGCAATGGGGTTTCGGGGGGGGAGGCTGGGAAGGGAGAGGTTAAGACCAGGAAGCAGAACGTACGCCAAGAGCATCATATAACTTAGTCTCCTTGACCATCTTGTCGTTGTCGCAGAACAAGCCAAGTAAGCGTCCGAATCAAGGGAAGAGAAATGAATCGACGGGTAACGATGACTCGGCTGATTCAGAGAGTATCTGCGGAGGAGAAGAAATGTTAGATCTTGACCAGCCGCCCAAGACAAATAAATTGTTACAGGCAAAACAGAGTAAGGAATGGGAGCGTCTCAGATGTGTATTTCAAAGACAGGAGAGGGAGAAAAGAACCAGATGGCGGTGCCCCACTAAGTGCGCAGATCGGACAGGTTGACGACGCGAGGGGTGGAACAGGGTAGAAGGGACGGGGTGGCCTTTGGGCAGAAGAAACCCTTGGCGGGAACTCACCAATCCAGAACCCCAAGGAGGGGAGGAGGCGGGAGCGAGAGGGTGAATTGGGATCGGGAGAGAGGAAGAAGGCGAGAAGGAGAGGAAGAGGAGGAGAGAAGAGGAGGGAAGAAGAGGGAGGGAGGGAGAGAAGGCGGAGGAGGTTGGCGATTACGAGGCGATGATGCGGACGGAGAGGAAGAGAGGGCAATTGCATACGGGTGCGGATGCGTTTGCGCGAGTGCAGATGTGCGCCGGCGGATGAAGGCAGTGGTGAGGCGTGTGTCTCGAGAGTCTGAGGGCGAGGGCGAGGGCGAGGACGAGGGCGAGGGCGAGGACGAGGGCGAGCGTGGACGTGGAAGAGGACTGGACGGGACGGGATCAGGTAGATCAGAGGATGGAAGATAGGTAGAAGATAGAAGGGGTCCGGTCCTGGCTGCGAATGGTTGGTTCTAGTATGGGCTGGCAGGCAACGGCGGTACTAGATTGGTGGGATGGGTTCGGGGAAGTACCTTGGCTCAGGGCCTCTACGGACAGGGTACGGACTGGGTGGGGAAAGGATTGCTGGAAGGTTCTGGTTGACGAAACCTCCTCGTCTTCTGGCTGTTCTTCCGCTTTCTTCGCCTCGACTGCTTTCTCTGGCCTTCCTTCCCGAGGCGCGCTTACGTGGGGAGAGGTACCTATACATAAAGTACCTCCCTGGGTACCTACCTAGGTAGGTACAGGTAGGTAGGTGGTAGGTACCTAAGGTAGGTAGGCAGAGGCGGGCAGAAAGCAGGCAGCAGAAAGCAGGCAGACGAGACAGGACAGGCAAGGCAGGCTGGCAGGCACTTTACCTACCCAACCTCGCAAGAAGGGCGGGAAACAGGCACACGCACAATACACACGCAGAACGTACCTCGGGCGGGCTCGGTTGGTTCGGTCGGAGGGTCGGCAGCGCAGACGGATAGGGCTGTAGGAGGTAGGTAGGTATATATCCAGGCGACCTCAAGTGCGCGTCAGCTCCGAGAGCCGAAGGGTGCCTGGGAAATGTCGGGGAGAAGAGGAGACGACGACGCAGAAGAACAAGGTAAAGAAGACGGAGAGAGAGCGCGAGAGAATCGGCTCCAGAGTGGATGGATGTGTATGTACGTAGGAGGGGGGGGGGGGACGGGGACGGACAGATTCCTGAGATCGGCAGGAAAAGAAGGCCGACCAGCGCCGAGAGGTTGGTTGTTAGCTGGCAAAGGATGTCGAGTTATGGCAATGCACCGGTTTTGCTACCTCTTTTCCATATGCACAAGAGGGAAAAAAAGATAGGTATCATATCATGGACTAAGTATGCGTCGGCGCTAACAGTTACGTCGGTCAATCCCAGCGCTTCCCACCAACAACCGCAGCTAGAATTCACATTACGACTACTACCTAACCTGCCTCCTACGCAGCACACGTCTGCGACAGCTGAGGGTTTTTTATTGTTACTATTATTCACTGCTACATATACATCCTCTCTCGGCTCAATCGAAGCGCCGCCGCCCAATTACCCCATAGAATCCGATGGAATCGTGGCTTCCACCTCATGTACCTCTGGGGTCACTGTGAGGCTACGTTGCAGCGACTGCCAGGCGGCTTTGGGTGCGGTCTCGTGTGCCTCAGCCTCAACGCTACTTGGAGATACTTCGGACCCCTGCCGCCTCCCTTGCTCGATTCGGCACTGGATCTGCCTTATTGCTGCATGCAATGTGGAGGAGACCCAACACGGGCCATATTCTGCCGTCGCGACGGCCAATCGATGTACACACTAGGTACGTATCTATCTATGCCTATGTATATGTATGTACCTTCATACATTTCCAGACCGCGTCAAGTACAAAAAAGGTGCTGTATATGTAGATGGTATCATGTACCTACAGGTAGGCAAGGCCGCCTTGGGTCCCAACCTTTCATCGCCTTCTGACCGCTAGACCAGGCTCCCTGTCGCGCCCACCACGGAAGCAAGATCTATGAGTATGCGTAGAGAGGAAGAGAGATACGGAAATGGAGGAATGAAGACGCTGCTAACGTGCCTACCTGCCTAGGTATATGTAGTCCGGCTTCTTCTAGCTCGTTCCGGCCGTTTCTCCCACTACCCGACCCGACGGGTCTTCCAGGTGGTATCACGAAGCCATAACTGTAGGTACCTAACCTCCTAATCTATCTGTACATACATGCGTGGTACATATAGTACACACGCTATGCTACACCCCAACTGCATGGGTTGTCTACCTAGGTAAGTAGGTATGTATTCTTTGAGTTAGGCCACCCGCTTAGGCCGCATATATGGAGAGAGAGAGAGAGAGAGAGAGAGAGAGAGAAAAGCCTGGCAGTCGGCCATCGCGATGACGGACATCTATGACACCTCCCGTCCTTACCGAGATTTTCTAGCCACGTGTAATATATAGCTGGTTGGCACCGGGTGGGATACCGATGATGTGTACGGTGGGTTCTCTCGACGCTGTATCCCGTAACGCGTCCCGAGTCGACCTAGGCCGGCAGAGCCGAGCCGTGGAGCGGACGGTAAGACTGCTGTCATCTCCGTGGTAGAGGGGATAGGTAGGCATCGACTTATATTTGGGCGAGAGAAGCAGGAGAGGGGATGGGAGGTGAGTGTGTGTGCCTAGTTGTATGTGGTGATGAGCGCCGAGGAGGGATGTCCCCCAGAATTGACCGTGGGGGAAACTGATAACCTTGGGTACCTATTTATACTTACTACGCATACAGGGACCTGCTACTTTAGGTAGTATAGCTACTAGGTAGGTATATTATAAGATCCCCATTATTGTCGTCGTCTGTCCCGCGCACTAGATTCACACACCCCCATACGTATATATGTGCATACACCGATATCGATATATTTATGCTGTGAATATCGCGCTAGGCGGGCACTGACGTGTGCCGAGATAGGCCGGTTACCAACTTCACAGACAAGTAGGTATGTTACATGAGTATATGTGTATGTATTCTAATTTTATTTTATTTCATAGTATCGGGTTATTCTTTTCCTCCTGGCCATCTACCACCAATCCAGTGCCCACCTGCTTAGGGGTAAGTAAATAGAGCAGGTCTCTAATATATAACTTCGTCGGTACGCACATAATTCTAAGTACACATAGGTAGATACCAAAGCAAGCTCGCTTACCCCTGTACTTACGCGGTTCCTCCCTCTCTTCTCCTCTCGCTTCCCCTTCTTACCAAGCTGATCATTAATCCGCGAATTCGATCTACCTAACGGATTTTCACCCCTAGCCAACTCACCTACCCGGGCATCCAGCCACCTACCTCCATAGCATCCTCCCGCCGGAAAGACTCTGCATAGGTAGTTAGCGTTCCTTTTTTAGTCTCTCTCTTCTTCTTTTTCCTTCAAGCTGTAGCTGGCCAACCCTCCAGCCGTACTAAAGTTAACTGCCCTTGCCCACCCCTCCGCGCCGCTAAGTTGACCATGTATATATATCTACCTACCTACCTAATAGGTATATATACGATATCAGACCGGCGTCGGTCGGGAGTCGTGGCGCCTGTTCCCCTCCTCGCCCCCTCTCATTCCGTCTGATCAGACAGCGTGAGACGCTCAGTCCATCCCGGTCCAGATTCGAGCCTGTCAGCCGCAGGCCACCCTAGCTCGAGCCGACCATGGAGTCAACAACCTTGCAGGTAGGCAGGAATAGGTACTACCTGGCATAGGCACTCTTTTTATGCCTCGTACCGTCTCATCGTGCCATACAGGGGCGGGCAAAAGTACCTACACGACACGACATGATACTTACTACCTTGGGCCTATTATGCACAGTATACCTATAGATAGGTAGGTAGGTAGGTAGTTCAGACCCAGCCGGTGGCGCCTTGAGCACCTAGCACACGGAGTCGGGCACTGCGCAGAAGTCGCTGCTCTGTTGATTTGCGGATTGGGTCTGGCCTTTCTCCCTGTAGGCAGGTATCTACAACAGATATGTGTGTGCGTGTGCTTGGCTCCGCGGCCAGTCCCAGCTTGTCGGCTTGGCGCTGTCAGGATCGAGGCTATTCGGGGATAAGGCTTGGTGTTCAGCTAGGCAAGCCCGCACAGATAGCCGGGTGGTTGCGGGACGAAGTGGACCGTCGTCCCCAGTTCCGACCGACGGGGGCATTCATATGTATTGAGCTATTCTTGGCCACCTACAGGCGGTCGACAACAATCCCACACCTGCTTTCCCTGGTCTGCCGTATACCTATGTTTTTTGGTAATATATGGAGGTGAGTGTAAACGTGCTTGTGTGGGGGTATTGTACGTGTGTGCTGGGTGCGTTATGCCTACCTAGCATCTACTTCCCTCTCCTCCTCTCTTCTCAGATATATCTATCGCCGTTATTACCTGCTAGGTATACTATGCTATACTATGCTATCCTCACCACACTATATTGCACTACACCGCACTATACTACGCTATACGGCACTATAGGTACTGCACTTGTTTCATTATTCTATACCTACTCTGTTAGATTAGTGCCCCACGTGTTTGTTTACCTATATATATATATAATAGCTACCTTCATAAAGGCAGGTATATATGCTAGGAATAGACCAAACGGCGAATACTGCCATCACCTCCCGTGAGACGAGTGCCTACCTCTTATAAGCCGTGGTAGCTGACCTACCTAAATAGTGCATGTGTTAAGAATAGACCCTTACCTATACCTACCTAGCTATTCTCTCGCGAATCGAGGGGAGGTGTGTACCCAACTCTGGCTACCATGCTACCGGGGGGATGGAGCGGTGGGACGCCATCTAGAGCTCGATGATAATGCGCCGAGGCCTGTCCTTACTAATGCAGAGCGCCTCGCTGGCGGGCCACCGCCAGTCAACGCCGCCGTACCAGTCTGCGTGCGAGGTCATCTCGGAGATAACGTCCAACGCGCAGGACAGCCGAATCGAATGAGGGAGCGTGACTCGTCCTAACCCGAGAATATTAGCGCGAGAACACGGGCTTCGGTCGGAAGGCTCTGCGCACCCGGAATACAAATGCGTCGATGATTCTTTTCGGGATGTGTAAGCGAGCCCTCGCCCGGGAGGGCCATGGCACGATGATACCAGTCTTCGGCCAGGTCCATGGACGGAGAGGTAGGTATCTAATACCATCCCCCTTGTCATCCCTAGCGATCCCTGCCGTCGTTATACTTGCAACTCCAGCTTGGTTGCCGGAGGGAGCCCAGACATGGCTACACGCAACGATTTGACATGTGCATTCGAGAAGCTGTGACCGTGCCGCCGGGGCGCCTTGCCCGCCGATGCCACACATGGAGAGGAAGCTATGCATTGGCGACCCCGGCCTACATAAGGCTACATATGTAGGTGTGTGTGTGTGTGTGTGTGAGTGTACGCGTGGGAGTGCGTGTAAGTGCGTAGGTGCTGAGGTGATTCTGGCGGGCGGACGTACCATCGTCCAAGAACGTCTGGAAGGGGACCCTGGCTTGCCTGGCCCCGGCAACCCTCGTCGATTCGCTGTCTCTAGGGTGCCGGGGTGCTTGGTAACGCGATGACTAAGGCCCACCAATCATGAGGGTATTTTGGGATATTCTCGACCCCTAGCCAATGGAGATCGTGGGTGGTGTTCTATTTTCGACTTCTACGGTCAACCCTACCGACGCCTCGCACACCTGTGCACTTACCTACATGACTCCATGTCATCTACATACACCCGCACACACCCATAGGGGCGGGATTTGGATAGTCCCTCTGTCATTAAGGAGGCCAGCTTCCCTACGGTCCCTACCAATCAGGCTGCGCGAATGCAGTCACTTTTCCGGTCAGGCAGAGAGACTGCCGGCCTCTCACCACCCGAGGCATAGTTAACCTTAAAAGACCGTCTCCATGTCGAGATGCTCACTCCTAGGTCAGCGTGCATAGGTACATGGCCCATCTGAGGAGGAAGAGGAGGAGGGGGGTGGAAGTCAGTTCCGTAGCGGTGGGCATAAGGCGGGATCTGGAAACGGCATGTCGGTATTGGTTGCGAGCCCTCGTAGATCCGGAGGTCATAGGGCTGCTCGTATCTCATCCCTGCCTGTCTACCAGGAGAGCGGTCTCCTCCTGTTGCCCGTGGTACGTGGAGGTATATAACATGTCACTTTGTTCCCGCTAGGCCCCTCCCAGACCGTCAAATAATAGTAGTTCTTCTCCCGGAAATTTCCAAAGGAAAAGAAGTCCATCTCATCGTAGGGCTGCAGACCGCCGATATCCTGCTGGCGCCATGGAAAAGACGAACACGGCCTCGACAGCATCAACCAGGGCCAAAGCGCCCAAGAAGAGAAATAGTGACGCACGTAAGGAGCAGAACAGAATCGCGTCTCGCGCGTATCGTAAGTCGCCCAAGCCAGCCCTAGTTATTACCTTAGGATGCGTCGCTGACAGCGACTTTCCAGGAGAGAAGCGGAAGCAAAAGCTGGCCCTATTGGACGAGATCCTCAAGTCCGACTCTCAGACAGATTCGATGAGTTCGGTGTCGGACGATACTGAGGGCTATACCGGACCGTGGCCGTTCCCCCAAAGTAGGCATGCGTCAAACAGTCCCATCCCCACGACGCTCTCCACGCCTCCCGCCGCTACGTCGTGGCCGACGACGAGTCAGCCCATGTCGTCGGACGTCCAGGGTTACGGCCACAACATCTACGACGGCTGGATGAGCTGCTTCGACCGGCCGGACAACGCGCTGCCTACTAGCAACGACTACGTTCACCAGCTCATCACCACCGAAATCCCGGACCATCCTTCTCCCCCATACGGCATGCAGCCTATGCCGTCGATAACATCAACGCCGCCGACACCGCCTCTGCCGCTGGACCCGATGCTTGTTGCTAATCACGTTGTGCCACACCACCACTCGCATCCCGTCCCGAACCAGAGCCTGTCCGGCCCGCCCGGCCTCCCGGTCTACGGGGACGACGAGATCCAGCGACAGCTGTGGGTGTCTAGCCTCAAGGATGACGCGTTGATGGCGCTGGAGAGGTTCGCTGAGTACAGCCATGTGCAGCAACGGCAGGTCCTGAGCCTGATACAGAAGAGGAGAAGTCTGCCGCAGAACGCTACCGACGACCAAGGTATGGAGTTTAGATATCTGGCCTGCCAAGGTACGCCTCCAAGTAAGCTACCGACGTTGTCCGCGCCAATATCCACGCCATGGTCCCCCAAATGATAGCGACGTCACGCTGACTTCCCCTCTCTCTAGCACAATTCGCAAGCACCGACTACCGAAAGTACCAGAGCCCTCGGCACGACTCCAGGTAGCTTGCTCCAGGCGCTCACCGTGAAGACGCTTGACTCCGAGGTCGCGTAGACCGCATGCTCGGCTCCCCGACGACCCCTCCTTGTGGGTTCTTCATGGCCCCAGTCAAAATTTGAATTACCTATACGCATATCCGTCCACTCACTCCACGAATCGCCCGGCGAAATTCTTCAGCCGACAACGGTTGACGATGACTCCCGGGACGATTCAGTGACTACATGGGAAGAGAGGTGGTCTCGCGAGCTACTATCTGCATCGGCGAGATGTTGTGACGATGTGACTGGGGGATACGTGGCGGAAAAGGTTGCCTCCCTCCTCCAGGCATCTACGGTCGTAAGCCTAACTATAGTCAAGTTAAGGCAGTAGCGACAGCAGCCAACACCGGGAAGAGATCGCATCGCCGAGCCTCGGGAAGCAGACGAAGGCGGGGGCACGAAGAAGCTCTACGGCCCATCAACGCCCTCCCTCTTCCCAGTACACCCCGCTGTGATGGGGGTAGCAGCACGGTAGGGTGCATCCATCGGTCTAGGCGTTTATCTGTGTTCAACTGGCACAACTTGCGATATGACCTCACTTGGGAGTGAGACGGACCAAATGAGAAGGGGGGAGGGAGGGTACCGCAGTAAAGGGGGTAAGGAAAAAAAGGACACCGGCTCAAAGGCTTAACTACCTACCAAGCCAACCCCGATAGACAAAATGTACATAGACAATGATACGAGACGTATACACCTTCGTCGTGGTGGAAAAGTCTTAGAAAAAGAGAAGCACATATACGTATTAGCATCCCGTTCGTCACAACAACGACGTATATAAACATACGTCTAGGTTTAATCAGGATAGAGCTCCTGACCTCGGTCCTACAAACACTTAGGGGGGGAAACCATCGCTCAGACTCATCAGGAGGTGGAAAAAACAGCTATTATGCTTATATTCCTACTCCAGCACCGCAAGGCCGCTCTCTTTCCCGGGCGCTCTCCCTCTTTAAGCCGCCTAGCACCGCTATTCTCACTAGTAGATAGATACATAGTATTACGGCCACCGCCCCACGAGCTTGGTCGCGTACACGCGAGTAGTCGCCACAGCCGCAACAAGATGATATAAATAGGTATATAGGTAAATAATTCGTCTGGGCGCCCTACTTCCTCGCGCCGGCGCGCTTCCGCATCTGCTTCTCGCGCTCGTACTGGTTCGCCTCGCGGCCCTCCTCGCCCTGGATCTCGGCGACGAGGCGGCGGTACTTGCGGTCGTAGGCCTCGTCGCGGGCGCGCTTGGCGCGGAGCTGCTCGCGCGCGACGAAGCTGGCGTCGCGGCGCAGCTCGCGCAGCGCCCCCTTGCGCTCCCGCCGGTGCTCTGCCCGCAGCCGCGCCAGCGCCGCCCGCTCCCGGTCCGGGTCGTAGTGCTTGCTCGGGTCGAAGCCTTCCTCAAACTTGGGCACCGCCCCCGCGATCGCGAGCGGCCGGTGGTGGTGCAGTTCCAGCGGCCGCCGCCCCGCCCGCGCCGCTCCCAAGCCCCTCGCCACCCGCTGTCCGCTCCGCGCCGCCCGCTCCGCCAGCGCCGCCGGAAGCTCCCCCCGGCACCGCTCGCTGGCTAGGTGCGCCAGCAATGCCTGTACCGGCTCGAACGTTTCTGTGAAGGCTGATTTGCCGCTGAAGAGGTCCGCTGCTGCGTCTAGCAATTGGATCGTGGTGGCTAGGATTGCTAATTTTGCCGATGTGGCCGCCTCGTCGGATAGCTCAACTCCGAGACAGTCCGCGGGAGTCAGTTTTCTAACCCCAAACGACTGGGCATTAGCGATGCGAATTCCCGCTGCGGGTTCATGAACCGGGAAAGATCGTGGGATTTCTTCCACTTTCTTGGGTGCTAAAGCGCATAGAGTGTTAAGACAGAAGTTCATTACTTCGGGTATATAACGCTTGGAGACCTGCTGGTATTGGAGAGCTAAGGTGGATAAGTAGGCGCCCTGCGCATAATCCGCAAGACTCTTCGGGACTTTCTCAAGGTTGCGCGCGATGAGAAGGCTGGCGGGGGTTGCTACTTGATGGAAATGATCCGAGGTAGGAAAGATGCTTCCGACCGCCGTCAAGACCACGAAGTCGCCCAGGTTGGGCGATAATGGTCTTGATCGCCCAAATTCCCCCAGTTGCGAACGGAACTCGTTGGCGATCTCGACCGGATAGGATTTCGCGAGAGAGTGGATATGTCGGATGAGGCTTTCGAGAATGGAGAACAGTGGTAGCTTTGTAGCCCGATTTGATAGATGAGCCAGATATCGAACGAGGACAACCGCAAAATTGGCGAGCTTCGATTTGTTGTTGCTATCCAACTTCGGGTGATATAGTGCCCTGACTCGTTGCACCACAGTCGGGAGCTGCTCTACTAGAATGCCTTGTGTCATTTCGACAAGCTCATCTACGCTCTGCGGACAAGGGAAAGTGTAAGGAAGTCCATTCGGATCCTCCTTAGCCTCGACCGAGGTGGAAGCAGCAGCAGCAGTGCCCGCGAGCCGGCTGCCGAACGCCGGGTTTTGCGCTTCCTCTTCGTTTAGTAGCCCTTTCGTGAATTCGTCGTCATCGTCGTCATTCGATTCTCCCTCGTCTGACGACGCGTCATCTTCTTCGATAGGCTCTAGATCCGAGTCGCTAGCGATCAGGTCCTCTTCTATGAGGAAGTCGTCTTCATCATCAAACCCGAGTTCGGTCGCCGTTGGCCGAGTTTTAATCCCCTTCCCTAGTCCAAAGTTGTCCTCGGGTGTTTCCGTGAATAGTATTGGGCCGTTAGTCGGTTCGGGTTCTTGGTGAGAATTGGCATTGCCGTCTTCACCCTCGTCCTCGCTGACTTGTTCCCCACGCATCCTCTTGATTCTCTTCTCTTCTAGCTCCTTCAGCCTTTCGGACTCCTCTTGAGCTTTCTCCTCATCCGTCTTTGTCCGATCGCTAGGTTGCGCTCTCCTATCTTGCGCTAGCTGTCTGAGGCGCATATCGTAATCACGCTCCATCCTCTCCTTGGCAGCATCAGCAGCGGATCCTGGTTCGTGGTTCTCCGAGCTGGGGGGTGCCCTTTTGCTGTTGAAAAGAAGACTCCGGAGATCTGAAAGTTCCATATCGAGCTCCTCTCGTAGATCCTCGTCGGCGTCTTTTGCTGCTTGCCGCTCAGCTTTGTAAAATTTTGATTTGGCCATGACTTCCTTCATGACCTCTTGCTTGGTCTTCTTCCTTTCCGGCTGCCCCTCTATCTGGCCACCGTCCTCGGCTTCGAGACTGGGGGGGCGCATGCGCTTCGAACCGCGGCGCTCGTCGTCGCCGCCGTCGGAAGTGGTTCCGTCGGATCCTGCTGAGAGGTCCTCCTCAAAGTCGTCCGCCAAATCCGGCTCATTGAACGATAATGATTTTCCAAGGTGGGTTAGGCCCTCGCTAGGCTCGTCATCCTCGAGGTTGAATACGGAGGTCTTGTGGCTCTGCTTTTCCCTCACGAATCGTTCCCGCATCTTCTCCTCCGGGGTCATGTGTGGATCATTCTCTCCAAATCGCCGATCGAGTATGCCACCGACTTTATGGCGCCGGTTTAGTTCTACGAGTAGGGTCTGACGTCTCTAGAGGAAGCTGTCAGATGAGGACACGGGGATATGCGCGACGCCTTGGTTAGGTAGCTTACCCTCTCCTCGCTAAGCGACTTTGTCTCGCCTGGTCTTCCCTTAGCAGCATTGGTGGCAGGTCTATTGCTTGTCACCTGGAACTTGGGGCCGCGGGCATTATGCTTAAAATCGAAAGGGTTGAACTGCTCTCGGATTCCCGCCAGGTCGGCCGTCTTTTGCAATCTTCGGTTGTTGGTTGCCTTCCCCTCTAGCGCATTCTTCTTCTTCTGCTTCTTCGACAGCTGTGGGCCTATAACACCCTTTTCCCTGAGGGAGGCCTTTAATCTCTTGAGCTGAGAGCCGGCCATTTCCGCGCTCCAAGCACAGCAAAGTATGTGCTAGGATGAGGATAGGGATTTGCGGTAGACGGACTGTAGATTCGTTTCGTCTTCAGATCGCAACTTATTTTTTTAGTATGCAGATGAATTAGCCCGACTCTATCTTATCTTATCGGATTCACAACCCCTTGCCGTGGTACATAAGGTACCCATCTAGGTACCTACCGTAGGTGTGTGACGCACCTCCTGTACGTGTAGACCTTCAAGGCAGAGAGGTACCTAGTACCGAGTGGCGGAGATATTAGTAAGGATCAATATGTGGTCGCTCCATCGATAAGGTCACCGTAGGATCTCGCGCCTGTCTCACGACGTGACATTTCGGATGGCAAGCTTTGAAAAGTATCGTCTACCCCTCTGCGCCATATTTCCACGTCCCACACAGCCTTTACGATGGGGGTTCGATGAGAATACAAAAATGGGATTCCTGTCCTTCCTTAGAAACGAGCGGCTTTTTGCTGCCGGCCTCGGCCTGACCACCGTCGGCTTTTACTTTGCTATGCGGACAATCCTCGAGTACTACCGCGACGAAGCCGAGATCAAGCCAACGCCACCAAAAACTCAGTACATCACTCAGGAGACCGAAGACTCTCTGAAGCTAGGGACTCTCGAGAGCCTCCTCTTCCATTACAACTTCGCGATACGTGACACGGCGTTGAAGATTGTTGCCGGAAGGGCCGTTAATGATGGCCCAACGATGAGCTACTTGTTGTGGGGAATCACCCGCAAGGACTATGAGGAGCGTATGGAGGCGCTGAGAGCACTCGCCTTCGCCATGGAAGATAGTACGTGCTGAAGAACTGCCGAGGCGTTGCGGCTGATGGTCGACTAACCACCGCTTCTACAGAGGAGACGTTCCACGAGCCGCTGAGCGCACTGAACACTTCGAGAGCCTACAGCGCCCTTGTTAGGTCTCTCGAGCTATGTCTTGACGACGTAGAGCACGAAAAACTCGACGACCCCTTGTACGACGAGTATTACCTCCGGGATATCGGCGAGCGGCGATGCCTCCTGCTAGCTTCACAGCTGATCCATAGATATGGCATGGAGAAGCTCGTGAAAGCCGGGTTTGTGGCGAGGTGGCTCGCGCGACAACCGTGGGGGGATACTGACGAAGAGAGACAAAAGAACTTTGCCTCGTATATTGAGCGAAAGAAGAACCGCATTAGCGACATCTGCTTCCACCTCAAGACGTCTAAGGCGGGCCAAAGGGCCCTATTGCAGGCGAAGTTGATCACCAAGTCCAGGAAGCTAAAGCGCGATAGAGGCGATCACATCAAGGTTGTCCTGGAGATTAGTATGACCAATGAAGACGACCAGGAGGGGCCTTCCTGGCACGCACTTGTCCCTCGCGTGAACGACCAGAGCGCCGAGGAGCAACGCCTACGCAGGAGACACCGAGAGGCTATGGTACTCAACGACGGGACACACTCCCTGGGACGCAGCGACATTATCGAGCGGGAGCACGACTCTAACAGCTGAACACTGCCTGCCCGGTGGCTGTCGCTGCCATACGGTCTCATTGGGGGGTCGACGCACAGCCTCAAGTCGATACTTGAGAGGCCTTGTAAGGTCGAACACCGAAACCGGTCTAGATCTGGGGTTGTTAGACTGCAAGAGCTTTAGGGTATGCGCCATGATGAACCCGTTTTCGAGAGACGTCGCCCGGCCCAGACATCGCAGAATCCTCGGCGTGCGAGGCTCCGCCAGTTGTCCCCACGTCGCGTGGGCTGGTACCAGTGGCATAAGGAGCGGGATATATGAGAGGGGCATAACACATAGCACACACTGTGCATACGTAATAGGAGGTATGCTTGGCATTGCTGCTGGTCTCGCACTAGTACTTTTCTCGGGCGCATCGGGAACGTTGTCGGCTGTTCGCGAAGGGTACTTGAAATGACGCCTGGCACCTAACAGATGCAAGGAGACATACTGAGTAGGTAGATAGGTATGTATGTAGGTCTACCTTAAGTACCTATATGAGTAGAATACTCGGCGCGGAACGAATGATCTGGGTTTGGTACCCGGCATACGCGCCGCCGCTACGCCCATGTCATGTCTCGCATCCGACGGCGAGGCTCGGTCTCGAGGTCTAGCACACCTATTGTGTTGGACATGTAGTAAACAGGGGTGCCACGCCCTCCTCTTACCTTACTATGTATACGTACGGGCATAGATAGAGGAGCGTATACTCGGTTAAGGAGGTAGGAGGTAGGTAGTAGGTCTGGTTAGACATATAAAGGGGTCCTAGTGTGGTCCCTTAGGCTTGGTATATTACATGCGCTCCCGGGTACACGAGAGATTGACTGATGGAAAGAGACGGATGAATTACAAACCAACCCCCAGAAAGCCGCTACGACCTTTGCGATATCTGTGTGTCGATACATCTCGCTATGGGTGGGGGTACCTCAGGCATCCAACCATGGGCGAAAGGTGCTCGTATAGGTGTGCGTATCAAATTACTTATGATACTTAGGCCTTGATTAGATAGATCTACATGGTGGATGGTCACGAGCGTGCATTTCGTCAGAAAGCCGTCCATAGAATGGCATGTTAGGGGAAAACAGTCTTACTATGTTACCGTCGCGTCGCTTAAGTATGTAAACAAAGACAACGAAGGAAAAAAAGGAGGGAGAGAGTAAGTCCAAAAAAAAACCCCCCCCCAAAAAAACAACAACACAAAGAGCCGTCAGAGCCACGGACCGACCTCCCCTCATCTGGCTAATCTGTCAAGAGGCCAATGGCATTCGCTGCCGTCCTGATGCTTGTTTATAGCAGCATGTAATGTTGCAGCAGAGCTTCCCTAGTCACCGTAGCGTAGTTTCATTGGGAATGGGCTAGAAGGGAGATGTCGGTCCCTCTTCTGCAGAAATCTGCAATCCTGCCGTACTGCAGCGCCGACAACTGCCCAAAACGACAGCCTATCACACACCGCTTGACTTTGGAGGCGCGGTTGTGACTTGTCATTGGCGACGCGACGGCAGCTCTGCTTATGTTTTGGTTTCGCTTGTTGCCATTTTGGTTTGCGGCTTCACGATGCTGGAAGCCCGCCTAGGGGTTGGTTTGGAATAAGGAGCGGGCTGTTGGCTTTGACGTCTGCCATCTACATCTAGGTATTCTTACGTAGCATAGCAACGCAGAAAAAAGGCATTGTTATTACATGGCAAACGCATCAAAGGAAGTCGAAACAAATACATGCTCAATATCGACCGCAGGGATCCCCTACTACGTACTCCGTCGTCATCGCCTTTGTGACGGTGGCCGCTCTTTACTCCTCGCAGCCAGCTGCATCGGGTATAATAACCGCAACTATTTGACGATAGAACATCACCACAGGCTCGTTGAACACATATGCCACCCCGCATCTGTCCATCCCAATTGCGACAGAGCTACGAGGACTTCTCTCTCTCTTTTTGTTATACATTTTGACCCATGCCCAATTGCTGGGCACCAATCTTCACTTAGCCAACACCCAGGTCTTCTGTTCCCCAAGATCTTCAGGAGTCGTCCGCGAGAGAGAGAGAGCAGAGAGCAGGTAGGTAAGTTCGCCAGGGGCAGATTTCATTTCTCGTATCCAGGCTCGATTGTGAGCACTGTCACAAATCTCGTCCCCGTATCCTTGTCTATCTATCTTGCCTTTTTCTTTCTACACAGCGCCCAGACATTTCCCGCCCACCATCCCACAGCTCAGCGCAGCGCGGAGACTCAACGCAACAAGACGCAACAAGACGCAACTCCTATACAACATCTGCTCGCCTATCTATTTTGTCTCTGTTCCCGTCCCCCGCCCCCTGTCCGCTCTGGTTCTGCCCATCGCAGCAGTTGAGCCTGTTTAGCCCTCCGCGCCCTCGACCTGTTCCCCTGGAGACTACGCTTTGTTTGTTTGTAGCCCCCCCCCCCCCCTCGTGCCCAGCCGCAGTTGGGCTCGTTAAGCCTTTTTATTAACAATTAATTCCAGCGCGCCAGCTTGTCAGACCTTTTGGGTGTGAACCATTGGCCACCAGCAGCTCCCCTATTCCCACCTGACGGACGGACGGCCACCGGCAGCAGCCCACGACCATCATCTGATTAGTGGACTCTTTAGGGGGGTGTCATCCCATCAGCGACCCTCAGCGGAATCATTGGTGGGAGACATTAGGATTGAGCTAGGGGCCAACCGGAGAATCAGTAGCGGGAACCGTCAAGGGGGGTGCGCCGCCCTAGGTGCCTGGAGGTACCTAACCTAACCTGCCTAGGTACATACCACTACCGCTACCACATCCACTGCCACACCACCAGCTCACCACCATCCACAGCACACTTCGCGCTGTTATCCACCGCGTCAGGTACCTGTCAAGTACTAAGCTGAAGCCGCGCTAGTACCGAGCGGGTGCCAGCATTAGGTACAGACGCTACCTAACCGCTACCTAACCTCCCTACCTAGAGGTACCTCCTCCTACGCACCTAACATACCTACCTAAGGTAGTACGCCTGCCCACTGCCGCCACGGCCACCCACTACCCATTCACTACGTATACAGTCCCGTCCATTCATACCGACACACCACTAAAACGCGACCCCGAAGCGAAGGGGGAGAAAGAAAAAAAAAGACGGAGGGGACACTTTGGCCCACCATGACTTCGACAGCAACTCTCTCTCCGCAACAGAGACAACACACTCTGTCTCGCAGCACCAGAAAATCCGGCATCGCGACCGCCTCGTCCCCGAACCTCAACGGTCTCTACACGGCTCATTCGCGGCCTCCCCCCAGCTCCGGCGCCCTTGCGCGCAAAGCGTCCTTCGCTGCCCTTACTCCTAGCTCCTTAGCTTCCATCCCCGATGACAGCGAGAGCTACGCTATCGACAGCGTCCTGACCGAATCACCGCGCAAGATGCCCCCCCTAACGCCAGCCAAAGCCTCGAGGGCTTCCGACGACGTCTCCTTGGGTGACAGCGTCGAGGTTCCCGGGAACATGACCGGAACCGTCCGCTTCGTAGGCACCGTTGCCGGGAGGAAGGGCACATTTGCCGGCGTCGAGCTGCATCCCGAGTTCGCTGCGCGCGGCAAGAACAATGGTGAAGTTGATGGGTAAGTTATCCCCCCTCCCCCTCCCCTGCGCCGTCTGTTCCCTCTCCCTTCCTCCTTGTCTACCCGTTGTTTACTAACGCGCCCCCTTTCGTAGGTTCTCGTACTTCAGCACGTCGACCCCCGGCGCTGGTATCTTCGTACCAATCAACAAAGTAAACCGCGACCTGGCCCCTACGCTCGTTGGCAGTGCCCATCCGCTTACCCCTGAGTTGAAGGTCGTAGGTCAGAATGCCGCAAATCACACACCCCCGACGCCGTCCTTGCCGTCGTTTAGCAAGTCTCTCGGACCGTCCCGAGCCCCGAGCCCCCAAGGGAAACAGTTGAGAACGTCCTTGTCCCGACCCGAATCCCCCGTCCGCAAACTGCAGCTCACCCCGGCCCCCCGAACGTCGATGACGCCCGTTCCGAAGGTGCCTCCCCGCTACGGCAGTCCCACCATTACTCGATTTGGGTCAAGCGTGCGAGGCGGTCCCGGCGACCCGAACAAGCCGCCGAGGCTGGACAGGAAACCAAGCCTGGCTCCCAGGAGTGTGTCGGCGTTGGGGCAGATTACTTCTACTTACGACGAGGACGAGATCACCCCCATGGGGTCGCACGTCAAGACGAACGGGAGCATCGGCTCGATGTCATCGCTATCCTTCAAGCGCCCTGCGTCCCGGGCCGCCCACGCCAACGAGGAGGAGATTGAGCGGCTCAAGTCCCAGCTAGAAGACCGGGACCGCCAGCTGAAGGAGCAGGCCTCGGCCCTGGCTGAGATGGAGAGCAGCCTTTCTGAGTTGACGGTATTGATAGACCAGTCTGATGGCGGGGGGATGCGATCGGGCAGTTTTGACGATAAAGACACGGCCCAACTTCGGGCCATGCTTAGAGAGAAGAACGAGAAGATTGCCATGCTGACTGCGGAGTTCGACACCCATCGTGCCGACTTCCGCAGCACGATCGACACGCTCGAGATGGCCAGCACTGAGACCCAGCGGGTCTATGACGCCAAGATCCGCGAGCTAGAACAAGAACTCCACGAAGCGCAGGAACGGCACGATGACGTCGACAGTGTAGCACGTCAGCTGAAGCAACTCGAAGAACTAGTCCAGGAACTTGAGGAAGGCTTGGAAGATGCTCGCCGAGGCGAGGCCGAAGCCCGTGGCGAAGTCGAATTCCTACGGGGCGAGGTCGAGAGAACGAGGTCAGAGTTACGGAGGGAGCGTGAGAAGGCTTCCGCCGCTCTCGACGGTGGCCAGCAAGAGGACAAACTTTCCCTATCGAGAGAGCTGGAGCAAAAAGAAGATGAGATCAGGGGTCTCAAAGCCATCATACACTCCCTCAGCAGAGACGCCGTTCCGGGAGTCGATTCTGCGGAAAAAACTCCGACCCTGCCGCAACGCAACAATTCCTCCAAGTCTCGTCCTGACTCTATCGACGGTCACACCACGAGGGAGACACTCGAGCGCGAAGTCCTAGAGCTGCGCAGCCTAGTCGATAGCAAAAATGTGCGGGAAGAAGAGCTCGAGCGCGAGGTCGAGTCTCTCCGCCGCGGAAGCACGTCGACCCACCGTGTTAGCTCCGCAACCATAACCAGCACCCACCGATCATCGTACCGCGACTCGAAGGGAACCGTTGTTCTCGCGCGGGAACCGCACTCGCCTGAAGCTACTCATAAGCGGGTCCGAACCCTCGATACGATGCCGGAGAGCGATGCCTACTCGTCAGCCACCGAGATCAGCACTCTCTGGTGCGAGATTTGCGAGACCAGTGGACACGATATCCTGACCTGCACCAACATGTTCGGACCCCAGAACGAGCAGGGCAAGGGTGGCGTCGGCGCCCACGACCAACCACCTGCTAAGGTGGGCGGAGACGTTCCTCGGGAGAGTCCCATTGCCAGCAAAGACAGCTTAACCGTCCCCCACGGTGCTGGTGAAGACGACAAGCCCCGACCCCTGTCCCCGATGAAGAGCAGGCCGATGGTTGCGCCTCCCGCTGCCACCATCATCCTTCCTAACCCGCAAGACTCCGGGCCGTTAGCCGGCAAGGACAGCGGAGTGGTGGATCCAGAAAAGTGGTGTGCTCTATGCGAGCGCGACGGACATGACAGCATCGATTGTCCTCTAGAAGACGCATTCTAAGGTGATGAGGCCCACAGCGCTTCGGCACGCACGACTCGACGTAAAATATGCGAGGGCCATCAGGAGGATGGTTTATCGGGGTATCCGAGCGCCCGATGTGAGAAGAGACGGGATGAGACGCCCTGCAGGCTCACCGTTGGGCTACTTCTATATATCAAGAGGCCTTATTTCCACGGGGAACGCACTACGAATAACGACCAATGCCTCTACTGCTACTTTCGGAGCGATGATACCAAAAAATTTCTTGCTTGACACGGCCTATAATTTGACCATCCCCTTGTTTTAGTTCGCTCTCCTCCCTCGTGTGGATATCTGATAGGCGCGGGCAGGCCAAGGTGGTAACTAGGGGCTACATTGTGTGCGATAAAAAAAGTGTGTATAGGGAGACGGCTCGAAACTGGGCTTCACATAGGCTACCCAGTTCCAAGTACCACCGGCTACTTGTTCCATAGATGTATTATACGTCGGCCTAGCTCTAGGTCTCTCCCAGGTAATAGACCTTGGATTCTTAATGTACAGATTACCTACCTAATTATATACTTATTTATGTTGCCCTCGACTTCGACCTCGACCTCGTAGCAGTTTTAATAGCATTGCCGAGGGGTACCGTGTGCTGGGGCGGTATCGTGGCCTACCTAGTAGTTAGTGCCCTCACGACCCGGGCTCGCTCCGTTTGCCTCCATCCACGCTCCGTCACGACTGCTCGCCTCCAACAGAACAAGGCCGTGATACGAGTCAATTGGGTCCATCCACACTCGCCAGTTCGCCTAAGCATTTTGTGTACGTACTCAATTGACTCGTCTCTTTTCTCGCTGCGTTTGTCTGGGCCTGGCTTCGAGGTATCCGGGTGAATAACGCCCACATTTGGACGTGCAGGCTGCCGGCAACACGGCCATCTCGCGCGAGACACGTATGATATCCGGATACGAAATACAACGTTGGCTGGCAGGCGGACCGCCGGCAGCTCGTGATAGGGCTGGCTGGCCAGCCTGAGGGTCGGCTCCCGACCCAGAAGGCGGCAGGCACGGGCCTGCCCGGTGGATGATTTGCTGCTGCCGGCGTTGGCCTGGGGACGCCAAGCGGCTTCCCCGCAACGAACCGGAGCAGCTGCCAAGTCAGCAGGTCGTCGTTCTTTCCCCCTTCACGCGTTGTCTCGCTGCCGACGCCTCCTATTCGTCGCCACGGACGACTGTGGAGGTAACTACTGCGTAATGCACTCCACCCCTGCATCTCAGGAACGCTCCACATCGTACCTGGCTGCGGAGGAGGTACCTGAGGTTAGCAGGCCGGCCACGCCACCAGCTCAGGTACCTCTCAACCCCCCCTGTACATACATACCTACCTGGGCAGGCATCTACTGCGTGCCTAGCGCTTGCCTCTTAGACCTACCTGCTTGCTTGTCTTCGATCAGCTCCGGCTCTTGTCTGGAGCTGCTGCGTCCCTCTCGATTTCTTCCCTCCGTTCTCAACATCTTCACTTTCGCTCACTGCTTTACTATTAGCATCATCTCCCACGGATGTGGCGCACACCGCGGCCGTACTGTGTTTCTGTATCTGACGGCCGTTTCTAGCTACGCCGAATTCGCCGACCCATTGCCCATCCCACGAACATACGTCGATGAATACGCTCGTTGACCGCCACAGCAGTATAGAATACACAGCGGATCCCCATTCTTACCTTAATAGCACAGCCATCTCTTCCTCGTGCCCATAATACGCTAATCTAGGCCCCTCGGCGGCGGCAACGCGCTTGCCGATATCCATACCAGCCTCCACTGCGAAAGTTGTCGTCATGGGCGGAGAAACCACGAAGCCAAAGGTCGCCGAGACCCAATACCCGATCCGCGCACCGGCTCCCGTCGGCAAGCGGATCACACACATATACAAAGAACGTATCACTCAGTTCTACTCTTCGGGACAATGGGAAAGCCAGAATCTGCTGGCTATGATGTACGAGGGCGTGGCTTCCGGGGGCCCTCATGTCCACCTTTCTACCTGGGCCGCCCCGGGACTCACGAGACCGACCTTTGCCGAGGCGGCGGCTGGCTCGTATAAGCCCACCTCGGTTGGGGAGTCATTCGGCCCTTCTTGGGCTACTCACTGGTTCAAGGTGGTGCTCCGCGTTCCCGCCGATCTCCGCGACAAGGAGCACTTGGAGTTCCACTGGGACTCCAATAGCGAAGCAATGGTTTGGACCGACGACGGAAAGCCCCTGCAGGGTCTGACCGGCGGGGGCGAACGTGTCGAGTGGATCCTCCCGGATTCTTTCCGTGACGGCAAGGAACACACCATCTACGTCGAGATGGCGTGCAACATGATGTTCGGCAACCCGTCCGGAGATATCATCCAGCCCCCTGAGCCTAACAGGAGCTTCCAACTCGTCAGGGCCGACATCCGTGCCGTCAACCTGGACGCCCGGCAATTGTGGATCGATACCTGGATAATTGGCGACGCTGCTAGAGAATTTCCCGAAGATTCCTGGGAGCAACACAAAGCGCTGAACGTCGTCACTAACATCATCGACTCTTATGTACTTGGTGACAAAGACTCGATCAAGCGGTGTCGCAAGATTGCGCATGAGTACATTGGGGCCAATATTGATTCTTCTAAGGTCTATGATAGCGGGCTTACCCCCCAGGTCTTCGGCATAGGCCACTGTCACATCGACACCTGCTGGCTATGGCCGTGGGCCGAGACAAAAAGAAAGGTTGTCAGATCGTGGTCGAGTCAGTGCAACCTCATGGATCGGTACCCGGAATTCAACTTCGCGTGCTCCCAGGCGCAGCAATACAAATGGCTGAAGGCCTACTATCCGTATGCTTTCGATCGGGTGAAGCAGAAGGTTAAAGAAGGTCGATTTCATCCAATTGGCGGTAGTTGGGTCGAACACGACACGAATTTGCCGAGCGGCGAGTCTCTCGTCCGCCAATTCCTATACGGGCAGCGGTTCTTCGAGAGCAATTTCGGGGAGCGATGCCGCACCTTCTGGCTCCCCGACACCTTCGGGTACTCGAGCCAACTTCCCCAGATCTGTCGTCTAGCCGGTATGGAGTATTTCCTCACGCAGAAGCTCAGTTGGAATAACATCAACAACTTCCCCCACACCACCTTCAATTGGGTTTCTCCGGACGGGAGCCAAGTCATCTGTCACATGCCGCCCTCTGAGACTTACACGTCCAACGCGGAGTTCGGCGATGTCAAGCGAAGCGTCTCCCAGCACAAGTCGATGGATCAAGACCACACATCGCTCATAGTTTTTGGTAAAGGTGATGGTGGTGGTGGCCCAACTTGGCAGCATATTGAGAAGCTGCGACGCTGCCGTGGCATGAGTGACCAGGTTGGCCGTCTGCCTAGAGTGCACCTGGGCAATACTGTTGACGACTTCTTCGACAAGCTCCGGGAAAAAGCTGACACCTTGGTAACCTGGTACGGCGAGCTCTACTTCGAACTTCACCGTGGTACCTACACTACTCAAGCGAACAACAAGCGCTACAACCGGCAGTCAGAGTTCTTACTACGCGAACTCGAGCTACTAGCGACTGTCGCATCGTTGAAGGACAGCACCTACAAATACCCGAAAGAAAAGCTCGACGAGATGTGGGAGGCGGTCCTTCTCTGTCAATTCCACGACTGTCTCCCCGGAAGTTCCATCGAAATTTGTTACGATGACTCGGACGAGGTGAGCTACTGAATTGTGAGACACGCCCGAATCTGCTAACACTAGAGCAGCTATACGCCCAGGTATTTAAGACGGGGCAGGAAATATACGACGATATATACTCCCTTTGGGGGATCTCGCAGACCGTAACCGCCGCCGACAGCGTACCTATAGCTCTAAATACGCTTCCCTGGGACCGAAAGGAGTTTGTCAACCTCCCGAACGGTGCAGTCGGTGTTGCGAGCGGCGGCGGGGGCGTCATCGACGTCCAGCCGTTCAAGGCGGGGGCAACCAAGGCTGTCACCGTTGAGGAAATCGGCGACGGCGTTTTTGTCCTGCAGAACGACCAATTGACTGTACAGGTCGAGGATGGCTGCATTACTTCCCTCGTCGATCGCCAGGTTGGGCGAGAAATTATCGCGAAGGGGGAGAAAGCCAACCAGCTCGTCATCTTTGACGATAAGCCATTGTACTGGCAAGCATGGGACGTTGAGGTTTATCATCTGGACACGCGCAAAGTGCTCCCCTATGGCAAGACCCGGATCTACGAGGACGGAGACCACCGGGTCAGCGTCTTGACCGAAGCCAAGATCAGCGAGAATAGCTCGATCAAGACATTCTTGACGTTGTCCGCTGCCTTCGAAGGCCAGCAGTCATACGTCGAATGCACTTCCCTCGTGGATTGGCACGAGACTATGAAATTCCTCAAGGTCGAGTTCCCCGTAGACGTGAGAAATACCGAGGCGTCCTATGAAACCCAATACGGAGTCGTCAGGCGCCCTACCCATTACAACACTACCTGGGACATGGCCAAATTCGAGGTGTGCTGTCACAAATTTGCCGACTTGTCGGAACACGGTTACGGTGTCTCGATTCTCAACGACTCCAAATATGGCTTCGCTACTTGTGGTAATCTCATGCGCCTGTCCCTCCTGCGGTCTCCGAAGGCGCCCGACGCACACGCGGACATGGGCAGCCACACGATTCGCTGGGCCATCTTGCCGCACCAGGGCGAGCTGAGCGCCACGACCGTCCGCGCCGGATACAACTTCAACCACCCAATCAAGCCACTATCGGTGCCCAAGAAATCGTCAGCCCACGCCGCGCTCTCCAAACTCCCCATCCGGCTAACGGGCGACGACTCGCTGGTGCTAGACTGCGTGAAGCGCGGCGAGGACGACGAGGACGTGTCCTACGACAGCGGGATCCCGCCGCGCAAGGGGCAGAGTGTCGTCATCCGCATCTTCGACAGCCTGGGCGGCCGTAGCGCGGGGACCGTGTCGACGACCTGGAACGTGAGCAAGGTGTTCAAGACCAACATCCTCGAGGATGACGGCGAAGAGATCGAGATCGACCACGACGGCACCTTCAAGGTCACCCTCCGGCCTTTCGAGGTCGCCACCTACCGGCTACAGTTATATCCTTCTGGCGGCTCGAAGTAGGAGAGGTCTAGTTAGGTTTAAAGGTCTTGGAAGCTTGCGCTCTTTAGGTGGTTTCTAGTAGTATACGAGGCACGCCTACGAAAAGGACGAGGGGGACTCCATAGGGGGCAGCAGGCGGCGGCTATGTGGGTTGGCCATACGTCGCTGGTGTATAGCTGAATATTTGGGGGGGTGAACATATTGCGAGCCTGGATCCCTCGCGCGTTAGGGATAGGTCGGTTGCTCACGGAGGGTGTCTTGTGTATGCAGAGCGCAGCGTAAAAATTGGGAGTATGAAGAAATGAATGAACCAGATCTCATCGGTTCACCGTAGTCGCCCGTCTAAATAAATTTCCGCGCCGATCTAGGATATCACGCGCCATCTATTTTATCGCTTGCCCTGCTGAGGGGGGCTCAGCGTGCCTTAGGAATTGATTATACGTTTTCATAGCTCCCTCAGCGACGGGTATCATAATATAGATATATATAGAGCCTCCACTTAATAAACATACATGCCAGTGCAGACGGTGAGGGCCGCATTGTCATTACAAGCAAGGAGGAGCGCGCAGGCGGGCATTCCGCCTCTATTCCCGTCTCAGAGTCCCTGCTCCTTGCCTCGGCGCAGGGTATAGTTAGTTAGTTACCCCCTTTCCCGCTCGTTCCGCTGCAGCCAGCCCCCGTACCGCGCGCGAGAGGGCAAGGCTCACCGGATGTGCACCTCGAGCGAGTCCAGGTCGCCGATCTCGGCCTCGGCGATCGTCGTCTCGGCGCCGAGCACCTCGCCGTCCCACCACATCTCGACCGTCTTGTCCTCCGGCACCCGGGCCAGCACGCGGTAGACGCGGACGAGCTGGGCGCCCGTCGTGCGCAGGCGCGCCGTCGCGTTGACCGGCGGGTGGTCGCGCGTCTTGAACAGCACGCGCACCTTGGTGTCGGGGTCAGGGTCGGCGTCATGGTGCTGCTGCTGCTTCTTCTTCTGGTCGGGCTCGGCGGACGCGCGGCCGTTATCGTCGTCGCCGCCGTCGTCATCGTCGTCGTCGGGAAGGCCGCCGAGGGCGCGGCGCTGCTGGCGCTCGCGGCGACGCTGGTCCTCGGCGTAGAGCTCGTCGGTCCAGGCCTCGAAGTGGACCTTGTCGCGGCCGCGGTAGCCGTCGCGGGTGCCCTCCCAGCTGGGGTAGAGCTTGCCGTCGCGGTCGGGGCGGATGCCGAGCGTGCGCAGCGTCGCGTGCGCGTACACCTTGTCGCCCTTCCAGGCGAAGAACATGGCCTCGAGCGCGGCCCGCCCGAGCGGGCTGCGCTTCACCACCTGCTGCTCCACCCACGTCTGGTACACGATCGTCAGCGGCTGCGACACCCGCCGCCGGAACAGCAGCGGCTCGATCCCCGCCACCTGCGACGTCACCAGTATCTCCACGATCGGGTCGTCGTCGTCGTCGTCCTGCGCCGCCCCGCCGCCGCCGCCCCCCGCGTCCGCGTCGCCCCCGGCCTTCTTCTTCGCCTTCTCCTGCCGCATCCGCTCCATCGCCGCGCGGATGTAGAACTCGGACGGGTCGTCCTCGCCGCCGTTTTCCGTCCCGGGCTCGCCCGAATCGGACTTCTGATCGTTTTTGTCGTCGTCGCTGTCGTCGTCGAGTACGACTACGTCGCCCCGCGAAGGTCTCCGGTCGGGACGCTTCGACTTGGAGGGGGCGGGGGCGGAGGAGGAGGGTGTCGCGGGTCTCCTCGAGGTCGAGCGCGTTGCCCGCGGCGGCCGCGAGGGAGATCCGAACCCGTCCGAGCTCTTGTCACCGTCGTCGTCGTCGTCGTCGTCGAGGACCACGACCGGCGTTTCGGTCTTGCGCGAGCGAGAGCGCGTCGGGCCTCGGCTCTCGGACCCCGCGATGCTCACGGCAAAGGAGCTCGCGGGCTTGGAGCTGGGCGTGCGGGGCGTCGAGGCCGATGTCCGCGATTTCCGGGGCCGGGGACTGGTGCTGTCGTCTCCGCTGCTGCCGCTGCCAGCCCCCTTGTTAGCATCGTCGAACCCATCCTCGTGGTCGGAGAGCGAGACGCGACGGCGTTTCTTGGCGGACCCGGAGTTGTGCGAGAGCTCGTCGTCCGATCCGTCCTCCTTGGCCCTCTGCTCCTGGGCCAAGCGCTCTCTGCGTTCTCGTTCTGCTCTGGCGGCTTCGGCCGCCTTCGCGGCCTCTTCTCTCTCGGCCTTCTCCTTTTCGGCCCTCTCCCTGGCCTGCCTTTCCCGGTCTTCGATGATGCTGGGGAAGAATTCGCTGGAGCGGCTGAAGAGGGAGAGGCTGTCCTCCTCTGCTGCCTCGCTGGACTTGTGCCGGGCGGTGCGCTTGAAGGGGAGCTTCTTCTTCTTGGTCGGCGAGGGTTGCTGTGGGTCCGCCATTGTGTGTAAGTGCAGTACTAAGTTGAGGATCAATACGCGAATTAGTTCCTAGGAATTTGACAGGTTGGTGTGTGTGGTTGAGGTGTCGAGGTGGTCGCGATCAAGGTGTACTCTTGTTGTGGGTGCGGGAGACGCGACGTAGCAAGCGAAAGGGCGGAATGACGGTTGAGTTCGCGAGCAGGTGTGCCAGGGGGGTTGTTGTTGTGAGGCTGTTGCTGCTGATTGGGGGGTAAGCAGAGATGGAGGTGGGAATCGAGGTGGGAATGGAGGCGGGACAAGAAAGAGAGAGAGAAAAGGGCAATGCCATCATGACTTAACAAGGGTGAGTAAGGTCAACAAGGCGGAGGAAGGGTGCTGCCGGAAGAGGCTTGAGTGGTTCGACCTGAGGTGAGGAGAGGAAAGCTGGGGTACGCGAGGGATACGCGGGGCACGCGATGAGGTACCTGGTAGGCTGCCTTCTGTGGTACCTCCTAGGGCACGTAGTATCCGCCGCCCTAGCCCAATAGACGCGTCAATACGTACCGCGTTCCGCCGGGACAGGTACTGGGCAGGTACCTTGCCTGGGAACCACCCCACCTCCATCGAGAGATGCCATTAAAGGGTGTATTCACGAATGCATAACGTCGTGCATATCCTCGATCTGCATACATCTGCACCCTACTTAATGAGGAGCCTTCTCTAGGTAATCCACACCACGCATCATCAGGCACATAAACACCCTCACCCATAGACTCAACCCCGGCCAGCTCCGGAACGGCATCCCTATCTTCGTGCCTGCACCTGCGCCCACGGCTTCATTTCCAACCAGCTAGGCGTCCGTCCTCTCTACGATGGAAAACGGCGCCGCAAGCGCCCAGGCCGACGGCAAGGATCCGTCTGGCTTCCTCTCCGACATCATCAGCAAACCCGTGACCGTGAAGCTGAATTCCGGAGTCGTCTACAAAGGTGCGTTCCTCTCACCTTTTGCCGTGCCGCCTGCGTCGTTTCCTTCTAGGTTTTAATAACGGCAACGTGTATGTGCGCAAGGGAGAGGCAAAGCACCGGGAGCACATATCCCCCCCCCCTCCCTTGGAATGGTGCATACTAACATAGCTGCGGCATGGCAGGCGAGCTGCAATCGGTGGACGGATATATGAACATCGCACTCGAGAAGACAGAGGAATACGTCAACGGCGTGAAGCGGCGGACCTACGGAGATGCGTTCGTGCGAGGAAATAACGGTAAGTAAGCCCCATAACTGCGAATATGAACGCACTCTCTCCATACATATACACTAATGCTGAGCTCAAGTTATGTACATCTCTGCCGACTCGTGATGCACGGCGCTTAGCTTCTCTCAGTGGCACGTCACGGCCATGGTCGGGGTTATTAGCTCGCGAGCTGTGAGGACTCTCTGTATGGGATATGGGATGCTGCTCTCTATTTCATTTCCTAGCTAGTGTTTTCTATGTGGATCCTAAAGCATCATGAAGAGGCATGCATACCAGAGAGGTATATATGTCAATACCGACCTCATCGCTATAGGAGAGCCAGTGGTAGGGTATATCGTACGGTGCTCGACCTATAGACAATTCACGTATGGTGGGCAGTTGCAGGATGCCCATGCCTGTTCTATATGCATCTCCAACATGTGTGTGTCTCAAACGCGCCCTCGCCCAGATTCGCTCTATAATCTATCCGTCCAGAAAAAGTAGGTGAGCCCGTGGACGGCGATCTCACCCTTCTCGTTTCTTTCCACGTCGTCACCTCGGATGGTCTCCTCGAAGAGCCGGACCCAGGCCGCCCGCTTCTCTCCCTTGAGCACGGCAATCTGGCTCAGGGTGTTGAGTCGCGACGCCAGTGCTTCCTCGCCCAGCCAGACCGTCCACTTGACGGTATCTTCGCCGAGCGGGAGCGTGAAGTTGGGCAGGCTATTGGTCAAGGTGTCCCTGATGGCCCGGAGCGGGTTCCCCGGCAACTGCTCTTGGAATACGTCTCTCCATTTCTTGAGCAGGAAAATCAGCTACGCGGGACATGTTGGCACCGGCCGAGCATCACCAACCTGATGTCTGAACCGGGGCAGGCCGTCGTCAAGCGACCAGACGAAGTCGTTCAGCTTCTGCTCCCATTTGGTGGACGCGTCCCAGGAACGGGGTTTGTTGTCTGGCTCGTTTGCCGGCTGGTTAATCTCCCCTCCGAGGGCGGTTCGGGGAGCTTCAGACGGGCTTACAGTCCTCGATGTTCCATATGGCGCCAAGCACAGCCCCGGGTTTCAGCACGCGGTCGATCTCCTTCAGCGCCTCCGGGGTGGCGAACCTGCAGGTACGGCATGAGCAGAGACTTCGAAAGGGTGCCGACGCTAGCGTTAGCGGTTCGCTCACCAGTGGAATGCCTGTGAAATGTCGGCATGAGCTGCTAGTACCAAATCTGTGCTTGCGCGACAACGTTCAACTTTGTATTACCTACCTGAGCAGCGATGCAGGCATTGCCCCATTCATCGTCGACGGGCACCTTATCGGCCTTGCCCTCGACGACGTCAACGCCGGACAGGCGCTTCTGCACAAGCTTCTCCCTCATGCCGTGGTGGGGCTCGACGGCCTTGACGGCGAAGCCCTCGGGCCTCCGGGCCAGGAGCTCGGTGAACTTGCCGGTGCCGGAGGCGATCTCGACGATCTTGGCGCCCGGCTGGTGAGCGACCTTGAGCTTGGAGAGGAAAGCCTCGACAGCCTCGGGCGGGTAGGAGGGGCGGTGCGCGTCGTAGGAGGCGGCGTCCTTGAAGCCCTGCTCGGCGGCCACGGGGAGATCGCTCTTGACCTGCGATGCCATTTTAGAGGACGACGACGAAGAGGAGAAGCGGCGCGAGACGGGCGTTAGGCGGGCTGGAGCGGTGGGTGGCAGACCGGAAGCTATTCTCAGTCTAGTGCACTTGAGCATGTGAGACAGGGAGGGGGGCGCCTACGTGCGTATGCGTAGGGGTATTTACTCACACAGGAGAGGGGGGTGAAGAGGAGGAAAAGAGAGGGTGGGATTATGGGTATGGGTATAACTACCTACCTACCTAGGTATACCTATATACCTAGATATGTGTTGGATGTAGGTAATAAAGGACCTTTCTCAGCGGTATTCTATACCTACCTTGCCTGCGGATACGGCAAGGGTCTCGTCTCTACGTAATCTTCCCCCGCCCATGAGACGCTGGATCTGAGCCTTCTCGATGGCGTCAGTCCCGATAGCGCATCGGAAAGGTGGTGGGTGGATTTCTGGCCTCAGTTCCTGTACCCCGCGGTCGGTTGCCGCTTATCGCCTATCGGTATCGCTAGCAATAGACGTAGGTACCTAGGTAGGAAATGATTCAAGGGATTGGGTACAGTTTACATTCTGTTAGGTACCTAACCTACCTGCAAGTAAGCATGTGTAGGTGCCTAGGTACCTCTTGTAGGGTTGGTAGAAATAGAAACTGAAGGTACCTACACAGATTTCAGGTGCCCGATTCGGTAATATATGGGCAGGATGTTGTGCAGATATTGTACCTACCTCCTATATGTGCACAATGTCATGGCATAGGAGGTACTTGGTATTCAGGTACCCCGTACGTAATCGCACATGGCTCAGCCTCCAAGCCCCGGAGCTCTCTTCCTCACTTTTTTTCTTGTCCTCTCCTCTCTCGAATCCATACCTCCTCCTAGGCAGTCCCCCTTAAGGTCTGGGCACAGGGGTGGGCACTGGTGCTCACTGCTTCACCAAGCTTCCACCCTACTTAGACCCTACTTGGCCACTTTTCGTTGGGTCTCAGGCTGGCCGAGCCATCCAAACCACCTAATATTACCGCTACATACCTCGTCCGTCGACACGCTTCTCCTTCTCCCCCCTTACCTTTCCTCCCCGGACTTATATCTACCTACACACCTGCTTCCCTCGGTGAATTCACATTGTTAGCCCCCCCCCCTATTCTAGTTGTAGCCTACTCTTTATCTAGGTACATCCATACAGCCATTTCGATGTAATATTAGGGTCGTGTGCCAGGGATCCCGGTGAGACGAACCCCATGCTTTTTTTCCTCTTTGTCTGCTTCACCGAGAACGCGGCGGGAGAGGAGAGATACTCCCATCTGTCCAAGCGTCCGTAGAGGTAATGGTCTGGCTAGAGCGCCCTCGCTTCCTCCTACAGCCGTCTCTCCGCTGCTCGATCTCCCTCCCTACCGAACCAAATGCTCATTAGATACCGCCGCTTCAGGCGTAACTACCTGCGCCCGATCCTCCTCGTCCTCTTCTTCTTCTTCGCCATCGACGCCGTGCTCGTCGTAAACCGTCGACCCTACACCTATCGTACGAAGCTGACCGCCGACCGCCGGTCCCCCGCCTCTCCGGCCGGGAACACCACCGTCTTCATCGTATCCATCCACCGCAACACGGAGCTGATACAGAGGTTGTCGTGGAACCAGGCAGTGCTGGATCTGGTCGACTACCTCGGCCCCGAAAATGTGCACCTGTCTGCGGTCGAGTCGGGTTCCCAAGAGGGCACCAAGGAGGCCCTCTTGGACCTCAAGGCCGCTCTCGACGAGAGGGGCGCGTCCAACACCGTCAGCTTGGGGCTGACGGTCTGGGAGCAGCTGGAGGAAATCGGGACGCGACCGCCCCCGGGCGCGCGTGAGCCCGGCTGGATCTGGAACGTCGCCGAGAACCAATTCGAGATGCGCCGGATACCCTACCTCGCGAGGGTTCGCAACCAGGCCATGGCGCCGCTTAAGCAGCTGCGGGCGGAAGGGAGGAGGTTCGACCAGGTGCTCTGGTTGAACGATGTCGTGTTTGATGTAGGCGCCTCATTATTCTTACCCCCTCAGAACGCTGCTAGGGTGGCCTGACCCGCTAACACCAAACCTCTTCTAGACCGAGGACATTATCACCCTATTCAATACTCGGGATGGGGATTACGCGGCTGCGTGCGCGATGGACTACAAGTCATCGCCTGCGTACTACGACACTTTTGCGCTCCGCGACGATTTGGGCCTCAAAACCAGCTCTCTCTACTGGCCGTGGTTCCAGTCGCCCACCGCGAGGGCGTCGGCCGAGCGCAACGATCCTGTCCGCGTGGCCTCGTGCTGGAATGGGATCGTGGCGTTCGATGCGGCGCCTTTCTACACCAACCCCCCGCTGCAGTTCCGCGGCATCGACGACAGCCTGGCGGACCTGCACCTTGAGGGCTCGGAATGCTGCCTCATCCACGCCGACAACTACCTCACGACCGAGAAGGGCGTGTGGTTGAACCCGAACGTCCGGGTCAGCTACGACAAGAGGGCGTACTACCATATCCGGACGAACCGCTTCCCCGACCCCTTCTGGGCCGTGGTGGGCGCGTGGGCCAACCGGCTGAGCAGCTGGCACGTAGGCGTCCAGAGCCAGCTGGAAGCCCGCGTAGTTCGCAACAGGCTGGAGCAGTGGAAGCTCGAAGCGCCGACCGGAGACGTGCCGCGGTACGAACCGGGTGAGGCGTGCCTCATCAACGAGATGCAGATCATGTGGTCGAACGGGTGGAAACACTTGTAGGATAGAATATAGACTTAGAAATTTGGGGGAAAGGGGACAATAAATCGGTCGGCAAAAATACATTTAGAAGATAATACCCCAGTAGCACAGCATTGATCGAGAGACAGCGCGTGCGGTATGCGTGTACCATATCATCGTTGCATTGTATTCGACTACTCCGGTCTAAAGGATGCTGCCAATGTGAGAATCCGAAACCCACCGCCTCCCCTCCCCGGCTTCATCAGCCATGCAGGAAACATATATGCCCAAAGAGTAAATGTAAATGTATATATCGGTATACAACCTTCGGAAGAGCACTTGGTGCGCCCGGAGACGGCTGGCTTAACCCCCCTCCCCAGCAAGGGGTAAAAATGGAAATTAGGGGTAAAAAAAAAGAATACACCGACACGGAACGCCGTTAGTGATGTCTGCCGTAAACACAGCGGCGGAGCCTACCCCCTCCCGGCGCGTCTCTCGGGCTCCGATTCGCTTCGCTGCTTGCCCCGTCTCTATGCCATGTCATCGTGACCCGCCTCTTTATCACGACGTATCGCGTAAGGACTTCATCCGACCCAGTTCAACTTCCTTTCCACCTTCGTTGCATCTGTCCAACCTTTGCTTTCCTTGCTCAGCCTTGGCTCTTTTTTTACTCTTCCTCTCTCTCTCCCTCGCTCTCGCGACCTCTTCCCCTCCAGGCGCCTCCCGCTCTCCCGCTTCCCGCAGGCGCGCGGGCGGGCTGGTTCACTTGTTGTGCCAGATGAAGTTGCGCAGGCTGTCCCAGTGGTCGGACTGCTGGTAGATGTACGTCATGCTGCCGCGGAGCGAGGGCTGCAGGTCGTCCGGGTGGTGGCGGAAGAGGTGCATGACGGCGGCCCACGAGGCCGCGGCGAAGACGGGCCACGCGTGCCGCGCGATCGTCTCCGACACCTGCTTGCGCGACACCACCGGCAGCCCCAGCCCTCCCGCCCCCTTCGGCTTGATCGCCAGCCGCGCCAGCGCCAGCACCACCCGCGCGAACACGTAGATCACGATCTGCTGGTTCACGCTCGGTATCTTGCCCGACCGCCCCCGCCCCCCGAACACCAGGTAGCCGCCTATCAGCCCCGCGATGAACGAGTCGTACGGGCCCTCCTTGCTGCCGCTGCCCCTCCCCCGGAGCCCTCTCAGTCGGCTCTTGCCCTTGCCTTTACTACTGCTGCTGTTGCCGCTGCCGCCAGCACCGGCGGCGCCCCCTTCGCCGAGTATACCGCCGACGAGGTTGGCGGGGCCACCCTCCTCGAGGTCGAGCAGGTCGGCGACGGAGGGGAGGTCGGTGAGGGCGAGGCGGCCGGCGCGGAGGCGGGCGAGGAGGAAGCGGACGAGCTTGTAGACGACGGCGAAGCGGGCGAGGTTCTGGGCGTGGGTGCGGGTGGCGCGGTAGACGAGGCCGAGCTTCTCGCGCAGAGTGCCGGGGCGGAAGAGCACCATCATGACGAGCGCGTGCGGGAAGCGCACCTTGGCGCCGTACACGGCCCCGTTGCGCGCCGCCTTGACGACGGCGAGCAGGTCGTGATTCGCCGGGTCGAGCACGACGCGCTCAGCGGCGGCCCGGAAGCGCTGCAGCGCGTCGACCAGGGCGGGGGGCGACGAGGAGAAGGGGAAGGGGAGGGGTGGCGGTGATGGCGCCGCGGAGGACGAGGACGAGGACATGGTGGATGGTGAGGTTCGGGTCGCGCGCGTTTATAGCAATTGAGGGTCCGGAGCGAGGCGGTGGAGAAGAGTTAGAAGAGCAGAGGTAGGTGTGTTGTAGAGGCGGAAAAAGGGGCGGAGGTTGAGGCTGGTTCGACCGGTCGCGCGGCAAAGGCGATGGAGCCGAGGGTTCGAGACTTCGGGGGATTTCGCGACTCGCTACCGGGTCATCGATGCGTCTGTCTCGCTCGTCTGTGTGTTTAGCAGGTAACTGTATTCAATTTCTATGTGGTGAGACGCGGCGGGAATTCATTCGGAATATCGGCATCGCAGCATTATCCCGCGTCGTATGAGAGAGAGCGCGACGAGAACGACGGTGACGATGACGGTTGGTGGATGCGGAGAGGTGAGTCCGTCAGGGAGCAAAGTAGCTGTTGGCCTCGGCAGTGCACATGTCGAGGTTTCGGCACAGAGACCTAGCAGAAGAGCGTACGGCGAATATGCATGTACTGCGTTTTATGCGTGTACAGCGTGGTATAGCGGAGGGTTTATGCATGGAAAGGGGCTGGTGCTCTTACTACATATAGTAAGCGGAGCCTGGACGGCTATGACGTCCTCTCAACCAGATCCAGTAAACACCCATCCAGCATGCGCATCTTGCGGTTTGCATGTGATAGCAACCCCGACTACGCAATGCTGCCCCGTTAGAGGTTAGCGTATACCCCCATACTACATAACTATGGACAGGTACATATCCACTACCACGGTACCCTTGCTACTCACGTATGTGATCTTGTAGGGGCACGTCTGTCGGCCAAGGGGAACAGAATGAATGCGACAAAATCAGTAGAGGTTGTCGACACGAAATCGAGCACTTCGAGATAGGTAATTTAGACGATGCGCCGAAGCTTTCAAGACAGGAATCGCGAGTTGTCTTCTCTGTCCCGTACAATATATCTAATGAGTAGGTATCACTTGCACTGCACAATGATCTTATACATATAGAGGCGGCCATCGCAAGGGTCCATATTACCTACTACACGATTATCCAGTGGAAACTCCACATGAGTTAGGTATCTCTCGACGCCGCAGCGCGTGTGCGGGAATACCGGGGGCTAACTAATAGCCACGGACCCGAACACTAGCAACGCCTGAGCCAGCATAACGTCCGAAGGGTTACCCGGCACTGAGGGCCAAGAGAGCACCTTTGACAGTTAGGGACTCCCCTCACTGTTTCTAGTACACGGACAAGAGGCAGCATAAGCTGGTCGAATATTATAACGTACCTATACCCGACTCAAGACTGTTTATTTACTCCCGCCACTGCTGCAGTGGTAACTACCGATTGAAGAGACGATCACTCTTATTAATCCTAGCGCACAATATTTTTAACCACGGCCTACGGAAACAGGCATATCGTGGGGCGGTGACGAGCACCAAAGACCCCCAAAAAGCTTCTCAAGCCACTCCGGATGACTGATGAGCCCTTTAGACGAGACAGCCCCCCCAGTTACCTTAATGGAGAAGTGGCGCCGCGTCTGCCCATTACCTCGAAGTCGTTGGCTTCGAGACGCTAGTCGTCTTTTCGTAAGCTATCCGTGGCTAGGCACAGCTTTGGGACATGGTCGACTGGCTGCTTAAAACTCATGGTCTCTGTTTCTACGACACGTTATACACGGCAATGTAGGTATATATAGCTAGCTGCGAATGACATCGCAGAAAGGCCACTAACAAATATGGAAGCTAACTGCCCGCACCTAGTCCATATAGAGTACATACATGCTTGTTCGCGGGGAGTCTCAACGCGTGGGAGGGGGGCTCGGGTCGTAAGAACGCCTCCAATGGCAATACTTGTTTCCGGCACTCGGCGTGGTGAGGAAGAGCCCTTCATGCGTCCTGTGTAGGCGACTTACCAAGCGGAAGTGACAGAGCCCTCTAATTTTCAAGCACCAGCTAGTAGTGAAGTGTCCAGCATCGACAGGTTGCGACAGGGAGAGGCTACTATTAGCCTGCTTGCACATGCCCGACTTACGCGTGCGTCCTCCCCCGTCCTCCTACCGTATACTGCGTATCCTAGGTAGTTACCTGTTTGAGTGTACATAAACGTGTGGCATTGTCAACCAATTTGACCTTGCGTCAGACCCGGGGGTGGAGACAGACCAGGTGGGATCGAGAGAGAGCGAGGTTTACAACCGGTCGACCCTAAGAGCGCCGCGAATGCTTGGGATGGTTGGGTATGCTTTATTTCCGCGATGTCAACTCGCTATAAGCATCGCTGCTTGCCCACCATCTTGGGTAAACTCTGTCCCCTCAGGTTCGATGACCTCTCTCTGTCCACCATGGGCAAACCCGTTGCGCGGTATTTGAAGCCGAGCTCCAGCCCCTCCACCTCGCTTGCTGCAGCTAAAGTGCAGAGTAAGCATAGCCCACCCGGTCCAGCTTGTAGGCCGGCATATTCAGTTCTGGGTGTTCTATGGGTCCTTTCCATTCTTCTTGTGACGGGCTTAGCGTTGAGCTTGTCTTGCCATTAACAGCCCCTACGCGACGACACGCTACTAACTACCGCTCCGGAAAAGGTCGTCGGCAGCATTGTATGTGTATAATAATCAACGTCGGGCCTCATGTTTGTATAGGTTTTTGGTTCTGTACCGCTTAGTCTCCTCCATATCATACCATCACTACTCCCCTTTCCCCTTTCCCCTTTTTTCTTTTTCTTGTCTCCTTGATTATTGTCTAACAAAGTCCCACATGCCTCTCGCCGGCGTGCGTTTAGGCGTCCGCGAAATTATACAACCTGAGCCCGAACTTCAAGAACATCGACCCATGTACCAACTTCGGAGAGAGTATGTCTTCGTAAGCTATGGAGAGGAGTGTCAGGGAGAGGTTCTGGCTGCGGGTTTGGTTGCTGACGTTAGGCCACAGTGGTCTATGGCGGTTTCCGCGAGCGCAATGTTATCCCGCAATACGAAATTTCTTTAGAAAGCAATAGAGTCATAGACGAGCCCAACAGCATCTTGATGAAGGATATACTCGAATCCCGTACAATACGTCCTGGGTCCAACCGCTCGTAACATTTCTAGAGAACATCGCCAGAGTTTTCCCATTGCGCCAGGGGGGTGCGCAAAACTAGATGACACTCTCGGACCGGATGATTATGAGGTGCTCAGCCAGACAGGGCAATTCCCCGTTTATCATGGAATAGACGCATCCCTTGTGTTAATTGTTACTTAGGACACTTTCTTTCCGGGAAGCATTCACCGTTTTTATAACACAGCCGCTTGGATGACCCAGCTAGGACGAATCTATCCCGATGATATCCTTTGGCTCAGTTCCCCTGTCTGCCGCCACCTACACGTCGGAAGGGGCCGCGGTCGGGTACGAGAGCGTGGTCGATCTCGAGGCCAAGATAGCCACCTCTTTACCAACGCGAGGCGGGCAGCATGGCGGTAGGAGGTCGGGCGGTCGCGGTCAACGGCACGCTGACACTGGGCGAGAACATTGCCGACGCCGGCGGCATCAACACGGCATGCGACACGTGGCAGAACCGGCGCCGCGAGGACCGGGCTGTCGACGTTCACACCCCCGACCCCCGCCGTCCGCATCAATAAGATGATGGGAAACTCCAACGGCTTCCGCAGGGCCTTCAAGTGCCCCGTCAAGGAACCCGCCTGCGTCTTCTACAGGAGAGACCCCGGCAGAGAAAGGCCTCACGCGGGGGAGTAGGCTATTATGGTGCGGGCGTCGGGGTAGAAGGTGCATGTCGGCCTCGGACGGCATTATAGAGGTGTAAACGATGAGGTTTGGCGTGGTTAAGTTGGCCTGTTAGCAAACGAGTGACGATGATAGCTCGCCGAGAATTGGGGCTATTCACTGCCTGGATTCAGTCATTTGGTATTACAACCCCCCTAGTAGAGATTGTGAAGTAGGTACTATTTCAATATGACCAGCTATGTCCGTCCTGTAATTGTGAGATTTCGCGTGCCGTGCCAGAACTTAGGCGTTAAGTATGAGGAGGAGAGACTACAGGTGGGTGTAGAGTCGTCTCCGTAAGTTGTGACGATACGAGTTGTCGGCGTAGCTGGGAGCTCACGTAATAGTGCCTAACTGTCAGCAAGGTCTAATTTAGATAATACCCATTAGCTATTCTATGCTTTCTCTTCTCTATAAAGGTGAAGGATTGAGACTTTTTAAGCTAGCTAGTCAATTATCAATACACCCGAGACATACCTACCTACCTACCTACCCACGTTTCATGCGATGTAGCAACTCGTAACAACGCCTGGAGATAAGGGGGACTCAGGTACTAGCGGTGTGAATTCGTCCATATCAGTGTTGGCTATTATAAAGCCGCTCCTATGATGCCTTTAGCTGATACACACCTAGGTATTAAGCCGGCTTCGAGAGCTACGACCTTTTTCCTACGTCGGACATTCACTAAGAGCATAGAACCGACCTGTCCACCGAACTGAACCCCTGACGCTTCGCTGACCCCCCTGCCCCTATCATCGGGTCCTTGCCCGCCTTTACTACGTAGGTACACGTGTAATAGCGCTTAGTCGCTATTCCCCAAGTGAGGAGGCACTAACTACTCCGTACCGCACGCCATTCACCACCCTTGGCGACCTAGCTAGAGATCTCTCCAATCCGTCGGCTCCCCCGCGGACGATTATTTAGCAATTCTGGACGAGAGCGCGCAGGTCTATCTACCTAGCCTAAGTGCCGGCCAGAACGAGTCGTCGGCTAGGCTAAAGGATCGTCCAGCCTGGGCGTAGTCTGTTGCGCGCCCCGCGTTACGCCACTACTACCGGTTGCCGTGGCGGCGCCGGGCGTATTTCTATGCCCGAGCCCATAACCTTCTCCTTCTGCACCCCGCCGGCTGGGTACTGCTACTAACTGCTACTACTGCTACTGGGAAGTGTGACGCCTCGGCCTCCACAACCCGAATAGCGACGATGGCTACACCCATTCCTGACCAATCCCGTGACATTAGTACCTACGTCTCGCGTCTTGCGGTTCATGCAGGGGAGTCGGTGTGTTTGTTCGTTTCTGTGTTTTTTTATTACGAAATTCCTGTCGGTGTTTTATGTAGCTAGCCAAAGAAGAAAGTGCCGTGCATGCTCTTGTACGCGCTCTTCGTGGAGCTGGTCGTGTGGATTCCTCGCGTCTGCAACAAGGGGCGCGCCCGCTCACAACCTGGCGCCCTCCTTGAGGAATTCGACCTTGTTAGTGACGATACCCACGCCCTCGAGCTCGACCTCGACGACGTCCCCGTCCTTCATCCACAGCTTCGGATTGCGACCCATCCCGACGCCCGACGGTGTGCCCGTCCAGATCAGGTCGCCGGGCAGCAGCGTGTGACCCCTGCTTAGGAATGCGATGGTCTTCTTGACACTGAAGATCTGGTCTGCCGTGTTGCTACTCTGAAAATACGGATTCGGTATTAGTCTATGTGCTCTTCTCAAAAATGGAAAAGAAAAGGGGGTTCGTTTTCGACCCCTGCGTATGCCTGTATGCATAGCTCTCGCGACTCACTTGTACGGTCTGGCCGTTCAACCTAGTGCTGATCTGCAGCGTCTGGGGGTCTTTGATAACTTCGGTGGTTACGATACCCGGTCCGTAGGGCGCCCAGCCGTCGAAGCCCTTTCCTAGCGACCACTGACCGCCGCCGCGAGCGACCTGCCAGTCGCGGTGCGAGACGTCGTTGCCGATGGCGTAGCCGAGCACGTAGTTGAGGGCCTCGGATTCCGGTACGTCTCGGGCTGTCTTGCCGATCACCACGACGAGCTCACATTCGTAGTCCAACCCCAGTTCCTCCTGCGCTATCGGGTGCACTGGTATGGGATCCGTGGGCCCCGAGAGAGAGGTGGCCGGCTTGAACTGTTTTTGACCGGGTTAGCCTACCACTATCTCCTCACCGCGGACTCTTCATTGCATTCCGTCCCCGCGAGATAGTACAAGATAGTAGGAGGGAAGCGGGAGGGGGGGGGCGGGGGTTCGGCTTACGAATAGGACTGGGTATTTGGGCAGCGGGAGGCCAGCCTGGAGAGCCGTTAGCATCTTAGCGACTCCTACCTACTCCGAAGCCACGGGGGTTCGGGGGAGACCAACTTCTTGGGCGTGTAATGCGTAGTTGAGGCCCAGGCATCGGACGGTCCTGACGTCCTCGGGAGCGAGGGGAGCTAGGAGGAGTCGGACATCCTCGACCGCATCGGTGACTTCATGCTTGCCGAAGATGTCTCCTTTGATGACTCGGGCGGCCTTCGTCTTCGCGAGGTCGGTCACGCCCTGAGGCAGGATCGCATCACCATAATACACCTTGCCGTTCTTGGCAAGAAAGCGGACGAGTCGCTATATCGACCGGTGGAGGGGAATGTCAGCATCGCGTTTCCGTTGCCAGCAGTTTCTGGTGCGCCGTGGCAGATGAGGGGTAGGGGTGGTGGTCAGTAACGGCAGACACGTACAGAGAAGGCCGGCATGATTCCGCTAGAGGCTGGGGATAGCTACGAAGTCCAATGCCAGAGAGGGAGAATCGAATTGTCGCTTAGAGGAAGAGGAGGAGGAGGAGGAGGATGCGGAAGAAGAAGGGTGTGTTGCTGGGTTGGCGAACTCGATAATAGACAGACAGACGGGCAGGTTCATGTAGATAGAAGGTAGATAAATAGATTTATATAGGTATTTATATATGCCTAGGTAGGTAGGTGGTTACCTACCTCCCACTTTCGGTAAGTACCTCTATCCTTAGGCACCTCAGGTACGTGACTTTACCTGCCTTCAGTCAGCTATTAGGTATATCTCTATAGAGACATATGCTGCTTAGTATACTACCAACATGCGCCGTAGTGCATGTCTTATTCATCTACACGGTGGGGCAGCGCGACAAGGAGAAGCATCGGAGTCTCGGATAACCTCGGCCAGCGCTTGTTTAGCCTGTCAGCATCGCTAGAGCACAACCCCGAGGGCGGAGTCGGGGTCTCTCCACCCACCGGCAGTTAATCCCCTCCCCTTTTCTCTCCTCTGCCTCTGCTCTGCTCTCCTCTCTCTACCCCCTCCCTCCCCCTTCCTATGCCATATAAACCCCACCGCACCTCCGCGAGATTGGCGATCATTATTAATATCTTGCCAACCCGGGTTTGCGCGTGCGGGATGTGCGAATTCATTTGTCTGTTGCGCTCGTCGACCACCGGAATGGCCTGTACCGTCTCCCCCGACGTCTCCCCTGACCTGTGTCACCCACCCACGCCTGGCGAGGTACGTCCAGGGTCCGTCCGGGTTGGGTGCCATAAATGGAAATCCCGAAAAAAAGAAGAGGAGGAAATAACTACGTCCGCGCGCGCATCCTCAGATACGCCAGCAGCTCAGCTTAAGCCGTCGACTTCTTGAAGAACCTCAAACGGCCCACTGGGGGTCGTCTGCCTCCGGCTTGGCGAGCATCCTCTCCGCGAGATCGTCCAGTTTCTCCTGCGTTTGTGATCCCACGACGTCCAGCTCCTCGTCCCGCCGGCCCTCCACTCCAGCCTGTCTACCAGGAGAGCGATGACCGAGTGCCTGAGGAGAGGCTGCTGACGTGTGACCGCGATCGAGACGGCGAGGAGGAATGTTAAGATGGCCTCTACCAAGGGGATTATTGTCCACTCCCGGCATACGTGTATGTGCGTCTCGTCGGAAAAGGCCACCCCCGCAGTCGTGGAAGCGATGTAGTTGTCGCCGGGATCGCTGCTGCAGGTCTAGTTTGTCAAGGTGTCTGCAACGCCAACGATGGTCTTCTCAAGGTTCGAGTTCTGGAGAGCAAATCCTATTTCAAGGAGATGGCTTTCAGAACCGTCGCGCCGAGGAGCGTCTTGAGGTAGTTCGGTGGCGATCATACAGTCATCTGCGAAATGTCCAAGCTGCGGTTGGACGAGTTCGCTATAAACTGATGGGGAGTCATGCCCGTCGTGTTTCCGGCAAAAACTATATTGCTCGTGGAATGGCCTCTTGCTGCGGCCTTTACTGCTAGGAAGCTACCGATGCCGCCAAGGTTTATAGATGCTTGGAATTCTGATCCGAGGAGCTGGGCTCTTACTAGAGAGCTGAATTGCATGGCGGTCCAGCGTGTAACTAGCCCTAGGGCATCTTCATCGAAGCCGGTCATCACAGGAAAGCTACAGGTACAGTTTAAGGTGGACGAGCGTGTCTCGTTGCTATACTGGGCCACCGCGATGTCGGTAATGCTCGTAAAATCCGCGCAACCCCCCGAGGTCGTAACTGTGTACCACTGGCACCGGCTGGCGAGTATGAGGTATGTGAAGTAAGGTTGAAAGACGGTGCTAGCTACCCGGTCGATGACCGAGGTCTTGAGAGTAGGAGGATCAGAGTTTGGCGTTCAAACCGGACCTAGGGCTAATCAACACCCATCATCTACCCTGAGCCGCCGCTGGTGACAATCCACCTCTGCTAACACGTTATTCGGCGGCGACTCGTGTGTGGGGAATTTCAGAATCTGCTGCGCGCTTGCGTCGATACCGAGGGACAAGATCATAACTAGAAGCGTCCGCACGCGGGAGCATAGGGTTCCAAAGGAGAACGGCGGGTCCCCACGGACCCCGACTCGCGTCGTCGAACAACTGCAAGTAGACAAGCCTTTTGCGGCTTGCCGTAAAGTGACGCCACTTCAGTTGGTCCAGACAGGAAGCGACCGCTACCATCATGGCCGTCTTGGCTACTGTCGTCAGGACAGCGATCAGCGAGTTGGGCTGTATCGGGAGCCACCAGCTCCGCAATGGTAGGCCATTCATTTTGGTTAGGGCCACGATAAAGATGCTTATGCAGGGATGCTAAGAATACCGGCGAGAATCTCCCACCACCACCATCACTAAGACAATGGCTTTCTGCTAGTTGCTGGCTATCCCGTTCGGACTTGGTTTCCGGCACCTCGCAGCCCACTCCTTTCTTGAGACAGGCCGCCGTCATCTGTCCCTGTCGTATTTGCGCTGTTCCGCAGGATGAGAGAGTGTCTGGATGCTAGCGGTATCTTCAGATGGGGAGCCTCGACGCAGGTAGTAACCCGTGAGACGCTCCTCGGGCGAATTTAAATGGAGTGACGCGGATGGGGATAGGGGAAATTCCCGGCCCTGGGTCCCGTTTTCCCCGGATAGAGACGGAGAGGGTGACGTAGACATCGTTGAACCAGAATGAAGAGCTGTCTCTGGTGATTGTGTTTTATTGCATACTATATCCCTAGAAAGAGGACAGGCGACCGACCCATTAGATGGAATTCGACTAGGTGTTGCCGTTCAGCATCGCTATCTCGTTGTGCAGTGTCGCGCATAAGGACGCCACCGATAATAACGCGTCCAATAGAGTGTCTTGTGGTCGCTACCGGACACAGATTATTTCGATGCACCAAGACAAAGTAGGGGGGCTTCCATCGGGCATTTTGTCTCGACGAATGTGACGCGATTGGATTCCATCATAGTAGTGCTTAGCAAAGGATGAGAGTAAATGACAATGACGGGAATTAATTATAACGGACCAGTTATTCGATGGGAGACTTGGTGGCGCAACAGGATCCGTACTTAGCGAAGCACAGGCTGGATCGGTTTATCGTTCGCCTAGCACTGGGAGGGGAGAGCGCCACCCTCCCTACTGTATTTGCGTTCGATATCCGTATTTACGGGGTGTCCGGGTGCGCATGTCGTGACTCTGGCACGTCGTCGTAGACCATCTCCGTATGGAGGCATGCGTAGTGGGGGGCGTATCTGCCCGTGTATGCTATTCTACTGTAGAAACCTCGGCATAGATACGTATGGATACCTACATGGTGGCGGTTCCGCGGCTTTCGTTCTTCTGGTTATTCTGGGATGCAACTCGGCTCGCTACGTATTATGCTTATGCGTCTTGACGCACCCCTCCCCCCTTACGGAAGCCCAGCAAGGGTCTACGGGGTCTTCTCTTTCTACCAGCATGGCCTAAACTGCCCACTATCCGTTCTTAGAGCAGTAACACTTATCACAATTTCGAACACATACTAGTAGGCCTCTTAAGAGACATGGCTCGTGCCCGGCTAGACATACCCTCAACGGGTACGTCTCCGGGAAAGGCATTAGCCGTCTCGAAAGATGCCCAGGGTGCCATGGGCCACATGTCGCTAAGCCAAGTCGGCTTCAGTGAGAGAGCAGCCCCCCTAAGGTCCTCAGGCCTGGATTTGACAGTGGCACAGGCGTTCAAACGTCTGGCTGGAGCCATGTCCCTACATAGCGGTAACATACTACAGTAGTAGTAAGTAATACCTGTGTTGGGGTCAGCGTCAGGTTGTCTGGTGGAGAAGTGGACGCTCGAACCCCGTAAACATGCGATAACCTATAAGATCGGCGTCATACCCGTGTCTTTAATACATGGAACGAGTGTATGGATATACATACGGTACTATCTACCTACGTGTACATACTGGTAACTCTCCTGCCGATGTTCGCGTACTTCTCTGGCGGGTCGGCTCGTGGACCTGACGCTACTGTTTCTCGTTCTACGCACATACATGCATGCGCGGCACATACATACCTACGTACGACGTGCTTAACCATCATCGCTTAACGTCCCACGAGATCGGCACCGGATGGCGCTTTGCGTGATCGACGCAGATACCTACCGCTCTACTAGCAAATGCAGCAATGCAGGTATGTATGTAGGTATATAATATACATGTGCGTGCGGATCAGACAACGGGCTGTCACTAGCGAGAGATATCGGTTCGTGGTACTAGGAGCCGTTGTAAACGAAGCCACCTTCAGTCTCATCGTCGAGTTCTTCCTCTTCTCTTCTTCTCTCCTCCTCTGTTTCGTAATTTGTTATGTTCCTATTCTCATTTGTAAATTTCTTTTTTGGAAAAAGAAGAGAACCCCTGTGTTCCTGAGGTTCTGTTCCGTAGTAGCGTTGCCCTACCGAAATTGCAAGGTCCGGGTCTTTGGCTGATTACCACGTCCATGTTCAAACAGCCGTGCGCGGGAGGGTGGTCCAGAGAGGTGGTTCCGAACCTGTCGATTCCGGATCTGTCTTCCCTTCATTATGCTCGGGAACGCCGGCCACGGGCTTGAATCATTACACGTAATTCTGCGAAGTTGCTATGTTAAGACCGGCGGGGTCCTGTCGATGCCCACACGACCCCGGGGATGCGTGTCTATTCGTTCGGTGCGGTCGAGCCCAAATTTTGTACAAGATGAGTTGGGTGATCTTGGCTGCATCTAAAATGAAGCCTCCCCATTCTACAGATGGGCAGGGTGGCATACCTACATACAGACGATCCTCGATCGGTACAGCTAACGTAGCAAAATCTCCGACTATCTGCAGAGAAGTCCCACGAGTGGTCATTCTAGAAAAGACTCAGGTGTTCTCAGCTCGACAAAACCCAGCCACAGCATAGGAGCCAACCAGCAGGACAGCCCTGCCCGGCTCATAGCAAGCCAACTAAAACGTAGAACGGCAATGGTAGTCGTCGGACAAGACAGGGGGGCAGGCTTTCAAGTCCTCCACCTCCGTGGACTGCACCTGTATATACATACTAGGTAGCACATTGCAAGCGCGGGTGTCCTGGTCTCTATAGGTATGTGGCGTATGATATATACTCGTAGGATTCACTTACTTATTACCAGTCAGGGGTGTCCGTGACCCCAATATTATCGGGAGCGAGCGCCATCCACCCCCTGTAGCGCTGCGAACAAATGGGTCTCTACCGACCTCGTGCTAGGATCGGCTCAGCATGAGGTTTTCGAGAAGGTCTTGTCGTCGGTCTTGCCCTCTTCACCCGTCGTCGTGGATGGTGGTCGTGAGGAGTGTGCGATCTCTCGGCTTCGTGCGAACCCCCCAGATCCGATCGTGTCGTCCTATGACCGCAGGCCCCCTCGACTCGACGTCGCCAATGACTGAGGGCACGACGCTATTTGGGGGATCAAGACTTGGACTGGCCCCGATATGTCTGTCGTCCATCCCCGGCTCACCACTCTACCAGCTGAGAACATCGCATCTCAACCCGACAGAATCGAGACCGACTTAGTGCCGCCCACCATCGAGGGGTGGAAGATCATCATCCCGGGCGTGGTGCTGATTCTTCTCACCGCACTATGGACTTACATGCGACTCTGGAGCGCTAGGCGCAATGGCCGCGGGATTCTAATCGAGGACTGGCTGAGCCTTTGTGCCACGGCGTTATTCTACGGCGTGGTGGCCACGGATTTCGCCATGGTTTTGGCGGGCGGTATGGGACATCACGCCGAACAGCTGCAGGATTGGCATGTGGTGTGGCTCCTAAAGGTCAGTTTCGCCACGGAATGCCCATGAGATCTAATTCCGGTGACGATAACGTTGAGGTTTCCCTATAGGAAGACGGAACCTGTGCTCGCAGAGGCTAACTTCTCGATGATGTAGGCTGCTTATGCCCGCCAATTTCTATATACAATTTCGCTGGGCCTCATCAAACTGAGCGTCATTCTGATGTTCATTCGCGTATTCTTTGCTCGCCGCCTCAAGCCTATTCCTGTGGCCACTATTATTCTCACAATTGCCTGGGTGGCTCTCACCTTACTCCTCGAGATGCTGCTCTGCCAACCGATCTCGACGAACTGGGACCCCCGAGAAATGACCCGAGCAGGCAGATGCGGCGACCGGATAGCCGCATTCGTGTCAATGGGCATCGTGGATATCATCAATAAGCTCATGATCCTGATGCTTCCGGTCCCTACGCTTCTGGAGGTAGGAGTACAAAGGCATTACAAAATTGTCACGACTTGTATGTTCGTTATTGGCATCCTGTAAGCAACGGAACCCTCGATACCCCAGAAATACCAGCATGTAGGGACTCATTTTTCCTTCCCCTTCTATTTAGATCGATGGCTTTTGGTATAATCCGCGTATACACGGCCTTTCATATCGATTTCTCCGACGTATCGTATACGATGGTGCAGACGACCATATATGGCACAGGGGAGGTCGGAGTGGCCGCTGTCGTGTCTAATAGTGCGCACCTACGGCCCGTCTTCGACTGGCTGCTAGGCCGATTCTGGATCCCGGATAACTCGACCTGGCAAGAAAGCAACGGCGAGGCCGTCTTATCGCCGCTGAGCTTGAGACGCAGCACCAAATCGAGCGGGTTCACGCAGATGAAGGACGAGTCGCAGCAGGAGCTTGAGCTGGGCAACATGGGAGCCCACCGAGCTAAACGCAACACAGTCGTCACGGTAGGCAAGCGGCCGTCCTGCGACCACAGCGACGACAGCTCTATTCGCAGGATCGTGGTGACGAGCGAGACGATCGTCAGTAGAGACAACGGAGCGCTCTGATTCCGGCCCAGTTTTCTCGAGAACCTTCTTTTTTCACTCGAATTATACGACTGCTCAAGCCCCTGAAAATACGAGCGATTGACGAGGCCGACTGTGTATACGATACAACTGCTTACCGTCCTTCTCATAAGACGGAGCTCGAGCCATGTCTATAATTGTGTCTCACGGGCCGGACGGCTTCGGGCATCCCGGCAATTTGAAACATATATTTCATGCCACACCTTAGCGATAGGCGTTTCCGAACAATGCCTCGAAGTCCTGCGCAGTAGCAGATACGAGAGACGCTGCGAGATATTACCGCGACCCCTATTAGCGAGCTAGCATACGACAACCTGCCTTGATTTAAGGGAAGGAAGGGGAACATATTCAACCCCACCGTCGAGTAGCCTACCATGCATCCACACACATCAATCTTTGATGGGATACGCTGGTTGGCATGCGCTGTTTAGCTAACAGCGCAACTACGTGATATCACGAGCTCCGGAGGGCGTGGGGGGTTATTCTATAGCCTATGATGCGAACCGATCGAGCTTGGACGAAGATCACGATTCACGTTATGGTTGGTGCCATGCCTACATATATTCATGATAGAAAGCCAGGTAGGGTAGAGTACACCCTGCGACCTTTCTAGCATCCACTCTTTATTTCAACATTTCCTAGAATTAACTTGATGGCAACATTTCATGCTGATAATAATTACCTACTAGCTTTCGAGTCTCTAGGGTGTTCCTAGGCAACCGAAATCCCCTCGTATCCGAGGAAATCATGTTCTGTTACGTCCATCATCGTTGTCTGGGTTCGGTTTACCCGACGCCATCGGCATATATACCCTACCTACCTATTTCACTATACTGTATCGATACATCTACCTGGGAACACGCTAGCTTTCATTTTACCTGAGATAGGCGTATATATCTAGCTAGAGGTCACCATATCTACATCAATAAACGAATCACTACCTACATCCCCGCTACTCGTGTTCAGCGCTAACTTTAGTTGCTCGTCGAGTGATTATCGAAGTGATTTGAGACAGAAATTAAAATTTATACCTAATACATGTCTCAGCCGGCCGGGCGGCCAATCAGCTATCATCCAGAGCTTGGTAGAAAGTGAGGGCATCGTAGCTAGTCGTTGCGTAGAGGAGGAGTTGGGTGGATAGGTAGCGTTGTTGATCTACCCCCTGCTAGGAGAAGTTATGTAGGTAGGTAATATCCCAATTATATGTTATAGAAAGGATAAACAATCGAGGGAGGGAATTCGTGAAGGTAGTATAGAACAACTCGCTTTGTACTTGGTAGAATAGAAGGTTGCTCTACTCAAGTTGACTACACAGTAAATGAAGAGATGCATGTAAGCGATATTTATGATAGAAGGTAGGTATTTACGAAGGGAATTAGGTAAGGCTCCTCGACTAAAGTGAAGAAAAAAGGTTACTAGGACCAGAGAGGAAGGCGGTAAGGCTGGGAGCTCTAGCCAGCCGGCAGAAAACCTCCCCAATTTAAAAAAAGGTTGGATCTATCTGGTTATCTTTAATCTCGTTTATCTGCTTGTCTCTCGTGGATCAAAGGCCGGAAAAAAAAAACTTCCCGCCTCAATTGACAGAAAGCGGTACCACTCCATGCCGATGGCTGTAACAAGATCGAGCTTGAAGCGCAAAGCTTCCCCGGTCGGGGTGGATGACGCTCATCAGCCTGAATCCGACGACGAATTTGGGGAAGGGCTTCTGGAAGGTGTACTTGAGGACGAATCTGAGGAAGAGAACTCGGAAGTGGACGAGGATGAGGACGACAATGACGACGAGGACGGGGCTGACCCCGACGACGACGAGCTAGACAGCGACGACATACCGACCGACGACGAAGAAGGCCAGGAACAGAAACACTTGTCAAATGGAGTCCACTCTGACCCAGATGACCCGGGCCCGAATTATAGAATCGAGACCGACGCCAATGGGGGGGTTAGATATGTCTACGACGAGATCGACCCCGTGTACGACTCGGACGACACAGATGCGCAAGAGCCCGTAAACACGATCGGAAACATTCCTCTCTCGTTCTACGACTCGTATCCCCATATAGGATACGACATCAACGGCAAGAAGATCATGCGCCCAGCTACGGGTGAAGCGCTAGATGCGCTGTTGGACAGCATTGAGGTGCCCAAGGGATGGACCGGTCTTACGGACCCTGCGACGGGCAAGCCTCTGAACCTGAGTCAGGACGAGCTGGAATTGTTGCGACGGGTTCGGATGAACGAGGCTCCCGAGGAAGGATACGACCCGTACCCCGTAAGTCTCGCAAGTCCCGATTTCTGCCTGCGCGTCGTCTAACTTGTATCTCGTACAGGATACGGTGGAATGGTTCACCAGTTTTGAAGAGACAATGCCGCTGAGCGCTGCGCCGGAGCCGAAGCGGCGTTTCTTACCTTCGAAGCATGAGGCTAAGCGGATAATGAAGCTAGTTAAGGCCATCCGGGAAGGCCGCATACTGCCCTATAAGCCTCCGGAGGAGAGGGAAAAGGAGCAGGAAGAGGAGGAAGAGGTCCAATACGATCTGTGGGCCAACGAGACTCCTAGGGCACCTAATATCATGCATATTCCCGCGCCAAAACTGGCCCCCCCTGGCTACGATCTCAGTTACAACCCGCCCCCGGAATATCTTCCCACAGAGGACGAAAGGAAGGCCTGGGAGGAGAAAGAGCCGGAAGAACGAGAAAAGGAATACTTGCCACAGAAAAATGACTCGTTACGAAGGACCCCAGCGTACGACCAATTCGTCAAGGAACGTTTTGAGAGGTGCCTAGATCTCTACCTGGCCCCGAGAATACGTAGAAACCGATTAAACATCGATCCGACATCGTTGCTACCAAAACTTCCGCGACCGGAGGAGTTGAGACCCTTCCCGACCATGGCATCGATAGAGTATGCCGGTCACGAAGGCAGGGTTCGGTCCGTCTCCATCGATCCGTCGGGTCAATGGCTAGCTAGCGGCGGTGACGATGGCACGGTGAGAGTATGGGGACTGTTAGATGGCAAGCAGCAGTGGAAGGTAAGGTTGAGCAGCGAGGACCCGGTGGACGCGGTACGGTGGCGACCGGGCCAGGATGTTTCCATCATCTCTGCAGCCGTAGGCGAAGATATTTTCTTCATGATACCATCGTACGGCGACCCGGAGCTTGAGCAAGCGAGTAGGGAGGTGCTGGATGCAGGGTTCGGTTACGCTACTAGCGGCAAGCAACCGATGGCGACCAACGGGACGGCGCGAAAGGACCCCCCGGCGAAGTGGTCGCGGCCGGGGGCTCGCCTAGAAGATGAAGGGGTCTTGCTAAAGGCAACGGTCCGATCGCCCGTTAAAACGATAAGCTGGCATCGACGGGGAGACATTTTCTGCACCGTATCCCCTACAGGGCAGAGGAGCTCAGTCGCAATCCACACGCTATCCAAGCACCTCACCCAGATACCGTTCCGAAAGCTTCCGGGGCTGGCACAGACAGCATCGTTCCACCCTTCGCGCCCCTTGTTCTTCGTCGCAACCCAACGGTCAATACGTTGCTACGATCTCCAAAAACAGGAGCTGGTAAAGACTCTTCAACCGGGAGCGCGCTGGATCTCCTCCTTTGACATACATCCGGGCGGCGACAACCTGGTTGTCGGGTCCTACGATCGCCGACTCCTATGGCACGACCTCGAGATGTCCAACCGGCCCTACAAGACGATGCGATTCCACCCGGAGGCGATCAGGGCCGTGAAATTCCACCGAGTCCACCCGTTATTCGCAGATTGTAGCGACGACGGCACCCTGCAAATATTCCACAGCAAGGTTGTGAGCGATTTGATGGAGGGGCCAACGATCGTGCCGGTCAAAATGCTAAAGGGTCACCGAGTAGTTAACAGACTCGGCGTCACAGATATCGACTGGCACCCTCAACATCCGTGGTGCGTAAGCGCTGCGGCTGACGGGACGTGTAGATTATGGACGTGACCTCGGGACTTTGGGGGGGGGTTGGATGGATGCCTAGCGATCTCTGAACAGGCTTTATTTCTTGAGGGTTTACACGGCGACCGCTTTCGGAAAAGATGCTCTGAGGTTCTCGTTGGCTGCTGGAGAGTGGCATTGGCTCACGACCCGACTGCATATGATTGAGTTATAGGCGACTCCACCGGGCCCGTCCATCCTATCGGTGTTGACCCCTTGCCTGGTAGAAGCCTGGCCAATACCTACTGCCTGGCTACCCGCCCTGCCATTCCCCCGTTAGCCTTGATAGCCACCTGGCAGGCAACTCTGAGTGGTCAACCCACGTGAGGTGGCTCATACACGTAACATGTCGATAACTCTCTCACCGCAAGGCATCACCGACCCATTCCTGCCCAACGAGTGGGTGGCTAAATATGTATTGCCTCCCTCCCCCTATAATATGTGTGCCGTAGATCGTTCGCGTTATAGTGACCTTGAGATAGTCGCAGCATGGCATTGACTTCCTCGTTAGCCTGTCCTCTCTGGCAAGCAACCTGATGTAGCCACCCCATCCAAAACAGCACGATTAACAGGATTCCAACCGCGGTGGTGTCGCGTCTTCCCTACACCAGCTCACGCTCAGATGCAGCTCCTGATCTGGTTGCCGCTCTAGTCCTTCTCAACAGTCCATCCATGTTGTCTGTATACAGCACGGATTCCACAAGACCCTACAGCTGCAATTCGCTTCGTCGACGGCTACTGTACGGAGATCAGCCGGACCTAAAACAAGAAAGGTGCCTCCGGTCGCAGAGTATCAAGGGGTTCAATCCGTTGCCCTCCGCAGGTGGCATTCTCCTTCCAGCCACTACTCCGAGACAACGACAGAGAGAAGGGGAAGAAGGGGAGGAATACATAATGGGAGAGAGAGAGAGAGAGAAGAAAGAAGATCGGTGGAGCAGGCCTAGCTGTGCCTCCGCTTAGCCCCAGTTTTTAACCAGGACAGGGTGTCGACCCGGAGCGATGCGACCACCAACCTAACCGGCCGCCGGCGGAGAGGGACGGGCCACTCCCGACGGCTTGGTGCCCGATGCGGGGCCCCCCCGCGAATCGCATTCCCCATACGAGTATCCGACGTTAGCAACGTCGTTCATGTCCGCATCCGACCCGCATCCGAGCCGCATCCGAGCCGAGCCCGGGCCACGGTGCCCCGCGAACTCCCTATCGTCGAACATCCCACTCAATGCCAACGTCCGACGAGAGGCCTCGTAGCCCCGCATTGCATAGGATGTGCTTCGTCGTCGGGCGTCATCATACCCAACGACCGCACTTCGGGCATCGTAAGCGTCGACAGCTAGCCCCTCTCTCGCTCGAGGTCGGCCTGTATTCGGTGGGCCTGCCAGTCACACCACAGGGTGAACGTCGAGACGAAGCAAGGAGGTCGACTCCGCCGCCGGCTAAAGCCTCCCGAGTGTCATCCGACTCGCGAGACCTACCCCAAGAAGAGAGTTCCGGTCCGAGATCTCGTCGTGGCTCCCGCTATTCGCCGTAGGAGGTCGACAGGATGCCGACAGGATGCCGACAGGAGACGACGGTCTTCTATGCTCGAAAGAATGCTTCCATCAAGATGCATTGACGAAATGGAGGGCGGGCTATCCCTTGCTGACGGGTTGTGGTGAGAGTTGGCCAGACAGTGTGCATGCAAGGCACGGCACGGCAAAGAAGGTACGTTACGATGTGTACACCACCCACGTGTGCAGCATCTTTTTTTTTTATTTCGCTTGCCTCACCGAGGTGAGAAAATTCGTCACCACGTCGGCTGCCATGGGACGAAAATCCCAAAACAGGCGACACGGTCACTCTAGCGAGTGTCTCTACTGCGTAGCCAAGGGCAGACGCACACTGGAACAGAATTGCATCTTCTATCTCAGATATCCTATTTTTGTTTCCCCCCCCCAAAACGCCCAACGGTAGTTTTCAGCTACCGTTTCCCTAATTGGGAGCCTGTCCCCTTACCCGCCGGGTGCTCGCGTCTCGCCCGGGCTACGTGTGGGGGAAGCGTGTACGTGCGAACCCGACTACCGGGCCGTCGGGACCGATGCAGAACCTGAGACACGTCTGCGTGTCTCTGTGTGTGTGCGGCACGGCCGTGGTCGTACCAGGGAAAGAGGGGAAGAAGAGGGAGGGAGAGTGCGGGGGGAAGGGAAAGAGGAGAAACAAAACCGTCGGCAAGAGGTGAGATCCCCGTCTGACACGCCCGAGTTGGGATGCATTATCGGGGCGGGATGGGAAAGACGAGGGTGCGGTCGCGTGCGGAGGATTGCAGAGATTACAGAGTCGTGGCTCAGCCCAAATCAGGGAGGTGGTGGGGTGGGCGTTTTTCTTTACCGACGCGGGCTGGCTCGCAAGTTGCGGTCAGACACGGCATGACAGGGCGATCGTGGATCGCGACGGTGTCGACGCAAGTGTGCATGATCGCTCCCATGGGGGGTGTGCGGATATGTGGGCGAGATAATGCTCGCGACAACAAGGATGTCCGCTGTCTAACTTACAAGGAGCCACGCGACGGCAGGGACCGCGGAAGCGACCGGACGCCTCACAGTGTTTCATTCGACGTTCGTCTCTCTCTCGCTCTCGCACTACTCTTCTCGCTCAAAGCTGGGTAGAGAGGGAGACGAGGCCGACCAGCTGGGCCGAAGGCTACTGGCAAAGTAGGTAGGGGGACGTGGCGGCGGCACTCCGTCGCCGTGCTCGCAGATCGGGAACGGTAAAGGGGGCTGCTGTCGCACCACGCCCAGCACGAACGAAGAGGAGGCAAATTGACTATTACACCCACTAACTAGCAAAGAAGGTATTGATTCTATAACATAGGTAGCGCCCCCCGTCTATTGCCCAACCCCGACAAAGAACCCGACCAATTTTCAAGCAAATCCTTCCGCCCATGTTCGCGTCTACTGCTCCTTTTGCGACTTCGGACCCGGCCAGAGGAAACATTCTACGATACGAATCCGACGACAGTATGAGCTCCGGCTAAGACAGGCAGCCCGCACGTCGCGACAGTCTAAGAGCCCTCAGGCCGACCCACCCAGGGGGGTATTTCCCTCGCTGCGCAAAGCGCCACTCCGAAAGGCGCCAGCGGGCCCTCTACGACCACCGACCACGTCCGTCTCTCCCGTCGGCGCCGTCGTGATAGCCCCTCCTTCTCTCCGCGTCCCTCTCCCCTCGTTCGGGGTCCCGCATATCCTCGTCGGGGATGCTCCTCGCCGGCGCGGCGGCCGCGGCGGCGTCGAGGCGCCCGGCGAACTGCACGCCGGCCCAGCGCACGCCGTCGGCCGAGGGCGGCGGCGGCGCGCCGACCAGCGTCCACGACCCGCTGCTGCTGGGCGTCGACGTCCGGCTCCGCGACGGCAGCCGCCCCGTGCTCCAGTCGTCGCCGTCGTCCCGCGCGCCGCGCAGCCTGCGCCACCCGCCGCCCCCGGCCCCGTACGCCTGCGCCGCGTAGCCCCCGGGCGGCGCGGCCCGCTCGTCCAGCGCGGCCAGGACGGCGCGCGTCAGCCGCGGCGGCTGCGGCGCCGCTGCCGCGCTGCCGTAGTCGTGCTCGACGTAGAAGTTTGTGTGCGGCCGCGGCCTGGCCGCGGTGGCGAGGCGGGCGGTGGCGTCCTGTGGGCGGCCGTAGGCCAGGTCGCGGTCGAGGTCGACGCTGGCTGGGTAGTCGGGGGAGGCGTCGAAGCTGCCGGGGCCGCGTCGGGCCTCCGGGAAGTAGTCACCGGTCATGGAGGTGTACTGGAGGTCGGCCCGGCTGTCGTGGGCATCGTCGCCGTGGTGGCGGTGGCGGTGGCGGTGGGTGTGGCAGTGATGGGGAGGCCTCCGGGCGCTCTCGGACTCGGGCGGAGAGGGCCGGCGAGAGGCGTCCCGGCGGGATGCCGACGACCTGCGGGTCATGTTGGTTGTGTGATGGCGAGTTGGAGACGCAACGAGCAGCGGCGGTCGAAGGTGTAGGTGAGCCAGTGCTGCGGTGAAGACGATGGCGAGGGCGAGGTGAGAAGGTGGGCGAGCGGGCTGCTTAATATGCTAGCAGGGCGTCTTTGCGTCCGGTCAGGCGGTTGCAGTTGGGCACCCGTCGGTTTGGGCAGAGTCTGGCTGTGCAGGTTGGGTGCTAACCGGTGACTCAGGAACAGGAAAGGTGAGGCTCGAGGGTAGTGTCTCGATCGATGGGGGCCGCCGACTTACCGGCCAAGACCAGCAGCACTTCAGGGTGGCCGCGAAGGATAGACGCTTGCGTGTTCCCACGTGTGGTATGTCGGGCAGTAAGAATGCTCTTCGCAACGTAGAGGTGGGCAGGCAAGGTAGGTAGTAGTAGTATAGTAGTGCCCCGAGACTCTCGGTGTGGCGTTGTGAAACTAATCGCCAAATATCGGACAGTGTTACCAGGAGGTGGAGAGAAGAGGCAGGTGAATTCCGATATGGTAAAGAGAAAGGGGGAGAGGGAGGGAGAGGACGACATTGTCAGGCGTTCCCACGTCGAGATCCACGCCGACTTTATACGTTTTCTGTTTTGTTTACTTCTAGCCTCCAGCGCAACTACCACCTGTGTGTCTCTGCCATAGCTACTCCTAGCAGTAGAGGCTACTCTAACCCCTGACGTGTTGTGTCCAGCCAGGCTCTCTGTGCACTAAAACGCTTCGCAGTAGACGGCGGGCGGATGCCATCACTGCGCCTTGCAGCATCCGAGGTATAGGTATACGACTACACGTACCCATGGCATCTGCAGGGACCTAACGCCGGTAATCTTTGGTAGGCGATGGAAACGAGCCATGTATAGGTACGAGAGAGGAGTGTCGGCGTAGTGGTCCGTCCTATGTGTGTCGTGGGAGAGATAAGTGTTCGTTCCCTCTCTCCAGGCCAACCTGCTCCGAGCTGTCCTGCCCGCAACGCGGGTGTCTCTCGGTGTATCGTCTCCAAGCAGACTACAGGCGACATAGGTAGGTACTACAGCACAATTAGATGCGCATGTGAAGATCCTGGCGCCTCCCAGTGGGAAAGTCCCAGAGTGGACGGATCGATGGTATGTTTGCCTGTCCTCCTCAACGGGGCGGGCCCCCTCAAGCAGTGCCGGCTGTAGCGTGGGGTGCCTCACTTTTCTTTTCTTTTTCTTTTCTTTTCTTTTTCTTTTCTCTCTCTTTCTTACTTCCCCTTGGGCCCTTGGAGGGGGGGAGCTGGGTCGTCTTGGAAGCTTATCGAACTTGGGTGGTTGTTCGACCGTTGCTACCCATTAGCGTAGGTATTATGTGCTAGACGTATGCTGAATTATAGTAGTAGCAATAGTATTGTTGTTCTTATATTCATTTTTAGCAACTGGCGTCCTGGGTTAACTTTTTTTTTTTTTTTTTTTTTTTTTTTTTTTTACTTGTTTCTTTTTATATCGCAATCGTCTTCCGCTGGCCCTTTCTGCTTCTTCTTCCCAGCCATCACTAGCCTGGTACGGCTGGACCAGGAGGTATTCTCAGGTAACAATCACAGCACCTAAGAAAGCCGTTGCACGCATATTCACCCATACGTAGAGGAACGAACGCTCTTCTTTTCTATCTGACCATCTTTCTGTCTGTTTTGTATGTGGTTTATATCGATATTTGGGTACCTACATGTAGGTAGTAGACTGCTTCCAGGTATTACGCACATTCCCATAGTCGCCAAGAGAAGCGAAGCGAGGAGAAGGGAAGAAGAGATACGGATTTAGTGCGTTCTGCCTAGCTCTAAGTAGCCGGGGCCGAGGAGGTATAGATAGATCTCTTAATTTTTCTATTCGTGGAGGTATTATTATTCCGTAGGCAAGCAAGTAATGGGTAATATTATAAATCATAGCGGTTCGCCATAGCCTGATACCCATACCTACCTATGATGTTCGGTTTATCCGAGTCGTTTCGACTTCTAGACCCAAAGACGTGACAGAGTGGGCTCTCCCGTCCCCTTTTTTTTGGAAAGGAAAAGCTCTTCTGATGCTGTAGCCAAGCGTACATGAATCCCAGTGTCACCAGATCAGTGGATTGCATGAAGGTATGTAGACTGTTGACTTACCTATCTAGTAGCGTAGCAACGCAGCAACGTAGCAACTTATCACCCATCCATATTACCTACGATATAGGTAGAGGTACTTATCCGATCACTACCTACCTACCTTGCCAACCACCTAGGGCATGTCTTTCGGTCCGAGGCGTGGGGTAGCGACGTGGAAGCCAACGTTGAGGAGATCGGGGGGAGGTAGCCCAGGTATATAGGTATGTACATAGGCGCGTCTGTAGACCCGGACCCTGTCATCTCATCCAGCCACTTCAAACCACCGGGATTGCGGGTTGTTTTCCTCTCTCCGATGTCCCTCGCACGTACACAACACGCCGAGGCGGTGCCGATCGATCGGGAAATTACGTGTCCTTTGTCAAGGTTGGTATTCTTTTGTTAATGCCTGCTCTGGGTGCGAGAAATACCCCTGGTCCTATGCGTCTACACTTGCTCATGCGCAGGCATGTATCCGATCCAGCTGGGGTCTGTCTGCCCGGGCTCGTCAGCGATGGGTTTCGCGGGTATGTACATACTTAGACGTCTCACCTTTCAATATTCGAGGTCACAAGGCCCCGATCCTACGGCCCCAGGCGGTTAATGTTGCGCCTGGAGACGAGAAAAGAGGTAGCTAGGCATCCCAACGCTGCACGGTACGTCTGTACGCCATGTAGGGCACGTATTATTTCCGTTAGTGAAGCCGCTCCAAAATTCGAGACCCGAGACACACACCCCCCCCCCCCCTGTCCTTCGACGCTTTTCGTCTGCTCTCCTCATACTCGTCTTCGTCGGCATGTATGCATGCAACTATGTTCTAACAGCATTGATGGTACGCAGGCATTCCTGCTCTTGGTAATTGGGTAGTAGGTGTGAGTCAGGCATAATCACGACGACGGCGGCGTCGGCAACAGGCCACCTACGATGGCTTAGACAGCCGTGATAATTATGGGCACGGCTGTGATAGGGATGACGGTAATGATGACAGTAATAGTAATGATGTTATACCCAAGCATTGTTATCGTCTCAATGGATATTGTTATTACCTACCTACGGTTTTTCTTCCTTTTATCACGATGACATGAGCCTCCAAGTTGCGAACCTCTCGTCTTTTCGATCTATTATCTATTTATAATACCTATAGGCAACCGAATAGGTTAGTCGGCATATTATTCTCTGCAGGAGAGAAAGACAGGCGGATTTGTTGAAGAATATCGAAACACCCCCCAGCCCTCCACCCCCTCCTCTCCCTCGCTTGTTAGGACGGCCCAGCATTGTTTCTACCCGCCCATCGTAAAAACCAGACATATTTCGTGTTATGTGCATGAACGTCCATGCATACGCACACCCAGAGATCTATCTACGTTGGTCGAGGCCGACGTCGCGATGGGTAGCGGCGTATTGCACATAGAAGCGGGCTGTCATCGCGCCCCACGACCCCGTCTCTCCGTCTTGTGGTAATACACATATACCTACCTCATGAGATCTTCGTACGCCTGCGCTCGGGTCGGGAGTCGAGTTGTCAGGCCCCTCCAGTTACCACCTACCCATCGCCAAGATGGTACAACCGAACTGGGCGCCTATCGCACGCTCTGTACATACCTAGAGGTCGAACCTAGCCAAGATGCCTCACATCACAACCTAGATAGGTAGGTATTTACTAAAGGCTAGGTACGAGGCAGTCGACCTCTGATATTACCGTCAGCCACTGGTCGGCTCCCTATCTCGACCGCAGTGGCCGACCAGCTCAGGCCTGCCCGACCAGGCGCGATCAATGGTAGTAATCGTGCGTGGGAGCATGGCCCCAGTCTCGCACCAGCTCTCTCAGGACGTGCATGTGCAAGTAGGCCTGCTCCCTGCAATGTGATGACCGACTCGTAGCGATGTGCGGGCACGGAACAGCTAAGCTTCTCGAGCAGACGCGTCGGCCACCTAGGCCCTTTACCCATACCTGGTTGTTTGTGGTAGAGGTAGGTAGGTCCTACTAAACCACTCCTCGTCACGCCTCGCGCCGATCTATATGCACGTGTTAGAGGAGAGAGAGAGAGAGGGAGGGAGGGGGGATGGAGGGAGAAAGGGAGAGATGTGCTGTGCCCCACGCCTTAGCAGGGGCAGGTCCGAGGTCGTAGGCGCTCTCGCAAGGTGGCACGAGACAGACAGCTCGACAGGGCGACAGAGAGTGATAGGACGCCGTGGCGCGAGAGGCTTGCCTGTCGGCGTCGCTGTATGGAACATATTCTAGACTTGTCCTCACGTTGTCCACTTACTGCTGACCGGTCGTTGACGCGAATGGGGGTATGTACCTACATATCCATGGGACAGCATGAACGTACGTACAAGGGCAGAGCCGTTCGGCTATCCTGTATCACACGAGGGCTCGAGAAGGATCATAGAGGAGTAGGTACGTATCGAGGTCCTACCCAGGCCTGCGGTGTAGACCTAGATGATGGGGTCAACGGGCGTATTCACGCAAGCACGGAGAAGAGCGTGCAAAAGATCCCATGCCCGGGCCAATGGGCACAAGTAAGTCGACTCTCTTCCTCTTCTTCCTCCATGCATATGTACGTATGTATGTGCGTACACTGACAGGAAAGGACGGGCCTGGTTTGGCTCCATCTCCAAGGCCTGATCTGCTAAGTGCCTACCTATAGCGAAGTAGGACTTTCAAGCGCCCATGTATGTATGTCCGCATGTGCCTACGCCTGCTGCGGGAGGACGACAGTGGGAAGTTTTCTCTCTGGTAGGTTGAGACGCGCGGAGCTGCGTAGGATAGGTACCTATTTCTTTCGATCAGGTGCGCCTAGGCATTCAAGGGTCCCCTGTCCTCTACATAGTCCTCCCTGCTGGCGGTGGTGACGGAGGGCTACCAGGCAAAGAGCCGGCGTCTCATCGCCGGCCGTTTCACGAAACGGGAATTCGAGAGCGCTACAAGCTGCGACATATGCGCTGTACAGCAGTGACCCTTTCGAGCTCCCCGGACGGCGGCGAGTAGTGGCGACGAACTGCTCCTGATGCTAGCCACGTAACGCACCGTTGGCTAGCACAGCCTGGTGAGACAGGCTTCTAGAACTACGGAATCTGCGCACGACTTTTTCCCCATGTACCTACTTAGGTCCGCGTCTGCTGCTATGTATCGGTGTAAATGCGTGTGAGCATGTAGCCTTAAGTGGTGTGGATCGCCGTGAGCGATCAGGTGTCTATAATAGATGTCGATGTGTGATGCTGCATACATTCCACTCATTCCTGCACATGTCCCCTATGTTGCTCCACTTCCTCTCTCACGGCGGACCCTAGTCCCCTCTACCACCTCAGGCATGCAGGTATATACATGATCCGTGTAGGGATCGAGGTCGTCGTTGTCGTTAACCCCTGGCCCCACCTAGCAATACCCTACCTACCTACACCCACAGCCTTATAGCTTGCCATGTAGATGTCAGGTCGGTATATGTGGGTGGGCGTGATTCACGTCCATCGCCCCCTCGACTACCAGGTACAGCAGGCTTGAATTGGCTAGCACGGCCTTCTGCGTGTGTCCTGTCAGCCGGATGACCTTAGCCGTCAGGGGAAGTCCCGTCGTCATCAGGTACAGAAGGGAGGGTTGGCAGACAGAGATCTCTGCATTTCTGACCCGTATCAAGAACTGGAGAGCTCGAGATGCAGCTCGACGAATATAGATTGCAGAGAGAGATGGGGGGGGGGCAGAGGAGCGGTGCATTGCTAAATCTCACAGGCGAGAATACTACCGGAATTTGCATGTAGCAGATATAGGGGCATCCTCGCGCACTGCCTCCTCTCGCCCCAGACAGCCAGCCCTGCCGAGTGACGTCGGTCATAACAGGATCGATACGGTATGCACAGAGAAACAATATGGGACAGCTATCCGGGGTTTACCGTGGTCTAGACCGGACCGAACAGCCAAGCTAGGGCGGACTGACCCAGGGGCCTCGACAACCATTCCTGTCGTCTGTGTCTAGAAAGCTACCTCCCTTCCGTCAGCACCATACTCGTATATACACCTTCACGCGCGTGGGGGAGGTGGTTCGCCCAAGCTGTAGCCACGATGCAACCGCAACCGAATGGCGACCCGTGGAAGCTTTCTCGAAGCTTGGCGCCTATGATCCTCACCAGGGCCAGTGAGGTACCAGTCCGTCTGAAGTTTTCATGCTGCGGGTTTCTGGCGAGCGGATGACAGCGGCCGCCGTTCATGTAACCCCCCTCCCCTTGAAGCCTGCTTCAACTAGGTAGGTCAAGACGCCTACGTGACTCCTCTTCTTTTCCCTCGCTGCTCTTGTATTTTATTTATTTTCCCATCCTTCGAAATAGGGGCGCAAGGGGGGGGGGAGGAAAAGGGGGTAAACAGCGGAGCGGGCACCATGGTTTGGCGCGATCGCCACACACACACACACACGCGCGCGCGCGCGCGCGCGTGTACCTTGACTCAGCAGTGCGTAGGGGTTGCATAGAAGTGGTGTCTAATAAATTACCCGTATCTCGGCGTACATATGTGTGGCCACGGAATAGGAGAAATGGTGAAACCGGCGAGGGCGCGTGAGGGCTCTAATGCGTCCCTCCGGGCCACTCACCCACTATGCCCAGGTGCCGCGATCCCCGTGAAGAGGCTCTCTCGACGTAGGTATTTCTTTCTTTTTCCCTCGTTTCGTTTCGTTTCGTTTCCTCGCCCCGAAAGCCCCCTGCCTTCGCCGCTGCTGGCCGGTTCGGCCTGCTCTAACACGAAATGCTCGACACAACGATTGGACCCCGACATCGGCAAGCTGAGACGCAGTATGCGGCTATGTCTCCGTGTCTGCGTGCGTGGGCTGGACCGGGACCCGATCCCCCTCTCTCCTCGTCGTGATCATGGTCCAGGGTCAGACCTCTACCATTGACCTATCTGTGTTGCTTGGCTGTCGAGAACGCTTCTGCGAGCCCGCCGCCCATACGCAAGGCTCATTTCACCGAATCCGAGACATCTCTACCCACCTGCTCGTCTTGCCTGCTTACTCGCTTACGCACCAATACACATACATACATACATACATACACGCACGCACGCTGTGCGTTGTGCTTGTTTTGCGACCTGCCTACCCACCTCGATAGGGATACAGTGTGAGGGCGAAGGGAGAGGGCCTACATGATTCGGGCTATACGCATGCGCAAATTTCCACAGGTACTGTGCATCGCGCATGGCCTCCTCCATCGACGTGGGAATATATGTATGTATGTCTGGCTTTTCAAGTATGCGTGCGTCCACGCATTGGGATAGGCTAGACTGCAGGTACCTGTATGTGAGGCGCCGTACTGTCGCCGAGAGGCGAGAAGAGGTGAGAAGAGGGAGAGGGCAGGCATCTTCGCCGCCCTCTCCCCCCCCGGATGGGAGGTCAGTAGACAGCTGGATGTATCGTAGCAACCTTTCACCGCCCGACCTGGCTCTACACGTTGGAGCTGGAGCCTCCGAGAAGGTCACCTGGCTTGTCTTCCATGCACCCTATGTACACGCGCCCACCGGGCGTCAATGGGAATCGCAAGTTAACTATAGACATATGCCATGACCCGTGGTAGAAGAAAAAGGATGACGGTACATCTTTGAGATTGATTAGTAAAGGCACATTAGTTTCTGCGCCTCACACTCCGCGCTCGTTGATGGGTAGGTGAATAGGCGGCACCACGGGATCGACAAGGGGCCTTTTGTCAGACCCACATATAGTTGGTTGTATTAATGGCGTCGTTTTAAGCTGCCTCTCGCTTGCCAGCAGCCCACACAAGGCCGGCCGGCCGGCCGGTCGGCCGAGAAAGCCCTTGGTTTTTGGTATCGGCGCGCTGCCTCCTTGCGGCGCATTCTGCAGGGGCCTTGAGGGTATGCCTCCATAGACGATCATCAAAACTCTTCACCCATCCTAGAATGGGAGACTCTCATCCCCGCTTGGACATCTGGCCCGCTTGTTCGCTGCGGAAATCCTGGGTCGCTTTCCCCTCGCGATGGCCACAGGGTGGTACGGACAGGCAACGGATATCGGCGCCTCTAATCTACCACCTCGCTCTGCTGCCTGAGTCCCTCATGCGTTGCGCCCGAAGAGGAGGGAGGGGTGACGATCGTCTTGCCGTTGGTAGCCTGAAGTCCCGGGACGGCTCCGCCAGTGCTCGCCTTCCGCCTTAGGCCCGCAGCCTTGACACTACGCGTTCGCTGATATGAACTTTCAATCTCGTACTCTATAGCGCACCTCGTGGTCAGCGCGCACACGGCCGGCCACACACTCTTCTCGCCGCGCAGGATCCAGTAATCTAGCGTTTCACGAGTGGGGGTGTCGAGCAGGCGCACGAAGTCCCCTGCCGTCACCTTGGGCACGAGCATCACGCTTGCGCCTGGCACTTCCTCGTCGACCAAAAACCTTCGAATGGCGGCGGGTAGCAGGCCCAACGTGTCGAGCTGCCGCAGGCGATGCCGAACCTCTAACCCGACGATCCTGAATATGTGACCCGTCAGTTGCGCCTGCTTGTGCCGCGCGGTGAAGAGCGGCGGGCCGTGCATGTCCGACTCGAGGAAAGGGATCAGGTAAGGGCGGGCCTGGCTGACCACGAAGTGGTTGACGTTGAAGAGCTGCGCGACGCGCGATAGTGGCGACTTGTGGTTCTTGTCTGACGTGTGTGTCCAAGGAAGAAAAGTGCTGGCTGGCGCCCAGGGCACGATTTTTCCGGTCACATCCTTGCACAGTATCGTTGTTCGCCTGCTTCCGTAGAGAGAGGGGGTAGAGGCATTGGATGCGACGGCCGCTGTCCAAATTAACTGTGCACCCGCCCGTCAGCATAGCCTACATACATACGCCCATACGGCCAGCTTCCGCGCAGGGCTCGCGCGGGACATGAGCGGGCAAACTTACCACGTTCGGGGCGGTAATGTAATTCAAGAGCGCAGGGATCCCGTCCTGCTCTGCGATAGCAACCGCGATGTTTAAGACACGCTTGCTCCTATTGTACGCCTCCTCGAAGGTCAAATCGCCGACGTTGTCTTTGACGCACTCCTCAAGCACCTTCACGTCGAGAAAATAGCCTTCGCGCCAGAATCTGAGCAGCCTGCGGAGAAGCGTATTCCCGGTACGCCCGACGAAAGGCGAACAGCTGCGGTCGCTGTGCACCTGCTGTCTATGCCTCTCGAAGGCTGACAGATCGATCCCGTCCCCCTTCAGCACGCCGGGTAACTCGTCGTCCGTATGGATGGCCACTAGAGTGGCGACGAGCGCACCGGTCGCGGTGCCGGTGATGATGCGCGGCAGCAGACCTCGCAGGAACAGCGCCTTAACTACGCCCATGTGGCACAGCCCAAACATGGCGCCACCCTTAAGCACCAGCGTGCTCCGCCCGAACGCCTGTCTGGAGTCGTGCAGGATATCCAGCTTCCGCTGGGTCGACAGGGCGTACGAATGCGTGTAATTATCGTGTGGCGGCGTGGCGATGCGGTTTCTTATGTCCTCGATGGCCTCGACCATCTGCGCAACGTACTCTTCGATCAGGTATTTAGTCCCGGCGAAGGCCCGATTGTACAGCCGCGGGGATGTGATATTGCCGAGATTGCGTACCAGCCCGGAGCGCACCAGATCGACGAGTAATTGTAGGTCGTCGCTGTCGCGGGCCTCGACGATCGAGTTTACACGGTCGTTGATGAGCATCCAGTCGTAGTGGTGAGAGGACGGATTGTTGCGCCTGCCAACCGGGACTCGTGGTTAATCTTCATCTCGTCAAGCCACTGGAGAGCGCCGCCGTCTTGCCTGCTTGGTGCGTAGCATACCAGAGATTGAGTTCCTTCAGGTTGTCCAGGTGCAAGGCCGCATGCTCCCAATCCTCATATACCTCGGCATCATGTAGCGCATCGAGCCACTCGTCAATCTCGCTCCTGGTAGTCCACCGTCCCCATAGTTTCTAGAAGGAAGAGGCAGGGCGTGAGTGGACTGGGCAGCGTTCCGGGGGTGCCGGGAATGCGGCGCGGATGCTCACGGACTCGGGACGGCGAACTCACTCACCCTGTACCAGAACAATAACACATCGACCAACAAGGAAAACAGGGCAATGGGCGCTCGCAGTACGGCCTGCATTCTTTACGACGGCGCCTGGGCCGGAACCACCGGAAGGGGGAGAGGACGCTGACGGGTCAGAGTTAACAACAGGCAGAGAGAATGATCTGACCAGGCGAATGGAAATGGCAGGAGAGCGGGCATTCCGCCATTATATGTCGCTCCGCCGCAACGCCACGAGGTGCACGGCGAGAAAAGAGAAGCGTATGGGGACGGACGGACAGCAAAGGGGATGCTGGCATCGGCCTGAGGCGTCACCTATGAGCTAAGCAGCAGGTACGTGCCTCCCTCCTCTTGCCATTGCCGCGGCGGGAGGGCAGGCATACCTGGGGTACTCCGGAGGAAGGTGCTACGTAAGGAGGGGGATGACGGGGAAGGAGTAGGCCGAGCTAACGTAATTGCGGGGGATAGCACCAGCCTCCTTCCGCAACTTGCATGTGACAAAGCCCTACCTAAAACAAACGAAAGATGGGGTGCATGCAGCAACTGGTAGGTACGGACCCGACGCTAGCGGATGCTGGGCAGACCCCTAACCTCTGCTTATGTACACCCAGGTAGGTTGGTACCGAAGGTACAGAGGTAGGTCGGTAGGTTAGGAGGTAGGTAGGTCATCCCAACGCTACCTCCCCCTATTGGTAGGTGCTGGTTAGGTACCTATCTACCTACTTAGGTACCTACCTAGGTAGGTAGGTAGGTAGGAGGTACTTGGGCCTCCCAATCATATTGCATATCTCACGCACAAATTTCTATATGCAGACCCCCGGGCGTAATGCACGCACGCACAAGCTGTCTACCTCCTACCTGGGTGGGTAGGTACCTAGGTACCTAAGTGTGCTGTCTCAGGGTACCTACCTCCTAGGCGCCTCTTCGCCAAGGACAGGTACCGAATCTGCCCTGGATGTACACTACTCCGAGGTTGTCATGTACAAGCCCGCTGACAGCGCCTTGGGAGCTCCCCTAACTGCCAGTGTTAGTACATGCCTACGGGCGGGAGATAACACAACACGGCGGCACCCTGCCGTGCTATCAGTCAAGTCTCGTCTCCGCTCTATTATATTGATTGATAGAATCGACGCTACCAGCAATGTGATACAGTTCTCAGGCTCATTTCGCCCATCATGCCTTGCCAGACCTCCCGAGGCTTCGGGGGTGTAGATCCATCATAGAACATAGCCAGGTCCGAAGAAATCGCGAGGTCGAGGCACACATGTTACGGCCTATGATGGGTACAGGAAATTCTGGCCATCGCTCGTGGTTGTGACCCCAAGTCCTGTCCGCTATATTCCCCTACTCGTCGTCTTCGTCTTCGTCCTCGTCAACGACGCGACGTCGTCTTACTCGAGACGACTCTGCCGCCGGAGCCGGCGCATCTACGTCGTCGAGATCGGCGTCGGCGTCGGCGTCATCCTCCGCATCGGCTGTCTTCTGCCGTTTCTTTCGAGGGGGACCCTCGTCGTCGTCGTCGTCGTCGTCGAGGATGTCCTCCTCCTCCTCCTCCTCTTCCTCTTCCTCGCTCGCGCCTTCCTCGTCGCTGGGTGCAATGAAATCATCCTCACGGTCGTATTCATTCTGGCGGCGACCGCCGGATGGGAAGTCGTCATCTGAGTCGTATTCCGGCCTGCGCCGCTTGCCCTTCGAGGAACCCGGCACACCTCGCTTCCGAGGGCCGCCCGCTCTCCGCCCGCTCTCCAGGTCGCCGATGGATAGCCCACCAGACTTGTAGGCTCCGGCCCTACTACCATCAAGACGTGCGGCCGCCGTCTCTCGTCTTCTCTGTGCCTTGAGCTGCTCCTTCTCCGCCAACTCCGCCTCTCGCTTCTGGAGCTCCGGGTTCTTCGTGGTCGTGATGATCATACCGGCACCGCTGTTTCTGGCGCGTGCGGCTTCCGCCATGGCTCGGTTGAACTTGAGGGTAGCCTCGTCTTGGAGGGTCGAACTCAGGTTGACCGTGTACTGCTCTGAGACGTGGCCGACAGTCAAGAACAGCTCACTGGTGATATGGGCGGCGGCGACGTAGTAGTGAGCATCGTCCCGCTCCTCGTACTGCGGCTTTCCCGCCGGTGGCGCCATGCTCTTCTTCTGTATCTCGTAATGGTCGCTGCCGACGGACATGGAGAGGGACCCATCGCTCCACCTGTAGATTGCCGCATTGCTCTTGAGCTCCCCGGTCTCCGGATCGCGCTGGAAGCGAACGACGTTCTTGCGCTTATCGGAACGCGCGTTCTGTATATCCCACTCGCTCGGCTCGAACGTCTCGGGCTTGTATTCCTCGGCCTGGAACTTGAGGAAATACGGCACTTTCATCGATTGCAACTAGCACCCGTTAGCGTCTCCAGCCGGTCGGCGACGTAGCGACGAGGAAGTCGCGGCGGCCACATACGAAACCATCCTTAGTTCTCGGCGTCCTGTGTCGATGGACCGTCACACCCATAATGCGCTTCATCTGGACCTCTTGGTCCTCCTCCGCGTCGTCGACGCCATCGTCGCGCGCGCGGCTCTCGCCCTCATCCGGCTCCGATCCCAGCTCGCGGTCGCTGAGTCCCCCGTCCTGGTCGGATTGAGCTTGGTTGTCATCGTCCCCGAAGAGGTCGCCACCACTCTCATCGGGGAGGCTGACCGCGTCCTCAGAGTCGGACATGACACAGTCAACGCGCTTTAGCAGGCCAATGGGGCGTCGTAGATAGGCCTGAGGGAAAAAGAGCCGGCAATGGAGAAGGGTCTGGTTGGATTCAATGTGACGTGAGATGAAATGGGTGCTCGCATCTGTAATTCTCGTGCGGCAGAGATGAATAGGTGGAAGAGAGGTAGGTTAGGTAGTGCAGGTGTAGTGGCAGAGTGAGTCGCGGATAGAAAGGAATCGCAATTGCATTGGCCGATTGGCGCATTGCTGGGAGAAGAGCAAATCGATCCAGCAGCTTGAGTACACGTAGGTACCTACCTAGCCACAGGCAGGTACTTATGGCAGCCTCAGGCAGAAGGCACGTTACCTGCCTACCTTCCTTCGTTACTCCGTAAACACAGGTACCCGCAATGTAGGTACCCTCTCCATCCTCGCTGCCCGACGACCTTGGTGTGTGCCCGGTGTGTTACTTATTGGCAGGAGTACCTCTAGATTAGGTACCTAGGGTAGCTTAAGTTCTAGGTACGTACCAGCTCAGACTGATAGGTACCTCTGACTGACCCGTATACGCGCTAGGTACCTGCCAGGTGTACAGGTAGGGTGATTAGGTACTTGGACGATACCGATGCAGCCATTCTTGTCCCCAAAGGGGTTAGCGTAGGGCGTCTAGCGCACCACCTCCTGAAACAACCTTACCTTAGCATAGCACCAAACGAATTGTCAGGCAGAACTGCTCCCGTCCCTCGAACTCCCACATTGCCAACAACACAACCTTCATACATCATCACAACAGGCGTACCTTGCATATACGGAACCTATAGTTAACCTATACGTAACATACATCAACTTACCTAACCCCTCCCCCCCTTCGTCTACCCCCTTTTCTCCCTGGTCCCAAGAAGAGAGGCCTGCGCTGTCTCCCCCATACCCATTTCCCTCCCGTCACCTCTGCCGTCGGGTACTCTGTCTGCGTGTTGGCATAAGCCCTCCTCCATCCATCTATCATCCGTCTCTCTCTTTCTCTCTTCTCTCTCCTTCCTCTCGCCCTCTACTCCTCTTCCCTAATCCCCCCTCTCCCCTCTCCCCTCTCCGCGCTTGTCGTTCAGTTTTATTTCCTACTACAGTCTACCAGTTAATCACTAGTGGATGTTGGCTGTCGGTCTTTTAGGTACGCGATCATGTCTAACCTTTTCTCTGGCATGTGAGTAGAAATTGCCCATTCCTATTTGCGATTCCGTGTTCTTCATTTCCTCATCCTTTCTTTCTCTATCTCTTCACTTCTCTCTGTCTCTCCCTCCATGCAAGTAAAAACGATCCCCTCCCAAAACATCTCCTTAATAAGGGCTACCCATCTATCTATGTCTGATCTATTTCTTCCATCCAACGATGCATTTTCCTTGCGCCTGCCCTCAACCCGAAGGGCGCACGTGAGCTCCCGGACCATAATATATGTCTGCCTACATCTAGGTAGATAGGGCCACGGAGCTGGTTCCAGAGGATGAACCGCCGGTGTCAATGTTGCCCGTGGCCATGGGGTACCGGGGTGACTTATACCTTCTTCTTGTCCCGGCAACCCCCCTTCTCTCTTCACCATCTATCTCTCTTACTCCGCGCGTACGAGTCAGTCAAGTTTGGCTCGGCTTGGTTAGCCTCATCCACAACGTCAACCATCCTTGGGCTCAAGCAACCGGGATCAGTATTTCTGGGGTTCTGCATGCGGATCACCCGCAGCCTTTCTAGCTTCTGGGAAGCCCCAGTGAACCGTGTTGTATGCCGTATCTAGGAATCCTCAGGACCGGGGCGGCCGCGTCCAGCTGTGGGATGTACGTGTGAACTGCCGTTCTAGAAGGATCCCAATCTAAAGCAGGCTAGCCATGTAGCTCAGTGAGCAGCTTGTCTCAGAGGCACTCGGCTTCTTCCTTCTTCCCTTCTCTGCAGGACAGACATTGAACCGTTGAAACGGACCCGGGCTCGGGGATTTCGCTTGCATTGTTCTACCCAGCAGGCCCAAGAACCTAGGATCCGCCCCCTATCTTTGGATACTCGCGCGAAAACGGCCTTGTTATACACGGCAGCTCTCAGCAAATGCCCGCTGGATGCTGCTTTCCTGGCATGGCGACATTCCGTGGTGAAGCCGGGAGCGAGAGTGATCTGAAATAAAGGTGCCACCGGCTCTGTTATGTGCAAGCGCCTTCTCTCCCTCCTGGGTCTCTGTCCGGATGTGTCCTTGCTATATGCCCTGAATTTAGTTAATTTTTCTGTTGAATACGTGGCTAGGGATATAAGGCCGAGGCCGTCTTCGACTCTTCTCCACTATCTTTTTTTTTTTTTTGGCCAGTCTGGAATGGGGCTTCTCCCCCTCACACCGACAAAGAAACCCGGACGCTAACTATCTATTCCTAGAAACGCTCGATTGAGAGGGACTTCGGCCAAGGCCCCAGGTCAGAACAAGAGCCCCGTTTCAGCCATCAGCGGTCAACCTAACTCTCCCATCAACCTCTACCAAGGCAGCCAGTCACCCTCAAGTCTAGTAGCACCAAAGATACCTCCGCTCCCTAGCTCACCATCCCTACCTCACAACATCGGCATGGACGACACCGGCAACTCGGGGGTCAACGGTGACGACGTGCTCAATTCCTACCATCTGCCTCGACCGCTACCCCTATGGCTCAACGCGCAATACGCGAAGCACATCGTCAAGGGTAACTTCATGACCCTGAGCGCGCGGCCCAAGACGGTGGAACAAGGAGAGTGGATTGCGCACCAAGGCAAGTGCAACACCAGGCCTCGATCGGATATCTCCAGAGAGGAAGAAGCTTCTAATTCGTATGAAAAGTGGTCGAGCACTATCGCAACCTCTGGAACTTTGTACGAGTGATTCACGAGAAGGAGGAGGACGGGACGTCCATCTGCAATCCTCAATCCTGTCCTCGCATGTCTGCCGGCGCGTACGTAACCCTGGGGAATACATCGAAGTTTACAAGGAACCCCCTATGTTTTCTTTTAGGAGGCTGACTGGGATAACTAGAAATCATTCATTCACCTGGCTGAATGGAAAGCATGAACCCGTCGAGCTACCGGCTTCCGAGTACATCACCCTCATGCAACGTTGGATCTCGGGCAAGATCGACGATGTAAACATCTTCCCTACCGACACCAACGGCGTCTCGTACGCGCAGAACCCAGCCATGACCACGACTCCGCTCCCGCAGTTGACGAACCCTGGAGAGAAAGATTGGATTGGCAAGCGAAGCGGCTTCCCCGATACCTTTGTTGAAGTCTGCCAGACTATTTTCCGGCAGATGTTTCGGGTATACGCCCACCTGTACTGGGCCCACTTCATTGATCCCTTCTATCACCTGAACCTCGAGAAGCAGCTTAACAGCTGTTTCAGCCACTTCGTGCTAACTGCCTGTGCCCTCGACATGCTCAGGCCACAGGAGCTGGAGCCGATGCAGCCGTTGATCGACCTCTGGGCCACTAACGGAACCTTTCCCCCCGGCTCCAAGGCATATGAATATGCTAACCACCGTGCCGGAGAGCGGCTGATGCAACTCGCGAACGTTGCCTAGGGGGCGCGTAGCCGTCATCACCCTCGACGACAAAACTCGGGAGGACTGGCCAGGCCTGAGGTCGGCTCTAGATCGGGGCTACAGAGCTGCCGGAATCCCGGCCAACGACACGTCACGACGAAAGGGAGAAAAAAGACGTCCTAAGCTAGAGAGAAGAAATAAGGCCCCCTTGCCCCTCTAGCGAAATATGCGCGCCGCCATCTAGGTAGACGCTGGCGAGGGGCACACCCATTGATATTTACATAATGTGATGCACGATGCGCACCGGAGGGAGCGGTTACAGAAAGGAGGGGAAGGTAAACGGGCCTTGTTGGCAACACGCCTGTACGCGAACGCTGCGATTAGGAGCGCATCTCCGCGGCAGGATAATGCCACGGCGTAGGCATGCGCGGCTCGGCGGAGACGGGGCAGGAGGAGGGGTAGAAGGAGAAGACGAGTTCTAGACAGACTAGGTATAAAGCGGGAGTGCTCTGCTCCCATGCTTCCCTGCGTAGGCCTGTGCGTGTGCACGTCGTCACCGACCTAGATAAGCCTACCTCTCTACCCCCGACCGAACCTATATACCGATGCTGTAGCCTCTGCTATGGTTCTGAAGGCGGCTGGGCCAGCAGATCCTTAGTATGCCCCGAAAATGCGTGGAAAGGATTTTCGTTTTTCATCGATTTTTGCCCGATTTTTATTCTTCGCCGACGTAGGAGAGGGGGAGGGGAGGCTTCTCCAAGCCGCGGCGGGCTCGCGTAGAATACCTACCCCGCATTTGCATTGTTGGAGGAGTGTCTGGGTTCTGGGTGCACATGGCTGCTGAGCTGGGGCCAGGAAGCGCATTATTATCATCCTGCGAAGACGGCCCGAGTTGGCGCCGCGACTCCCCATGCCCACGCCACGGACGACAACAACACGCTGCAGAATCCGGCCGGTAGGGGGGGCCGCCAACAGCAGACCTTGCAATTGACCAACGGTCGAGTTCTTGCTCGTCGTATTGAATATAGGCACATATACATCTATCTACATATCTATCCAACGCCCTCAGCACACGGCACACGGCGATGCGGTGTTTTCCTCTGGCGGGAGAAAACACAAAAAGACCGACTTCCAGAGTTCCTAGCTGTAATAAAAAAAAAAGAAGGCTCCCTACTGACACCATGAATACCACCGCTAGCAGCAGCAGCACGGGGGGCGGGGAGCATTTCCAGCGGTGTTGGAGGATCCAGACTTGCCAGGGCTGTCTCGGCCAGGAGCCTGACTGCAGCTGGTGTCCCTTCGTAGGTCTCTGCTACGAGTCCACCCCATCGTTCACGAGGAGAGAGAGAGGAAAAAAACCATGCATGTCATCTATGTTCTACGGGAAGCTAACCGCGAGCCGTACCGACGGCCCGTCCCGGGTATGCAAATGTAGTCCTGGACCTGCGTCCCCAACTCCAACCGGCTCCAGCTTCTCGCGCCGGCGTGGGACGAGAACGTCTGCCCCCACTGGGCCGAGCGGTGGGAAATCCGCACGCGGCCGCTCGGCTGCCAGGTGTCGACCATCACCACGCTCACTTCGCTCGTCACCGTCGCATCCACGCTTGCCCTAGTGCTTCTCGTCACGCTAACCGTCCTCGGCGCCCGCGGGATCAAGGCATACAGCAAGAAGAATCCCGGCTGGTGGAAGATATGGAGATACGACTGGAGACGCGCGGCGTCGGAGTGCCGGAGGCGGCTTCGTGCGGGGTTAAGATTCAAGGCCCATGATGCCGATACCCGGAACCAAAACAGAGAGCAGGAACCGCTGTTACCATCTTGAAGGACAGCCAGTGACAGGGCACTTTAGTTATAATGGGACGCGCCGAGTACAACTCCAGTTGATTGGTATTCAATTCGATACGACCTTCAACTGCAGCCTTCAACCAGAACTGACTGGGGGGATAATGGCAACCTCGTCACCCTCCTGGATCATCGACTTTGAGGTCTCATCGCCCGGGTCGGGAACGTCAACATAATTCAGATTGACTGTCACTAGGCAAGAGCCGAGGATGCTGTCTTTGATTCCGTTGTATCTCTCTTCTAATGTGTCGAACAGCCTTCTGAGGGGTAGCGGTGCTGGTAGGGGTTCATATTCTCTCGAGGTGAAAGAGCTCGCGCTTGCGAAGTAGAGGATATTGAAATGACCCTGGGGTGGCTTAGGGACGGCTGCCATTTGAAAACGCGTCTGCAGACCGAGAGGCAGTAAAATAATCCTAGTCAAACGCTGGTTAGTTACTGCGCAATGTTGATGAGTGCAACAACAGAACATCGTAAGAGGCGTGTTGAGTCAGAGATCTTGGTGATAATTATAGCACATCAACGATAATCAGGTAATACATGCTGTTAATGCATCATTCAACATGTAGAAACAAGCCGAGGAGGAAATTTTTGCTTACAGAATCTCAGTACAAGGCGTTATTGTAACGCCATCCAGGATGCCGGGTGAGAAGAAATATGGGAGGAGGGAGGAAGAAAATAAAAAAAAGTCTGCGATTGCAGAAACCCTGCAGGTAAAATGAGATGCCCCACCATCGGTCTGATTACTAACCCAGACTCGTTCTGCGGAGCGTGATGGACAAGTGTGAATGTCAACGGCAATGGCTCGAGCTAGCCAGTTACCTAGGTATAATCAAAGTTTCACTGTATAGATCCGTGTCAGCCTTGCCTTGTGGTGATTATACCGGCATTCAAATTCGATGCTGGTCCATATCCTGCCCTCCGATTCACCAGAGCGAGACTGCGGCAAGACGTCAGGAAGACGAGGCCATCCGTTTCAGAGATAACGGCAGCCTGAGCCTGGGGTTATAGATCGGTTTTTTATTTTTTGATTCGTAACGCAGAATGCCCGTAGTCCTATGACTCCTGTAACAAAGGGAATCGCAAGCATATATGCTCATGGCCCTATTACTACCTCATGACAGTCGCAAAGTGGTAGTGATGCCCCAATCTCGCCTGCTCTTATCTCCCAAACCAAGGACTCCTCCGCTCTATCTCAGTCTTCTGGCCTCGCGTTCGGATTCGAGCAGGCAAAGGATGTCGTCCTCGCGAACTGCAGCAGGTAGTCACACAAGTTAGCGTCTCCCTGGAGAGCTGCCATGCCGTTGCGGCAGACGGGTTCGTAGATTCGCACCTGGGCCCTTGACGTTTCGGATGATGCTTCGGGTCTGGTCATCCATGAATTCGACGCGGACTTGGGTGACACCACCGCGAGAACCTATAGTCATATCAGCTTCCGGCCTTGAATACATGATATAGCATAGTTCTTGTCGCGATGTAGCTTCGCTCGATACGACGGTTACGAGAATGCGCGGAGGGGATGGGGGATCGGTCGTACCGGTTCGGCCCAGGACGCGGGTGACCTTGACAAGCTTAACTGGCTGCTTGGCAGATTCCATGGTTGCGATCTTGACGGCCTCGTTGGAGTCTTCTTTCTCTGAGAAGCGTTGGTCGTACTTGGGAATGAAGTTCAGCGAGAGGTCTGCTGCCTAGCCGCAAGTATGGCAATGAGGGATGCTAGGAAGGAAATTTTGATCCAGTAGGACGAAGTCTCGCTAAAGCCGTAAACTTTGTGGGTAGGGCTTTTTTCAAATGCACGGACCGCCCATCACTTCCTTTATCCTTATCGACAATTGATAACCCCACCCTCCCTCTAAGCTCACCCTATCCACAATTGATAACCCCACACCCCCCCTAAGCTCACCCTATCCTAGGCCATCTACTAGGCACTTCGCTTCCCCCCCTCTCTCCTAACCTGAAGACCAAGAGCCAACAGTCTACAGGGCGCGTAAGGGGTTGCAACCGCGGATACCGGCCAAAAACACCGCGCCGAGCCCGTAATTATCAATATAAACACGTATAGATATAGGACGTGTTCGCTATCTAGGCCAAAAGGCTCAGATACGTTGTTATTAAAGATTATGTACCCATATTCTCAGCACATCGCATCGAGAACTAGGCTCAGTTACGCTGAATCGAGCCATCCTTTCTGCTATCGTGATAGCTGGGCCACCTTGGTCTCCAGGTCTTTTACCCATCCCTCCACTATTTTCATGTTAGCTGTCATGGAAGTCCCTCCCTCGTCCATGGCCGATTCGATCTTCTCCAGGCCTTCCTTCCATTGCTTAATATCAGCAGCCGTCTCAATCTGTGACTTCTCGATACGCTCTAGAGTCTCGCTAGCCGTCGCCGCGTCAGCGTGGATAGCCCTTAGCGACCGGAGCCTGTCCAGCAATGGGGGCAGGAGGGGTGACAAGCTCTCAATAGTAGGCAAGGTTCCGTAGAGAGCATTGATCTTGGCTGTCTGCTCCGAATCGTCTACTTCGGAGGGAGAGCCGCCCGACGAGGCCAACGAATCTTGCGCGGCCTTGGCCGCTCTCCTTGACTTCTCTAGTTGTTCGGCTTCTTGGGTCAACGTTCGTACCCGACGGCTAATGCTGTCGAGGGATGAAGTGGACGCCTCTGATAACGTCAATATCTGGTTCTGGAGCGCGTCTAACGTGGGCATAATAGCTCGAGGCAAGCCGTTCCCCTCCAGCTCGGGCATTCCTGACGAGCTAATACCAATGGCCTTTTCGAGGAGGACGAGTCGTCGATCGAAATCAGCAGCTTTAGCGAGAATATGGCTTTGCTCGTAGGTTGGCGCGTAGGTAACGGTGTAAGTCGCACCGCTCACCGCAGACTGCGCTGACGTCTGGCCGCCCTCCCCCGTCTGCTGGCTCGCGGCCGGGGCGGACTGGCGGACAGTCGTGATTCCCTTCTCCGGAACGACCGACATCTGCTCTAGGGCTTGGCTTAGCGAGCCGAGGTCGACGTCCTGGTCCGGCACCGCCTGGCCCGACTCAGCCCTTCGCCTTCCATATTCTTCTTTGGCTTCTTCGATCTCGCGCTTAAGGCGTGCAATCTTCCTCCCCAGGTCCTCGCTTCCCTCCTCATCGCTCAGGTCACCGATCTGCTCTGTACCGTCTTCGAGAATCCGTCGTCTTCGACTGGAGGTCTTATAGGATTTCCGTTTCCCGTTAAGCCGATCCGAGAAATCCACATCTCGTGCGTCAACCTCGGCAGGCAAGAATCGGGAGCGGGCTTGGTCTATTCGGAGGCGCGAGTGAGAGATTCCGGGGGCATCTTCGTCATCGTCGTCGTCGTCGAATTCATTCTCAGATTGCGATCGGCCGGCGGTGGTCTGTAGGCTGGGTTTAGTACACGATGCACTAGCGACCGAAAAAATAGATGGCGCGCTTCCCTACCGGAATAGTGGAGTTATCGTCTGTCAACTCGGGAGTCTGGTAAATGTCGGGCGCGGAGTCCTGGGTGTTGATTAGCCGGGGTGCCTCGGGATAGAGCCGCGAGAAGGGTTACATACCAGATCTGGCAACGCAGCATACTTGCGATTCAACGCCATGTTGAAACGAAGGCGGAACCGCTTTCGGCTTCTCGAGACTGGCCTTCTGTTTCTCGAATACGATTACGCCTAGGTATGCCAGTCTGCGCTCCGGAAGCTGGCAGCAGCGGTCTGAATGACGGGGTGAGGCGAGAGAGAGCAGGGTTGGTTATGAGGTTTAGGTACCTTACGTATGGAGAGGCATACAAGAATACCTGTGTAGGTGTACTTGGTGGGAGTTCCAGGATGGATTTGAGTCTCCTGGGCTTTTACCCTTAGGTACCTCTCTCCGCCGAATGTGGCTCGTGCCGCTATGTGGCTGAATTTTGAGGTTTCGGTACCTACAAGGTACCTCGTGGGCCGGGTTACAGACCAGTCCAATCTACCTGTCCCTCGTAGCTCGGGCGCTTCACGAGCCGGGTGGGGAGCCGGACAGGTACATCCACGTCGAGAGGGAAAAACGCGTCGCGTCGCTCAGTCAGGTACATCGCCCAGAGGCTCGGAACGCAAGCACTACGTGGACTGAGTTGTTCCACTTCAAACTGAAGTGAGCCAAGGTCGTGAATTAGTTGGTCGATCACGTTCTCGAGAATATGGCAATCTAGGACAGGCCCTCGGCTTATTATCTCTCAGGCCCTCTCATTACTTCTGTGTGCATCCTTGATTACCTCCTCCTGGGTATGCCTAAGATAACATCCCCGACATCCACGAGCCATTCTCATGGCCAGAGGCCCGAGTTACTCCCATTCAACCCGCCAGTTTGATATCTCGATATCACATGTCTCCCAAGATTCTTAGCGCAAACCGGCTGGGCCATACATCTCTTAGGCCTGCTATTCCCGCCTACCGGGCTAGGCAGGAAGCCCAATGCCTATTATACGACCGCCGGCAAGGCGGGTGGGACTGAATGTATGTCAGAAGCCACCGCCTCTTCTATCTACGATCAAAGGCCGTCCAACCCGGCCGTCTGAATCTAGCCCTTCCGGTCCAGGGGACCAATCCAAGATGAGCGCAAGTTTGAAACTGAAAGAGCCTGAGGCGATCACAGCACCGCCCCTGAGCAGCGATAGCGAGGATGACTACCCGCCATTGCGCCCAATGCCCGGTAATAGCTCGCAAGACTCTGACAACGACGATGAGAATCGACGTGGCGATATAAAGCCTACGGTCTTCAGCGGTGCCCAATCATCCCCTCCACAGTCGAGCAATGCACGGGGAGGCACGCGGGCGGAATTGAAGTCATCATCTCAAGGAGACAGGAGAATACGAGGCTCACAAAACGATGAGCCTTCTAGCTCTGCTGGCTCCAAGAGATCTGCCCAAGATGCTGTTCCTGAATCGGACACCCACCTCAAAGACAAACTCGGCTTCACTGGGACGGCTTTTAAGAGGAACAAGATTAGCAAGAGACGTAGCCTCATCTATGGTAGCAAATCGAGTCAGCCGAGATCCTCGCAGTCGAAATCATCACAGTCGAAATCATCACAGAAGACTCGCCCCGGGACATCCACCCCTCAATCTGACGGTTAGTTCCCATGCCTCACCCATTATAGCTGCTGCTGACCCTATATCTCCAATAGCTGAGCCGACGGCAAAGAAATTTAGGCATTTCGAACCCAGCCCAAGTCCGGAGAGTCTTCGGTCGCCGCCAGCGAGACGGTTCCTAAAACCCGAGAGCCTCAGCCCAGAAGGTGCAACATTGCCAACAGGGTTTGTCATGCCACCATCCTCGGTAGGTTCGAGTCCGCATCGAGGCAAGTCGAGGCCAGTATTCCAGCATATTACGCTGTCGGATGACTCTCCAAAACTCCCCAAATTTAAATCACTTGACCCGGATAGAGGAAGGTCGAGCTCGGCCCCGAAAGCTGATACAGGCGTCCGGAAACCTAGCAGAACAGGCAAGCCGAGGAAACCCAAGGCGAAGGCGGGGCAGACCGCGCCAGAGCCAGGACGAGAGGCAGACTTTTCACAGAGACCAACCTTCAAGCTACACGCCTTGGATGACATAGACTACCCAGATGAAAGCAACGACAAAAATGCCAACACGTCTGAAAACAAGGCATCGGATGACGAAATAGGCGAAATAAGCATACTGGAACCAGTGGCTGTGACGGCAAGATGTCCGATGTGCCGCGAAGTGGTCGACGCCAAGCTCTTAGCCAAGCATTCGGATGACGGTAGGATGAACATCAGGAAGCAGGCAGCATTCTGCAGATTACACAAGCGAAAGACGGCGCTGCGCTCTAGGGCCGAAAAAGGTTACCCCAAGATCGACTGGGGAGCGTTGAACTCGCGCCTCGGGAGCCACCACGACTTCTTGAAGGATGTGTTGGAGGGCACTCGGCCGTCGCACTACGGCAACCTTCTCAGAAGAAACGTCGAGTCCGGGAAGAACCGAACGCTGCTGAGGACGGAGGACAGCCTCACGCCGGGCTACTACGGCCCGCGGGGGTTGCGGGTCATGACGGAGTACATCATGCGGGCGTTGTCGTCCACGGTACGCAAGCGCGCGGTCGAGGACCGGCTTGTCTCGGCTAGGGGCTACACGGGGTACGTGCAAGCGGTGCTGGTGCCGGAGCTGGCAGTCCGCCTGATCATGGAGGACATGAAGGTGGGAGAAGGCGAGGCGCGGGCGATCATGCAGGACAGCATCGAGTTCGGCGAGCTCTTGTACGAGGACGCGGGGGACGCCATCGCGGGTGTGAGCGATGAAGAGGACGGGCCATAAATGGTGGTTCGGGGCCCCGGGGACCTCGAGGCTCGCGAGGCAAGTGTACAATTATCTACGCAGTATAGGTACGTATAAACATAGGTAGGAGAAGCATGCGGGCTCTTGCGCGGGCGCGCGAAGCCGAATATTGGTACATGGCAACATGGGGGTTCTCTCCGCGATACGTCAACACACTCTCGCGCTACCAACCGGGATCCCGTTTTGCGGAGCGGTTATCCGCGCAAGCAGGCAAATCTGCGAGTAGTTTTGATGGACGAAAATGGCCAGGGTGTCCCGGCGGGCTGTTGCTCTGGGCATACGGCGCAATGCAACCCCTCTGCGCCCTCCACCCCCTTGTGACAGGTTGGTTGATCGACGGCTCCTCGGATGTGCCCTAACCGTGGATCGCGCTTCGCAGGGCGGACGGCGGGGAGGGGGCCCTCTCGCACGTCCGCGAACGAGTGAGGCGCGCTGGCGAGTGCGGGTTTCCCGAGTCGTAACCTTCATCACAGCCCGCACGCATCCTGTCACATCAACGGCGTCAGGGCATCTCGACCCGCCTAGCCTGCCAGCCTGCTCGCCTGCCCCTTATCTGCCTGCCTGCCTGCCTGCCTGCCCAGATGCCTAGATGCAGGTATGTGCGCATGCATGCATACAGCCATACAGCCGTACCAGCCGTACGACTTCGATGTGCTCATATACCACGTAGTATACCTGTGTGTGGTGTGATGCGCGCGCGGTATCCCTACCTATGATAGGTACGTAGAGTCGGTCAGGTGTGTTCGTTAAGCTGAGTATGTGTAGTGACGTTTCTGTCCTTTTTATTTCCGCCTTCTTACAAGCTTTGATCTATTTTTATCCCCGGGTGGTTATGGATTGCATCAACGTGACTGGAAATATGGAATTTGACGCCGTCGTCGTCCGGCGTATTACGTGGTAGGAGATAGGTACCTTACATACCTTAGGTACCTAGGCAATACATCTAGGCCGGCGGTGTCTACCAGGAGATAGGTACCCACGTAGGCGTGTACTTACGACGCGCAAGGGAACTCGCTCGCGAGGGTGCGTGAGTTGGGAGGCCAGGCAATCGGATACGCGACCGTCAAATCTCGTATGACCGAGATAAGACACGTTCCCGGGGGCGAGCAAGGCATTGGGTGCAGCATCGGGTGCATTTTGCTAACCAGGTTCTTACCTGCGGTATATGAGTATGTGTGAGTACGCTGTTGGGAATCCCACCCAGACAGACTCGCCCAGACCTACTTGCTGCCTGCGCGAGGGCGCGAGAGGAGCGTCGAGTCCAAATTCCAGGGTAGCACACGACGCCGACCCCGTCGGGCTGGATGCACTCGTGGGCATAGGCGCACGCGCGCACCCAAGGTCGTCGACACGACCCCGTTGCTTGTGGTGACATGGGGAGGGAGCGAGAAACGGAGGTAGGTATGCCATGCTGTCTGTCATCAGGTTAAGACTATACTGCCTACCTATAGTATAACCTATTGGCGCTATCGCTGGTACCGCTGCCGTGGGAACCTCTGCTCTCTCGGGCAAAGCGAGGATATGCGGCTGGGGGACGGTACTTATCCTGGATCGACAACTGTTTCGCGCTTGCGACAGGGGAACGCTGGAGGGGATGGGGGGGGGTCTGGGGTGTCGGAGTCGTATGGGGTCCACGACCCGGTTTTGTGGATGGGCCGTGGGTAAGGCTCAGACAAGAGGCCGCGAGATGATCCGAGCTATCTCGAGCCCGCAATTTTGGCTTTCATTCGAGAGAGATCCTGGCGCGACGCCCTAACTAGTAGGTAGTAGTTAGTAGTCCGTATTATACCTACATCGACATCGAGCCAACTAAGGCTATGAGATATATAATTCGGCACGTCCTGCCTGCCTACATATACCTACCTAGGTATGCTGTGCGAACACCGGATGGATGGGCGGTGATCATCTCAGGTGACGCCCCGTACATGACCCTATACCTACCTGCCTACCTACCTACCCATCTCCCGACCTTACCTTCGGGAGATACGACAGTTGATAGTGGGCATGTACCTCGTAAGCGATGAGGCTCCCTCTCTCGAGTCAATTGGCTCGAGCATCCGAGTCATGTCTTAATCGGCCCTACTAAGAATAGGCTGCGTTCTTGTCTGCTTCACCTTCCTACGTAATCCGGTGTTCCCTCGACGTCGGACGTCTCAACCTCATCAGCAAGCCGACGATGCAGCGAGGGAGAGAGAGAGGAGGAGGGGGGGGGGGATGTAGAACCGGATGCGCTGCCCGCCTAGAATGCAGCAGCAACCGCCGGTGCCATGTGACGCGACCAGAGGCCAGCAAATAACGGCGGGCCGGTTGACGAACCCACGACTAGGACAGATCGAGCTTGAATTGGATTTCGATGGTGGCCTAGTAGTTCCCATTAGTTCCAGAGGAGCTAACGGGGCGCCTCGTCGCGAACGGCCCCAACCTTGTCACCTGCTCGCGTGAAGAGAAATACATGGCTACTAATAGCAAGGAGGACTGCATCCATTTAGACGCTGCCCGCCTTAGTGACCTTGGCTACCTAGGTACTTAACCTACCTCGGGAACAGCTGTGACCCGTCCTTACTCGAGAGCCAGGTCCGGTCACCATCGCGACGTCGACATAAGATGCGAAGCAATACCTTGATATGTACGTACACACGTACATATGAGCAAGGTATGGTATACCTACCTATATACGCTATAACATCCATAATATAATAATATAACATGCCTGTCTGCCTACGCTCCCAAGTAGTTGGGGGGGTTCCAATCAGGGATGACACGCTGTGGGCGTATTCTATATCTATTAAGCATTACGTATATACCTGTATATACTGCTATATATATGTATATATAGTAAATATATATATCGTACGTATATAAACTACTGAACCCGGACGCTAGATTTGCGACGAGACAAGCATCCAATATATTGCATCGGGCATTTGCATGTAGGTATGGGACACAGCTTTCTACCTGTAGGTTATCCGCGGCCTATTAACTGGCGCGAACCGGCGACCCAGCCCAAAGCTAGGAGGTACCCGGTAAGTTGCGGGATGGGAGGGATGGCACCCTGCCTGGTCGGCTGGGGACGCCCAAAAAAAGAACCGACGGTAGATAGACGTAGGTACCTACCTACCTAGGTATATGGCCGATCTACTTAGATGCCGCACGTACCGTAGGCAGGAATGCGTGAAAAAACGTCGGGATATGAGAGGAGACGGATAGAGGTAGGTGCCTAATGGCAGCGTGCATATGTGCCTAAGAGGTAGGTAGGTGCCTAGGTACCTATGGTATTCTCTCATGAATAGGTACGCAGATTCAGGTAGTAGGGTAGGTACCTACCTACCTACCTAGGTATATAGATGCCTTAGAGTGTACTCTAGGTATACGGGATACCTGCCGCGTGGTAGTATCTACCTAGGTAGGTACCTAGGTAGTATAGACAACCTTTTACGTGTAGTTGTGAGTACTAGTAGGGTGCGGGCTATACATCCCTGGAGACGCCGTAGGCAGATAGCTCGTAGGCTCGTAGGCTAGGCTCGTAGGACCCCTAGGACCATATAGGTTCCTTCGGTGGATGCCGGCTTTGCCAGCCGCCGTGGCACCGTATCACTCAAGCCACCTCTGCGCCGGGGCAGTCTGAGACTTCCAGACAGTATATAGGTAGGTACATAGGCACCTATGTACCCACATATGTATATAGGTACCTGCCCACCTCGAAACTCTAATCTGAAATGGCCCGTTGCCTTCATGTACCGGCTACCTACCTTAGGCTCAGATATCTCACGGGGCGTGCCATCCGGTACCTTCTACCTGGCCTTATCCGTCCTACCTGTCTGTACCTTTCTCCTAAAGGGGGTACCTACCTAGGTACGTGTCCGCATTGACATCTACCTACCCCCCTCCTCCTCCCTCATCTTCGATTTACCTACGTGCACGGGGTGCCTGAGATAATCGGATAGGTACCGAGGTACGTGGCTGTGCGCTATGTCGCTTACGTGGGATGCGTGCGTGATGTACATAACCGACGCGCATATCGATGCCAGTATGGGACATGTACATACTGTTATGTGCGTACCGTAGGCGGGTACCTGGCCCGTTAACTGGCGAAACCTGCGAAACCTGCGAAACCTGCGAAGAACTGCCTCCAAGCCCTCAAGTCCTGCCGCCTTTCTGTAGCGTCTTTTTCGTCTCTCCTCCGTAACCCAGCCTTGCCTCCTCATCTCCTTCCCGCAACCCCCTCCCGCGTCGGGCTCCATCGTCTTCCCTACCCACCTCGACTAGCTTTGGACGCATTCTCTCTATACCCTCTCCTCTCCCTTCCTCTCTCTCCCTCACACTCTCTCCCTCCCCCCCTTCGTCCTCCATATACTCTACTACCTACTCGCCTACCTGCTCGCCTACCAACCTTCCCAGTCAGAGCCACCTGCGCGCCGCCTTTCTCCGCGCACATCAGACGCCGCCCGCCACTTACATAGCCGATCCTACTTACACACTTACATCCCACCTAATCTGCCCATCCACCCACCAACCAACCTGCCTAGCTTCGCAATCCGTACCCTCCAACCCACCCGCCGCCCTCCTCTCGAGTGGGAAATGACCTGCCCCATCTTTTGTTGATGGCGCTGCCTTCTTGACTCTAGCTGTAGCTGCGAGGACCGGCGTAAGAAGTGACCATGACGAGAGATGATGGCCGCATCACCTCCTTCGCGAGTTCCAGCAGCGGACACTCCAATATCACCCTGAAGGCCTCTGCTCCCACCCGCTCCGTCTCTGTCTCCTCCGCCCCGACCAAAGCCACCCCGAAACCCATCAAGACGGGTGAGCATGGCAAATTCAGGTGCGTCACTTCGCCAGTCTCCTTCGTCGCATGTACCGAGTCCACAATACATATGGGGAATCCTCCCCCCCCCCTCCCCCCCCGGTTGTGCTCGGCCCTGTCGTCTTTTTTTTCTTCTTCTCTTCTTTCCCGTCCGTACTCCATAGTCGTAATCTTTTCCAGGTACTCTCCTGCCTAGATCCGGAGAGGGAAATTGAGAGTTGTGGGACACACACGCCACACACACACACACAGAGAGAGAGAGAGAGAGAGAAAGAGAGAGAGAGAGAGAGGGAGGGAGGAGAAAGACCTTCTGTCCACGTTGGCTCTCCAACTGTTGCGTGCGAGCGAGCGAGAGAGAGAGCGAGAGAGAACCCACTTCTCCCCATTCTGTTACGCTGCCTGTGTTGAAAACAACGTTCTTTCGAGCTGACCACCTTGGCGTCCCGCGCTTTGTATTTAGGTCGTTCAAGGAAGAGTCCCAGGTCTCGCCGACGGCTTCTGGCCATCGCATCGCTTTATCGCCGTCTTCGACCGCTTCTAGCAGCTCCCTCCTCGACAGCCGTCGACTGAGCGATCTCACCAATTACCGCCGTGACCTTGCAGTCCTCGACCCCTCTGGCGGCCGCATTCCGCAGATCCAGCGAGACCCCCCCACGACTAGCTCGCACTCCCAGTCGGGTGTGGCTCCCTGGATGTCTACGAACGGTGGTTCTGGTCCTAGCGCGTCCCCGAGCGCCTTCGCGACCAGCTTCTATAACGACTCGAGCGATAACCTGTCTACCAACTCGCAATTGTCGCCCGCCTTCCGAATGGGTTCTTCGCGGCCTAGTCAGTTATCGAACAATGATTCTCCCGATGCGGCCTACTATATCGACGACAGGCGGCCGTCGGCGGCGAGCATGACCACGACCAGCAGCCAGGGCTCCAAAAACAGTAGCAGCCGGGGCGGGTTCAAGAAATTACAGGGGTTTTTCGGCGAGGATTTTCCAGGCCGTGATTCGTCTGAGACTAGCTTACCAGCGCCCACTCCCCAAGGTCAAGGCAAAGATCAACGCTCCTATTCTTTCAACCGACCACGTCGAGGGAGGAATGACTCGAACGCGACGGACCACACGCGAGACCCTTCGCCCTCCTCTTCCCGCCCACGAACACCGGTGCCATCGAGCGACGTAGTACCATTCTTGTACCAGGAGGTCAACGACATCGCTAAATACGGCGAGGCCCCAGTTCGAGAGATGCTAGCTGGCCCGGATAAAGAGCGCTTCACCCAAGACAACTATGCACAAATACCACCCAAGACTTCGTCCTCCTCCCGGTCCGGTCACTCTATCGTGCATCTGGGCAGCCACCATCGCCACCACAAGAGTAACGATGATCCCAACACGTTGCGGCCAGTCGTCAGCCGTGAGGACTCGGCCCCGAGCATCTACAACGTGAAGGAAAGGGGGGGATCGAACGCCACAGCACCGCGGTCGCGGGCCCAAAGCCCAACGCCGAGCAGTACCAGCAACGGCAGCAGACTCGCGTCCATTGACGGGCAGACGTCGCCCGGCGCCTCGAACAAGCGAGGGATCCTCGACCGCCTCCGACGGCACAAGAATAAGGACGAAGGCGGCCAGGCTCGTCTGAGGGGTATGCCCAACTCGTCGCGTTCTCTCGCGCCCGCGTCTTCGCGGCCAGACTCGTCGAGGGGGGGAGCACAGTCGCCTTACGACAAGCCTCTCCCTAGCCTAGACTCAGGAGGAACCCCGTCGTCTCGCCCCTACAACAGCCATCGCCAAGCGACTTTTAACAACAAGTTTCCCTTTGCCAAGCGAGGTCGTGTGCACAAGTACTATGACGATCCCGACGAGCATATTGGCCCGACCGATCGGAATGACAAGGGTATGATGTTCCATCTGGACACCAACCTGAACGATATGGAGGGCATCTTGGCGCAACCACAGCCGTTGACGCCCATGGAGCCTTCGATGTTTCAACTAACGGAAGCCGAACTCGAGCCGATCCAGGGTAGGGGGGGTGGAGCATGGAATGCGCCGGATAGCTGGGCTGTCCGCCGCAACGCTGAAGAGAGAGAAGCCCATGTGCCCGAAGTCGACGATGTTGGAACCCCGCCTCGACCGGAGGAGAAGACGACCCCCCATTGTATACGGGTTTTCCGCGCTGACGGTACTTTTGCCACGGTGCAGATGCCGTTGAACGCAACCGTGGCCGACGTTATGGCCCAGGTCGTTAAGAAGACCTTCGTCACCGAGGGCCTCGGGAATTACCACATCGTGCTGAGAAAGCATAACCTATCCCGAGTCTTAGCCTCTACGGAGAAGCCGCTTCTCATACAGAAGAGGCTGCTGCAGCAGGTCGGCTACGAAGAGAGGGATCGCCTTGAGGATATCGGTCGCGAGGACAACGGGTACCTATGTCGTTTCCTATTCCTCTCGGCCAGGGACCGTAGTTTTACCGCTGTCCCGCAAGACCTCGCACCCGGCAGAGGCGCGAAGTTCAACCACATCGACCTTACCGGACGAAACTTGGTTACAATCCCCATTACGCTCTACTCCAAAACCGCCGATATCATCTCCCTAAATCTTTCCAGGAACTTATCTCTCGACCTCCCGCGGGACTTTATCCAGGCCTGTCCCCAGCTGCGTGATATCAAATACTCCGGTAACGAGGCCCGGAAACTTCCCATCAGCATTGGGAGGACGGGCCGACTGACGTTTCTCGACGTGTCCAACAACCGTTTAGAGGAATTAGAACACGCCGAGCTTGGCCGGCTGACAGGCATGTTGAAACTGAATTTGGCTAATAATCGCCTCAACCACCTGCCTAAAGAAATCGGCGCTTTCAACCTACTCCGGTCTCTGAACATCTCGTCTAATTTCCTGGACAAGTTCCCTGTATTCTTATGCGACCTAGAGGGCATAGTAGACATCGATATCAGTTTCAATTCAATCTCTTCCCTGCCCGACGAGATTGGGAGGCTCCGGACCATGGAAAAGTTCGTCGTGACCAACAACCGACTGGCGGGATCCTTGCCGTCGACGCTCAGCGATTTGATAAACCTCCGCGAACTGGACATCAAGTACAACGCACTCACCACTATCAACGTCCTATCTGACCTCCCGAAGTTGGAAATCGTATCCGCGGACCACAACGCGATCTCTCAGTTCGTCGGCAGCTTCGAGCGGGTCCGCAGCTTGAAGTTGAATTCCAACCCTATCACCAAGTTCGAGATTGTGAGCCCTGTGCCGACTCTCAAGATACTCAACCTGTCCAGCGCCCAGCTCGCCAGTATCGACGGCTCTTTCAATAACATGGTGAATTTGGAGAGACTTGTGCTGGACCGCAACTACTTCGTGTCCCTTCCCAACACCATTGGTAACCTGAGGAGGCTGGAGTATTTCAGCATAGCTCACAATTCGGTGGGCGAGCTACCACCAGAGATCGGTTGTCTGAACGAGTTGAAGGTGCTGGATGTCAGGGGGAACAACATTAGGAAATTGCCGATGGAGCTGTGGTGGGCAAACAAACTGGAAACACTGAACGCCTCCTCGAACGTGCTCGATAATTTCCCGAAGCCAGCCTCGCGACCGCCACAAATGCCCGGGGAATCTTCCGGCTCGCCCTCGGCAAACAACAAGCTGCAGACGGGGCTCTTATCTCACGCGTCTAGCTCGGAGGACCTTCTACCGGACGGGTCGCGGCGGCCTAGCCAGGTTTCGAGCACGCTACTGAGCGTCGGGCCCTCGCCCATCCCGTCAGGGGACAGAAAGAGCTCCGTCGTCTCGGTGTACGGAAAAGGGGGGCGGAAGACCTCGGTCCTCTCACGAAGCGCAGCGACCAACAGCAGTACTAACGGAATCATAACCCCAGTGGCGGCCTTGAGGAAGGATTCTGGGCTTTCTAGCCGGCTGACAAACACATTTGCCGGATCGCTGAGAAACCTCTACCTAGCCGATAACCAGCTCGATGACGATGTGTTTGATCAGATTACGCTCCTAGCTGAGTTGCGCATTCTGAATTTGTCTTACAACGAGCTTAGCGATATGCCGCAACGCTGCATCAAGAACTGGCCTCAGCTTGTGGAGCTTTACTTGTCTGGCAACGATCTGACTAGCCTACCAGTTGACGATCTAGAGGAATATAGCTTACTTCAGGTACTCCACATCAACAACAACAAGTTCACGAATCTCCCGGCAGATATCTCGCGAGCCAAGAAGCTGGCCGTTTTGGATTGCGGGAACAATGCTCTCAAATACAATATCTCGAACGTGCCGTACGACTGGAACTGGAACTTGAACCCGAATTTGCGCTTCCTCAACTTGTCGGGCAACAAGCGATTAGAAATTAAACACACGAACCTGGGCCTCGGGTCGATGAATCGCGAGCAGTATACCGATTTTAGCCGGTTACTAAATCTCCGCGTGCTGGGGCTGATGGATGTCACGCTTACGCAACCGAGCATACCAGACCAGAGCGAGGATCGACGTGTCAGGACTTCGGGCTCGCTAGCCGGTCACCTGCCATACGGCATGGCTGATACGCTGGGTAAGAACGAGCATTTATCAACCATAGATTTGGTGGTTCCGAGGTTCAACTCCTCGGACACGGAAACGCTCTTGGGCTTGTTCGACGGCCAAGCCCTATCCAGCGGCGGTTCTAAGATTGCCAAGTATCTCCACGAAAATTTCGGGCACATTTTCACTATGGAGTTGAAGGCTCTGAAACAACGCTACAACGAAACGCCGACTGACGCGCTTAGGCGTGCGTTCCTCGCCCTCAACAAAGACCTAGTAACAGTGGCTATCGAGCATACCGAGAAGAGACCCTTGTTGTCGCACCGCGGTTCGTCCGCACCCGTGGTCTTAAGCAAGGAAGACCTCAACTCCGGGGGCGTCGCTACGGTTGCATACCTTCAAGGTCAAGAACTATACGTTGCCAACGTCGGCGACGCCCAGGCTATGCTCATCCAATCCGATGGCTCACACAAGATTCTCACGCGGAAGCACGACCCCGCCGAGCCGAGCGAACGTCAGCGAATACGCGATGCCGGAGGCTGGGTATCGAGACAGGGGAAGTTGAATGACGCTCTCGAAGTCTCTCGCGCTTTCGGCTTCATCGATTTGATGCCAGCAGTACAAGCTGCCCCCCACATCACCCAAGTATCTATCACGCCGCAGGACGAAACAATTTTAATCGCTACGAAAGAGCTATGGCAATACCTAACGCCCGGGTTGGTGGTTGACGTTACCCGATCAGAAAGAGGCGATCTAATGCGCACTGCCCATAAGCTGCGAGACCTCGCCATCGCTTACGGGTCGAGCGGGAAGATAATGATCATGATGATCAGCGTCGCCGATCTTAAGCGGCGCCAGGAGCGATCGGCCCGCCTCCATAGGGGGCAGAGCATGTCGCTGTATCCTTCTGGTGTCCCGGATGACTTCCAGTACCCGACCAAACGAGGCAGGAAGGCCAAGGGCGAGGTTCAGGACTCTACCTTGCATAGGCTCGAGGCCGAAGTCCCCGCTCCGACGGATAAACCATCGATTGTGTTTACCGATATTAAGAATTCGACCAATCTGTGGGAAATGTATCCTTCGGCCATGAGGTCTGCGATAAAGCTTCACAACGAAGTTATGCGGCGGCAGCTCCGCAGGATCGGCGGGTACGAGGTCAAGACGGAAGGCGATGCATTCATGGTTTCTTTCCCGACTGCTACTTCGGCATTGCTGTGGTGCTTTTCGGTCCAAACCCAGCTGCTCGGCATAGACTGGCCCTCCGAGATACTGAACTCGGTATCGTGCCAGGAAGTGTACGACAAGGACAATAATCTCATTTTCAAGGGCCTGTCGGTCAGGATGGGAATCCACTTCGGCGAGCCGGTGGCCGAGATTGATCCTGTCACACGTCGCATGGACTATTTCGGCCCGATGGTGAACAAAGCTTCCCGTATTTCTTCTGTCGCCGACGGAGGTCAGATCACCGTGTCTGCGGACTTCATCTCAGAGATCCAACGTTGCTTAGAGACGTACCAAGAAACCGACCGAAATGCATCTACAGGCTCCGACGATACCTTCGACGCCGATCTGCACTCGCCGGCGATCCGAAGAGAATTGAAATCGCTAAGCTCGCAAGGCTTTGAGGTCAAGGAGATGGGCGAGAGAAAGCTCAAAGGCCTAGAAAATCCCGAGATTATCTACTCCCTCTATCCGCATGTGCTCGCCGGCCGTATCGAGCACCACAATAACAGTGCCGCCGCCGCCGATATGCCTGAGAAGCCCGCTACCCTTCAGGCCGGAAGCGACCTCGGGTTCGACCCAGAGATAATATGGTCTCTTTGGAAAGTTAGTTTACGCCTGGAGATGCTTTGTAGTTCTCTGGAAGAGATGTCTGGCCGGGGACTGCAGCCGCCCGAGACGGAGTTGTTGGAGCGAATGAAGCAACGAGGCGGCGAGGTCACGGAACGGTTCCTCTTCAACTTCATGGAGCACCAAGTGAGCCGTATCGAGGTATGTAGCGCTCGCAGGTCCCGCCTCCGTGCTTCCTGGGCACGGATCTTTCGTCATTGTTGCTGACACCTCATGCCAGACTTGCATCTCTACTCTTTCGATGCGGCACATGGTCATGGGCGGTGGCCAGATCACCTCACTAGACGATCTTCGAACGCCGATGTCTGACGTTCTCGACACCCTTGCCACCCAGCTGTCTGAGCTCGAGAGGTACAAGGCCAAGTACGGCGACCTCGCTACCGATAGCGAGGGCGAGGGAAACAGCACCGGTTAACAAGGAATCTAATCAACTCGGTCTCGGCCCCCTCGAGCTTCACCGCCCACCTTTCAGTATAGCACATCGACCTGGAGGAAGAAGATTCCTAGTTGAGATGGCGTTGATCACGAGATTCCCCCAATGAAGAGCACCCGGCAGTGCTCAGAAATGCTTGTTTGTTTTCGAAGATCCCGACCAAAAAAAAAAGAGCGTGCGTGTTTTTTTGAATACAATCTTAATAAGTGGGCATGGTATAGGAAAGGGGTAGGTAGGAGTGGGAGAGATGATTTTACAGGCATAATTATTTACCGCGCTCTGCTTATTCTCGTCACAGAGGCCGCATGCTGGCGCTCTATAGGAAAGGAACAGGGGTGTTTACCGATGGGACGGGCCGGATTGATTTCCTCTTTTTTGAGTTGAGCTGTCTCTCTAAAATTCCGTTGGCATTGCCCATCGTCACGAGACGGCAATGTCCACGGGCTGGTATTGCTCCCTATGCCTCTTCTCGGCGTTATATATATGCGAAAGAAGAGGCCACCTCTAGCAGGTAGCAGGCGGAATAGCCTGTCGTATAGGATAGGATGGGGTGGCTTGACCCCTCATCAATAATATGCAATTCACCGTAGTGACTATTCTATCCTATGAACCTGTGTTGTTTTCGGTATGACTGATGAAACTAGTCTCGGGAGTCTGCCAGCCAGAGGCTGACGATGCCCTCGATCATTGTAGGGGGCACCGAAAGCTTTTGGAGGAAGACATATATAGCTTCGAGGAACGTGTGTGTGTAGGGGGGGGGGTAGTTATAAGTTACTTAGAGAAAGCAATCCTTCAGTGAAGCCATCGGATATATGGAGATTCGCGATGAGGACTTTATGTGTAGGCCTGAGGAAAGAAAAGGGGTAGTAGCAGACCTGAGTCCGCCGCTGTTGGCTGGTTGCGGGAAAGCAAGCACTAGGTTATTACTCGCTCATGTCTCTCCTAGGTAAACATAGAGTAGTAGACGAGGGAAAGCAACTAGAAGAAGGGAGGTTACGAGCACGCAGATCTCACGCGTTTTAACTCAACGGGCACGTAGGAGTATTTCTAGAGTGGCACGTAGTCACGCGGCTACGTCTTGAGCGCAAGGCCGATACAAACACGCACACAGCACGGATCGAGGCAACAAGGGTCCGAGAAAAAAAACCCCCGAACAAGAGTGCGTCGAAACTAGCGTGAACCGTTGACCTGTTGATGAGTGATCTCCGCGGCCGTTGCCAGGGGCAAAAAGTCTCAAAAAAAAGTGCACCCGCCGGGATTTGCACCCGGGTCTTTCCGTAACCCATAAGGTTCCAACGGTTGGGCCACTGGGAGTGGAATGAGCTGGACTTCTGCTCCACAGGTGCTGTATTGCGTACCGTGAGCCTTATCGTGGGATATAAGTGTCTTTCTGGAGGCAGCCGGCTTGCTGCTGACCCGGCAACGGGTTGTTTCCCCTACGCCCTTCGTGTGTGTGTGTTGGTTTGAGGAGGGAGGAAGGGAAGGGGAGAGGAATAGGGGGAGAGGCATAGGGGGAGGGGAGAGCAAGAAGGAATCAGGCAGACGTACTCACTCACGGCCTGGGTGTGAATCACGACGAGGGGGGCCTCAGAAGGAAGGTGGCCTGGCCTTGGAAACACACGCGGTGACACGAGTGTTAGGAACAGTCCTAGAAGGACAGTAGTATACACCCCGCTTATAACGTAAAAGTGAAAAGAAGAAGAACCCGTGGCCATCCGTGACCTACATCAGCCTTGACTCGCCTTTGGCAACTCCGTCGCCCAGAGCGCCCTTCGTGACTTCGAGCTTGTGCAATAGAAACGCTGCGTTCCCTTTACTGACTTGCTCCACCCAAGTCTCCTAACTCGGTCTTAGCCTCGAACGAAGCCTCCCGGTTGCCCGAGGCAAACTTTCCCCTTACGCCGATGTGCCTGTGCCGAACGCAGTCGGACTTACGCTTAAACCAGACTGCCCTGATCCTGCAGCGGACGTAGACAGCTTTGCAGCTCGTCTAGTCGCACCGGGCCGCGTCCGACTCGTAGAATAGGGTCTCCCCTCGGCATTGGAGGGTGGACTGGACGATCATCCCAGCCGGTTTGAGCGCGGCGGACCGGTGCTGAGGTTCGATGTAAAAAGCTTGTCGTAAAACTCGTCGATGGGTCATCGAGGCTTGGGGCTATACATTCTTAACTCAGCTCTGGCGAGTCCTCCCTGACAACGCCGTTGCTAGCTTCGGCAACATACTGCTGAGCCGAGATGGAGAGGGGAGGTTAGGAGGGGTATTCAAGTTATTGCCAAGGTCATCGCGTCGCTATACGTGGTCCCGCGTTTGAGTTCGCGCGGCAGAGAGTGGTTGAAGGCGGTGGGTGTAGAAACAAGCCTTGATCGAACTGGTGATGGATGTTGGAGATGCTGTCAATCAAACCATTGATGGTTGTCGCCTGTGGTCATGCGCAGGATGGTATCTGGAATCCGTCTACTATAGACACGGCTGGGTTGTCGGAGGCGAGATTTGGCCCGAGTTGAATTATCCCCTTAATATATATCCCTGCAAACCCCTGGTTCCGCCCCTTTAACCGAGGACGCCGTACAGAACTATATACACAACTGGGCTGTGAGGCTGTAGCAGAGGGGCTATAGCAGAGGCTATACCGTGTCACCACAATTACCACATCGTCCAGATCAGACCAACTACGTGGCATCCAAATGTGATATCACATGAGCCATATCCAATCGGGTAGTGTCGGGCATCGTCTGGATCGATCCAACCTATCCAAACTCCCATCTACTCACCACCACATCTCCCCTCCCCATATCAGTCTTGCCACGTCACTCATACAAGATATACCCAATACCATACATGCTGCGTAGTACAGACCAAGCTTGAAATCAGCCACTACTCCGCATGCGCCGCCTTTAAGCGCAAATAACGACCATCCGAATGTGAACCGCCCGGCTGCCCCGCTCCGGAAACGAACAAGTCTCCCGAAACAATTCCCCTCTCAGGCCGTCTTGGGCCGTCGCTGAATCGTCTTCATGCCCCCGTGAGCTTTTTCCACCAGCTACTTCGAGGTGTTGAGTCCGTGAAGAAGGATTCGCGCTCGCGATGTGGCTTCTCGGCGCTGCCGTCCGAGCCGCCGGGCCGACGATCTCTACGATCGCGCTCCTCGCGGCGCGCGTGACGACGCCGTCGATCTTCGTCGATTTCCGGCTCTGCTTCACCGTACTTTGCACGGCGGCGGGCGCGCCGCGCCGCGCGCCGAGCCTCCTCGTCGTCTTCCCGAGGCACCTCCGCAGCGGGACCGTGCTCGGGGGGTGGTCCGGCGTCCGAATGCTCCTTCACCCAGGAATCCGTGCCCGAGTGAGGCCAAGCTGCATTTTTGCTCCGTCCGTGCTCATACACGGTAGGTCGTGAGGATCGTTCCCGAGGGTAGACGTAGTCGTTAGTCGGCATCGAGCGTCTTTGGTTGTGCCTTTCTTCGGTGGCATATCTGGCCTCGCGTCTGCGCCTACGCTCTTCCCGGTCGTCCTCAGAAGCGTCAACGTAACGCGATCGTCGTCGCTCTGCCCGAGCAGCGCGTCGAGCCTCGGCCTCGGCCTCTTCCGCCGCCGCCGCCGCTTCCTTTTCGAGCTTGCGCAGTCGACGACGCTCAGCCCTCTCGGCCTCTTTAGCTTCCAGGGCGAGGCGCTCCGCCTCGCGTTCCCGAAGGGCCCTGCGTTCGGCTCGTCGAGCTTCGCGCTCCGCCTGCTTGCGAGCCTCAACCTCCTCTTCGTATTTCCTATGCCTCTCCCGCCTAGCTTCTTCCTTCGCAAGACGCGCCTCTTCGGCGGCCTTCTCTTCGGCCCTTCTAGCGCGGCGGGCTGCGCGGCGAGCTTCTCTCTCCTCCTCTACGGCGTCGTCGTCGGCGTCGCGGTAATCCCGAGAAGATTTCTTTGTCCTCCTGTCCGGCCTAGCCTCATCGTCCGTCATGTACTGTGTATTGCGTCGTCGCGGCTCAGGACGTGCTTCAGCACGGGGGGCGGGGGACATCAGCCCCCCGAAGAGGCTAGTGAGTCCCTTCTTGGTGGTCGAGTTCGATCGCTTGAGAGGAGGCGTCACGTCGAAGGCAACAGCATCGGCCATACCAGCATCATCATCAATCTTCACCTGTCCTGAGTTAGCCGCGCAAAGTTTCTCATACGAGCACGCCCTTACCTTTGACCGCCTATGAGCTGATTTCTGTGGGCTCGCAGACATATCAGCAGCTCTGGGCGCGACGTCTTCATCTTCGACGCCGCGAGTTGTAAAACTCCTCCGACTCCTGTGGCTCTTGTCGACGCCGAGGACTTTTGCGGCCTTGGGAGAGATCTCTGGTATCTCCCCAGGCGGTGGCGATACTGATTCGCCCATCATATCGACTGAATGCCGACGCGAACTCTGTCTGCTTGTGCCGTATCGCTTATCACGGGTCGACATGGACCGTGACAAAGGGGGGGTGCTCTGGAACACGCTATTCACGCGCGGCTTCGCGGTCGCCGTCGATTTCTTCTCCCCACGTTCCTCAACCCTATCCGAGGATGAGCCTTTAGAAGACGATGTCTTCTCTTTCTCCTCCTTCACTTTTCCATGCTTTTTCTCCTCAGACATCGGCATCTGTTCCTCTTTTCGAGGCGCCGCCGACCATGGTACCCAAGACGTGCTCGCATCACGATTTATCTTTGGCCGCTCCCTCCTGGAAGACTTGACTTCGGGTGGCGGCGTCGAGGGAGTTTCGGGGACCGCTGAGGGGGGGATGGGCACTTCGGGAGGAGGAGGAGGGGAAATCGGGTCTTGGGGGGGAGGAGGGATCACATTCTCAGGCTTAGTCTTGCCCTTCTTGCCCTTCTTCTTCTTGACTGGCGCCATGTCGATGATATCGACAATCTCGTTTTCGCCTTCATCGGGAAAGGCTCCAGGAAGGAGATCTTCTGAAGACCCGGGCTTGTCTTCTCTAGCGGATCGCGTTGCGAGGATGGCCACTGGCTGCGGCGGCGGCGGCGGCGGCGCGGATAGGGCATTGATCGGAGCATCATCGTCTTTAGCTGGCTCGAATTTCTTGAGTTTATCAGCGAGTTTGCTGCCCTTGGTTTTCCTCGGCTTCACCCAGTCATCTACGGCCTCTTTCGAAGACGACGGCGCGACCTCGACCGTGGCATCTTCGGAAACCTTTAATAGCTTAGCATATCTCATCCTGTGTTTCCTTGATATTTTGGGTACTTACTAGTTCCGGTGGTGGACTCTTGGATTTGCCGCTCCAGAACGAAAACAAGTCTGTTTTAGATTGCGGTTGTGGCTGACCTTGTGGTTTAGGAGCTGCAGTGCCCGCCAAAATCTCTTCCACTTGATCGGGATCCAAGTTTTCGAGATCGAGGCTGTCAAGATCTCCATCCTTAGTCTGGTCCTGATCCTGGTCCTGGCTCATGACCTTGTCGTTGTCGTCATTTTTTACCTCGTCCTCGTCTTGTCCCTTGCTGCGGTCCCCTTCTTTGTTCTTGTCTCTCTTGGAAGGTTTATCTTTATTATTGGTGGACCTGGACTTCTTATCGTCGGACTTGGAACCCTTCTTGGATTTCTTCTTGGCCGCCGCTTCAGCTTCTTCACGCTCACGCTGGGCCCGTTCCTCTGCTTCTTGGGCAGCCCGCTCCTCCGCCACCCTAGCCGCTCGCTCCTCGGCGTCGCTAACTATCTGTTCCTCAGCTTCCGGAACAGTTTCGCCCATGTCAGGCATAGTGGTTTGTTCTTCAGCTTCTTCGGCTATTTTCTCTCCGGCACGAACTTTGGCTCTCTCGGTGAGCTCCTCTAACCTCTTTTTGTCACTCCCTCTTAGCTTTTTTTTTTTGCTCTTGGTAGTGAGCATTGCCATTTCTTCTTCCTCGGCGGCAATTTCAGCTACTAGTGCTTCGGCGTCTGCCTTCTCCCTGGCCTCGGACGCGGCCCTCTCTTCGGCTTCCCGCTGGGCCGCTTGTTCCGCTTCCCTGGCAGCTTTCTCCTCGGCGCGGCGGTTAGCATTCGCAGTGAGCTGATCTAAACGTCTCCGATCCTTTTTGGTTAGCTTCTTCATAGCTCTCAGCGTGGCAAGCTCCTCCTCCTCAGAGGCAATCACATCTGCTAGTGCGGCAGCTTCTGCCTCGGCCTTCTCCTCCTCCTCGGTTTTTAAGCCGCCCCAGCCGTGCTCTTCAAGTTCCTGGTCGGATAAGCTCAGCTCTAGAGACGGTGGAGTAGGCGCTGGAGGTGGTGACTTCTTTTTCCCTCTGTCCAAATTGCCCCACGTCCAGTCGTCGTCCTCGACTCTATTGCCCTTGCTCTCTTCGATAGAGTCGGGTTGAACCACATTGAGATGAGAGCCATTGGCAACTTCGACCGGGACATTCTTACTACCCTTCTTCTTTTTCTTCTCCTTCTTTGAGGTGTTCCCCCCCTCGATGTCATCATTCTTGGGCTCTTCGATCGAGTCGGGCATTAGACTATCATCGGCATTTCGTCTCTTGTCCTTGCCGACCTCATGACTGTCCCAGAAATCGGCACTGCCCGCAGCGCTGTGTGTTCCAGGGGCATTTGGTGGTGGATGCTTGTGATCAGACTCCTTATCGAATTCACCCGAGCTTCTGAGTTTATTCTTACTCCAGTCAAGCCAGCCTTCGTCGGTGATGGGGTTAGGAGTTTCGTCCTTAGGCTTTGTAGTGTTCTTCTTAGCGCCCCAGAAGCTCCAAGCGCCGCCGTTCTGCTCCGCAACAGGCATAAGAGTAGTTTCGGGGTCCGGTTCGGGCTCTGAGGGTCGTGTGTCTGGGGTTTTCTCGTTCGAAGGCTCTTCAATGGCGGCGGCTCCTTTTTTGCTCTTCTTTTTGTCCTTGGACGAGCCGAAAGCCAGCAAATCATCGTCCTGAGAAACACCTGGTTCAGGTAAAATTTTCGGTGTCTGGTGAAGACTCTCATTTTTCTTCTTCTTCTTTTCCCTGACAGGAACATTCCATTCAGCGAAATCATTTCCCGCCAGGTCGTCTCCCAATTCCAGGTCACGGGGAGGCTCCGGCTCTTGCAGAGCCTCTTCCTCACCACCATCTTTTTTCTTTTTCTTTTTCTTCCTTTCGTCCTTCTTCGAGGAGTCGGAAATAGTAAAGGGCGGCCCGTGACGATCGCCTTCAGCTTTCTCCTTGTCAGGTTCAGTTTCTGGCTGAGGTTCTGAAGCAAGGGTCATGTCCGGCCCTAAATCCCCCAAAAACGCGGGCACGGTAGCGCCCCTGTTCTTTTTACTCTTTTTCGAACCGGAGGCGACGGAGGGTAGCTCGTCCTCTGCCTTGTTAGCCGGTGCTGGTGCTGGAATAAATTCAGCCTCGGGGTCAGGTTCAGGGTCGGCACCCTCGGGCTGCTCTTCAACAGTGCCAGCGCCCTTCTTCCTCCTCCTCTTCTCCGCCTTGGTGTCCCCCTGATCGTTGTCAAAATCACGTTTCTCCTTCTTTTCGGGCGCCTTGCCCTCAGACTCCGGCGGAGGCTCGGCGACGGGTCGTGATTCTGGCTCCTGAACCTCTTCATCGGCTATACCCTTAACTTTCTTGAGAGTACTCACCAAACCGGTGATCCAGCCTTTCTCGTTCTTCTTACTTTCCTTCTTAATAGGTTCTGGCTCGGGCACGCGTTTAGGCTCTGGTTCGGGCACCGGCTCAGGCTCAGGCTCAGGTTTAGTGTCCCTGGATTTCTTTTTCCTCTCCTTCTTTATGTCCGGTTTAGTTTCAGGCTCCTGCGTCTTCTCAGCTATCCCCTCTGAGTCGGCAACTGCGGTTCTGGTGGTATTTTTCTTGCTCTTGCCTGAAGCGGCCATGTCGCCTCGGTCGTCCCCCTCCTTGTTCTCAGCCTCGTGAAGCGAGGGCGCTCGTTCCCCTACACTCTCCTCCTCTATGACTTTGCCTTTCTTGTTCCTGTCCTTGGTACCGAGGCTCCCGGCATCATTGAGAGTAGTAGTAGTTTTAGTTTCCGGCTCTGATGTGGGCTTGAGCCCTTTAGTTTCTTCCGTCGAATTCTTATTTTTCCTCTTGCTCGTTGGAGGTACATCAGCCCAGGGATTCGCATCCTGCATCGGGTCGAGCTCAGGGCCGGGTGCAGGCGGTTCAGGGTCGATTGGTTCGCTGGCTATTCTCTTCTTGGTCTTCTTAGATGAGGGGCGGAGAGCGGTGTCTACGGACGGCGCTATAGTATCACGAACAAGTAGCTCGGCGACCGCCGCTGCGACGCCTTTCCTATTCTCCTGGCTCGTGCTTTGACGATCTTGGGGATTACCGGCCGCAGCCGGTTCCGAGCCCTGGTTCTCAGCAAGCGCACCCTCTTTCCCCTCCCGAAGAAGCAACTTTCTCTTATTCTTTTCTTTGGTAGTCGAGGTGAAACCAAGGCTGTCGTCTTCCTTGTTCTCGGTGGGGTTGTCGGATGTGGCTGGCTCCTCCGTCTTGGGCTCTTCCGGACCAGCATACAACTTCTCTCTTTTGTTAGATTTTATGCGGTCAGCACTTCGCGAGTTGGCATCGGTATACTCCCGTTCCTTATCTTCGTTCTCCACTTTCTTTCCATCTTTCCTTTCCCTCTTTCCCTCTGCCCTCTCTGGCTTCTCTATTCCCCTTTCTTCCCTATCCTCATGTTTGCCGGACCCATCGTTTGACCAAGCCCACGGCCCTCCCCAGCCTCCCCAACCAAATAGGCCCTGCTTGGTGCCGGTCCCCGTGCTGCCGCCGGAATTGGGACTGGGAGATGGCCCGGGATTGTCCAACTTGACGTCATCAAATGTGTCTAGTTTCGTAAGTTTCTCTGGCGGTTCGCTCTTGTCTTGAGCCCTATGGGAAGTCCCCTCGGATTTGGTGTCGGGACGATTCTTGCCGGGCTTGTTCTCGAATGCTGCCCACGCATCGCTGGACCTGATATCCCCTATGGTGTTTTTCTTGTCCTTGGTGCTGCTCCTCTTCTCTCCCCCCTTCTCCTTCTCTCCCCCCTTCTCCTTCTCTCCCCCCTTCTCCTTCTCCTTCTCCTTCTCCTTCTCCTTCTCCTTCTCCTTCTCCTTCTCCTTCTCCTTCTCCTTCTCCTTCTCCTTCTCCTTCTCCCTCTCCTTCTCCCTCTCCTTCTCCTTCTCCTTCTCCCTCTCCCTCTCCTTCTCCTTCTCCTTCTCCTCATTCTCCCTTTCTTTCTCTTGTTCCTTCCCCTTGCCCTTTCCCCGTTCCTTGTCTTCGCCCTTTTCCTCATCTCTACCGTTGTCGTCGTTGTTACCCTCCTCTTTTCCGCCCCCGCCAGCGGCTCCGTTCCCCTTTCCTCCTTCACCATTTTGGTCGCCGTTATCATTCTGATCGCCCTGATCTCCACCATCACCAGCTTTATCTACCTCCGCCCTTCTATTAGGCTGGGTTGAATTCCTCTTCTTCTTTTTGTTGGGAGCGTGTTGGATAAAGCCTTCCTCGGACGGGACATCGAAATGGATGTTGAACGTCGGTTCGCTAATCAACGGATCTCTCTGCTGTTCGTGGCGACGCCGAGAGCCGTCTGGTGTCGGAGGGGAGTAGCCGCCATCTGAATGGCAGTGATCGGAGCTACGAGCAACCCCGCCCGTCTGGACAGAGTCAAGGGAAGCTTCAGCTAGGAGACCTTCCTTTCTTTGGTTCGATAGTCGTCGCGATCGCTTCGGCTTGGAGTCGGGCAATACCAACGACTTGATGACAACATGATGGTGGGATATTTGGCCGGGATTGGACGCCCGGTTCCGTTTCTGTTCCGGCTTATATCGGTTAGCCTCGAGTTTCAACGGCAGGTTACGTCTGGCCTTGAGGTAGGTGTGAAGCCGATCGTTTATAGATCTTGCCCTAGACCACTTGGTGATTCGTCCATATAACGCTAGCTCGACTAGCTGTCTTTACAAGGAGATGAAGATTCCACCAGGTACTCCGCAGCAACATACACATACCGGTGGTTCTAGGGGCGTCATGAGGAGCCAAACCCTCGCGATAAGCGCTAACTGAGTCCGCAAGCCCAGGTCGTCCCATCGAGGGGTAGCTATCGGTACGGTGGCTGTCGTGAATGGCCGGCCCGTCGGCCAGCCGGAGATATCTCCTGTCGCGTCTGCGCATAACGCCATGATCGCAGCCGTGGCCATGTTGAGATCAGAAGCTCGACGGGTCGCAACAAGAGGGGAAAATCATGGACATTAATATATCGTCTTGGAGGGATGAGACAGGAAACAAGAATCGGCTGGCACTCCTAGATCAGTTCAGCAACAGAAGAAAGGTACCTGTAGTAGGAGAAGAAGTTGGGGTTGGATAATCCGCCCGCTCCTTCGGGCGTCGAAATCCTTTGCGGGTCCAAAAATATGAACCGAAGAGGTCCAAGGGCGTCGTGGTTGTTGGTCGATGACGATCGACAAGACGCGCTCGGACAAGATTGAGCGGAGTAAGGCGTGCCGATAAACATGAAATTGCTCTCGTCTCCTAGCCCTGCCAGGCTTAGCTTTTCTTCCCTTCCGGCTGTCTCTCCTGCGGGGCAAGAAAGAGAGAAGAGAGGGGGGGGAAGGGATGGGCGTATAGATATGAAGGTATAAGTTGTACCCGGCGACGCAACGGTAAGAAACAAAAGGATAGCCAGAAACGAACAGGCGCAAAAAAAAAAAATTATAACAAAATAAAAGCAAGGGGGGAGGCAATACGTCGCACAGATTACAGGAGGCAGGGAAATTTGGCCGGCGACAAGCACCAATAATGTTGCGACGCGGTACTGCGAAATGTCACGATGCGTAGAGCAGAGGATTCCGACGATTGATTGGTCGGGTTGCTTCGTCTTCCCACGGGCGGGCGAACCGCTTTTCTCTCTGCCTCTCTTTCTCTTGATTCTCTCTTCTCTTCCGTCTTCTCACGCATGCCGCATGGCGACGCGGCTTACGCACCGTTGCGCCGGGATCGATCCGGGCTTGGATGGGTCAGACCGCCCCCGTCTCCGTATCTGCCTGTCGCTCTTCCTGGTTTTCCACTGGCGAGCGCTGAAATGCAGCGGCTAGGAGAAGAGACGCGGGCCTCGAGGTAGGGAATAATGCTGCAGCCGGAGACGCAGGCCCCCGATAGTATGTCCCGGAGTGGGCGGCACTTGATGTCTTTGAGCGGTTGGGGAATGTCAATGTTGTCGATGCTAGGTTAGTGGGTGCGGGCGTAAGCAAGCAGCAAGTCGCGTTGCCGGGCGAGACAAGGCGAAGGGGAGCCAGAGAGGATAGAAGAGGCCGAACGGATTGGATGGGCCAGGTCTTTAGTATCTACCAGGTACCGGCTAGGAGGTAGGCAGGTACTATATAAGGTGTTATATGCGAGATACAGGTATCTACCTCCTACCCAAGGTACCTGGGGTAGGTACCTACGCTGGCCTACCTAGGTAGGTACTAGTACAGTATACCCGATTCATAGCGAGGCACGTCCTCTACGAGGAGACGTGGGCGACGAAAGAGGAGGGGTCGAGTGGACAGGACGTACTCCTAGGTACCTATCTAGGTACCTTTCCCTTAGCCAGAAGTTGGCGTGGCAGACCCGCTCCTCCTCTACTCTCTTGAAGTCACTTGACATTTTACTCTATTCCCTCCCAACCCTTTTCCCTCCCCTCCCCCTCTCTCTCTCTCGAATCCGCCCACCGTCCGTCTGTCCATCGCCCTTCGTCCATCCGTCGTTCGTTCTAACCCAGCCTACCGTCTCCGTACCGCAATCGACCCAGGTGGCATTCTCCACCGTGGATCACGAAGAGATCTATCTAATTTCGAAGGCCGAGTGGATGTTCCTCCTAGCTTCCGAACTCGTCTCTGCACTATGCAATGTACAGATGTGCGTGTGTACATACATATGTGCATACATATATGTACATAGCTATACATACGTCTACCAAACCGACGGCCCCGACGGGTCAGATGGGTCGAGATTGGGGGTCGGATGGGTCAATGGGTCAATGGGTCAAATGGGGTCAGATGGATCGGAGACGAACGCACGAGAGGGGAAGGGGGGAGAGAGGGGACCGGACGGGAAAAGAAAACGAGGATAGACGGGGGTGGGATACCGAAAAAAAGTGTGTCGAGTCCTGAGAATGGGCATCTGGGCGAGAGATGTCGATGAGCCTAATCGCTTCGTTGATGGGCGGACGGAGGAATTGACCACAATTGATTGAGCAAATCGACTTCCGGTTGGGACCCTGCGTCGTTTGATGCGCACGCGGCCTGCGCGAGTGATCACCACTCACCCACGTCTCGATGGAACCCTCCCTTCATTAGGAATGGGTCCCCTTCGGCCATTTTCTGTATTGTCTCTCTTTTCCCCCTCTCTACGTCCACCCACCCTTCCCCCCCTCCTTCTTTTCTATATGTACAGGATGGAGTCGCCTAGCTGTTGTTGTTGTTTTCCCTTTTTCTTTTAGGCGTAGGTATGTCGTTTAGAACTATCATATCTTGCGCGTCGTACTCGTGCGACTCCGAGGTAGTATCGCGGAACGAGCTGAGAATATACGCATACAAACGGACACGTACGTACGGCGCGGCTGACAGGCGCAAAGAAGTATTGGTGGGCGAGGAGAGGAGAATAGGATGCTACGTAGGTATGTTAGAAGTGGGCAAGGGAAAGAGAAATTCAAAGCCGGCCCTCGTCGTCGCGGATCCGGGATCTCTCTCTCTTCTCGTCGCTCATCCTTCGTCTTGCGCGACGGTTGCACTACTCATACATACGCTGTACCCGTGCGTCTTATCTGGGAATAGGGTGCGTGTCCAAGACGCGACCCGGCCAAGCGTCCAATCGCCGACGCATCTGCTCACGCCCAGCGGGCAGCCCACAGCCCACAGCACACACACACACACACACACGCCATCTATGAGTACACAGGTAGAGGTGTCTGTGGCACTCTGGCCTGCTCTTCTCGTCTGCGGTGGAGGGGCGGCGAAGGTAGCGATACATGACGGATGGGCAGCCATGCGCCGATTAGCCTGGTATCTGCTCCTCGGCCCACACATCACCGTCCATCCACGTCGCTGGTGTCCATCTGCGAGCGCACTCTGCGAAGGCATGCCAGATGTATCGGCTGCAGGCTGCGTCTCACCGACCACGCCCGCTCCATGCCGTTGCTATAGAAATATCACGAGGGGCCTGTGTATTGTGTGTGTACACATCGTATGTGAGGTAACCTGTCAGGTTAGGTACCGTAATCTCATGTCCTACTACTGGCGGTTCGACCCGCTGTCGCGTGTACACACCTACCTACCTTGTATATACACACCTACCTGGTTGGATTAGGTTAGGTAGGTACCTAATCCAACGCATGTATCGATGCTCTCCTCTCTATCGACACCACTCCCCCCCCCTCCTCCGCCTTCACACCCTCTCCTCTCTCCAATGTTCCGTCAGCCAAGTCCTCTGGCCGATCCTCCACCATGTCCACACGCATGCCCACCGAGAACGGCCTCGCGAGCGCTCACCGCTCAAACCCACGCCAACGCCGTTCAGGCAGCCTTCCGGCATAGAAACGTAGAAGCCGCCTCCAGAGAACGGCACAGCGTCGATCTGACTAGGTCTCGGGAGGTGATTCTTTCAAGCAATTGGCCGACGGGTCGACTGCATGACATTCTACTGGGCTCTCCGGCAGTGCCAGGAGACCACGCCGGAAACAGGCACGGCCAGAGGCATGCCTACGTATGTATGTATGTATGACTCCTACGATACGAGGCTCGCATCACGTCTACATACCTATGCATCTGCATACCAAATGCCCGCTCGCCGTCCGTTGGGTGCCGCGACAGCACCAGCCCCGCACCTATTCCCTCGCAATACCAGACGATGGCTCGGACAGTGACAGTTCCACGTAGGGTAAAAGGGACCACGCCCTTCCGCGTCGCGCGTTGGAAGACTCACAATGGTCCTATCTCTTGCGTCGTATGCCCTGACACCTCGGGCCAGATATTTTGCCACCTTTGACCGCACTTTGGCCGGGCACGCAGACGCTCCGAGCCTGCTTGCTTGCCCGTTGGTGCCAGCCTATTAGGTAGGTAGGTATATCGAATTCAATTTCCCACGAGGCTCTTTCGGGCTCGACGGCTCGATACCTCAGCCGGCACGCGAGTCCTTAACCGGGACACGATGCGTCCCGCATAACATCCACATATCGTCCACGTACCTACCATACTACGTATGCTTCAACACCGACGCTGGATAGCACCCCATCCGTAGCAATCCCAGCCAGTCGCAGATACGCTTTCGCGAAGGACGCCACCGCACCACGGAAGTCCCGAGTGGGTGTATGGGTCTCCGTAGCATCTCTATGACAGCACGCGAGCTGTCTAATCGATGGATCGGGCTACATCGACATCCCAGGTCCAACTCTCAAGGGTTATCATAGCTGGATGCAGACGGGATCCAGGGTTGTCTAGTGTGGGCCTGGCACTACCTACTAGATACTTCGTACATGCAAAGGCCCTCGCGCCCTGATTAGGTATCCGGCTGGTCAGTTGAAGTGGGCGACGAACGAGCCACGCTCAGTATTGACAGCAGCGATGGCAATACGATCCTAGCCTCCTCCCTATTAACATGAGAGGTACTGCACCGTAGACCTACTCATACAGATAAGGCATAGGGCGCTGATAGCCCAAGGGGTGAAGCTATATACACACCTATTCGCCTATTGATTTAGCACACGTGGAGATCGACGCCAGCCCAGTTAGGCCAGATGAAGCCCTCCGCCGGGAGTATAACTGAAACTTATCGGCTATGCACGCTGCTGCACTTACTAGCCAAGCCGCGTCACCGACGCCGTCTTAGCCATTTCCGGAATCCAAAACAGTGTAAGATAGTAGCCAGCAGCCGTCTCCCCTTCCCGATCCACGCTCTATCGTTTCCTTCCGCTCCACCAGAGCGGTCGTGTCAGGAGACTGGGAAATGTGTGTGAGAGGAGAGGGGGAGGGGGAAGAGGGGGCGCAGTAGGACGTACGCGACATGGGGGGCCCAGGCGCGCGAGAGAGAGGGAGGGAGAGGCGGATATAGCGCCAAATTTTCTAAACCCCCATCATCGCGCATGAAGAGAGCGTGATCAAGTGATCCGACCCGTGAGAGAGCAAGTGATTCCTTTCCCTTCTCTCCCCCTTCCCACCTCCCCACCCCTCTCAGGCGTACCTCTCTCAAACCTCCCTGTCCGCCTCGCACGCGCAGGCCACCGCTGCCGTATTTCCCACGGTACGAGGCTGGTGGGAAAGCAGGCAGTTAGGATGGTCAGGAGTCCGACTGCAGGTTGTTTGCAGGCGTAAATAAATACCTACCAGTAGCGACACAACTTGGCGATTCCGATATCATTCCCGGTGTTGTAGGTCTACCGATTAGTGTGAAATTTTATTACTCGTCTCCCCCGACGGACGATGATATCTAGAACGGGTCTGTTGCATTGATGATTTCCTCGCGGCGTCAATTTCACGAGCACACGCCAGGATCCGTTATGATGTAGGAAATGTAGGTAGCAGTAGCAAGACGCAATAGGATCACGTTCAGCACCACCGCTAGGCACTATGCAAATGCTCCCAAAGCCCAGTACTCTCCCTCTTGTAAATCCAAATAGTCCGTCATGTCACCATCCATCTCCTGTTCGGCAAACCAAGCGTCGACGTCCTCCCCGTTCTCCGTCTCATCGACTTCCATCTCGGCGAGCATGCGCTGGCGCTCCCCGATCACGACTTCGACCCATCGGAGCTCCGCCGCCTTCCGCCGAACTAGCGCGTCCTCGTCGTCCAGCACCTTACCGAGCAACCGGCGTTCTGTCTCTTCCATGAGCTCCATCTGGATCGCCTGTTCCTCCGCAACGCTCCAGCGGTAGTACTCCAGCTCGTTGTCCCTCCACTTCTCCCACTTCTTAAACCCCTCGTCCATCTTGCGTTTGAATTCTTTGAGCGACGCCTCCAGTTTGGCTTCGCCGCCCTCCCTGCCAGACCAATAGGTCTTCAGCGCCGCGTGGTACTGCTCTTCAACGCGGCGCTCCTCCGCTACACGTGTGATGTACTCGCGTTTGAATGAGATTTCCCGCTCTTCAAGCTTGATCTGGCTGGCGGCGCTCAGGCCTTCGCGATCGGCCTTGTGCTTCTCCCGCAGATTTTCCAGCGCCGCGGTGCTTTGGAGCTCGAGCTGGGCCTCTTCGGCAACGTGACCGCGCCGTACGATGATCCGCTGGAGTTCGCTCACATTCGCAAGCACCTCCCGCAGCCCTTGGAACTTGACCTCGACGGCTTGCCGTCTTTCGCTCTCGAGCCTTATGCGCTCTTCAAGCTCTCTCTGTCGGCGCTCCTCGGCTAACCGCTCCCGTTCCTGGCGTAGGAGCTCGGCCTTCAATGCCTCTTCGCGTTCGAACTCTTCCACTAGCCGCAGAGCGTCCTGGATTTCGGCCTCTTCCTGCAACTCTCTCTCCTCGCGTGCATAGCGGCGTGCTGCCGCCCCCCTCTTAATATTAGCTAGTTGCTCCATCGTGCAGGCGCAGGTCCTCCAACGCGCTCCGCAGACGTAGCAGAATTCCGCGCCGCACCGGCATGTCATGTGTTGACACGCCTCCCTATGTTCAACATAGGCGTGGCACCCGTAGCAGCGCTTCCAGCCCTCCTCCTCCGCAAGCTCGTCAGTTCTCATCATATCCTTATCTTGCGGGCAGTTGTCTCCCTCGTGCTGAGCGTTACGGCAAATTGTGCAGGTCCAGTGGCCGGCGGAGCATCGCGCGATGTTCTGCGCGCGGTTGATCTGATCCGGCCGAATCCAGACGCTACAACTCGGCGAGCTGCAGTACAAACGTTCTCCGATCGGGATGTTCCACTCGGCTGCTCTGTCATAGTATGTCTTTTTCAGCTCCTTGTCGACGTTCAGCAGTATCGTCTTGTCTGGGATAGGATTCAGGCAACATTTCGGGGGCCACTGTTGTTCATTCTCGCATACCGTCTGTATGAGACGCAGGAAGCACGGTTTGCAGTAACTATGGCAAGGTGCTTTGACCGTATCTTTAGGGTTATAGTCGTCAAGACAGGAGACACACTCGCTACATTCATGTTAGTGATGCTAACCTGCGAATTGGCTCTATGGTGGTCGTGTACTCACACTCCGGCCTCGTTTGCGGACGAGGTTAAACTACTATTGCTACCCGTCGTAGTTTTCTTTAAGAACTCGGCCATAAGCCTCTTCGTTGCCACCTGGGTACTTGCCTCAATACTAGCAGACGAAGCATCGCGCCTCTGACGAGCGGCGCCAGCAGCACTTGTCTCGCCTCTGTCCCCTATGTTGTTTAATCGCCTAAACAGATTCATGAACGAAAGCTTTTTCGGTTTGGCGGGCCATTTTAGGGCGGGCATGCCGTCAGGACGTAGGCCACCCGAATCTAGGAGCGAGACCTTGACTGGCATATTTCGAGTCTCTGCGTTCTCATCGAGCTGCGTATCCGACGCGCTACTACCTTCTGTCTTTTTCTCGCGTTCTCTTCTCGATTCCTCCTCCCCCCTCAACTTCTGGGCCTCCTCTTCTGCTATTCGCTTCTCTTCTTCCTCGACTATCCGGGCTTGGATCTTGTCGATCGACTCTTGTATGATCTGCACGACTACCTCTGATTTGCAATCGACGACATCCCTCAATCCTGCCGGAGGATCATACGAGACCCAGTTGACGGCGGGTGGACTGTTGAGCGACTCGGTTGGCTCGGATCCGTGTCCGATCTTTCCCGCGACCGCTTTCCCCTTACCCTTCCATCTCGGATCATCATCCCCCCCTCCTTCGGAATTGTCGACAGGACGGTCAGACGCGCCGAGGCGTTTCTCCTCCTCCGTGGAGGGCGTTGACTCGATGATCAGCATGCGTAAATAAGAGCAAGCGGAATAAAGCAGCGCAGCAAACCAGGACAAGAGGGAGGTACGGCGTGTTCTCATTATGAGAAAAGAGAATGCGAGGCTTGCCAGCCAGTTCGACTCCGTCAGCTGCAGGATTCCCCACGTCTCATGGACGGACGAGCTTGATTGGCAGCATATGTGCAGTTCTGCGCCGTATACCCAGGTTTCTGCACGAAAAACAGGAGAAGACGGGAGGAAACCGGATAACGTGTTTTACGCAGCGGGCCATACGTAGGTAGATAAAGAGCCGCAACAGAGTGCCCGTTGGCGAGCCTGACCAGTCGGACTACCTTCGCGCTGCCAGTGTTCGACGGCTTGTAGTCTGCCTGGTTTACTAGGATGCCCCTATTTACGGCCCATAGATGATACTTTCTGTAGGTACTGGGTATGGACACGGAGGCTTGGGCTTAAATGTAGGGCTGAAAACAATGCTACGTAGTGCCGAACCATAGCTCCTCCTCTTCAGCCCTGGTCACCGAGACGGTTTGCCGCTGGCCTGGCGAGGGGTGTTCGACGGAACCGAGCCATAGTAGATGCCACTGTCTGTGCAGCTTTACCAGCTTAGCTACGCCTCGACCCTCTCTGGCACTATGTCTCGCGGCGGAGGAGCTGGGCCTGTCCGCGTGCTCGAATCCGCGTGCGCCATTGGCATAAGAAGCGTCCGAGGCGGTTAGGCCAGGTTGGCGCGACGGGGGTAATAGTCTGCTAGGTATGGGTCGCCATACGGGCGTGAAGAAAGCCTCGTGCTATCCCTGGTTGGGACCAAGCGCACCTCGAGTGAGAGAGGCAAATCCCGTCGATGCACGGATTCCAAGTCGGATGATGTTGTTATTATCGGTGTGTACGTACGTACCTACACGAGAAGTATGAGGTAGGTTAGTAGGTCGGCGGATTCAGCTAGGTGCGGGGACCGGGGGGGAGGGGGGGGGGGGAACGGAGGAGAAAGAGGACAAACTGGGGTTTGTTCACGAGCACCAAAGCGGAATATCGCACATTTGTTTGCAGCTGCCTACACTGCCTTGCCAGCCGACAGCCCCGACAACCCTATACGGTCTCTTGTGGTAGGTACCTCTACTTGCTTGGACAGGTAATTAAACCTTAGGTTAGAGGTACCTTAGGTACCTACCTAACCCATATTCAACCTCTCTTGGGCGCATGCAAACATGCATGTATAGGTAATATGTATGAGGTAGGAGGTGGTATATACCATCACCCGCACGCACACGAAAGCCTCGCCGCTCTTGGCAACATAGCTACATACCCAGCTTTGTTCTCCTCTACCTGCCGGCCTGCATGGGTTGTTCTCGTATAAGCGTGTATACACTTAGGTATGTCGGCGGAAGTCAATAGCTGTACGAACAGAGGTTGCGTGAGAACCGCTGCCTATTCGAGCCAGTTCATGGGCGCAGACCGCTAACGCCGAGGCCAGTGTCCAGCTATGGTGGGAAGAGCCATCCTTCTCGTATCGACAACTTGCTATTCTTACTACGTAGCACGGTTAACTTACACCTTTTTCGAGGCTCGGTTAGTATAATTGCTTCAAGCGGTAGGGTCTTCTTCATAAAGGACCTGGAGGCATTCCCGTTGAGCCTGCCCGGTGTTAAGGCGACCGAAACCGGGAAGCCAAGGACTCTCCAGGACCGAGCCATCGCCCAGCCGAGAACCGAGATCCCGTATAGGGTGACCATTTAGAGAGGCGAGCAGCAGCATGCCTAAGCACGTAATGCGCACACGTTGTTATGATGAGTTGTCCGATTTCAGCCACACCTGCGGCCGATATGTATTGGGATCCGCGAATAGGACCCGGATACCTCTAGGTTATTGTTCCCTCGCCCGTACACGTAGGCATTCGCCACGCAGGACGGCTTCAAAAGAAGGGAGAAGTAGAAAGACAGAGGCAGAAAGAGAGAGAGAAGAAAGAAGCCACCCGGCTTCGCAAAAAGATGACGTCATTCGCTGATCTCGCCTCTGATCCGACGAGCAGGTTTCTGTGGCCGAGTTTGGGGGGGTGGAATTACGGGGACGAGTAGGTATATGCAGGCGGGTGCCCGATGTGAGACACGCCTTTCCCTAACAATGCTGCTTTGTCTACCTTAGAGGACAACGGTCGAGTCCGTGGCTACGCTGATTCCTCCAGTATCACGTTAATAAAGAGCATAGAATCCACCGCAGGCACGCCTCCATTCCTCCGAACATTGTTCTCTATCACAAGACCTCATCAACTGCTACTCACTCAACACGTGAAACGCGATTAACAAACCATACACGATCCGCGAGAGCAAGGAGGAGGAAGGAAAAGAAGAGGCGCCTCGAAGCTCCCACATATTACCAATTCCTGATCAAACCTCACTCTTAACATCATTCGTCTGTCTGTCCGTCACCGAGCAGAGTCGCAATTCGCATCGCTACGCTCCTCCTCCCCCCCCTTCCCAAATTAATATGGCCGTCACGCGCTCGTCGACCGGGCATTCCAAGCCGCGCATCCACTTGAGCGTGTCGACGGAACCGGAGCGCAGATCGAACGCCGCCGGTGCCAAGAAGCACTCCGCCGGTGCCCGCGCCGGCACCGGCGTCCACAAACAGAAGAGGGCACCGCCGGCCACCCACCACAAGCGGAAGCCGCGCCTGGGCGACAAGATCGAAGGCGCGGCCCAGAAGGCGGTCGGAAAGGTGACCCGCAGGCCCGGAAAGAAAGCCGCAGGCACCCGGAAGATGCGCGGGACCGATGGGAAAGGCAGCCGGGCGAAACGGGTATACTAAGGCCATCTAGACGGGCGTCTTCCCTCCCTCGGGCCGTCCGACTAAGACTCGATATGGGACCGCCGCACGATATGTGCTATACGTCCTCCGTCAACAGGAAATCTACACGAATCCCCAGCCCTGCGGGATTTCCAACGAATCGGAGGGGGTCATCTGGGTTTCTCCGCAAGGATATCTGATGCTGTGCCAGCTTGGGAACCCGTATCACGAGATGGGTCCTCTCTGACGCAGGAGGTGACTTTTAAGTACAGAGGAAATTATAAATATTGCCATCTCGTCGTTTCTAGGTACATACATACATATATGCCCACTCTGTTTGTGCTGGCCTGTTATATTTATGTTGATTTCAACTTGTGTGCTCGGCTAACCTGATTCAAACGGGATATATCGCGAGGAAGCCGTTGGCGGCCACGCTCGCCATTTGGAGACGTAATTTACTTTGTAGTGTTGCTTCTAACCTGTGCTAGGTATTGGAAGGGACAAGGAAAACAGCGAGGGTCCGGCTTCATGTGCGGAGGTCCATGTCAGGAAGCTAGGGTTCCGAGTAGGAACTGGCTGGCTCTAGCTATGTTGGCATATTAAAAGCATTGCCTAAAGATCTAGCTGCCTGGTGCTCAGGGGCCGTGTGATGGGCTCGCCGTACGTTCCGATAGCCCGAAGGACTTGCTGGAGGCGGGAAAGATTTGGGGATTGGAAGAGAGCATGAAGTCTGTTCCAAACAGCTCATGTAGCAACCTTCGAGTATACATAGTCCAACCACGCCTCCAATCCCAGCTGCCTGCTCGTATGCTTCCTCGTAGTATATTCGTCTAGGAAATCGTCGCAAGGTAGTGTGCCTAAATCCACGCGAAGAGAAGGCACATGCTCGAGATTTTTATATACGCTTATATTAGAGTGAAGCGAAGATTGTTATAAAAGAGGGTCGGTCGCTAACCTACAGTACTCGCATCCAATAGCACCGGGAATCCTCTTGAAAGACACTTCTAGAGCAAAGGGGGAGGAACCCGTGAATCTGGTCATTATTATATTGTAATATTGCTCCCACTGCTACTCCCCCTCCCCTTCGATAAACGACGAGACACTAGCCAGTTGCCGAAGCATTGCAACAATTTCGAGAGGTGATTGTTCATTGCCCTATACACAATATCGATGCATAGTTAGCAGTATATTCTGTGACGTGTCCGATTCTACATGGTCCTAAATTCTACACTTGAGCTGGAAACCATCGCGAGGGGGACAAAAAGTCAACTTATCCGAATTTCCTAACCGCGGGTAAGAGTCGCGCCTTGTAAAATTGTCACGTCTGTTGAACACGCCCATTATGCAGCAGACCTGGCACATTCTGGCGCCTTACCATTCGCGCCCCTAAGACTGGGGCAACGCGTAACCGAATAGGTCAACTCACGCTCCATCTGCCACCCCCGTCACGCTGACCTTGGTGGTCTCCATGGGCCAATCCCGTCTTGCCTGTCTGGGTTTCAGACTCGGAGGCCCAATGGGCGTCAAGGCTCTTACGCATTGGCAAGCGGACGGCTGGTGCTTGGGTGCTTGGGTGCTGCTCGAGAGGCTGGTGTTTCCGTCTTAGAGACGCCTCCTGACGGTCCATATGTCCCATCTGGGATGGAGGTGAGCAATCATCTACCGTCTAGCAAACAACTCAGCACAGATCTATTGTCGCCCCTGATGGCCAGAGACTGGCCTTCGAGACCAAACAGCAGGGCTACATGACCCGGAAAATTAGCACCCTCCCCGTAGGAATCCTCTCCTGTATCTGGCTGCCCGATCTAGACTGCCTACTTACCACGGCACCGGCCTAGAGGTGACCTGCTCAGGCACAATGGTGGCCAATTATCACCTCTAGCATCCCCTATACCCACTCGTCCACCCCCTTCGATCTCCTCATCTAGGTAACCGCTGCTTGCATCCACCGATAATTTCTTCACTTAAATTCTCTGTAGCAGGAGAATGTCCTGACTTTGCTCTCTTGGCTTGTCTGGTATGAGCCGTGGGACATTGTGCCTTCCCCGGCAGGCGAATCTCAGGATACCCTGATTCTTGCCAGCACTGCTTTCGGATGGGTTGCTCTCCTGATCCCCCAAGAATCATCTCCTAGGTATTTCCCGGCTCGGGAAGAGAAGCGTCGACAGCTCCATTATCTTTAGCCCACACGAATCGAATTTTATCTACCCCCGTCTCGTCTACTGCCCACCGAGCTCCCCTTTCCTTCTGCCATATTCTCTTAGATCTCGAGACCGGCGTCGACGCCATCTAGACCGACGACGCTGGGTTGCTCTCGTGGCTGCTCTCGTGGCTGCTCTACCGGGGAATCGCACCCTCCCCTCAAGCAACCCGCCTCGCCCCTTGAAATCGAGAAAGGCCACGTAACAGTCCTTGGATCAGCATCACACATTGGCGGACCACACGACGAGCACAGTCAGGGAACATGTTAGCCAGTTCTATTATCTAGCGAGGTAGGAAAGCGAGCGAGTCCATACACACATACTTACAAACTCACCCCCATCGGCTGAACATCACATATCTACCTACCTACCCATACACACATTTCCACCCAGCTTAGATTATCAGCGCTGAGCCCCTTGGGCCGTTACCCACACTTCACCTAGCTTCCCCCCGCCCCCTGCAACCCCCCTCTCTTCCCTCTCTCACATCACCGCCTCGATCGCTCGCTACATACTCCATACGCCGCCGCGGCTGTTCGGGAGCCTCATCTCTCTGCCCCCCGCCCCCCGCCTTCCCCTGCCCCGCCCCGCCCGTCGAGATGTGCTTCACCGAGTACATCGGATACACGTGCGGGCACACCAGCCTTTCGGTGAAGCGCCCTTGCCCCTTGACGACGCAGCTCTTCAACAACCCCGTCTGCCCGGGCGTCGGCGCCGCGCGCCCCATCCTCGCCGAGAGCCTCTGCCCAGCCTGCAGCCGCATCATCCACGGCCGCTGCGTCAACATCATCGAGAACGAGCACCGCTTCATGCACGCCCGCGGCGCCTGCCCCTGCCCCGTCCGCTTTCCCCATCTTATGCAGCCTCGCGTCATCTCCCCCGACGACAACGTGGGCCCCGCCGGCGACCATCCCGGCGCCGAGGGCGAGACCACGTCTGGCGGCGCCGCCGTCCCGGCTGGCGCTGGCGATGCCAACGAAGCCGAGAATAACGGGCGTGGGAGGGCCCTCTCCGCCGCGGCTTCCGTTTTCTCCCCTTCGCCGATTGCTACCCTCCTGAGCACCGTCAACTCCTCTCTCTGTGGGGTAGGCTCGTTTACCACCCGCTTTGACCATCCCGCTTATGCCCAGGATCACCAGACGTCCTCATATACGTCTATGGCCGGCGGGGCCTCGAATGCCCCCAGCTTTGGCGATAAAAATAGATCCACCGCCGGCCCCAATCCGGGAGCGTCCGCAGCCGCCATCGTTGGGGACAAGGGCAGCAGCACTGGCCAAATCCCGAGCCGATCGAACCTCGACACCAAGGGTAAGGGAAAGCAGAAGGCTGAGCCGCAGCCGCAGCATCAGTACCAGTACCAGAATGGTAGTGGCGGCAACGGGGGAAAGAAGTCTAGAAAATTCAACAAGAACCGAGACAATCGCCGTCAACCCCCCTTTTCTTCAACCATGCCCCTTTACCACACAAACCCCACACCGGCCTCGGTTCCTGCTTCGTCTTCCGCCTCAACAGCCTTGGTCCGGACCTCGACTCAGGGAAGCGGTGGTGATGACGCCACCGCGCCCCTGGCACCGCTCTGGGAGGAGACGCGGGACACGGACACGCATACGACGTCCGTGGCTGTGCGCATGGTGAGCCTGTACGGTGCCGAATGGCTGCAGGACCACGCGGCGCTGCATCGGGATGGGCGCTGTACGTGCGACGTGAGCTTCGAGCGCTACCCGCGCCCATATATGGATATGCTGCGGGAGGGCATCGACGCCGAGACGGAGACGGAAACCTCGGCCGTGGCTACGGCTTCGACAACAGCTCCGACGGCTCCGGCACAGGTAGGAACCGATGGATCGCAACCTTACCCTTACTCCTACGGCAGTGAAGGTAGGTGCACTGATCCCCCAAATCTAGCCTATAGCTATGGCTCGTCAGGTAGAGGAAAGAAAGGTGCCTCGACTACGGCTTCTTATACGGCTCTTCCAGCACCGACCGCTCCAGACGCGGGCTCATGGGGAATGACCACGGCCCACCAGGCACCCGAGACCGCGCAGACGCCGAGCGGCTACGGCTACGCCGTGCCCGTCTTCAACGCCTTCCAGTCCCAGCGTCAGGCGCAAGCCCAACCCCATGCCCAGGCCCAGGCCCAGGCCGAGCCTCTCCAGCAGCACCAATGGCCTGCGACTGTCTCCTCGCTGGGAGATCCTAGTACTCTTCAGCCTGCACGGTGGGCCTATAGCCCGGACAACGGAGGCTCCGAGCCGGGTGACCCTGCTCGACCCGTCGACATGCAGACAGTATGGTTCAACAGGCCGCCCGAGACGCCCCTGGCAGGCTTGCCTCTGGGTGCCGGTCCCGAAGGCGCGCCACACTTCCTACCCTTCGAGGATTGCGAGCTATACTACCCTAAGCCCTCCAGCAAGCGTCACCGCTCCTACTCTACCTGAGAGGGCCGGGCGTCCAGCGAGCAGCGGGAGACTTGCTATCCACCGACATAGGTACCGACGTAGAGTTGCGTCTGCGAGAAAGATGAATATTCTGGGAATGTGTTAAGGTGTGGATCTCAAGAGATTAGCAAGGCACGTCGGCGGCGCTCTCGACCCCTCGACCCCTCGACCCCATCGATAACTCGCTCACATGGCGAATGCCAAACCTACAGAAATACGAGAAAACAGCGGAGTTAAAATAAAAATAAAAGAGAGAGAAAAGATGACGGAGAAAAGAAAGAGCGTGAAATCTTACGGCATTTCATATACATTTATGCCAAGGCACCGTAGAGGGTCAATGCCAGATGCGTTACTTCGAGCGCAATTTGCCTCTGGCGCCTCAACTATCGTACATATGAAAGTGAGGTCTCGGGTGTGTGCGCCGTGACTTTTCTCTTTGACGTCCTAGCAACAGGCTATCTATCTACCTCACCTACGTTATCGACGTTAGTATCCCAGCCGCGTTCCTCTTTTGATATTGGGAGATATTGTGCTTACCGAACACCAGATCCATCGTACCGATTATCGCTACCGCATCGGCCAGCAGATGCCCTCTAGAAACATGGTCGAAGCCGCCCAAGTGCGCAAAGCCAGGGGCGCGGATGTGGCATCGATATGGCCTCTCGCTACCATCGCTAACGACGTAAACTCCCATTTCGCCCTTTGGTGCTTCGATTGCCGAGTACGTCTCGCCAGGCGGTACCGCGTAGCCCTTGGTGTACAGTAAGAAGTGGTGGATGAGCGCCTCCATATTCTCCTTCATAGCCACTCGAGGCGGCGGCGAAATCTTGTAGTCCTCAACGCGAACCGGACCGGCTGGCATCTTGTTCAGGCACTGGTGGATGATTCGCAGGGACTGACGGAACTCCTCCATTCGACACAAGTATCGGTCGTAGCAGTCGCCATTGATGCCGACAGGTACGTCAAACTCGACTTGGTCGTATGCGTCGTACGGCTGGCTCTTTCGGACGTCCCACGGAACACCAGACCCCCGTAGCATGACGCCGGTAAAGGAGAGGTTGAGGGCCTCGTTGGCAGGAACTACGCCGACGCCCTGCAATCTATGGATCCAGATACGATTATCCGTGAGCATCTCCTCGGTTTCGTCAATTCGATCGCCGAATTGGGTAGCCCATTGGTAGATATCGTCGAGGAGGCCTATGGGGAGGTCCTGGTGGACGCCGCCGGGCCTCACATAAGCGGAATGCATACGGGCACCGGAAACGCGTTCGTAGAATTCCTGCGAGGAGGCATGCGGAATTAGCTTTAGCTCCAATATCAGATACGAGGTATTATCATCATCATCATCATTTAGGTAGGTAGTGGGCAGGGTAATTGAGCACACTCGCCATTAATTTCTCTCGCTCCTCGAAGCCCCATAGGAAAGGTGTCAGGGCGCCAACGTCCATGGCATGCGACAGGACAGACATGAGGTGATTGAGGATTCTCGTGATCTCGCCGAACATGGTGCGGATGAACTTGGCCCGCTGCGGAATGTCTACGTTCAGCAGCTTCTCGACGGCGAGGGCAAAGCATTGCTCGTTGGTCATCATGGAAACGTAGTCGAGCCGGTCAAAGTAGGGCAGGGCTTGTATATAGGTCTTGTATTCGATCAACTTCTCCGTGCCTCTATGTAATAATCCGACGTGGGGGTCGGCACGGACGATCTGCTCGCCGTTCAGTTCGAGAATCAGTCGCAGCACGCCGTGGGCAGCCGGGTGTTGGGGACCGAAGTTGACGGTGTAATGGCGGACCTTGCGGTCGCTAATACCGTCTCCCTGCGGGGCGCTGAGGGTGCTGTCGTGATCCTGGGCCCCGTACGGATCGCTGGGATGGGCGAAGGCCGGGTCGACGGGTTGAAGGGTGGTGGGTTGGTTGGGGATCTCGTTGGCTCTGCGCAGGGCAGTCTGCGAAAAGGCGCGTAGAGCCGGCCGTACGAGCCCTAGGCGTCTGGCGCCGCAGCCAGCGATCCGATATAACGACGCCATTTGTGTCGGGTCGAGGTCGATCGGCGACGGCAAGACTCGCCGGAGTCTGTAGAAGATGGTCAAGTTTGAGATCATTCCAACCCTCCATACTTACCATCGACGTCCTCGTCATTGGATCGCCCCATCGTTTTCCCGCCCCGCCATGCGTATACCCAATACTTAGGTACATAACGACCCGAGTGAACTTGCATCATCCATTGAGGGAAATCCCATTACCTGGCGGATATATCAGGTACCTACATTAGGTAATCGACTCAACGTGCCTCTAACCTAATATGGGAGGTACCCGTCTGAGCGTGGTATCAAACGTGAAGCGTGGGAACTTGGCTTGGATATAAATAGCTACCTAACCTAGGTAGCTACCCAGGTATAGGAGCCTTTTTTTTATTATTATTAAAAAAAAACCCCCCCCTTTCGTTTTGTATAGCCTCTCAGCTCACCTCCCGAGAGAACGACACAGGCACATATAAAGCCACCTGTCTACTAACCGATAAAAATCTTGATCATCCCTTTCTAAGCCGATAGCTCCTCTCTGAGTGTTTATGCCAGCTAGCTAATTCACGATGGCCTGGTGTGACACTATCTTCTCGACTACGTTTCCGTCCATCTCGAACATGCTGATCTCCGATCCTACTCGAGGTGTTCTCGGAGCGCCGCGGGAAGCAAGGATCCGCTCGCCTCGAACTACGGCCCTTTTGGAAGGCTGCTGTAGTATTGCTCCTTCACCGCGTTAACGACCTTCTTGACGTCGGCTGCCGCGATTTTCTCTCTCCTATCAAACGAATATAGGCCGTTGACTTCCTGTTCGACGTCATAACTGTTCCGACGGCAATCTCTCAGCACCCAGACCTAATCCGGCGAGGCCCGCGCCTCTCTGGGGGAAGGACTGAACTTACAGCTGGGTATACACTAACCCACAAATGTGACCCCCGGTGACAACCGCCCGTAGCAGAGCCTCGAATCTCTTGAGTAGGTCCTTCGGATCGCTTGCCGTCGTGTATCCCCAATCGCGCTCGCGGCCTTCCTCTAGGTCTTCCGCGGGCGCGATGTTGACGCCGCCGAACTCGGTGCAAATGACGGGTGCACCCTCGCGATGCTTGGTCCCGCTGTCGGCGACGGTCTTACCGTCACTACGCAACACGGGGCCTACGAAAAAGTCCCTACCGGCCAGCTTATTGCTCAGTATGCCTTCCAGCGTAGCGCACGTTTCAGAGAGCTTTGGATGATCAGTGTAGTCGTGGAAGGTGCTCAGGTCTGTGCAAACATGTTCCCAGCCGCAGTTGTCGTTTATAGGCCGCGTTGGGTCCAGAGTCCTGGGATCCGTGCTCAGCGTTTTCCCTCAAAGTCGTTGTTCAGGGGGTTCCATCCTTACTTTGTCATGTAATACAGCGAGCGGATGTGATTCCGCTGGTGTACGTCTTCCTTTAGGTTTGGATAGGCCCAGCTTTCCTGTTACGTGTCAACATCCTACGCCGGGTGAATAGATCTCTTTATTCTATAGGGATTCGGTTGGGAGCGTAGCGGGAGGATGTTAGGGGAAGCCTGACGTACTGTAGAAGTGTTAGCCTCTATGAAGAGCGGTACAAACACGGGATTGCGTCTCGAGACAGCAAAATGGTCACATCAACATACCATTAACTGGGGTCCAAGTAACGATTGAGGGGTGGTTGATATCCCGCTTCACGGCCTCTAGCCATTCCTGGCTGAACCTCTCCGCGTAATCCTCGTCAAACGAGTAGGCGTTTGCCATCTCGCCCCAGACGAGGAACCCAAGCTTATCAGCCCAGTAGAAGAAGACGGGGTCCTCGACCTTCTGGTGTTTGCGACAACCGTTGAAGCCCATCTTCTTGGTCAGCTCGATATCCGTCCTGAGACTCTCGGGAGAAGGTGGCGTAATGCCGGTCTCGGGCCAATACCCCTGGTCGAGAACGAAAGCTTGGAACAAAGGCTTCCCGTTTAGTCGGATAGCGCTGTCGCCGCGAGTCCACTCCAGGTGTCGGAATCCGGTGTAGGTCTGCACTTCGTCCACGAGATTGCCGTCTGAGCGGTAGAGTCTTATGGATAGGTCGTATAGGGTCGGGTGGTCTGGAGACCATAGTGCCAAATTCCCGCGCCAGCAGTCGGTATCATCGTATGGGGCAGCTTGGGCGAGGGACGGTGGTGCCTGCTTTTTCTGCTCGTCTCTAAGTGATAAGCCCAGGCTGATCGAGACGTGGTCCTTATCGCTAGGCAACCTTTCCGCCTCCTTCGCGATGTGAGACCCGTGGAGGCTACCCTCAATCTCGACGGTATACTCGTGGCCCGCTCTCCGTCCTATAATAGCTACTGTGGCGTCTAGGAGCCCTTCGGAGATGTTGTTCGATCTCAGTATCGTGCCTGCACTGCTGTTGCCTATTCGTACGGATGGGACGACCTCTAGCCAGACGGGCTGCCAGATCCCGCTCGACGGCGTATAGAAAATACTTTCTGGCTGAGGAGCCCAGTACTGCTTCCCGCGGGGTTGGGTAAGGTCGTGCGGAGAGTCTCTAATACGCAATATGAGGTTGAGTTCCCCCTTGCCGGTACTCTTCCAGGTGTTTGACAACGCGTCGGTGACGTCAACGTCGAAGGGCACATGTCCACCCGTATGCCGACCTATAGGATACCCCGAGGCCCATATGGTCACATCGTAGTCCACGGCGCCGAAGCGGACTAGGACTCTATCCCCGGCTTTGATCTCGGTGTCCACGCGCGGGTCCGTCACGGTCCTTTCGTACCACAAGATCTCGTGCGCATCTTTGTCGTGAATCCCAGATGCTGGCGTCTGGAACACGAACGGCACGTTGATCGGCCGCTTGGAGTACACACGACCTTGTTCCCCAGGAGCTCGAAAGCCCTGTGCCTTTAGCTCCGGAAAGGCAGCCAATTTTTGAGCTTGAACTTCAGCTCGTTCGCTGCCAGATTCGGTGGGAGAAGCGACAGATACCTTCTCTGGGATGCCATTAATATGCCACGCCTCGACGAGACCGACATCTTCGTCATCGAAGAGGATCGACCAGCCCTCGTTAAGAGGCGTCCACCGGTGATTGCTGTGAACGAAGTCGGGCCGCGGATAGACGCCTTTGGAGCTGTAGGCCATTGCTCGTTGCAGCTTGTCCGTTTTTCGATCCAGGTCTTTACGTTCAGTTGGGGAGATTACAGCGAGGGACGAAAATGGAGGAAGAGAGGGGGGGAGGTAGGGGAAGAGGAGAGAGAGAGAGGGGAGGAGAGAGAGGGAGGGGAGGAGAGAGAGGGAGGGGGAGGGGGAGGGGGAGGGGAGGAGCAGTCAAGAATCCGCCCGGGGCCGATATTCCTCCTCTCCACCCCCTCCCTCGGAACTCTAAGATCTACGTGGCTCCAAGCTCGTAAAGACGACCGACCGTCGAGCAACTGGTCACTGTCGGGGTCGGCGTGTCGTGGTCCATTTCCATGAAACGCGAGGAGAAGATTGACGTCATGTCGCGCCAATAATCGTTTGTAGGGATGGGAAAATCGGGAATGCCACCCTGGGACTGCGTCTCTTGTGTACTCGTCGTGTTTCCCGCTCCGGTTGGTGGGCAGGATTAGGTACCTGAGGTGAACCCCCTACCCTAGGAGATACCTACTGAGGGTAAGAGGTACCTGGATAAGGTGACGTCATGTAGGTACATACCTCTCTTACCTGCCTTGGGTACCTTGAGGCATAGGTATCGTTATCCGTATACGTGTGTAGCGATATCTGGGTAGGTACCTACCAGGTACCTACATCTCTACCTCTCCTCGGGGGTGCCGATTCCCATCAGGTACCTACAACCTCGCTGCCGTTTAAGGACCAGAACCGTTTAGGCGCGAGCCTGCATGCGAAAGCCATACCGGCCGGTCAGCCGAATAGGGGTATCGCAAGTGTCGGCACGGGTCCTGCGTAAAGCCGATTTGTATTGCTTCCCTCCGTCGTTGCTCTACCTATTTATCCCTTGCCTCAGGCCACAAGGTAGACAGGCTTGCCCCTTAAGATACTAACTCGCGTCGCCTCGTTAACAACTCGTTCCTTGCCTAAACTTCCGTTCCGATTACATGTCTCGTGGCCTAACCGTCCCCCGGACCGCCTCCATCGGCCATAGTAATGCCGTATCCCCTCGAGAATCATCGTCGAAGTGGCCTACTACGTAGGCAGATCGGGCGCAGCAGCGACGCCTTTTCCCTTCTCTAGCCTTGGACCTTGCCCGGGTTCGCTCACGCAACCCCCGTCACCCGTCTCACACTCCTTCTCGCGCCCTCGCCGCTGATCATAATCGCACCTTCCATCTCGAGTGCCCTCATCGTCTCGGCAAAATCGGCCGGCTCGACGGGAACGCTGGATCCCTCGCTCAACCGTCGGCTGACCTCGCTCCATCGAACGGATTGTCCGCCGCTAGTGAGCTCGTCTAGTAGCCGGATGACGGCCGTCTTAAGCTCCCCCTTGCGTTTCCTCTCCGCCGCGCTGGTGCCCTCCGTGAGGAGGCTCATATCGATTCGGCCCTGGGCGTCGGTCGCCGCTGTCTTCAGCGCTGACTGGATCAGCCGCTCAGCCTCGAGCACATCGGTCTTGGTGACTGTTGGCGAGAGTCGCATTTTTGCGTGTGCTTCGGCAAGACGGATCATCGATTCCAGCTGTCGGGTTGTGGCAGTTATGCGCTTCTCCGCCGCGCGGACGTCTTGCCCCAACTTGCGCATATTAACATAGGCCTCGACAAGGGCGTGCGACGCATCCTGGGACAATGTGGGATGGACGTGGGTACGGGCATATGAGATGTACGCCGTTAGGAATTCGACAGGCTGGAGACAACGTTAGCTATCGATATCGAACCTCTGGGCAGATCTCGGGGCCGCTCACCAGAATCTCATTGTTGGATGCCGCAGATTGAGGCTTATCCTCGAGATACATGGACAGTAGATGTCGGGCTAATCTGCGGTCATTCGACTCGTTAACGCGATCGAGGATCAAGTAGACGAGGTCAAATCGTGATAATAGGGTCGGTGGTAGATCGATGTTTTGCGGAACCGGCAGGTCGGGATTGTATCGAGATCCGATTGGGTTCGCCGAGGCCAAAATACTCGTTCTAGCGTTTAGTGTAGTGATGATGCCGGCCTTGGCCACCGAGACGGTTTGCTGCTCCATGACTTCGTGGAGGACGGAGCGGGTGGCGTCAGACATCTTGTCGAACTCGTCGATGCAGCAGACGCCGCCGTCGGAGAGCACCAGAGCGCCGGACTCGAGCACTAGCTGGCGAGTCTCGGGGTCACGGCTGACGTATGCGGTGAGACCAACTGCGGAAGACCCCTTGCCGCTGGTGTACACGCCGCGAGGCGCAATCTTGTGGACGTACTTGAGCAACTGTGACTTCGACGTCGACGGGTCGCCGCAGAGCAAAACGTTTATATCGCCTCGGTACTTGGGGCTGCCGCCCTTCTCGAAGGTCTTATTCGTGCCCCCGAATAGCTGGAGGAGGATGCCCTTTTTCACGTCGTCCATCTCGTAGATAGAAGGGGCCAACGACCGGGATAGAAGCTCGTAGATATCGGGACGGGCGGCCGTGGCCTTAATCTTCTCCTCCTCCTCCGGGGTGATTTTTCTAGACTCCTCGATGTTATTCTCCGAGTCGTTAGATTCGTCATCGAGGGTAGACGGATCCGCGTCCATTCGCTTGTTGTCAACCTTGGCGACATGAACGACATCTACAAAAGTCTTAAAGACGCTTTTGACTGAGCGCATACGCGGGTTAACCCTCACCGGGCTGACGCGGTAGATGCCCGTGATCCGAATGCGGTCGCCGGCTTTACAGAAGTCCACCAGTTCATTGTAAACACAAACTGACACCGAATGAGGCGTCTGCCCGGCAGGAACGGCGTCGGGGGTTTCCTGCAACTTGATTACCTGCTTGTCCTCGAACTCGCACCGGTTGTGCACGATTTGCATCGAGTTCTTTGCATTGCAGAGACGCCTGGGGCATTCGGTCGGCTCTCGAATTTTGCCTCGATCTAAGCCAACTAGGAGCGAGTGGCTACATGTGCTGCATCGAAAAAACGCCTGCTTCATGTCCGGGATGACGGGAGTGGTCCGGATCACGAGGCCCTTGATGCAGATGAGCTTGTCCATGTCAGATGGATTAAGATCTCGTAAGTTGGTGACCTCGTCCAAACCCCACGGTCGGGTCATGTAAGTCTGATCCATTACCTTCTCTTCTAGAGTAGGACCTTGCTGAGGCCGCTGTGATGCTTGAGGTTCCTCGCTCCGCTCTGAGCTCGGTACCTGCATGTCGGAGCTTGGGACGGCGCTCCGCTGTGTCGTGGGGATGCCGCCAGTCTGTCTTCTCTGTCTCGCCATCTCAGCCTGCGCAAGCTCAATCATCAGGTCGTGGACAGACTGATCCATTAGCGGCACAATTTCCTGGGGATAGTGCTGGATTTGGTGCCACATTTTCCTAGTAGGTGGATACAACTTGAAGTCTCTGATGTTCACGTAGAGGATCCGCTGGCCAAGAATCAGCATGCTCTGAAGCTCATCCCAGTATGGCTTTGCAGTAGATTGAGGGTCGGCATCCGTCTGTTCAGTCGTCATTCCAGAACCCCACATGCGATATTTTTGAGTGAAGTTCCGCAGGAAGTCTTTAAAGGCGGCATAGGTGTCGTCTATGGAGACCGTTGTACCCCAGATCGTTGCGTTGTTCTGGCCCCCGAGAGCGTCGGCATCGGAGGTGTTGGGGTTCAAGTTAGAAAACGTTGCCGCATCCGAGTGGATCTCGCGGACTACTCGCCCGGCATCATCCAATATGACGCGACTGCTGGCTCGAGGGCCGCTGCTCAGAATCTCGGAGTTGATATCGCCTCTCCGGTTTGTTCGATTTGCTCGTGGCGTTTCGGAAGTACCAACAAATAAGTTACTGCCCTCACTCCGAAGGTCCGACTGTGGGTTCAAAGCACGACCAGGACTCGAGCTGGGCTCATATCGGATGGGTGACGATTCTAAAATATACATTCATTAACACGGTCTCTGCTTCGGTCTGAAGTGAAGCTAGGCTCACCACCAGCCATGAGTGGCCTCGCCCTCGGTGTGCGATCGCCATCGCCATCGGTCGACTGCGTCATACGCAGCGGTGAGCTGGGCGCCGCATCCGGATTTGCATTGGTGCTCTGGCTGTCGGTATTGTGGCGTAAGGCGACAGAGCTTCTATCGTTCCCATGTGCAGGGGAGGACTGATAAAAGAGAGGACTCGAGACTAATTGAGAGGACCGAGTAGCTCGAGGGGTACCTGCGTCCTGCGGCGGCCCATTCCGGGATGAACCTCCGTTGGCAGGGCTGTTGGTGGGGGCTTGGGAACTTCGCGTGTTCCGGCTAGGGGTGCCGGATTGGGAGCCTCGCTGGCGGCGGGCAGAAGGAGAAGACATCTCGGCTTCGACGTAATTAGACGCGACGGGGAGAGGGCTGCACTGTTCGTGGGGGAGGGAAAGTTTACCTAGGAAGAAGATGGGGGAAAGACGAAGCCCGCAAAGTGCGATGGGATGGTCCCGCCTCAGGCTAGGGGAAATGGGGACGAGGAAAGAACGCGTCCGAATGATAGGACGCGAATTTTCGCGTAAAGTGGAAGGTTGTGCATGCACAGACGCTAAACTATGCACAAATCACGTGCCGACTTGAGGTTACTGCTATTTGGGTCATAGCATGTTGTTATTATGCAGGGGCACTGACTATATATGGTTGCATGAATGCATAAATATAGTTAGGCAAATGTAGCAAGTTTCCCTGTAGCTACCTCCGTTATCGCGTAGGCGCCTAAGCCACAGTTACCTAAGGTAGTTCACACTAAGGCGGGCAATTAGGTACCTACCTAGGTAGGTAGGTACCTAATCATTCTCTTATCCCGTGCCCGAGTTCGACGGAAATGCCACATGCCAGTACGCCGTAGTGCGCGAAACCCTCCAATCTACATATGCCTATATTCCCCAGTGGACGCCGTCAACGCCGGTTCACCAGTGAGGAACGACAGCGAATTCTCGACAGCACGGCCAGTTTCCACTGCGCAACCAGTATACAACTCCCAAGATGGCTCCTGGGATGTCCCTATCTTCGGTGAACGCCATCGTCATCCTCAACATTGACGACGGCTCCAGGATATTTGCGAAATACTACAGCGCACCCCACCATGCGCCGACAGCCTGTAGGTCGAGCCCGCCTCCCGTGGCCGAGACGTGGCAGCCTGCTGACGAAATTCCCCGGTGGTAGCTAGCAGTCATCAATCGAGCGGACCGTACGCAGACTTGAAGTCGCAGAAGACGTTCGAGAAGGGCCTGTTAGAGAAGACGTCGAAGCAGACTGGCGACATCATTCTCTACGACAATCGGATTGTGCTGTATAAGATGGAGTCCGATGTCATGATGTATGTCGTGGCCGGCGTGGACGAGAACGAGGTTTTGCTCTACAACGTCATCCTGGCCTTGAGAGATTCTCTGCACCTGCTGTTCAAGTAGGCCTCCCAGCACATTTGCGAGAAGCCTAGTGCGCCGGCGCGACTAACAAAACATAGGCAGTCGGTTGACAAGCGGACCATCATCGAAAATTACGACCTGGTATCGCTCGCCATCGACGAGATCGTCGACGACGGTATCATCCTGGAAACCGACCCGACCATCATCGTGCAGAGAGTCAGCAAGGCGCCGACGCAAGATGTTAACCTAAGCCGTATCGATCTCAGCGAGCAAGGCGTGAACAACCTAGCGCAATTAGGAAAGGCCAAGTTGACAGACTGGTTGAGGCAAGGCTTGTGAGGGACCGCGATTCTCTTCAGCATACTATACCTCATACCACATAGAGATACGAGAAACACTATGAGATAGCCCCAGACGTTATAAATAGACTTCGGCACAGCGTTGGCGAAAAGTCGGTGTTTCTTGTCAACGGGATATTTGCCGAGCTGAAGTGGAGTGGTCGCGCCGATTGTGGCCTACGATCTAATCTGAGAAGCTGCTTTGCGTAGCCTATTCATGACCGCCGCGCCGATGTCTTCGTTGTCTTCTATACCCTCCACAAAAATGATGTCTGCGCTTCGTCTATCTAGCTCCCGCAGCGCCGAGAAAAGCCCTTGCGCTACGCTCCTAGCGTCCTTCCCTATGCTTACATCCATAAGCCTTCCAGCGAGACGTTGGCCTGCGTTGTCATAAAATTCCGCTTCTTGAACGTCAAGCTCAGCCCCTTGGGTTCCCTGACCAGTCGCTGTCCCCGTCGTCTCTCCCTTCTCGAAGCGGCTGCAGCGCAATCCGGCGGCGGGCTTCCAGCACCGGGTCCGTATTATACCAATTCGCAATGCTTCGCCTTCGGTTGTTGGTATCTGCCGGGCATGCCGGCCTTCAACGAACGCTTCGACGTCCTGGGCCAGCATGTCGCCCTGGCTCATCCCGACGGTTGCCTCGTATAGAATTACCTTTGCTTTGGGGCTGTAGTGCTTATATTTCATCCCCGGCGCCCTCGGCGCGGATTTGCCCGCCTCGCTCTCATCCCGGTACCCCTTTTCGACCTTTTCCCAGCCAGGACAGCTCCGCAACTCATCTATACTCACTCCCCCCGGCCGAAGGATCACCGGAGGGTCACATAGGCCGTCGACCACCGTGCTCTCAACACCAACAGGGCAGAGGCCCCCGTCGAGTATAAGCTCGATGCGGCCATCGAGGTCCTCCAATACATGTTCAGCAGCAGTTGGCGAGGGCCTCGTAGAGGCGTTTGCTGATGGAGCGGCTAGGGGCGCGCCTGTCAGTTTGATGAGCGAGAGAGCTAGGGGTGATTTCGGCATCCGAACGCCAAAGGTTTTCAGCCCCGCTGTGACTTCGGGGGCTAGTTTGGAAGGGGTCGGGTTCGGGAGCAGTATCGTCAATGGACCCGGCCAGAAACGCTCTATAACCGGCTTGTATCTTTTAGGTATACGGTCGTTGCTCGTGGCTGCCACCCCGTTCGTGGTGCTCGGGGGGGCTAGAATGTCTTGAAGCATCTCTAGGTCCGAGACATGAACAATTAAGGGATTATCCGATGGCCTCCCCTTAGCGGAATAGATGCCTCTCACGGCCGCACTCCTGGTCGAGTCTGCCCCAAGTCCATAGACAGTCTCTGTCGGAAAAGCAACAGGGGTATCTTTAGTCCTGAGATAGTCCGCGGCCTCGGCAAGGATTTCGATATCCGGCGATGGAGTTTGAGAAACCTCCCAGCATCCTAATCTCCCCCGAGCGTCGTTCTCCTTGAACCTACCCAGATCACGCCCTGAAATCCTAACTATTCGCGTACACGCCCCTGGGAGATCCCGAGACATGGCGCCGTAGGAGTTGAGCACGACTCGGGCGGGCCGAACAAAGCTGCCCCCCGGGATTCCGAACGACAACTTGGTCAATGATGCCGGCAGCTTGTAAAAGTCCGGTAGCGGTCTAGTGCGTAAGCTGGAAGGGAAATAGATACGTATGGGAGGAGAGGCGGAGGGAGGGGCTATTTGATGCTAATTAACGTAATAGTAGGAAGTGGGAGGCAGCTGTTTTATGCGACATCTCCTAAAAGGTTGACTGGTAAAAAGTTTTGAACCATGACGACGATACGGAGTACGATAAGATAGGTAAGCCACCTACCTTGAGTGGTATAGGTACTTACCTATTCAGATAATTAAGTATAGGTAGGTACCTAACCTGGGTACCTCTGCTAGGTACGATACCCAAGGTACATGCTTAGGCCAAGGTAAGTACTTGCCTGAGGTACCTACTTCTTGCTGACATCCATACCTTAGGAAATACCTATAGAAGAGATAGGGGGAGTTTGCAGTTGAAACTTCGGTGCTTCGGCGCCTAGCCTTGCTTTGTGTTCTCGCTAACTCAGCCCTATCGCCACCTCACTTTTTGCAGTGCCAGTTCGTCCGATCCTCACCACAGCCGGGGCGCCGACAACCCCCCCCCCCCCCCCTACCCATCACCGTGTTTCTCATTTCTCGTTGGAGCTGCTTGTGGTTGGCACTCTCTCTAACTAAGCAACCTCGAATCCACACGTACAACGCCCTGAACAACACATCCCATCTATCGACGACCACAGGTGCTCAAGACCCAACCCCAGGCTTGACATCTTGCGTCGCTATGCACTCTCCACAACCGCCAATATCCCAATGTCCGCCAACAGCATCCCTAATGGCAGCTCCTCGGCCCCAGCAGCCCGTAAAACTCCCAATAAGCTGAACCCGAGCGCCGGCTCTCCGTTCATCCGCGATGCCTCGACTCTTTCCGACATCCGCGCCGCCCTGACTGCTCTGCATGAGCGCGAGGCCGCGATAACGACCCGCCTCGATGCGCTCCTCTCTTCGCAGACAGATTTATCCCGAGAGTTGGGCCGACTCGACCTGCTCCGCGCGAATCTCGGCTCCCAGGTCATCGCAACCCGGTCCATTAGCAATGGCATGCTATTCTCAGCCGCCGACACTGCGGGGCGGCTCTCCAGCCGGGTTAAGGAGCTCGACCTAGAGAAAGACAGGGTGCAACAGACCCTGAAGGTCGTCGAGCAAGTGGCAGAGCTCAAGGCCTGCGTCCATGGCGTTGTCGGCAGCATGGGCGCCCCGCAAGACTGGGAGGCGGCCGCGGGCTACATCTCCCGCGTAAGTAAGGTACCCGAGTCCATTATACGCGGCGGCTTCGCTGCCGCAATTGTACCCAGCGTCGAGGTGCCTGATGCACCCTGGGTGACGCTCGAGGAGGCAAAGGAAAGCTTGTGCGGGCTTTTTCTACGCGAGTTCGAAAAAGCAGCAAAGGAGAGCGACGATGCCAAGGTGACGAGATTCTTTAAGCTGTTCCCCCTCATAGGTAGAGCCGATGTTGGGTTGGATGTATATGGGAGTTACGTGTGCCAGGGCGTTGCGGGCACAGCCAGAGCCACCCTCAAAGAAGGACCCGGCGGTACCGGGAAGAAGGACGGCTTCTTCTATGCTAGCGCTCTTACGAAGCTCTTCGAGCACATCGCTCGGATTGTCGAAGGCCATGGTGGGCTTGTAGAAAGGCATTACGGGGGGGGCAAGATGATCAAGGTCATAGAGAGGCTCCAAATGGAGGCTGACGTGCAGGGTGGCATCATTCTAGACTCGTGGAGCGACGAAAGGGACGTTGACACGAAGCTCAGAGATGCGAAGAGTTATCCGTTTTCTTTCCTGGTGCAGAGTTTCCTGCCACCGCAGAGATCGCTCACCGGTACACCGCGCGTGAATTCGCCCGCGGCGGGGAGCGGAACCAATGCTCGGAATAGCGAGGAGGAAGGCGTCAACATGAAAGAAGTGGACGGGTTGCTCAACGAGATCTCCATCATGCTCGGCCGGTGGTCCTTGTATTCGAGATTCCTTGCTGGTAAATGCCAGGTGAGAGAAAAAGAGCCGGCGCGTCCAGTCAATCTCAAAGTTATGTGCAACTAAGTCGTCTTAGAAGCCCGACACCCCTGATGGAGCCCCTCTGTCAATACCGGAGGTTGTAACGAAATCCAATCTCAGCCGAAAGGTCTCAGCGAAACTCGTATCGCCTTACAATTTTCTCGCCACCTTTTTCTTCAGGAGGTCGGTCGAAAAGGCGTTTCAGCTCGACGAGTCGCCTGCGGGCCTCTCCCTAAACCTCAGCAAGCCCATCGACGGAAATGCGCCATACATTATCTCAGCCGTCGATGATGTGATGTATATCGTCAGTACAATTGTACAGAAAGCTTTGTCGACGTCACAACGCGACGTGGCGGCCTCGGTTATCCCAGACGTTGGGAGAGTATTAGGGGCGGACTTCGTGGGAATGGTGCAACGAAAGATGCGAGATGAATCCTATCCGAAACCGGCCGCACAAGGGGGTCTCCCGCCAGAAGACAAGGTTGTCGCTTTCATTGTGCTTATCAACAGCCTTGATGTCGCAAACGACTACTTAGCCCGTATCATCTCAGCACAGCTGGGCAACTCGGCCGATCAACCTGACGGGACATCCCCCCAGCACCCTCTTACCGCATCCTTTCCGTTTGAACATGACGTCGCGTTCATCGCCTCGGCGCTCAACACTCTGAATACTACCTTCTCCATGAAGACGACGGAGCTCATATCCGACGCCCTACAGGTTCTCTTCGCCAATGTTATCAAGCAACGACTAAAACCGGTGCTTTCCGATGCCTTCCGCGATGCAGATTATTGGCGCTCCGAGGAAGAACTAGCGGAAATAGCGCGGCAGAATGACGAAGACGCAGACGAGGTGACGGACCGCGTCCAGCGTAGATTCGAACACGGATGGGATACACTGATGAAGCCCGTCGCTCGGCTAATGACGCCCAAGACATTCGCCGCTCTTATTGATAAAACCGCGGCTGACCTGTCCAAGGTCCTGGAGAAGAGGGTTTGGAGCTACAGCGGGAAGACGAGCGCATACGGTTCTATCCGGATGGAGCGAGATTTTTCGGGCATTGTTAGCACGGTTGCGAGAGGCAACTACTCTGTGAGGGAACTCTTCGCCAGGATAACGCAGATACTCATGGTTGCCAACATGGAGGAAGAGGAGTGGGAAGAACTAGGTGGTGAAAGTGACGAGGACGATATCCAGTGGGTGCTCAACGAGGACGAGAGGCGGAGAGCGAGGAACTTTGTTAAGACGTGATCATGATAAAACGTATATAGGCGTGCGCCCGCCGTAGATCTGATATCTATACATAGGCACGTGTACTAGGTACAACCGGCGTGGGCGCTGCTAACGCCGACGAGAGTAGATAGAGTAGTACTTATACCTAGCCTTGCTGCCCTCCCCAAAAAGGCATACGAGCAGCATGTTATTCAGAGATATTCCAGGTGGCAAGCTACACATTAAACCACAACCCGGGATAAGGGTAGAAGAATTCTGAACGGCATCGTCGAAGCCGATTACATAATGTGAGTACCTGGGTACATCTAGGAGAGTTCTAGTGCCTGTGGCTGCCGGCTGTCGCCCGCTGGGAAAGCCGGTCCAATCCATTCTACCTACTGAAAACCAAAGTGGTAGGTAGGTTGCTTGAAACGTCACTCAACACTTTTCAACACCAGAAGGTATTTCAAGCATACCTATACCACATCTTATCATCGACCTAGTCTCGGCCTGAAAGTTCTCTTGCGCTCGCCGTACGACATCGATATCATGGCGACCTTACATTTCGGCCTCCTTGAGGAGCGCGAAGAGAATGAGCTGCACAAATCTCGCCTCCTCAACGTTGAGGAAAAGCCTTTCAAGCGCCTAACCAAACGCCTCGTCACCCCTGGCGCCTTCACCTCCCCCGGCAAGCTGCCTACACCTCCCCCGGGCAGCAGCACCGTCGACAACCACGAGACACCCGCCGCGGCGCCGTCGGCAGCCGACATCAATACGCTCAAAGAGGACATCATCCTCGACTTCGAGGCATTCGACGCTCAGATCCTACGGCTACAATTCCTCGGCACTGCAAACGCGTCGGAGCGGGAGCGATACGCAGCGGACCGGGTGCGTATCCTGGAGACGATGGAGGCGGTGCGGGAGGGCAACGCGCTGCTCCGGACGCGTTTGGAAGGGGCACGCGCCATGCTCGCGCAGCGCCGGAAGTTCGACGAGCTCGCCGATCGCATCACGGGCAACCGCCTACTACGCCCACGCGCCGAACAGCACGCCAACCTCGCCAAGCTGGCCCAGGAGTGCGAAGATCTGCACCGCGAGAGCGAGACGTACGGCGAAACCTGGCGTGAGCGCCGAGAGCAGTTTGAGCGCCTCGTGGAAGAGGGCAAACGTCTCCGCGCCCTCATCCGTGATGAGAAGGAAGAGGTGGAACGCCGCGAGGGTATGGATTCGGACGGCGAGGACGGCGAGACTCCGGGCAAGGGCGGGTCTGCTAGTGGCAACGCCACCCCTCACCCCGAGAGCGGCGCCGTTTCTTTCACCAAGAGCGACGGGGGAAATATGACACCGCGGCCTGGCAGTAGGGATGGGAGAACCCCGAGACCGGGTAGTCCGAACGGTACGGCTACGACTACGGCGGGCGGACTGAAGCCGAAGCCGGAAACCAGCGGGACTTTCTCCCGAGCCGGAAGCCAGCAGCTAAGAGACGAGGAGGAGGAGCCGGAGGAGGGTGAAGATGTCGAGATGGGCGAGTCATCAACACAGCATCAAGGGCGACAACAGGCGGATACGCCGATGAGGGAGAATGCGCCACATGAGACGCCACAGGTCACGATTAACGCGCCCGATGACCACGGTGACCAAATGGACACGACATAAGAGGGAATCGATGGCTTATAGACGAACTACATAGGGCGGGAAGGAGGGGAAGCCAGGGTGCAGCCCGCACCCTGGCGGGGCAGAGCATATAGAATAGAGAATCGCACGCCGGACAGAAGGAAATGAATCAATTACGTCCAAGTTTTGGCGGGTTTCCTCTCCTCCTCTAGGTAGGTAGAGGCGGAGTGGTGTATGTAAGGGTATTATTCTTCCGGTGTTTGCTTCCCAGTAGTAAATACGGTATCATCGCATTAATTCCTCGTCCTTTGGCGACGTCCTACACCTGCCTCCGGGACGCCCCACAGCAGCACATGTGCCCGCCGTCAACCACCTCCCCAGTTGCCCATGGCATTCGTTATCTCAGGTAGCCGGCGCTTCTACGCCCTTCCCCAGCTCCAGGGAGTCCTTCGCGGCCTTGATCTCGTCGGGCGGCGCCCCCTCGCTCTCGGCGGCAGCGATCTGCTCTTCCAGGCGCTGGACCGCCTCGACTATGCGCTTTCTCAAGGGGGCGAAGACGGCCTTGGTTTCTTCCAGGGCTTTTTGCTATATGTAGGGGCGTAGGAGACGAACAGGTCAGCATACGCAGGCAAGCAACCTCCTCGGGCTTCTCCCCCCCGCTCCCCCCCTCTTCCTCCTCCTCCAAGCTCTCCCATCTGACTACTCCACGAGAGAAGAAAAATTAAAGATACCTCTGCCGACCCGGGAGGTGCGAGAAGGGCGGCAGAGGAGGGGGACATACCTCCTGCTTAAGCACGAAGCTAGCGTTGCCGTCGGTAGATTCCTTGAGCTCGGCTTCGAGCTTCTCGACGCGCTCGGATTGCTGGGCGAGTTCCTTGCGGTAGTAGCCATCCTCCTTCACGAGCCGCTGCACGGACTGCGTCGCGATGACGAGGGGGCCCGGGGCAGGCATGGTGTCTCGTTCGCCCTCGTAGGTAGGCAGGGGTATTTTCGCAAGGTAGACGCGTATCCTGAAATCGGGGTGCAGTAGAGGGCTGAGAATTGTTTAGGATCGGTTGACCAGCGGTTAGTGCAGGAAAGTCAGAGGGACGGTACTTGGTGGGAGTGTTTACTTGGGTGAACGTAGGCGTGTATACATAAAAAGCTACCGGTATGCGTTTTAGCAAGGCTCGCTCACGTTGCTTCGTAATTACTTAATTATCTAAGGGCATACGAAACGGTATAAGCTAAACCTAACTACTAATCTATTAAAAGGAGATCTAAGTCCTAGAACTACGAAATAACAAGCTTTTATAAGGCTCGATTTATAGGTAAATTGTAGCTTTCTTTTAGGTAAATAAGTAAGCCTCCTTTTAGGTAAATAGGTAATCGTTATAAGAGCCTTTAACTATAAATAAGCGTCATGTGACAAGGGTCCTTATCTTATCATATCGTTATCGTGGCCTGGGCCATCGCGGGGTCCACCGCCCGCCAATTTCCATCTTGAGTACTCACTCCCTGGTCACTCACCTGCTTACCTATCCAACGTAACCTAACCCAGCCTCGACACCGAACCCATCCCACTCGTCCATCCATCCGTCCATCCATCCCGCTAGCCAGCCAGCCATTGGCATCGCAGCTTGTCCGTAGCCCAAGCCGAGGACAACCGCTGCCAGCTCTGCCGACTCCGTACCTATAAAACGTCCTCCCCTCCTGCTCCTACGCCCCTCGCCCCCTCCCTCCCTCCCTCCCTCCTCGCGATGCTGCTGCCGCCCGTGGATGAGGCCGTATTCGAGAACAACCCCGAGTTCGCGCGCCTGTACAAGACCCTCACCGGCTCCCTCCTCAACCCCGACGGGTCGACCAAGAGCGGCGGCCCGGCCGCGAAGAAGCGCGATGCCGTGCGCCAGGTGCGTTTTGCCCGCAACCCTAGCTAGCTGCCCGTGTTAGCACCCGTCGTATTCGGGGATGGAACGCTCACACGGCCATCCCTCCGTCGGCTGCGAGATCCTCCCCTTTCCCCCCCCCTATCCCTCTTCCTCTTAACCTCACTTACCTCCTTACGTACCTACCTATACCTACTTGATTGCTTGACCGCCCGCTCACGCGCCCCGCCCCACAGGAACTCAAGGCACACCGCCTTAAGGCGGCCAAGCAGCAGCTCCTACGGCGAGCCGTAGAAGCCGCGGCGGCCCCTGAACCGACCGACGCCACATCCAGCACCTCCTACTCCTCTCTCGCATCCGAGCAGCCCCACCGGCCCCAGCGGCGACCCGCGAGACCCAGGCCGCAGCCCTCCATCGTCACCACGGCGGCGCCGCCGCCCCCGGAGATCCTCGAGCTGCTCCTCCTGCTCCCGCCCTTCCTCGCCGAGGCCCACACCCTGACCCCCGCCGCCCTCGCCCTCCTGCTCTCGCGCCCGCCCTTCTCCGACCTCGGAACCCGTCTGCCGTCCCTCGCCGCCGCCGTCTCCGCCGTCCTCGCCCGCCAGGCCGCCGGCCTCGCCCGCGTCGCGCACCCGCACACCAACCCGTCGTACGTGCACCGGTCGATCCCGGGGCTGCCCGCCGCCGCGTCGTCGCTCCGCGAGGCCACCGCCGACGCCGCCCGCGCCCTGTCCGCCGCCCGGCTCCGCGCCGCCCACGACCTGGCCGCGCAGCTGCTGCGCCCCCGCGCGCGCGCCGCCGGCCTCCTCGTCCGCCTGCTCGAGGCCAAGCACGGCCCCGCCGCCCGCTCGGCCGAGCTGCGCGCCGCCGACGCCGCCCTCGACGCCCGCGCCTGGGCCGCCGCCGCCGAGGCCCGCCTCTGGGAGGCCCGCCTCGCCGTCTACCCGCCCGAGGCGCGCCGCGCCCTCACCAACTACCGCCGCCACCTCGCGGGCGCCCGCATGCGCCTCAGCGACGCGATACGCACGCGCGAGGCCGAGCTCGCCGACTACGGCGTCGCGGTGCCGACGGCGCTGCGACGCGGCTCGGAAGAAGACAGGGACGACGGGGGCAAGGGAAATGGGGGAGGAGAGGCTGTCGTCGGGCTGGGCATCATGGAGGGGCGCGGAGACGAAGCCAAGGAGCGGACGATGCGCGAGATGGCGAGGGTGTGGCGTGAGATGGAGACGCGATTGCAGGAGGTGAGAGGGGATTTGGAGCGGCTGGGGTAGAGCGGATGCGACGAGTAGGTAGGTACTTACCTTACACTCAGGAAATCCACAATACCCAGATGAGAGTCTCCCGTTGTTTTCCACGTGCTATACGATGTGTGTGTATGAAATGCTCTCTCTACGATGGTACAGTTTGTTGCATCCCGAGCACCTGGGGGGGACAACAGATATTGCGTGCTACCACGGGTAAATCCAGCTGGCCATCCGCCGTCCAAATTCAACCCAGACAGAACTCCCCTTACTGGCCCCGTCTCGGCAGATGTGAGCACGTTGGACTAACTGAGAAAACAAACAGAGTGAGAGTACCCGACTGGATCCGTGAAGAAATCACGAGTTAGCGAGTCAAGCCGTTTATTTTATCTACTCATTTATTCGTTCCTTTATCCCGCTATACCGGGTATGGTTTATTCTTCTCTGCCGGCCCCTAAATGGATCTTTAGCATGAAGCGCTATGTCCTCTCCGGCCTAGCATTTGTTTCGACTCTTCGTTCCATACTCGTACAGGCGATGTCCCACCTCAGCCCTTCACCTTATAGATGGCCTCTGCCAGGCGGCCAACGTTGCCGCTGGTGATGCCGGCCACGCTGATACGGCCGTTCTTGGTGGCATAGACGCTGTGCTCCTTGGCCAGCTTATCCATAGAGTCGGGGTCGAGGCCAGTGTAGGCGAACATTCCAATCTGCGAGGTGATGTGGCTCCAGTCGTGGGTGCTTCCGAGTTTCTCGAGATTGCTCCTTAGCAGAGCGCGCATGTTGATGATGCGGTCGGCCATACCCTTCACCTCGCCCAGCCATTGCTGGTACAGATCCGGGCTGTTGAGGATCTCGGCCGCGATTCTCGCGCCGTGCAGCGGCGGGTTCGAGTAGAAGGGTCGGATCAGGATCTTGATCTGCGAGTCGATACGCTTCTTCTCCTCAAGGGACGAGGCTAATATCGAGAAGGCACCCACGCGTTCTCCGTACAGACCCTACGCATTTTTAAAAACGTCGACCACATTAGTCAAACTCATGGCGCACGCCTCTAGTCGCGGATAGAGGTGGTACGGAAAGCTGTGACAAAGAGGAGCATGTCTGTTAACGTACCATGTTCTTGGCAAAGCTTTGCGCCAGGGCAACGCCGTGGCCCTGTTCGACGAAATGCCGCAAGGCAAAGGCGTCCTTATTGGTGTCACCGCTGGCGAAGCCTTGATAGGCCATATCGAAGAAGGGATAGTGGCCCTGGGCCTTGACGACATTGCTGATCTCCTTCCACTGCTCAGGGGTAGGATCGACACCAGTCGGGTTGTGGGCACAGGCGTGGAACAGGAAGATGCTCTCCTTGGGAGCGGCGTTGAGATCGGCGAGCAACCCTTCAAAGTCCAGGCCGATGGTGTTCTTGTTGTAGTAGCGGTACTCCTTGACCTTGAAGCCGGAGTCGCTGAAGACGGCCTTGTGGTTGGCCCACGAAGGGGACGGGATGTAGATGGTCTTAGCGCCGGGGAAGAAGCGGTTCAGGAAGGCGCCACCGATGCGGAGGGCACCGGTTCCGGAGATGGACTGGGTGATGACTACACGCTCGAGGGCTGGAGAGTCATTGCCATAGGCGAGCTTGGCAGCAGCGGTGGTGAATTCGGGGAGGCCGGTGATGCCGAGGTACTCCTTGTTCAGGCGCTTCGCAATGACCTTGTCTTCGGCGGCGCGGACAGAGGGTAGCACGTAGGGCTTGCCCTGGTCATCACGGTAGGCTCCGACACCTATGTGCCGAGGGGGGGGAGGGAGGTTATATGTTAGTGGCTACGACTCACTGCCTGCGGAGCACTCGATCATTGGACGCCGGGGGAACAGAAGATGCGTGGGCGGGGCGGCGACGAGACAAAGAAAGGGCGTCGGAAACCTACCGAGGTTGATCTTCTTCTCGAAGCTGTCGGCCTTGAAGGCTTCGGTGACACCTGGGAGTCGTCAGCAGGGACGATCCCACAGCTGCGTTCTCCTCCGCGCCGGGGGCGGGGAGGGGCGGATATGTATATACCGAGAATGGGCTGGCAAGCAGGGGAGGGAAGGCCTTGTTAGTAAACAAGGCGTCGTTGTCGAGGCACCACGAAACCAGTGTCAGACTTACATCCTAACCACAGAGCCGTCAGTACATGCTATCTCGGACGGGGGACAGGCCAATCCGGCTGGAAACGGCAGCCGGACAACGTACGGGAGGGCCCTGGGGAACGTTGGCCCAGGTAGACCCAGCTCTGACAGCCTGAGCGGCCACGGCCGGCGCTCGACGAGCGGTGACTTGACGGGAGGCGATGCGGAGTGCGGGGAGCATCGTGGCGGCGGGTTGGGTCATGGATGGATAGGGAAGGGGAGGCGGCTGAGTGCAAATAATAAAAAATGAAGGCGGAGAGGACAAGGACGGGGTGAGAGGAGAGAAGATGAGAAAAGAAGGGGAACGGCGAGAGAAGAGGAGAGAGAAGAGGACGACAGCGTCCAACCTGCTTTATCCTGTGCAGGTGTGGATATGGCTTGACTGTCGAGGTGAGGCGGTGGTGGTGGTGGGATGAGTAAATTTCCGACTTGGCTGGGACGGGAGCGGAAAAGGTCGGACGATGTCGGATCCCATTAGTCGTGGAAATCGGCAGCTTCGTCAGGGCACGCGAGTGGGCAGTTGCTCTCGAGCGCCAATTCGCGATGCGATTCCAGGCTGGCCCTTCCCCAGGTTTCTGTGGGAGGCTGCACGCTATAGGTACGTGTGCAAGGGGCAGGCAACCAAATGTGTGCGGAGGTATTCGGGTACCTTCGCGCGGCGCCCTGTCACGCCGGCACTGCTGGCCCCGTCTCATGTACCCGATACCTGCACGCCACCCAGAAGCCAGAGGGCAGTCCAGGTCCTTCCGTCCCCTATTAGCGCGCCAATAGGTGCGCCTACTCACCTACTTGTACTGCAGAGACCTCGGTGTCAGCATGTAGATAGATACCTAGGTAGGTACCTATCTACCTCCCAATGCAGGGTTTTCTGTAGGTACCTTGAAGTTCCCTGAATGTACCTACTATACCTAGGTACCTCCTACCTGTATTGCACTTGCTCCAAGCCAGGGTATAGGCGGAGGTAAGGATATGTACACGTACTATAGGTAGGTACCTAATCCAATCTCTAACCTGCATAACTGCAGTGTATGTATTATATGCAATATGCAGGTAGGCCGATCGGACGAGGATCGGACTCAACGCACTCTTGATTCTCCAACTACTCATAATACAGGTATTCTCCCCTTCCCTCGCCTCGAATTGCCTACCTAGGCAAGTCATCGCCGCCATGCCCCTAACCCATGCTACGCCATGCCGCGCCACGACCCTCCATCTGCCCTTCATCATCGTGCCTATTAGATATGTATACCATGCCTCATCTGCTCCGATCAGATCTGGTGGCCCTCCTGGCTGTTCCCGGGAGACATGCACGGAGATCCGCCCATGGGTGCGCCTCTCCCCGCAGAGCATCATCGACCGCCACATTCCACATGCGCAAGCGTTATTATATAGACACCTATGTAGGTAATACCTATATATACACGCACACGTTCGTCGATAGGTCAATTGCGCACGGCTGCATCGAATCACGGAATCTCATCGAGGCCGCCAAGCGTTGGTCCCTCATTCATTTCTCCATTTCTTCGTTTCGTCTCATCCCGTTGCGTTACATCATCGTCGTTGCTCGTGAGCGACATGATCGCCTTCTTCTCCCGCGGCGCTGCTCAATGCCCATCCCTTTCCATAGTATGGGTTTGAGTCGTCGACCGCATGGAGCCCTTCCTAATCTACCCTGGGTCAGGCAGTTCTCGGGCCCGCGGTACGATGCCAGCCTCGAGACCGGCGACGGGGCATGCCGCCATCACTTCCTAACCGCCGGTGGTCTCTCTACGAGACCTAGCTGCTGGCTGTCGGACAGGACCACCCTACCCCCGGGCAGCAGGTGTTATTCCTATATATGCCTGCCTGGGTTGTTTCCCAACCCTCCGGCGGATTCGGGGAGGAGTGGTATTCGTTACTATTCCATCATGCCGTGGTTGTTTCAGGGCGGTCTGGCGACGCTATCGGCGCCCCGCTCGTCTCCCGTATTCGGTCGGTTCTCCTTCGCGGCCGAGCCACGATCGTTCTCATTCGCTTCCTCGTCGCGGCTTTCTATACTTCGCCGCCCAATGTCCGATGTCGCCTCGCCTACTATCGAGCTGGTTTCGCTGAAGAAGGTGTATCGTTCAGAATGCCCCGGCGGCAGCGGCCACATCCGGCTATCCCAAACATCCCCGCCGATCGAGGAGCGGGGGGCGATCGAGGGTGCTGCCGTCTCCCCCCATATCGAGCTGTGTTGCGAATCCGCCACCGAATCGACCGATTTTCTAGACTCGACGCCGACATCTCGCGGTGTCGGGTAGATCGTGCTGTCCGGTGATGCGGTTAACTCCCGCTTCTTCTGTTGCTCCAAGTCGAATTGTTGTTCCAATTCGGCCTTCCGCCTCCGCACGATGCAACAGCGCACCCCTATAGCCAGACCGACGAGGAATATGACTGCTAGTGCGATAGACACGGCAATAGCCGCCACATTGACCGGGTTAGGACTGGCCCGAGGCGCCGGCGCATCGGGTTGTGTTGTAGAGCCTTGGGCTTCTTCGAAGCCTGTGCTGTCTACTGTCGACATTTCGTCTTGCACGATGGTGCTAAGCTCGCGACACCCAGACTTGGACCTAGTCGACGCCCTGACGGATGGGTGTAGGAAGCAGCGAGGATCAAAGGGGATAAGAAATTCGCTTCCGAGGTTGTATGGGATGCGAGACTTGCGATCTCCATAGACGTGAAAATGCTCTAAATCGGCGCAGCGCCCAAAGTTTCCAGGGATCCTCAGATTGGTAGAGCCTGTTGCGAGCGTAAATGGCTGGCGAGTTGCGGTCGAAGGAATCGATATAGGCGATATCGCACAACTGGTTGTTGAACCGAGTAGCCGTTGGTGCTGAGTATCGGCTTCTCGCAGACCTCGAGTGTGGTCTACGTATCGCGAGTCGTCAGGAAAATCTAGAAAATCGGCCTTCGAGGCAACTCACTCTTTCATAGGGCGGGCCGGAACCAACAATACGGAATTAGAGGGGTGGGAAAGGAGGAGGCGAAGGGTGGCTGAACACCACGTGGTAAGAGATGCCTTCTCCCTCTCCTGACGGCAACGGTCGCGACAACTATTCTAAGAAGCCGGAAGGATGGCAGTGTGTGGCAGACTAGAGTATGACACGACCCAAACAGGAATGCAGGTTTGTCGTAGAGTTCATGCGTAGTAATGAAGGATCCGGCGGGAAGGATGAAGTATCGATCGCCTCGAGATCGGTCCGCATCTAGCAGGCCAGGATGAGAGGAGAGGATTCAGGACACTACGGATCGCACGAGCCCAGGCAAGCCCAGGCAGACCCAGGAGCGATTCGGCGGCGATGGGGGCTGCTTATCTATCTAGCTCTGCCCGCCTTAGTCGGTGCCGCTGCCGAACCCCTCGAGCGAGACGGTGCGCCATCTTGTCTTGACCCAAGGGCCAGACTCTCCAACCGACCTCATAAGCAGCGAAGCCTCGACCGGTGCGGGAGTACAGGAACCCAAATACCGCGATTGGCACAGTTGCGCTGCCGTAAGATGGATGGAAATAATATCACCTACATTATATGTGCATAATAGGGGAAAGGGAACGGGACACGGAACGGGGAGGGTGGAGGAGATTGATCTTCCACCCTCTTCACCCTCTACACGGCACGCTCGGGGCGACTGGACGAGAGATCAAGCATTCGCCATGTGGCTGCCGATTTCAGAGGCCTCGCTGCAACGCACCCTCTAGCATTTTGCGACCCTACGCGAGAGGAGCACGACGAGGTGCGCCGTGTCGTCCTAAAAAAAGCCCAGCCAGGATTCGCCGTGGGGACACAGAAACTCCCATGAGGAATTAGAGGGGTAAGCAGGCCCGTACGGTAGAGCGCCCCAATGTAACCCATCTGCCCACGTCTTCTTATGTATTCCCTACAATCCCTCCCCTACCCTCTCCCCTCTCCTCTCCCCTTCATGTTAGCGACGTGTAAAGGGTAAAGACATCAGAGTTATTACTCAGCTGACCGACGCCGGGCGACGCAGGCAGGCAGGTAGGCAATCCGATAGCGGGAAGAGGAGCGGTGCCTATTCGGAAAGACAGGTAACATCGCGAGGTGAGTTAGTCACTAAGGCCGAACAGGCATACACCTATCACCTACAGAGGTCTGCTTCGACCCGAAGGATTCACCGAAGCGACCCCAAACTTCGCTCAGCTTGCTGCCGTCCTGTCCAGCCCGTGTGTATCTGTTCGCCGCTGCGCTGCGGGGGCCGCTGCCGGTCACATCGTGAGCCTTGCACGGCGTAATTGGCGATACCACGTATTGGCATTTTACTGGTGCTAATAGGGGGCGGTGGCTCGGAGAGGTAGGCCACCCGCCAGCCGCGTATTTATCGATTCTCACGGCTACTACGGCTACTACGTCTTGTCTTTCCTTTTTCCATTTCTTTTTATAGGCGAACAGCTGTAGGTGGCAGGGCCAGGCCCTACTCACCGGCATCCGAGACACGCAGAAGGCCTCCGGGAGGCCGGAGAACTGCCGAGTTTACGATGTCGAATCCCCAGAATGTGTAACCTGCCTGCCTGCCGTCTGCCACAGCTATAAGCGGTAGATAGACGTGACCTCACGTCCAGCTTGATACCATGAGCTCGAGGCCAGCCGACTGGGAGAGATCGAGGCACCCAGGCTCCCCCCCAGCCCAGATTCTGCATCGCAGCCATCGAGCTCGTTACCTAGCATCCTCGACATTCCTAATAGGGATGGTGGCCGACCAAATCGCTAGATGCGACCCCACCCCCTCTTCTAGGAGAGGCTGTGGGCGTGGTTCGGGTAGCCTCAGTAAAGATGGTTCAGGAGAGGCCGGCGGTGGTGCGGTCCAGCTGCGTAGTAAGCCGGTGATTATAAATAATATACCTAGGTAGGCAGGCAGGCATACCATACTCAAGAGGACGGCCATCGCCATCTGCATTCGGTAAGGCACCGATACGATAGGACTTCGCCTAAACTGCTTCCAGAACGGTGGCCTGGTCCGCCATTATAACCGTAACCTGGAGAAATCGTCACGACATGTCAACTGCCGCCCCGGGGTCGTGGCCCTAGCGGAGACGGAATCTCTTGCGTATTGCCAATATCTGCCGATTGAGCCTCAACCCAGTCCGGGTAGTTCGGACGGCGCAGTTGAAACTCCAAGAGCACTGTAGCCGTCTCGGGTTCATTAAACCGCCCAGGACCACCAGCAGATGGGTAACATTATATGCCTCTATTTCGATTGTCGTCCCATTATCTAGCCTCTATGCTCTCCCATACTAACTGCTACCAAGATATTAGGTCGGAAACACGTCTCATGTTACTCGTTGCCATTTCGTATATTAAACGGAGTAAAAATAGTAGTTGTTGCCCGAACATAATAATAGGTAATACTCCCACAATTTCCCGTCATTGCTGCTCCAATACAACTCTTCGTATATTACTTACTCCAGGAGGTGTGATAGTCTAAGCGGAGAGCATGCGGTTGTAATTTGAGGCGAGACATTCGACTATTGCACGTTGTATGGATGTTACCGCGGAGGGCTGACCCGATTCCTGTTCGGCTCTACGGCTAATCTTACGAGTATTGTAGTGAGTAGCCTTGTGAAAGAATGAATTAATATCGTGCTTCCCGAGAAACCGTAATGGAAAGGCAGAAATAAGGGCGACAAAGCCCGCCGTATCGCCGTGCTTTTCTAGGTTAATATGCATAGTATTCCTTTGGCTTACACTACCATGGACATTTCTAGTTGTCCATTGATTTTGTTCCGATTGGTATACAACTCAACCCTCAGAGCGGTGTTAGGCTTTAGCATGTAGGTATGATACAAGAGCTTACGCCGTCGGCCCCCACGCTCCGCCCCCTTCTCCTGGGCTCCCTACTCACTACATACTCTCCCAGGGCATTGACGTGTCCCTTCGAGGACCCCTAGATCTGGGCTGACGATAGATATTGAACCCGAGGGGAGCCACGCGTTTCGTTGTCTTGTGGGCTCCCTCTTTCTAGCCTTCCGAAACCCCTGAAAGGCGAACGAATCATACATGCGTTCAAGAGGGCGCCGGCGACTTAACTTTACGGAGAAGGCAATCCCTTACCTCGGCCCCACAAAGCGAGCTGTTCGTCCCCGGCATCACTTCTCCAACCATCTCAAGGACATTTGCCCAAGTCGAGCCACCACGACCCCCAGGGCAGCAACCCTTCCCCGAGAGTCCCACCGAAGAGTAGCCGCCAGGTATCGCCTCAAGTCACCTCATGCTTCATACTCTGTCCAGACAAACACAAGGACAAAAGCCGCGATCCACTCTCGTAGGCGGAGCCGCGACATACGCACGCCGGAAACGCCGAACGGAGCCCGACTTGTAGTTGTCCGCCACCGACACGCAGATCTTCACCTGGTGTGCATGATAATATCTGAGCTACCACGATTCTTCATCGCGAGGCTCGCTCGACTAGGCTCGGGGTCTGTCCACCCAGTGTGGTATCTAAGCATATAAAATGACCAGGCTAAAAATAACCGGGTCATACCACTTCTGGAGAAATCGTTGGGCCTCCGGATGAGTTGGTATAAGTCCTATTGGGAGTTGACAGCTTCAGAAGTGCCGTCTAGCCAGTGAGCGGTTTTATTCCCCCTTACCACGTCCCTCGATGCCTCTCGCCGAGCCGCCACCTTCCGACCAGTTCGGGGATCGACATAGGAACTAGACAGGAACCCCGGTCTCTGATTTTGATATCTTCGCGTGAGAACCTACTCCGAACCGTCAGGCAAGATCGTCCTGCATGAGACACCTGTCAGATATATCGTATGTCGCAGATTGCATGCGGCCTCCGGGAGGCGCTGCCCAGACAGACGGCACCGAATCCTTCGCGAGGGAGGGGGGCTGACGGCATAAGGAGGACTATGGTGAATTCGAGGGTGTTGCGGTGAGATGAGACCAGTTGTCACGACTAGGGTCCCATCTCTCCGAACCGGCCGAGGATCTGGTTGGGCGTGTGTGCTGAGCTGAAGATGATCCATCTCCTCGGCCTCGGGGTCGCATCGGCCTGACGACGACAAGAACCGTGATATCGGGCCTCCCAGACATGTGAACAACAACAAAACAATGGGAAGGGGGGGAGGGAGCCCGCAAGTCGCTGAGCATCTCGCCACAGCGCGTTTATGACCGATCACATCCCGCTAGAGAAACCTGGCCGGGCCTAGTGGGATGAGCACGCAACCGAGGAAGGGCAAGATCTTCGGGGCGGCAGGCGGCAGCCCTAGGCGAGGCCCCAATCTCGATAAACGATCTGAGATGTGACGAGCCAATCTCCTGGGAGTCCAGGCCAGACGCCGCGCCTCGAGCCGGCATACCGTCACATCCCCTCGTCATCAGGGTCGAGTCCCCCGAGAGCGAGGGCCCCCCCCTCTCCCTAGGGCGGGTTCGCTGCCCGCGTCTTAGATGGACGACACGAGTATAAATAGCAGGCACTATCATGGCCCTGAAACGTGGTGCGAGGGGATATATCACGACTCTCGAGGGCCGTGGGCAAGCGAGACCTGAGCGACAAAACCACACACGCACCGCAGTCGTATAATACTAAGAAATGGGTCAGCGAAGAGAAGTACGTCTGCCCTAGCAGCAGCCCCCCTTGGGCCCCGCCACTAACCGACCGTCAGCACCAGGGCGAACGACGCGCCGGCAGCGGCACAGAGCGGCGTAGCCACCAGTCTCCCGCCCGCGCCCCCGGGCCCGACAACACACCGCCGGGGCCTGGCAACCAGCAGGCCTACCCAAGCACGACCCCTATGCGTCCTCCCGCGGACGCCTCGTCCAGGGGCGGGAGCGCCAGCGCCAGCCCCTGGCCTCTCGGCCCGCTCGAGACCTACTACGCCCCGCCGGCCCGAGGCGGGGGCATCCCCAGCGCAGCGACGACGGACGACGCCGGCGCCTTCTCCTACCCCCCGACGCCCCTCGCGACCGCCACGACAGCCTACGAGCCCCTGGCGGCAGCATCCCCGCGCGGCGACCCGTACTCGCTCGGGCGCTGGCGGGCCGAGTCCCTGCGCGACGGGCCGCTGCGCGTGGTGCCCGAGTTTTGCGGCGGCGACGGCGGGGGCGGGGCCGGGGCCACCGACAACGAGCGCGAGCAGCTTAGCGACACCGGGGCGACGGGATCGAGGACGCCAGAGGGGTGGCGGTAAGGTTGGTTAGCTGTGGCGTTTTGTGCCGGGGGGATGTTGTGTTGCGCACGGGTCTGAGGGGTACAAAAAGGGGGAGGCGTGTGTCATTGTGGTGAGGGTATGCGACATCCAAGTAGAGATAGCTACAGAAGACACAAACCCAGTTTTTATCAATATATTATATTTTCATTTGGTTAATAGCGTCTTTCTAGTCGTGATCAGTAGTACTCATTTTGAACCTTTCTATGCCGCAAAGCTGCTATTTATCCGACACTTGATTCTAGGCCTCGACATGCCGATCCTCCTGGGCCGACTCGTTACCAGGGCCCGACCGCAGTATGCCACCATGCCATTCCTTCGACTTGGAAGGACGAACGTGGGACACGTACATGGTGTCGATCTCCTCGAGGGTGCGGTCCTTAGTCTCGATGACGAAGAAGTACACGATAAATACGAGGGCCACACAACACCCGCCGAAAACGAGCCCGTAGAAGTAGTGGATGGAGTCGGTGATGAACCGCGTGAAGAAGGAGATCATGCTACACATTTAGGTTTACCATCTGGTTAGCACACCGACACACATAACGTCAAGTATATATATATATAGCAGCAGAATACATCGGTTGGTAAGGAAGCGACGTGCACTCACAAGTTCCAGAACCAGTTCGCTGCCGTCGCTAATGACATGCACGGAGCCCGATACCGCGAAGGGTAGAGCTCGGCCACCACGGCCCACACGAGGGGGCCCCAGGTGATGGCGAACGCGGCGATGGCCAGGCAGGAGAACACGACGAGAACCGTGCCGGCTTGCGGGGTGTTCATGGGGTTGGACGAATCTAGAGCGTACTGTCCGACGAAAGCGTAGATGCTGTCACGATGGCCATAACGGGTCAGCCTTGGGGCGGAAAAACGCAGGATAGCAGGAAAATCTCACGAACGAACTAGAAAGGGAAGGGGTGGGGGATCGCTAACAAGAAGCACACCGCCATGCTGGCGGCGCCGACGATGAGCGCCTTTCGGCGACTGACGCGACGCACGATGTAGAGGGCAATGAACGTGGCGGCGACATTGACGGTACCGAGTATAATCTGGGTGACGTAGCTGTTGCTGAGCCCGGTAGACTTGAAGACGGTCGTGCCGTAGTAGAAGAAGAAGTTGGCGCCGGTAAGTTGTTGGCCGCTCTGGAGGACGATGCCGAGAAGGGTGCGATACAGCATGCGGGGACCCGTGAATATCTCGAACCAGTGCGCCTTGCCTGCACTGCAGTCCTCCTCAAGCTTGGCGCGTATCTGGGCGACCTCATCGTCAACGCTGGGGTGACGGGGCTCAACGCCGGCGAGGCGGGCTAGGGTGCAGCGTGCCTCGTCCTTGCGGCCGCGCCGGTACGCATGGCGGGGGCTCTCGGGCAGGGCGAGGATGCCGATGCCGAGGATCAGAGACCAGAGGAAGCCGAGGCCGTTGGGGATGCGCCATGATGCGCTCGACGTCCTGCCGACGGTGCCCCAGTCTACCATGTAGCTCGTCCAGATGCCGAGGGTGACGAAGAGCTGGTACATCGACACGACAAGGCCACGGATCACGGCCGGGCTGCTCTCGGATTGGTACATGGGCACCAGAACGGACAAGGCGCCGATGGAGCAGCCGGTGACGAGGCGGCCGACAGCGAACTGGGCCCAGGCCGTCTGCGACGAGATCTCGATGATGTTGCCGACGCAGGCCCAGAGGGCGAACAGCGATATGGCTAGACGCCGGCCCAGCACGTCACCCAGGCTCCCGCTAATCAGGGCGCCGATAAGACACCCGACGGGGAGTAGGCCGACGATGGCCCCCTGCCTCGCGGCACTGAATACGTACTGGCCGTCTGGGTCCATCTGCCCAAAGCGCCGGGCAAAGTCTGTCATGGAGAAAAAGCCGGATATCTGACCGCTGTAGCGAAGGGGGACGAGAGAGGGGCCGAGTGTCAGCATTACATCAAAGAGTGCGACAGGGTATGGCCTGTGTGATGTGGCGAACGTGACGGGAGTGTAATGCAATAGGATTTCATGTGAGAGAGGGGGGAGGGAGGATAGGTAACCGATTCATCCACTCACTGGCTTACCTCACGTAGCCGAACATGAAGCCGCCTATACTGGAGACAAGGCCGAGAAAGACCGCTATCGGTGTGATTTTCGGCCGTCTCCCCCATGTCGGCGGCACGTCTGAAGAAGGGGTCTGGCGCTCCTGTTTGGCGAGCTCGGCGCTCGTTCCGTTGGGGCTCTCGGAATTTGGTGTTTCCGGTTGGACGTCATGGTTCCTGGGGAAAGACATGATATCGATGAGGGTGGATGAGGTTAAGGAAGAGAGGACTGCAAGCTGCCGGATATGCTTGGTTCATATAAGGATCCCCAGGACCCCGAGTCTCGAGTCCCGCGTCAACTTTATAAACGGATCCATTTCGTCATGACGTCGTTTCCCTTATCGACGTTAACCCTTGCACATGTTAGTCTCCCTCTGCGGCCTCTCCTCCTCTCCGCGCCATCGTATCAGCCCACTGAACTCATGACGCGCCGCGTTGCGCGAGCCATGCCTGTCGGGCTGAACTTTTCTTCTCTCTCGGTCGATCCAGTGCGCCAATGGGACTGCAGACAGGCTACTCACGCCGAGGCCGTCCGTGTATGTATAAATGGGCCCATAGCAGGCTATCCGTAAAGCGCAACTCCGACGCGGTCGGTCCCGCCAGGGCCGCCACACACCAGACTCCGGGTTCGGCGGGGTGGCCATTCTGACGAACGCCGGGTCCCGAGGAGAAAGTGGCCTGGCGAAGGGTGTCGGCAAACTCAGGCGTGGCATTCGTGACATCGTACCGAATACCTGCTGGGCTAGCTACCTACACCTCAGGAGGCGAGATCGCACGACTCGAGACCCGAGGGGGGAGAAATAGTTGCTGAAGGAGTGTGACGGCATTGTCAACGGGACCCATCGACGCCAAGTCGGGAAAATCTCCATTGTTTTGTATTCCCAACGACTCTGCTGACTCCCTGTAAACACATGGCACAAGGCGAGATAGAGGCTGCGTGATTGGATAGCGCAGAGTTGGACGATCGATCAGACATGCCGAACAGTTACCGAGTCGGTCCTGTTGTGGAGAGAGACCGCTTAGGGGCGGCTGCTGCCCTACCACGGCAACGCCGGATAGAAAGGAACAGAAAGGCTAGTCGTCGCCGAGAAAGGTTCATGCGCAGTGTGGGAAAAAAAAAAATGAAAAAAAAACTAAGCCGCTGAAGGAGGGGGGGGGGAGAGGATACAGCAAAATGAAGGTCAGGAGGAGGCGGAAGGGTGGATGACGACTACGAGAGCACACAACGTATCGACTAACTCTGTTCCTACGTATTTTTGCATTGTTGCATAATTGCATCAATCGGGGCACCGGCAGGCAAATAGAGCAACGTGTGTTTCTCATTTTCTCACCCGTCTTTCTGCTGCACCTAAATTCTTTTCCTTTGCTATTATTGTATCCCGTCCATCTCGTTTTGGAGCGCGATATCTACAACGGAATTTCAGTGCCAACGCCGGTACGCGCGTACGTATCGCCTCCCCGCCTCTCAGTCTCCTGATATCGTCGTCGACTCTCCGTGTTTAGAAGACGGGGTGCCCGTGAAGCCGCCCCCCCGTGAAACCGCAAAACCTATCCCCAACGTACGACATTTCTCCCCCCTCGCGTCCATCACCAGGCCCGGCTTTAGCACAAGTAGCCTTCATAACAATGGCGGCAGCTCGCCATTGCGTACTCCGCCCTCCTCCCTCCCAAATTGGTCTGTAATAAGTCGGGCATGTCTACTTTGATCGGATGACTCGGCACGCCTTCTCCGTTGTACCGATGCGCGCCGTCTGTGAGTGGATGGGTGGTTTTTATTGCACAATTTAGCCGGATGGCCGACTGGCCGATGCCGTATGCACCATTCAGTATGGGTCTCTCGTGAGCTCGCTGAACTCGAAAATCGAGGCCTACCGATCCAGTTCCGCCACGGATGAGGCTGAGGGGAATGGTAACGCCATATAGCTGGCCTCTCACGCTCGCCCATTTTCCCATACGAGTAGAAATGCGAAGGCCCCATCCCCGTCCTAATTAACAAAGAAGACAAGGCTGCGTTGCGCAGAACCCCCCCCTCCACCGTCTCGCAGGCGCCTGTACTTAGTACACGATCCAGTCCACCGGCGTGGTCGGAGGGCAGCCCACTTCGATTCGGGCGTCGGCGCCACGCCTCAGGGGAAAATCGAAATCCGCGATTTTTGCCAGGATCCGCTCGTTAGGCCTGGATGTCCTCGCAGGGACGTTGATTTCCTTCAGTACGAACCCCTGCAGATCCACGCCGGCCGAGATGTAGACGGCGTACTTGAGGCTGTCTGTAAACGCCCGGCCCATCCAAGACCGCAACGGCGTCTTGAATTCGGTTAGGTCTATCGGCCCCCCGGCTTCCGGCCCGACGAAGTCGACCTCGAGGTCGGCGACGGCGTCGAAGCTGTTTCTCGAGTCTACCGCGCCCCCGCGCTCCTCCCCGACCTCTTGGCCACTGCCGCCGGGTCTAGCCGAGGTGGCATATATGATCCCCGCGCCGGGAATCCTAACACTACCGTCCGGTTGAAGCGTCCACGTCTTCACCGAAGGGTGCGGTTTCTGCGTGACAAATACGTACGCCTTGTAGAAGAATTTTGTGTCCATGTATACCCACTCCTTCTTCCTCGAGAATAGCAAAATTGTGCCCATAGGTCTCTGTTCGTCCTGGGCGAATTGGAATTCGTTAAAGCTCGCGTACTGGGAGCTGAAGAAGAGGAACCCTTCTTTACCCCTAATCTCTTCTAGGAATCCGTACGCATATCGACCGAGGACGAGCGACTGCTCCTCACCGGGTCTACTGGACAATGTCCTACAGCCCGCAACCTCTCTGTACTAGTTTGTTGCCCCGAGCACCGACATGATCGCCTCCGTTCTACTATCCTGGCAATGTCGGGCGCATGCAGTACTGAGGATGCTGATAGGATGTTGACGTTTGAAGGCTATCATGTTGGTGTCCATCAAAAGGTCGATTAGCCACGCGACCGGCGCCGGGCATGAATCGATGGACATGCAGGAGCTCGCCAGGCTCACCAGCGCATCCAAGGACACAGGGAGGCGGTCGTCAACGGTGAGCACTTCCCAATTCCTATTGACGAAGACCATGTCCGTTCGCATAAATGCCTCCTGGAGCGTCCACAAGGAGGTGAACCAGTTCGTATTGATAGCCTCTGGTATCGCCTCGGATTTGATCCCCTTTCGGTACTCCAAGAAATCCGGGATATGCATCGAATTCAGACGCTCAGTTACGGTGGACAGCTCCTTAGCTATTGACAGATATACACTATCCAGGTCTCCCGGGGTGTATAGCGGGAGGTCTTGGGTCTTTCGCAACCTCGCGAGGACCATCCAACGGATGGAGAGCTGAGCCATCGTCCAGCTTTCCGTGTCATTCTGCCAGGTAACGGCGACAGCAGCGCCTCCGAAGATGGCCGCCTGTCTCGCGATTTCTATCTGTGAACGCTGCGACCTGTCTTGCGGGATGCAGAATAGGTCAACCCACGCATATCGACATTTGCAACGCCGGCAGAGAAGTCGGAGCCCATCCGGGAGGGCCCGGATGTCAAATTTCGTGTTTTCGGGGACGGGCCACGGAACTCGGGGATGCATATCCACTGCGGCACCTTTCACCATCCTAACTGAGTATTAGTCTCGAGGTTTCAGATCTCATCTACTAGCACAGTGGGCGGAGTCTAACCAACGTCCCTAAGTATGGCTCACCACCACGTAGCGTGGCCGAGAGTCTTGCAGTACATTGTTCGTCACGACGGTACGGCCTTGCTGTGAATCCCACAGAAACCACGGCAGGCCTTTTTTCGCTTCGCTGTCGAGCCAGGGGCAGGATTCGACGGACCAACCGACCTCGGCGAAGCCAACCTCTTTTTGAATAAGCTTCTCCAGCGCGAGATAACCGTGGTGCGGATAGTGGTTCTCGAATTGGGCGATGTTGCAGGAGGCGATGCAACCAGTCAAAAATATACGATACGATAGCGCGGCTGCCGCCATGTCTCTCATGCTATGAAGCGCAGTAGCGTTGTTATCGCCGTTGTCGAGCGCACCTGGTTTGGTCTCGCCGTATTCCAAGCTGGTCATTACCTCGTCAAAACTATTTGTCGGTCCAAAGTCGTCGGTTACGATGGATTCCCGGTCTGAATAGTCCACTTCGTCACCATAAAGCAAGCCCCCGTATTGATCAAAGTCCGGACGGCATTTACGCTGGTCTTTGAAGACGATAAGCGCGTCCTCCAGAAATCGAGGATGCCCGTTTCCCGGTAGCGAGTCATCACTGCCTACAGTGGCGGAAGCGCCAGGTCCGGCGAAAAGCTTTGACTTCCACAGCAAGAGAACTCGAAAGGAGTTGATCTGGGCCTCGGAAAGAATCTACAAATACCGGGGCCGCAACTCTTCGTCGAGACAGACTGCGAGCAATTTGTCCCACTGATCCGGTCGTTCGAGCTCGTCTTGCTTCTCGGCGGGTAGCGTCCGGACGAAGGACTCCAACGCATCGCCGAGAGGAATCGTTGTCCAGGCATAATTAGACGACATCGCAAACCACTTTGAGGTTGTATTGCCAACTCAGCAAGCAGACGTAATATCGCAGCACGCCGTGGCTAAGTTGTTAGGAGCAAGAGCGCCACCGTGTCGTTCAATTTTAGGTGAGTGGCACCCCCCCCCCCCATTCTTGATGATCAACTTGACTGTCCTTCTCGCTCTTTCATTAACAGCTCACTGTCAACTACCCGTGCCTTCTTACTGAGGTTACATAGAGACTGTCGCATGATAACGGTAACCAAGTGCTACAGCGCAAGGACGCTCCGATCTACCGTCTTTGCGCCGAGAACCCCATGAACAAATACCGTGCCCCTGCTTTGGGGTTACTGAGTGGCGTCATCTCTCACTTCGAATATCAGCCGAGCGCTGCAAGTCCCACGACAAGGGAGACAGGCGGAGGTGCCGATGTCAGGGTGTCGAGGCCACGTGGATATCGGGTCCGGCCCCGAGCCTGGACCCGGTGATACTAGGCCAGGGCCATAGATATATAAACCTACCCGTACCTGTCACAGGGAACCGCCACGGGTTTTACCAGCGGGGGAGGAGATTGCGGGTAAGAGAGCTTTCTGTGTTGCCGAAGCTGGTCCTGCTTTGTGCCGCCAGTCCTGAGAAGAGAGGGAAGCGAGGAAACATGAAACGCGCAGCGACACACAGCCACCTTCATAGTGGACAGGGAGGCACTGTAGAGAGGTATTTCACCATCGGACGCCGGCACGCCATCCCCTTGTGTGTCAAAGTCAATGGCATTGCGTGGGCTCATATGATACATGTGAAATCATTTCCGCATTCCTAACCGAGGAGGGTATAGTAGAAAGCAACGCGTTGTCCGGGACTCCGTATAAATGCAAATACCGATGCGGGTGTGCGGATGTGCGTGCAGATGCTATGTCCGTGGGCACGCAACGGTGCCTCCTGTCCCCCTTCCGACCAATGCCTAATTCTCCGTCTCCCTCGATGCCCCGATAACCATGCTAGACCGTGCCCTTCACTGCACCCAGGTCCAGTTGCCTACCATGGTGTCAAAATATTCGGGATCTAACTGAAAAAATGCGAGCGCGCTCAACCGGAGGTCCGTGGCCATGCAGTTGACACAGCGATCTACGACGGTGACGGTGACGGTTAGATTACCCACCCCCGTCGCATCGGCATCCCTCGTAACCCTGATTTGCATGCCGCATAGAGGGTTGGTCCGATCCGCAACTGTACCGTACTGCTCGTCTACGGCATCGAAGATGAGATGTGACACAGAGGCAGCGTAGTCGGTTACGTCCAGCATGACACCGCATACGCCCCATGTGCCGGTGGTACCAGGGCCGAAACCGGGCGAAGTGTAGATCAGCTCGCCGGTGAAGGTACCTCTGTTCCCCGGGAGCGGCAAGTCCACGCTGGAGGCACGCGCGTCGGACGAGCGACGTGTGAGACCCACGCCAAGGCCAATGGCCAGCGGGGCAACTATGAATAGAAGAATGGCGAGGGGGAGGACGAGGCAGAGGAGCAAGGCCCGTCTCGAGAGCCCGCAGCAGTAGATTCGGTACGGCGGAAACCTCGCGTTGAATCGGGTCTTGAGCGAAGTCATGAGGGTGGGCTTTGCGGGCACGGGTCCGGCAGCAGCGACTTGGTAGAGGGGGAGAACGGTAGCTCGGCCAGGCACCTCCTTTGACTGAGCACTGTCCGGAGCGGCGGCCAGGGGGGCCATCATGGCGATAGGCTCATCTGAGTCGCTTCTGATGGGTAGAATTCGGCCGATGAACGACTGGCGAGGCTTCGGGGGATGGGTGATAGTTTCCCACTCGGGGAGATTGCACGTCATCTGCAGCGACGGCTGGGTATCGGGAGGCGCATGCGAAGCACCGGCGTCCTGGTCCTGGCCCTGGCCCTGGCCCTGGCCCTGGCCTCGGTCCTCGTCCTTGCCCTTGCCCTTGCCTTTGTCTTTGTCTTCGTCGTGATCTGCCATGGTCTCGAGAGGACGGCGGCCGCAGAGAGAGGAAGAGACAAACTATGCTCGCGAACGGCTAGCCGGGTCGGGCGAGAGGGTGTTGACAGCTAAGGGAGGGGGAGACGGGAAACGAATGGCACCATCTCCCTACGAGAAATATGCATCGGAAAGGCGGTGGGGCGGGGAGACGGAGGGAGGACAACGAACGCGAATCGATGGGTAGAAACGGATTGATCAATCGATAAACCAACTTGTGACAATGGCCCAGGCACACGAGATTATAGCTATTCATAGAACAGAGTGAATCGGAGGGGGGGGGGGGCAGGCAACGACAGCACCACGCCTGGGGAGCTGGGGAGGAGGAATAATAGAAGAAGAAGAGAGGGAGGGAGAGAGGGAGAGAGAGAGAGAGAAAAGAGAGAGGCTTGGGAGGAGATGGCTTTTTTTTTTTCCTTCCTCTTCCTTGCCTGCTCATACTATTCCATGTTCCCTTGCTGCAGGGAGCTCCCGAGACAAATCGGACTGGGCAGAAGCAAGACAACAAGCTCTGGTGGGGCCGGGAGATCCAATGCGGGGTATGCCGGAAGCATGCTAGGGAAGGTCCGTCCCTTGCCACATTAGGTCACATTAGGTGCATACCTCCTACTTTAGGTGCCTGGCTTAGGGGGGTATAATAGGTATGATAGGTACCTACACGTATAATAACCCACACTTACAGCACCCCCAGGTCCCTATCGGCGAGGGCCAAACTGCCCCCGATGCTGCGCTCACCCCCTGTACAGCCTGTGTCGGAGCACCTGACAGCCCCAATTGGATCGAGCGCATATGAACCAGGTGCCGAATGTAAGCTCCAGCGCCAGGTACGTGCTTAGGTATCAGGATATAAGCCCGTTCAAGAGGCCATTAACCTACCTCCCTAGGTACCTACATACCTATCTAAGGACAGTTAGGTACCTAGGTAGGTAGGCAGGTTAGGTGGGCGCCTAGGTACCTACCCTAGAGATAGATTAAATAATAGAGACTACCAAGTAGCGCTGTTAGGAATCGAACCTGTCCTCTATTATCAAACCCACTGAGCTCCTAGGTAGGTGTCCGCTTAATATATGTCGGTACCTCCCAACCTAGCCTACATCCTAATACAGATGCCTAAGCTCCGATGCAAGGTGTGGAGGGTACTTTTTAGGGGTTCGTCGGGACCACCACAACTGAGAGAGAGAGGGAGAGGGGGGGGGAAAACCACCCGAAAGTATTCGAAAAAGGGGCCATCCCGTGCCTATTATTCCCGTTTCCGTCTTCTGTTTCAACTGCAGCAGCTCAGAATGGACGTGGCCCTGGTGCAGCTGACGCGGACGATCTTCGATTCAGGTACCTGGCAGGACGGCTGACCACCGTCCCGTCCCGCGATGCAGGCACGTTAGCACGTTGGGTATAGGTGCGTGTAGGAGGTACATACCACCCACCCACCTACCTCGCCCACACTAGGCCTGAGACATCGAGATAGATCTGTGTCGGTACATGTACATGTACCTATATATCCACCGCGAAGTGGTTGCACACCACCTCTAATGCCTGCGCGCCCACCCAGTTGCTTGTCGGCAGCTGTGAGCTATAGGTATAGGTACCTATACGTACTAAGAGGGGCCTACATGTACCTCCATCTTATCGTCCTAAGGTTAACGTCCACTACCAACTACCTCCTAAGGTACCTCTATAGCGGGCTCCCACCCGCCTAGGCACCTCCCTACCTTAGGGAGTTAGTGGTCCTAGGGTAGCTTTCTTTTTTTTTTTATGTGGTAGGATTAGTAAAGCGCCGAAGGAGGATCGCCCAACCGCAACGTGAGCCTATTACCTAATACTAGCCTTCTCATAGATAGGTACGTTAGTCGACGACAATATCTCAAACTACCTACCCCTTCTCTTTGTCCGAGACGCCAAACTCAAGAGACGAAATGCTAATATGCAGAACTCGGATCGACCATTACCTACCTACATCCCGCCAACAATCCCCTCCAGACAATTTCGGTTGGATTAAATCACCTATACCCATGTGTCAATATGACTCCGTGACCCCGCCATGTCAGCTATGCTGGCCGTGCTGGCCGTGCTGGCTACTCTTCCGATTCCGTCCACGTCGAATCCTCCGTTGTCCTCTAGTCCTTGCCGTCCTCCACACCTAGGCGTGCTAAACGAGCTTGCCCGGCTCTCTATCGCCCAGCTATACTGTGACCCGCCTGGTAATAGCATTAGAGTCGGGCCCGGCGTCGGGGGCACGTGCTTCGGACTGGCCCCCTAGAGCAGGCTTGAGACCTCCGTACTAGACTTAGCCTCCCCCGAAATGTTCGGCCGATCTCCCTTGCTGCCGTCGTTGCCGCGTCGGTGGTAGGCGTCCGAGTGCGCGTGGCGGCTTCGGGGCCGCGCGCATTTTTCTAAGCCCAGTCAGAAGCCCACTTGCGGATCGAGAGGAATCGGGCGGCGAGAATAGGGGGGGAGGGCATCCTACCGCTTATCATCTGGGCGAACGTAAAAACGATCAAGGCGCTGGAGAAGATGGGCACCAGCTGGCCGAAGCTCTTTGCGTCATTTTCCGGATTCACCCCGTCTCTCTGTTGGATCCATCCCGATCTGTGTACCCATGCTCGAAGGCTGAATATGTACCTTGCTGAGACGATAACTATAGTGTAGCCGACCCCCAACCCAGCGCCGAGGTACGCCAGGAACAACACGTTGGCAATCCCTCTCCGCAGCGTCCCAAGGCGAAACAGTCTACTGACCCACTCACACGCTCTCCCCCTCCAGCTGCGCTTGCCTTTACCACGTCGGATGAAGTTGAACGCCTCTGCGATGATAGCCGCTCCGTAGAAGAGCAAGGCGATGATGTAGAGATTCCAGCCTTGGATCTTGTTATGTGGCGTCGAACTGCCAAGAGCATCTATGAAGAAGCTTTTGGCGTTGGCTGTTGTCTCCTTAAAGGTATCTCTCACCGTGGATAGGCTGCTCTGGAAGCACGCAGCGGGCAGGAATAGCAAGCTGTCTGTCTCATTCGTGAGAGGGATGGCCGTGGGGAACGTCAGGGCCGAGTCCGCGTTCTGGTTGGTCATGAGCAGGCCGGTGACCATGAACACCCCCGTTATGCATAGCACGCGGAGGCAGGCCAGCCAGGGGAACCTCCAGTAGTTCCGAACGATGGTGACCGACAGGAGGTGCGTGGCGCAAGTGAGCAACATCATGTTCCCGATGATGTTATAGTGGTACGCCGACACCGTACAGCCTCGCCAGTACCGAAGTACGAGGGCGTAGGCAGCTCCGGTGAACACCTGCTGATCGCTACAGGCGAGGATAAGAGGCTCAAGTATGTCGGGGAAGCTCACTCCGCTTCTTGATCTTTCCGTGGTATTCCTGATAGAATCGCCGTGTTAGCGAACCTTGGACCTACGAAGGCTATACAGGTCTCAACGCTACTACTCTTCATCATCTGTTCTCTTGAGATAAAGCGCAACCGCTCGCGAAATTGCGGTTACTGTGCTAGCAGCGACAGCGAACGATGTGATCGCGACGAAGACCCCGAGTATCTACGCAGCGTCAGCTCCAGTGCCGCACAGAAGATGACAAGGAGGGACTGTACCCCAATACCTGCGATGTCTGGATCGCCAGGGAACCCTCCTTTGTCGTAGTCACCGATTCTTGTAAAAGGCGGCAGCGTAGATTTTTCCTCGGATCCATTGCGCCCCTTGGCAGTGCAGTTGACGGTGATGTTGTAGTGCGCCTGGCACTCGGGAACGGAAACTGCTGCACCCATGGTGTCTGCGAGCGCGCCGGGCATTAGCAGTAAAAGAGACACTGATCTGATGAAGCGGTAGAGCACGCTCACCTGAAACGCAGCCGTGGAACCGAATGGCACGGGGAATACCCTCAATCAGATCCAGATGGATTCCCTTCGGCTCTAAGTTGCGAGAGCGATGGTACGAGATCTATACTGGTTTCGGAGCGGGAGTAGCGTTTATATCTTGGAGACTAGGAGCATACTATTCACGATGGCGCCGCAGAGCCGGAGCTATGTCTTCAGCCCCCACGCCGGCACATCATATCACGTCGTTACATCCTATCGATTCAGAGGAGGCGGTAGTAATATCACTCCAGACCGTGTACGGCTACCAGCCTCTGCGAGTCAGTGAGCTCTGACCCCACATGCCGGAGTCGGTGAGGCTCAGATGCCTACATCATCACTAAACAAGAAATAAGACAGATCCGATATCCACCTGGCACAGCCCCTCTGCGTTAGACAACGATGGGACACCGGCGACGAGGCCTGTACCCTTACGGTGCTCCCCCCCCAGTCCACCTCTGTCCACCTCCGCCGCCCTCCGGCTCCGCAAGCGGCAATACTATGCGGTTCGCTACCTACCTATCTACGGCTCTGGTTAATCCAAGTGAGCATGCGCACCCGCTGGTGAGAAATCAGCGACTTAAAAAAGAGAAGACATACCAGACTTGGCGCAATGCCCAAAGACTGAACCAGCTGAACCACCAGTCCCAGGAGAACTCGTAGTATCGAGAGTACGCTACGGAATCGGGAACCCCTCGACAGCCACCGTCAGCCGTCGTGCTCCCCTCCCTTTTAAGATCAACGCGGTGATACCAACAAGGCCTTCTAAATACAGGACGAATCTATGCTCCCGCCCCAGTATCTAGATACTTTCTTAGGCGGGGAGGGCCCGTCAGCCTGAATCCCAGGGAGCTATTTTTAACGGTCTCCTAGGTTGTCCTACGACTAGTAGCCAACGAAGCTCCGCGGATAGTACGTGACATTTGCCAGACTTAGTACACCACGAAGAGTATGTGCTTCAACAGGCAGGTTCCCGTGTGACCGCGACAGCGGCAGTGCTTTAAAGCTAGTACAGCTTTCACCCCTTACAATGGAATTTGGGGACTACTAAGCAGTGAAATGGCCCGAGGTGAGCTCGAACTGTGCTAAACGGAGGAGCTTCTGCGTCCAACCCACATAGCTTCCAGCCTCATCCCCTGAAAATGAAAAGCCATACGGCGGACACGCTGCACTCCTGTTATTCATGGTAGGGTTAGCTGACGTGGTTGGTTGTCGAGGCAAGATTTCTTTGCCCGGACGCGTCAGCGAGAACTGTGCAGATAACACAAGAGTCACACAATAGCCCATCGTCCACACGAGATTGGCGTTTTCCCACGGGGCAGATAACCTGCTATTATTGTGCAAAGCTATAAGTGGCTTAGAAGAAGTAGGCTACGATGGCCCAGGGAGCAGTCTCCGTGATATTAATAGTTGCCGTAATGCTGTCCGGCGCGCACTGGTATCCCTTTTCGGCCACACTTCTGCGTTGGCAGTCTCGGGGGGGCATTAATAGAGAACGATGTCCTAATAACAAATTAAGGAGCACACCGATGTCCGAGACAGAGTTTCCGCTGTTAAACGTTGGGGCAGTCGGGCAGTCTGTGTGTATCCAGCCAAAAGTCTCTCCGAGGAGGCGAAGCGGCAGCCCTCTCGCTTTAACGGTAGGAAGATACGCAACTGAAACTAATCGAAGATGGGCCTCCCCAACCAGTGGACGTGTAGAAGAGTACCGTTGTCGGTAACACGAACAAGAGAGATGCTGTAGTTGTAGAGACGTCTACGCCGTCGTCACATATTACGGTATCTAAGATATCACGTAGAGCTAGTGGTGTGGAGTACGCGCGAAGAGCTACCTCACGAGCAACAAAGGGGGGAGCAAGTGGAGAAAAGGTCTTGTTCTGTCCAAGAACTAATTAAAGGAATGGGAGCGATGGGAGCCTATATATAGGAGCTCCTATTGCTGAGGTAAGCGACGAGGAGGTGCAAAGCTAAGGAGCAACCTCTACGAGACATAAGAAGTTATCAGACCTATCTCCCAGTCCTTATGGCTGGCGATCCCTTAGCTGTAATTTACCAAATCACTAACCTAACAACAGGCCACACACAACCATCCGCGACGTCAAGGAACAGAATATGAGTTGGCAAGTGTGCTCTATTCGCACCTTAATTGCCAGTCGGCCACATGATAAATATGGCACGACGGCAACTCCCCGCGGGGGCGGCAAGGGAGTATCCAACTGCTGCTACCAGACCTGAAACGGAACTACAGTACAGCAACGAAGTTATGTATATATGTGAGAAGGAGAAGAAAACACCAGCCCGGCAACAACCATCCCGTTTCAGCATGCCTTTGATATAATACCCAACCAACCGACAGCACACAAAACCCCCGCCGTGCTTATGCACTAACATCCCTAAACCCCCCTTTGCCTTGCCCGCAGCAGCGACGGGAGCAGCAGCAGCTAATATAACTTGCTGAGAAATACGAGAGAAGGGGAAAGGGGAAAGAGAACCGGAAGCAGATTCCAGTCTTCGATCCTGTTTCCCCCCCCCCTCCTCCCCTCACAGCCATTGCTCCGCGCCTCGGCATTCAGGTTGCTTCCGCAACGTCGCGCCGGCAAAGAGAGAAGGGAAACGGGGAAAAGGGAAAAGGAAAAGCGAGAAAAACCACAATAATAGAGTAACGACGCCCGCTTCGGTGCCCGAACCTGCTTGTCTACCTTGCCCAGCCCAGATGATCCAAGTTGCGATACGGACGTATATACAGATCAGATACAAACGCCAAAGGAAGCCAAAAATAAATAAATAAAAAGAGAGAGAAAGAAAACACAAAAAGAGACCACCGAGGTCTTTCGTTGCCGCAAACACGAATGTAGGAAGGGGGGGGGGGAGGCGGTAAGCAATCCTGTCTCGCAAGTCCCATGGCTTCCTTGCCAAAATTCAAACGCCGCGACTATGAATTTCCGTAAGGCCGAGGCCAAATATCAAGGGAAGAGAGAAACGAGAGGCCGACGTCGACACGGCTTCTCTTGTGGATCAGCGCGACGATCATCCCCACCACCGGCTCTCCCTACGCCAAGCGAGACCGGCACGAGGGGAGGGGAAGGTAAATATAAACGTTGTATTTCGCCCGCGTCTCGGCGTCGTGCCGTCCTCGTCCCATCTCCCGTCCCGGAGTCGCCCTGCTGCTGCGGGGAGGGTGGAACGGGGCAAAGAGGGCCGGAGGACCAAAGCCGCGACAAGGCGAGAGACGGGCGAAGAGAGCGGAAGGGAAAAAAAGACCAAAAAAAAGTGAAAACGTATCCCCCCCTCTCCCCTCTCCCGGACCATCCCCGCGCCCGCGCACCGGTATTGCATGCAGTGACGAGATGACGAAAACCCCGGGGAAAAAAAAGAAGTAGAGAGAAAGGGTGGACGGCGACGACAATGTGCAAGGAGCGCGAAGACCAAGCCCCCGTCTGACGGAGAGCCACGATCGCGCTCGGCCCGAAAATAGAGATGTCGGTCGAAAACGAAAGGGGGAGGCGTCGATCGTCGTGGGACGATCTGGCTGCGTGCGTCGGTCAGCCGTGGGGAAACGGAGCCGAAAAATGCGTGTGCATGTGCGTGCGTGTGTTGTATATATATTGACTGACTCAACCCTCCGTAAACTCTTCTTTTTTTTCTTCTCCTTTCTTTTTTCTTTTCATTATTTTTTTCTTCTTAACAACCCGCACGTTCTGTCGAGAAAAAAAGAAAAAAACTTTTTTTAAAAAAAAAAAAAGCTCCCCCTCATGCGTCCCCCCCCCCCCCCTTTCCTTCGCCTGATCCCCCCTGCTTCTACGCGTCGCATGGACACGAGAGAAGGGGCAGGAAAAGGGGGTGTCGGACGAACAGAGGGAGGGTGAAACCAAGCAGAAAGGAGGAGAGACAGAGAGAGGGAGGGACAGAGACGGAGAGGAACAAGGAGAAAGGCGACAGGTAGCTGTGCGATCACGAGGTGAAAGCCATATCGAAGTCGAAGTCGGTGAGCTGCGACTGGCCCGGCTGCTGCTGCGGTTCCTGGTACGCGGTCAGCGGGGTGATGGTGGCGGACGACGAGAGCGCTGAGGCGAACGGGCTCATGCCGGCGTGGTGGTGGTGGTGCGGGTGGTGGCTGAGGTCGGCGAAGCCGGGCGACGGCAGCCCGTGGGCGAAGTTGAAATCCGCCGACGACAGCGGCATCTCCCCGGCGGCGTACGCCCCCAGGTCCGTGTTGGCCACCAGCGTGTGGTATTCGACGTCGCCGCCGAACATGTCGCTCTCTAGCCCCGGTGCCGCCGCGGCCGCCGCCATGTTGAACTCAGCCGCGTACGCCGACTCGATCGCCGCGGCGCCGGGCTCGGCGTCGGCGGCAGTGGCGGCCGGGTAGCTCGTGTCGTCCTCGCCGTCGTCCTCGTCCTCTGCGTCGTACTTGCTCACCCATACCTCCTTCATCCAGTTCTTGAGCTCGCTCATGGGAGGCCAATCGCCGCCACCCTTGCCGCCGCGCTTGTCCTCGTCGCCGCGGCCACCGCCGGCGCCGCCTGCGGTGCCGCCCTTATTCTTCTGGCGCGACGGCTTCTCCTTGAAGTGGGTCCGCCGCAGGTGGGCGGCCGCGTTATAGTAGGCACCGTACTTCTTCTGCGTCTTGCAGGCCTTGCACTTGGCGAGCGGGTTGACGGCAGGGATGCCGACGGGCAGGCCATGGGCAGCCGGGTCGACGCAGATCCACTTCTTGACGGTGGCCTGGTGCTTAGCGTCGCGGTGGCGGCGCAGCTCGTGCTCGCCGCGGAAGCCGTCCTTATGCTCGTCGCACTGGTCACAGTAGACCTTGGGCTGCTTTGGGCGCACGTACTTGGCCTTGACGATGGCGGCCTTGCCGTCCTTCTTGGCGCCGGCTGGCCCCTCGGCGGCGCCCTGCTTGGTCTCAGGCTTCGGCTTGAGCGGCGCGATGCGCGCGCGCCGGCATTGTTGTTTCAGCGTGTCCTTGGCGCGCGTCTTGAGCGACGAGTTGGACCGCGTGCTCGCGGCGCTCGCGCTCGACACTGACCGTTCCATGTCTGAGGACGCGAGGAGCCCGTCGGTGGGCGCTGAGATGGCGTACTGGTAGTTGGAAGGGGGCGCGAGGCTCGAGCCGACGGCGATGAGGGCGTCTTCGCTGCAGTAGGGCCGCTTTCCTAGCGGCGAGTTGTCTCCGCTGCTGGTGCCGCCGCTGTTGTAGTGGGTTCCATCTGGGTAGTACGGCTCGCCGGCATGCGACATCTGCGACCCGAGGCTCATCATGCGCACGGCGCCCGACACGGACTGGTTGTCGAACTGGTTGTCGAACAGGCTGTTCTGTCTCGTCATCGGCGCGGTGTCGTACGTGGGTGCCGTCGTCATCGAGCCGCACACCGAGATGCTAGTGATGTTGAACTGGGGGACGTCGGCGTCGGTGCCTTGTGAGGGCACCGACGAGCCGAGGGACCCTATCACCGGGCCTAGATTATCATCGGAGGGATACGGGTGCGATGCGAAGAAGTCACCGGGGTCGAGCATCTTGCCGGTCATCGGCCCCGACTCCGAGACGGTGGGCATGTCGTATCGTCGATGCTTCGACAACGACTGGGACGACCGCGTGGACAAGGACTGCACCAGGGCGTACGATGTCGCCTGCTCGTCCTTGTCTGCATAATCCGCCATGCCGGCGTTCCTCATCTGCGTGTTGGCGGTATGTATCCGCGACGGAGGGGCGGCTATCGGGGAGGCGCCTGTGAAGGGCCCGGCAGACTGGGTTGACAGATTCGAACCGATGCGGTCCATCTTCTGCGAAGCTGGCGCCTGCTGGGACATGGTCCTAGCACGCTTGACGGCGTGGGCATGGCTGCCGTGTCGATGCTAACGAGCGCTCGTCAGTACAAAGAGCCGACTTAAGTCACATACACACACGCACACACGCACACACAGAGAGAGATATATACAGACGGCACACACGCACTACACAGTACGTGCTCGGAAAGGTGTAAATCTTACAGAAGATTGCGCAACGCCCTCGTGACGACCGTGTCCACCGCCGATAGCGTCATTGCGAGGGACAGTGTGGCTTCTCAACATGGCATCCTGGCGGAAGGCCGTGACGGGAGTAGCCGCAGTGGGCAGCTGGAACTCCTCGTGGGAAACGGCAGGGTCAAGTACCTCCTGGCCCGACGACGGCACTATTTGGGACTGGAAGACGGTGCTCTGCAGCTGCGATAGTTCTCGTTTCGCTCGGAAAAGATCCTCGTTCCTCTGCTCCAGCAGGGCTCGAAGTTTCTGGATCTCGAGCTCAGGGTTTTGGCAGTGACTCATGATGGTCGATCAAATCTGGGAATTTCTTTTTTTTCCCTCTCTTTTTCTTTCTGTTTCTCGTTTCTTTTTCTCCTCGTTCGTTTCAGGAGTGGTCAGTGTCGATGGCGAGCAATCAATGACGATGAAGACAGCGGGAAGATGAGGCGAGATCTGCTGTCTTCACTCTCTCTCGCCCACAGTCACCCAAGTGTCTCTCTCTCCCTTCGAACTGGGACAGGCCAGCCTCGTTAGGTTAACCCTCCAGGCGAGAGAGTAAGAGTGATGGGGGAGGACGGGGGGGACCCAACAAGGATGATGGGACGGCTTGGTCTGTCTCGTGGAGCGTTCGTCAGGCGAGACCAATACCTGCTATTGAGGGACTAAAATCCGGTCTGGGAAAGTATGGGGAAGAAGGGAAGAGGGAAACGAGCCTCGATGGTGATGGCGGGAAGAACCACAGGACGTTGCTTAATTATGTACCAGTCAGTCGAGACGAGGCTTTGGCTCATGCGCGGCGGCGGGTCAGAGATCCTCGTCGTCTCCCACACGGAGATGCATAGATACACGCTGGCCGTCCAGGGTGCATGTACCGGTATGTAGGTATTTAATTTACGAGAATCCCGCGGGCTTAGATCGACTCTTGGCTTTTGCGACTTGGCCAGGTTTGGCTCGAAACCCTTGCAACGATGAATGGGTGCCAAACAACCTAGCGTCCCTGGAAAGCTGCGTGATTTGACAGGACCGCTTGGGGGACTCGAGAGAAGGGTCAGTCAGTTGACGGCTATTAGCTGGCTGGCTGGCTGGCGCTGGCCGGGGGGGCTTGGGGGGGGAGGGATGACTTCGGGAGGGTAGGATGGGCCGTTGGAGCCTGTCAGATCCGTATGCGCTGGTCTGCAAGAGAAGAAGAGCCCACTTGGATTTGGAACTCGAAGAGAAGTCCCTGACAGGCCTGCCCAGAGCGGACGAAGCAACAACAGCTGCTCGCACACCCGGCATGTCTCTCTCTCGCTCCGCAGGATACGGAAACGCCTGGTGGGCGGGCACACCTGCGAGTATGTACATTGCGGTCTGATGTGATGTAACCTGCAAGATGCAGAGTGAGTTCAGCGCTGGAACCTCTGCCACGGAATCTTACAGGTCAGTCCCGCGAAGTATCCTCTTGCAGGGGGGACAGGGAGGGGAGGGTGGTGAAGGGGGTTACCGTCGCGCGAGTGACGCAGTCAGCCAATTCAGCGATCGACCGTCTTTACTGTACCTACGTGATGGTGGCCGCTGTTGTCTCTGCAGACCCAGGACGGGACGGGGTCTGGTCTCTGGTCTCTGGTCTGGTCCCGGGTCGAAGACAGGATGTGTCTGTCGAGGCGGGTAGGCAGGCATGATGTCGGCTACCTGGCCAGTCTCCCGTCTCCCCTCCACGTATTTAGGCATCGTGTATACCCATATCCTGTCCTCAAAGCTACCGTGACTCGCTCGACCGCAGGCGACAGGAATCGGCCGAGGAGCGCGCGATGAAATCAGGTACCAACGGGCATCATTGGCGAATCGGCATCGTCTCCCCGTCGTCGCGAGATGTCTACAAGGGGAGGGAGGCAAAGCCAGGTTTTATCTGTACGTAGGTAGCATACGACGTACCTTAGTATATCTTATGTATATGGCATATATATAATAATACCGAAGCATATATATATATATATATATATATATATGTTGCCTATAAAAACGATATATACCTATGTCTGCCCGGTATGCATGTGTGAAATCAGGTACCTGAGGTCAGGCAGGTAGGTGTACGGTTAGGTACCTTTGCGTGCATACATATAGGCGTGATTGGTGTGGATGCATATAAGCCAAGTCGAATACATTCCTCTAGGTACCAGCCTCTCGCTGCCTGTAGGTACCTTAGGTAGGTAATATCTGTTGCTTCATTCAACGCTGCCTCTCTTACCTCGACTACTCTGAATTCTCTCAACCTACGTTTGGCTTATTCCCAAGTTAACGAGGCGCCTAACCAGAATACATTGATTCTAAATATTGTTTGAATTTAGTATTTACCACAGGTAATTCTCAGTGCCTATGCACGTAGGTATCTGTATCGACGATCACCTGCTAAATATACACGTTAAATACATCGGGTACCTTAGGCAGACACTGACTGATACCTGGTGGTTCCGCAAATTGGTACCATGGGTTCGTGGCGGCGGCAGGCAAGGGTATATAGGCAGGTATTGGAAAACGCTGGTAATTGTCCTGATGACGAGTTGTCGAATTGGGTATTAAGGAAGGGGACACGGCCCACTCAGATCTCTAGAAATGAGATGTCCATGGGTGAAGGAGGGGGAGGCTTGATGAAAGGCAATGGAGGGGAGAATGTGCAAATCCCATCTCGCCGTCGCCAAGTCTTGTACCTACCTACCTACCTACATACATACCTACATACCGTAAGTAATAGTATAGGCCTACCTATAGTATGTACCCGTAGGTAGGCAGGGGGTGTAGGAGGTATACATGCCTACGATACATACCTACCTAGACCTGTATAGACTCAATACGCTACATAAAGTCGACATTGGGAAAAAGAAACCAAACCCCAAAAACCAAGAAAGCAAAGGTCCCTGAAAAGCCTGACGGGCTTAGCAAGGCGCCGTTGCATACAACAGGGAGGGTAGGGCAGAGACAAGAACAGGGTACGGTACGATGTGGTGCGGTAAGGCAACAGAAGGTAGAGAGGAGAGAGAGACAGAGACAGAGAGAGAGAGGGGGGGGGAGTTGAGAATAGGGTGTAGAGTGTTGTAATTGTTACCAACCGAGGGCGAGGGGGAGGACAGCAGACAGCTGGATTGGGCGAGACTCTCTCTACCTGTCTGTCTTGTCTCTCTCTTCGAATCGCAGCAGCGCTCTTCCGAATCTTTCTCGTTACACTGCAAAGCCACGCACTCACTCACTTGAACACACACTTACGCGCTTACACACACCCACCCTCACTCCCTCTCCTTCTGGTCATGCACCTTTCCTTCGCTCGCTCTTCTGTTCGTCGTCATCTAAACGTGGGGTTACATACGAGCCAATAATGAAACCGAAATCGCATCCGCTACATCTACATACCTCCTACCTTTTTGATAGGATCTCCTTATCGGGTAGGTCGTGCGCGTGTGCGCGTGGGCGCTCTCTCTCTCTTGCTGTGTCTCCTTGTCTCTACGTATGCAATGGTAGTATGTACGTATACATACGTAACGCGTGGATGGATGTGTGGGTGGACGAGTGGATGGGTGGATGGAGGGATGGGATGGGATGGGACCTGTCTGGCTGTATCCGCCGCTGTGTCTCTCCCATCCCATCCCATCCCATCCCATCCCATCCCATCCCATCCCAATTCACCCTCTCGCGCCTCTCTCGCGCGCGCTCTCTCCCGTCAATCATCGCCGTCGCCATCATCACCTATCGCTTATGAGACGAATCTTGCTCGGTGAGGCCTACTTGGAGGTCGTTCATCTCTCATCTCCCCTCCCCTCCTCCCCTCTCCCCTAGTGTTCACGGCGCCGCACAGACGGTTGGAAAGGGCGGGAAATGGGAATACCTACCTAGATGAGGAGCGCCAGAGCTAGCCACGCATCGGTCTGCAAGGGAGCACCTCGTGCCCATCGCCCAAGGAAAGATGCATGCGATAGCTTGCATATCCCAGCTGCCAATGTTTGCCCTGTTTTCGACGAATCCGACGCCTATTGGATCTCCGTGAGTCAATGTGTTGTCCAGAGAGTGAGGCGGCCGTCCCCCGCGACCCTTTGAGTGGCTGATGGTTCTTCGGCCAGGACCCCTGAACGGGCGACGGTGGGTCGGCTTGGAGATAGGACGCGAATGGCTGCTGGCGCCCAGACAGACCAGCCCTGCCCTGCACACGCAAGCAGTATTGCCGATACCACGATGGGCGGGAGTCGCAGGATCGCAATGATCTTGGTCCGTCGAGATGCCCACCGATCTATCCATGCCTGGCCTGTTGGTGAATACCCTGTGGCGTGTAGATTGGGCCATCGTGGCCCGTGATACACCTCGTCTTCATTCGGTTGACCGTCCGCTGGGATGAATAGGATGCCTACCCAACTCGCCTACCCCCATCCCTACCCGTCCCCTACCCTCCCCTATCCTACCCTCCAACACAGGCGGGTTCTAGAAGTAAGCATCCCGGCCATCGAAAACGGACATCGGTGAGCACTCGCAGGAGCGCTCCGCCCTCCCGGTATCCGCATAGACACGCACCGTGGCTTGTATACGCCTATATGTGAGTATGGACTCGCGCATGCAGGCATATTTGTATGTATATATGCGTGTGTTAGTCAATATTGCGTGTGTTCGTGTTGTCGCGTAGGCCTTCTTCCTCTCCCATCCTTCGGCGGCTGCCGCGTCCGTCCAGCAAGATCCAAGCCACAACCACCACCGCGGCCACGACAGCGAGGGGCTGAAAGGGCGGCGGTGTGGAAACCGACTAACTAACTTGCCCACCCTCACTCCCCCCCCCCTCCCTCTCTCTTCCCCTCTAGGTATGTACGTATGTGGAGGTGTCCGCGGCAGTACCAGACTGATGAATGGTTACCTACCTCCTAACCCAGGCAGAAAACAACTGGACTCCAAAGACTCTCCAGCGGGTTAATATTACCCTAAGGTGATTTTAGATTACTATTTTCGTCCGCTGACCTGATCTGTCATCTCGTCGGTCAAGGATACATCACCAACGTCCTAGGCCTCACGTCATCGAACCAGCTCTGTGGGATTTATCCTCAGCGCAGTTAGCTCGCTCGGCACCTTTCCGCTTCCGCTACGAGCAATCTAATCCGGGTCGACTACCATTGCCGCTCGGGCTCATGCTAGGTACGTAGGCGATGGAAATGACGGGACCGTGCCCCCGGCGCTGGATTGACGTAAACGAGTGGGATGAGGATGTGCTTGATTGTGATGCGGGAGATGGCTCACGCTTCCGGTAGTCTTTGCCAGGATCTCTCGACCATGCGGTGCAACATCCCCCCAGGATGTTGAGACTGGCCAATGGCTAGGAGTAGCCGCCAGCTGTACTTATCGACAACTCATCGCCTTCGTCGCTCGCCACCCCTCCTGTCCCGTCGAAACGACGCCTTCTTCCCATGTGGTGCGTCACACACGAGCTCCGGCGATAGGAGATTGCCGACGGAAGCCATGGGATGGGTGGGTGTCGGTTAGCCCCAGTACGCCTACCTACCTAGGTAGTAGTCGTAGTAGCCATAGTAGTAGTAGTAGTAACCGGGACGCCTGGGATGGTGTGGACCAAATCTCCGGACTAAGATGAGCTGGTTTTCTTCATGGCGAGAGCGCGCGAGAGAGACGGAACACGTGTGGTGAGCATCGCGGCCGACAAACACAGAGATGAGACGACTTCTCAGGTTTGTTAAGACACGCGATATATTTTCCGGCTTCCCGTAGATAGGAAGGCGTTGGTCATTGCCGGCACCAACCTGGCCCAGAGCACAACTGTATACATGGGTGGGAGGCGTGTCATAGGTATTAAGGACGGCAAATAGGTCAGCGTCGTGGCACGAAATGCGAGGATTAGGAAGCTCTGAGCATCCCTCTCCAGCCGGACCGTTCTGCCGTGGTAAGGATACGCTAGGTTACCTACGAGAGTTGTCGGATTACACAGATGAAGGGAGGTAATATGTGTAAGATAGAGAGAGACGGTGGGGGGAGGCAGGAGAAAAATGTAGACTATTTGACGAAGACGAGGAAGATAACGGCGGCATGCATCATCACTTTAAGCAACCAAATGCATGCGTCGGGGTTCCTCAGGTCGGTAGATTACGTAATAGTAGCGAGCGGTACATGGCAGATCGAAACGGCCCGGCAGAGCCCACCTCCTCGGGTTGTCTGACTTCGGGAGATCTCCGGATCTTGCAGTGATGCCACCTTGGCCACCTTGGCCATCTTATCATCAATCATCACGGTCAATTACGCTACCCCTCGGTAGCCTCAATTTCCATACACAACCAATCCAAGTTCACCTCGTAATTCCAAGACACCTTTTTGCGCTCCATCGCCTCTCTATGCGCGAAGCCTCCCTCCCGGCGTCCATGTGAGATAACCCCCGGGCCACGCGGCGTCATGTGCCGTCTCCGTGCGCTTCTTGTCCTAAGCTGGCTATTGTCGCCGTCCCAGGCGCGCCAGCCAGGCTTCAGTATTCATCACGACCTCCTAGCATATCCGCAGGTGTGTGTTTCTCGGCCTCTGCTATCCCTTTGCGCCGCCATGCTCACGGGTGATCACTAGTTCGAGGTAGTCTTCTCCGAGTCCTACATATCGGAAATCGATGCCCAAGCTTTGGTAGAAAAGACGAATCCCTCCCACCCCAACTATGAGCCCGACTTTGTCGCCCGGTCCCTCCTCACCTCCGACATCCAGCCTGGCGAGGACCGCGACGTAGTCGATGATCCCAGCGATGGCGAAAGCGGCCCCAAAGTCACCGAGTCGTACGAGATCATGAGCATGCCTACTCAGCGCTACCTATGTGCCATCCCGATAATCGAATCCCCGCCTCCGCCGAACAAAACGGCCACTGAGCTAGCTAAAGCCGAAGAAGCCCGCGAGCTGGCGAGGGCTTCCGCCCATGGCTGGGACCTGATAAACGGTCTCGACGGCACCTGTCTCTACTACATGTCCGGATGGTGGAGTTATAGCTTCTGCTACGGCCACGATGTCGTGCAGTTCCACGCCCTCCCCGCTAGTATTAAGACGGGTCCGCCTATGAAAGATCCCCACACTACGGCATACGTTCTGGGAAAGGTGCCAGACCCTCAGAGCACGTCGCGGTCTTCGCGCCGCGGACAATCCAACCCCCCGAACGATAAAGGGCATCCGGCCGGCGCCGCGCCACCCAATACGGAGCTTCAAGTCAAGGGCGACCAGCGGTACTTGGTCCAGAAGATGGGGGAAGGTACTATTTGCGACCTTACCGGCCGGGAGCGGACGATCGAGATACAATACCACTGCAGCCCGGGCAGTACTCAGGATCGCATCGGGTGGATTAAGGAGGTCACCACGTGCGCGTACCTAATGGTAGTGAACACGCCTCGCTTATGTGTAGACGTCGCCTTCCAACCGCCGAAGGAGGAGAGAGCCAACGTCATTAGCTGCCGCGCTATCGTGTCGGAGGCTGCGCGGGCAGATTGGCACGCGCAGAAAACCCTGGAGGCGCAAGCGGCCATGGTAGGCCAGCTTAGAGGCGAAGCGAAAGTTCCCGTTACCATTGGCGGAGTAGTGGTAGGAGGGAGACACATTCTTGGCAGGGGTGAGGACGGAAAGGAGGCACACAGATTAGCTCCACCCCAGAATTTCCGCAGCTCAAACATAGCCCCACTCGTCGAAGTCCTCGCCCAGGGGAGTAGCAAAGAAGACGGTAGCACCGTGTCCGTCCTCACCGACGAGCAGTTGGCCAGTCTCAACCTCAGCCCCGAAGCCATCGAGGAGCTCAAGAAGGAGCTGCAGAAGCTAGCCGGGGACAGGGGCTGGAAGCTCGAGATCGTCGAGATCCCGGGCGACCCTCCGGAGTTCCGCGGAATCGTCGACGTGGAGGAGGAAGAATCAACCGGGAAGCGCAAGGGCAAGGGCAAGGGCGAGGGCGAGGGCGGGGGTGTCGGGGACAAAACGGACGAGGAGACAGGCAGCGAGGAGAGGTTCTTCAAAGAGGAACTCTGAGACGCCGAGCTCGCACTAGCATGGCGAACGGCGTTACGTTGGTAGGATGGATCGTGGCGTTATTGAACCACTGTCAAGACTATGCCGTGCCTACTGGCTTCCCGGTGAATGCGCTCTCTCATCCCGGGGGCGGATCAGTACATTCTCTCACAGATCACGCCCCCGTCAAACGCCGACCTGCTGCGTTACGTAGCATTCAGGAGGACGCGGACTGATAAATACATACGAGCGGTACAGAGAGTGCTCTGGGATCCGTCCTCTGCCCTCTGGGATCGCCGTCCCCACGTCGCCACCCCGAGAGAAGCAGGGCGGATACGGCGACAGTAGAGCCGATGGCAAGGGGCGGGTATGGGACAGACGGCAAGGTAGTCTAGGTCTCTACGCAGGCATGTAGGTATGTGTGTGTATATGCACGTCTATGAGTAGATGTCCGTCTGTTTCCTAACACACCCGCCGAGGGCGCTTCCTTCTCGTACGACTATATATGCCCGGGTTACGGAAGAGGCCGAGGTGTTGTAAGGGGATAGGTCGAGGAGACCACCTCTACCTCTTTTGCCTGCATTCGCATGCATGCATGCATGTACCTATATATGTATGTTGGCATGGGAATGGCTACGGAGGCATGTATATAGGGGAGATACTATGCGACAGGTCATAGCCCGGGCAGAAGGAGGTTCCGTCTGTATGTATGCGGATGTATACCTACTATGAGGCAGACTGAGTCGTAGGGGCAGCAACTTTGGAGCGGAAGAGGATATGCTCCGCATTCCCTTCTACTATCGTCTACTCGTCGCTTACCTACCTACCGAATTAGTATCCATTTGATATTTCTATGTAGCAACGGCTTCTCGTACGCATAATTACTTGGGAAATTATCCAATACACACACATAGAGTGCCGCCGACTGTGCAAAGCATACATATAGATAGGTACTGCGTAGTATACGCCGGGATATTTAAGGGTTGGCTCTCTCTTATTAGACTCCCTAGGCCATAGAAGACCCTAATAAGACAGACTCGCCGTAACCCTGGACTTGGTAAGAGAAACGCCCCGAATCACTTCATTTCGGTTGACAACTCTACATTCTTTTTTTTTCTTTTTCTTCATCATGCCATAAGGCCAATTTCGCGACTCCCTGTCGGTTGGTCGGCAACCTCTCTTCACTCGGTTCTCGCCACGAACGGGGTTAATAGAAGGTGAACAGGGAGCGAAGAAGAGGGGAAGCAACGTGGTGGGGAGTTGTCTTGTCGGACTGCCTAACGAGACGACTTATAGTGAAGAGCAGCGTCTACATGTATAAGTCACCGTTGCGTCTATGGTAGCTTATTCCCCGCAACACGAAGCAGGACAACCGAATCAACTACGGCATAGGCAGAAATTCCGCAGACAAGAGAGAGACCCATTGGTTGCGGGCACATTCAGACACGTACGTATATAGGCACGTCTGTAGATCCTCCGGGGGGGGGGGGGGGGACCAACTAGGTCTTCCCTAGATGTCTCTACGACTTCTCCCCATCAGTAGCCAACCGTTGGACCGTAGAGAGTCCGGACCCGTTAGAGACGATCTACTAGGCCATCCAAGCACAGTCCGCAGTTACATACTGCATAGTACGTCGGCCCGGCATCACTCAATCATACCAAGGTAGGTGTAGCCCACTTGAAGGTTCTACTACGCAGTAGAGGTTGGGCAGGCGATGTATAGCAGGTTAGGAGACGGTGACGGAGCGGCCACATCGATGGCGTGTATCCGCCCAAAGGTGCTCCCCCCTCGTGGATGCCGAAGTAGGGGGTTGATTCGCGCACCCGGAATTCAGCCAACGACCACGTCATACTTTGAGTTGGCTCTGAATTCGGCGATATTGGTAACCCTTTGCACGCTGGCCGTCTTGCTCGACTCAATACTCCGCACGCAACCAAATCCCCATTTCATTGGAGTTGCGCGCGGCCGTCAAACGTGAAGGTCCAGCGATACGAGATGCGAGTCATCCGCCACGTCGTTTCTGCATACATGGCGAGCCTCTAGGGGGCAAGGCGAGCCTCGCTTGGTTCCCTTCACCCTTCGGGTCGGCTGGTGGTTTAGTCTTACCCATCAGGACGGAGACGTGTCGAAGCCCGGGCCGCCACCCATACGCACTATCGATGGGTTGGCGGGACGGCCGTGCGATCTCGACACCACCACGAAGTGGCCCCGCGGGATGCTAACGGGGTCGATTGATGCCGCGCGGAGGGCAGTGGGCATAGCCGATTTTCATAGCCCGCATCGCGTTTGCCGCGACGCTGTCGGCGCTATGGACGGCGATGCGCGCTGCACGGATATAGATATTACACGTAGCACGGCAGATGTGAGGTAGATGCGAGGAATGCGGGAGGCGGGCAGCGAGCCGCGATACGACTGGGCAGCGCAGCGTGAATCCCATGGCTCTCGCCGTCGCATTGGTCCCCTATTTCTCTCGGCGTGTTGTGCCACCACCTCTGCACGCACGTAGCATGTGGAAGAAGGAAAAGAGGGGGGGGGAAAGGATGGAGACGGAGACAAAATCGATTGGGGGAGGGGGGGATTGTTAGTCAAAGAGCAGCGTATGATGCTCTGCAGCACGGAGAGCCTTTCCGAGTCAGGTCGCAATAGTAGAGAGGAGAGAGAGACGGGTCTCACGCAAACCTGGACGAAGCATTGAAATTGATAACACAGTAAGCAATTAACTACCTACATGTTGGGGTCAGTTAGAAAGAAGAAAAAACAAGAGTGTCTCGTGTCTCTGTACGTTTTATTCGGAGAAAAGAGAGGGGTAGAAGGGGAGGACAGCAAGGAGGAAGAAGGCGATCTGACGGATGCTTCGTCGCCTCCCCGGACGCATACATTAGGTAGGTAGACGGTCATCGAGCGGCTGATAACTACCTAGGTATGAGCTGACTTGCGGGAGGGAGTGCAATGACGTGGCCTGGAGATGGCGATATGTAGACACACACATACATATATTGGCGACGGGTCCTTACTTGAGGTAGGTAATGATACCCGAATTGTGAATTCGTTGTCGTTTTCAGCTTGCTCATCCCCCTCCCTCCTCCTGCTCCCCCTCCCCTCCCCCTCTATGCCCAGCCCGGACGGCAAGGCCCGCTTTGAAAACTCGTTGATAGCAGATGGCGGCAGGGAGAGAAAGTGCATGCATGAAGAGAAGAAGGCCCCCCCAGTTCTCTCTACTCAGCATTACCTACGCCACGGCCATGGGGGCTTTGGAGAGGAGACGCGTTTGCGGAGGGGTGTAAGACATAGGTACATACACCACACGTACACACGGGCGGCGGATGCGCGATGCTCATCGCCTTGCTCCCCCGGCTGCGGCGCGTTTTGTTGCTTCGCGGTCCCTTGGCGGTCAGCACAGGGCAAGCCATAGACAGCGATGACCCAATGGCGTCGGGTATCACAGTTGGGGATGGGGTCACGGCCGGGCCAGGAAGGGAGAGCGTTGCGACGATCGAGAAACCATCACTTTCCGACGACCCTGGTCCAGCAGCCAATGGAAGCGCCTCCCAGCACCCTGGAAGCCCTGCGCCAGCTCGTTCCGGTTCACGCGGGCTGCGACAGAAGAGGGGGGGGGAGCGGGCAACTTGGCCGGGGGAACGGGCAGACGGGGGTCTGCCAAGTAAACCGACAAAACGACCCTCTTCCCTCAATGTTGCAAGATTTGCCTACCTGTGGATGTACAGGCCAATAAGTATAAGCTGATAGCATCTACATCTACATACACATTTGTAGATTGGCAGCTATTAGAACCTACAGAGGTGAGAGAGGGGAGGGGGATGGCGGGCAAGCAGCAAAAGAACAGATCCTGGGCAAGCCTGTCATCCTATCGACAGGCGCAGAGGTAAAACTTGCTAAGCCATGTACGTGGACAGTAGGTAAATGTATTGAGGTATATTGAAGGGGTTCGAGCTGGGAGTCGTTTCTCCTTTCTCAGTAGGCAAGCAAGAAGCCAAGACATGTTGCTGTGCACATACTCGGTGGTAGGTGATGGCGCGTTTAAGCATGCGTTGGGAGTCGGGAAGATCAGGCCATTGGGCCCTCTCAGAAATGCAGAAAAAGGCGGGGGTTTAAGACTCGTAATGAAAACAATTAGGGTTACAATAGCAATAAGCAAAAGAGAGCAGATGTCTCAAGCTGGGAAAGCAAGTGGCTGTCCTGCGGCACGAAGCCGGGGCCGAGAGAGGGCGGAAAGGCACCTCGTACTCATTGATGGAGACGATGATGGAGACCTGAGTGTAGATAGAACTGTTTCCCGCATAGCCTATCCAACCGTATAACACATAGTAGGTACCTGATGTGTACGCATATAAGTACCGACCTGACATACCTCCCACCTCTTGTTTATCTGATGAGCATCTTGAATCCAAGGCACCTGCAAGGGCACCATGTATCGGCTTGCTCAGCCTAGTAGCTTTTTATCTCGACGGCTACCTCGAACATCATAATTCTCCTGAAATTCTTGGTGTCTGGGGCCGCTCAGGACCTACCTAGTTGGAAATTGGCACCAACCAGCCTAGACCCGGCCAGCCTCAAGGCCTTTTTTACATGTTCTGTGATAGAGGCTAACTTGCAGCACAGTGCCCATTACAGGTCCTTACACCTACCTAGAGGTACCTAGGTAGGTACCTAACCTAGGAGGTACCTAAGGTAGGTACCTAGGTAGGTAAGGTACGGACCAAGAACTGCTACGTACCTACATTAGCGCTGCGATACCGACGTCAAGGGAACCAAACAGGGGCCGTGGAACCGGCACCCAGCAACCCAAGACGTCCGGCGTACCTGTACAGCGTAACATGGCGCGGTGCATAGCGTGTGGTACATGGCACGGTACTGGGCCGTGCTAGGCTCCAAGGGGGAAACAGGGAGATGAGAAAAGGAGGACCTATTAGCTATGTATAGGTACTATCTGTAGATGTGCTCGCTGCCTGCGTAGAGGCACCGCCAGTACCTCGATACATGTATAGAGACAACTAGACGCGTAAACACCTTGCCAAGATACCAGGTACCTGCAACGCCAGGAAGGGACGGAAGGGACGAGAGGGACGGGAAGGAGAGAGACACAGAGAGAGAGGTAAGAGAGGGAAGTCAGCATGAACGTGAAGCAAAGCACCAAAGCAAGGTCTTTCCCAAGAGCTGACCTTGATTTTTATTTTTATTTTTATTCTCTTTTCTCTTCTCCCTCCTCCCGTTGCCAAGTTTTCGACATTCCCTCGCCCTCGAACTGCCCAACTCATCGCCAACATCGGTCCGTCTCGCACGCGCATGCATTCACTTAACGCCTGCATGCCTCCTACTTCCAGACTTCACGCCTGCACCAGCTGCTACACCTTACCTACCGCCTTCTATTGCCGGAACCCTCGGTCAGCCAGCCAGCCAGCCAGCCAGCCAGCCAGCCGCCTGGTCTGATATCCTACTTACCTACTTACCAACCATACACGCCCGACCTCATCTTTCGTTGAACCTGCTTGGAATACGGACGGTACCAACTAACCTGTGATCACCGTTTCTGCTGCTGTGGTTGTAGCCGTTTCCCCGACCTTCAATTCGTACGGTGCTCTACAGCTCCGACCTTCCAGCATTCCGTCGCTCCCCTCCACCCTTCGCCTGGCCAGCCAATTGTGGGTGCATCGTCCTGAGACAGTTCCTCGGGTCTCTCTTGCATCTGCAGGTGTGACAGCCCATCCAGATCGATCGTTGTCAAAATTCCCACAAACGCCCAAATTCCAGCACTCCAGATCACCAAAGCAACAACCTCCAATCCCGAACCCAACTGAAGCCGCCTCTGATCTCCTGGGGAGCTCGTTGCCCGGCCGGTATACAGAATCCGGCGAAGAGTGTCAACACAGCCTCCCCCAGCTCATGCCCTCGGACCTCCCGATGAAAGACGCGCCTGTTGCAAGAAATTTTGCCAAGCCAAATCGTCACAGCTTCGCGAACGAGTCGTTGTTGCTCCGCCCGCAAGTGAACCCTCCCCTGCCAACCTGGTCATAAGAAGCCCCATTAAGACGCTCAAGCCGCCGGCTGCCCTTACACCGATGACGCCTGTCCAAGGACTGTGGGCGCCAACGGTCTCTCTATCCTCTCTTCCTCTCTCTCTGCCGGGGATCCCCAGTTAATCGCATCTCTCGTCCCCATCGACTGCTTTCCGTTTTCGAGAAGAGTGCCGGTGCCGCACCCATTATCCGCTTGTCGACCGGATCTCACCCATTGCCCCCTCCCTTCCCCATTGTCTCCTCGGTCACGCCTCTCGCCACCTAGGAACAATAAAATCTTACCTAAATCATCTCTTTATTTTCTCTTTCACCAGTGGCTGTCTTCGGCCGTCAGGTGGCTCTAAGCGGTGGGATCTAAAAAGGGTTCCCCTTTCCTTCTTCCGTCTCCCTAGACCATTTCCGAGGGCAAACCAAACGCACGGCCCCAACTGAGACCGTAGCACCCTCTTCCATCATGGAGGACAGCGGAAGCCAGAGAGAGTCGCGCGAGCGCTTGTATAGAGCACCTTCTCGAGCTAGTACCGGTAGCACTGTAAACACCCAGACGACCAAGAGTGCGGCCAGTCCCGCCTCCCACTTTCGTGAAACGCATGCGAGCCCGCATCTAACCCATAGGTATCACCATAGCCATTCCGGTAGGAGCCTAATGGGAACCCGGGCTCCGTCGCGGTTGTCGAGAGAGTCCGGCATGGATTTCCGGGAACCGGCGGCTGCCTCGAGCTTTCTACAAGAAAGGCTGCAACAGGAAAGAAATGTGGAAGGCCAACGCCAGGCGAGTAAATTCGGTATCGATTTGAGCGCTTCCGCTGGCGATATTCGGGACATGGACACGCCAAGCTCGCCCATCAGGAGGAGCGCTACCGCTCTGGGACGATGGCAGCCGCCCGATGGCGGCGACGATCTCGCGATGGACCCTGGAATGGGGCTGAAGCGGCTGGAAAAGGTAAGGGATTTCCATGATCGCGCACGCGTTGTCCGTTGAAACGCACCGGCGGCTAACTCGAATCGTAAGACTTTATCAACGCTCCATAAGCAAAATTTTGACCTGAAGCTGGACTTATACCATCGACGACAACGCCAGACTGCTCTCGAAGAGCAAGTTGAGAAGCTTGAGGCCGAAAACAGCGAGATAGCGGAAGCTCACGAGAACCTAGCTTCCGAGCTGGAGATGAAGGAAAAAGCCATTCAAGAAGCGGTTAACATGATCGTAAAACTGGAAGCACGAGTCGAGGAATTGCTCCTGGAGAGGGACATGGTCAGACAAGTGGAGGCGGATGGGTCATACCGTCACTCCCACGCAGACGAACCTGAGCTCAAGTCTAAACCTACACCAGCACTCGTATCCGCCGCCCATACGAAGCCGAGAAATCTATTCGTCCCACACCTGTCGAAAGATGCTAACACTCTCGAGCGGATGCCTAGCTTCCTCTCGGAACGTAGCGAACAAACCGAGAACTTGCGGAACGCCGTTCTGGGACGGCGAAGTAGTATCGCGCGTATACGCCAAGTTTCTGCATCTAGTGTTGACCCTAGTGAGATTAATCGTGTCACTAGTCCCAGCCTCAGTGTGCTTAGTGAGAGCTCGTTCGTCAGCATATACGGCGCAAGGGACGCGCCGGACAAGGCGAGCATGCTGTCTACTGATAGTACGGCAGTAACCGATGGCGTTCCGCCGGAGCACTCCTCGACCCCGACGGCGATAACGACGAAGAGGAAAAGTTGGGATAAGCGGTTGAGCCCGGTACAAAACAAGACGCCCGTCGGGGCCCCCGATGGAGGAGGGGCTAAGCTGTCGACTCACATTCAACCATTCGGGAACGTCATCGATACGGATTCGCCCCTCCAAAAGCTGGAGAAGCTCGAGGACCGAATGACGGGACTGGGCGATGCCTCTAGGCGGGCGGCTCGCTCCTCCTCGGTCAGAGCGCGGCCTACCGCTACTCTAGGCCCTAGCCTATCCACGAAGCCGCCGCACCAGGGCAGAACCAAGCAAGAGAAGAGAGAGGCTCTTCAGAAGGTTCTCACCAACTATTCCGCGCATCGCGATCTCGCTAGCCCGCACGCTTATCCTCCTACCCCCGACACGGTCTCCTCGTCCACGCTTCGGAAACATCAGCCTTTTACTAGCTCGCAGGACAGCCTCGAGAAGCAATCGGGGGCGACTACTGCTACGGGCGAAGTCCCGCCGGCTACCTCCGATAGGTCCGGGCCGCCGGCTAGAGAAGCAGCTTTCAGGGGGTCCCCGTCCGTATTTTCGAGCCGCAGGCCTATGCCGATGCCGAGCATGAACCCCAACCTATTCTCTGACCTCAGCGAGCTTGCGCAGTCTCTCCCGCCGCGTCCGCACTCGACGGCTGGGACGACGAGCTCTCATACTCGAGCGGACAGCCTAGGATCAGAATCGGACTCGGACGGCGGGGCAGACGCTCATTCCGAATCGGACAGCTTCGACTACTGGATGCGGGAGAGTATGGAGCCAAACAGGCACCATGCAGGGTCTTCAGGACAGCGCGAAGACGACCTCTCGTCCCCTGATCTCTTTTCCTTCCCGGCGGACACGAAAGGCTGGGAGACAGACGTCATCTTTGGGGCCTTGAGAGGTAACGGTTATCTCGGTTCGCCGGTGTCGGCGTTGAAACGCGACCCCTTGGACGAGATGGCCAATTCGTTACAGGCGCAGACGCAGCAGGCCGAGGCGCTCGATCCGGCCACGCCCGGGCAGGCACCGCCCACGCCGGATCGGAGATCGAGTCTACATGCGCGGACGGGTAGCACGAGCGCGGTATCGCAGCTGGGCGGGATGCTTAAGAAGAGTCCCGGCCCGAGCTCGCGCCTGAGCTGGCTAGACGGGAGAGGCAGAAGCAACAGCGTCGGCTGCGCCGCGCAGGGGTCGACCGTTAACAAACCGGCGGAAGCGGGGAAGCGAAGCCAGTACCCGCCAGTCTCGGGGCAGTCGTTAAGGGGACGAAGCCTAGGACTTAATTCCTTCTTTAAGAGGGCAGGACCAGAAAGCGCCAGCGTCCCCTCCAGCGCGACTGAGGCCGGCTTCCCCGTTCCGACCCCGGCCCAACTGCCGCCAGTCGCGTCGCATCTCAACCCCGCCAGGCTCTCGGGGAGAAATAGTGTTCCGCCCCCCGCGACGATGCCGTGGGCGCGACCGGCGGGGGTCTCAGAGGATGATTTTAAGAGCGCGACACCTCCCCCGATCATGCGCAACCGCGTTCCGACGCTGCTCGCCGAATTCGGCGGTATCGAGGCGGCCGAGCCGAGCACGCCACCACGGCAAATGCCAGCGACTCCGACCACGCCCACGACGATAGTCTCGTCGCAGGGTGGCCACGGGAACGCAACACCAGGAGGGACTCAGAGCAGCATGAGGAAGTGGCTAGGCCTCGGAAGGATGGGTAGCTTGAAAAGTCGGATGGGCTAGAGGACCTCGCGCCCATAGCCTCCACAGGTGGTCTGGATGTTATGTTCCGATGCTAGATGCGAACGAAGGCTTTCCGGGTCAGCGCAAGCTAAAGAAGGAGCACATCGGTTGATTAGAATAGGATTCGGCCAAAAAAAAAAAGGCAGGCCGGATCTCGCGCAAGCACAAGGCGTTAACGAGGGTGGCAACTCTGGGGTGGAATTGCGAGTCATTTTCCCAGGAAGGTAGTCTCTCAAAGTGTAGAATAACATTTATCGGGCGAATTCAGTGTGGCTTCTCGTGCGATACGGAACCCAGGCGCTCATTGTCGTTCCTCAGGGGCATTTTGGGGTATCATGTAACACGGACGGGATGGACGGATGGACAACTAGGAGTGCTTTATGTTGGGCGTTGCAGTAGTCGTTAAATCACGACCGGATGTGGGAGTAGAAACGGGTATTTAATATAAAAATGACACAGCTGCAGAGGAGAAGAGCGGCTATACTGTGAATGTTATGCATCACGAGAGGGCACGCCCGGATAAAGGGGAACGACGTATGGAGATGGTTGGAGACGTCGATCTCAACTTGTCGAGTGTGCACAGTATTAATTACCTAGGCATGTAGGCATTCCCCTTCTTCGTCTTCCCTATATCATGTCCCCTATATGTACGTGTATAGCAGTTCCAGCCAGTTCCAGTTCAATACCGGCTTCGCCCTGTCTCGGCAAAGCCACCACACGGTCCCCTGCCTGGTCGTGCAGGGGTTCGTTCCCCCCCCATCGCCCGCTTCTGGCCAACTCGGGAAAGGGGCTGGCTGCTACTCTCTGGACATCACCAACTCTCCCGCTCATTTTCTTCATCTCGCCGTTTCATACCGCCACCCAGTGTACCCGTCTGCTGCATACGCGCATTGCTTATTCGCTTCTTCTTTTTTTTTTTTTTTTACTTTTTCATCTTGAAGATAGTAGATTTTGTATACACACCTACCGCGACTGATACGGTCGACACGCGCATCTACTCACCTGGTGGCCGTCTCTATTGCGTGTATGGGTGATCGCGTCGTGCACACTACATCTAGGTACCTAGATAACGCGTTGATCTCATTACCCACCGACACTTTTTCTCTCACATATGTTCTTCTTTTCTCCCCAATCTCCTCCATCCATCTATTCATTTCTATACTTTTATACCGCCGTCGCATCTTTCCCGACCCGTCTCTGGCAGCTATGGCCAAAACCAGCAGCGCTCGAGTGAAGGCGGCGGGCGCGGAACCGCCGGCAACTCTCAGGCGCAGTGCGAGGAACGCGAGCAAGAAAGAAGAGGAAGAAGATGTGGAGTCTACCAAACGAGAAGACTTGCCCACAAGATCGCGAGGACCCGCCGCCGCCGCCGCCGCCACCGCCCCACCATCCCGGCGGAGTAAGAGGGCACGCACCATCAAGGGGGACGAGAGCGAGGCCGAGGCCGAGGCTGCCGAGCGTCGGCCTAGAAAGGTCGCGAAGAAGGAGGAGGAAGAGGAGCCCAGCCCGCAGCAAGCAAGCGGACCGGCCCGAGGGAGCCGAGGCAAACAAAAAGCCGCCGGCGGCGAGGACAAGGCAGCGACCCTGCGCGCGAAGAAGCTCAAGTCGTACGCGCGCTTCGCCAACGAGTCGCCGTACCCGGACTTCGCGCGGCCGACGGCGGCAGAGTGCGAGCGGGCGCACGCGGTGCTAGTATCGATCCACGGGGCGCGGGTACGGCCGGCAGGGGCGGCGGCGGCGCCGACAGACCGCGCCGGGTGCGGCGAGTCGCCGTCGGTGCTGGACGCGCTGGTGCGCACGATCCTGTCGCAGAACACGAGCAACAGCAACAGCGCGCGCGCGAAGCTGGATATGGACGAGGTGTACGGGCCCGGCGGCGGGGACGAGTCGGCGGAGCAGGCGCGGTGGCGGGCGGTGGCGGAGGGCGGAGCGGCGAAGCTGGAGCGGGCGATCGCGCGGGGCGGGCTGGGCGGGGTCAAGAGCCGGGCGATCGTCGACATCCTGCGGCAGGTGGAGGCGCGGTACGGGACGTACTCGCTGGACCACCTGCTGCAGCGGGCGGTGGGGGCGGGGGTGGGGGCGGAGGACTACGACGACGAGGCGGCGATGCGCGAGCTGATCTCGTTCCGCGGCGTCGGGCCCAAGACGGCGAGCTGCGTGCTGCTGTTCTGCGCGGGGCGCGACAGCTTCGCCGTCGACACCCACGTCCACCGCATCACGGGCCAGCTCGGCTGGCGCCCGGCCGGCGCGTCCCGCGACGAGGCCTTCGCTCACCTCGACGCCCGCGTCCCGCCCCGCCTCAAGTACGCGCTCCACGTGCTGCTCGTCGAGCACGGCCGCGCCTGCGACGAGTGCCGCGCTGGTGGCCGGAGCCGCGGCCGCTGCGCGCTGCGGAGGGCGTTCCCCGGGGGAAGGATGGCGGCGGAGGGGGAGGTGAGGACGGAGGAGGAAGAGGAGAAGGCAGAGAAGGACGAAAAGGAGGGGGACGGATATGAGGAGGCGATAGAAGGAAAAGGAGAGGGCGAAGAAGATGACAAGGTGGTGAAGAGCGAAGATAGGGATAAGGGCGGGGAGCAAGACGCGGTAGAGGAGGAGGAGACGGGAAATGCAAAGATTATGAAGGAGGAGACGGAGGATGTTCGGATGATGGAACAGGAAGCTCGGGTGATCAAGAGGGAAGACGGAGATGCGGCTAAAAAGAAAGAGAACGATAGCGACCGGGAAGAGGACAGGAAGTTCAAGGAAGAAACTGAGGGCACAGACTGCAAAAAGGAAGAGGAGGAGCGTGTGAAAGCAGAGGCGTGACTGGCGATTCTCTATCTAATTATGCCGTCCTCTCGTGTTCATTAACAACCCCTTCCACCACTCGCGTGTGCACACGAGACCGTGGTAGGGGCCAGTGGCCAGAACACCCCATCCACCATCTCTCTTCTTTTACGTATATATACTTCGCAAATTTGAAACCACGAGCGAACGAACGAGGTCGCCGAGCTTCCGATAGCTCTACTACAGCCTAATGACCCGGGTAGAAAGGACCGCCACACCTCACGTACACTAGCGACTATTACCCCGGGCCTAAGGCAAGCGGCCAAGCCGAGCAGCAGTAATGATACGCCAACTATGAACGCGGCGATACTAATAAGTGAGGCTCTAGTGGACAAAGCCGTCGAGTTGGAGTGCCCTGAACCCGAGTGGGAAGGGGGGCACACGATTAGGACGACAACCCGAGGCGATGATCTCGGCGGCCCGATTGCCGCGCCATCCATCCACTCCCTCTTCTTGCCCCCCTCTCGGCCTGGTCGAGTCTAGAGCCCAGGACTAGCTGGGCGGTCGTCACGGTGATAGGGCAGAGCGAATGTTTTGATGTAATGATGACCAGATGGTGTTGCCCCCCTTATCTCTGACCCTGTAGCGGCGAGATCATCAGACGGGGGGCGCAGGGGGGGGAGAAGGCTCGAGGATATAGAAGTCATCGAGTGGAGATGTCCGGGACGACTCTTAACTCCTAAAACCAAAACGAAAGATGTCACTATCCGCCGAAGGGAGAGCGAGGCGTTTTATATCTCGTTTCGTCGACATGCCAACCGCCCCTTTCTTCCATCTCCCATCTTCTGGATGTATCGTTCCCACGAAACTCCAACCGTCCGATGACTCAGGATACTGCGCTGCGATACAGCTGGAGACGCTATAATACACCTGCCGTATCTTCCCACGACGCAACACCACCACCATGAACGGACCGCCCGTCCCAGACCCCAACCACGGGCTGCCGCCGCAGATACCGACGCTACCGGGCGGGCTCGATAACCTCGCCTCCTCCGCCGCCGTCACCCACCATCCGTTTGGCGTGCCCCAGACGCCGCTGCCGGACCCGGAGGGGCCCCCAGCCTTCATAAGCCCGGGCGACTTCGCCAGCGCGGCGTCGAGCGCGGCGGCAGACCAGAGAGAGCAGCAGCGCGCCAAGCGTCGCATCCCGAACTCCCTGCGGAAGAGGACCCAGGTGAGCTGCGACGCCTGCAAGACGCGGCGGTGCAAGTGCGTGCGCCTCAGGGCCGCTCCGACGCCCCCCGCCGACGGGGGGCAGCCCGACACCCAGCCGCCGTGCAAGCTGTGCACCGAGGCGGGGATCCGATGCGTCACGACCATGCCGCGGAAGCAGCGGGTGTACGGCAGCGTCGAGAACCTGGACAAGCGGTACCGCGCGCTCGAGGCGCTCGTCGCGGGCCTGTTCCCGGACCTGAACCCCCGCGCGCCCGCGGAAGAGCTGGTGGCCTTCGGGCGGGAGAGGGCGATACCCATGCCGGACTTCAGCGAGGCGCGCGACCAGCCGGGGGCGCCGCCGGCCGTCGACAGCCCCGTGAAGGCCGAGCCGGCCACCGGAGCGTCGCCGCGAGCACCCCCGAATCCCTTGACACCGAGCCTGGAATCCAACTTCGTGGCGATAGCCGGGGCCGACGACCAGAAGATCTTGCTCCCCCCGTCCTACCTGCGCGGAGTGATCTCGTCGACGGCCCCGCAGCGCCCGCCGACCGCGACGGCGGAGGGCGGCGGCGGCGGCGGCGGCAGCGGCAGCGCCAACAATACGAACGTCGCCAACAACATCATCGACCCGAACAACGAATTCACGGGCCTGATCCTCGACGCCGGCGGCCGGCCGCACTACATCGGGCCCAGCGGGAGCCTCGCGTTCTACGCCAAGGTGCGCGAGCTGTTCTCGCGGCGGTACCCGGCGCCGCGCAGGAAGAGCTCGACCAAGACGATGCAGGCGGGGCGCAGCCTGGCCCAGGGCAAGACGTCGGTCTTCATCAACAACCTGCTGGCGGCGTCGCTGGGCGGGCTCGGCGACTCGGGGCGCAGCGGCGGCGGTGGCGGCGGCGGTGGTGGGGGCGGGGGGTCGCCGGCGGCCGGGCGCGCCGACCCGCCGGAGCCGCCGCCGCCGGACCTCGACCACCTCGACGGCGACGCGCCGCCGCGCATCTGCGTCGACGTGCTGCGCGACTACCCCGACGACCCGGAGTTCTGGCGCTTCCGCCGCCGCGTGTCGGCGCTGGAGCTGCCGCCGCGCGACTACGCCGACGCGTGCGTCGACGCCTTCTTCCGGCTCGTGCACCCCAACTTCGTGCTGTTCCACCGGCTCACCTTCCAGGCCGCGTACGAGAAGATGTGGCGGTGCTGGGCGGCGCACCGCAGCGGCGGTAGCGACGGCGGCGGTACCGGCGCCGGCGAGCGCGCGCGCGAGGTCTCGGCCTCGGTCGGCTGGCTGTGCTGCCTGTTCATGATCTTCATCCTGGGCTCGCGCGCGCTGCCGCAGAGCGCCGACTCGCTCGACTTCCAGCGGCGCTGGTTCGCGCGCGTGGACGAGATGCCGCTGCTGCTGGGCACGTCGAGCCTGCCGAACGTGTGCGCGTACCTGCTGCTGGCGCTGTACTACCACAACACGAACGACCGGACGAGCGCGTGGGCGTTCCACGGGGCCGGGTGCCGGCTGGCGGTGGCGCTGGGGATGCACCGCGAGAGCGCGTCGGACCTGTTCGACCCGCTGGAGCGCCAGCAGCGCAAGCTGGTGTGGTGGACGCTGTACGGGTTCGAGCAGTTCCTGTGCTGCTCGCTGGGGCGGCCCAGCGCCGTCGACGACCGCGAGATGGACGCCGGCATCCCCAACGACGACTTCCTCGACGCGAACCTGCTGCCGCCGCGCTACATCGAGCACTCCGCCCGCCTCGACATGCTGGTCGCCGCCGTGCGCCGCGGCGTCTTCGACCCGAGCCTCGTTCCCGGCCGCATGCACGCGCGCGCGCTCGGCTTCCTCGACGCCTTCGCCCGCTGGGAGGACGCGCTGCCGCGGGGCCTGCGGCCCGGCGCGCCCGGGCCCGGGCTCGACGGCGGCGCCGGCGCCAGCGCCAACGAGTGGCGCAGCGCGACCCTGCTCCACGTCCGCTACCACTACGCGCTCAGCTTCCTGACGCGGCCCTTCCTCCTCGAGACCATGCAGGCCGGCCACGGCGGCGAGCCCCTCGGCCCGGACGGCGGCACGATCCGCGCCCTGGCCCGGGTCTGCCTGACGGCGGCGATGCGCTGCGGCGGGTACCTCATCGGCATGCGGCGGGCCGGCTGCGTCAACGGGGTCACCTGGGTCGACATCTTCTACGCGTACATGGCGAGCCTCGACATCTCGCTCGTGCTCTTCTCGCCGGAGCTGCTGCTGGGCGAGGAGGAGCGGGCCGAGATCCGGCGGCCGCGGCTCGTCGAGGCGCACGCGGTCGACGAGATGAAGGACGTGGTGCGGCAGCTGTGCGACGTCATGTCGACGATAGAGATGTGCGGGACCAACGCGCGGTTCGCCAAGGCCGCCTTCGAGTTCGCGAGCGCCCTCGACATCATCCCCAAGGACAGGATCCACTCGCTGCACATGCACCCGCCCGACATGAAGGGCTTGGTGGTTAGGGACCTGGGCGACCGGAGCGGGAGCGGGAGCGGGAGCGGGAGCGGGAGCAGCAGCGGCGGCGACACCGTGGCCACAGCCGAGGACCAGGTGTCCCCCGGCAGCTACCCGCAGGGGAAAAGGTGCCCCGAGCTCGAGCAGGACGTGGCGGCCGGGATCCCCAGCTACGTCTACGCCCCCGAGAACATGGACCTGGACGACTTCGTGGACGACAGCTTCGGCAACGTCACGCCGAACCTCATGATGGGAAACGACGTGCAGTGGGACATGTACGTCAACAGTCCATACCCACCCGACAGATTCTACCTCGCCCCCGGTCCGTGAGCGATCTGGGGGGGGATGGGGGATGGGCACTAACTTTTCGGACCGAAAACAGGATCCTACCGCCTGCGCAATGGAGCGGCGGCGCCCTGAACATGGACCTGGACTGGGGCTGGCCATGCCCGAACCAGAGCTGGCACAGCGACTATGACGGGGGACAGGCAGATCGCATCGTTGGTCCAGCTTGACTAAGAGGGTTACATGAAGTCTGCTCTACCCGGTCCTCTCCCTCTTTCTCCCCTCCTAGCGGAGGAGAAGAGGAGGACAAAGTCAACTTGCTAATCATTAATAAATGTATGAAATTCCGTTAACGCCTAGCCATAACGTCCCCCTAAACCCCTTTACTCACAATATATCACAGGTCCGTAGGCGCCGCTTATCCAATGTATTGTTCTCTAGCTAGCTTCGATTCTCTTGCACCAGTCTCTGCCGTGTTGAACCTGCCAGTTGCAAAGCCACACTTCCATAGCCATGCCCAAAAAGCCGGCGATACAGATGCCGCCGCTATCGCTGACGCTCGTCGCGCTAAGGCTAAATTCTCGCTCGGTGGCGGGAACATTGTGCATGATTTCGGCGAACGTATTCACGTATACTGCTCCGCCTAGAAGGCCTTCCCAGAATATGATGACAAAGATTATGTACACGCTCGGGATAAAAGCTAGCAGCGCGTGCAGCGTTAGGAGGACGAGGTTGCCCACCTGAAGGAAGGAAGGGATGTAGAGGTGTCGGATTCGAACGAACGCGATCGAGGTGCGGGATACGAAGACGCCAAGCTGGTACAGGAAGCCGTACATAGGATAGAAGTCACGATATTCGGTGAAGGGCGTGGACTCCAGCGGATACAGCAGCGTCGGTGATACGCCCTGGTTAATCGTGTATTCGGCGACGTAGACCAATAACAGCGGTAGCATGTAAGGGAAGAATAGCAATTTCGCCCGCCGCATGTTTGCCTGGAACTGGGACAGAGAATCCGCCCTATTAGTTCCCGACCCGGACTCGGGCGACAGCAGACTAGATGTCGTCTCGGTAGAGGGAAAATCGTCCTCGACATCATCCGGAGCCGGGTCTCCATCCGGTAGAGACTGGTACTCTTTCCTTCGCTGGCCTTGATGAAGCGGTCCTCTAGGGAGTATGCAAAAGAAACTAACGAGCATCACCAGAGGTAAGAATGCAGAGGCTAGTAGACTGTTCCTAACGCCAAAGTTGAACCAGTCGGTGAGGGCGACGTATAGGCCTGCGCCGACGAGACCGGCCGCGCCGGTGCCACTTCCCCACGCAGCCAGGCTCATGTGGCCGTAGTAATGGGTCAGGCCGAGGAAGCTTAGCTCGCCGCCGCCGCTGCTCAGGCTTGCGAATACGACACCGGCCATCTTGACGCTGACGGACTTGTCGGGCGGCGTAAGTGCGATGAGGAACATGCCGAGTGACGAGCCGACGACGAAGACGATCACCCGCAGCCAGTAGGGGACCTTATGTATGAAGTAGGGGGCGACCAACTTGGTCAGGAACGAGGGCATGACATCGGCGAGCAGGACGACTCCCTTAGGCACCTCGGACCCGACGAGGTCTTGGGCTGCGGAGAGGATGATGACATACAGGACATTGTTGATTAAGCCTATGGTTAAATCCCACCGATCAGCAGGAGTCCAGGGGGGAAGACGGGCCGAGGACCGAGCAGGGGCAAGATAGAGAGAATGACGCATACCAAAAAGCCAGAAGGCGGCCAGGACCGACGCGTCGGTGTCCCGGAAGACGGCGGCGAGCCGAGCCCGGTAGAGGGCCCAGGACGACGACGGCGATCCAGGCATGGGCAATAGGCCCGAAGACGCGGGCGAGCGACTCATGACGGGCGGGTGGGAGGCTCCGCCTCACCTCGCTAGTATCGCGAACAGCAGGTCACTACCCCTTTGACCAGCCGATCGATCCTACTAAATACTTGCCTACATACCACGCAATACAACCAAAACAGCGCATCCAAGAAACATGTAGGCGCGGGTGTCAGCAGAGGGCGCAAGGCTACGTCGGCGATGAGACGGGCGAAGGGGACGATGAGGAAGAGTGAGGATGCTAGGGTAAGTAGGTAGGTAGAGGATACGGCCAGATTGGCAAGACGCGCACGTGGGAAATTACGGAGCTCCGGGTACCTGGGTACCGATGACGTACCGCGTAGGCTCCTGTTAGTGCCATAGCCCCGATATATGGGTATATGAATATATACAGTGTTCATCCACGAAACGAGAGCACGGGCCATGCATCACGGGGTTATGTCTTATACGAGCCCCTATACACGTGTGCTCTTCTTATACACGTGTATTCTTATCCACGCCTGCCTATGGGAAGAGGACGTGGGGGACGGGAGAGACGAGGATCAGTAATGAGAAACAATCTCTCTCTGTTCGATTCCCGTGCCAGGTATACGGCTTGGATGCGGACTTTGTTATACCTACCTGCCTAATAACGCCCCAATCTGGAGGCTAATAGAACCGAAAAGCCTCTCTCTTCCTAACCCCAATACTTGCGAGCGGCAGGCAGCGAGACTTGTGTGCCTGGCTGTCGAAACAGGAGATAATACTCTCATAACAAGTTACAAGGCAGACTACACCCCAGGGCCTCGTCGGGTTGGTGCCTAGGCATTAATTAGCACCTATAGTCAACCTGAAGCTGTGTAATATTATCACAACTACAGCTGATCCGGAGCGTACCTGTAGGCACACACACAGACATAGGTATGTTACCGATGTATGTGTAAATATGTAGCTCTGTCGAACAAATTACCAAGCCAAACGGTATTAGTACCTACTAAATCCAACCATCCCATATACTCACGCACTTACATTGTCGAGACAACTGATATGCCTTCCTATATCGTGTATTACCGTTTCTATTCCCCCCCGTTCCCGTCGAACAGCGGGGTCTCGTGTATTTTCCGAAGCGGGTTTCACTGATGAGCACCGCTCTCGTAGGCCGTATTATCACGGAATGCTAGCAGTACAGCCCTATCCTGCCACCGGGTGGCCGGTTCGTGTCGAGCAGCCAGTTCCAACCTCGAGACGCCAAGGTTGGGCACTCACTCCTTCTCACGGCTTGAACTACGCCCGCATCGCTGGGCGCGCGCCGTAGAGCTGCGCGTCGAGCTTTGCAATGCAGCGGCAGCCAATCCTCCGAATGGCTTATCCCCTACGCCCTCCGCACGGACGAGGTTGCTTACCTGGCTGGAAACTTCGGCCAATCTCGTGGCCTCTGTGTCCTTCCTCCCATCCCCCCCCCCCCCCCCCCCCCTCTCCCCTCCGCAGCGACTAGGCGTTTCTAGTCTTATGCCTGCGAGGGGGAAAATGTCCGTCCCTACATCGTGGTGGTTTCTACTGGGCTCTTAGCCATAGTGGGTGGCGCCCTCGCGTCGGCATCCGCATGGACGCAGGTCGAAATAGCGCCGGCGAGACTATTATATTAATACATCCTAATACACGACGAAACCTCGGTAGCATGCGAGCTGCGCCGATGATACGATATTTTGCTTCTTCGGAGCAACTTGCGTCACTTCGTCTCGACGACGAGAATGGACGACCTGGCGGCGTGGCTATCGGTGTAATAGCTGTGACGACAGTAATATCCAGGTATTGGAACGTGTGATGCTTCTCATCTCACCGGTGGCTTTTCGACACAGGGTTCACGGCTCCACAGTCGGTCTCTCTTCCAACGGAACCTCACGGTTCCAGCGAGTCGGTTTCCTTCGAGAATAATACATCTCGGGCTGACGATTCCGTGCTGTCAGCCCGGAGTATGGCATAACCCAGAGATAGGGGTTCGCGCGCGTTAGGGGGGGCACCGTTCGGAGTTGTGGGATTTTACGTAGCTTGCATCCACTTCGCGCTTCGATATTCCTGTATTAGTTCCCCTCTGTTGTCCGAGACCTCCTCCGAAAGTCCAGCCTGTGGGAAACCGGCAGCTCTTTTGCGGCACCCCTCGCGATCTTGCGCCAAACCCTCTAGCGGTGGGGAGTTCCAGCCGGGAAGTCCAGCCTCACCCATAGTCATCAAGGTATCACGGTCCGCCGGCGTAAGACCACCCCAGCACGTCGTCTGGAAGCGAAAGTAGGTTCGTCAGCTGGCCCTATTGTGCCTCGAAAGGGGGTGGCCTGCCGACAGTCTAGCCCCGGCGGTATTGGATCGATCGGCTGGGGGAGGGTCGTAAAAGTATACAGGTTGATCGCTGGTTGGACCCCATCGATTCGTATCCATTCGCCCGGGCACCGATGTTGGGCATCACGCGCGCCCACCACCACCTCCTAACAGCAACCTCCGCCGAGTATCGTCGATTTCGCATCGGAGAGTTAGGAGGATGTGGTGGTGGTGGACGACGGCGCGCACGCGACGCTCCGGCCGAATCAGAGCGAGGGTGCATATTCCTACCTGGACTCCGACAAGGGTCGCGACGGGCTCAGCTCTGGCCGCTTCTGGCGATGATGGTCGCCGACTGCCAATTTCGTCGGTAGGCAGGCCCTTCTCGTTTCAAGAGGGGCGATCGAGGAGCGCCGTCCTTGCGCCGTCCTCGCTGAAAAAGCAAAACCACGAATGCTTGACGACGACGTACGTGCCTATGCAGGCGCCGCCACCGCCCGCCGCCCGCCGCTCGGAGCTCGACGGTGCAGAATCGGCCATTGGTCGCCCCGCCAGGCATCTCTGAGATGAGCTCGTCTCTCATTGCTTCTTTCTCCTCCTTCTCCTCCTCCTCCCCCGTATCGTTCGCCGTCGTCTAATTCTCCACGACCGGGGGGGGGGGAGATCGAGATCTAGAATAATCGGCGAGGAGCAACGATCTGCTGGCGCCATTCACCGGGTTAAGGGGTCGCGTGCGCGCCAGAAGCGGCGGTTAGCTGTGCGTGAGCCAACCAGGCACGGCAACGGCAACATGAGGGCGCGACGACATGTTTGGCTATGGCTACCGTGAGCGAGTGGCGGACACGCACTCGACGACTTGCTTTCTTTCTGCCAAGTAAACCCCCACACTTGAGTATTCTCACACACACACACACACACACACACACATATACATGTGGCTCATTTGAGATATAGGCGTGCCATGCTACCGCCCGAGTTCCGAGGACATCCATTAACTGCGACGCAAGTCAGCCCCCGCGGATGAGAGGCGTCCCTCGCCAACTGAGCTACTGCTTACGCTGCCGAGCCAACGCGGCAAGGATACCACCACAAACCCTACATACGCATACGCATACGTAGATATACATACATACATACACATGCATGTATAAATGGATCGACACATACATCGGAGAAGGATATCACCCTATCTATACGTGCAGATGGAAGAGAAGAAAAAAAAAAGGGGGGGGGAGAGTAGGGGGGGATAACGGGGGGGGAAGGAGGCGAGAGGCAGACAAGGGGAGGCAGAGAACGCCCTGAGGCGCTCGATAATACTAGGTCTGATATCGCGACGGGATGGCCTTCGCGAGGCGAGGCGGTCAGACGTCGTCTACGTAGACAGGTGGTCGGACGGCTTCCGTCGGCGAGGCACGCTCGCAAAGGTAGGTATACTACGCGGACTTATAACTGCCCTGCTTGCCTACCCCCGTACACCTGTACCTAGGTATGCACACAGAAACATACCCGGCGCAGTAATCTTGCTATAACACAGGGTCTAGCCAGGATCGCGATCCGACGTGTACATACATACATATGTAGGTAGGCAGGTAGGTATGTAGATGGTCGTAGGACTTGGGATGCTCGGGCGATCCGTACTTTCGGGTCGGTCCGCCCTCAGTGCGGCGGCAGCAGATCTCAATGTAAGACGCCAACGTAAGCAGGAAGAGCTGCGCGCGTCTTTGAAGTTAGTTATATTAACTAGGCGGGTTTTGGTTTTTTCCTGTCTCTCCTCGCTCTCCTTCTCTGCCCTCTCTGTTTCTCCTCACGTCCCCCCCCCCCCTATCCTCCCGCCTCTTCGTATCGCCGCGCCGCCCTCCTCCTCCCCTTCGTTTCGTTTGCCTGCCACCACAACAACAGCGACAACTACCGATGCCAGCACCGTCACCACCTCTCCTCTGCTCTCTTGTAGGGCTCTATCTATCACACTGTGCTGACGGAACGTGTTCGGGGACGTGGCGCCGCACTTCCTGATAGGTAGTCGGCTCCAGACAAGGTCTCCATCACAAGTCCGTGTGTGTGCATACAGTTTTACGTACTACCTACACACATACTGCGTATAACGTAGTACTCGAACAAACCCGGTCCTTACTCTCGCTGCCATTATTACACCCTCCCCTCCGGTCCGGGGTGTCTGGGAGAGACGATAGGCTTTCGCAGGGAGATAACCCCCCCCTCTCCTCCCCTCTCTCCGAGGGGACCGTATCGATGGTTCCGCATCGCTGGGTGCGCCCCTACCCGGTTTTGGATGCTACCGCATAGGCATAATTGCCTTCGGATTGTCTGGAACCAAATTGCTTATGCCGTACGCATTATAGCTAGGTTTAATTGAGAGCTTCCTGCGAGGTAGTCCGGACGGGTGTGTGTCCCTTACCTCCAAGAGACCCATATTGGCTCCCCCCCCCCTCCCCTCCCTAGCCTTGATGAAACTCCAATACTACCGCGGTCTTCGTAAACCTGTACCGTGTTTGATACCGTGTTTGACACGAATGTGTTTTCAGGTACTTAATAGTTTGGTACCAAGTCCGGGCCTGGCCCAAAATAGTTCCCGCTGAAGGCCGGCCGGCAGGCAGATCTTACGTAGTGCCTAGGTAGGTACCAAGACGCCAACTAAGTCGCCGAGAGGGGGGGCACGACGATCTAAGGCTTCTTTGGCTTCTTATGGCTTCTTAGACCTTCTTCCTCGTCTTCGTCTGGTGAATATGAGTCCCTGCACGTGCTGTCATGTCTCAGGTGAAGGCTGGAATTTCGTAGGTACTCCCGTGGTAAACTTAGGGTTACAGGAGGCGGGACACCTGCAAGAAGTCAGTCGGCTTCCTCGGGACCTCGTCTCCTCGAGAGGTCCCAGGTCACTCCAGGTAAGGAATTGGCACTGTCACATGAATTGTGCTTCATGCGGGTGAGGTGGCAGTGGCGGGGTGACAGGTCACGGACCGCGGGATCATCGCCCATGGTTCCTGGGTTACCGGTGGAAAAAGGCGCCAGGGATGGCCGGGTATTACGACATGGCATCGTGCCATATTGTTATTAATTCCCCTCCCTCCTTCATCGTGTGTCCCTCCTCCATCCCGACCCTTGTGTTGCGTTTCAGGACGAGAGGAACAGTAGCAGTAGCAGTAGCAGTAGTAGCAGCGGCGGCGGCGGCAGCGGCAGTGGGAGGAGGAGACCCTCGATGGAGCATCCGAGATTCATCCCGTCCATATGCACATACGTACCGCCCTGCAATAGATCTGCGGGGGCAATAACCTTATTACGATTCGAGATCCGGCATATCGACCTTGGAACAAGGACGCGTTTTGACGGGGGTAATATGCGTATGTATTGGGGGCGTTGGGTGGTCGCAAGCAAGACTCGATGAGGCCCTACCTAGGTCGTCCGAATAGCGCAAAAGCCGCTGCTGGATGGTGGTATCGACCCGAACATGAACGGATAGTGTTTCGGGCTACGTGAAGCGCCACCGCGACGCATCGAGACTCGCGCGCCTTGTCAGTGCTCTCTAGATAACCCCCCCTCCCCCCCCAACGCGAGGTTGGTTGAGCGATTACGTGCAACTCTCTAGGCACACATTGGCGAACGACGGCATGAACGCCAATGCGTCCTCGGTGGCATACAGAGTCGGGAAGACAGGTTTTCCACAGTAATACGAACTACCGAAACACAACACCTGTCGAACCGCATCGCACGCGTATACACTATCGGAATTCATGCCGTCTAGGTAGGTGATTCGTAACATGAGTAACCCTCCTCCACGTACGGCGATGCCCAAAGCATCATAGCGATCCCGACGGTAGCCAGAATGGGTCCGCCTAATATAACGGGAATAGCTAGCTTGCCTAATAGGGCTGGTTTTACCCACTTGCGAGTGCCGCCCTCGTCCAGGGTTGAAGGAGAGACAGACAGACACAGACACAGACACACAGAGAGAGAGGTAGGCAGGTAGATGGGAGAAATTCCCCGGTCATAACAGACTCCCGCTTGCACGGTGGACGTGCTGGATGCACGCCGACCAGACGTGGAAATTCGCTCGCGAGCTAGGCGGGCGAGAGGAGCGGAGAGAGGAAAAGCAGCTCGAGCGCGAGCGTGGCCTGCAGCGATTCCGAAAACTTCTCGGGACTTCGGCATAATATGACTTGAGCCCTTAGCCCGAAGCCGACCGACTCATACCCATACCCCGGTGAGGGCCGGTGTAGATGAACCGTGAGCCCCAGCTCCCCCCCCCTAGTCCGATAGGGTGTATGTATGTCGTATGCGTTGTATATATGTAGGTAGGTATGTGCCATGTATGGCATCGTGTAGGTAGGTATTAATGTAGGTAGGTAGGCACGTACACGCATGTACGTTGGTAGGCTATCTTGAGGGAATACTCTCCCGCGCCGGCCGCCCATTACCAAGCAATGGACAACATTGGAATCACTCTGGACTAGCGAGAGAGGCCAGGAAGTATTAAGTTCCGTGATGAACCCTGGGATGTCTCGGCGACGAGTCGGACGCTGTTTTCCTTGTTTCCTTTTATTATTCTTTTTCTTTTTTTTTTTTCCGTGTCTTTCTCTCTCCGTCTCCTCCTCCCCTCCCGCTCATCTTCTCCGAAATTGGGGCATAGATACAAAGTAGTACACCTGTTAGTGTAGATAGACATTGTTGTTTGTATTGGTTTCTCTTGTTAGGTGTATGTCTTTCACATCCTCCTCGAGCAAGGATTCTCGAACACTTCGAGAAGCCCCCCTCCCCCTCTTTTATTCTAGACCTGTCGCGGAGATGCTGCGAATCGACGAACCACGACAACGGCAGAGGTGAACGGCAACGGCAGCGGCACCACGAGTACGTAGTGATAGGAGAGCCGATGTGCAACAGACAGCCAAGCAGGCGGCCCTCGCGAATCCGACAGCATGTCTAACCTCCGGGAATGCGACATGTCAGAAAAACTGGTTGCATCCAGAGCGCGCCAAGTTTTGCCGATGATACGAACTCGCCAAGTAGAGCTACGGAACGGATGGAGGATCGCCTTCGGAGGGACTAGACTGGAGAGGTTGCCAAATCCCTACCATACCTACGATACGCAGACGGCGCTGCTCGCGAGATTAGGATGCCATCTCGTTTCGTGCTGGGTCTCGACAGGAAAGCCCCCTCCCACGTGCTGTGGTGACACCAAAGGGGGAGACGAGGACTGCAGAATCTGCACGGCCTGGCGATGCTATGTCGGCTGTAGGAATAGGAAGCTGAGTGGAGTTGGGAATATCCCGTCAAGCAAGGATAGGTGTAAGGACGGGGCAAGGATGGACCACCACCAGAGCAGCAGAGGGCCGCCTCGCAGGGCTGTCGGCAATGAACTAACCGGCTTGTTCCCTCCCCCCTTTTTTTTCCCTCCCAGTAACAAGAGAGCCCCTACTACGTTGCGACCCCCATAGCGATGTAGGTAGTATGCATATGTAGACTCATTAGACTATACCCTCTTTTTCTCTGTCTTTCTGCATCTCTCGCTCCCAGACTAAGACAACCCTCCCACATCTGCAGCCCCCCCTGTCCCCGTTTCCTCCGAGTGATTTAACGCCAGAACCAAAGCGGAAAGGGAACCAGAGAGAAGAAAAAATAGAGAAACAAACCCCTGAGCAAATTATCCACCTGCATCCCTAGTGGACGACCAAACGCCGGAGTCGATATCCACTGGGACCGATGGGATTCCTCCAACCACGAGGTCCACCGCTAGCATGCCTAATCGGGTAGGTCACATCGCCGGGCTCTCGATGCCTCGTGGCGTCCCACGCTGAGACGGAGCAGAATCGGATCCGAGGAGGCAGCGACCAGCTCGGCGCGCCGAGAGAGAGAGAGAGAGAGAGAGAGGGGGGGGGGGAGGGGAACGGAGGAACAACATAGACCCTCGCCGAGTCTCACAAGGGGGTAGTATGCTTGCGCAGTCAGGTCGGACAGGTCACCTACAGCTGCCTTACCTTACTGACCTTACTTACTATGCCTACTTGGGAGGGGAGGGGGAGGAAGAGGCGGAGGGCCACACGTGAGGGAGAAGGACGATAGGAAGCGAGGTGGAACCCAACCGCCTCACGTAGACCTACATGCATGCGTGCAGGCAGGTTATGTGTGTGTTTTTATCCCGGTGCATCGCGGGATGTGGCCGCGAGATGAGCTGGCTGCCTGTAGAGAAGGATACAGGTAGGAGAGGTGGCTAGGTGGAGG